CAGCTGGCCGACAAGCTTCGGCAACGACAACAGCGGCCTCGTCGTCGTCGTTCAGTACCACCTATAGAGTAGGAAATAAAATAACAGGTCGGACAAATAGCAGCCATTGTCAGTTTAAATACAGGTAGTAGGCTGCTTGTCACCAGCAGAGGGCCATTGGCCGGCGCAAGGTTACGGAAAGCCGCTCTGTTTTGTAAATCGCAGAAGATGGGGAGAAAAGGGAAGACAAAGAAGAGCTCTCGCGATACCAAGGTCAAGTGCCACTGCTAAGAATACAGAGGGTAAGGCCACTAAAGCTACTGAAAAAACAGAGGGTTCGCCGCCCAAAGCCACTAAAAACTTAATAAGTGGGTCAAATGACTTATCTATGACGACTCTGTAATCGCTGCAGATTTCGTGAAATTACTCACCAAAACCGACCAACGATAAGTTCTGCTTATTGACAGGGCATCCACACGACGTTCCACACCTCCTATACCTGGGCTTTGCTGAGGAGTGTTTCCCGGATCGAGTTCAACCCTGACGTCCCGGTGTCTGAAGAGCATGTGATGATGGCCGGCTGGGCTGACAGCCCGTACTGTCAGTGTCACGGTGACGGCAAGGCTAGGCCTGGCCGAGGTAAAAACGGTCTGCAAGAGAGGTGGCCAATTGGCGGATATGGGAAGGGTGGATTCGGGCCTCTCCAACAGACGGGCGACCCATGACGCATCTTCACATGCCAGATCAGCCGTAAGGGAAATCGGCAATGTACGACGCAAGCAGCAGGTTTCTTTTCCGGAGTTTCTGCCTTGCAAGTCTGAAGAGGCCTGGGCAACATCAATTGACAAGACTACAGCGAACTGTCAAGTGAATCAATCTTGTCCATGTGCTGTCAAGGGTTCCTGACGTTGTCCAAGGCGCAGATCTCCAAAACTCCCTTTGCTTGTGCTGCGGGGGAGGGGCAGAATGTCCCTGCCCTGACCCACTTGCATGCCCCTTGTAGGCCAATGACGAGCCGGCGAATGCCCGCTATGGGGTCGGCATGTGCTCGGCAATTCGGTACCCACCCGAGCCAACTGAGCCACCCCATGGACCGAGGGCGGCGAGCAGCGGCAGAGATGAAGCTCGGCTCAAAGGACGTCCGTTACTTGAATGACTCGATTGTACAGTGCCACTGATTGCGTTCCCTTGTCTGGGACGTGTTTTGGCAAGTCATTCTGAGAGCGTCAGATGGAACAAAATATGAGTAGCGTTGATTTATCGGCTGCATGACATCTGACATCTCGTTCATAAAGTGATGGAGTGAAGAACTCGATGCCAATGGAGCACTGTTGTCCCCGAGTCTCCAGCCGCGCATCAGAGTCATTCACACATCCCCTCTGCCCTGTGCTTCCCCATGAAACGTGGAGACAGGGGAATAGCCGTTAGACCGATCTCTCCCGAGTCCAAACCAGTTGCTGGCTTTCGTTGTCGTCCGCAGACCGGAACCTCGTTGGCCTAGCCCTGTTCCGGTGTCTGCTTCTGGGACTCGCCGTCGCGTTAGTGACAGATACTTGATTCCCGCGCTTTGCTCCCCTTTTCAACTTTTTCTTTCTTCCTCTCTTGATGCTAACACCTTGCCCATCCATCTGTTGCATCGACAGCGGGGGCCGTCAAACATTATTCCTCGTCCCTTCTCTCCTCTGATCACATACATTTGCCCACCATGGCTGCCTCAAACATGGTAAATCCCGCCGTGGACCCCAACGTCGAGGACGAGCTCTTCGCCAGGGAGGTCGAGGAGGTCAAGAGGTGGTGGAGCGAGCCGAGATGGCGGTACACAAAGCGGCCCTTCACGGCCGAGCAGATTGTCAACAAGCGCGGCAACCTCAAGATTGAGTACGCCAGCAACGCCCAAAGCAAGAAGCTCTGGAAGATTCTCGAGCACCGCTTCCAAGTATGGGATTGGAGAGACACACATCACCTACACGAGACAATGGCTAACTCGTGGTCCTGCAGACTCGCGACGCCAGCTACACATATGGCTGTATGGAACCCACCGCTCTTACACAGATGGCCAAGTATCTCGACACGGTCTACGTCTCGGGTTGGCAGTCGTCGTCGACCGCCTCCTCGACCGACGAGCCTGGCCCGGATCTTGCCGACTACCCCTACGTGAGTCTCAGGCTCTGCTTCCTGACAGTCACAACTGACAGTGGAACAGACCACGGTCCCCAACAAGGTCGGCCACCTGTTTATGGCCCAGCTCTTCCACGACCGCAAACAGCGCCAGGAGCGCATGTCGGTTCCCAAAGCCCAGCGTGCCAAGCTCGCCAATGTCGACTACCTGCGCCCCATCATCGCCGACGCCGACACGGGCCATGGCGGCCTGACGGCCGTTATGAAGCTGACCAAGCTCTTCATCGAGAAGGGTGCCGCCGGCATCCACATTGAGGACCAGGCCCCCGGCACCAAGAAATGCGGCCACATGGCCGGCAAGGTGCTCGTGCCCATCTCCGAGCACATCAACCGCCTGGTGGCCATCCGTGCGCAGGCCGACATCATGGGTAAACCTACTCTCTTCTAGACTGTCACCGGTCGATAGATGTTGATCATAAGATTATGTCTAGGCTCGGACCTGATCGCTATTGCACGCACCGACGCCGAGGCCGCGACGCTCATCACAACAACCATCGACCCGCGCGACCACGCCTTCATCATGGGCAGCACCAACCCGAATCTGCAGCCGCTGGCCGAACTGATGCTGGCGGCTGAAAAGGCCGGCACGTCAGGCGAACAGCTGCAGGCCATCGAGGACAAGTGGCTGGCAAAGGCCGGGCTGAAGCGCTTCGATGACGCCGTGCTGGACGCCATCGCCTCCGGGTCATACCCCGATCCCAAGGCGCTCGCGGACCAATACCGCGCCGCCGTGAAGGGCAAGCAGCTGTCCAACCGGGAGGCGCGGGCCGTCGCGCGGCAGATTCTCGGCCGGGACATTTTCTTCGACTGGGACGCGCCGCGCACGCGCGAGGGCTACTACCGCCTCCAGGGCGGCTGCGACTGCTCCATCAACCGCGCCATCGCCTACGCGCCCTACTGCGACGCCATCTGGATGGAGAGCAAGCTGCCCGACTACAAGCAGGCCGAGGAGTTTGCCAAGGGCGTGCACGCCGTGTGGCCCGAGCAGAAGTCGGTTTTCTCCCCTCCTCCCCGCCCTGTTCCTTCGAGTCTTAACCCCGCTAACTAACGATTCCATTTCTCGTTCTTATTAGACTCGCGTACAACCTCTCCCCTTCCTTCAACTGGAAAACCGCCATGTCCCGCTCCGACCAAGAAACCTACATCCGCCGCCTCGCCTCACTCGGTTACTGCTGGCAGTTCATCACGCTGGCCGGCCTGCACACGACGGCGCTCGCCAGCGACCGCTTCGCGCACGCCTACAGCCTGCAGGGCATGCGCGCTTACGGCGAGCTGGTGCAGGAACCCGAGATGGAGCTTGGCGTCGACGTGGTCAAGCACCAGAAGTGGAGCGGCGCGGCGTACGTGGATGAGCTGCAGAAGATGGTCACGGGCGGTGTTAGCTCGGTCGCGGCTATGGGGAAGGGGGTTACCGAGGATCAGTTTCATTAGTTAACTGTCGTGGCAAAGGGGAAGTAAAGGGGCGAGGTGACTGGAAGGGAGAGTGAGAGTGCAAGGTTGTGTTATACCTAAGGTGGGCATGATTGATGGATGTGGGCTTGGATTGTTGGTTTCTTTTGGGTTATCTGCGTATCACGAATCTAAAGCTAGGAAGCGTGGTTTTGCGCGTTCAAGGGTTTTCGGTCAGTTGGTTTGCATGTGTGGGCGTCCCTGTGAATAGCTGAATGTTTTAAAATACCACCAGCTGGCAATCGTGGGTGGCGGCTTGGGTCCTGTTCAAGGGAGCATTGAAGACTTCCACACCGGGGGGGGGAACATTTGTGTAATGCCATCTCCTGTTCCAGCAGATCCCTCGCAGCCAGGCCGTCCAAAAGGCAGGCCGTGTAAGTGGTCCCATTCAAGGTAGGCTTGGGGGCCGTGGTCCTCTCGTCTATACTTCATTACCTGGCTAGTAAACAAAACCAGTCGACGCTGGCACTTAATATTATTATATTATTCCTCCACCGCTATGCCCTAGGGCTCGCCGGACCCTCTACCATTAACTATAAAGGAAAACCATGCCTGCAAGGCTGGACTGAAATCCTCTGTCTCCCCTATAGCAGTCTGAAGTCCTGAATCCACTCACTACAGCGAAAAGAAAGGCGCAAATAGCTGACTAGGCCAGCGAACTAGCCTAGTTCCAGCCGTGCAGCTAGCCTATACTCCAGGAGCCTCCTAGAGCATAGTAGCCACCTAATCACCTTCCTTTCAAGCCTTCTCTCTTTGTTTCCCCACCCGTCGAGAGCCCTGTACAGGTCTCTCTGCGAGTGTATCTCTGTAGCTGGCCAGGTCCTCGGCTTCGGTGTGGCACTTAATACGAGTTGTTGCAGGCCGCTTCGCGGATTGGAGGTTGATCAGTGCTTTCGTTCCTTGATCGCAACGTTGAATAGTCTCAGCCTGCTCAGATTGCCAAGATTTTTAATCCAATGGAAAACCATAACAGTATGTATCATGTCAGAAGCTATCTGTCAACAGCGAGTTTAGCTGGTTGAGGCTAACAATTAGTTTGCAGGTTAAATGATTATCCTACTGTCCGTTCTGTTCTTCAGAAAACACGAAGGCATGATGTATGTATGTACGGATGTAGATACAAGGCACACAAGCTTCTATCAATATAAAACAGCCCACAAACACTCCAAGGCAGGAAACGGGAGGAACCAATCACAACAACCTAAACCCACCAGCCCACAACTGCTTTCCATCACCCCTCGGCTACGGGCTTTCGCCGAGCGTCCCAAGCGCTTTTTGTTCTTGACCGCTTTGTCAGGAGCGACCACCATTCCAGCGTCGTCGTCACCCTCCCTTTTTCGCTTCTGTCGGAGCCCCAGCACGAGCCCCATCCTGGGCGCCGGCTTCAGCTTCAGCCTCGGCACTGGCTTCGACCCTGGCACTGGCTCCAACCTTGGCAACGGCCTCTTTAAGCTTGGCATTCTTAGCTCCATGTCTGTGGCCGGAGGAATGATGGGAGCGGTATCGGGGCTCAACCTGCCGAAGGGCGGCTGTTGGACAAAGTTTTTACTGGCCGCCGCGACGGGCTTGGCGATTGCGTTCTGCGCGGCCTCCTCTTCGTCGGCATACCGCCCCGTGGCGAGCAGCCGACGGGTCGGGTCTAGCATGGATGACGGGGGACGCCTCCAACTGAGGTGCGGAAGGCCGGCGCGGCGCCGTTCAGCAACGCTATACAATATGCATCGCCCCTGCTTCTTTTCTACCTCCTGGGCACTGGGCCACTCGAAGTGGTCCGGCGCCTCGGTGTAGCGTGTCAGCTGCTTGCCGGCGCGGTGACGGACCCAGGCCATCAGCTCAGAGTAGAAGTCGGCCACCTTCTTGTCCAGCTCCACGCTCGGGTGCTTGGCCCACTTGGCCGGGTCCATGGACTTTGTCTCGTTGACCTCGTTCAAGGTGTAGAGGCCTCCTGCGAGGGTCGGGTCCTGGGTGATGTACTCGTAGAGGAAGACCAAGACACCCTTGACGTCGTCTCTCTCTGCCCACTTCCCCTCACGGTCACGCGGCCCCTGTTTCGTAAGTCTAGCCTGGTAGGCCAAGTTGAAGTCGATCAAAGCAATCGAGCCGGTATCCGGGTCGACGATTAGGTTACGGTCGGCAATATCCTGGTGGATGATGCCGTGCTTGAGGTTTAGGTCGTCCACGGTCCGCATCAACTGCTTGAGCCACTTCAGCTTGAAGCGCGGCCGCGAGCTTTGGGGCGTGTTGCTGGGTATGTATCTCATGGTGAAACCGACAACCTGAGTCTTGGTTACCTCGTCGAGGACAAGCAGATCGAGAAGCATGAGATGGGGTGCGGAGGGAACTTCGCGAGCATCTGGATCTCGGTCCACATGGCAGCGGAGAATTCAAGCTGGTGCTTGAAGACGACCAGTACTTATCCTGCCCGGTGTTCCGAGGGAGTAGCGACGGCGGGTATGGGATGAGGTCGATCCGAAGCCAACAACAGCGAGATGCTGCTGTGGATGGTGTGCGACGGGTACAGGATGAAGTTTTGCAATTCAGAGGGAGACAGTGAGGCAAGCAACGCGGCCTAGTATCGTGGAGACTGAGGAGTTAAAAGTACTCAAATCAGGTACGTTATAACTAAGGCAAAGTAACGACGGAAGGAGAGGAGACCCGAGCACAGGGCCAGCTAATAAATACGTCGGCAACACACAGCGCACCATTGACAGCGGCGTAGGTGAAAGAGCAAAGTGCTTGAGAGCCCTGCGCTTTGCTGTTCACCCAGCTGAGAGTGGACAAAGATTGCAAAGAAAAATAAGAAGGAACGTTTGCCAGCACGTTTTTTAGCCAACCTGTTTACGACGCTGCGCCTTCCCGAGACAAGTGGTCTTAATGGAACGAGCATTCCCTCCCGTTCCTGTCTCCTACATCTCCTTTGTCGCCGAATGAGCATTGGTCGTACGTTTCAGGGGATCTGCTTACTGGTCGCAGTATTCTTGTTGTTCTGTCTGACCCTCTTGTCTCTCCTCCAGTTTCCGTTTTTCTCTGATTTTTTCTGTTTTCCTTTTCCTTGTTTCTTTGCCTTCCTTTTCCCATTCCCCTCCTCTGGTGCTAGCTTTGATGTTTCCCCCTAGTTTTGTTCTCTGCTTCCCTTTTACTTTCGCCATTTACTTTGCCTTCTTACTCCCCTTGCAACTCTGCCAGTGATCTGTCCCTCTTCTGCTCCCTGCTGGCGTTTTACTAGGGTGTATCATCGCGACCTCATTAACTGGACGTGTTTGAAATCATCGCTATGTTACTCTTCACTCCAAGGCCTGTGCACGGTCTGACCAATCTGCACACCTTCTCAGCATCCGATAACGTGCTTGGGGACTGGAGGGACTAGTCGGATGATAGAGTCAAGTCGACGAAGCGAAACCTGTGATACTTTAACTACCTTACCTACCATTCCCCTGCTCATTTGTAACCACTCCGCGGATACATGTTAGATTTGGCAAGAGGAGGAAGAAGGCTGGCTAACAGTAAACGGCTAGCGAACTGCGATCTACTAATAGCGAGTCGATGCTGTAACGCTGTAACCACCAACAAACGAAATATGTAACGGGCTGGGCCCGAGATGGGCCTCGATGACCCTCGGCCAGCTCTCGTATAAGCACGGTCCACCAAACTCCCTGGATGAAGCTATTCCCATTCGACCCACAGTGTCAAACCTTCTAGCAGCGCACACCTGTGAGGATAAATTGGCTCTCGAGCTACCAGAGTCTCACATCTCTTCTTTCCTTCTCCAAGTTCAGTGTACTCGTAGAGTCGTCATCAGCTAGTTGCAATATACTACCTGAGACCGTTACAAAATACTCCTATGTTTAAGCATTATCAAAGACCTAGACAAATAGTGCATAACGTACATTATCAGTGAGTGGGCCACTTTCTACTACCCTACAGATGCCATCCTCAATTGTAAAACAACAACACTAGGAACCAACTATAGTTACATCAGAAACAGCTGAATCAGATGCTTCTACAGCCTCCTGGCAAGTGCGGGCATTATGGCCAGACTTACCGCACACACCACAGCACCGAACCCTCGCACGACCCCCCCCTGTATCACTACTTCCCAACTGCGTTTCTTGCACTCCCTCTCCACCAACATCCCCCTGACCTAGTATCCCCTGTGCTCCCTGTACAGTGAGTGATCCGCCAAACTGTACACGTGTCTTTTTGGCTCTCCGGCGCTTGCTTAGTGCCTCTTTGGCCTTGCGGAGAGAAGCGACCTCTGACTCGAGGAGAGCCACTCGATGCATTTTAGCTGTTGTACCCTTGGCAAGCTGGTCCACGGCAGTCAACATTGAAGTTAGATCGCTGTTTTGATGGTTGATAATGCGAGTCTTGATGAGCGTTGACTATGCATTAGCCTCTTGGGGGTTGTGGGGTGTCTGGAAGACCCAAGGTTGTGGTGTGCTAGGCCGTGAGGTCGTGGGTGTTCCATACGAGAGTAAACCACTCGCCAATAACCTTTGGATCCTCGCACTTAGCCCTCTGGTAGTCGTATCTACGCATATAACGCGTTCGGAGCTCTGGCTGGCGTTTGACAAATCAATGCGCCCAGAGTTGACCGACAGGGGGCGCGTCGCGTTCGCGTAGCAGGTGGTTGGCCATTTCTTCCACACCACTGAGTCTTGGTGGAAAACATCGTGTAGATAGCTCAATGATGTATTGAACAATGGCCTCCTCTTCTGATTGAGTGAGCTTCTTTACCCCAGGTGTTGTATCGTGTCGTGCAGTCTTTGCCTTGGGTTGGGGTTTTAGGGTTCTTCGGGTTGCGGTTTTGGTTTTTTGTTGCTTTTGTTGGGTTTCGTTTTTGTCGTTTTGAAGAGCCTCAAGGGCTATTATTACCCTGGCTTCTTTTAAAGTAGGAGGCATACTGGGTGATGGATGAAGTTGATGTAATGTGTAGATGTAGCGCGTCGCGTGGAAAAGTGGCCCACTCACTGATATGGCCCACTCACTGATATGGCCCACTCACTGATAATGTACGTTATAGTTAGAGAGAGCTAACCAGCGGTGTAATAGGACTAACTTGACTTCGAGGACCCAGAGACACGCTCCTTCTATTGCCATATGTCACAAGAAAAGTACCCCAGTTGATGAACCGCAAAGGGAAGAATGCTCCCTGAATTTCGTGAACTTATATCCTTCTCTATCCAACCTAATCTACCTAGGGGTTAACTGGAAAGGAACGCCTTCCTGTATAGATCGAGGAAAAAGGAAACCAAAAGACAGAAGGGAGTAATATCCCCCGGGTATCCGTAGTATTGAAAGGAGCTGCAGCAAATGTATAAGCCATGTCCTCATCATCCACCACTCTGGTCTATCCATCCAACCATCTATCACTACATCCCCCTTTACCAAACCAGCACTCTTCCGCACCATTTGCAAGGCATCACCACCCCACCCGCGGACTCCCTGTCCCGCTCCCATTCGCACTTCCGCTGCCACTGCCCATGGCGAAACTCTGATCGATCTTGACAATCCAATCCATCTTGTCCCGCTCACTGCGCGCAGCAAACAGCCAGGTATTGTCCGTCCCATAGACAGCAAACACCCCGGCCTGCAGCCGCTCGCTGAGCCTGCTGATCCCTCCGCCACCGCCGGCACCACTCCGATCATTCGGGTTTCCTCGGCTGGGCGTATCCAACCCACCACCACCGGCACCATTCCCATTCCCGCTGCCAGGCCAAAGTGAAGCGATCAACCTCCCCGTCCCCGCACCAGGCGTCGAAGCATGAGGAGCAGGCGACCTGGAAGGCGAAGGCGACACGCCCCTCCCTGGCGTCCCATAGCCACCCCGACTCTCACCATCCGCCCTATCCACACCGCGACCCTCATTCTCAATATTGTCGGTATGATGATGAAAATTCAATAGCCCCAAAATGCCCGGCTGGCTATCCACCCTCGCATTCCGCAAGCTCACAACCCCGACCTCCTCCCCGTCCGCAACCGAATGGACATGCAGGTACGGCCGGCGCAGCTCTACGAACCGCTTCACCCACCGCGTCGAATCCGCGTTGGGCACGAGCAGGTACCCACCCTTGAGCACGGCCGGGTTCTTGGGCACGCGAATGACCGTTGCGACGCACGTCGGCGTCAATTCTGAGGAGGAGGAAGAGGCGAAGGCGCCGTCTTCTGGGGGCGCCGTATTGGACGGGGAGAAGATCTTGAGGGTCGGGTCTGGGTAGCGCTGCCAAAGATCTAGGCAGCGGGTGAGGAGGGAGGTTTGTTCGGGTGTGTATTCGGCTTTGGGGGAGGGAGGAGGGGAGGTTGTTGTCCCCTGATCAAGGGCTGCCGCTGGATTGGCTCCCTCGGCTGATTCGGCTGGTGGTAGAGAGGAGGCTTCGGACGGTTCGGGGGTGTCGTCTTTGAGGAGCTCGGCGATGGAGTCGGCGTCGGATATGACCGGGCGGGGCGGTAGGAGGTCGGTGTCGTCGAGCCCGTCAGAACCGTTGGTGTCGTTCTTGAAGCCGATTTTCTTGAGGAAGGACTGGACCGCTGCAATTTCGGCGATCCTCTGCCGCTTCTTCCTCGAGCTGATAAAGTCCGCCACCAGAGACACGCCCCGCGGCGTCCACGCTGTCAGGTTTTCCTCGCCCTTGACATAGTCATACTGGCTGTTCATCCGCCACAGGTCGCCCACGCGCTTAATCGGGGCGGGCCGCATCTGCAGCGTGAAGATGCCTGTCACCGAGTGGACGATGCGCACCTGCTGCCAGAGTGCCGAGAACATGGAGGTCTGCCGGACGAAGGACCGCGAGAGGATCTGGCAGCAGAGGTTCAGCGAGAACTTCATTGGCTCGGCCAGCTTCTCGGAGCTGATCTCCCACGACACCGTCATTTGCACGCGATACTTATCCGCCGTGACCCGGTCGAGGAGCAGCGAATCGTGCAAGCTCGAGTCCCATTGCCCAGCCACCGTCACGCTTCGAGTGCCATTCGCATTCGTATGAAACACGGGTTGGGATACGAGCTTCAGTGAGATATCTGGACTGGCAGTGCCCATGTCGGGCGTCTTGCCTGCGCTGTCCAGCAGCTGGATCTTGCCCACACGCATCGCAATAACGTCGTCCCATGGTAGAGCATCGCCGGAGCTGTGCGTGAGATTGATGGCAATGCGCCTTTGGAGGCCCTGATGCAGCTGGAATGTCCCGCTATCGAGCTCACTGGTCTGGGTAACCTCCACCGGCACGTATTCCCCCTCCTCGTTCATCTCGAGGATCTGCACCCGCGCGAGCAAGTCGTGCTTCTCTTCCGTGAAGAAGTGTGCCTCACTGATCCTGGCGCCCTTGCGCTTACCCCGAGAACTGGGCACCGCATCCCTCATGTCGTCCCAGCTAAGGAGCTTATCCAGATGCATGGCCGACACCCTGGCGAAGATGGCCACCCTCAGCGTCGTCTGCGGAGGCGCAAACAGCGGAACGCTCATGCTATGAACGCTCTCGAACCGGATCGGGCCTTCGTCGAAGTCCTTGATCATCTGGGTGGTGGTGATGCCGTCTTCGGAAATGCCGGGAATGAACAGCTGCGCATGCACCTCGGTGCCTTCGCGCTCCGCAAAGCCAACCATCTCATGCATGACAATGTTGAACTTGAGCGTGTTAGACGGCGCCCGCGCGCTAGAGGGCTCAAGCGCAAGCTTGATGATGCCGATTGCGTGCGAGGTATGTGGAGAGAAGACGTCGAGCGTGAAATCCTGTACCCAACTCTCGAAGACAGCCTTCAGAGGCACGTCGACCTCCCCAACAAGCGTGTACTGCGGCATGCATGTTTCGATGAAGGGGTTGTCGATGCTCAGATGCTGGGCATACTCAGGCTGGTCGAGATACTGGTACATCTGCCGCATCTGCCGAACCCTGTCGTGGAGCTTTTCGATGCTCCAGAGATGGACAACCCCATGCTTGTAGTCAATGACACGGACGCCGATGCACGGCTTGGGCGCCTCTTCGAGCTCTATATCCTCCCCTTCACCGGTCAGCCCATTAAGAACCATGTCGTAAGATGAGCAGAGCATGTGGCCGACGTCGACCACGGTGAACTGGAAGACAACGTGTTCGTCGAGCTCGTGGCTCATGATCTGGGCCTCCTTCAGCATCGCAGCATGCTGCAAGACGGCCTCGGCCATACGCACGTAGTGCCGGCTCCGCCAGTGTTTGACCACGACCTTTGCACGCTCAACCTCATCCTCGGACAGCTTCGGCCTCGCCTTCGGCCGCTTGAGCGGATCCAGCTTCTCGATCTTGGCCTCATACTCGCGCCGCTGGACCTCAAGCTGCTTCTGCATGTCGGCCTTGAGCTGGACGAGCGTCTCTTCCATCCGGGCCTTCTCCTTCTTGATCTCCTCGACCTCCACATTCGCCGCCTCTGCGCTTTTGAGCTGGTCGCGGTACTCCTCCTTCTGCTTCTCCAGCTGGCTCTGCATCTCCTCGCGCATCTCGCGCAGCCTGTCCTCTGCCTCGCCCTGCTTAGGGGTGGACGGCATGGTCAGGGCCGTGTCGAGCGAGAAATTGTCGATGGTGCCGGTGGACATGTACTTCTCCCTAATCGGGTACGACGCCATCGACTCCATATCCTCGTCCCCTTCCCGGCCGATCACACGCTCTGCGCGGGCCCTCTGAACGTCTTCGAACAGGGCATTGAGTTCCTCATCGGTCAGTTTGGCGAAGTTCTGGTCTGTGCCGAGAATGGCGCCAGCAGCTTCCCTGCGCGCGAAGGACCAGTCGGACTCCTTTGCATTGCGCTGGAACGGGGCTGGCGAGTCTGGGCGGCTGTCGCCATAGTCCGAAATGGCCGTGCTCAAGGTCCTATCGTGGCCCGGTCTTGGACTCGGAGACGGCGAGGTCTTTTCCAGGGCTTGTAACTGGCTTGCGGTGATGGACTGGCGCAGGAGACTCTGTTGTTGCCTCTCCGCCCGTTCGGCACGTGCCTCCATCGGATGATTGAACCTGAAAATGTGGAAGTCGCCAAGGATGATGCGGTACCCCGAGTGCAGCCGCGTGGGCTCCGTCACTCGCTTTCCGTTCACCATTACTGCAGCTCCTTCCTTTGGCGTGACCGTGACCGTCTCATCTGGCGCGTTGTCAAAAGTGCAGTGTTCGTGGAGGATTCTTGACCCGTTCAGACGAATGTTTGCTTGGTGGTCCGCGCCCACAGTAGTGCTCCCGGGTTTCAAGTTGTAAACCAGGCACTCGGCGAGCAGCGGGTCGTCTGAAAGGTTGACCAAATGTGGCATTTTCTTTGGCGTGGACATGCCGATGAAGCCTTTCTCAATGCTGATACCCAACTCCTCGAGCGCAGCTTCTCGCTCTTTGTGGATTTCCTCCGTTTTGGCCAGTTTCTGCTCCCACGTCTGGTTGAGGTCTTGCAGCAGCTTCTCGCTCTGGCTCAGCTGCTCGGCAATTTCGGCCTTGGAAACCTTCTTGACGGTGCCGTCGGACTGCGTGATGCTGACGATTTGCTGCTCCAGAGGCGTGCCTTCTGCGTACACCTCCTCGGCGGGAACTGGGGCACCGCCAGCCCCGCCTCCGCTGCTGAGTTTGCTGCGGAGGAGGGCCAGTTCCTCCTTGAGCTCGCGGATCATGCGGGCGTTGGCGTCCTCATTGACGACTGCGTGGTTCTTGATGCGTTTCGCCGAATCGGCGTACCGAAGCGTGCTGAGTGTCTCATCGTAGTTGATGTCGGCCGGGCTGATGGCAGCAATCATGGCCGTCATACTGTTGCCTCCAAGAGAGTCTTTAAGTAACCAAGTGAGGACACTGTCTCGGTAAGGAACCTGGCCTGCCGCGCCTTTCTTTTTCTTGCCGGTGGATAAATCTGCCAATGCTGCAATGACACGGCCGAGGGTGGAAAGCGAGCGGTTGATTTCTGCGCCTTCCTTGAGCCGAGCGCCAGTCGCGCCTGTGGAAGTGGCCCTTTCCGAACCAGCAAGATCAACAAGGCTGATCTTGGCCGCCTTCTCCATCGACATCTTTGTTTCAGGGTCGAACCGCTTCTGAGTCAGCATGAGGGTAAACACGGCGTGACTTCGACTCGACGTCTCGTTCATGTTGGTCGCCGCCACCGTTCTCGCCTTGTTTCCCTCGTCCATCAAGTGCTCGATTTCTTGGAAACTCCCGACGACCAACTTCGCCAGATCCTCGACGTACGGCCCCGTTGAGGGGTGCTCCCGAACCTTGAGGTTGCCCTTGTTGGCCGGGTTCAGCAAGTCGCGCACTCGTTCGTTGTAGATTTCGAGATACGACACCTCGACGGTGCAGCGCAGGTTCTTGTCCCGCTGCATCTCCTCAATCCTCCTAAACATATCCTGGCAGATGTTTGGAATGATACCCGCGTCCTTCCCGTACCCCATCATCGAGTACGACTTGCCTGAACCGGTCTGGCCGTAAGCAAAAATACAGTTGTTGTATCCCTGGAAGGCATTGTCGAGCAGCGGCTTGCCGAGATCCTGGAACAGGTGCTCCTGCCCGGCGTAGTTTGGCGCATTCTTGTCGAATGACCAATACGACTTGTCAAAGGCGAAGACTTTCTGGCCGTGGTCCTTGACCGCCTTCCCTGCACTATCGGGCGGCGGAGTCAGGATCGTCTGGTTGTCTTTCATTTCCACGATACATCTTGCGCCCCGGTCGTGTTCTGCCAGGCAACGGCATCAGCTTTCTGTCACACAATCTGTTTGTGAACAAGATGGCTCCTCACCTCTCCCGTTGAAAGGACGACATCTGACCACCACCTTGATATTCCCTCCCCCGCCGGAGGGGCCCGCGACCGGAGCCATGGTCGCGGGTGTACCGCGATACACCGGAGCGCTTTTCGACAGATACGACGACGGACGACCGTGTCACAGCCCACGCAGAGCGATGTCCTGTGAGCGCAGGTCAAGCGGGTCGATGGGATCGTGGTTATTTCGTGGTCCTTGCGTTTGCCAGCATACAGTTCCCAGCCCGTGATACAGCATCCGCACGCATCCTCCCGTATCAAACTCGTGTTCTCCGACAATCCAGACGTGTCCGGTGGTCGACGGGTTTAGGTGTGTTGGTTGAGATTGCCAGCGAAGACGGCGTGGGGCAACCGCTGGGCCCAGAGAGTCGAGACGTCAGATTGTCGCGTCGCTGTCGGGGTGATGTCCTGTGGTTTTGCGGAGAAAGGCTGTAGAATGTTGCGCTGTCTCGAGTTGACGGTGTTGGTGATGTGGTTGCCAAGATGGCATCCCGGATTGATAAGCGGCAAAGCAGGAATGGGGATCCGAGAATGTGTCTCTTGTGTCAACAAATTCAAGAGGGGACGCGAGGCGCGCACTCGGCACATGCTGGAACAGTGGTAGTATGTAATGTTACGGAGAAGTGGGTCGCATGCCAATTGGTGGATACAGGCCTGCGATGTTCAAGAATCAATGGTCGAAGCTTTACGTGTTGACAACTCGAGTCAAAAGTACATGTACTGTACTTAGGTGAAGGTAAGGCAGCGTATGTCTCTGAAACGATGCGTTTTGAAAGGGCCTAGCTTCTTAATCACATTGTAGCGGGTTAAGCTTCACTGTACCTCCGTACTAACTAACACCTTTCTTTGCATACGTTACACTATGGTAACTATCTACTTTAGGCAGCGCCGCTGACTCTTATCCAGGGCTTCCTACAGGAGCTTCATCACATCAATGATCAATTCTGGCAGCTGGGCCCTCTCCACGTTGCCTCAATACGGATGTATACCGGCTAGCAATCTCAATTGCCTTAGGCTGTTCAGATAATGAGCTCTAAGAGAAGAACACCACTCAACCTCTGTTGTGAAGTACTGTTGAATTACCAGGTAAGCTCGGCCCAAACTTACGAAGCTTGTTAGTACAACCTAGCCCTAGGTATATAGGTTGTTCGCTAGCATATCTTATGATACTACAGGCCCATATTCACAAGCAATCGAAGATGAAAAGAAATAAAGAAAAGGAAGAACAAAGAAAAGGAAGAAAAGGTAAATAAGAAGAGAAGAAGCCAAGCCAAAAGAGGAAAAAAAGGAGTGTAATCGACAATGAACTCACATTCTCACCTTCCTAGTAGGGCCAGCGGGCAGCGCCCGTGGAAGCTACCGCTCACGAGATGCCTCAGGAACAGCTCAGGCGCGTCACATGGTCCGCGTCTCCATGCGGAACGTCCAAAGGTCTTGTTGTGATTGTGCGCGCACTCTCCCGTCGTTGGGCTATCCATAGCCCGCAGCTCCGGAGAGCTTTAGGGGTCGAAGCTGCAGCACGGCGCGTCCGATGCCTCGTGCCGTATCAGGGAATTTGACTAAGTTACTGGAGGAAACAATGAGTGCTGGTTTGGCTGTGCACACAAGCCCATTACCGAGCACTCAGATCTGTTTCACCGCAATCAAAAGAAATGGTATCACCGATCAAGCAAGCAGGCATACAAAATTTTCAGATAACCTTGTGTGAAGAAGGTTTGAAGGATCAAATGAGGGTATCTTTTCCCGAACTATCGTACTCCCAGGGCCAGAATGGCCGTTTTCGGATCCCCACAACGTCATCAGGGACCATGGTATCAAAACTGAGAAACGAGGCAAGTAGAAAATCCATGATATCAGTCCCCTGCTGCACTTCCTCATGAGCAATGCATGTCTTTTCCATGTCAGCGCATCACAATATTCCCTTCCCAGTCCCCATTACCGATATCGCAAAACAACCCCCTCATCACACCCTCACCTCCGACCTCTCATCATTCTCCCACTTAGCCTCAGCCTTAGTATCACCAACCTGGCCCGTAGGCAGCAAGTTGAGCTGATCCTCCTGCTTATCCAAGTGACGCATCTGCAGCCAGAACATGGTGCCGCCGACGGCCGCCAGGATGGCCGCGACAGCATAGTTCCAGATAAGCAGCGGGTCGTCAGCCAGGTAGACGAGCGCGAACCCGAGCGCCGACGAGATGGCGTTCATGAAGAGCGCGACCGACTGCACCATCGACCTCATGTTGGCGGGCGCCTTGGAGTGGGCGTACTCCAGCGAGGTGATGGACGCCATGATCTCGGAGAAGGCGATGAGGATGTACGAGCCCGACTGTGCCCACATGCTAATGTCGACGTTGGCGCACTCGCGCTCGGTGCCATCGGGGAAGACGCCGTTGGCGTAATACCCGCACTCGCTCTTCTGGTAGATGTAATACTGGATCACGGTGGCCCAGATCATGGCGGCGGCCGCGGTGAAGTAGCCGACGGCGATGCGCTTGAGCGGGGTCGGGTTGATGCGAATCTTGCGCAGGGCCGGGTAGACAACGATGTCGAGGAGGGGGATCAAGATGATGAGCGCAAAGGGGTTCAGGTTCGTGAGCACGTCGTTGGGCACGCCGCCGATCTTCATGGTCGCGGCTTGGGAGATCAGGTTGTTGTTGACTGGACAAAACGGTCAGCGTCAGAAACTCAGAGAGTTAGGCGGGCTGGACTTACTCTGGTTGTAGCAGAGCCAGAAGAGAGGGTACCACAGGAAGACCGCGCAGGCATTGAAACCACGGCGGACCTCGTCCACCCAAGCATCGTCAAAGTCCATCCACTTGGGCTTGGGCTTATCCGAGGCGACGAACCGGGACGGCTTGACGTTGTCCCAGAAGGTGCCATCGTGCAGTTGCTTGTAGGTCTTGACGGGGTTGATGGACCAGCGGCCCTTGTTAGCGAGGAAGAACAACTTCGTGGCACGGCCAAGGACAGAGCCCTGGGGAGGGACGCGCTTGTACCGGCGACGGCCCCAGAGCATGACGAGCGGGCAGAAGCAGAGCATGATGGTCGGGAGGGTGTACGACAGCCAAAAGCCGACGTAATGCTCGCAGTACACCATGCCGAGCTGGCCAGTCAGAGCGCCAATGTTGATGAAGAGGTAGAAGTAGTGGTACACGCGAGAGGCCGTCGCCGCGGGGTCGACAATAACTCGCTCGCCGCTGGGCAGCGTTCTGATCACCATCTTTTCCAAGTCGAGTTGCTCGACAATCAAGGGGTTGACGTTGGGCTTGAAACCGCCGGTACCGACTCCCACGAGGATGATACCGACACAGAAGGCGCCCAGGGAGCCGTTGGGATTCTTGATGACAGGGGGGAGACCGGAGACGACGAGGACGAGGTGACCAACAATGTCGACCATAAGGGCCCAGCCGATGGTCCGGTAGCGGCCGAGGAAGCTGTCGGCAATCCAGGCACCAAACAAAGGCATGGTGTACTGCCAGAACGAGTTGAATGTGGTCAGGGCGGTCGAGGTCCGCTGGCCGAGACCAAGGGCGCCGGCTTGGCCGTTCTCGATGTCGTAGCTGGCACCGGTGGCCGAGTATTCGGGCCGCGGCTGCTGGATGAAATTTGTGAAGACGGCGGTGGTGCCATAGTACGAGAAGCGCTCGCACAGCTCGATAAAGGCGATGGTATAGATGGCCCAGGGGATCTTGTCAGGCACACGCCGGAGAGTGTGCAGTTCCTCCTCGGTTGGTATTCCGCCATCAATGGTGATGCCCAGCTTGGGTTCGTCCTGGTTCGTCAAGACTGGGGCCATGGTGACCTCCTTTTCCTTGACCATGGCGTGGACATCGTTGTCGACGGCGATGCTGGTTGGGTCTGACGCCATGACGGGCAATGAAGCTCGCAACTTGACGCTCGAAAGATCAAACGAGGGGGAGAGGAGTAGAGGGTCGAGCTTGCCCGAGGGTCGTAGCAGCGCGACGCGGGAAATATATATGTATATATATATATCTGATGCTTTTCATGGTATATCTTAAAACAGCCAGGGTGGCACACGGTTCGCCGCTGCAATGGGGAGGCCCCCTCGAACCCCGCATGTCTCTCCTGCAACCTGCCATTGAAGTGATGCCGACATTCCCCTGAACAGGGTAGTTTTCCGAGGGTAAGATACCCTTGAGACCGAGCAATCAGAGGATGGAGGGGACCAGGCCATGCTGTCGCCTCAACGACGAACCACACGAGAAGCGGCAATGTCCAGGTCGGGAAAGTCCACAAGTCTTGGAAGTCTTGTCACCTTCCAAGATGGAACAAGAGCGCCAAGAGATAATTGGGTGTGGGCGGCAGGATTGCCTGCCCTCGCCGTCCGCGCCAACCAGGCCGTCCCAACTTGACAATCACGAGGGGGGGGATAGCGGATTTTTTTACACACTCCTTCAGTGGTTGGAGAGTAACTGATTTCGCCGCTCTCCATGTCGTCGGTGTGCATGACGGGGCGAGGGCCGTTTGCCGTCTTGACTCTTGTTGGTTGAGTGAATGCCGAGACACGGCGACTGAACGAAGCTTTTCCCGGCAAGCTTCCGCCGCTTGGCCACGACGCATCGCGCAACGGCTCGCTTCGTGACATTGGCATTTTTGAGCCTGGGGAAGCCCAACAGGGGCTTGCCTTCAGCATGAGCACCTTCCTAAAACATGAGCTTGGACAACACCCCGACTGGCTCGATAGGCCCGGCGTGCTGTATGGTGCTTGGCAGAAGCTGCTCCAATTTTGCCAAGGCGGCACCGAGGCGTGGCAACCCCGGTTGAAGAAGCTTCGCTCACGCCACCGACGTCGATTCTGGGCCGCAGCTGTCGCCGTACTTGTCGGCACGCTAGCCTGGTGAGGGCTTCAGAACCGGCCAAGAGTCGCCTCGTGTCTTGGGCCGTCTCCATTTGAAGCCGGAGGAAGGCTCGCCATGGCGGAGTTTGGCGAGCCGCAGGCTTGGGTCGTCTTTGTTGGAAGATAACGACAACCTGACACGTGCAGATCGTGGCAAGCCATACTTCCAGAATTTCCAGCGCGCCAAGCGATTTCCACGATCAGCACGCTTTCACTGCATTTGTCAATACGTTCTCTTGTTGGTAAGTGCTAGCGAGACGCGCACAGCGGCGCTTAGCAGCGGTGATGTTGGGAGGAATTGTTCGTATCTTCAGTGTCCAACCGAGGTGTGGCCGTGTCGGATTTTCTTGCTGGTTACTCTCCTTCCTGATCGGTGTGTTGGAGTTCTTGGCGTTGACAAACAGCATCGAGGCCCTGACCCACCGCAAGTGGGGTGCGTCCCTGAGAGTTTCCATGTTAAAGTTTAAACTTCGAAGAGATGCAGATAACAAGAACGCCGGGATTACCATCGTCCCGTCCTGGTTGGCCCTATGGCATCGGCTATCAGACGCAAGTTGCTCGCGATGGGCTTGCTGCGTGATTTCCCAGCCTTGCGGTCCGTACGGCGTATACGTACTTTACCGTATGCTGGAATGTCGAATTCCAATTCTCAATGAAGATTCACGGTTAGTGGCATGAGAAAACTCGGGATCCAAGGCACTGCAGACTGTAGGGGACCACTTTGCGCCTGCCGATTTGCTGGCCGACGAAACCCAACGGAGACCTAGACGTGGCGTTCGATAGTCACTTCTTTCCCCTGCTGTAACCTGTAGTGTCAGCTCGACAACTTTAACCTGCCCCGAACCTCCAAGAAGACGAAGGAGGTACAGTATGATGGTGTTGGAGGAGTACTCTGTATCGAGACTGCTAGTGTATTACGGGACTCAATGTTGAGACTCGAATTTGGGCACCGGTCAATGACGTCACCCGCAACGGATGTTGTCATTTGCATTTGAATTGATGAGACTTCCATTGGTTGACCACCTTTGTCCCGTATATACGTTATTTATCCTGTGAGTTTGGGGTAGGATAGTGAAAACCATCGCATTCCGCGAAGTTGTGGATTATGGACCTCTTTACAGGTACGTGTAGGTATTATTGGATTGTTAGGTCACCATTTGGGGAAAACCTTCCACTTATTCCCATGTGACAATGCGGGTTGGATGTGGATGTTGTGGAGACGACGAGGTGATTGGGATCACAAATTTGACAGGTGGATCCTTTCTTCGTAAAACCCGCAGAAGTTGTTGTTCGAGCGTCCAGAACTGCAGCCTGTGGCTCCGACTGGGAAACCAGCGCGACGGTTCATGCTCGTCTCGTCTCATGTGTACAGCGTTGTCGGCAGGGCGCTCTTTTCGCACCACCGCTCCGTCATGACAAGGAGCCAGAAATCAGTTTCCTATTCCGGCAATCAGCGCGGTAGCCATAAAACTGCCATTCCACAGGAACACTACTGCAAGAGGACACTCGAAGATCAGGTGATCAACTCGCGTACACATGGTCGAAAGCACACTGTTAGTAAAGACAGCCGCAGAACTGTTTCCGAGAGAGGCAACGGTAGCAAACCCAACGGATGAAAACACTTATCATACAGAGCCCACGATGCTCCGGCCACTGGAGTCCCAGAAAAGCCCTCGCTTGCTCAGTTGCTGCGATTACTGTGTACATCACATCCACCACAGCTTGCAAACCAAGCCCGGCGAGCCCAATATAATGCAGGTCACGAATCATGAGTTGCCCTCAGGCGGGCACACCAGCAGGCACAAAAGCATCCCAAGATGACGGTTCCTATGGATGATAGAATTAGGTCCAGCCCCACCGCCTACAGAGGACCAAGCAAAGCCTAGCCTACCACCGCCAGGCCCTGCCAGCCACCGAACCTTCCCCGTCTCTCGAGTTCCCGTTTCTTGCCCCCAATCCGGAAGTAGCCCGATCCATCACGTCCGGATGTGGAACCCGCTTCCGGTCCCCACCGGGCCCCGGCCCCGGCTCTAGTAGTCGTCCCCGTCCCGGAGGAGAACGAGGAGGAGTATGACCATGTTACAGCTCCGTAGCGGACCCCCCGAGCTTGACCTCAACCAACTCCGTCTCACTCCCAACCGCATCGCCATGTCCGATGTGGAACCCTCCTACGGCCGTTGCGACGCTTCTTTGTTTATGGAATCACGCAAATGTTCGAGGGATCTCTGAGATTGAGGGTGGATCGAATGTCAGCAACCGCACATGATGGGTAAGCCACAGCATGAATGTCGGTACGTACCTTATCTTACAGCTCGAGGACGCAGGCTCCATTGCCCTCACCAGTACCGTGGACGTCCGCATCGGTCGCCTCGACGGTCAGGTCGCCGTACTCCAAACTGCGCATGCTGACAGGCAGACGGATCAATTGGCCAGCCGTACACAGCAATAGCAAAAGCCCCGAGAGCCCGGGACATCAGGAAAGCCCGAGACTTCACGCTCTGGATCGGCGGATGGCCGCCTGCTGTCAGCTCAACTGATGATGTACCTATTGCTGACGTGATGCTAGTCAACGGGCTAAGGACCACATCTTGCCGTGTGACTACCATGGGATTGTTTTCAGGCTGTTGGTTATCCCTCGCACCGGATACCGTCGTGGTACGAAACGGACCCGAGTGTCTTGACCGGGTCCGGGAGGTCAATGGTCAAGTCGTTTCACTAACCGTTGTTGGCGACCGGTCCCTGGGCAAAGAGTACCTGACCAGAAACGCCAGGTGCACGTTCACTTGGACAAGAGTAAGGCCTGCCTATCCGAGGAAGAGTTCGGTATTAAGTTACAAACTGAGCGCTGTACCTGTCCGATATACGCGAAAGTCCGAGCAAGCTGCTATGTTTCTTTAGGAGACTGAGTGATGAGTGTCGGAGCACTGGCGCTCGGAACCCATCCGTTGAGCAGGACGAAAGGCATATGACGGTTGAAACACCATCCAAACAGAAGTGCAGAACTTCGGTCACCAAGAATCTCTGCTCGGCAGTCAATTCTCCAAAGTCTGCATAAGTTCAAATGCAGAATACTTGGGTTTTCGGAATACTGTAATCCTGGACGGCCCGGTCGCCGGGTTTGGCTGATGTTTCTGGCCAACTCGAACGGGTTCGGACGTTGATGAAGGAGGCGCAAGCTGTTACAGAACGTCTACTACGGAGAAGGGCGGAAGAACGCTGGAGATGCCCATTCCAACCATTGGCCAATCGCTGAAAAATGTCGGGCAGTGGCAGGCGGATCTGTCAATGTTTAGGTAAGCAGCCAAGAGCCCAGCACCAACAGGATCCAATCGGCCAATGATTTCAATCCAATTCATCTCTGGCCTCCAACGTCAGTGCAAGCACCTCGCCAGAAAGCAGGCCAACTAACAGCTTGGGAGTGAAAACTGAGCTTCCTGTCTTTGTCAATTCCAGATATTTCTGGGACGTACCGCAATGGAACTCAGCTTTCACTCCACCGTGTCATCCTCGCGCCCAGCGAGCAACTGCCTATCGCAGATCTGGTTGGAAGCTTGTCGTGGTGGCCCAGCGTTGTGGGATGCGAGCAGACCCACGGTCCCTCCGCAATCCATTGCGGCTCGGATGCAGGGCTGACAGTGGTGTAGAGCTATCTTAGCTTTGCGTGCGAAGCGTGTCACTGCACCCGTTCATTCGGGTCAAAATCTGGTTATGCTGGGATGGCTATGACCGCGACCCAGGCCGCCGCTTGGGGCTCCAGCTTTCTGCTTTCGGTCACTGCACTTCGAATTACGCAAGCCCTCATGGTCTCTGATTTTGGCTGTGCGGCCAACATGCCACAATTCCTCGGGTTTAGTTGGCTGCTCGATGCCCTTGACTCTTTGTGACGCAGGCACAGTCCTTCCCGTCGTTTTGTCTTGCTTCCTCTCTTGCCCTCCTTGTCCTCATCGTTGCTGTTACTTCTGTTTCCCACCCAACACCCTCGCCTCCTCCGTCTTGGCTATCTCAACTACGGACGGCGATTGCTCGCTTACAGGCTGACAGCTTGCCCAAACATTCGCTACACACGGTATGAAGCAGTCTATCGTCGGAGAGCCACAAGAGCATCGTGCCGGTTCCCAAGTGATGGAGCGGTCGTCCTCAATCGTAGTCAAAAAAAGCAGCTCGTCGATATCCAGCTTGTTTTCCAGAGAGGACAGGCCGCTACTCCCCCGCCCAGCCCAACAGATATCGCGGATTCGCGTACGGGCACTTCTGGGCAATTCCTTGTATCGGAGAGTCCTCTTCTGGACTTTCGGCTTTCTCACTTTGCTAGGTCTTGCCCTGAGGTTGACCGAGCCCCGCCTCTTGAGGGAAAGAGTGCATGATCTGACCGAGTTCCATTACAATGCGAAGAGCCGCAATGATTGGGGCAGTGGATCGAGGACTGTCACAGTGTTGACGGCCGGGGCTGAGGAACCAGAGGTGCCACCCTGGAGCCCAGACATGCTGAATTGGCTACGGTTCAGGCAGTGAGTGTCCCCTTCTACGATTCTTGCCAGCATCCATGACAACCTCTGACTCTGGCAGTCTCGATGGCTTCTTCCTTGGCCTCAAAGCCTTGGTGCCAGCTAGCGAGTACAGGCCGGAGCACCCTAGGGTGAGCGGCGAGGAATCACCGTACCCCTTCACCATCTCCTACACCGGTTTACCCACCCCAACGCCATTTATTCCACAACCGGATTACGAGTCGGCAAAGTACAGGTCTCAGTATCACGAGGTCGAACCCTGCTACCTCGACAAGGACCAGAAGATCCGCGTTCCTGATATATACGCCTATCAGGGTATCGTCCAGGGCCAGTCGGAGCCCATCATCGGCTCGCATAGCCTTCTGGGACTGCGGGACGATGTCTGTTTCGACAGATTCGGAAGATACGGCCCCTACGGTTTGGGCTACACCTTCGAGGCAGGAGGTGTGGAAGTCGGCATGGACACGGAGCGGGAAGGGAGCGAAGCTGTGTGGGCCAAGACCGGCAAGATCAACTACGACAATATCGACTGGGCCGATGCACAGACCCGATGCTATGAATCCAACAAACAGCGTTTCGTTAACCCTTATGGTTCTAGCGAACCGGTCCCAGCGAAATTGGCCACACGCTACGGACGGCCCAAGCACAAGCACAAGATCACACGAACTGCCGTCGTAATCCGGGCATACACGGGCTACCAATGGACGCACCACGCACTCCTCAACTTTCGAGCCATGATCTCGGAACTCGCTCTCCGCTCGGGAGGAGAGTATGGTGTTCATTTCCTGCTCCATGTTCGGGACGACAACGAGGCCATCTGGGCGGATCCGGCAACGGGTCAACGAATCCTCGACGAGAACATGCCTAGGGAGTTCCACGGCCTCTGCACCCTCTGGTCCGAGGACCAGATGCGCTTGGTCTACCCGGGCGGGTTCGGGAACACTTTCTCCAACCCAAGCGGTCAGGACATCCACGGCGTCTACCGAAGCGCGCACATGCCCCTCCAGGTCTTCGCCATGAATCACCCCGAGTACGAGCACTTTTGGAACTGGGAATTGGACATGCGCGTCCTCGGCAACTACTACGAGCTGTTCGACCGCCTCGGGAAATGGGGCCGGCAGCAGTCCCGCGTGGAAGCGTGGGAGCGCTCGGCAAAGTACTACATCCCTCGGTACCACGGAAGCTGGGACAACTTCACGCGGGTCGTCCACGACGAGACGAAGGCCAGCGGCCGCCCGGCTGTCTTCGGGCCCGTCTCCTTCCCCGGCCGCGTGCCCCTGCGCTCCGAGCTCGGCGGGCAGAGCTTCGTCCCCGCCTCGTGCGGCCGCCGCACCGACCAGACCCGCTGCGGCGTGGGCGAGGACGCGGACCTGATCACGCTGAACCCGCTCTTCGACGCCGAGAACTCGGGCTGGGTGTTCGCGTCGGACGTGACGGGTTACCCGATCGACCAGCCGATCCCGCCCCGCCGGTCCTCCATCATCACGGCCTCGCGCCTCAGTCGCCGGCTGCTGGCCGTTATGCACGAGGAGACGTGGCGGATGCGCCACGCAATGTTCAGCGAGATGTTCCCCGCCACCATGGCGCTGCACCACGGCCTCAAGGCCGTCTACGCGCCCCACCCGGTCTGGATCGACCGCGAGTGGGACCTGCACGCCGTGGACCGGGCATTCAACGGCGGCCGCGACGGGTCGGCCGGTGGGCCGGGGAGCCCATTTGACCTGCGCAACGAGCACAACCACAAGGGGACGAGCTGGTACTACAACGCCGAGTTTGCGGGCCTGTTGTGGCGGCGCTGGCTGGGCTACGCGCAGTATGACGGGCGGGGGCCGGACGGCGGCCGCGACGGGGCCGGCGAGCTGAGGGGCGGCGTGAAGGAGGAGGAGAGGGCTGATAGTACGGGGCGGATGTGCTTGCGGACCATGCTAGTGCATCCGATCAAGTGGGAGCATCCTAGCGAGATGGAGGGCTATTACAAGGGTTGATTTCCTTACGCTTCTCAGATTCTTGCTTAATGTGTTTTTTTTTTTAATCTTTTTGATTCCCGATTGCCGCCGCCGGAGGGATGCTTTCTGTTTTCAAGTTGTATAAGTTAGAGGTTACCTCCAACGCTGAGCTGGTCGGATTCAGCGGCCAACCATCGTCGGACTTTGCTCCGAGGGCGGCGTTGCTAGTCGAGGATTTGTTTCAGAACCAATTGTTGGATCTTTGACACTCTGCATAGGATGGAACAAAATATGTACAAGCCCAGATCCTTGTCTGGGATGCCTCTATCACAGTATACAGAGCCTCGCCTGGCAACCCATTCTGGACCCCCACGTCATTCAATTTGAAGATTGCCGGATCGGTTTCGCGGCTTGAGAGCCAATGCCAAGCTTCAAGAATCACCGCGAAAGGCGGTCATGTGAGGTGAAAAGAGGCAACTTTATAAGAAATGCCGCAAGAAAAAGACAAAACTGAAATATAAATCTGGTCCTCGTCACCGGAGACTTGCTCGTCTCTGCTCTTCTCCTATCGTTCCCCGGATACGGGATGGAAGTCGTGGGGTAGGGCTGCTGGCGCGGGTACGCGGGGGTTTTGTTGCCTGGTAGTTCACCTGCTGACTGAAATGGGGATATTCAGCCCTGTCTCTTCAACAGCTTCCGATCTCGCACACCCGACGAGAGTTTTTGTCTCCCGTCTTGATGAAACTATGTTGACTCATTCTCAGACTCCAAGCCTCTCGCTTGAGAATATCGCAGCAAAGGAATGTGGAAGACGTTCAAGCTGAAACCTGACTTTGCAAGCCTTCGTCATAGTGGACCCAAACCGTTGGTGCTGAGTGCCGAGTTCCATCGCAGCGTCATGATCCACATCCGACTGACACGACAAACCCACTTTAAAGAGCGACGAAAGCTCGGTGACGACAATGGGGATATGGAGCGGCTTAGAGAGATCGATTAAAGATGGTTGTTGTACCTATCTACACAACAGGCAAATGGACAGTAACCTCTAGTTATGTTCTGTATTGCGAAACCTTTCAGCTTGGTTTTGTCTGATGTTAAAGCCGTATTCGTGTACGGGGGCACAAGTGGAAGAAGAGACCAATGGAGTCAGGGAATTGGAGATCTGCACCGCATGCACCTGCCCACCATCACCAGAATATCATCGTGGGTTTGCCACGGGAACTCCACCGAAGTCCAGCTTCCAAACAAGCCCTCTTCTTTTTTACATCTTGGGCTGTCAACACCGCCTTCTCTCCTTGCTAATAACAACCTGAGAACTTCGAGTCATCCGACCAGTTGATGACTACATTGCTCGCCGCGGACAGCATCTTGCCAACCGTTCAACGTCAACGTTTAAGCCGTGACACCATCCCATCTCCGTTCCCGTCACTCACTACAACAGCCAGAACTGCGATCGGCATTCCACTCAGATCCCAAAAATCGCATTGCACTCCAACGGCAGAAAGCACAGCGCTGCTTCGCCCCCATTTTCTGCTTCCAGGTTAGCGGTGCTTTTTTTTCGGGTCCGCGTGATCGAATCCCAATCTCGGTCGATCCCCTGGTCCTTCCCGCCGCGGCACCTCGCGGACCCTGTCCTCCTCCAAGATCGGTCGTGCTACACCGTACGTGAAACCGCAATATCGCCCAGCCCACGCTGCAAGCTCGTCTGCGATTCTGTCCGCTTTCCCTCCTTCTGGACCGACAGACGACAAGACACGATAGCGCAAAGCCCCTAGTAGATTTCCAAGCCGCTGACCACTCGAGCAGAAGCAGGTCTCTGAGCTCTTTTCGGGCTTCGCTTGCTTCCGGGGCTGACTCTTTTCGTCGCGCCGACTTGCACTATGCCCATCCGCCCGGAAACCGAAATGGAAGGTCCGGCGCCCCCGGGCGTCAGCTTGCCGACGAAGCGTGGCTCGTCCGATGAGCTTAATGTCTACGACGACGCGAGGACCTACTACACTGCCGAGGAGCGCCACAGGCTTCACCGCGCCGGTCCCCGGACTCGCACTTATTCACAGGTGGGCGCCCAAACTAAAGAGGTTCCAAGGGTTCTCGGACAACTGGCTGACTAGGCTCGCGCGACAGAACAGCTTGGTGAGGCAATTGGACCGGTTGGGTCTACATGAGCCGTACAGGCGGGGGAGCCATGGTATGAACCACTCCCAAACTTATCTCTAAATTTTAGCGCTGATATTATCCTCCAGACGAGTCTACGATCCCCCATAATCGCCGCTTTCTGATCCAGGTTGAGCCGACGCTCCACAGTCTTCAGATGCAGGAGGACACTGATAGGAACATGCAAATCACAATCGAGGACGCTGGGCCAAAGGTGAGTAGAAGGAAGAGACTGGGTTATCTGAGCTGAGATAAACGAGATGACCAACCATGCCCTAGGTTCTGAGCCTCCGCACGGCGGCATCCAATGGCCACAACCGCTTCGACATCCGCGGCACCTATATGCTTTCTAACCTTCTCCAGGAGCTCTCCCTCGCCAAAGAGTACGGTCGTAAGCAGATCATCCTCGACGAGGCGAGACTCAATGAGAACCCCGTCAACCGGTTATCACGCATGATCCGGGACCACTTCTGGGAGGGGTTGACACGGCGCATCGACGCTTCCAGCATTGAGATTGCAGCCCGGGACCCAAAGGACTGGACAGATGACCCTCGCCCGCGCATCTACGTCCCGAGAGGTGCGCTCGACCAGTACGAGTACTACAAAAAGCTGGCCGAGGAGAGACCCGAGATTCGCCTGGACGTGCAGCTCCTCCCGGAGAAGATTACACCCGAACTGGTCCGGGATATGAACGTCAAACCCGGTCTGTTGGCCGTGGACATGGAGGAGGTGACGGACCCCAAGACAGGAAAGAAGTCGCTGAGAGGCCGGCCGTTTGTCGTCCCAGGGGGCAGGTTCAACGAGCTGTATGGGTGGGACAGCTACATGGAGTCGCTCGGGTTGCTGGTCCACGACAAGGTCGACCTCGCCAAGTCGATGGTGCTCAACTTCTGCTTCTGCATCAAGCACTATGGCAAGATACTCAACGCGACACGGTCCTACTACCTCCTTCGGTCACAGCCCCCCTTCCTGACGGACATGGCACTCCGCGTCTACGACAAGATCAAGCACGAGCCGGGCGCGGTCGACTTCTTGCGCACCGCCATCCTCGCTGCCATCAAGGAGTACCACAGCGTGTGGGTGGCCGAGCCCCGACTAGATCCCGTCACGGGTCTATCGCGGTACCGGCCCCAGGGCCTCGGCGTTCCCCCCGAGACGGAAGCCGGCCACTTCGTCCACATCCTCGAGCCGTACGTCAAAAAGCACGGCGTCACCTTTGACGAGTTTGTCGACGCGTACAACAACGGGCGGATCAAGGAGCCCGAGCTGGACGAGTACTTTATGCACGACCGGGCGGTGCGCGAGTCGGGCCACGACACAACGTACCGGTTCGAAGGGGTGTGCGCCAACCTGGCGACCATCGACCTCAACGCGCTGCTCTTCAAATATGAGACGGACATTGCGCGCACAATCCGCAACGTGTTTGGCGACAAGCTCGTCGTCCCCGCCGAGTACTGCGTCGGCCCCAACATGCCCGCGGCCAACCACGTCGAGACGTCGGCCATCTGGGACCGCCGTGCCAAGCGCCGTAAGCTGGCCATCGACAAGTACCTTTGGAACGAAGAGCAAGGCATGTACTTTGACTACGACACGGCCAAGCGCCAGCAGTGCACGTACGAGAGCGCCACCACCTTCTGGGCTCTCTGGGCCGGCTGCGCCAGCCCCAAGCAGGCGGCCGCCATGGTGACCAAGGCGCTGCCCAAACTCGAGGCGTTTGGCGGCCTGCTGTCGGGCACCAAAGAGAGCCGCGGCGAGATTGGGCTCGAGAGACCCAACCGCCAGTGGGATTACCCCTACGGCTGGGCGCCGCAGCAGATGCTCGCCTGGACGGGCCTGTACCGGTACAGCTTTACCGAGGAGGCCGAGCGGCTGGCGTACAAGTGGCTCTTCATGATCACCAAGGCGTTTGTCGACTTCAATGGGGTGGTGGTGGAGAAGTATGATGTCACGCGGCCGATTGATCCGCACCGGGTCGATGCCGAGTATGGGAACCAGGGGCTGGATTTCAAGGGCGTTGCGAAGGAGGGGTGAGTGTTTTAGGGACTTTGTTTCGTCCTCTCTCTTTTTGCTTGGAAAGAACAAAAGGCTAACGAGGGTTGTGTGTGTGTGTGAAAAAAACAGATTCGGCTGGGTCAATGCCAGCTATGTTTACGGTCTGCAGATTGTCAATGCCCACATGCGTCGCGCGCTAGGCACCCTGACGCCGTACGAGACGTTTGTCAAGGCGCTCGAAGAGAACCGGGCCAAGGCGCTTGCCGAGCTGGTTTGAAGCGTTCTTACGTTTCCTCTTGCGGCTTGCTTGAGATGGGGAAAGGGGGTTAGGGGGTTTTGGGGGAGGGAGGTGGGTAGATTGGGGCCTTTCCAGCATGTCATTTCAAGTCGTGGCCGGGTTGTGGTGTCTCATGGTTGAGAGGGGGTTTATTCATCTTCTGCTGGCGAAGCGGGCAAACATTGATAGCGACATGGAGAAACCCTTTGATTATGTTGAGTAGCCTAGATTGTTGCATATTACCATGATTGGAAGAGGGTGGAGGTTGGTAGCTCAGAGGCTGGGCGCAGAGGCGGATAGGACAGCTGGGTACCTTAGATAGGAAGCATGCCGTAGCAAGGTCAGGGCGGTGCTGATGAGCAGCTTATGCATGGATGCAGTTCATTTTTCATAGACCACTTAACTCAGCTAAGTGGCTGGTGTTTGCTATATAGAAATTAATCGTGTAACATTAGTTATATCTAGGTTTGTCCGTCTATAGTGCAAATTATATGTAATACGAGTTTTGGAAACGTGACGTCCAATATTTTATAAGCCGGAGCTGTTTGCCTCTGGCCAAGTTGCCTTCTAGTGGTGGTTAATCCATACAAATCCTATACGGCCTTATATACCCTAGTCTCAACAGGAGGAGACTGCGATGTCGAATTAAGGTAGATAGCGTTGTACGACGCTCTCACTTTGTCCCATGTTGTTGTATTCAGTTCCCTTTGCGGTGCCTTTGTAGGAGGCTGTCACCCATCCCCTTTGAGCGCCCTGGTATCCGCCAGAACGGCACCCAATCGATAAGCCTGCGAAGCGGAGCGCCACTACATCACTTGCTGCACCGGCCCCGTGCCCCGCAGCATGCCGGCTCGAAAATTTTCCCCGCGTGCACATAAATGGAGGATTCTCGCTGCCCTTCATTCGGCAGTGAAAAAACCACTCGTTAGTTTTAGAAAATGGAAGCACATTCGGGTTGCTTTTGCCACCGCCTTCTGCCCTTGGCCCTCCTGCCACGGCGGTGAATAACGAGGCTCTGGATTTCGCCGTGTCAATAATCCTGCCCGGTCCCTTTCTCACCCCACGTTTGCCACGAGACCAAGCAGTGAACCGTGCCCTTGTCGTCTCGCGTTGAAACCAACCCAGACCGATTTCGGCACTCCGCCCTGTGAATTCTACCTCCGCGAACAGTCCATTGACAAATCGCTTGCAATCGGGGGAGTTTGATTGTGCACCGCATCTCCAACAGCGTCGCTCTTTTCATTCAATTCAAGTGGTGGGTGACGAGCAAACATGTGCGGCATACTCGGCCTCATCCTCGCCGATTCGACGAGCGCCGACGCCGCCGTCGATCTGCACGAGAGTCTCTACTACCTGCAGCACCGCGGCCAGGATGCCTGTGGCATTGCGACGTGTGCCGCCGGTGGCCGGATATTCCAGTGCAAGGGCAATGGCATGGCCTCCAAGGTGTTTGAGGACGGCAAGCGTGTCGCAGACCTGCCGGGCTACATGGGCATTGCCCACCTGCGGTATCCGACAGCCGGGACCAGCTCGGTGTGTGCTGTTCTTGTCTTGACTTACGACATCTTGGCTGACTGACTCCTGTGACGTCTTCAGAGCGCCGAGAGCCAGCCGTTCTACGTCAACTCCCCCTACGGCATCTGCTTCGCGCATAACGGCAACCTGATCAACGCCCCCGAGCTGCGGGACTTCCTCGACAAGGAGGCCCACCGCCATGTCAACACCGATTCGGACAGCGAGCTGATGCTCAATGTCTTCGCCAACGCTCTCAACGAGACGGGTAAGGCCCGCGTCAACGTCGAGGACATCTTCACTGCACTGGCCCAGACATACCAGCGCTGCCAGGGCGCGTGGGCCGCTACCGCCATGGTTGCTGGCTACGGCATCCTTGCCTTCCGCGACTCGTACGGCATCCGCCCGCTCATCATGGGCAGCCGGCCGTCGACCACGATCGAGGGCGGCACGGATTACATGCTGGCCTCGGAGAGTATTGCCCTCCGCCAGCTGGGCTTCCGTGACTTCCAAGACATCCTGCCCGGCCAGGCCGTCTTCATTCAAAAGGGCGGCCAGCCGCAGTTTCACCAGGTCACCGAGGCCGAGGCGTACTCGCCCGACATCTTCGAGTACGTCTACTTTGCCCGCCCCGACACCATCATGGACGGCATCTCGGTCAACAGCAGCCGCCAGAACATGGGCGCCAAACTTGCCGACAAGCTGCGCGAGGTGCTGGGGGAGGACGGCGTCCGGGAGATCGACGTCATCATCCCCGTCCCCGAGACGAGCAACACGGCGGCCGCCGTCGTGTCGGAGCGCCTCGGAAAGCCCTTCTCCAACGGCTTCATCAAGAACCGCTACGTGTACCGGACCTTCATCCTGCCCGGCCAGAAGGCGCGCCAGAAGAGCGTGCGGCGCAAGCTGAGCGCCATGGAGTCGGAATTCCAGGGCCGCGTCGTGTGCCTAGTGGACGATTCGATCGTGCGCGGCACCACCAGCAGGGAGATTGTCAGCATGGCGCGCGAGGCCGGCGCCCGAAAGGTCATCTTTGCGAGCTGCGCGCCGCCCATCAAGCATCCCCATATCGTGAGTCCACTGCCCTCTCGCAATCTGTTCTGGGCCCCTAACTAATGCGTGTTGCAGTACGGCATTGACCTTGCCACCCCGCAAGAGCTCATCGCGCACGAGAAGACGCGGCAGGACATTGCGCGGCACATTAACGCCGACGACGTCATCTACCAGGACCTGGACGACCTCAAAGCCGCCTGCATGGAGGTGCAGGGCCCCGGCGGCAAGGTTACGGATTTTGAGGTCGGCGTCTTTTGCGGCAAGTACCAGACCGAGGTGCCCGCTGGCTACTTTGAGCACCTCAACGAACTGCGCGGCAAGAAGCGCAAGATCGCCGAGGCCGCGGCTTCATCGGCGGGCGACGGCGCGAACCCGAGCAATGCTGTGGTTGGCAACAGCGGTCCCGTTAACGTGGCCAAGCGCACGCTTGTCGATGCCGATGGCGGTGATCGTGCGGTCGTCGGCGGCCTTGCGGAGCGGAGGACGGCGAACGGAGAGGAGGAGGTGGATAAGAATGCCGGGATGGCGAATCCTGATAATAGACAGGATATTAGGTGTGTTCTTTTTTTTCAGTCTTTCTCTTTTTCTGCAACTTTTTATCTGGCCGTGGTAGCTAACATTCCACTACTAGCCTTCACAACTTGGCGAACGAGCCAGCCCCTCAATAGGAGGATAACTGTTGGGATTGTCGAAATCGTTGCGGATTGTGGGACAGGGGATGAGGCTTAGAGTGGTTACAGCCAAACTAGAACGGGTAGATGCCGGTATCTGGGGGGGTATTCTATTTTGTGTTCAAACGACCCCGTCGTGTCACATAAGGGAGCTGTTGGGGTTGAGATCTGGGGACTCTTGGGGCGCATGATTTTGATTCATCTTGCATCGGCAGCGTAGATGTGGGTAGGAGTACAAACGGATGTAGTGAATGTGCAATTGTGATGATAGGGAAATGAACTGTAGTGTTTGTAGGGTTTGACTTGTCACTTGAATCCCTAGGTGTCAGGTCTAACATACGTTGCACAATGTTGCCCAGTATTATCTTGAGCAAAGATATATGGGTTGGAAAGAGTCAGAGTGTGAAGGAGAAATGGCGAGTGCAACAAGAACACAAGAGAAAAGAATAGATCGAAAAGGGGCTACCACGGGAAATAATTAGAGGCGGAAAAAACAGGGACAAGAAAGATGTGAAGAGTGAGCCTATTCCTCATAGTTGAACCCCCCTTATGATTAACAAAAGAGCAGCATATGGGAATCAAGACAGTGGGGAAAACAAGGGGTGAATAGATGAAGCAAGGTAGGATAAAGTGCAAAAGAGAAGGCATCGCTGCCGGGGATTGAGCCCGACGTGGGGGTCGAACCCACAACCTTGAGATGAACCCAGAATTAAGAGTCTCACGCTCTACCGATTGAGCTAGCCGGGCAGGCTAGATGGTGCTTTTGTTGAAACTTGAAATGCAATTATTATATATAACAAAAAAATGTAATGCACAAATTGAGGAAAGGCGCAAGCGGTGTTAGTGGTGCACAAAGAAGTGAGCTGCTAAATGCCGCTTCTTGTAGGAGATAACAATTGGAGATGATGGACGGGTTTCGCTAGCTTAGAATGGCTCCGTTGTCGCTACATGTTCCGTCTCTGTCATAGCACCTTAACTTGAATCCGTCATTGTCCACCTCTCTTGCCGTACCTACTAATAACCGCCAAGAACGCAAAGGGTTAAAGGTTGATTCCTAGTGTAAATTTAACGGCCGTAGTGCGACCAAGATTGACGGTAACCAAATCGGTTCTGCCATCCTCACCACATACTCTTGAACAATGTCTTGCTCCCCCTTACAATACAAACACCTTCAAAATAACCCGGTGGCTCTACATCCATCTCCCATCCTACATCACCAGCCCAACGCCACAATCCCTATCGCTTCCCGCCTTGACCTAACCCAAGTGTCATCATCATTAAGGCCTACTACTCAAGTCCCATCAGAAGAGAGCACAAGAAAATCTGTGCCGTTACTAAAAACCGTTTATCGTATCATCACCAATCCACTCATTCCATTCATTACACCCATACAGAGGAAGACTCACCCGAACGACGTCTATCAGCTACTAATTACTAGATTTGAACTGACTCACTCACTCTGATCAACTCCCTAACCACACCACCCAGCAGCACCTGCATCCATCCCCCTCCAGCCCTCCACATCCCTTCCTTTCTTCTCGGCAAAATCAGCAGCCAAATCATCGATCGAAGGAAAGTGTCGACTCAGATGGAAATTACCCTGTTACCTAGCATTAAGAGAGTTTGTCGAGAGTGCGAGAGAGCTAGACAGAGAGAGGGCGAGAGAATATACCGATCGTACCTAATCCCTACAAACCACAACAGCAAACAAAAGAGAGAAAATGACTGACTAAAAAACGCAGAACTGATTGGCATCTCATCAACCCCAAGCAGGGGCAGTATAACGGGCGCGGTACCGCCAGGTCCCTCATATTCGTATCCGTCCTGTTATCCCATCCCGCCACCCCATATCATGCCACGGCGTGATCCGCCTGAGCCATACTCGGCTTTCTCCCGTATGCCCCTTGCCAAGCCCAATTCAGCACGAACTCGATGCTCCCTCCTGCACTCCTGCCCCGTGCTCCCCCACATATAATCCACGTTCCATGCCCAAGGCTAAAGTCAAAGTCAAAAGCCAACGCGAGACAGAGTCAAGTCCATAAACTCCCCTTTCCCAAAAAGTCCAGTCCAGCTCCTGCCGTCCAGTCGCCAGAGCATCGTCAGGTAGCAAGTCAAATGTACAACAGAATCCGGCGAGCAAGAGATGAGTCAAATCAAAGACAAACGAAAGAGCCGCCGTGGCCGTTGTTCCGCATTTCCATCTGGTCGTGGCATCCCATAAGCCGTCAGATCGGGGTCAATCTCGGTCCTCAACCAAAGGTGGGAGCAGTGTAGATCAGGGTACCCAAGACCATGGCTCCGGCCGTGACGCCGCCAAGCGCTGCATACCCGAGACGTTCTGCAACACGCATCATGCGGGCCCTCTTGAGCGGCCTCCCGGGTGCGCGGGACGATGCAATGGATACGGCGACCTGGCTGGCGGGCTCTGAGGGCTCATAGGGGACTTTCACGGGCTCTGGCTGAGGCTCAGCATGCTGCTCCGAGGACTCAGGCTGCTGCTCCTGCTGCTGCTGTCTCTCCGAGGGAAGCAAGGGAGCCGGCGTGGGTGCTTTGGTGGCCTTGGCAGCCCACGCCTCCTGTTCCTGAGTGGTCTCCGAGATCTCCTCCGCCTTCCGCTTCAGCTTCCCCTCACTAGGGGATGGCTGGTTGGGATCAACAATGTCGGGTATGGCCACGCGGGTGCGACCGAAACAGCCATCCGGTTCTCCGTTCGAAATTGTGGCCGAGTTAGCAATTGCAGGAGAAGAGACACCTCCCGCTGACTCTTCGTATGTCGCTGAGGAACGGGACGAGGCCTCTGCTGGACCAAACCTGTACGAGCTTGGCTCGCCACCAGACTCATCCGGATTGCACAGTGCATGCACCGACGATGTAGGACGTGCGACTGCGGCTTTGTGCGTAACCATGGCAATCTTGTTGTGCTCTCTGGCGAGGAAAAAGTCGGGTTTGCCAGCGATGACGCCCAAAACCTCGGCGCGCGAGACCATTGCATCGAAGTTAGCTGACGGTCCTGTCTCTGCCTGGCCTGGCTCCTGACGGCCTGCGGGAACCGGTGGTAGCGGCATTTCAGCATTCAGCAACCCATGAATGCTCAAGCCGACAGTCCTAGGCACACTATCGCTCTGGCGGGCGTGGAGAGGGGCTTCGATTGGGCGAGACAACGAGTCTACCAGCGGCATGATCTCGGGATAATCGAATTCCTCAAGCGGCAGGTCCTCCCAGTGGCTATGATTGTGGTCTAAGAGGGTTAGCAATTGTTACAGCCAAACAACACAAAACGAAGCTCACCATTGGGCGAGTAATCCCTATCTGAGGGATAGTCATCGTCGGACTCGGTCTCATCCATACCGTCGTCGAACTTGTCCTCAGGGTCGTCGTCGTCGACAATCTCGCTATCCGATTCCTCCTCCTCCGGGTAGTCGACTTCGCTCTCCTCGTTGCTGTACTCACTGGGAGTGTTTGTGACAATCTCGTCGTCCTCAAAATCATCATCTTCCTCGGAGTCGTACCAATGTCTATGCTCGGCCTCCAGGATACGATTGACGCCGAGAATCTCATCGAGGTGCGGCAGGTCACCATTGCAGTCCCAATTCTCGTGCCTCACGGACTCCTGACGTGCATGGCTCATTGAATCGTCGTTGGCGGCAAGCTCCATCCTGTCATCCTCGGTTTCGACGGGTCTCAAGCCTACGTCGTCATCAATTCGGATAGGTGAACCGCATGGACTGGAGAGGTCAACCACCTCACGGTGGACTTGGCGGTCAGCGTATCCGTCTGTTAAGTCAATGACCTCCGTTGCGGTTCTAGTAGCGCCTTTCTGCGCCACTGGGGTATGTCCATCGAGCAGCCGGTTCTGATCGTCATCGGATGCCCCATCGTCATCCGAGTCGTCCGGGACCTGGAAGGTACCAGTTCCGGAGGTACCAGCACCGGTCTTGTTGTTGCTGATGCAAGATACGTTAGAAGCTGCATGAATAAAACAGTCAAGGGATCTCACCGGTCGCAGATTACTATGGCAACTTTGGCCGTAGTCGGCAGAAACTCCTCCTTTCCACGTGAGATGGGAGCTCCAAACCTCAGAGTATCTCCGTCATTCACTTCACGCCCTTGATCGGCGGGAATCCGCTCCTCATTTAGGAAAGTTCCATGGAGAGAGCCCAGATCTTTGATCTCGATCTTGTTTATATCCATTCTAGCGGTAAATTGGGCATGGAGCCTCGACATAACTGGGTTGTCGACCCAAACGTTGTCGGCGCCAGCAATGAAGCCCTTTGTAGAGACCTTGGATGACCGTCCGACGGAAACGACGTTTCTGGTTTCGGTGAAGATGATACGTCGTTCGGGGAATGGGTCGACGGTACCAGAGTATTGAGATATGTAGAGCCTGAGTTCAGCTAGAGAAGAAGGACGGGTCAGTCAGTACTCGGAAACATACGGGTCGATGAATAATAGCACGAAATGAGAAGGAAACGAACCAGACTTCGTGTGATCGGAGGAGGCGGTCATTTTGCTCTACTGCTTGTAGCCCGACGTCACTGCGGGCTGTGCTTGGATAAATGTCACAGGTCCTAAGCAACTCTGAACACTGCCGCTCGGCTGCACATGGGCCTTTTTGTCAGAAGCAGCTCAGACAACTGCGGCGATGTCAAAACGAGGCCTTGTCACCGAAGTCGCAGCCGGTGGTCGGAGGGCCACAGACATGCAAGTGTTAAGGGTATCCGACTTGCTCAAGGGTCCTGAAGTTAGGCTTCAAGGATCGGCGATACCGCGCGCCTCGTGGGTGGAAACCTGATGATTTGAGGTAGTCGGGTTCCGAGATCGAATCAAAACGACAATTCGATAAACCTCGAAAGAAAAGCAGCGAGGCAGTGATGGCGATTGCACCGAAAGTGTGGTTGAAGTGGTGAACGCTGTTTCGGAAGGTGGGGTGTTCCAGGCAGACCACTTCACTCTGGTAGTCACCACCGGCACCCGACTGGTAGTTTGAACCCTGGCACTCAGCTGGCAATGGAAGTCGCGACCTGGGAAAGCCGAGTTGCCTTATCGTGCCTCTCTCGAAATGGGATGCTGCAGTTATCACAAACTAGAACTGCAAGTAACTGCTGTCTTTCAGATGTCCTCGCGGGGTGATAACAGCTCGGTTGTTCAGCGCAGTGATTCAGTTCTTATCATGGAGCAGACTTCCGAGGTGTGGTCATGGGACTCGAGCTACGAAGTAGGCGCCAGATGCGGGGCTGGCAGGACTGCTCAGCATTCTCCCGATGCCCGGCCTTTGTCAGGTGTCAAGCTGCCCTGGTATCGAGCTCTTGTGCTTTCAGGTCGAGTAGGACCTCGGTACGCTATCTGAAGAACCCTTGCTTGAGCTCGAATACGTGATACATCGCCATATCCAGATTGCTGGCAGCACACAGCCATAGCTCTCTGCACAATCTTAGGTTCCATGTTGCTGTATATCTTACCTGGTTTTTTTCGTCTGGTGTTGGGGACTGTTGAGGTCGATGCTCCAAGTTGAGCATTCCATTCCCTCGAAGTCTCCACCGCCCAGATGCCCCACTCTGATATGCAACCACTTAAATGTTATTCACGGAGTGAGCAAAAATGCTCTTCGATCTCGTTGTCCTCATATCCTCATGAAGCATTGAGCTTTTTGAGATGCTTATAAAACCAAAAGCTTCAGTATAGTTTATTACTCTCCCAATTTCTTCTTTTTTTGATGTCATTTCTCCATCTTATTGGTCTTGTTCGTTGACTTTGCTCTTCCATTTCAAACCTAGATTGAACCCCGCCATACGAAGCGCTGACAAGGGACGCCGGTGTGGACCCGACCCCGCCAACCTCAGACAGACAGCTGCGCCTACCTGATCTTTCGCGATAACCTCAAAAGACAATGTTACCGAGGGCGTCAGAGTGGGAACATATTACAACGGAAAGAGAAATTCCAAACGACAAGAAAAAGAGAGATTTCAAGTCGGCATGAAGTGGCCAGGCTTTTAGGCCAGCCCTCCACATTGAAACCCAAGGTGTGCGTGGCCTGGGAATTGGTCTGTGGCGCGTCTTCATGCGTCATTGCTGCTTTGTGACCCACAGGACCAGCCCCACACACACTTTCGAGTTATATGCAGGCGCTCTCATTTTCCACTCGAATATACTCACACTTTCAATATTCGCGTTCAATGCAGCCTCGGAGAACTCTCTGTATGTAACTCGTGACTTACTGACTGCAGGACGCGATACCCAATCGACCAGCGGCCTATAATCCGCAACACCCCATGGATTCTCTGCCCAATCTTGATTTCCTACTTCAAGAAGTACCAGAATATACTGATTCCGCGACACGTATTACCGACGTCCTTGGCTACTCGAATACGCTGTCAAATACATCTTGCGACGCACGCTCGGCACATCAGAATACATCACAGCTCTCTACTACCCAGGACACCTGACACAACGTCGTGGCGGAAGCTCGCGATTCGGATAGAGCGCGAGCGAACGTCTAGTCAACGAGCACACGCACACCTACGGATATGTCTGATCTTAGGAGAAGAGCACTCGGCGGAGCCAAGACAGTGTCCCGCAGGGCACGCGCGAAGGCGGAATCAGGCCTTTCTTCTTCGAACCACTCTCCAAACGGATCTCCAGGCAACTCGCGACCCGGCTCACGGCCTAGCTCGCACCCCGGCAGCCGCTACGCGTCCGAGGACGAGTACGCAAGCGCATCTGACAATGACGACATTACGACCATCGACACCGGCTCGGTTTCTGGAGACGAGGACAACACAGATTACACGTGGGCTGAGCGGCTGCAGGACCGCGTGACGGAGCTGCAAGATCGCAAGCGGAGCAGCGTCCAGGGGCGCGAAGCTACACTGGGAGGATACAATCACATTTTGAAGCACCATGTCGCCCTACGGCAGCTCGATCGATCCGTTGCCGACATCATGCCCATCCTACTCAAGGACAGTAAGAACGGAAGCAGCGAGGAAGAGCGATTACGGGCGATCAAGGCCTTCACCTTGACGCTTATCACATGTCCCTCGGACACCATTTTCGACCAAGCCCTGCCGATACTGAAGTCTGCCTGCCACGACGCGGAGGCAGATGCAGAAGCAATTAAAGTGGAGACGATTCGCGCGCTTTGCTTTGCCGTGACATACGGAGGCGGTTCAAGCAACGCGGCAGAGGAAGTCCTCGACTTTCTGCTTGAGATCGTCGAAAGCGACGGCCACTCAGTCAACGCACCCGACAGCGGCGCGGTAGTCACGGCCGCGCTGCAGGCCTGGGCGTTCGTGGCGAGTCACATGGACGATCTGACGGTCCAGTTTGAGGCCGCCATCGAAGCCTTCATGGAGCAGCTCGACAGCTCGGACCCGGACGTGCAGACCAGCGCCGGCGTCAACATTGCGCTCCTTTTCGAGTCTGCCCGCGACTACGAAGCGGACACGGGCGAAAGCTTCGATCAGCAGTACAACCAGCACCGAATCATGACGCGGATGGGCGAGATTGTCCGGGATTCGTCCAAGACAGTATCGAAGAAGGAGCGGAGGAATCTCCGGTCCAACTTTTCCAGCATCGTCACCTCGCTCGAGCGGGGCAAGGGGCCGGGATACTCGACGGCCGGCCGCTCGGGCCCCAACCCGCACACGGGCGGGTCGACGACGGACGAGGGCGAGTTCCGAGAGTTTGGGTACCGTGAACGGATCCGCGTGTACAACCAGTTTCTGCTCATCGACACCTGGTCGCTCCATGCCAGGGTCGAGGTGCTCAAAAGCTTGCTTGGCGCCGGGTTTGCAATCCACTACCTGGAGAACCCGGTTGTGAGGGACATTCTCAGAGGCGCTGATGTTGAGTATGTCACGAACAAGAAGACGAAGAAATGAGGGTCGGGGGCATATTCGGTGGATTTGGTCTGATATTCGGATTTGCATCAAGTCATGGGTGGTATCGATACTCGGTCCACTGGGTTCTGTTAGGGCGTTTGGTCAGGACATGGTTACGGTTTCTTGGACGCTGTCCGCAGGGGTAGGTTCTCCACAGTATGGGGCTGGAGTAGCGATAGGATCTTGGGATACAGAGATACAACATAACAACTTTGATATTTACTTTTGCTTGCCATGATCCGCGTCAACGGCGACACCACTGTCCGTACAGAGGGAATCGATTTCGCCGTCTCCGAAACGTGGGCAGGCTCCCCACGGAGACGGCTGTTCCACGATCCCCGCCACAGCGGGACGACCCGCATCAGAGCTTGAAGTCCCTTGTCGCTGGCCAGTACTTTGTACGATACAGCAGCTCACACCCAGATTAAACCACCTTCTCAGCAAATAGAGCATCAACTTAGTATTACTATCTGTAGACGACGCTTCCCCCGACCCTAGTTGACAAACCGAAAACTTGCCTCTCAAGAACGAATATATTTATGTTCCATCTTTTTTTGTTTGACTGCCTGGAAAGTGGAAACCATGAACTTGCTCCGTGGCGGGGAGATGGTTGGGTTCGCCCTTGGCACCCTCATTCCCTGTTCGTCTCGTCCAGACCTTACGACCCTGGCCAGGGCAACTTTTTGGTCTTGGCGGGAGACGGAAAGCTGAATGTCAACAAACCGCCAGCCCAGCCTCCCCGTTTGCCAAAATCCCGCCAGCGACGTGCTCGTCTGATTTTCAAGCTTCGGAGGTGTTCTGCGACTCGGTTTCTCACGGTGCCCAACGCACTCCCGCCGCTCCGCTCTATTACTTACCCACAGTACCGAGCATCGGCACTGGCCCTGTGTTTCGAGTTTCACAGCCTGTGAGCCTCGTCTGGCCCTGTCTTCCATTTGCTCTGCGCCGCCGTTTCCCAAGCTGTACGTTGCTGCATCAGAGAACCCAGACTCCAAGCGCAATTGGCCGGCCCCCATCAAGCACCGCCAGCACATCGAGCACGCTGGGCCACTCCTGAACCATAACAAAGCCTCCCATAGGTCCTGGACTCGTGGCCCCGGATCGGCCACGGAAATCCTGAGCAAGTCGGAGGCCCAAGTTCGCTGCAGAGAAGCCACAGAACCAAAGGCTCTCTGCCTGTGCGCGCACTTTTGCACAATCCGCCACTTGGGCGATCTCTTCTGCATCAATCATCCACCACTCCTCGGCCCACGTCTCGGTCGCCGCCCACAAGTCGGCTGCCCCGTCTAGCTCGCAGAAAAGCCACCTAATAAAGTTACTCCGTACCTCTTATCCGCCGACGCTGCGATTGGGCTGCCGTCGCTGTCACTCTGTGGCCTGCCCCGCTGTTACCGGCGCAGCTTGGTTGCTTGGTTGCCGCTTCGACAACAACGCCCCGGCTCCCGTCTTGCGCCGCCTCCCGCTTTTTGCTACAGGGCCACCCCGATTGCCCATTTTTTTTCCCCCTCTTGCGCCTGTTTGACTTGTACGTACCATCACCATCGCTCGTCCGTTCTCCCAGTGCACCCTCTCGGGCTCACAAGTTTCTGGTCTCCTACCAGGCTGGCTGGTTGTATCACATCCTACCCTACTCCTCAAGGTCCGCCTATGGAACGACTCCCTGCGCTCAACCTCACACACCGACTACATATCTTCCCGCACCTGATGCGATCCTGAGGACAGGCAAGCCAGTCAACTGCCTGCGCCAGATACCTTGCAATTGGGCCTTTATTCTCTCTGTATTGTCACTGGCGCTCCTTTTTTCAATACCACTTACTTCTGAACGCTCAGAGACGGACCCAAGGAAGGGATTAATTGGACAACGGAAACGAGAGGCCGTCGGTACCTAACCGTTTAACATCTGCTCGCCGTCTCTTAGCACATTTCAATCATGGTCGTCGAGAGCAAAAGGCGAGCTGCTCCGCCGCTGCCTGCGCCCACCGAAACTAATTCGACCGTTCTTACCGCCGCTCCAAGCGATGTTGGGACCGATGTGTCGAAACTTGGTGACGAACAATCCTCATACTCGCTCCCAGATGACGGCACTCCCGTAACCATCAGGGCAGGGCATCGGGCCAGCAAGTCGCAAACATCGCTGCTCATTGAATACTTTGAAGGCGGCAAGGCGGCTGGTGCATCCGGTGCTGACGAGCAGCGGAAACCGAGCGTCCGCGTCCGCCTAACACCCAGCAGCAAACACCGGTCAAAGGGCGGATCAGACCGGGACCGCATCAAAATCACGCAGACCAAGTCGAGGAAGTCGAGCCCCACTCGCCGTGCTGCTACCACCAGTGAAGGCGTGTCAGCGCTTAGCGGCGACATTGAGGACGCCAGCTCGTACGCCTCGGCCACGGAGGAGAGCACGGTCAGCCGGAACCCCATTGAAATCGAGATCGACCGCGCTGGCAATGCTCGCCGTCGTCGTCCAGCGAGTCCCTTGATCCCGACGGCTGACAGCAAGGCCAGCTACCATGCGTCAAACATGAGTGAGATTTCGCAGATTCCCCCCGACAGCTTCCTCGATGGATCGGGACACACGTCATTCGGAATGTCCGAGGTCAAGAGCAGCAGGAGCAGGAGTCCGTCTCGCACGGGCGATTACCTCCTTGGCGCTGCGGCTGGGTTGGGCGCCGCAGCCGCTGCAGACAAGCTCCGCAGCAAGAGCCGCGACGATCGGGAGCGGGAGAGGATGTTGGTATCCAAGAACCGAGACAAGGAGAAGGACCGCAAGCATAGGCCAAGCAAAAGCCGGACTAGCAGCCTGACCAAGGAAGATAAGTATGCACAGCGCTCTAGTTCGCCTCGTAGACGATCCAAGGGGCAAGGCGAGCCTCTCGTTTCGGGGGCAGACTCTAGCGTCGTCTCCTCTGCCTTCGCCCCGAGCCATCGGTCAGCGGATCAACACTCCATCCGGTCAAGCGCTTCCAAGGCATCGTCAATCAACAATCCTAAACTGCTCGAGACAGTCGAGGATGCCATTCGCCGTCTCATCCTCCCCGAACTCAACGCTCTGAAGAGGGAGCAGAGCAAGCACAAGAGCCGCCGTGATTCCGTCACGTCCAGCACGACTACAGCCTCGAGAGACGAATACGCTAGCGACAGGCGACGGTCCGGCGCCACCGACAAGAGCCATGTCAACCCGCGGGACAGCATGCGGAGCAAAGAGAGCCGGGACCGGGAAGCCCGCAACGACTTCGATGACAGTAGCGCTCTCAGCACTGAGTCGATGGAGGACGACCGCCATGCTCTTGACGACACGCCCATGCGCAGCACCGACCGTCTGAAAGCTGCTGCGGCCGCTGGCGCTGCGATTGGCGCGGCCGCTGTTGCTGCCCATGAAATCCTCGATTCGCCCTCAGACGGGAAGCAGCGCTCCCGGAGGCGGCGCAGGGCTGAGATGCGGAGTCGCGGGTCTGACCATGCGCTCGAGGACGAAGAGTCGGAACTGTCTGCGCCGGTTCCCCCGATGCCGCTGATGAGCGACGTGAACGCCTCGGACGTGACCAGGGCATCCATCTTGACTGCCGAGACAGACCGGCCTCAATCCGCCAGCGAAGAGCTCACACCCGGCCGTGAAGTTTCTCATAACCAGTTCTCTCGCTCCTCCACCCCCACGCCAACCAGGAACTCGGCCAATCTACAAGCTCTGGGGGCCCAGCATGCTAATGTCTCTCACGGAGACTTGAAGGCCCTGCCCAACCAACGAACCGGGAAGTGGGACGAATACATCATTGACGACAACGGCAAGAAAGTGCCATCGCGTCTATCCAAGAAGTACCAAGAGGAGGAGGAGGAGGACGAAGAGTATGACGATTCCGAACGCGGCCCAGCATATGCTCCTGATAGCCCGTTCGACTACTACAGCACCCAGGACGTCCCGCCTCCGTTGAAGTACGTCCCATACCAACCCGAGCGGCGGGGCCTGAGTCCGATCCCCAGCGTTTCGGGTTACACGGAGGCGAGTGAGGCAAACCACGAATCGCGGGCGGTTCATCGTGCTGCCGACTCTATTTCGTCGGCCGGAAGATCCCCTCGGCAAGATGGGTCAATACACTCCAGGCCGAGTCGGGAGGTTATGGATGACAATCGAAGCGCGAGAAGCTCAGCCATTGACCAAGTTAACACCATGAGCCCGGTGGGTAGCGAACTGGAGCGAGTCACTTCTGGCCAGGCCGTTCGCGCCGTGGGCCTGAATCCCGACTTTGTCCACCCGGTCGGCATTGAGTCGAACGTGGCATCTCTGGTTGACGGGTCGATGCTTGACGGTTCTGTCCTCACTACCTCCTCCAGCACCGCGGGGAACCAGATGTACAACGGACGTGAGTCCATGGCTACGCTTGAGGAGGAGCGCTCTCGCGACCCAGGCACTCCATCCAAGCGGTCCCTGCAAAGTCAGCGTGACTACGACCAGGACCGGACACAGACTCCGGCATCCGGGAGCCACAGGTCACGGGAGTTCGTCGAGTATGAGCTCGACGACTACGGCAGGAAGGTGCCTCAGACTGCTTACCGGCAGTCGCCGACCGTCTCGGAGGCGGCCATCACCAGCGCTGCGGTCGGCGCCGCTGCCGCCGTCCTCAGGGCCCAGAATGCCAAAGGCCAGGAGGTCATTCCGGATGACGAGATTGAGTTTCAAGGAGCTGGCGTTCAGCGCAACAAGTCGTTTAAAGAGCGGACCCAGAATGGTCCGCGGCCCGGTATCGACACGGTCAGTGCTGAGAAGCTGGTCTACCACGAGGATCAGCCCAAGTTGGGTTTCAGCAGCATGCCCGACCCGAACGACCCGATGCCAGAGTTTGGCGATTGGCACGACGATGACTTACTGACGAACCCGTCCCTTCTCGATGGCGAGAGAGGTCGCCACGGCGAACAACAGTGGGCTGGGGATGCGACGCCGCGGCAACATCCACAGCACCGGGAGGATGATATCGAGTATCAGCACCTGGACGGGGCTTATTCTTCCCCGGACCTTCCCCAGCAAAGAAGTGGCCATGACCTGAGCATGGCCGGCGCAGCTGCGGGTATGGCGGCGATGCAGAATCACAGCCGTCAGCCCAGCCAGGAACACGACGAATGGTACCGCACGTCCGAGGACAAGAAGCGCGATACGCTCGTCACCAACCCCTACGAGGGCTCCAGCCCTATCGCCAACCTCCCCGGTATTAACAACACTTTGCTCGGAGGCCCAGGCTTTGAGAATCAAGGATTCGGCGACCCCTATGGCACTCGCAGCCCGCTTGGCCACAAGGTGGACGAGGGCTACATCTCGCAGGGACCCAATAAGACGCCTGATCTTCAGCTTGCGAAAGGCAAAGGTATTGATGTCGCTCCGGGCGTGGGCGTGGAGGATCCGTTCTACTCCACGCCCAAGCATGTCCGCCACATGAGTGGCATGTCTCAGGGCATGGGCTCCCCGATGTACGATGCCGCGACCGGGACTGGCATTGAGAGGATCGAATCGAAGGATATTATTGCGTTGATGCAACACGTAAGTGCTTGGACGCTCCTGTCAGCTTTTATCGATTGTAGTGGCTAACATGGCTGCAGTTGATGGTCCGCGACGCCCAGCGCAGCGCACGCGACACGGAGATCCTGGTGACGCTCGTCCGATCCGCGACGGAAATGCGCAACAACTTTGAGGACCTCAAGAGGCTGCTCGCCGACACCGAGGATGTCATCATCACAGAGGTCAAGGAGAATACCGAGAAGACGGTCCAGCGCGCGATCAATGGTCCGCGCCCGTACCCTGGCAGCGCTACCCGCTCAATCCAGGGCGGCTCGCAAGCGGGGACCATCAACGGTGACGACATCAATGCCAAGAAAGGGAGCATCTTTCGTCGCGCTCTGAAGGGGTTGAGCGCGAAGGGGGCGAACGACCTCGGCAGGATCGAGGACATGCTCATGCAATTGCTGAACGAAGTCGACGTTCTCAAGGCGCAAACCGCACCGGCCAACATGCACGGAAGCCAGAGCAACCAGGGCGGGCCCTCGTATGATCACCTTCAGCCAGAGGTGCAGGATGAGCAGGATCATGGTTACGAACCCGAAGGCATGGCTGGCACCTCGACAGCGAGCCATGCGTCACAGTCTGGCTATCTGTCGATTCAGTCTCGCGGAACGTCGGTCAAGCCCGGGTACGACCGCAAGGTCTCGGCGCACAGGATAAGCACCGTGCCCGAGGACAATGAGGAGGAGTACGACCATGGGCGGAGAAACGACGAGCAGCACTTGATGACGCCTGCTGGGCAGGAGCAACGCGCCAGCTCGGTCCCGCTGGCTACCCCCCCCGGCGCGCCCGCGCAAATGCAGAGCAATGAGAACACGCCCCGGACGGAGGAGAGCAAGAAGCACAAGTCCGGGCGGTCGAGCTGGTTCCGCATTCCCAAGATCTCGCGCTGGTCTGAGACAACAGCGTCGAGCGGTGTGCCTGAGTCCCGCCACAGCAAGCAATCGAGCAAGGACGAGAACGCCCAGTTCCCCAACGGCGGGCCGTCCCGCTCGGGGTCTCTGGATCATGTTTACCAGGACAACTACCAGTTCGCTGCCCCGCCGCAAGGTTTCCAGAGCGACAAGCTCCACACCGGCTTCTCCGAGACGGATCTGCCTCACGGCTACCATCACGAGGATCGCGGCGAGCAAATGTATGCAGGGCAGATGTCGCCGTCGCAGGCCACCGACCCTAACTGGGTGAGCATGAACATGACGCCCGAAGATCCCAAGTATAAGGCGCACCGCGACTCGCTCAACCTGGTGCACCCGCAGCCGCGCCAGGGCCAGACGGAGCGTTTCAAGGCGGCGCTCGAGTCGCAGGCGTTGGGGTTCGACTCGCCCACGAGCCCCAGGTCGGCCGACTGGGCTGGCTCCGCTACCAGTCTGAACAGGTTCGGCGGCGGCCAGCAGCACCAGCACACCAACAGCTACGGCTCGGCCGCCGGCGACCATCACCAATACCAGCAACACTGGTCGTCGTCCTCCCCTGCCACTGCTACCATAGCCAACAACAACAATAACAACATGACGGCTGGTACTACCGCTCCTCCTCCGCCGCGGCCGCCAAAGGAGGCCATTGATTACCATCACCATCACCAGCTGCCGTCCAGCCCGAGCCAGAGCCATGGGGTAGGCGCGACGATGACGCCGCCGCAAAACAAGCGGCTCAGCAAACTGCAGAAGCCGCATCATCATCACGGGCACGGCGGCGGAAGCGGAAGCGGAAGTCCGAGCCCGCTGCCGCATCACAGCGTCGAGAGCGGGTATGGCACCATGACGCACGGCGTGCCGACGGCGAGCTATGTCAGTCACCAGGGACATCTCAGTGTTGGTGGAGGTGGTGGGAAGGATGGTGGTGGTGGTGGTGGGGTCGGGAGGAGGCCGAGTGGGCCGAGGCCTATGACGCCTACGGGGAGTAGTAGTATTAAGGGTGGGGAGGATGGGAGGAGGAAGAGAGGTTAGTTTTTTTCCGCTCTCCTCGTCGTTACTTATTTTTCGATTTTTCCTTGTGTTTTTTTTTTTTTTGGAGAAAAGATGGATGGACTTTGAGGCTGACTTTGGTTGTGAAACGTGCAGATACCTTTGGCTCGATGGCCTCGCAGGATACGGAGACTTTTTAGGTCAAGCAAAAGAGAAAGCAAAAGAGAAAAACGCTGCAAAGAAAACAACGAATGGTGATGGGTGTCTGGACGTTGGCGTCAATAGGGAGTGGACACAGTTTCAGTTGATTTTGACTTTGACTTGCCTACCTTACCTATGGAGGAGGACGCAGTACAGGTACAAACAGACCTGGTCTCTTGTGGAAATGTGTCGAGTGTTGTATCTGGGGGGCTTGTACAATGTGAATGGTAGTCCGACGTGGGGATAGATAGGAAACAGCGACTGGGGATGGCGACGGCCGAGCGAACGGGGGGTGGCGGCTACAGAACAGGGAAAGAGAAGGGGAAAAGGGACAGACAGGCTGCCGGCTGGTTACTGGGTTGCCTGGTCCTGCTCTGTTCCGTCTTCCCGTTGCGAGCATAGCTTAGCTTCTTGCGGTTACTTAGTTACGTATTGGGTGGGTGGCGGATTTAATTTCTCGACAGCTTGGGAGAAGGCAAGGAGAGGGAGGTGGTGGTGGCTGGTTGGAATGGGGTTCTAGGGTATGGAAAGAGGTTGGGTTGAAGTTTGGTGTTTTGCTCATATAGACGTTGTCTTGTAACTTTTCGGAGGATTGTGATGTGGGATGATGGGCAGGCATGTTTAGCGAATCTCTGGGTTTGCTTTGAGGTTTGTGGGAGGAGAGTTCAGGAAAGAAGTTCAGCAAAGCTTTTCTGTGTTGGAAAGTTCCATGGGAGTTTGCTTTGCAAAGAAGGAAAAGGCAAAGGGACTAGAAAGAGGTAATGTTGGTTGAGTGCAGGGAAGAGAGAGTGAGTGTCCGTGGTGAGGTCCCGTCGTGGGAATTGGGATGGGGTGGAGGTCGAGATGACTTCCTGTTGCTGTTGGTTACGACGGTTACGACGGTTACGACGGTTACGACGGGTATGACCCATGGAACTTGGCTTGCTTTTTTGAGTCTTGCACACTGTTTGTCTCGCCAAGGTTCCTGTTAATGTTTCTCGTCTGATTTCGTCTGATTTCTAGGCTAGATTTTATTGGCGTTGTTGGCGTGGGGGCTGGGGTTGGCGCGTTGGAGCTGTCTCGAGTGCTAGCCTGTTTGGACTGACCGATGAGCTGAGACTACAAAACCCCTTACGGTGGCCATGATTGCGGGGACAGCGATGACAGCGCTTCTAGAGCTGATACCCTGATGGCTATTCATATTGTAGACCTACCGTTCGGAACGAAACTGTTGTGCAAGGCTGAAGGAGCAGACATTGGATGGCTCTGGTGAAATATTCAATGGATTGGATATTTCGGGTTGATAACTGTATAGTTGTACAATTGGCATGCCTGCACTCTCCCTGTCTTCAATTTCGATTGTTGAAGGTTTTCTTGTCCAGTTGATGCTCCGTCACGCGGGATGTTCCTGCCCAATTCAGCGTCGGTCTCAAGGGCCAGCGCCCCGGCTGAAGCCGCTGTGGGGGCTCGGGGCTGCTGACCGGTGGACCGGGCTGCCACCCCGCTCCGCGATCGGTGGCCGGACTCTAGGGAAAAAACAATCAGCAGTCACGGAGTGAGTATTCCAGTTGGAGTCGCATCTTTAAGTACACATAAACACAACCCAGCAGGCACGAAGCGAATCAGAAGACCGCGTCCACTACACTCTTTCACCAATTGATTGGGAAATCGAGACGAAACATAACAAACATCGACAATTGATGCTGATTACGAGTAAATAAATCAACATGGCGCAAACCGAGTCCTTCATCATCAAAACCCCCTGCTCAAGCGCCAACATCGGACCGGGCTTCGACGTCATCGGCCTGGCGCTGTCCATGTACCTGGAGCTGCACGTCACCATCGACCGGACCAAGACGCAGTCGAGCCAGCCGCTGCACTGCCGCATCACGTACGCGGGCGAAGGCGAGGGCACCGACGAGATCAGCCTCGACCCGGAGGTCAACCTCATCACGCGCGTCGCCCTGTACGTCCTGCGCTGCCACGACCAGCGCAGCTTTCCGCTAGAGACCCACGTGCACATCAAGAACCCCATCCCGCTGGGCCGCGGTCTCGGGTCGTCGGGCGCCGCCGTCGTCGCGGGCGTCATGCTGGGCAAGGAGTGCGGCGGCCTGCACCATCTCACCCCCGAGAGGCTGTTTGATTTTTGTTTGATGATTGGTGAGCCGTCATCACTGAAATTTTCAGATTTTGGATGTATATGTCTGACAGGTGGAACAGAGCGTCATCCGGACAACGTGGGCGCGGCGCTCTTTGGCGGCTTCGTGGGCACCTACCTCAAGCCGCTGGCACCCGAGGACGTGGCCCGCGTGGAGATACCCTTGAGCGAGGTGCTCCCCGCGCCCGCGGGCGGTGTCGACACGGGCGTCAGGCCGCCCGAGCCGCCGCACGGCATCGGCCACCACATCAAGTTCCCCTGGGCGCCCGAGATCAAGGCCGTCGCCATCATCCCGGAGTTCGAGGTGCCCACAGCCAAGGCGCGCGAGGTATTGCCGGCGCAGTATCCTCGGCCGGACGTGGTATGTTTCCCTTTGTTTTTTTTGTTTTTCTTACTGCTAGAGACTAACTTGGCGCACCCCGCAGACATTCAACCTCCAAAGAATCGCCCTCCTCCCCGTCGCCCTCGGCCAGTCGCCGCCCGATCCGGAGCTCATATACCTGGCCATGCAGGACAAGCTGCACCAGCCGTACCGGCAGACGCTAATCCCTGGGCTGACCGAGATCGTCGAATCCATGACGCCTGGCACGCAGCCGGGCCTGCTGGGCGTCTGTCTGTCCGGCGCCGGGCCGACCATCCTCGCTCTAGCGACCAGCCACTTTGCCGAGATCGCCGAGCGCATCGGTGCCAAGTTCAGGGAGAACCGGATCGTGTGCAACTGGAAGGTGCTAGAGCCAGCCGAGGGGACGACGGTGGTCAGGACATGAGTCCCACTTTCGGGGGGGAAATGGACGTTGGAATATAGATAGAATCGTGATACCCGTTTTTTTGGCTGGTTTCTTTTTGGTGGTCGTCATGTTGATCTCCGTTGTCAGGGGGAATGCTGATTACAGTATGGAGCAGCCCCTGACGCACAATGGACCTGGAAGCCAGAATCCAGTTCAATGTTCCTATATGGATGGCCTCATCACCACAAGTTGCCGCCTGTATGCTCAATGGGCCCAATCGATCTGGATCAGCCATCCGCGCCTAACAAGCGAAGCAAGGCACGTCGGGAACGCAAGCATTAATCTCGAGCCACAGAGTAAACTCTGGACCCACATGCAGCGGATAGCGCCGACAAGGTGGGACGTCAGGCCACCACGCGTTAGAGCAGTACTTGACGGCGAAGTCAACAGCCCGAGAACGTTCCTTTATTCCGGGAAACCCTTGATTTCTCTTCGACGCAATTGAGAAATTGGCTTGCCCCTTCAGCCATCTCAGTTTCTCACCTTGTTTTCCTTGTTTTGGATCAGCAATTTTGGGACGACAATCCACGGAAAGGATTTACAATACGTACCAGGAAGGTAACCAGAACTCCGCGCACCACCCGAGACACCAGTTGGTTCGTCCGATGATCGTTCCACCTCCCGGCAAACCTCAGCAAACGTCGGACGAGTCCCTCCAGGAACCGCCCACGCTTATTGGTCACGCCCGTGTAAGCTGCGGCCATGGAGCTGTGTGGTACGGAGTATGGGACGCTTTTACGCCAATTCGACATGATACATGGACAATTGCCTTCCTGCGCCGTCCTGGCGGCCGCTGAATTGTTCGGGTTGTGCGGAGGGTTGAGGCATTGGAGACGGCGACGAACTCTTTCCGGGTCTGGGTTGGGTCTTCTGTCGTATGGCTTGATGAGTGGTCGCTCGGCGGGGGTCTCTGGACAAGGGAAAGGAAGAGGATGGCGGAAATTCTCGGTTGGGGTGATGGTCATAGTCTTGTATAAGACTGTGACAGTGCCCCAACTTGGTCGTGTTATCCTCCTGTGTCATCAGCCTCACCTTCACCAGCTAAGAAATCAGACACCAAACGTCAGTACTAGCCGGCAACACCTGCTCTTCGCTGTAATAATAACACAAACAAAACTCAACTCAATTTCAGCCGCCTCCTACACTCCTCGAGTGGCAGAGCCTCAACTCAGCCTTTATCATCTTCACCACCAGCCCTCAGACGAACCGCAACAACAAACTACATCATCCTGCCTTTCCTGATACCTGAGGAGTCAACAAACCAAAAAGAAATGTCCTTCCTCACAACAACAACAACCGCCCGTCGCCTCGTCTGCACCGCCCTCCCCGGCCATCAGCGCCTCCTCGTCCTCCGCCAACGACAACAACAACCCTTCTCCATCATGCACAACCTGCGCACCTTCGCCCGCTCCTTCGAGCCACACCCCTTCCAGCGTCTACCCGTGACCAGCCACCCGGCCCCGGCCGACTGGGGCCGGCTGGTCACACGATCCGTCAAGCAGGCTACGGTGTACGTTATCTTTCTTTTCTTTCTTTCTTTCTTTCTTTCCTTCTTTCTTCTTTCTTTCTTTCTTTCTTACTTTCTTTCTTTCATTCTGTTCCTGCACTATGTTCTGACCTTGCCAACTGTGTTTCCCCATTTCCCTTTCCTTAACGCATGCCGTGTTTTGATCGTCATTCTCGGAATAGCCCCTTCCCTATCTATTCCTGTTTTTCTCCCCTTCGAATCAATGGTCTTAAAGACAGAAGGAGACATAATAAGTGCTGATAGTAATGGGTGTTGTTGGGATGCTGAAACAGATACTTCCCGCTCGGTTTGGCGCTGCTCGGCTGGCCATATCTCGGCTCTGTCGTGCTCGATGGGAGGGTATAGACCATTCAGTCTCCGGGGGAGGACGCGGCGGCACTCACCATGGGATACGTGAGTGGTGGCGAGAGCCCGCCTGGGTGGCTGGAGACACGTCCAGATTGCATCTGTTTTGTCGGCGTTTTGAAGAGGAAAGTTGGAATACGACTGTGAGGTGCTTCATGTCGATATCTCTTTGCATAGATGTGGAAATAAAGCTGTGTAACGATATGCCAGAACGTGTCTCATCTCCCCAAGTCAAGTGAGAGAACAGCAGACGCATGGAACGTAGCACCGCAGTACTACAGAGCCCAAGAACAACCAACTACGCGGAAAATGGCATACCTCAGCATTGTGTCCTGCACGTCCTGGGAGCTACCACCTATGCGGTTTGGTTTGGTGGTGCGAGACAAGGGGGCATGTCGTCAACGGCGAACATTGTGACTGATGGACGTCAAGATGGGTGTGTCGCAGGACGGAGAGGGCGACGGGCGGCGGGATACCGGACAAGACAACCTACTGGCTACGTAGGCCATCAATGGAAGCTCATCGCTGCCGTGCATTGGAATCGCAGGCCAAATACAGAGAGGAGAAGACGTTGGGCTCGCAGGACGATTGATAGACTCCCGTACAGATATGTCCTTGTACAATTCAAACCTAAATTGTTTGTTAGCGCGGAATTTGGGTATTACACCTCATCTTCTTTCACTTTGACCTTCTCATATTCTTTCTTTCTTCTCTTCCTCTTCCTCTTCCTCTTCCTCATTATTCTTTTCTTTCTCTTGCCCACTCGCGCCCCATGGCCGTTTGACACCGATTTGCCGGGGTGTTAGCCCATGCACTGTCGCCTCTATCGTGTATCCCTTGAGGTCTTTGACGTATGTGTCGACGTGGCCGAACACAAACTTCCCGCCATTCTTGTCGCCCTATGGACTAGCCCTGTCACCCCATTAATGTAGCATAGTGACCACGTTCTTCTCTCCTCGTCCGGGCTCCTAAATCGCCGATCCAACTAGCCGCCAAGGGGGCTAGTCGGGGACGTTGATTTGAACCACGACCATTGACTTGAACCAAATACAGAGAGACTTTAATTTGTTAGCAATCCCTACCAGAATTGAAGTCACGGTAATCTCGTCAACTCCCCCGGTCAAATGCATGCCAAGCCCCCCTGGTACAACATTGCCGACGACATCACTATCATCCCCATCACCACTTTGACTACCTAGTGTTTGGGGGTGCATCTTTAACATTTGTTGAAGGTTGACTTTGTTCCCTAGGCGGTTGGATGCGAATTTGGGTGCGAATTCGAGGGTAGGCGCGTAACACGTTCACTAAAATCCAATGGTAAAAGTACGTCCGTACCAACAACTGCACCACCGAGACCCGATTGTACGGATGTGAGCATTTCATCCGCAGAATCTCATACGCCACCATGGTGCGCAGTCGGTTGCCCACAACTGTTTCGGGAATTCTGGCGGTGAAGAGAATTTCGGAAATGATTTTGCATGAAGATGCCCCAGTGACACTTGTGATGCAAATTGAGGCCGGCCATGAAGAGATTCTGGTTGATGATGAGGATGTCGAGGTTGGACGACGGCGCGTTCAAGTCAGCCACGTCTGATCCCGCTGATTTGCGGTGTGCGTCGAGCGGAGTGAGGCCACTCCGAATGAGGCTTCCACCAAAAATGGCGTGAAATAGACTAAAAATCCTCCAAATTGGTTATTGGTTGATGACACCATGTTAAGGGCTAACCATGTCAACTTTAGGACTGCTGTTTCACTGGTTATGGAAGTCCACCCGGGCAGTTTCTCCTTTCTTGCGGGCTTCGAGACAGAGTTTGAATGCCTCAGTAAAGATGGGGGAGTTGAGTGATCTCGGCACGACCTGTCGGGGCAATGGTATTCTCTGCCGTCTTCATAATTTATCATTTTTCCTTTCTTTTCCTCTTCTCTTACTTTCTGTATATTCTGTTATTTACCCCCTTCTTCCCCCCTTCTTCCCCCCTTCTTTCCCCCTTCTTTTCCTCTTCTCTTACTTTCTGTCTTTATATTCCATTATTTTCCCTCTTTTCCTTGTTTTCTTACGTCCGTGCCTTGGTTTTCATCTCATTCATGTCCAGTGCCTGCCATGCGCCATGCTAACAAACAAACCAGGGCTGCATTGTACGGAGTAGAGATGAATCAGCGGATGCCTCAGCAGCAAGACTGAAGTCTCAGAACAGGCGATTGTCCGGCTTGGCCGTCGTCAAGTCTCGGTCTTCGGCGGTGCCGCCCTGCTGGACTCAGGCCGAAAAAGCCACTACCGATGAGAACCAAGAGCTCGGTTCAGACACAGGAATTATGCGCCTCCGCTGCCCAAACTGTGAGTGGTCCTCGGGAAGCGCCCGAATCCGTGTGATGCGAACTCGTGAACAGGTCCGATGGCCCCTTTCAGCTCTCATTGAGCAAGAATTGTCGCAATGCCATTCTCCCGTCCCTCAGGTTTCCCAATCAGGGCATGCATGTTGCGCAAAGCAAGAATGAGGAAGCCTCATCATCGAGGTCGGGATGATCGACTCGGGAATCGGCAAGGCTACGGCAAGCCCCATGATCCCTGAAAAATCTGGGGTACGTGTAGCCACCGGTCCTTGACCGGCAACCCTGCCGGACGTGAACGGAGCCGCAAAATTCTGATGTTTTCGGCCACATCCACACCTAGCCAAAGGTTCCATAAGCATTGCTGTGCTTGACTTTGAACTTCTGGGAGGTTGGAAGCGTTTGGATGGAATCTGTCAGCATTTCACGAGGTCTGAAAATTTGCTTCCAAGTCTAGAGGCTCGGTGCCCGCCTTGCAGCAATGCGCGACCGCATCCCTCTGATGGCGATGTCACGGCTGCAGGTCCAGCTGTCGAATCGGACAAGCCAGAAGCCGGGCGTGACGTGAGCGGGTCGCAGGTGGTCGAAAAGCCAAGTTACCCTTGTCGTCTGCAGATGGGGACAGGAACAATTGGCGAGCCGTGCAGTGGTTTGCACGAATTCCCAGAGAGGCTGTCCCTGGCATTCAGAGCGGGTCTTGCCTAGACTGCGTAAAGTACCTATGGCTGGGTAGCACAGCGTTCGGGTACATCGCCGAGACCAAGCCATTGCGTAACGAATAAGACCTTAGCGGCCCGCGTGACTGCCCCTGGAGTTTCCATCAGCTAACGGAAAGCTCGACTGGCTTCTCGGCGTCAAATTTTCTGGCCCGCAAGCGTTGGAGCTCGGCCTTGCGCTCACCTGACGCCATTCCAGGAGACCGTTGGCAGGAGGTTAGCAACGGGGGAACTGAGGTGCTCTGCGCCGAGCCATCCGCCTTTTGCTGTGCTGTCGTCAGGGGCTGGCGACGCCCGCCGTGGTTGCGTCTTTTGGCAAATTTTGCCTTCAAGGCGCTTTGTCAGAGGTCAGGTACCTTTGGCGATGGCTGGTGAGCCTGTGACCATGGTTGCGGATTGTACATGTACAAAGAGCGCCCGTTGAAGCGTTTGCACGATTCTAGCGCAGGATATTGTGGTCATGCGGCTTCCCGCCCAGAGCTCGTGCTTGAGTTGCGTCTTTCTTTGGATGGATCTCGTTCTTCGTTAGGTAAGGGGGGCTGACACCACTACACGGTCCATCCTTGCCTATAAGTCCACCCCCTTCTGCTCCTGGATTTTCTTCAACAAAGGCTCGACCAGTGCCACACATCAGCAAACAAACATCTTTCAACTTCCGTCTCAACTTTTCGGTACTCAACTTGAACTTTCAAACCTCTGCTTGCCAACCACATCCCCAAAGTGCACCACTCCACGCATACACCACAGCTGACAGCTTGAACCTCGTATACAACCACACCTACACCGAAACCAACACAGCCAACAACCTGGGACATCACAATGGGCCTCACCAAGATGACCTCGTACACCATCACCGAGCCGCACCCCACGGTCCTGCAAAATTCCTTCACCCATTCAGGACGAGGTGGAAGAGGCAATTTCTTCCGCGCCCCAGCAACCACCTCCCCCAGCGGCGTCCCCACGCCAGCGACCCGCACCACCTCGGCCAGCACCCGAAACTACTTCACGGGTCGAGGAGGGGCAGGCAATGCGCACGCGGCCGGCGAGCGGCCCGTGCTGTCCTTCGACGAGGAGTATTCGCGCGCCGAGGTGCGCGAGAAGACGGCGATTTTCGGGTATGCTGGCAGGGGGGGAGCAGGCAATATATTCCACGAGACCAGCAGCAAGAAGAGCGACGTCGATGGCGAGGAACTGGCGCGCGCCGACTCGGCTAGCTCCGGTGGCAGCTCTCGGAGCGGCTCAAACGGGTTCTGGGATCGCGTCAGGAGCATCAGGCATTAAAGCGGCGGCGTGACTGGGGAGGGACGACTTTTACTTGTTTCGCGGTCGCCGAGGCCGAGGATGAGAAGCCTGAGCGGATGCTGGGGTCGGCGGTGGGAGATGAGCCGTGCACATCTCGATTCTTTCACTTTTCTCTTCTCGGTCATGTTTTCTTTTGTGGTCACTTTATGGCTTTTCTCTTTTCTCTCTCGGCATGGGATACTCGCAAGCAAGGCGTTTTGGGAAACCTCTGGGAGAGGCGGCTCAATTCAACAGTGCGTTATGACATGGAAGGAATTAAAAAAAGGTTTTCTTTAGCGGGATTGGAGGATGGGACGGCGGATGGATGGGTTGGTTGGGCCCTCAGAACAAACGAAAATCTCGGTGTCGACGGTTCGATGATTTGAAGGCTCATCGAGTACATGAACCAGAGTCTTGGACTCTGCTCTGACTTGATTGCCATCGTCTATCACTGCAAGGCGAACGGGAGATGACGGCGGGACTGGCAGGCGTCTGCTCTGGTGAATTGCGGTTCTTGGTCTGATGACTTGTGTACAAATCAATATACCCCCCCACTGCAATCCTGGTTATTCAATCTCTCAAGTTTCAACAGCTCATTCTGTGATCTTGGCCGGTTCGGGTCGTTGTGGCCCCTCGTTACTCAGCATCAACTTCTTCCCTCTGAAGAGGACCCAATCCAGCTCTGATTTGTCCGTTAGCGTGGCAGATGGAAGGGCTCTAGACATGAATGGAGATCAATGAAATCGAGGAAAACAATGGATAGAGAAAAAAATAGAACATAAAGACAAAAAGTAATAGAAGAGGAGAGAAAACGGCAAAGAGGAAGAGGAAAGAAAGAAAGAACACAAGAAGGTCAAAGTGAAAGAAGATGAGGTGTGATACCCAAGTTCCCGATAACAAACAAACCAGGGTGGAATTGTATTTAGCTTGCCGCACAGCGGTGTTGCACACCCAACGAGCTGACGGCATGAACAATGAGGCGATTGATATGTCTATACATCAATCAAAACTGGGTATCATTCGTTTTCTCTCACGCCCCACTGATACAGCTCATCAGTTGCACGGCCCTTAGCAGCCCAACCGCCGACGCCCACAATGCCATCAACCTCACACAACTGACGCAGTAGCTCCCGCCATTATTTCTCTTCGCAATTACGCACATTTCATCCCAAAAGATCCGCCTAGCACCGCGTAGATAACGGTCTTTGGATTGCCTGCTCTCAGAGAAGACGTCCACATAAGAGGCGGCACATTATGAGGCCACTCTACTCGTCATCGAAAGCCACGGCCGACCGAAGTTGGCATTATAGTGTCCGCCGATAGGCAGCGCTCATGTAAACTTGGTGTGGATAATGTCCGGGTTCTCGTGCCAGTCATCGATGCTGACCCACATCTATTGACACGGCTTTCTTAGCATTCGCTCTCAAAAGCAAGGGAACAGGCGCGCAAGAGCAAACTCTACCTTTCTAAACGTGCTCAGCCCAGCAAGAATACTTCCGCCAATCCAGGTCGAGTACTTGCGTTCGGGCGGCGCAAATATCTTTATCCTCATGTCTTTAACGGCGACTCGCTGCACCTCGGACAGCAGCCGGTCGCCAAAGCCCTTGGTGAGGGTGCTGCCGCCCGAGAGCACGATATTCGAGTACAGGTCTTTTCGCAGGTCGAGGTCCGTCCGGTTGATCGAGTCGACCACGATTTGGTGCACGCCGGGGTACTCGAGGCCGATAATTTCTGGGTCGAAGAGGATCTCTGGCGCGCGGAACCGTTCTGCGCCGATCTTTTCAAAGGGGGAGGGGGGACAGATGTCAGTCTGCATTTTCGGATCTGGTGTTTGCCGGAGCAGAAAAGAAGAAAGAGAAGAAATTCGGGCATACCTTGAGCTTGTTCCCGTCTGGCAACACGTACTCGGCAACCTTGCCCTGGTCCAGCTTGGCCGCGGCCCATTCCTTCTCCTCTTTGCGCGGGTCCTTGGCGACGTAGGTGACGGCCTCCTTTATCAGCCGCACCACCTCCTTCTCGGCGCTCGTGTGGAAGACGTAGCCGCTTTTGCGGAGCAGCGTCTGCAGGTACTCGGTCACGTCTCGCCCAGCCACGTCGATCCGCCGGATGCTGTTGGGCACCGTGAAGCCCTGGTATACCGGCACGGCGTGTGACACGCCGTCGCCTGCGTCCAGCACCACGCCTGTTGTCCGGCCGCTGGCGTACAGAGATAAAACAGCCTGGATGGACGTGTAGAGCGCTGGTACGTTGAAGGTTTCGAATAGGATCTGGGCGGCCGTGTCGCGGTTGGAGCGCGGGTTGAGCGGGGGTTCAGTAAGCAGGACTGGGTGCTGAGGAGAGTCAGCCTCTGCTTTTTGGGTCCCTTTTTTTTCCCCGAGGTGAGAGGTGAGAGAGACGGTACTTCTTCACTTAGAGTCTTTAACCCTTCATCATACACGTAGGCCCAGATCTTCTCCATGTCGTCCCAGTCGGTGACAATGCCATGTTCCAACGGGTATCGGATCTTTAGCAGCCCGCGTAGTTCGGTGGCTGCCTTCTGGCCGATGAAAACTTCGCCCTCCAACGCGCCCGCCAGCACACGCAGATGTTTCGGCCTCCCTACCCACGAGGGAAAGTGGCATTTTGGGACATCCTCGCCAGCGAAACCAGCCCGTATGGTGCCGGACCCGTTGTCCAGCACAATGGGTGCGTTGTGCAGCGTGTCTGCCATCGTTCTTTCAAGGGTCGAGCGAGATTTATCGTCCCAACATGCAGTTCTCGAGGCGCTTCGGAGAATTGGCGGTCGATTGTCCAGCCGGTCAATATCTGCCCCGTTGCGGCGTCCCGGGTGTTCAATCAGGAGCTCGCGTATTTCTCGATTCGATCTAGGGCCGGTGATCTCGTAGTGTGTGTTTGCAAAAGCGGCTATCAAGACTGACGCGCAGATGTTGCAACGTTTGCGATTCCTCTATCAAGCGGCGACTGTGCGATTTGTTGTTTGTCCAAGGAGCTGTTTAGGAGCTCCAAATCAGGACGCGTTCAGATGCAGGGCACAATGTCGCATCATTGGTATTGGGGTGTGGGGCCATCAGGGGCACGAGACGCACGGGCCGCGATAATGAAGCCCCAAATGTACCTTATCGATAAACTTTACCCTCAAGCAGCGACTTGATAGGAGCAAGTGCGACAGCTCCGTCTCCCACTCATTTCGTCCCAACAGTGTAGGAGATGCTCTGGGCTCTTCAGGGTCCTAAGCTCTACCCAGCTATCCCCCAGGGAGACTGCGTTCTAAGACTTTAGGCTCTGCTCGGTTGAGTTATTTTGAATATGATCGCGAGTCTTTCGCTTCCCAAAGATACGACCACCCGGACGGCGCCTGTATCAACCATTCCACTGTCTTCTCTTTTGGGCCTCCCGCCGAGCTTTCTTTGTATCTAATTCTTCTTCCACGGTCAAGAACGCTTCAGGCGAGTCTCGAGCTGCACCGTCGCCCCAATAGCCGATGGCCAGACCTTGACTAGCTCCAAGCCCACGGCATCGAACATCTGCTTGAACTCGTCAAGAGTCTTCTCCTTGCCGGTGATGGCCATCAAGTTCAGATCCAGCCAGTACAGCTCCTTCAGCCGCCCGGGCTCAACCTTCTCCGGCACCAGCATGTCGCACACAATCAAGCGCGAATCCGGACCCATGGCTGAGACGGTGTTCTTGAGGATGTCGATGCATACCGAGGGGTAGAAGTCATGCAGCAGTCGCCGCATGAAGTAGACATGGGCATCTTTCGCCGTGACACGGTCAGCTGGCCCTTCTCCAACTAACTAAAGCAAGGCGGCGACGCAGGGACGGGAAGCACTCACTCTTTATCGGCTGTGGGGTGAAGATGTCGTACGCGATGGCCTCAATGTTGGGAATCTCCTCGGGCTTCAGCGAGTCGATGACAATGGGTAAGTCCTGGAGGATGAGCTTGCCCCCATACACCCCCGGGATCTCCTCCTGGAGCTTCAGCAGAGCCTGGCCCCGACCGCCGGCGACATCGACGAAAAACGGCCGCTCCGGCTCCTTCTCCACATTCTCCTTTAGCGATTCCCACGGGAACATGCCCGAAATGGGCATGTTCTTCTCAATGATCTGGAGGCATTGGTCCCAGATGCCGCGGTGCTCAGGGATCTCGTCGATCGCCTCATAATACGTCTTCCCCTCCTTGCCGACGCTAAAGCAGAAGGGCGACTTCCTCAAGTCGTACAGATCCTCGGGCCGGTGTGTCTTGAAGTAGTCGGGGAGCGTCATGTACATCTTGTTGAATTCCATGATGAGGACGAAAAACGGGCCCTGCGCATCGAGCTGATACGCCCGCGAGAGAGCGCTGTGCGCGTACGTGTCGGGCGCCGTCTCGGTGAAGAAGCCGGCAACAACGGACACGCGCATCAGGCGCTGAATCGCCGATACGTCCATGTTCGTCTCGGCCGCGAGCTCCTTGGCCGTGATGGTGCCCTCGTCCGGGACCTTCTTGATGGCGCCCGTCATAATCAGCGTGTACATGGCACCGGCCGTGCTCATGACCTCCTGCTGCCTCTCGATAACATCGTACGGTGTTTCGAGGAGCGCGCGGACGCTGTCGACGCGCTCGAGCAAGGCCAGGTGCTCGGCGTGCGACGCCCTCGGATGGCTCTTGAGAGCCTCGACGAGCTCCTCGGCGGCCCTGAGTGCTGCGCTTGTGTCCTCCATGCTGGGAACGTCAACTGAGTATCAAAATGAGGTAGGGGGAGAGGGAATGTCGCTCTCTGACTCTCGGCAACGTGGATTGAGAGGGGTAGAAAGCGGAGAAGAACCTGTAGGGCTCAGGCAGCTAAACCTGACCAGGACTTCAATCCCATATCAGGAATCCCCATCCTCCTGACGATGGTCGGCCCGGCACTCGGTGATGGCCAGTACGGCCAAGAGATCAAGAGCTCGTGGGGGCACCACCCCCATCTGACGAACAACATATTGGTGTACTACGAGCGTGGTTCCGAGGCCCCGGTCCGCTCGTCCGTGTCAGGTTCGGGCAGTCGAGCTGCTGTTCTGACTCTCGAGTCTTCGCCTTTGACGGTGGGAAACGGGTGGATGGGCCCTTCTCCATCCATATCACGGAAGTCCGGCAGAACAGCCGGTTCGTTTGGGCGGGTCCGGACTTTACACAGACGAGCCAGAAGCCCACCAACCGCAGGTTGAAACCATCGGTCTACAGTAGCGCAATGTACGTCTATGTACGCCCAGCCGAGGGGTAGAGCGCTCTAGGGATTTTCATCTCACGCAGCCACTGGTCACATATTTTGGGCGGTCTTGCGAGGAAGAGAAAAAACTACGAAAGCAAGAGGCTGAAGGAGGCCATAACCGGACGCAAAGAGCAATCCCAGCGAGTCGGCTCTGCCAGCCATTTTCATGCGGTACGACCTCATGCAATATCCGCAGCCGGACAGCAATCGGCCTGCAAAACTCCTCAAGGCTCGAATCAGCATTCAGTGCATCTGTGCCCCTCGGCAGAGGCGCCGGGCTTGATCCTACCGGCCGGAGTGGCAACTTTCCTTCTGCTCTCCTCCGAAGGGCCACTAACGTTGGTTTACTCCCAGCAAACCAGAATGGCTGGCAGGCAGCACCGCCTCACAGAACATGTCTCAGTGCTAGGACCCTCTCGCCGACTTCTCATCAACAGCGCGTGCGCGGCCGTGGGAAAAGCTGCCGCCTACAGGGAGGTTGAAAAACAGACGAGGGGGAGGCGTACCAAACTGCCAATGGGGTACCACACCTGTACCCGCGCGTGGCTTCTGGGCGGCTTATGAGCGGAACGGGAAGAGCCTAGTACCAATTTAGTCACCCTATCCTACCCCAGGTTCTGCCAAGAAGCGGAAGGTCGATCGTTCGTGTGGTTTCTCGCCAGTCGAAAAAGGAGCAGCCCGACCCTCCGTCAATTCAAAGTCTCAACAGTGTTTTCTTCGTCTCAAGCTCGCCTGATCACCCCATCGACTTTCAACGGAGTACTCCAGGGGATCATTGCCGTGTGCCTGCCCTCGGAACAAACCAGAAGCCCGCCATGGCGGATCCGCAATCACCATCAAGGAACTTCATTGAGGCAGACGAGGTGAGCTTTCACACGCGACCATCTCGTTCTCACTCACACATCCATGGTGGGAACTGACTGGACTGACCGAAACGTGATTAGCGATGGGACAATAACAGCAACAGCGACGAGGTGTGTGTCTCTGTTCTCTGCCTCTCTTTTGCGGGAATCTTATCAGGAGAATATCGGGCATTGCTGAGACACATTGGCGGCGTGAAACAGGGCGCTGAGGTGGCCAGCTCGGGGACTTCCTTGACCTCGATTACGTCCTCGGTGCTCCGGGGAAAGGTGGAGGACGGGCGGGTATATGCCGTGTACGGCAAGGAAGGTATGTGTTGCTCCCCTCAAGTGAGCGTTCTTGTGGGCCAGGTGTGGCTAACACATGGGCTAGAGTATGGGATGCCGATGGATGATTCGGAATTGGACAGGATCGGTTAGTTATCCGCGGTATTTCCTTTCACGCCCAAGACCTACAGCGCCTGGACCTCTCGAGAATGGCGCTGACGTGATGGACAGATATGTGCCATGCGAAATATTATGCACTTCTCAATAAGAAACGGTTCCTCGCGCCGATCGGGGAGAATCCGCAGAAAATATTAGATCTGGGGTGCGGAACAGGTAAAGTGGTCGCTTGCGCGGACTGCGGGAACTCCACAACCTGGCTCAACAACTGACAACATATATCCCAGGCATATGGTCGATGGACATTGCTGATATGTATCCGTCTGCCGATGTGCGAACAACTGTCCATGCCTTGGCCTTGTGGCTATCTGATCTAACTGGGTGTGTCAGGTGCTGGGAGTTGACATTGCGCCGACACAGTCGGAATGGTAAGCGCTCTGTCAACCATGACCAACCAAGACTGGGAACTCACACAGTGCTCCAGGGTGCCTCCAAACTGCCGCTTCGAGCTCGACGACATTGAGCAAGACTGGGCATGGAAGGAGAACTCATTCGACTTCATCTTTGCGCGCGACCTCATTCTTGCCGTTCGGAACTGGCCAAGGTTGATAGATCAGGTCTACGAGTAGGGGATACCACCACTCCCTTGAATCCACCACTAATAAAACTGCAATACACCCCCCGCGCTGACCCACCGCCACATTCATTTATAGACACCTCAAGCCCGGCGGCTGGGTCGAGTTCCAGTGCGTGACGGGCCTGCTGCGGTGCGACGACGGCACGCTACCCGACGACAGCCCAATGCGGCAATTTTCGGACGCCATCTACGACTCGACCCAGATTTTTGGCACGCCCATCGACGACCCGACGCGCTGGCGGGGCTGGTTCGATGAGCGCGGCTTCGAGGACGTGACCGAGGTCGTCTACAAGCTGCCATGCAACCCGTGGCCCAAGGACCAGCGCCTGAAGCTGATTGGCGCGTTCGAGATGGAGAATCTGCTGTACGGCCTCAGCGGTATGGTCACGAGGCTGTTTTCGAAAGCGTTGAGGTGGAGTCCCGAGGAGGTCGAGGTTTTTTTGGTGAATGTGAGGAAGGAGATTAAGAATAGGAATGTTCATTCCTACTGGCCTTAGTGAGTTTTCTCTTCGTCTTCTTCTTCTTTAGGTTAATGAACACTCCCTTTTCGCTGACGTTCTGTTGAAAAGCTATGTCGTCTACGGGCGGAAACCGGGCGGGCCATCGAGCGAGGAGGAGGCGCCGCCAGTCAGTGAGGCTAAAAACGAGGCACCGCAGCAGCATGATGAATGAAGAAGTGTGAGATTTGGATGTCAGCCAGGCGTTAGGGAGTCGAGTCGTTGGGCAGGTTCGGTCTGTGTGTTCCGTTCCTGCGGCATGTTGTGCTCAGCGCATACAAGAACTTGGGATTGGGAGTTGGGGTGATTCTGGCAAGTAATAACCTGTGGGTGAAAGATAAAGAAACATGCCTCTGTCACTGTTTGTATGAACCCGATGCTCATTTTATTCATCAAATCCCCATTGCTTAGGCATAACACGGATATAGACAACTAGAACAACTAACAAGGCTCAGTCCTGAATCTAAAAGGGCACGGGAACTAGTACCGCATCTTCCAACTCCATTCACGAACCAAGTCATTTCTACTCTCCATAGGTATGAGTCCCGGGTCTTGAGAAATCAACTTAGATATGCAAACCGCTTAACCCCAAGCCAGTACTGTGCGTGATGAAGGGTATAATTTTCTACATATAGGCACACAGCTTGTTCTATAGGAATGTCCAATAGCACCACACCAGTTAACTACTCGAAGAGAGGAACCGGACATCATGGCATCATGAGAAGGACGAACCTGGGAATCAAAGAGAAAAAATAAAACAAAGTGAGACGAAGGCATGAATCATCAAAACCCCTACAACCCAATCCACCCGCCGCTGGGTATGAGTGCTCAAGCAGAGAATAAAGGGGGCGTAAATCCGAAGAAACGATTTTCCAACCAGCAAGCAGGATGAAACAAAACAACCCCGAACCACCCAAAATCCCAGCCCACCTGCCCATTCCCACAACTTCCCCCCTCTACACCCCCCTAAACATTCTCACCACCAAGAACCACACCGCCCCGATAAACTTGAACGCCGACAACGCCGCGACCGACCAGAGCACGACGCTCAGATAGACATTGGCGCGATCGCTCTTGATCTGCTCCTCGGTCTGGCCGTTTTCGGGGACGAGCCTGTCGACGCCGGCGGTCGACAAGACGACGGCGCACAGGGCAAAATTCATAATCATCCAGACGAGCACGACGACGGTCCGGACGCCGCGGTAATAGTCCATCTGCTTCTCCTCGAGCTGGCTCGGCGTGGGCGGCTTGACTTCCTTGACGGGCTTGCGCCCAAACACCTGTAGCTCCTTCTCGTACTGCGAGTTCAGGTCCCCCTCGTCCGGCAGGTCCGTCTTGCCCTGGCCGTCCTTGGTGTTGACCGAGGGCAGCTTGTCGGGCTTGTCGTCGCCCTTGGTGCCCCACGAGATGTCGTGCGTGTTGCAAAAGGCGTAGACGTTGAGCACGTTGGTGTAGGTCGGCGAAAGCAGCATGTACTGGATGAGCGAGGTGAACATGTGCCAGGGGTCGAACATGAGCAGGGAAGCGACGAGCCAGATGCCGTAGGTGGACATGACCGAGACGATGAGGGTGTAGAAGACCTTGTTTTTGAAGAGCGAGTCGACGCTGAAGCCATTGGTGCTGAGGTCGGTTTGGATGGCGACGACGGCGATGTAGATGGCCGCGAACATGAGGTAGCTGGGAAGGGAGTCAGTATACAATTTACCCTCTATACGAGTGACTAAGTTGGACCGGCTCACATGAAGAGAATCGCCCAAAAGATAACCATGGCCATGTAGTATGGCCCTGATCCAGCCGGCCGATTACCCATCGACAGAACAAAGCAGGTCATGAGCGACATGCCGTACAACCAGGTGAAGACCACGCTAAGGATTCTCCCAACGTTGCCCAGCAGATTATCGTCGCCCAAGCTAGTCGTCAGGATCTTAAACACCAAGAAGAAGTTGCCAATAGCAAACCAGGAGAAGATCATGTTGACCGTGTTGAAGATGAACTCGATAAAGAAGGCAAACTTGCGCAGGATGGAATGGTCGGAACGGAAGAACTGGTGGAAATGAACAATGGCGTAGATGGCAGCGAAGAAGGAACCGTTGAGCCAGCGACGACGCTGGAGAATCAGCTCGGTGACTGTGTCCGGGACGTCGGTCTCGCCCGTAGCCGACTTGACGTACTGCAGGATCCAGTGGCAGTTGCGCTTGGTGACGAGCTCAAAACACAAGATACGATCCTCGGCGAGGTACATGTTGGCCGTGAAAATGCCGGCGTCGCCGCCGTGCAGCTTCTCGCCGGCAAAGTACTTCTCCAACGGGCCCTGACCGTTCTTGTCGTTCTGCAACGCCACGTACCGGTAGGCCGAGAAGGCACCGGGCAAGACCGAGATGAAGCCAAAGGCCGACTCGAGGGGCTTGTCCAGAATGTTGCTCATCTTGTACTCAAAGTTCTGCGTCGCTACCAGCGGGTTGACAAGGTTCTTGCCGCCCGTGCCCAACATGGCCTTGATTTCACCGCACGCGCCGGCGCACATGGGCTCCAGGTCGAATGCCTTCCACAGGTGGTATATGGAGCTGCCGCCCGGCTTGGTACCGGCGTCGATCAGCACGCAGATGTTTGGGTCCAGGACGCGGCCAAACGCTTGGAAGAACCAGCGGTGCGAGTTGATCTTCTTCTGGTTCTTTTCTTTCAGGCAGAAAAGCATCTGCACGGGCTGCTGCTTGGGGATAAGCTGGACGACGTCGTTCTTGATGGTCATACCGACCTGGGTGGTATACTCGTAAATGTGAGCCGTGACATCCTTGCCGTTGACCTGCTGCTTGGCAATGCCCTCCTGGTAGACGCCCATACCAGCCAGAAGCGCCCTGGTCCGGGGGTTGATCTTGGCACGACCATCGCTGACGACGCAAACGACGATCTTCTTCCAGGCATCCTTGCCCCACGTCTTGCTCTCGGTCCGCTTGCACATATACTCGATGTTCTTGAATACACCTATCATGGTGCGCGCGAACAAAATCTCGTCTTCGTTGTACATGGTGACGACGATGAACAGCTCGGTGTGCCGTGGCTTGCTAAAAAGCTTCTGCCTGAGAGTGAAGTTGTTCTCGTAGAACTCGGAGGGATCGCATGTCGCCGCCGAGTAGCGCATGTGCGTGAACTCATCACGCTCGCCGTGAGGCAGCTGATTCAACAGTTTCGGGGGGATTGGGCAGTCCAGCACCAAGTTCCCGCGGTACAGCAGGACTTGTTTCACGGTCTTCCACCTCTTGATCGGCTGGTTGTTTGTCTTTGGCTGCGGGTTGTCATGAAACGGATCACTTGCGCCAACTTGCGAGTCGGTATGTGTCAACATCGGCCGGTTGTCGTCGTCGTAGAAGGGCGTCGTCGTCTGATCGTACGGCGTCATTGTCTGATCGTAACCATGGCTAGGATGCGGCTCGTAAGGTTGGTTGTAGTAGGCATCGTGATGCGCCTCGGGATCAACCGAGTAGCTCCCAAGGTTGTCAACGGATTGCTGTGAGGTGTCCGTCAGCTTCGATCCCGGCGCAACCTCCCGCGAACTGAGCGCGAACTCACTGCGGTCTGCATGTGTAATGAGTCGCCGGGGCTGTATCTCCCGGGGCCTGCAGTAGGAATGTCCAAGGGCGAGTGACCGTACGGGTTGTCCTCCAAGTGGTACCCGTGCTGGAGTGGATGCGCCGGAGATGGCGTCCTATGCACCCGGGTGTCCATGGGGTGGCTCTCGTAATAGTCGTCGTCTGCATCGTGAGACGATGTTAGCTAATCCGTCTCCAGCAACAGTGTTCCTGGGTCAGCGGACTGAGACCCTTCGAGATGAGGGCCAACGCGCTATGGCCAGCGACGTGTCAAGGGCAAAACACCCTGTGCCAATAATCCTGATACAGCTCACACGACTGTTGTTGGGCTGGGTACCGAGCTCGCTCCCATGCGCCAGGCAAAGAAGTAGTTGCGGCACAAGCACAGCTCGCACGAATCGGTTCCAGGCCGCGGGCAGAAGGAATAAGGGACAAGGCCCCAGAGGAACCGGCCGCTTAGGTGGAAGGAATGTGTGATACGGGTCGAGGGTGGGAGCGTGAGAGGTGGTATCCCACTACCGCGAGCGTGTGAAAGGAATGGAGGGGTCGCATGAAGGAGAGGAATGACCACTTGCCTAACCGATTATATGACATTGTTGCCAATCGCTCACGGCGAGCTTGACTGAAAAACAGCGGACCGGGCAACTAATGGAGGTATCTCCAAAGTAATGCAAAGGCAACCTGCAAATGCTTGGTTGGTGCCTCTCAATTCGGACAGATACGCGTCTCAGATGTCAAAATGCCAGGGACCCGTCCCGGTGTCGGAATGCAAGACGGTCGATAGGCGGGTGTGGATTGTATCAATTCGCCGCTGAATCCGAGGTTTGTCTGCCCCCCTCGCCGCAGCCGCGCGGCCGCCCCGTGAATCCGAGAGGTATGGGTGTCGATCGGTTGGCTGTGTATGAGGCGCGCGGCCCTCTGCTCCTCCGGCGTTATACCTGTTTGTTGTAAATTTTATTATACAAGCATCTGCACCGCAGGAATGCGCCGGGCTTTGTTGCGGCTCTCGGTTGATCGGTTGGGTCCGGCACTTTGCAGCGGGTTTGAGGGAGGTCACAAGCGCTGTGCGCAGCGGGTTTAACCTGAGGGCAAAGTCGCAGGTTTCAGGGTGATGATTTTGGAACCAGGAGTTCAAAGCTTAAACGGCAGACAGGGATGGTTGAGGGGCTGGCGAATGAAGGGACTCTGCTTGCCGGGAGATATCAGGCGGGTCGTGTGTTGTTTCAGCGCCCGATTGGGTATTGGTGACGTTCCGCCGCTGGTGCGCCAGCTGATTGGGTCCCGTGGTTGTGAGAAGGGGGCGGTACCTGGAGTACCTAACACGACCATAAGCCTGTCCGTCGTTGCCGTTCGATGTCGATGTCCGAGTTTGCACCCTTTCTTTCGCAGACGAACCCTTACTCGTAGTGCGGCTCCTCATGAAGGATTCAAGAAGAAAAAGGAAGAGTGGCAGTGGGGGGGGAATTTCTTTGTTTCAACAATTCCCTCTCCCGATGTCAAAGGGAGCTGGGAAAAACTTAAGCATGGTCCTTACTGGTAGCGTGAATTGGTGGTTGGGATGGGATGAGGCTGTGCGCCCCGGAAGCCACGAAACGCTTGCTCGCTGCGCTCATGACCCCACAATCGCCTTACCTGACGCGGCTGGGTTACACTGTATCCGTAACAAAGTTCGCCTTTCCAGAGCTAAGCCCCGAGGCGCTGCAGTAGGTATGTACAATAAACCAACTAGTTACCGACTGCCGCCAACAGGGTTTGACAAAATGTGTCTCTGCCGGCAATCTACCTCGTCATTCACGGTCTATTGGCCTAATCACCCTATACCTTACCTTATAAACGAACATGAAAATCAAGAGATCGCATTCCTAACTCTACTGTGGCGTTGTGATCGTTCGCTCCGGTGGCCTTGATCAATTTCTAGTTGCAGCTTTCTATTGTTGAATCCATACTAGCGTCGACAACTACCGTACAAGCCACAGGGCCCACGCAGCCCACTCTACCCCTTGTCGGAGTCCGGACGGCTCTCCGGATAGCCCTTTTCGCGTTGATAACATAAACCTGTCCTGAGAACGGCGGCCTTACTAAGTATTATGCCGCTACTGCAGTAGGATAGCAACGACAAGGCTGGATCTCAGTTTCTGGGTACAGAAAATGCGAAGCTTCTCTTGCTTGTAATAAAGGTCGTACATGTGCAAGGCAGTCGAGTATCCAGCTCTTGGCTGCAGCCACGGAAGGCCGGCTCAGGTCTCGCCCTGTTTTACCGACAGCCATCGTCCATAGCTGCAAAATTCGGAACTCTTTAAACCATGCCCCTTGGCTCCATATGATAACTACACTCTATCCGGAGTCTACAACCCAGCCCAGACCCAACTCCCCATCAAGCCATCTCCCTCCCAAGCCTATTCAGCTCCTCCCTGATAAACACCCCCGCATTAACCAGCTCGCTGGCGCCATAAATGACCCTCCTCTTCCCCCGATCCCCCGCCGCCGCCCGCGCCGCCCACTCCTGCAGGTTCCCGTACTCGTCCATGGACCCGCCCCCAACCATAAACACCATCGCCTCGGAAAACCCCTGCCTTCGCTGGCCGAAGCTGGCCCCGGTGCCGGCAGCCCGCTCGCCGACGAGACCGGAGCCAGGGAGTCCACCCGGCGCCGTGCCTGCCCCACCACCCGCAGCCCGGAGCGCAGACGGCGGGGGCATCGTGCCGCGTGCGTTAGGGCTCCGCGGGTCAAAGTAGAGGTAGTGCTCCGTCTTGGCAATGGCCGACGAGCTTGCGCTCGAGGGATCCATGATGGATTCGGTGATCTTGGTCACGGTCAGATCCCTGTCGACCGGCAGGAAGTTCTTGATTCCGCCAAGCAGCGAAGCGACGTTGGCTGTCAATGCGTTCGTGGGGACCCCCGTCTCCTTGAGTCGGTCTGTGAGCCGCGTCGAGATGGCCGAGAAGCGGTTGAAGAGATCCGAGGAGCTCGACTGCTGCTGGCTTGCTGACCCCTGGCTGGCGGTAGTAGTGAGCTGCGTCATTTTCGTTGTTGCCCGGACCCTGTTAAGCAATTAGTAGACTATCCGCAGGAGGTGGAGCGCAGTTTATCTTACTGTCGGATGTATGCCAGACATGTCTTATCACATCCCGCCGCTTCCAAAGCCTCCTCAAACTGCGCCCATTCTTGCTTCGATACATCCTGCTCTGTGCTGAGGAACCAGATGATGAACAGGCGCAGCTTATCCGCGGGCTGGCCCTTATCGTCCGTCTTGATCAGCTCCAGCATCTGCGCCTTGGTCTGCTTCATGACGTTCTCCTCGAGTTGGAAGTAGTTGTCCAGCTGCCGGTTCTGAATTTCGCCCAGAACCGCAGCGAGAATGTTCATGTGCATATCCAGCACGGCTTTCCTTTCCCGAAGCTCTGGGAGGAGGGTTATTGCCGCCTTGAGGTGCTGCGCACTGATACTTGTGTCATTTTGAAGGTCCTCGAAGTTGCTGACACCAGTCTTCTTTGTGATTGCTTCTGCCTCCTCCTTGTACTTAGTGAGCTCCGCATCTACTCCCAAGTCAGCGCCAAAATTACACGGTAAGATAGAGAGTTGAGCGAATATGGCCTTACCGATATCTTCAGCAACCTGCGGAAATGGCAAGCACGCATTCTTGGCCCAGAAAAAGTCATTGGCGGCGAGATCATACGTCTTTTTCGTCATCCCTTTCGCTGGGTTGCTGGAATCGACGGGCGTCTCAATGGTGATGCGGTTCAACTCGGACTGTGACTGGGCTTAGCGTCGATGTTTCACACGCCGAGGACGCGGCTCACCTTGAAAATGTCAAAACATAGGCTCTGGTATGTCCAGGAATGAGAGAGCATGGGTATCAAATCAACATTGCGGTCAAGAATTATGAGGACAGGTCTCGATGTTGGGGTTCCGCCAGCAGAAGGGGTGGCTCGGGCTTGTGAAGAGAAGAGATTGTCCTTGGAGTTGACGACATGATCGCGGAGCTTGCGGTCGAGCTTTTGTGCAATCATCTCGGCCGCAGCACCCCTAGGGGAGCGAATCTAAGGGGGTTGTATGTTAGCTCATGGCGTAAGTAAGCCGGCCGAAGTGAACATACAATGGGTATCACTCCTATATACTGTTAGTCTCGGGCTGGTCATCGCGTTGATCAAGAAGCCGAGGCCATACCTGATGTCACTACGACACTGAACAGGCCACTGACGATCCGGTCTATCACACGATCCAGCTCTTCGTCTTTTGTCTTTGCGCTGTTCAACGCCCAGTAGGTATGGTCCTTCTGCATTCCCAGACTGAAGAGATCAGGCTCAGTGACGATGAAGTTGAGATACTGGTCGTAGACTTGTGCGATCTGTTCTGACGTCCCTGCGGCGGCTGTCTGCGCAGCAAAGTCCTCCAAAAGGGGTCGCGGTATGGAGGAGAGGAAATTCAGGTGGGCTGAGCTGTACAGCCCCTTCTGAAGATCGTTTGTAATTGCTTGTAAGTTTGCGGGGGTCGGCTCGACCAGATATATCGCAGGGACATCGGGGATGGCGGCTCTGTGGGACGCGATATGCCTTGGCAAGTCAGAACCGAGTGCCGGGACAGCGAGGAGTAGCAGCGAGAAGCTTACATATGCATTGTCACTCCCATCGACCGGAGGTCTGACACCTGGAGCACCGGACTAATCACATCGCGACCAAGGTCCTGTACGATCCCGAGTCAGCTTAATCAATGCCTCATGCCGCCCGACATTTTTTAGGCGAGTTCCAGTGGAGTTGCTCACGTCAAACACGAGAAGCTTCCAGATAGGCGTCCCGTCCTTCGATATGGGTGCGGCCGACACCGACAATCCATTGGAGTGGGTGTCATCATTCTCGTCTGACTCCAGCGGTTCGTTCAGGTTGAGCATCTTCTTGATCGAGACTGGCATTGAGGATGGGTTAGTCCACAGGCAAATGGCGAGACGGACGAAGTGTTCCAAAGCGCATACGAATCTGCTTCTCCCGCAGAGAAGCCCCCCGCGCCGCCATGGTGGGTACCTGGTTGCTTGACTTGTTCGCTGTCGGGAACTGCTCGTTCTCAGTCCGGATGCGCAAGCTTCGGAGCTGCGGGATGTAATTGCTGTTTAAGGGCGATCGCTGGGCATTGGCGTTGGCAATTGTCGCTTCGTGAACCGCCGACTAGGAAGTAATTGGGGGCGATTCGTTATGCTTTGGCTCGCTTGGTAGAAACAGTTCGAGAGCGTCCGTTTTGGATTCGCGAGCCTTCAGATCTTCATGTGTTCCAACTTCGGCCACATGTTCGAAGCTTCCCCACAGGCATTCATTGTCCGGACACCTGTGCGTCCCATCTTGATACGTACCTTCCAGATTCCCAAGACCCCACCGTAACCTGGCCCCTACTCTTGGTCGAGCCGTAGAAGCCACATTTGGAGTGGTCTTCGCCACAAAGCACCGACCACAATCTGAATCCAAGCCCCACCCCAACCAACCCTTTATTGACCTGCCGCGGCTGGCCCGCAGGTCCTGGCGCCAACTTTTCTCTTTCAACGACGTTCCTCGCTCTGGTGGCACTGATTTCCAATCCTTCCTCAACGCGCCCGTCCTGGTTCAGCCCTTTGGGACCCCTCGTTGAATTTAAAAAGACATCCAGGCTGCGGGATTTTACTTAATAATACACTCGCCATACTCACGTGGACACAGTCTGACTTACCCAGCTGTCGGCTTAATTCTCCTCAACGCAGCTGCGTTTCTCTGTTGTCTGATCAATTTCACCTCCCAAGTCTCCTGCTTGATCTACGCGAGATATGTTGTAAGGAACCGGTGAGCACCGTCGTTGCCTTCGAGAGACGTCGGCCATGACGTGGCGTCGCAACGTGGAACAGGAGAGAATCTTTGCCAACATTGGCACAATTGAAGGGTATGCATAAAAACACCGCCCCCGTCTAAACCCTCAACAGCACAGCATGACGTATATCCTTAATTCTTTCGAAATGCGTGTTCAATCAAGCAGCCTGAACGTTTCAGCATTAATTTGCGACGGAAAGGCTGTGAAAGCGGCAGCAGACGCTTGATGGGGATGTCCATCTGGGCGGAACTACGGTCAGCTGCTGAGTAACGCCTGGAAATCCTGTTGCGAAGACAAAGTGCAACGAGCGCACCCAAGGGGGAGAGCGCCGGAGCAAGACAGCCAGCCATGTGAGAGCAGCCTGAACGCGGGACACGGCCGAAACGGCCACCACAATTCCAAGGGAGACGGCGCATGCCCTGCCTGCAGCCGCTGGCAATAATTGCCTCCCACATGCCACAGCAGTCGAAATCAACCTCGTCCCTTTGAGACGGTTTATAATTGTGTCAATTCGCAATTCCAGTGTTCGGTCAACTGGGCACGGGGCGCCGCTTGGCTGCTGGGTGCTGCAAGGCACTTTGACGGTGGGAGTTGCGGGGCGACAACGAACCCCGGGCCTGGATGGCTTGCAAAGACGGCTTTGCATCATCGTCCACCACCACTCGGACAACGCCTCCAAATCCATCTTCGCCTGAGGCTTCAGACTCTGCCAAGCTGACCAAGCGATCGAGATTGAGGAAGCGCAACAAAGAGTTGGCAGTCTACCTAAATGTGCAACTCTTGCCCCAACCTGAGAGGGCTTTTTTTCCGTTCAGGGAAGGCCGGTCTTGGCGGCTGGACGCAGATCACATCGAGCTTCAAGTTCAAAACATCAACCATGGACCTAGAGGCCAACAACGAGCCTTCGCTTCGCCGCCGAAAATCCCTTGTCCCGATCGAGGTCAGCTTGGCCGATGTACGAATGCGAACCGGAGATCTGCCACCATGGCATCCCTTCCCGTCGACTTGGAGACCTTGTTCATGGTTGTGTTGGAAGCTTTTACGCTCGGCCGCTGCTGTCTTGTTGCTGGTTGCTCTCTCTGGTTGAGTCGCTCGGTGCCTGAGGTGTTCTGCAGGACACATGGAGATGGTTGTCGTCCTTGGTTGCATCTGCAGGCGGAAAATAGAGTTGTGTTTTTGGCTGACCACACTCCTGCACTAGTCCGAATCCAGCAGACCACCCCACACTTCCACAGGTTTTGAACTCCACAAACAGTTCGGTTATTTGCGGAATTTGTTCTTAACCGAGCACACCGAATCTTATGCCGACCCCTCGGTTTGTCCCACAGCAGTATGTGCTTAACCGAGTGAAGTCAGTTATCGTGTATTGACAGCGTGCAGAACCACGTGATCCCCCTTTTTCACACTCGAGTGCGACGCCATGGATCAAAGCCATGCCGCCGGCATTAGCGGCTGGGATCCGAACAACTTTGCTGGCGAAGCCTGGGACCACCAGTTCAGTGGCGGCGGCCTCCCATTCAACCATGGCGCTGATGCCGACAGTAACTACCCCAACCCAGACTTCCTCGACGGCAGCACCGTCAACCCGCAGCTGTCCGGAGGCGGTCACCAGGCCGGATTGTATCGTGGGTTTGACTACTACAGTCAAGGCGATGTCTGGCCCAATCACGCCCAAACCACGGCTGCCACGTTCGCTCCGGATCCTTCGTTGCAGCCAGGGTTCTTCGCCGAGCAGCAGCATCCCACGGACGCCAACCAGTCAGTCGATGGCCGATTTTCCCTCGACATCCACCAGCACAGCAATGATTTTCCGGCCCAGATTCATAGTAGTGCCAATGGACAGGCCGAATCCCATCATCCGTTCGGCCATGGAGTAACGAACCCTTCCAGCTCTACACCAAATGGTTATTCCCAAGGCGCAATCCCACAGTGGCATGAACAAATGCCGACGGGGTATGGAGCTGGCCACCAGTTTGAGAACCCTCCTTCTGCTGCGCACACATCCAACATGGCTGCTTCGATGTCCGAAGCCTCTCCCTCCGCCTTTTTCCCGAGCACTTCATCGATACCGGGGTATCAGACGGATGTGCAGCAGCAACCCCCAAGTGCACGGCCCGTCCACCCCCAATTGGCAGCGGCTCTCAACGGACAGTCTCAGCAGCCTGTCACTGTAACGGATAGCCCGCGTGCCCCTGCGAAGCCGGTTGCGCGCAAGGTCGCGCCGCAGGAGTTCTCTCAGCAAGCTCCATTGCCGAGTCCCCAGCTAGCTTCCCAGCGCCTTATACCTCAGCAGCAGCCGGTTCAACGATCGATTCAACCATCGGCCCATCAACCGTCTCAGCAACCTCCTCTTCAGTCTGCGCTTCAGCCTTCTCCTCAGCCCGCTCCACAGCCGAGCACCGGCCACCGTGTACCCTCTCAGAAACCGATCACTCCAGCCCAGGCAGCCCAGCAGCCCTCAGGTAACAACCTCGCTGCAGGTGTGAAGCGCAGCCCCACGTCAGAAGCTCAAAGCGTCCCGGTTGTTGCGAAGAGAGCCAAGGTAGTCGCACAGGGCCCTGTCCGCGTCTCTTCACCGGCGCAGACTCAGTCCCAGACTGTGTCCGACCCTAACACCGTTCCATCCGCCGCACAGACTCAATCTCAGCCCGGCTCGAACTCTTTATGCAGCATTAACTACAAGGATGAGGCGCTCCTCTCTTCGGCTCGGGGACGTCCGGAGGCGAAATGGAAGGGAGTGCCCAATCTTGTCCTCGGTTCGGCACCTGTGAAGCTGCAAAAGGGAACGCCTACTAAGCGTTACGTGACCCTGACAACGAAGGGCGGCAAAGACCCGTTGTTCTCCAAAGCTTGGCGGGCGTGGACTCCGGCTGAGTGTCTTGGAAACCATGCGGATGCGTACCAGAAGGCGTCGAATGACCTGGATCGCCAACGGGCTGATATACGTCTTGAAATCGATATGAAGCGTGCCGCTGGCGGTGAGTGTTGCACTTCCAACGTCATCGACGTGTCATTGCTGATGCCCTTAGTAGAAGTTCCGGCCGACTGGTGGAGGAAAATTTTGAGGGATCGCTTGGGCGCGGCGGTAAGACCTTGACTTTGATAGAATCTCGCTTGTGGATTTTTTTCGCTGATTGTCTGGAAGCCGCAGCAACTTGGTCCTCCGGCAGAGCCTGATTTGTCGAGCATCAAGGCCGCTGAAATTGTTCGACTTCATCCTTTTCACCTTGGCAACCGGCAGGTGACCGGTCAAGCTTGCAGCGAGTTTGCCGACTTTCTCAGAGAGAAGGCTGGTGAGACCAAGACTGCTCTGACTGCTTTGGCAGATGCCTTAAAGAAGGCCAAGGTCGACCAGGCTGAGGTCGACTCCTTGAGGGCCCAAGCCGAGCAGTCCAAAGAACAGCTAGAGCGTGCGATTACCGAGGGACTCGGAGCCGAACCCGGCAACTTGCTTGCGAACTTGACTGGCAATAACAAGCTTGTTGCGATTGTGAACAACGTGCTCATCAAGCTAGTCAACGCGAACCAAGCGAGTTCGACTTTGACGAAAGCGATCCTTCGCCTGTATACTCGCCTCGCCAGCTTCACGCCGGAAACGCTAGAGAAGTTGCTGTTGGGTAGGATGAGAAAAAAGTTGGAGAAGGATGGGGATGCTGAGGCGAAGGCCTTGATGTCCCAGGTGTTTGAAAAAGCCGAGCAGAAGGACGATGATGAGAGTGACAGCGAGAGTGATTCGCCGGGTGCAGGGTTCGGTGGCCATCGAAGGAAAGTTGTCGCATCTGCGCAGACCCGGGCTCCTTCAAAACAGACCCGTCAGGCTGGCGACTCAACGAAGACGGCCACCGCTTCCGCGATGAAATCGGCCACCCCGACAGGCGACTCCACTAAACTCTCGTCCGCATCCGCGGCATCAAGAAATATGATATCTAACAACGAATCTTCCAAGGCCGCACCGAAGGCAGCTCAAAAGACACCTTCGACTGCGACCGGGGGAAAACGGTCCCGCGAAGACGACGACGCCGCCAACGTCGATGCGCGCTCATCCAAGAAGCCCGCAACTGACGGCCCGTCTGGCAGCGGTGCAAAGGCAACCTTGCCACTTGGGAAAACGCCCTCCACAAAGTCCACCACGGCCGCTCTGGCGTCTGGCTCGACCGGCTCTCAGACAAAGCTGCGGGGTTTCCTGCCTGGCAAAGTGCGCGAAGTACCAAAACCTGCACCCAAGCCGGAACCTGTAAAGGCCGAAGGGCAAAAAGGTGCGACTAAACCAGAGTCGACCAAACCGCAGCCCACAAAGTCTCTCTCACTTGCTTCTGGCTCTGGCACTGCGAAGACAGCCAAACCCAAGCCTGAGGAACCGACCAAGCAGGCCTCGCAAACCAAGTCAGCCTTCTCTATGTTGATGGACGAGATTGTCGAAGAGAAGACAATCAGGACGACGACTATTGACAAGAAAAAGGACAACGGCCCTGATCCGAACGAGACGCCCAAGGAGCGGGAACGCCGCCTTCGCAAAGAGAAGCGCCGCGGTCTTAGGGTCGCTTTCAAGAGCGGTGACGCACTGGTCGAGATTCGTGAGTTTACGCGCCACCCCGACGAGATTGTCGAAGGGAACATGGCGCGCAACGCCAGGACCGACGGCCGGTACAAGAACAGCGAAGAAAGCGAGATGATGAAGCGGCTCCACGGCGGCCAAGGCATTAAGACATTTGAGGTCAACGACCGCGAGTGGGAGGAGCCGACTGCCATCAACTTCTCGAGCCACATCCCGCAGGAAAAGAGGGAACAGACATATGCCACTCGTGGCGGGCTCAAGACTTTCGAGACCGAGGAACAAAAGATCATCAGGGAGCGCGAGTCGAATGAGCTGATGGTCATCTACCACAACCGCGCCGACATTCCGCCCTCCGCAAGATCGCCACCTTACGAGCCGTCGCTTTCCGGGACTAGCGGGAGCCATGAGGTGTACCTCCCGCCCACGGTGCCCGAGTATAACGAGATGATCCAACGCGGCCGGGAGTACAGTCAATGGGGTCCTTACGGTGCCTCTCGCGCGGCCCAGATGCGCTTAGATGGAAAGGGCCGTCTTGACTATGCCGCCCCGTACAGTGGGCATGCTCTTCGCCAGCCCGAAGCCCGCCCTCAGCAACCCATTGTCCATCCCGCTGAGGATCCGCGAATCTGGTACGAGCCTACCGTGGCTGCCCGGCGAGACCAACAGACGTGCGAGCTTCTCACGTCGGACCGGGTCAGGAACTGGCAAGATCCCGATCCGAACAACCTGACGTCCCGTAGGATGACCGAGGAAGAGTTGGACAATGACCCCAAACTCCAAAAAATCCTCGCCGGTCTCCGGAAAACCGCCGAGCAGGTGCAAGCCGAGGCCGCGATGCGGGAGCAGGCCGAACCGGCTTCCGAGGCGACACCGGCGCCCCAGCCCACACAGCAAGAGGCTCCTCAGCCGGCTGCCGTCGCCGCGCAGAGCGTTCAGGCTGCTGCACCTGACTACTCGGCCGCTTGGGCACAATACTACGCTGCGCAGCAGCAGCATCAACAGCAGGCCTGGTATGGCCAGCCGCAGCAGCATCCGTACGCCCAGGCCGCCAACCACTACATGCAAGCCCAACAGGTTTCCCAAGCGGCTGCGCAACAGCCGCAGCCCGGCGACCAGAACAACCAATATGCGGGCATTCTCGCTGCATTCGGCATCCAGCAGCCCGCTGCAGCCCAGCCTCATGCCGACCAGAATGCTCAAATCCAGGCTGCCTTGATGGCCCTCGCCGCTGGCACTACTGCCCAAGGTCAGGCCGCGGCCACGGCTCCTGTCCCAGCAGCCGCCGACCCACAGAGCGCTCAATATCTACTGGATGTGATGAAGCTGGCGGCAGCCGGTGGCGGTCAGAACCAGCCCCAACAACCCGCCGCTGCCCACCACGCCTACCAGCAGTATTTTAGCCAGGCTGCTGCCGCCGCCGCTCAAGGCTACGGCTCCTCCGACGGATACGGTCATGGACACGGACAGGGACAACAAGGAGGAGGTTATGGCCAGCAACAGCAGCAGCAGCGCGACGGCGGTTACGGCGGGCGTGATCGTGATCGTGATCGGGACCGCGATCGTGGTGATGGTAGGGATCATCACCGCGGCGGCGGCGGCGGGGGGTTCAACAAGGGCGGTGGCCGCAGTGGCAACGGCGGCGGTGGCGGCAAGAATAACGACAACGTCCCTGAGCATCTGCGTGGTATCAAGAGCAGCCTCATCGGCACCAAGCCGTGTGCGTTTTACGCCAAGGGGCAGTGTGCGAAGGGGGATAAGTGTACTTTCCGCCATGATTGATTTCTACTCCCGCACCCCGTTGGGGGGTGGACGGTTGCAAAGGGCATTCATTCAATGGATTGGGGAGGGTGGTCTGTTTTTTCGGGGCTTTGCAGAAAAAGAAAGAAGATGACGATCGAGAAGAAAGAAGAAGAGTACTCGGTTGGTTTTGTTCGTTCGGTTTTACAAGGCGGGCGAGCAGGCAGGCAGACAGAGCAGGCGTGGATGTATGGAATGTTGAGCATTTGACGGCGCATCGCGTTTGATCGGGAGGATATTATGGATTCTTCTCTTCTCTTCTTGGTTTTCCCCGCTTACGGTTGCATGGCGGGTATCATTGCATTTGATGCATGGCTCCATTGGTCACTGCCTGGTTGTGGGTTTGGTGGCCTACGTTGTGGGATTACCAATTTCCTTTCACTTTTTCTCGCGGAAGCCTTATCTTGTTTCCATTTGCGATTCAGAGGATGCTGGGGGTTCGTCCATACTGGCGTTTCTCGTCTTTTGTATTCATGCTGGGATCAAGACGATGGGAGAACGAGCAAGCTCCATGGCCCATGCGTGGTAGATGGAGATGCAGGAAATATAGATGACTGAACGGCCCTTGACTGGCTAGCTCTGGAGTTGTAGAATATCATTGTCACATCACCTACCCACCTGGCATTGCATAACAGTATGTCTTTGGACTGTGTTTTCCTTGATGTTCCTCATCCATCCCATCAAACCCGACGGATTCTCCATGTACCAAGTCTCCTCCTCTCTCCCGTCGCCAGCCTTCGCCCCTAACGTACTACTTCAACCCTCCCTCCGAATCATCCTTCATCACCTATCATCCAACCTGCCGCAGCTCACCTTGAGCAACCAAGTTCATGGTCCGTTCAATCGCCTCGCAAATGGACTCCACCGAAGCCATGGCGCCTGTGTAAAGAGGGTTAGCGCCGTCCGCCATGCTCTCTTCGGCGGGCGGTGTTGTAGAAATATTGATCTGGTAGGTTGGGAGGAAGTGAGAGAGGGAAAGTGAGCAATCCGGTATTGTCTCGTCCTGCTGTGGCCTGATCTTGCTTGATCTAGGTAGGTTGCTGTTGTACTAACAAGGGGCCTTGGGTTTTGAACATGACGGGTAGGGAGGGGGAAGGGTCGACTGACCATCTGGAGGGGAGCGGTTAGTGCCTTCTGATGGTAAAGAGATCTGGGGGAAAGGGTGAGTGAGGAACGTACCTCCTGTGTCACCGCATGCGAGGGTCCTGTTTGGTTTAGCTGTCATTTAGACTCTGGAACTGTTGAAAGAGAAGTCGTGGGTGGGACAGGAGAATATCGTGGTAAAGACGTCGCGGAGTCGGCTTACTTGCTAATCGGCTGCGGTGAGACAAAGTTAGCATGGACTGCTAGTCTTGGGGTTGGCAATGCTCACCGTGAGGACCTGAAACCAGCCGGTAATGGAGCGCGACCCGCCGGTGATGCCGACATCTTCCTTGACGCCCCAGTCGTCCGAGAGCATTTCGATCTGTTTTGCTGTGATGGGGTTTCTCCACATGGCCTGTACACCGCAGTCAGTGGACATGAGTCTGGGACGTGAAATCAGGGGTTCAAAGAGGTCTCTGGGTTACCGAGTTCATGGCCGGGGCAACGAGGATGATCTTCTTCTTCATGTCGATACTGGCATCTGTGTCCCAGGCGCGGATCACCGAGGTGAGGAGGTTGTCAGACATGCCGTTGACAACCTGACGCGTCTGTTAGCACTCAAAGCTTGCCTGCTATGGGTGTTTGTGCGAACTTTGGCTAGGGTGTTTGCACTCAATGCTGTTGATCTTGAACTTAGCTATCACTTCATGGCAAAGAGAAAGGGGATGATTGTCCACTTACGCGCCACAACAAGCATGTCGGCCCCTAATCCAACTCGTCCATCAGCAACCGTTGCTACTTCTCCTCGGCGGCCAAGGGAGTTAGGAGAATCAACACATACATCTCCTCAACCTGTCAGTCCACACAAGTCAGTAACCCTCTCTTCGCTCTAGATCTTGCACAAGCGGAGCTGGGCAACGAACTCGATATGTAGGATACTCGCCCCCCGGCGCCACGGCTGGGGACCCCACTCATCGTGATCCCGATAAACGGCGTCAACGTTGGGGAGGTGCACAAGGGAGGAAACGGTGGGCTGCTCGGCGCTCTGGCCGGCAAGGAAGTGGGTGGCTGACTCGGTGAGGACAATGCGAATTGAGAGGATGCCTGCGTACTTTGCTAGGGCCTGGACAATGACGGGGACTGTGTTGTATTTGGTTACAATCTACGGACATGGTGTGTTTGAGGGTAACGGGCCATGCTTGCTCTTGATGGTGGCTACGGAGCCCGACGCTCTGGATAAAACGGTCAGAGTAGGGTAGGGGGCGAAGTGCTATCTAGGGGAGGCGGAGCATACGCGAGGAGCAGGTGCTTCTTGCCGTCATTGCGGGCTGCGACGAGAGCCTCGATCGAGCTGGACTGACTCGATATGTAGTGGTTGTCATGTTCGCTCCCCACCGACTGAAGCATCGTGGTGATGGAAGCCCGAGAAAGTGCCCGTTCAATACGGAATGAAACAAATACTTAGGCAGAAGTCTTTTTAGCAGCTTTGGTCATGTGCCGGCAGGGAGGACTCAGGCTGTCAAAGGCTTTTCAGACGTGTTGAGCTCTGTTTGTCATCAGATGAGGAGCATCGGCTGTGCTTAGATGGCTTAGAAATGAGTGGTTGTCAGTAGGCCAAGAGCTGATGCAAATTTGAATCTATTTTGATATTGAAAATTCTCCACGCCTTCACTCTTAACAGCAAAGACATACATTCACATGGGGACCTACGCTTCTCCAGGACATGCCAAAGGAGCCCGATACTTTGTGTCCCATTTTGCTGCTTGACTGGGTGGATTTGACGACGAATTCAGGGTTCGAGATCCGGTGACGTGGGCCCCACTGGCCCCTCATCGAGGGGTCCTTCTCAGCCGACTACGTCATCCACCCTAACCCTACTCCCGACTTCTCCAGGCAAAATCTGTCTTCACAGCAAAGCTGGGGAGAGAAACTGAACTGTCGGTTGGGCAAACGTCGACAGATGGACATGACACTCATAATCTGAGGTCTCACCTTCTTTCTGCTGTCAATTGTTGTGTTCCGAGGAAACAAGCCCTGCCGACTGATGCGTGGGTCGCACCTGCCCTGCAGCTGCGGAACACTTGCCGGAGGAAGAGCCAATGAAACGCGTGTCTGCAGCTGCTTAAGCTCTCTGCGCGTCAGGAGCTTTGGAGCTCCTCTTTCCAACTCCGAACACGCTGCAAAGCGACGAATTGTACTTGAGTTATCCGATCCTCAAACTTGACGATTCTATCAACTGCAAATCTTGGTGAACCGCTCGAATTCAATTACTTACAGAAACATCACACAGAATAGAATCCAGCTGACAATCGCGACAATGGATACACCTGCGTCTGCTACGTCTGCTACGGGCACTCCGATGCCCGTCGAGCTCACCCCCGAGGAGACAGCCAAGAGCCTCAAGGTGTCGCTCGCCGACCTCTCAGCCAAGGCCGGCGCTCTCTACGCCCGCAAGCAATATGAGGAAGCCGCCGAAGTGTACGCTCAGGCAGCCGAGATGCAGGCCGAGATGAACGGCGAGATGAACCCAGAAAACGCCGAGATCTTATTTCTCTATGGCCGCGCCCTCTTCAAGGTTGGCCAGAGCAAAAGCGACGTCTTGGGTGGTAAGGCCCCTGAAGCGAAGAAGACACCCAAACCGAAACCAGCGAAGTCGGCCAAGTCGGGCAACGGCAACCCCCCAGCCACAGCCGAATTGAAGAATGGCGCTGTTGAGGTCGCCGGGTCTTCAGCGGCGACGATTGCTGAGGCGGAGCATCAGCTGAATCAGGCCGTCGGCGACGCGGCGTCACAAGAGGCGAAAAAGCAGGAGAAGGAGGCGTCAGTGCCAGTGCCGGAGCGGAAGAAGCCTCTGTTTCATTTCGAGGGCGACGAGAACTTTGTCGACTCGGAGGAGGAAGAGGAAGGTGAGGAGGGCGAGGGCGAGGAGGAAGAGGAGGAGGATGACTTGGGTGTTGCCTTTGAGGTTCTCGACCTCACGCGCGTGCTCTTCACCAGGCGCCTCGAGGCTGCCCAAGGCGAAGACGAGGCGCAGCAAGGAAAGGGGAAGGAGGTTGCCGAACCCGGCAGCGAGTCTCCCGTGATCAAGCACATCAAGGAGCGGCTGGCCGACACACACGATCTCCTTGCCGAAATCTCGCTCGAGAACGAGAGGTATGTCGCAAGGTCGTGAAGGACCATCACAACAACCAACTTGGTACTTCCCGGACTTTGCAAAACAACTGACATACCCTCTTTCTCCTTACCAAAGGTACCCCAACGCAATCACCGACTGCCGCGCCTCGCTCCAATACAAACAAGATCTCTACCCCTTCGAGTCCGAAGTCATCGCCGAAGCCCACTTCAAGCTCTCGCTCGCCCTTGAGTTCGCCTCGGTCACCAAGTCCTCCGACGAAACCACCGCCGCCAACAAGGAAGGCGGGGACGATAAGGTTGACCAAACCCTCCGCGACGAAGCCGCCTCGGCCCTCGAGGCAGCCATCAACAGCACCAAGCTCAAGCTACAAGCCAAAGAGGTCGAGCTCGCAACTCTGCACTGCCCGGACGACAATGAGGCAACGCGCCGGCAGATCGCCGACGTGAAGGAGGTGCTGGCCGATATGGAGCAGCGCCTGATCGACCTGCGCAAGCCGCCCGTCGACCTCAATGCCGCGCTGGGGATTCCGCCCCCGCAACGGGCCAAGGTGTCCGAGAAGATTGAGGTCTCGGAGGATGTCAAAAAGAAGGCGACCGACTTGACGGGACTGGTAAGGAAGAAGAGAAAGGCGGAGGACAACAAGCCTGCCACTGCGGAGGAGGGGGAGGTGCAGGAGGCGAAGAAGACGAAGATGGGCAGCGAGAAAGACAGTGATGGTGATAGCGACGGCGGCGAATAGTTGAGGTCGGTGCCGATTCCAGAGCTGGGTATGCGCCCGCACGTGGTCAACCCAAGGCTGTTGAGGAAGAGAATGGCGGAGGACAGCAAGCCTGCTGCTGGGGAGGAGGGTGCAGAGAAGGAGGTGAAGAAGACGAAGATGGGAGAGGGAGACGATGACAGCGACAAGGAGAACGAATAGTAGAAGCTGAAGCTGGTGCCAAAGCTGGGCATCCACCCACACGTGGTCAACCCAAATCTGCATCAAGAAGAGGGGGAATGTTTCAGAGTCCGATAAAGGGGTGGAAGATGGGAATCGGGGAAAAGCGCTTCCTTTCAGAGAGCGCGGCTGATCTTGAGGACGCGTTTGCTAGCTACCCTTGAGGCGTTGTCTGAGGTTGTGATGCTGGGGGTTGCGGGACGTGGTTGGGAACTGGAGAGAGAGACTGTGTCCTCTTACGTCTTGCGTCTTTGCTTGTTTTTAGGGGCTGTTGTGGACATTCCGTAGGATCTGTGTTTCCTCTGTCTCCATTGGTCTTGGCTTTGCTGGGTGGTGTTGGCGGCGAGAAGGAAAAGCCTTGTGAAGTAGATGGCAGGACTTGGGCATTGTGTATGAGTATGGATTCTTCTTGTGTTTCCATTTCTGCCCTTTTTTTCTGTTGTCGGCGGCGTACCTTGAGGATGGATGCTTGCGCAGGTCGGGTTAGGGGGCACCATACGTACAAGCAGTCCAGTTACTTGCATATTTGATGCTTGAAAACACAACGATAACGACGTGATGTCGATCAGAGCCAAAGATATCTCCACCATCTCCAGGGGGTATTTACTACTGATGCCATCTTAATCGATCGATGCTATGCTATGCGCTCGCTTCCCACATCCCTCCCAGTCAACCCGTCACAAAGAAACATGTATACTTTCTGTCCCATCCCACATCGAAACAATTCAAAGATTAATTCATTAGAGCTGAAAGTTCGTGCTCTGCACCCTGTTCTCGGGCCCCCGCAGGTGCGCCGACGACCCCTTGAACAGGCTCTGCCAGATGTAGGCCTCGCTCAGCAGCAGCTCAATGTCTTTCTCGGTCCAGTCGCGCGTCGGCAGCGACTGCAGGAACATCATGATCTCTTGAAAATCCATCTTGACAAGCTTGTCGGACCATTTCACCAAAAAGGCGGCGCACACGTAGAGGTGGAATTCGGAGAAGCCTTGTTCTTCGGCCTATTCATGAACAGTAAGCAATGTAAATACTGGGGTAGAGCGGCAGAAATGAAGATGAAGGAGAGAGGGAGAGAGAGGGCTCACCATGTAGGTATCCCACATGCGGATGGTATTCTTCACGCTGATTTCGCGCATCAGCAGGCAGTTCATCCAGCGGAAGCTGAACTGGATGAACTCGACGTTCTCCTTCTCCAGGTGCTTGGCCAGCCCAGCGTCGATGCGGGCCGTCAGATCCCGCAGCGCTGACACCTGCCGCTGGATGCCCGGCTGCGCCACAATGTAGTGGTCCTGGATGCCGTCCAGCAGCTTGGTCAGGCACCAGAACGAGTCGGCCTCGACCGCGTCCAGCACGGCGCGCGGCAGTTGGCCCGGGTCCATGCCGCTCTCAATGTCCGGGTCCGTGATGTAGACGCCTAGAAAGACCTGCCAGAAGGGCGTGACGAGGTCGTTGATGCCCTGCACGTACCCGCTCGCCGGGTGCCGCACCGCCCACACGTACAGGATGCGCTCGAGCGAGCGCTGCGTCGCCTCGTAGCCGTAGAGCTCAATGTGCGGGTTGGTGCGCGGCACGTCGATGCTGATCTGGTGCCAGATTGCCTCGTCCAGGCCGCGCCCGCCGCGGGCCGAGGTGGACGTGCCGCCGCTTCCTCCGCCGCCGCCTCCTTTTTCGAAGGCTTGTCGCACCCCGTCGAGGTACTCTTTTCGTTTTCGCTCGAGCGTGGCTACCCTTCTTTCGCTGCTGGTCGGGAGATAGCTGAGCAGGAGCTGCCAGGTCATGGCGCGGACTTCTTCTGGCACGCCGGACCATGCCAGGGCTCGCAGGTCAGAGAGCGATATTGTTGATGCCTGTAATAACCTTTTGAACTTGTTTATCCTTGTTATCCTCGAATTGATGGTGTCCATCTCTTTCTGCGTGGCGTTGGCTGGTGTGGAGGGGTAGTTTATCAAATGGAGCGCGTTCGCGGGGTCGCGCAAGATTTCCTTGTATTGCGGCCGTAGTATCTTGCCCTCGCTCTTCTTAGGGATGGGGTATATGGAGGCCGGCCGCTCGATGGCAATGTCAGCACTGTCCGAGTTTCTTCGGCGCGGTTCCTCCCGCCGGTCTTCGTCGTGGCCCAGTCCGCTGTCGGTCTGCGCCTTGCTCTGTTCTGCCATCCTCTTTGTCCTCCTCTTCATGTTGGACAGACTCGGCAGGCCGAAGTCGTCGCCGTCGTCCGACTCGTAGTCGTACATGTCCTCGGCGTCCTCAACGGTCCAGTCATCGTTGGTGTTGGACAGAAAGTTCATGTAGGTCTTGAACGGCGGTGCGGTAGCCTTGGAGCCTGTCTTTCGCGACGGTGAGCTCGCTGAGGCGGTCCGCTCGTAACCTGAAGCCGCGGATGGTGGGGTCCTTGGGCGCGAGCCGGGGCCGGAGAGGTTCCTGGCTTCATGTCAGCGGGTGAGATGCGCCGAGTATTCGATCCCGAAGCATACAGAGAGTCAAACTTGAGCATGTCGGCGTGGGAATAGGCGGCCCCCACCACCAGGCTCGAGTCGCGTGCCTTGGTCGCAGGCGGGGTGTCTCGAGGAGGGGCCCTCCAGAACGGGGAGGCAGCGCTGCGAACAGAGTTAGAAGATCACAAAAGAAAAGAGATGGTGCAGTTAAAGGGACAGTACATACTCGGACCTGTCTGAGCCCATTGAAACGCCAGATCAGTATAAAAGTCCTGTACGGTGGGGTGGTGCCGTGCCGTGTCCGTACCGACTTGCACCATCTCCTGCTTCGGCGACAACTGCTAAAAGGTTGGTGTTAGGACAGAGCACTCAACAACCTTGAAACAGCTGAGTGGTGCCCTTACCTGGGGAGGGGCTTTCTTGCCGCCGCCGGAAGAAGAAAACATTATGGATTGCTTGCGATGCTACCACGCAATGGCATGGTTGCTTTGGTGTCTCGGTGTTTGATCTAGAGGAATTGGTTGCTTATGTTGCCTGCCCTCCCTATTCGTTTTCTCACCTGCTGGGGTCGGGGCAGCTGCTTGCCGGCTTTGGGCGCGGACGGCCGCTGATAAAAGGCTGGCACTCACTGCATCGGGTCCAGTCGCAGTCCAGTGGAGTGGCTTTTGACGGCACAGTTGCCCTGCCCCGCTTTCTGTGACCGGGGCGCTTTGATGGGCCATGCGCCAGACCCACTCTGCCAGTGACGGGAGAGGAACCTGCAGTTGTTGAACCTTCAAACCTCAGCACTTGCTCCTGAACCTGCATCCTCCGTGAACACAACGCAATCGATCGACAAGGAGTGTCAGCCCCGTTCATTCCGAACCGCCCTGTCTATCTCCTCCTCGAAAATTCATTCAGGGCTCCTTTTTTTCTTTTCTTTTCCTCTTTTGCTCTCTTCTAATCTTGCTTTCACGGTCACCGACGGCTCAGGAATCCAGTCAGTCAAGGCGACGCGTTCAGTATCTCACCTAGTGTGCGCATCCAAGCCGGCACCATGACCGAACCCGAGAACTTTGACGACGAGCTCTTCGCCGATCTGTATGTGTCAATGGGTGGTACTTCGCTACGGGCATGGATTCTGACTGCTGGCAGCTACAACGATGATGAACCACCTGCCAAGCCAACGGGCGCCTCAGCCCCGGACCAGTACTCAGCTACCCAAGCTGCGGCCCCTGAAGCCAAGGAAGGGATTGAGAATGGCGGGCAACAGCAGGATTACAATGGCGGAGGGGATGCCACCCATATGAAGTACGAGGACGAAGAGGAAGAGGAGGACGACGATGAGATCGACTTCAACTTAGGAAACGGCCCATCCGCTGCAGTATCACACCGCGACCATGATGACCAACACGATGAAAAGCCGAGCTATAGCGCGCCCCCTGCGGCGGCGCCCGCTACGAAGGGCCCGAATGCCAAGGAAGATGGGTAAGTACAGTTCATTTATTTGCTTGGGCATGACACATATCCATGGCGCGCGCGTACATTTCTGGGCCTCTGGGAGGTTACCATACGCTGTATCGAATCATGACAGCATTGCCGTGGCTGGCATTTGCGACACTATCACAAAACGCAAAGTCTGGCGGAGAGCGTGGTATGAAACTTTGAGGGCAAGGGTTGGGCAAGTAAGGTTGGGATCTAGGTGTGAACCAGGTGGGATTGTTCTGGTCGGTGTTCCCAAACCTGCCACCCTATGATTCTGGTGCACATTTTGGGCACGCGTGGGTGGAACAAAGGCGAATGCGAGAATCCGTGTTTGGGAAAGAAACCAGATTTCCTGTCTGGAAGGAGAAAGAGGAGGGACTGGACTCTGCCTGAACGGACACCCGCCACGATCATACAGCGCCGACACGATAGATGGGGAGTTTGTGCTCCTGTCTTGTTAGCCCAGTCCGCAGATGATCTTAGACGACCACGAGACGGCATGGCGCGGGTTAACCCTGAGCCATGTGCTCTGGTATCTAGGTTAAAATTTGGCAGGCGATTAGCGCAGCACTCAGAAGAGGCAGCTAGCTTCACGATAGGCAACAAGAGCACGAGACAGGAACAAGAAAATCAGTTCGGCAAAGGTCATCACTGGCACTCTGCGCTGCATCTTTCTTCACACTCGTGGGAATTGCTGTAGCGTACTTCGCGTTCGGCTCCGCAACACACTTCGCTTCTTCGACGCCGCCATCCAACCGTCAACATGCCCGATCAGGATCAATTCTGGGTTCTCAATCATACATACTCGGAACTCTCACAATGGCCTGACTTCATCCCGCTCGATTCAAACGAAAGCGATAGCGATAGCGATAGCGATAGCGAGAGCGACAGCGAGAGCGTCAGCAACAACAGCGACGGCTCCTGACACCCCAGCGTCCTCATCTCCACTCCGCGACACTTCACTCTCCTCACCGCCCGAGCGTGGTGGTCGGCTGCCAAGGATTATCGTGAGAATTAACGGGGCTGCTCCTCACAATGGAAACGATTACGGTCCAAGTGGAAGGTTGGAAAAATAATGTACCACACATGGACGAGTCGAGGATGCAGCAGCCGCTGTGGGCTCAGCTATCCTCTTACCCTTTCAATGTTTCCGACGCTCTCACCGGAACCATTTGAATGGCGGTTGAGATGCCGTGTTGCTGGAAGAGAAGAGCCTATCAAAAACTGGGATCGGCTGTCGGCTTTCCAACATGTCATGGCCCTATTCGCACACCCATGAACACTTCACCTCTATATGCCCTTTTGCACTTCACGAGAGATAGAATGATGATGCTAACGGGCTTCGCGCATACAGGAAGATGTTCATCGGTGGACTGAACTGGGAGACTACAGACCGTAAGCCGACCCGCATAAAGGCCCGTTTGAAAAATTGTATGCTAAGTCAATTTTCAGAATCCTTGAGAGACTACTTCTCCCAGTTCGGCGAAGTGGTGGAATGCACCGTCATGAGAGATGGCGCCACCGGCCGCTCCCGTGGTTTCGGCTTCCTCACCTTCAAGGACCCCAAGACGGTCAACATTGTCATGGTGAAGGAGCACTATCTGGATGGCAAGATCGTGAGTATCTCTCTCGAACCCTTTCCAGAGACAAATGTCCTTTCAAGTTGCTCACCACACATTAATTCCCCTTCCAGATCGACCCCAAGCGCGCCATCCCCCGCGACGAGCAGGAAAAGACGTCCAAGATCTTTGTGGGCGGCGTCAGCCAGGAGACCACCGACCACGAGTTCCGCGAGTACTTTGCGCAGTTCGGCCGCGTCGTCGACGCCACCCTCATGATGGACAAAGATACGGGCCGCCCGCGCGGCTTCGGCTTCGTCACCTTTGAGAGCGAGGCCGGCGTCGAGGCCTGCCTCACCGCCAACCTGGAGATTCACGGAAAGCCGATCGAGGTCAAGAAGGCCCAGCCGCGCGGCAATCTCCGGGACGACAACGACGACGCCCGCCGCGGTGGCAAATTCGGCGGCGGCGGCCGCAAGGGACAACAACAGGGTGGCATGGGTGGCGGTATGGGCGGCATGGACGATGGCAGTGGTCAGATGGGGGGTGCCATGGGTGGCGGTATGGGCGGCATGGGCCCCGGCACGGCGGGCATGTCGGGCCAGGTCATGGCGCAGTATATCCAGCGCATGCAGCAGGCCATGGCCATGTTCCAGCAGCAGATGATGATGAACCGCAACATGAACCCCGCCATGGCCCAGATGATGTACATGCAGCAGATGCAGCAGATGCAGCAGATGATGGCCCAGCAGCAGCAGGGGAGCAGGGGTGGGCCCATGCCGGCTATGCCTGCTATGCCGCCTGGTATGAACCCGGCTATGATGCAGCAGATGATGAACCAGCAGCAGCAGCAACAAGGCGGCGGGGTTGGTGCTGGTGGTGGTCCTGGTGGGCTGGGAGGAATAAACCAGGGCGGGATGAGTCCCGGTGGGGGCAGCCAAGCTAGCGGTAGTGGTGGTGGCGGCGGCGGCGGCGGCGGCGGTGGCGGTCCGAACCGGCCCGGGGGGTACAACGCCTATGAGCAGCAGCAGTTTGAGCAGCAGCAGTTTGAGCAGCAGCCGCAAGGTCCCGGTGGCCACCAACAACAAGGCGGTCGTCGCGGCGGGCGCGGTAGTAGTGCTGGAGCAGGTGACATGCACCACCACCACCACCAGCAGGGCTATGGCCAGGGCGGCACGTTCATGGGTGGTGGCGGTGGTCAGGGCGGGCCTACCAGCTGGGAGGGCATGTATGACGACGTTCCGCAGCCCATCATGAGCCAGGGCGGCGGTGGTTTCGGTGGTGGTGGGCGGGGTGGGTTCCACAAGGGCGGACGCGGTCACCAGCAGCAGCAGATGCCGCAGGGCCCCATGGATCCTAACAACGCGCCACCTCCAAACGCGCCGACGGGACCCAAGAATGCGGGCCGGGCCGGGGCGAATTACCGCGGTGGTGGCCGGGGCGGGAACAGGGGGTTCCATCCTTATGCGAGAAGCTAGGGGCCTTCTCATTAAGGGGCAGTTCTTGATGGGAAGCAGAGTGGTGCGGGGCCTTTCTTTGCGTTCTGCGTTCTCTGAGTTCTTGGGCTCATTATCGAGTATGGCCGGGCGAGGAGGGGTTTGAGAATGCGGGTACGGGAGGGAGGGAATAGGGACGGGCTAGTTCGACCTCGGGCAGGATGATGCTATTCACAGGTCTAAGGCTGATAGTAAAACGAGAGGTAACATCAAGGGGGGATTTCCTTGCGGATTTTTTGTACAGTATCATTGCTTTCAGAGTTCGATGCCTTTTAACCTCACATTCCTGACATTAACGTATCCACGAGGGCGAGACACAGGACAGAGACGGCTGGATGATCTGCGATGCCGCCTCCCAAACATGGCGCATCTCAACCTAACCATATAGTGCTGTGAACCCCTCTGCTGGCGGCTGCAACCAGTTCCGCTTATCATACTCAAACCCCTCGGCGCCCTCAATGATATGGAACGTGTAGATGATCCTCCCCTTCTGACTCGTATTCTTCTCGCTCTTGTGCAGCAGATTCCCATGGATCAGCACCAACGACCCAGCCTTGACCTCCCCAGACACATACTCGGCTTGCCCATTCTCATTTTGGAGCTCCTCACCATAACCCTCCCCCTTAGGAAACTTACTCCCTTGATTCGCCACCATCTCGGTCCCCTTCCCATCCTTGATTTCGGCATCCTTCCTCACCAACCGCTTCTCGACGGGCGCCCAGCGGTGCGAGCCCGGCAGGAAACTTAAACACCCGTTCTCGAGCGTGGCATCCTCGAGCGCATACCAGAACCCGACGGCGCTGGGCGGGTCCGTGTACAAGAAGGTCGAGTCCATATGCGGAGGCACCGCGCCGCCGATCTCGGGCTGCTTGCAGATAACCATGCTCTGTAGCACGCGCGGGTCGGTGAACCCCAAAGACCGGGCGACGGCCGCGGGGCTGGCCTTCATGCCTTCATTATCAGAACCCGATAAGAGGGAGGCAAAGGGCGGCGACAGCACGTGCAGGTAGTGGCCAATCTTGTTGACGGCGCGGTGTTTGGGCTTGATGAGGTTGCCCGACGAGTCAAAGGCGTCGTCTTCTAGAAAGAAGCGGATCTTGTCGCCCGAGCTGAGGAAGTAGTCGTCGCCGACGTGGTCGTCGCCTGTTTCGCCGCCCGTGCGGAAGCGCGTGAGCGGGTGCGTGGACAGGTCCAGCGTGTCAAGCAGCCGCTGTGTTTCGGCGAGGAGGGAGGAGACGGTTGAGGGGGAGAGCGCGTCGGGGATGATCAGGTAGCCGTCGCGCTGGAAGGCGGCCAGTTGGTCGGGGGTGAGCCCTTCTTCGGGGGCTGTATCCGAGGACATGATGGGCGTGTGTGACAGGAAGAGTTCAGGTGTGAAAGGCTGAGTCGTTGTTGGGATAGAGTTGAGAGTTGAGAGGGGTGAGTAGAGAGGTGTGAGTTGAGTTGAGAGGTGTGAGTTGAGTTGAGAGGTGTGAGTTGAGAAGTGTGAGGTGAGTTGAAGAGGGGTGCGTTGACCCCGCCATGTCTCAAGCTCCATATTTTATCTGGCACTCTGTGACCAGCGTTGTTGTTGCCATCACACCGTCGCACATCGTGTACAAAGTAAGACGGAGGAACAGAAATAGGGGGAACGAAATAGGAGGCACCGCATGTCCTCAGGTTGCATGTCAGCATCAGCAGAACCCGATATAGATTCACGGAGCAACATGCTAAACAGAGACAGAAAGCATTCCCACCTCTTCCACTCTAGCCCACAGACCGGGTGGTAGAACAATGCACGGGTAGACCTTCTCCTATCGGACCCAGTGAAGCATTCCAAAAACAAACCCATCAGTGATGTCTGCAGCCGGCCCGCCCAGAGGTCCCCTACCATCCTGCTCCGCCAAAGCGACTACCCTTCCCACCTGTTTCACTACAGAACGAGAAAAACGAAAGGTGGCATAGCCAATTTATATAACATACACACAAATCCTGCAGATGACTCTCGTCGAGCTTGAATAGAGCGCAGCGGGTAGAATCTCGACATGGCGAGGACCACGAGAGAAGGGAACCGCGCCGGAAAGGATGGTATCAAGGCATTCGATGATCAAAATTCCATGACGCCACGTAGAAGGAGAAGCTGAAGGAGAAAGGGCAAACAGAAACAGATCCAAATCCGGGAGGAGGATCAGCCCAACGCCAAAACGCCTCGAAACTTAGCAAGCAACCCAACCTCTCCCAACCAAGAAACCACGCGGCAAGCCTGCTTCCACTCGCCAGTCAAGCAGTCCCAGGCCCATCCGGTCTTTCCTACCTCCAACCCTCCGACCCCCGCCACCGAGGCATGCGCGCCCCTTACTTCCTCAACACAGCATCATACACAGCCGTCAGCCCCGACACGGCCGTGCCCACCAGCACACCCCTCCAGCCGCTGTACAGCGCCGAGTTGATGCGGCTGACCGACTCCAGGCTAATTAGACCCCAGAAGGTGACGCCCTGGGCATACACGACGTAGGTGACAACAGCCTTGACGATGCTGAACATGACGGGATCAACGACATACGCGACCGGGCCGCCCCGCCTGACGACGCGCCCACCCGACGCCGACACCCCGACCGACTGCGCCTGCGCCGCGCCCAAGCTGAGATTAAAGAAATACCCGGCCAAACTCGGCAGCAACACGCTCGTCAGAGCCCAGGTGAGCGTCGGCCCCCAGAACCCGGCCGTTACGAGCGCGAACATGTCGGGCAAATAGACGGGATAGTCGGGCGTGCCCAGCGCGCGCACGGCGGGGACCGTGAACGCGTACCGGTCGGGCAGCACCTCCTGGCGCAAGCGGTACAGCTCGAACAGCGCAATGGCCGACACGACCGAGTGCACCGTCGACAGCCAGGCGCGCGTCTGCTGGGTGGCCTCGCCGAACCCGGAGTCGCGGTACAGCGAGGCGACGCGCGTGCGCACGGCCAGCGCGCTGCGGTCAACCGCCTGCGCCACCTCGGCCGGCGTCGCCGGCAGCTGCAGACGGCTCGCCAGCGCCATGGCCCGGCCGGGTGTGCGCGCCAGCGCGTCCGAGGCGGCTTGCGCCGCGTGGGCGGTTTGGGTTGTAAGGGAGGTCGACTCGTCTTCGTCGTCTTCTTCTTCGTCGGGTCTGTGTGCGGGTAGGGAGTGGTTAACTAGTTGGAAAGGGGAGTTGCCTTTTGTGGTTTGTGGTTGTGTTCTTAAAACCGCGACGCGACTTCGCGCGCTCAGGTATTGAGGGAGGGGCCGGGGAGGATGAAGACTCACTCGACGGCGGCGGCAATCTCCTCGACGACTCTGGCTGCCCGACGGCGGGCTGGCTTCAAGTCAAGGGTAGCCAGACCCTCCTTCTTGACGGGCGAGCCGCCGGCGCGGGCGCGGCTCTTGAAGTAGTCTTGGAACCGGGAGTCCAGCTGGTATCGCGAGGCTTGCTCCGAGAGGTGCTCGTCAATGGCGAGCTCCAGGTCGGTCTTTCGGTAGCTCTCGTAACTGTGATCAGGAAGGACTGATTAGATCGTGCCATAGTGTCTTTGCTGCGGCTGTTGCGACGCGTCTGAGTCGAGATTGGGGAGGGATGGTGGTGGTGATGCAATGACACGCGAGATTCTGCAGCAGCACGACTGCTTTCGCGCATAGTACAGAATCGGATGCGTGTTGCAAAATGTGATAGAACGCAGCGAACAATTACGGGACACCACAAAATCGATTGCTCTTGTGAATGCGAAGCAAATGCGTTGCAAAGACGTACTCTTTCAGGCCGATGGCTTGCGCCAGCTCGACGAGGTCCGACTTGCGCTGTCGCGCGAGCCAGCTGTTTCCACTCGACATGTTTTGCAAGTAAGAAGCAAGTCGAAATTGATATCGCTATGATCGCGCAAATCAGGCGACTCCAAATGCGATGGTTTTGTTGAGAGCCAAACAGGTTGGATTGAGCTGGAATGTGTTTGTATCAAGAGTGAAGCTATGATGCCAAATTGCCAGGATGTGCTGTGGAGGGGAGGGGGTTCTGAGGGTTGTTGTGTGTTGTTTTTGTTTTGACCAACGACGTGTTTTGGCCCCTCGCCTGCGGCCGGCAAGCTCCCGCCAGCTTGGGCGGCTGATTGTCCCGGGGATTTCTGGACGTGCCAGACTGCCAGTGCCCAAGAAATGAGGGGGCTGGAAATGGCCTGTGAGGTCATTCTGGAGGAGGGCTCCACAGGCCAATCAACTGCTCCACTGCTGATCTGTTCCTTCACTCACAGAGCATCACTGGGTCATCTCATGTTCATCATTCACTCCCACAGTCCGAATGAAAAAGGGGATGGAAAAGGAGGGGAAAACAAATCAAGGCTCAGTATAGGGCGCAATACAAAGAGTCATGCCACGCAGGGTGAAGAACGGAAGGGATGAATCTCATAACGTTGGTTATTTCAATCACATCCAACACACACTGATGATCACTGAATGTCCCCTGCCCATCAAACTAGTTCCAGGTCACTCACAAACCTCTCCCTCCCCCTCTTGACAAACCTCACCGGCACATACCTCCCCCCATGCAACTTCAGCGTCAAGACCGAATCCGCCTGCCGAATCGTCTCCCTACTCTTCTCCTGCGCCCGCCGATACAACCTCCGCTTCTCCTCCGGTCCCATCGTCTCCACCTGCTCATCGCTCGCCCACTCGTCCACCGCCAACTCAATACTATACCTCTGAAAAATCACAGCCAGCACGGCCCCCATTTCGACCATAGCAATCCGCCTCCCCAAACACGACCGCGGCCCGTCGCTAAAGGGCAGATAGCTGCCCCGCACGGGCCGGTACAGCGACGCCGACACATCACTGCCCTGGAACCCGCCGTAGTCGGCCTTATCCTCCACCACCACCGCTGCCGTCGCCTCCTCCTTTTGACCCAACTTCACATCCCGGCTGCGGTACCATCTCTCGGGCAAGAAATCGTCCATGTCGTTCCCCTTCCCGGACGTCTCGCTCGGCCGGGTCGGCCACCAGCGCGGGTTGCGGTGCACGCACACTGCCAGCAAGGTAATGGCCAGCCCCGCGGGGAGGACATGCGTCTGACCGTCAATCGTGACGGGCTGGTCGGCGTCCGGTATAACAACCTTGGGGATGCCCGTGACGGGCGGCATGAGGCGCAGCGTCTCGTTGACGGTGGCGCCGACGTGGCTGGCCAGGAGCGGGTTGATGACTTTCTCATAGTCCCAAGTGGATGGGTCCGAGCCGCCAAAAAGGGCGTCGACGTCGCGCTGGAGGCGGCGCTGCGTCGCCGGGTTGTTGGCGAGCTCCACGAGCGCAAAGTGCAGCGTGTTGGCCGTCGTCTCGTGGCCCGCGACGATCATGATGAAGGCGTTGCCGACGATGTCCGAGTCGGCGAGCTCGCTGTTGTTGTCCTTGGCGGAGCTGTTGTATTTGGACTGCACCAGCTGGCCCATGATGTCCATGCCTTCTGTACGCAACTGGCCGCTCTGGGTTTCTTCAATCTTGTCGTTGAGGAACTCGTTCATGTATTGGACATAGTTGCGCTTGGCTGTGTAGGCTTCCTTGGCGAACTTGAAGGGGAGAATTCCTGGTCGGGATGTTAGTCCTGTTTACAACGCAGGTCGAGCAGAAGGGGAAAACGGACGGAGTAGAACCTCGGGGAACACCATAATGGCGACGATCCGTTCCAGGGTGAGCGCCACCGAGTCAGCAAAGGTCAAGGAATGCCCCAACGGCGCGTCCAAGCTGCCATACTTGGCCAGCTTGGGGTCGATGTCCTTGGGTAGCGTCTGGCCAGGCCAGAGCAAGCGCAAGCCGAATCCCACGTAGCCGATGATGTTGAGGGCCCATGTCATGGTGTCGTGCTCGAGCGACCTGATGGTCTTTGTCGTGCCGGTCCTCTCGCCGTCTGGGTCGCCAAACCACATGTCGAGCATGCCCCTCGTCTGGTTGATGGCCTCGGCGAAGGTGTGGGCCGCGTTCTTTTCATTGAAGCTGGCGCTAGTGACCTTGCGGTGGATGCGCCAGAGGGCTCCTTCGGTGGTGAGAACATTCTTGCCAAACATGTCGAGAATGTCGTACTTGGCAATATCCTTTGGGAAGGCCTCGCGGCGCTGCGTGATGTGGTGGATCACCTCGGCGCTCTGGGTGTACATGATGAGGTTGGTTGGGGATACCACGATAAAGCTCTCGGTTCTCAGGCGGTCAAAGTGTGTCTGCCCCGTGCTGTAGGCCCATTCGGGGATCATGACGCTGAGAGGTCAGCTATGGTGTGGTTGCCTCTGAGAAAGAAGTGCTCACAATAACCATTTTTTCCATAGCGACCTCGGAAGTAGTTTGATAAGGGGGACCCATAGCCAAAAGGTGAGCTGCCACGCAATGTTGATGGGGGAAATAGCTGCCATCTGTCAGCAAAGTCATGGCATCATGGCCCAATGAATGGCTGTTGTTGCTTACGGACAACGAGATAGACAAGGCCCGTCTTCCGTGCCTTGGCGATGTTTTTCCGCAAACCCGAGAGGATTGTGTAGATGGCTACTGCGACGGTGGCGCCGACGGCAGCAAGCAAGGTAAAGGCCATGGTCAAGACTAGGCCTTGATAGCCCTACCGTCGTGTCCCCGCTGTCACTTGATGCCGGTCAAACTGTCATCCGTACCAGATGACGGATCCAACAGGCATTGATGAGGTTGAGCTATGGCGCGTAGGGCCAGCAGCACTCGGTCCGGCAGAAGTAGTTTCAGTAGAACAAAGACAGAGGCTCAGGTGGGCAGCTCGGTTTCAGATGGCGACTATGTGTTTGTGGGGCCGCCCATCTTGCTACACTACCTTAGGACCCGTGGGACCTCATCGGCCGCCACTCGAAGAAGCTGAACTGGGACAAATCTCCAAAGACGAATGGCTCGGCTTCACCCTGCCAGGGTGAAAAGGGCGGGACAAATCCGGTGTGAAAGTTCCATGCCATGTTCTGTGCGAGTCGGTTCCCGATTACAACCACCCTCTCCAGAGCCAGCGAGTGCCCTGGTGTATGAAACCAACAAACCGCTTGGGCACTGGAACTTCTGGAATGCCACAGTGATTGGTTGACCATGTCCTTCGATGTTCGGGGCCTGCCATCCCGGGAATAGCGCATGCACACTGCCGGTGCACTTGGCAAGCCGTCGAGAGAAATCCCCAAAGTTCCCCGTCCCAGGCCGTGCCAAGCCCAGCCCCACACCCATTCATTCGTACAATACAGCACAGGTAGGAGTAATAACGGAAAATTCCATCACTTCCACACTGCCGGAACTTAGTACAGTTCACCTACTGTATTATCCAACAACTCGAAGGCCCAATCTCCTCGCTGTTGCAGTTGCTGTCAAGCCGGACAGCATCAGACGTCAAACCCGCAACCCACTCAGATTGTCTAGCTTGTTGAACTCAAAGAACCCAAGGGCCTCAACGACGAGGCACGAGACCCAGGACTTCGAATTCGAGATGATGTCACGCAAAGCTCATGTCTCGAACACGGCATAACGCAGCAGCCTGCATCCCGCAATCGCTGCCCGTCCCGTCCGCATCCAACTGCGCAGTTTGGGGTGACACAGAACCGCTACATGTGCCGGGATTACTATTGGATGGCCCAGACCTGACGAGACACGTAACATCAAGTTCAACACCACCATGTATCGGTCCCCAACCTCGCTATAGCCGACATAAGTTCTCGGGGATGTTGTCGCATGGCAAGGGACGGCCGAAAAGCGAGGCTTGTCCCCCGCACTTTGATACATTCTTCGGAATCACCACGGAGCGAACCGGGCATGGCACCCATCGAGATGAGATTTCATCCAGATCAAGGAGTCGCAAGCCTTCCATTCGCCTCGATCTCATCCGGACATATGGGAGAAGATTGTCTCACCGGAGTAAACCGTTGACCACGGCCCGTGGCGAGTTTCAAAACGACCGCCGATGTCCACTTTTGGACGCCGCCGCCAGACTCCGGCACCCATATCGGCTGACGACAAGGATGCCGAGTCAGAGGGCGGTCCAAGCTCGCCGTGCGCAGGGCCACATCGATCGCTTTGCGGAAATCACCGCACCGACACAATGGCCCTCGCCCGATCCTCATCGCCCTGTGCGGGGTATTCGCTCCGTCTGATGGTTGTGCTGGAAAAGGATGACAACAGAGCTTTCCATCTCGCTCCGCACGCCCACACAGTGTGCATCGCATCCGCTGTCCAAAGAGGGGTCTCAAGGAGCTTCCATCCGAAGAGCTTGACCCTGGCAAAAGCAGTGACCTTGATGGGCCAGCTCGAGTCGTCGTACTCTCTCGCTACCCCATGTTGCCCACAAAAGTTCCGCTCATTGTGTAGATGGGAGGAGACTGTGCTAGCACAAAACGCAGTAGGTACTCGCAGTAATCGTGATATGAGTTGAGGAGAAATAAACACCAACATCGCTCGTTGGAGGATTTAGTCAACCGTAGTCCCTATACGACACCCCCCGTGCCCGTTAACAACATGCGTCGAGCACGGTCCAATACCTTAGCTGGGCTTTCCCATCAATGGTTTGGAGTTCTCGTTATGCCCTAACTCCCAGGACTGCCAATTGCTCAAAGTGAACACATAACCAAGCAATGCAGCAGTACTGTGTCTTCAGTTCAGCTGGGAGTCCATCAACACCAATGCCAGGATCCTCAACCTGCCCCTCGACGAGCTTTATATCACTTATATATCGGAGCTTTGCCGCTGATAGTCAAATGACTGGCCCACGCCGCTCTCTAAAGCAGGACTACCAATACCAGGCATGTAAGATATATCGTACAATCCAAGGCCCGAGGCTCAACCGCCCGTATTTTAAACACACCCAAGGCCCCAACCACCATGGCCGCCCCTCCGCTGCCATCATCAACACGTCAAGTCCCAAACGCAGAGGTCCCGCCCGATATCATTCGCCTTTCATCATGAATCATCAAAACCAAAGCCAGAACAGAAAGCCCGGCCAATCAAAGCCAAGCCTACATCACGGGCAAGCAAGCGCGGCGCCATACCAAGTGTGGTGAGGGTGAAAGCCATCCACAAAGCACGCAAGTCAACACCACCAACAACCCGCACACTCCGAACACCATCATCACCAACCCAAAAAGCACATTGCAAAGCAAACACAGCCCAAACCACCCAAAACCAAACAGTCAAAGAGACTCAGAAGGGCAACGCTGATTAGGCCCCTGAAAGCCCGCCAGCCGACGTAACGAAGCCGATCAAGCAAAGCTTCAGGGGTTCGTCCGCCACCGGATAGAAATTACAAGACCAATTGTGGTACAGGGAGAACCGAAAAAGGAAAAAATTGAGGGCGAGGAAAGGAAAAGAACGCAACGCAACGCATCAATAAAACTTTTCCGCCTCTACCCATTGGCCGTCGTGAAAAGAAAACCCAACCCATAAAACCCAAAAAGTCAAAAGGAAAAGAGAGCCCCCAAACGCCCTGGAGATGCAGTGATGATGCAACCCTGCCGGCCGTAGCTAGCCAGCCTACCGTCGGAAACCCGACCCTGACCTGACCTGACCTGACCTGCTGCCCTGACTGAAAGAGCAAACCCAAATTCATCATGTCCCAGCATTCCCAGATTTCCGTACCCATCCCATCCAACCATGCCGTTTAATGTTTTCCCATTGCCATGCCCAGGCCATGCCGGTGTCAGAAATGCATAAGAAGGGTTCATTGGCCTCGTCCGTGGCTGTCGTGCCTGTCGTGACCGTCATGCCTCCTGGAAAGGCGAAAGGGGGTGAGGCTTGGCACCTAGATCTGAATGCCGTTCCATAAATCAAGGGTGGAAAAAAATAGGAAAAATAGGAAATCTTGAGTGAGAAATGATGTGGTCGGGCATGATGTTGATGTTGGTTCTCAACCAGTCAGTCAGTCTGACCGGTCAGAGTCCATGCCGTCCATGCTGTCGTCTATGTTGGCAGGGCCAACTTGACTTCCCGGGCCATCATCACCACCACCACCACCACCATAACCCCGCCTCGTAATCCATTCCACTCACTCCCCGAGTGGGACAGTAAAGTGCGAACGGGAAACGACGACCGCACCGCATCTCCCTTCCCGATCCACCAGTCAAACCAATCCATGAAATCCATGCCGGGATGTTCACTCCATCACTCTCCTTGTCTTGTGGTAGCCAGTCCAATTCAGTCTAGTTGAGTCCGCTCGCGATAGTGACCAGACTCCAGACCCAGACCAACCAAGCCCATCTCGATTGTAGGTGCGCATCTGCCATGGCGACTGAGGCGACTGTCTAGGACGTCTGCCGAGACGGACTGCCCCTAGCGCCCGCAAAGAACGACCGACCGACTAGCCCCCAGCAACTCAGAGCTGAACGAAAAGAAAGAAAGTAACCCCCCATACCACGCATGCAACGCACGCAGCCAATGATACCGAGTCAAAGAGAAACGAAGGGACCAACCAAGCCCGAAGAACGACTGTCACCAGTCCAGCTCAGCGCGTCGTGCGTCTGGAAGACTTTTGACGGTATAGTTATGTATGTGATGTCGAAAAGTCGAAGCCCGCGAGCGAAGGAGAAACCAAGAGCGGGAAAAAAGGAAAAGCTTCTTGTCGTTATGGTATGGTAGCAGTACATAGCCCTGGGCCGTTGAAACCATGGAACTGACCGTGAAGTGATGGATGGGGTGGCGCAGCCATTAAACAGCGAGTATCGGTGGGAACGCTGTTGCCGAGGCAGTCTGGTTCGGTTGATCAGAAACTGAACCGGGGGAAAGAAGCGAAGTTTTTTTTCGGTGATTGTTTTGTCGTTTTATGGATTTTTTTTTGGACCTTTTTCTTTTGAGTTGCGTCGTGTCACGGTGACTATGATGTCCTCCCCGCCTAACCAAGAGAAAAGAGAGGGGAGCGGTGGGCGTGCAAGAAAACCCTTGATCGCTGACTCGCTTGCTCGCTCGATGGTGAAGAAAGCGAAGCCGAAAAGGGCGGCTGCCAAATCCGCCCCAGTGAATTTGTATCAGAAAAGTATAGAAAGAGACGACTGGATGTATAGATGCGTTGAGGAATGCGCTGAGCTTCCTTGTCGATAGCCCACGAGAAGCGAGAGAAAGATCAATGTCGCTGATGTTCCGCTGCCGCATCCCTCAGGAATGGTGCATTGTGGCATTGTGATCTCAGCAAAAGAAACGAGAAGGAAAAAAAACAGCCGCTGTCTGCTCCGTCCTTTGTCGCCATGGGATCACCGTCTCCAGTGAGTTTCTCAGCCCCTCCATCAGGTGAGGACCCCTCCATCAGGTGAGGACGGGTCCGTCTCTCAGAGTGAGCAGATCTCAACGACGAGCCGGGGGGTACGCCTCGTACGGGTCAGCTGGCGGGGCGCCGCCGTGCGGAGGAAGACGTGTAGAAGCCGACGGATAGTACTCAGCAGCACGCGGCATGCTGTCGCTGGTGAAAGTCGGGTTCGGCGCCGGGAGACCGTTGTAGGGCGAGGGCCTGGGGCCGGGCTGGCCGTACATGTTGGCCGTGGGGGCGGCAGCCTGGGCTGCGACATAGGGGTTGCCGGCGGGCTCGTAGCGAGCGTCCTGAGTACTGAAGCCGTCGTTGCCATGACCAACCATAGTCGGCCGGGGGCGCGGCGGCGTGCTCAAGTGGCGCGAATGCTTAGTTGCACCAGCAGGAGGCGGGCCGCCCTGGGGGCCACCGGCAACAGGCGGACGCATGTAGTCGTTCTGGGGATAGGCAGCCTGCTGCTGAGACTGGTGATACCTGCGGTAATCGGCATCCCAGAACATATTCTGGCCCAGGTTGGAGGCGACGTAGGCGGGGTCACGCATGCAGTCGCGGCCGTGGAGGGTGGCTTGGGCCTGGACGTAACCCGAGTAGCCATTAGCAGCCTCGGGATAGTTAGCCTGGAAGCCCATGGCAGGCTGATTGTAGGCGTTGCTGTCCATGGAGAAAGCGCGTTGATGGGAGCCGCCGCGCGGAGGAGCATCGGGGAAGCGAGGAGGCCAAGCACCAGGCATGGCCACCGGCTGGTTGCCGTAGGCATAGCGGTTGTTCTCAAAGTGGGCGTTGCCGGGACCCTGAGGATGAGGTCGGAAAGGGAGGTGAGCAGCGCGATGGTCCGGCTCATCGTCGTAATCATTCTCACCGCGGCGCTGGCGCTTGTCGCGGGAGGGAGTACGAGGGGCAGGCTGTGGCTGCTTCCGCCGCATGGGAACGGGCGCCGGCCTGGCCCGGTTGTTTTTGGGCTTGACCCTCTCCCCAACGATGTTGGGCAAAATTTCAATGTCTGGGAAAGCCAGGAGAGTCATGCTGTCCAGCTCGCGGCAGATACGAGCCACAATCTCCTGGATTTCGGCGGTCGACTTGCCCGAGCCGGTCTCGTTGAGCAGCCATTGGGGCACCAAAATACCATCAGTGGCGAGAGGGCTGAGGTCCTCACTCTCGTTTCCGTCATCCTCCTCATCGTCGTCCTCATCTGACCTGGATTTGCGCTTCCTGTTCTCTTGGAGCCGGATCTTTTCACGGCGCCGGACCTCGAGGGTCCAGTCCACGACGACGCCTTCCTGATGGAGCCCCCGGTCCTTGTTGTAATTGCTCCACGCTTCGAGACGCAGGATTTGGAGCTCCACCATGCGAATGAGCTTTTTGTTAAACTCATGGGTGTTTCGGTACCTAGCACGCTGGTAGTGCTTTCTGCATACCCACATCCACACATGTTCTGGGATGCTGCGCGTGCAATTCTTGTTGCGACCAAAGATATGTGACATGGACTTACGCCAATTAACCGTGGCCGGATCCAGATCTTTGGTCATAAGACAGTCCTCCATAAACTTGCAGGATTTAGGCAGCGTAAAGTCGCACTCCTCCATCAGGATCTCGATTGTCTGATACAGCCGAGGGACGGCCGAACTGATGAGGACCTGGTCCAATCGCAGCGGAGGGTCATTGTTCTGTGCGATGTGTGGGAATATGCGGCCGGGCGCCTGAGCTGGGTTGGCGTCCGAGCTGCGGCTGGGAACGACACTGCGCCCTGAGGAAGACGAAGCACGGTGATAAATGCTGTATGGTGAGCGCTGGGCGTGGCGGGCGGGGCCGAGCGGGCTTGAAGACGAAGCGGCTTGCAATGGGCTGGGTGTCTGTTAGCAATGCACAACAAGAATTCATCATCAAGCAATGCCATATAGTGAGGGCTGTGCGTGACAGTGTAACGAAAGAAAAAGGAATAGGGCCGGGTAATTGTTCCATCAGGGGTAGGGAGGTGAGTATAGCTGGCCCCGGTGACCCGGTTTAACTTGGGATGATTTGCCTTTGTACGTAGATGGGCTTGGGCATGAACAATGAGGTGGCCTAACGGTCCCTTCCATGAAGATCCAGAAGCTCGAAGAGACGTGGGGTCCCGGTGTAACTGCCGGCGTGCCGGGTGACATGTGGGGTGGTGCACCGATCTCCCGCTTCTGCAGGAAGTGCCGGAAGGGTGTGAAAAGTGGGAACAAACCGGGTTGTCGCATTGGACCCCCGCGCTTGCAGGGATGTACAAAGGCACGGGATGGCGATCCGAAGAGGCCGCGATCTGAACAGACTCGCGATCCCAAGCTTTGAAGCCTTCCGGAACAATTCTGCCGTCGTCCAGATTGCGGGCGGGGCTATAGAAAACTGCGACAGTGGGGTTCAGGGAAGTTCAGGGGTTGTTTCTGGCCCCTGAAAGCAAGAGCCGGAGGCAGTGTAAACAAACGAAAAAAGGTGCCAAAGTGAGGGGCAATCGATAACGGGCGAAATTGATGCTCTGTGACCGGAAATCGGTGCTCGACAAAGGAAAAACAATTGGTGGATCGCCGATCGAATATTGGGGCTCGAATATGATGATGGACAAGATGTGATGGGCAGTGTGATCGGGTCGTCTTCAGCATCTTGATAGCTTACCTGCTACTCTCTGCTGCCGCTCCTCCCAAGCCAGCGGGCAGGCGTCGCATCATGGGCATGACAGCGTCCGTCGGCGAGTCAGCACGGTCGTCGGAGGTAACATCGAGGGCGCGATGGCTTGCAAATCGTGATGAACGTCGACGAACTGGTGGTGAGTCGTCTTCTTCATCCACGACCTGGGGGATGTTGCGCTTGGAATCCTCATCAGCGGCATCAGTCATGTCGGCCATTTTGTTCTGGGTATCGATGCTATCGATGCTGCAATAGCTTGGAAACTGGCCGGTGATGGAGTGTGCAGAGGGTGGTGTTTCAGGAATCGAGTATGTGGTTGAGTAGGATGGGTTGCGCGAGTGCGATGAAGAGTTGTGAGTGTTGATGGAAGAAGCAAAGGAAGAGGTGGAGGCTCCCGAATTGGAATATTTATGGGCGTAAGTTGGGGTGGTTGAGTTGAAGGTGGATGGGCCCGGATTGGAAGTTGGATGGGCGTAAGTTGGGGTGGTTGAGTTGAAGGTGGATGCCTCCGAGTTAGGATTTTGATAGGCGTAAGTTGCGCCGGATGAGTTGAAGGTGGATGGTACAGAGTTGGAGTATTTGTGGACGTAGGTTGGGGTGGTCGAGTTCGCGGCGGATGCTCCCAAGTTGGAATGGTTGTGGGAGTATGTTGAGGTGGTCGGGTCTGAGGCGGATGCCCCCAAGCTGGAAAATTTATGGGCGTAGGTTGTTGGGCTCGTCGAATTCGAGGCAGATGTCCCCAAGTTGGAATAATGATCGGCCTGGGATGAGCTGGCCAAATTCAAGGCAGATGGCCCCAGGTTGGAATTCTCATTGGCAAATGTTGAGCTTGCGGAATTCGAGGCGGTTGTTCCCAAATCGCAATATTTATGCTCGTAGATCGGGCTCGTCGAGGTCGAGGCGGGGCGCTCATGTGAAGAGCTTGGGATGGCAGCTGGCGAAGCCGAATAGCCTTCCCGTGGCCGGGCGCCATTCAGCATTTGATCGATCCGCATAGTGTTATTCATGGTGACTCAACCACACAGTTAGCCTCGCCAGCAATGGGATGAAAACACCAAAACAAGGCCAGCTCAGCAGAACAAGGTCATGAGGACCACAATGATGATTAGTGGGCAGCTCAACAAAGGGATTTCGATCAGAACAATAAGCCAAACTCAAATTCGAGGCAAAGGGTCAAGCCCGCGATACCCACACCCGAAGGAGAACAACGTCAACAAACGGAACAAGGAGAAGGTTGAACCATACTCGGCAGGGACTCGGGCGTGTTCGAGGAGAAACGAGAACCAAACATAGGACGACAAAGGACAGGACGATGGGCCATATGGTGTCAGTGTAAGGTAGTTCAGAGAAACAAGAGAAACAAGAACACCAGGACAGATGAGCCACAACCCAAAGTCCGGACTGGGGCTTAATGTGTGTCGTCGTCCCGCAGCATGAATCGAGGGCACAGTTCCGGAGACAGTGCGTGTCTGAGCTCAGGCAGTTGAGCTCACTAGGGCCCATCCTTGAAGGCGATCTGGCACGGCAAGGGTTCCTGGGAAAAGTAGGGGCCCAGAACGATGGGTTGCAGAGTATGTGCCGGACAAGGATCAGGGCGGAGAAAGTTGGGGACCTCAAGCGCGCAGCCAAGGTAGGGTACTTACCTAGTAGCTGCTTTCTCGAATCGGAGAACAAAACAACCGAAAGAAATCTAGGGAATCGGTGCGGCGCTCGTGCCCAAGCAAGGGACGGGAAGAGCTAAAAGTATGTTGCTAAGAACCCTTCCCATCGGCTACCACGTTAGTGATACCTTTCATTGAAGCGGAGGTCAAGTGGGATGATCTCACCAGGTAAATGTTGGATGGCCCAGCCATGCCAGGTTGATGCTCGAAGACACAAATTCTTGCGGTAGATGCCGTGTTTCCAGGATGCAATCACCAGATCACAATGTTTTCCTTTTCGAGGACCGTTTCGATCGCGGTAACGGTGCATCGAGCATATCGCAGAGCGCTATACCTGTCCCATGGTGCATTCCTGGGACAGAGCCATCGGTTGTCATGGACGCATGCATCGGGAAACCAAGTCCATCAGCCGGCGCGTGAGGGAAGACTTGACATTGCCTATCTATTACAGTCTTACAGATTGTCTGATCTTCCGAGGCCGGTAGAGGGCTTAACGCAGAGACCGGTGGAAAGTTCGTGCCTGCACACGCCGGCATCCGCACTCGCATCTACCCATCGAACTAAGGCAGCTCAAGGCACACGCCATGCCCTTGCAGGCGTTGGTGGATGAGGCGCAGCAGCCGCGAGGATCGACAGACTGAAACGGCTCATGGGGAACGCCATGTTTGGCCGCCGGCCGGGCGAGCATGTGTGAACAGACAGGTAGGAGTCAAACAAAGTATTGCACATGGCAGGGAGCCGCCAGAGAGAGAGAGGGAGAGAGCGTCGAACTGTGTGGTGGATGCGGTTCACGGCGGCAGGGAGGCATGCGGTGCACCGTCTGACCAATTTGCGGCCATTCTAGCCGGCAAATGCAGGCTTTGCTAAAATGGCGCGCCTCGGGGCCGTTGTCTGATGTACCGCAGGTATTGCAACCACAGGAATGGATGACCTGACGATGGGAAACGCTGGGTTTCGATTTTCTCCGAAGTTGAGCTGCAGGCAGGGGTTGAGTGTTTGGTGTGGGAGATCCCGGCACAAGCGGTTTCCTAGCATCGGGGACAAAACTGCCCCAGCGATAACCAGATCGTAAAGAAGTAACTATGTGGTATCCTGTAATTACGTCATAACTGTCTGACTCGGTATCATATGCTGTCTCCGTAACCACATGTGGCGGGATATATTTATGAAACTTGCAGTTGGCAGAGCGCTGCTAAAACTGGATCAGATCCGTTGGACTGTAGGTACCAATTAGGAGCCGCCACTTGTCTCACAGTCGGTTGGCAGATGCTCAATGCTCCATCTGTGAAGTCTTTTGGGGATCTCGGTAGTGGTATAACTTTCAGGATCGTAAACGACTCAAGATGGAGTGCTCGGACTCCACTTCGTTGCAGGGCGGCGCCTCTGTTTCAGCATAGAGAGCTTGGCACCGAGCTTTCTCTTGGCGTTACAGGACAAACCCGGAAACACTTTCGAGTACCACAGAGCAACAACAGACAGTTGTTCGCGAGCGGCACCCACTACCTTCTTCCTTGGAGAATGGCGATCCGGAAGCCTTGTGATCCGATGTGATGGAAACTGCCCTAATTTGGCCCTTCACGTCCCTGCCAGAGCGCGTTATTGCCATTACCAAGTTCAGTTCGAACAATGGACTGGGGCGGCCTCCTGGTTCCGTGATGCACCGACATTGCGACACTGTCATTGTCCTGCAGGACGGTAAGGGTTGGGAAATCCTTGATGACAGGAAGGAGGGTCTTCCAGCACTTCAGGCCACAGTCAGCCGAGCATACGTTCTGAAGCGAGCGTTGGTTTATGCTTCACTTCTTTGGAGCAGACAGGGACTCAAGCGTCCATCACCGATCGGAAAGACGCATTTCAGAAGGAAGCGCCCGACGACCCCAAAAAACGCATGCGCCTGGGCTGGGGGATTGGCCGGAGAAAGTGGGAAAACGGATGCCTGGGGATTCTGGAACACCACGCCGCCTCGCCTTAGCACTGGTGTAGAGCTTCCAGCTGCAGTACTCTCTAGGCTCCGTTTCCCGCCCCGGATCTGTGTTCTGGAGTCGCCGCTGCCTGCCAGCTGCGCCCACATCATAGAGCGACACTTGCAAGGAGACATCCAGGAGCCACAAGGTGCTCTTCTGCAAAAGCCGTCCCGGAGACCTGACACGTGAGCACCATTGGCACCATTCCTCTCGCCCTGTACCAGCCGCAGATAGGCCGGCCTGCCAACAGACCTGGAAGGGAATCGGGAGACCGTCCGTCGAGGCGGCACGTAAAGATACGCTAGGAGAGCAGAGCCGCGGGACTACCCGACTCCCTAACAGGGAGCGAGCAGTCATTGGAGACTTGAATCCACCGCTGTTCATCCCAAGGGACGATGGAATGGAGAGACACCACACACCAAGTTTCTTGTGCGAAACAGCGCTACCTGATAGCGCTGACGCCATTGTCTCGTACTTCCCGAGCGGAAAATCCGACATCTAAATTTGTCAACCATAGCTACGGGACGATTGGAAAGCCCACTTTGGACGACGGCGGCGAGTCAGCGGCGCGGCGGCTTACCAGGATTCTGGGCAGCGAGTGTAGCATTACACCTGGGGACCGTGTGTTTTCCTGATCTGCTATAATACCTTCGGTCATCGACCTTGAAATATTGCTTTACCTACGATTAACTACCGTAATAAGGCGAGTCCCCTAGATCCCCTTGCATGACAACATCTCAATTCTGCGAACAGAGCCCGAGGGAGGATAGGCGGTACCTTGGTCCCGAAGCTCTCATCAAGCCTGTGCCACCTCTCTTTCCGTCATTGTACCTTGCTGCCTTCTTACAGTCGGAACTTTGTGAGCTTATCGATCCTTCTGAACGTGGAAGACGCTCCCAAGCAAACACCCCCAACACTCACCGTACTGGTTCTCGCCAGGCACCGGCATACCCAAGGTACCCAGACAAGAGGACGAGCCGTGCCGCATCTGCGCAGCGTGTTCGCCCGTACAGCTACCGCATTCTCACCTCGAGTAATGACCTAGCGGCAGAAATACGGCGCAGCCTGACGTTCACACTACACACCATAAGCAACAAATCCATGACTTACATGCAGTGCAGTATCCTGGCTTTCCCTGTCCGGTCACTTAACACACCACCTGCTGTGGAGTCGATCACCTCACCCAAGCACTCAAAGTTGCGCGTAGAGAGGTCCTGGAAGATCGACCGTCATCATCCCAAGAACAAGCTATCCAATCTCAGCACATCCATGCCCAAAAGCCGTTTCAGATCTACGGACTTCTCCACACACAGCGCAAATCTCGAGGATCTGAAATCCGCCAGGGTCGGAAGATATGACTGGGCAATCTGTCCGTCGGAGAAAATAGGTTATTGTGTGCAATGCATACCTACCTAACTACCTTATATACAACCTGGTTTTTCGTTAGCTGCGGAACTGGACCGGAGCCGGATGAAACCCTCCAGGACGCTAAGCTGCAGTGCAGTGCTCCATACGTCGTCTGATGCTGCAGTGGCAAGTCGTTAGGATCCCATTGAGAGCTAAAACTCGTTGATGGTGTCAAGACGAGACGAGGGTTGGTTCTCCCTGGCAGCCCGGGTGGTGGCAAACGGTCTTATTTGTACATGTACGGACTACCAAGCTTTCAAGTTGTTGTTCATCCAGTCGTTCATCCCCCTGTATCGTACTTCGGGTCAGGTTGCTCGGCATGTCGGAAGCCTGCCGGATTGCTGAGCGCTATATACCACCAGCCGGGTTGTTTTAACCCTGTTACCGGAGTTGGGAATGGTTACAGCACCAGACGGGCTTAGACGGTTCGTCCACAGAACCAGACGCCCAGCTTCCATCGTCCCGTGGTGGAACATGTCCTCCGGATTACATCCTCCCTGCCAGATATGGACGTCTCTCTTTTCCCCACGTTAAGCAGGAGTGGACTTGAAAGCAGGAAGGGTTTTTGGATGACACAGGGAATTGTACGCGTGGTGGCTTAGTCCCATTCTCATAGACGGTTGGTCGGTTGATACCCTCGAATCACCCCGTTCCGACCAGTCACGCACACGTGTAAGGCTGGAGGGATGGCCGGCGGATGTTGTGCAGCACGGTAACGAGACCCTTCGGTTGAGGGACTCTGGTTGTTGAGGCTGGGATGACACGAATGAGCCCTGCGAGGTTGGTGTAATTTTGGGAGGTTTCTGTCTTGCAATAAACTGTCGTGCAGGTGGCGTTGTTCGCAGCTCCCTTCTCATACCGGAACTTGTCAGCACCGTATGGACGCTCCGCACTGCTGTATGTAGTGCTCGTCTGTTGTACCACGCGAATTAAGAACGAGATCTGTAAGATTTAACCTGCCTGATGCACGGGTTATCAGTATAAGACACAGCAAAGGCACAACACAGGCCTCCTGGCCTGATTCGGAAATTGATGAGGTGATGTCCTGAGCGGTCAGCGCCAACTGGGACATCCCAGCAGAAAATTTGACCAAGTCGTGGAGGTAGATTCCTGGGCTGCTTGGTAACATTGTGTTCCACGTGGTGAGCACAACATGAATCTGCATCACACGAAGGAGTGCACCGGATGAGGATGGGTTGATGTGAAACCAAGGTCCTCATGTGGAAAGGAGCCATTCCAGAAACCCGGTTTCCATGACTGCTTGGCTCATCCTGTCCAGTCTCGTGCTCTGATCGGTAAGACGGCGGTTTGAACCTACGAGCCCTATCGGGAGATGTCTTTCTCGGCCCCGGATCCAAGTTACACACGCGAGTCTGGATTAAGAGCCGATGTTGGTGCAATTGAACAAATCTCTGGAGAACCCGCAAGCAAAAAAGACGGTGGCCCGCAGGAATGAGATGGTAATCCAGCGTTGCATGTCGTTTAGCTCTACCTAGAGTGGAAGCCTCCGCCGGCTGTTGTTGTTGTCAGCGCCAAAGCTGAGGTCATAACGCTGACCGCTCTCCCCAACATGTAAATCTTATCTTTTAGAATCGCGGCGCCCCATGGCAATGAAGACGTCAGTCGCACTTCACTACTGATCCCATGCCAATCGTCCTAAGTGGGAACATGGTTGGATATCTGTCTTCTGCAACAGGTTCAGGCGCGAGGGTGCTTCGTCCGACACGGTGGTTGACGGTTGACAGCATGGCTTCCAGACTTCCGCCGACAGAGCACCCGCCAGCATTACATTTATCTACCCACACACCCGGCGTCCCTCGTATAAATGGACATCCAGTTGGCCGGGTGATCACGAGAACACGTCTCACGGCTATCAGTAGAGTAAGCAGGAGGATCACGTCTCACGTCTGGCCTGATCCACCTTGAACCCGCCGCCGTGTGTTCTTTCGAACAGAGTGCTGACCATACAATCACTCCAAAATTGGATCCGTCCTGGAAGCTCGCATTTCTCGTCTCGTCACGAATCTCTTTCGCCAGTGCCGGTGAAGGAACGGATCGGACTTTGCCCACTGGGGCCAGAAGAGAAATATCAGAAAATGTAAGAGAGCGAAGAAGATAGTAGATCTTTCAAAGGTTGAGAGGAAAGAGAAAAGAAGACAGAAGGCGAAAAGTAACAGAAGAAAGGGGAGAGGTGCTTCAGTACTGCACTGGCGAACCAACCAGGGCCGGATTGTATGCCAACAACCAGGCCAAGGTAGCTGATATGCGCGAATCTCCCATGAAAGCCGGTCAGGGAGAACAAAACGAGAGATCGCTCAATAACAGACATACATATGACAGAGCCTGAGTAGGGAGGGGGATAGGTGAGTTGTCCTCACTGTTGTGTTCTGCGAGGAGAACCTGGAAGCAAGCAGTATTGACTTTGATTGAGCAAGGTAATTCGGCGTTCTGATTGGATGAAGATGTTGAAGTGGGGCGGGCAGATGAACTCTTCTTCCCACGATAGGCAATTTCCACTGAGCCGAGCATCGTCACCAGCTGTAGTGACTAACTGGCAAAAGAAGGTTCAAACCCTCATCGGACAGAGTGATACTTATTTCCATTGAATTCATCTTGTTAGAGCAGTCGGTCTCGTAGCCGAAGCGTTCTGAGAGTCTTTATCTCTCGCTCAGATATGGCTTCTAGGGCATGTCAACAACAACATCGAGTACAATCATGGAGGACGACTTCAACCTCTTTACTTCCATTCGATACGATCCAGTACTGCTTCAGGTCCCTGCTAGAAAATTGACTTATGCCGGCTGGAACTGGGTCAACACATCGCCTTTCTACTTGTTAGATTACCATAGGGACCGCATGCTCCGAGCGGCCACTCACTGGGGTTGGGATGCCGCCGTCAAGGCTCTCGAGGGAGACTTCGGTGTAGCGAGGCTAGCCGACATCACTATGCACAGTATCGGGGACGACCAACAATTTCCCCTGAGAGTGAGAATATCCATCACGAAAGACGGCGAACTCTCCATAAGCTCCGGGCCGGCTCCAGATACGACCCTCGCAAACCTCTTCCCCGAACATCTACCTCCTCCAAAAGAAGCTCGCAGTGACAGGCTCCGCGGAAACATTCCCTCCAAAATTCCAACCTACGAGGTTCTGGTCGACAGTCCACAGACAAGCCGCTCCGAGTTCACTCACTTCAAGACGACGAAGCGGGCCGCTTACGACGGCGCCAGGCAACGAGCCAAAATCAATCCTGCTGACCTGAAGGAGGTTCTCATCGTCAACCGGGCGAATGGTGCTGTGATGGAGGGCTCCATCTCAACTCCCTACTTTTGGAGAGGAGGGAGTTGGGTGACTCCCCCTGTGAGCAAGGAGTACAGCTTGGAGGAGGGATGCGGAGGCCAGAACGGGACATCCAGGAGGTGGGCACTCGAACGGTATGTCGATTGCGCAACGATGGACCGGAGCCGGCTTCAAACTTCATGGTTGCTGACTGGCCGCGCAGAGATCTCGCTGTCGAAGGCACAATACTGGCCGACTCGCTCGTGGATGGCGAAGAATGCTGGCTGAGTAACGGAGTCAGGGGGTTCTTTTTCGGGAGAGTCAAACTGAGATGAAGTTTCGTTGATTCGGACACCGAAGGTATCATGGGCAAAGCTCACCTGCTCTTTTACGCTCCTTCATAGGGTCGAGCAAGCGCCGGATACTGAGGTAGGCGGGACCATTGGGATCGGATAGCCTGAGGAGTACCGAATTCGCCCCTCATCTCGGCGGGCTTGATCTGTCAGGCTGTGACTTCGAGTCGGCTGCTTGACAAAGATTCCGACAGCGCGCCAACTGGGTGAAGCAGCAGCGATGAGCATTGAATCATATCGACCGGGTTCCTGCCGGTCGTGAACCACGGGCTGAGCTGGAGGCGCCCTCAGTCGTGCTTGCCAGGCGTGGCTGCCGCCCCCACGTCCAAGCAAGTCCATGGCTCTCTCCTCAAGTTACCACCGCGGTATCGACCTGGGTCCGCACTTCCCAACTCCTGTCAATCGTGCGCGTGATGACGACAGCCCAAGGAACAGACTCATCATGCTCTTTCCAAGTCCGGGCTGGGACTGACGGTCTTTAAATCGCAATATTTAGCCCCGTCCTGCTCTCTCTGTCTCCCCTTTCTCACGCTCTCTCATATTTCGAGCTTGTTCAGATCTTGACCATCTGCTTTGCATCTTCGCATTTGGGGCCATTTTCGGCCCAGACAGAACGTCGTCAAGCCTCTGACACGTCCGAGCATCCTCTGACCACCTCTCGACAATTCTCCCACACGTCGATCAACAAACCCCTCCGCTTTGTCACAATGGCCACGTCAGAGTCCGCCCTCACCGCGATGCTCAAGATGTTTGAACAGCAGGAGAAACTCCGCGGCGAGCTCGGCCTGCAAAAGATCAAGGCGAATCTCAACAGTAAATACCAGCGCCATGGCACCAAGTCCTACGTCTCGGCAATGGAGCGCTTTGGCTTCCAGCCCACCAAGCCTGGCCCCTACTTCCAGAAGTTCACCAAGGCTGATGATGCCACGCCCGGCAGAGCTGCTCCGGGTGTGAAGCCCGGCCATGTCTGGGAGGGCACACTCAAGAAGGTCAAGGACGATGACAAGCCGGGTGAAGTCACTGCCCATGATGTGCAGAACGACACCGAGTACCTGTGCGAGGTCTCAATCGGCAATGAACCGCAGAAGGTCATGCTGGACTTCGACACCGGCTCGGCCGATCTTTGGGTATGAGCCCCCAAGATATGCTGCAGTGGTTCCACGCTAACAGAGTGCCTGCAGGTGAACCCCAAAAGCTTCGACCCCAAGAAGTCGTCAACGTTCAAGCTCGCAGAGGCCAAGACCTGGCAGATCCAGTATGGCGACGGCAGCTCGGCCTCGGGCATTGTCGGCACCGACCTCCTTACGGTCGGCGGGCTCGTCATCAAAGACCAGGCCATCGAGGTCGCCACAGACATGTCGGCCGAATTCGCCAAGGAAACCACCATGGACGGTCTGCTCGGCCTGGCGTTTGGCAAAATCAACACGATTCAGTCGAACGGTGAGCCCGATCCCCAGCCCACCGTTGTCGAGAACATGATTTCCCAGGAAGACATTCCCAAGAACGCTTCGCTGTTCACCTCGGCGCTGTACAGCTCCAGAGACCCGACGGAGCAATCGTTCTACACATTCGGATGGATTGACCAGGATCTCGTCAAGGAATCTGGCGAGGACATTCACTGGACCAATGTCAACGCCAACGATGGCTTCTGGATGTTCAAGAGCGAGAAGGCCTCAGTCAACGACAAGGTCATCTCCCTGGTCGGTAACAACGCCATTGCCGACACGGGCACAACTCTCGCCCTGGTTTCGGACGTTGTCTGCGAAGCCTTGTACGCCCAGATTCCGGGTGCCGAATATTCGGAGCAGTACCAGGGCTACACCATTCCCAAGGACATCAGCGTGGAGGACCTTCCGGAACTCAGCATCGCTGTCGGCGGCCAACACTTCAAGGTTCAGAAGCACGACCTTCTCTTTGCCATGGCTGACGACAAAGTGTGGTATGGAGGTGTTCAATCCCGTGGTGAGAACCCATTTGACATTCTGGGTGACTCGTTCCTCAAGTCAATCTACGCGGTGAGTTCAGGACGCCATTGCTCTGCTTGGCTCTCGCACCCGGGCCAACTAACTGTTCTGCAGATCTGGGACTTGGGGCACAAGCGCTTTGGTGCCGTTCCGAAGCTTGAGAAGGTTGTGAGCAACGGGGCATCGCCGAAGCTCAAATCTGTCGGTGACTTGGCGGTGCACGATGCCGTGCTCAACTAGATGTGGCGGGTATTTGTGAAGAAGCTGGTATTCGTCATCCGCATTCTCAACCATGGCAGTTGCTGGGTGGTGCAAGATGTTGTGTGCAACTGGAGGAGGCTGGTATTCGTCGTTTGCTTTCACTTCTTTATCGAGGCTTGCAGGAAAGATTCTGTGGTATGGCAGTGTGATGGAGACACGGGAATGGAAATTGTAACTTGCACGCTCCACTCCTTTCGACGTTGGCAGCGTGGGCAATGGACAGATCCTAGCACCTTGATGAATATGGTTCTCATTCTCTTTCTCGGCCATGTCCTCCATCATATCTTGAGTTTGATGTTAAGTTTGAGTATATTAGTATGGTCCAAGTGAACGGCGCGAAGTGGAGGAGTTGATTCAAGATGGCGGCGAGAGGCGGAAGGAGGAGAAGGCTTTTGATACGGTAGCGCGCGGCGGGGGAGAGGGCTCAGGAACCGGCTTGACCAGACTGCTGAGTGTTCCAGTATTGTCTGAGAGAATGGAATACAAGCCCCCCGTTTGCGTTGACTCTGCCACTCAAGGTGGTTTAAACAATTCAGTAAGTACATGTGCTCTAGAGTTTGCCCTAGTTGCCCCTGAGTGACTGCGGTGGGACTCGGTCAAGATCAGGCAAAAGGTAGCTGCTTTGAATCGGCGCAATCTTTCATAACAGTGCACTTTGGTCCCATGCCAGGGAGGGAGGCACTGATAGAAGGAAAACAGAAAACTGAAAGCTTATGGTGTAAAGGGCTGACCGACTCAAGCCAGCAAAAAGAAAAGTGTTGACAAGGGTGAGATTCGAACTCACGCCCCATTACTGAGACCAGGAAATCTGCCTGAGGGAAGAGATTTAGAAATTCAGGTGAACCTGAACCTGGCGCCTTGGACCGCTCGGCCACCTTGCCTTTTTTGTTGTTTTTTAAAGCTTTTGTGTGGATGTTGAAGTGCGGTGGAGTGAGGGTTGATGTGTGTTTGTAGTGTCTCGTGTCTTGTGGATATTGGACGGTGGAGTAAGGGTTGGTGGTGGTCTTGTATCTTGGGCCTTGTTGGCTGAGTGGTTGGTAGGGAGGGGGGAGGTCTCCACTAAGGTACAGGACATTGCATATCAGCTTACGTTACCTAGGACAGTAAAACAGAGGTGCCTGTCCGGTGGATATTGAGGAAAGCTCGCAGGTGTTGGAGTTTTGAAATGGGTTTCATGAATAAGTGTGAAGACGTTGGAGGGTGATGAATTGGGGCCTGGGTAAGGTGAGAGTATCCTGTAGAGGTTAGTTGAAGGAGAAGGGGGAGAACTTGAAGGTTGTTCAAAGTTAGTTGAGTATTAGTTGGTGTCTTTCTCCTTGTCTTGGTAGGGTCGGAACGAGAGGAGTTGGTCTCATAAGTACAGCCACTGAGAGAGATGGTTCAAACTGACGTTGGTGCTTCATGATGGACGGAAAGGAGGAGGGAGGTAAGTGAGAACTGTGAGGTTGAATATATCGAGCCTTGACAAGGAAGACAGAAACTGGTAGATTGTAAATGTAGAACGCCATAATATTTGCCAGCTTTCTGCGGCCCCTGAGCACAACGGCAGCGTGAAAACATCCGCAGCCCTGAAGGCGGTAGACCAATTAAGGCCGACAAGCTGGGCAAAGCTGAGACCACGGCTTGACTTACAGCTTTTACTTGATGCTTGTTCTGCAAGCTAACCGTTGGGGCTACATCTTGCACCATGCTGGCTTCTCGGTGTGCCATCAAGTCATAGGGCCAGTCCTTATATTTGCAACGCAGGCGCCTGGGACGCAAGTCCCGTGACACCTTCTCCGTGTTGCAAGTCGCCACGGAAGTCAATTAAGGTATGGTGGTCATCATCATCATAGCCAACACCGCATGACCCCAAGGCTAACTCCTCCCTAGAGCCCCTGAAACCGTGCATCTCGAGGTCTAGGCAGCCGAAAGCTAAGGTAGTTGTGGTAGATGACCTCAGGCGTACGTGCTCTCGAGAGGGTATCCTGGTCGTCTCATGAATCTCGAGGTGGCGACGCGTGCATATCCGAAAGGCCACAGCAACGATTGGCGGACGGTCGGATTCGAGACCCCATCTTCAGTCGACGCGGTTTAACGCGGTTTTGCTGTTGTACAGAAGAATAAATTCGAGTTGGTGTGCCAGGCAGCCGCAGCCTCTTATGCATGATCAAGATTCCCGTTTGACTGGCTGGGGGATGTGTGGCAGATGCGATTTCCAGAGGATGTTGGGCGCGACATGCTGGTGGCCTCGTGTGGTTGCACATATAGAGCTCAGGCAGCACGGGTGCAGAGAAACTGGTGGTGAACCCATCCCAATTTGCGTTTAGGGAAGCCCGTGGAAAGTGAAGGTGAAGTTTAAGGGGAAGTTGGGAGCGGGATGGAAGGTAGAGACGACCTTGGGACGTGATGGCTCTGGACACAGTGAGGATAACGAAAAAGCAGTGACGCTAGTCAGAGATGGACTGCGACAAGCGCTATTCTCACTATGCACTGAAACAGTAGCAATGAGCTTTTGGCCCAGCCAATTCTGGTTCCAGGCTCAATTCAACTCCATCCCGTGAAGAACAGCCCAAAAAAAAAGACAACGCCGCAGCCTTGTTTGAGACACAGAGGCTCTGTTCCTAGCCACGGTGCTCTATTTCCTAGTCTCTCATGTTTTTGGATACGTTCCTTCATCATCAACAGCCGTCATAGCAGCGACCTACGTTATTCGCCTCTAGGAGCTCCAATATTGCCTTTGGACCACTCGCATTCGTCCATCCACAGGGAGCACGGTCGCTTCCTTCTGCTTGCAGCAACCCTGCTTGGACTTGCTCGACTTGGGCTACTGCCAGCTCGGAACCCAGGATTGCCCATCCAGACTGAAGCTCCCGGGGCATTTTGCATCCTTCGTTCTCTCTCTCTCGGCCCAAGCTTCCTGCTTTCTCCTCACGAGTGCGCCGGATTCGCCCTTTCCAAGCCCCGGCGAGCATTATCTTTCCAGCACTCGCCATCGGTCGTTCTGCAACCGCAGGACGGTTCCGGCCGCAGCCATCTCTTCCACCTTAGGGAGAGAGTTTGAAAGACGAAACTCAGAGGGTTGCCATCCTCCACCGCCGACGCATGATCGAACGGCGGCGACGTCATCGTAGCTCCCACCACCTCCGCACCTAGGTGCCCTCGCTCGACCGACTCGGCGCCCAGCCGCGCCCGCTTTCACGAACATGGCTGCAGCAGGCGTAAGACGCAGAAAGATCATCGGCCAGCGCCGCCGCCTCGAAGATGAGGCTGAAGAGGAGGGAGCTCCTGATCTGGCCGACCTCGACGACGACTCCGTGACGGACGGCTCCATCGCTAGCGACGAGCACGACCCCGCCGATGACAGCGATACGAGCAACATTGACGATGCGTCGCCCACGTCGCCCAACGCCCGGAAACCTCTAGGCCACGGCCACGCGAAGACGGGGTTCCGGCGCCGGACAGGGTCTGAGCCCCTCAAGAGTCCACCCGCAAAGCCAGCCCAGCCCGTGATAGCCGACGCCGAGTCCATGCTTAACAAGCTGTCACTTGCCGACAAGGGAAAGGACGGGGACGAGCTGCATTTTGACGACATCAAACAAGCACCGCCTGCTAAGGACGCGGCGCCAATCGTAGTCAGCTCGAGCGCCGCGACGCAGCAACCACCACGGCTGCCCCAGCAGGAACTCAAGCGGCGAGAGCACGAGGAGTATAGGCGGAGGAGGGACGAAGACCCGACCTTCGTACCGAACAGGGGCGCCTTCTTCCTGCACGATCACCGGCATGCTGGCCCTGCTGCAAATGGCTTCCGGCCATTCCCTCGGGGTGCTCGCGGTCGGGGGCGAGGAGCGTTTGGCAATCACTTCGCGCTCATGAGGTACATTTACCTATTGAAATCTTTCGTTGCAGATACTGACCTCTTCTCCAGTCATGCACCGTCTATTCCAGACCCGATTACGAACGGAATGTGGAAGCACGACATGCACGAGATGATCGCCGAGCCTCAACTGCCTCGACAGATCCGTTACCTCCCCAACGACGAAGGCCCGCCGAACGGCAACGGCGTCATCCCGACCGCACCGACGAGCAACACCCCGATCAACCGGGCCATGTCAACCGAGAAGCACATTGGCAACGCGACGATCAGGGTGTATATCCCATTATTGGGAGAGCCAAAGTTGTTCCCCGGCGTCGCGTTGAAGCAGTATACGAAGCTGCCTGATCACCGTCCGCCTTTACGCCGCGACAAGCCTGTTCGCATCTCCATCCCATACCACGACCCACCTGTCATGCCCCGCTACATTTTCCCCGCCAGCGACAGGTCTTTCATCTTTATCCCACGGGCGATGCGGCCGAATCAGCAACGGGCGCGGGGCAAGGGCCCACGGTCGATACTGGGGTCTGGGATGTTCTCCCGGGCCACGAGCGTCTGGGGCGGAAGCGTCTATGGGAGTATCTATTCGCCTAGCATTGGTCTCAGCCGCCGGTCATCGATCGCCCAAGATGTTGGCCGTGAGTTTATGCTTTCGCCGACCGGCTCGGCCATCTCGCGGCCCGCTCTCCCGGTCGACACCGCTCGGCCCGTCGTCCGCCTTCCTCCTTATGCCCAACAAGCAATGACTATGCCTGTTCCGCCCAAGCCGGATGTCTCCCAGAAGGTGCCGGAGCCGTCCATCAGCGAGCTGCCGCAACCACAAACACATCCTCTTCCTCAAAAGCCTACGTTTCAGGAGAACCGATCAGACTTTATTCCCATGCACCAACCCAGGCCTCAAAAGGCCGTTTCCGTCGAGAACATCGAGCCGTCCGCTCAGCAGGCTACAAACCCACCCGGCCCCTATGCGCAAGCCTTCCACCAACAAGTTCCGCCACAGCTGCCCAACGCTTACGCCCAAGACACGCACGCCCGCCACCCTTCATATCAGTCCCAGTTCTCATCCTCCACTCCCTTGTCGCAAATCCCGGAGCGTGCCGTCCACGCTGCTCCGTTCCAGCCCAGCACGTATGCCCAACCGGCCTTCTTCGGCCAGCCATACTCTACGATGCAACCTCAGCAAGGCTTTTACTACCCCCAAACCTTTGGCGCCAACATGGCGCCCAACGCAAATGCCCCCGCCTTCGTGCCGGCGGCACAACAACAGCAACAGCAAACCATTCCTCCCTACACGCAGCAGCCTACCCAGGGCGGCGAGATGGCCGCTCCTCCCCAGCCGCCCGCAGGCCAACAAGGCCCACAACATCCACAACAACAGCAGCAGCAACAACAAGCGCAAAACATGGTGGACGCCCGCGAGTCCCAGGGGACTGTTTACTATGATTATTACTCCCAGGTGCCGGCCCTGCCGCCGGCGGCCGGGTATCCGCCTCATCCGTTTCCCGGCGCGGCGGCAGCGGCGGCGGCGGTCCAGGGACCGTATGCTGCTGCGATGGGAATAATGGGGGGCATGGCCGGCGGTATGATGGCGCCGAGTCCGGATCCCGCGACAACGTTTTATTACCAGCAGCCGATGCCTTACTATCCGCAGTAGGGCGGTGGTTTGGGAGGGAACGGAGGGGTAATGGTTTTTGTTCCGGCGGCAGTTCCTGTTTCTGCGGCGGCTGGGGTTCCCGTTCCTGCGGCTGGGCCTGGTCTGGCAGAGGCTGGGTTGCCGGTGCCGGTGCCGATTCCCGTTCCCGCTGCGGTGCCGGTTCCAGCTCCAGCTGCGGCGATGGTATCTCCTGGCCCGGGGTCTGAGGTGAGCTAAGGGGGATCCGGTTCGAGGTGTGATTGTGCGCTGAAGGGAAGAAACATCCCGTTACGGCATGGCATGACATGAACAAGACATGATTTGACATGGCATGTCATGGCAAAGCGGTGTTGAATTGGATTAGTCCCCAGGTTTGATACGGATGGGAGAGAAGGGAGAAGAAGAAGAAGAGCGTTGAATGAATGGGGAAGGAGGGGAAATCGAGTCGAGTCGAGAATTGGGACTGAGTTGGAGCAGCGGGAGAGGGAGCATTAAGAGTAAGGGGGAATAAAACCTATGAGTCTGTTGGCCTGTTTCGTTGTGTGTGCGAGCGAGCCCCGTCGATTTCAATTTCGGTGCTGACTCCTTTTTGGGGGTCTTGTCGTTGAAAAAAGAGCTTTGCTTCCTTCCGGTCGTTGTTGCTGCTGCGTGGTCTGACTTTTTGCTATGGCTCTTGTCGTGTGTTGTATTGTCGTTTTGCTGGTGCTGTCCCTCATGTTGCTCTTTCCGGTTGTGAGGTGGTTTGGTTGGCTGGTTGGTGGTTATGGTATTGGTGTGGTCAGGAGGTGTATTCCCAGGGAGGGATGATGGTTATCATCGGGTGAGGGGACTGGTTGAAAGTTCGTTATTTTCTTGTTTGCTTTATTTAACGCCCATCTACCTGGGTCTTTACTGGTTTTTCCCAGTGGCTGATGCGATGGTGTCTAGACCATGTCCATTGCCTTTATTACCTTTCCCTTCTTCCTCTCTTTTTCCTACTGCATGGCACTGGGAGCTAGGTACTGGGAGCTGGGCATGGGAACTTGGTTTGTTTCGTTGTAGTTGATTTCGGTATTGTGTTGTTGGACGCCCCAAAATGAAAGGGGTGGGCCCTGGGGTAAGGAGATATGATATGGTAGTCAGTCGGCTAGGTTTTTCATCAGTTGAATCAAGGCGGCGTTTGCTTGTCTGCTTTCTGTCCTCGTGGCAGTTACCATCACCAAAAGCCATTTCTTTACTTTCCTTGTGGTTTGTCTTCTCTACTTGCTTGACGGAGGACCGAGGGACTGAGGCCTCAAGCGCCGGAAGGCTCATAAGTGTGATCTCACTCAAGCAACGTTACCAAATGATAGGAGAGCTGAAACAAGTTGCCGATACGGTACCTGTATATCGTTCTTGGCCATTGCTTCGCTTCATGCTCGTTTGTATCATTTGGCCAGACACAGCCGCTTTTTCACGCTCGTGTTGACGCTCAGGGGAAGCAACAAATCTCCGTGGATTTGCCGATGACTTAACAGCGCTCTTCCCCATACGGATACTCCGCCCCGACAGTGCCGATGAGTACGGATCCGTACACTGCAATCTGGCCAGTACTTGAGTCAACTCATGATACAATCCTTCATTTTATGAGCAATCGTAACAGATAAAATTATAGGAATTTGACACGTTGAGTGGACACCTCAGACTGGAGAAGACAAGGAGGTCTTGCTTACGGGTCGGTGGCTATAGCAACGCCTATAAACGTCTTGGGCTTGGCCGCTAAGCTTCACAGGATTCAGGGGTAACGTAGGTCAACTATCTGCCAGCCGACTCGAACCACGCGACTTCAACGTCCCGTTTGACAGTCGAGCTCGCACTTGGGTATCTTTGCGTTGATGAAACCTCAGTCCTCCATGGCTTCAATAACTTCTGACGCCAATGGGTATGGGAATGGCAAAAGGCTGGGTATTACTGTGTTCTCGGGAGGTATGTGCACCCTGGGACGGGCCTGGACCTCGAGAGTCCCTATGATCATCAAGAAGCATCGCTGACGTGCCCCTTCTCAAGGCACGGCGGCCAATAGCCTTGTAGATGTCTTTTCCAAAATTGTGGAAAAGCGACGGTGCCAGCTGAACTACGTCATTCCCATCAGCGACAACGGCGGCAGTTCGTCTGAGTTGATTCGCTTTGTCGGGGGGCCGAGTGAGTGTCCACCTCATGAGCTGGCGGGGATAGAGAAGTCTGAACTGACAATGTGCAGGTGTTGGCGATATTCGGAGTGAGTCAAAATCTTGCGAAGTCAGGATCGCTGCTTACCCCTGTTTGAGGTCGCCTGGTCCGGCTCATCCCCAACCATGAGGACGACAAGGAGATGTCGGCGCTCAAGGCGCTGTTTGAGCACCGGCTCGACTCGGACCCCCTGAAGTCTCGCTCCGAGTGGCTCGACATTGTTGAGTCGCGGTCGCTGCTCTGGGGCTTCATCTCGAGCCCCAAGAGGGAGCTGATCCGCTCCGTCTTGAACACGCTCAACCTGGAAATTGTCAAGAGAGCCCGGCCGCCAAACGTCTTTAACTTTGCCAGTGCCAGCGTCGGCAACATGTTCCTCGCCGGGTAGAGATATCCATGATTTCCTCCCTCCCGAGCCAATATCCTACCGTACTCTCCAGCTAACCTACCTTATTCTCTCCACTGCAGCGCCCGCATCTTCACAGGCTCCTTCGAGTCCGCAATTTACCTCCTCTCCATGATCTGCTCCATCCCTCCGCACATCTCGGTCCTACCGGCCATCAACTCCAACTTCACGCACCACATCTCGGCCGGCCTGCGCGACGGCAGCACCATCGCAGGGCAAGTCGCCATCTCGCACCCGTCGGCGCCCACGGCGCTGCCCGACGACCCCGAGATCGCGCCCGCCCTCACGGCCGCCGACCACGACCGCATCGAGGACGCCAACCTGCCTGGTTCCCTGCCGGCCCTCCGCCGCCCCAACATCGCCTTCAGCAAGGACGACGACAACGAGGACCTGCCCGCCCGCATCGAGCGCCTGTGGTACATCAACCCGTACGGCCACGAGATCGCCCCGACGGCCAACCCAAAGGTCGTCGACGCGCTGGCGCGTAGCGATACCGTCGTCTACAGCATCGGCAGTCTGTACACGAGCATCATCCCGAGTTTGGTGCTGCGGAAAGTGGGGCAGGCGATTGGCGGCGGCGGCGGGGATGAGGAGGGGAACATCAAAAAGAAGGTGTTGATTTTGAATAGCAGCATCGATCGTGAGACGGGACCGAGGTGGGATCCGATGACGGCCAAGGATTTTGTGAGCGCCATCGCGAGGGCTTGTGTCGAGAGTCGTGTGCCGGAGATGGTCGGGAGAGAGGAGGTGCTGCGGAGCTATGTCACGCATCTGATGTATCTGGATCCTGATGTCGGGAAGGGGGGGAAAGGGCGGTGGCCGGTTGTGGATGTGCAGGAGCTCGAGAGGCTGGGGATCGTGTGTGTCAAGGTTGCTGGGCGGGTCACGGAGAAGGGCGGTGTGAGGTATGATGAGGCGGCGTTGGGAGAGGCGCTGGAGTGGATCATTGGTTCGTGAGGGCCTGCTGTGGTGCTGTTGGGGAATGTATGTGTTTGGTGACTTGGTGTTTGGGTGGTTTTGCGACGTTGCAATTGTATTACTATACACCTAGACGAACTACAGTGTAAGGGATCTGATGGCTCTTCGTCCACAGCGGGACAATAAGCCGGAAGCACTCCGTCTTGAGGTCCATGACCCGATGTTGGGAAGTCAACAAGAGGAACCCAGAGATGAGTGGCCCGGGTGGCATGTCCATGCATTTCGCTTCCCGCTTGGGGTCGGATGCTCGAGGCATCGCAAAGAAGAGCAGCTTGCCTCCCCGGCGCCACCGGATCACGTGCCAGAACTACGAGGCTAGTGGAAGTCAACGGAAGCCCGGTAAGTCCTCGCTTGCAAGATCAAATCGTGACATTCTTCGCGATGTGTATGCAGAAACGCGTGTCTCAGGAGATGATGTCCATACATACTGCAGTCGGACGCCACAGCGCGCGGTGGAACGGGGTTTGAAAGGGGGTTGCGTATGCTCTTCGATCATCTGGAGCAACCCAGCGAACAGGGACACAGGGTTTCAGGCCGGTCCGGGACCGCCTTGGAAGGGAGCAGAGATCTTTATCTCGGAGAACGAGATGGTGATGTTTCATCGCTGCAGGCCCTGGCTGCGTTCCGGAAGCGGAGCATTCGAAGTTGAACAGTTCCGTTACATCAACGGCATCCCACTTATGCAATGCGAATGTGAGGTCCCGCTGCTTCCTGCGCAAATCATCCCCAATTCTCGCTGCGAGTCGGATACCTTGAGGCACGTCATTGCCCGGTTGCGATGCCGCACTTTGCCTCCGAAGCCTTGGCCCAGAACGCAGGACTGTATCGGGCAGTCTGTCCCGCGACAATCATGCGCTCCATTTGTACTTCTACAGAGACCCGGACGACGAACCGGTCGCTAGCAATAACGGGTGCCACAGCAAAGCAACTCGGAGCTCTGAGCCGGTGCCTTGTCGGTGTTCGCGCTTATTCAGACAGCGGCCAAGCGCCGACTGGGAGCTGAAGCCCAAACCTAGCGCCTTCGAGGACCCCAAGGCGAAGACACAGCGGGAAATGGCGACGTAATCCTGCCGCCTGCCGCCTGCCGCCTGCCGCTCAGCCCTGCCCTCTTATTTGCTTCTCCGCGTTTGACGGCGAGGTCAACGCTGATCAATGCAAGAGAACGCAGGGCGAGGTGGGGCAGGCAGACCATGAAAGGCGCTTGGCAGTGACGACTGAGCTATCGGCACCCGACGCAAAGGACATGACGTTCATCCTTTCAGGCTGGCCTCCAGAGACAGAAATCAGGAGTGTTAGGAAATGTAAGACTACGAAGGTAGGGGGCTGAAATAACAGCAGTGGGTCCGGTACTGACAGGGGTGTCTCGCTTGTACCTCCTTTCCATCTCCCTACATTGCACCCAGGCAGTCCGGTTCATACTTCAATTACTTCAATATCTAGTACAGAGCTCATTTGCCGCGATAACTGCCTGAACGCGGTCGGGCATACTCTGAACTAATTTCAAGAGTCAGTCTTCAGGGACCTTTTCCTATGCCTCTTTTACAGCAACACGAAGTTGATCATATGACATCTTTTCAAGTTTCTCCAAATAGTCCTTCATCCAGTGACTTGACAACAGCCCCTGTCGGTACCGGACCCAATGCTGTTATTTCAGGCCCCTACCTTCTTACGGATTACACCTAGGAAATAGAGCGGTATATGAAAAAGACAGGAGGACTTGGGACGTACGGAGCAAAGACCAACAGCAGCAAGTGAGAAGCTTGTTAGACAAGTGAGCTGAGCTGTGGACGGAAGTCGTCTCCGCGGCCCCACTGACAAGGCAGGCCTGGGTTGTTTTGCCCCAGATAAGCCACGTGAGGGGTCAGCTGTGTTTCCCAGTCACGCACTAACAGATCCGTTGTATTCACTTTGTCATGTGAGAGGCAAATGGTCTCACTATGACAAGAGCCCTTCTGCTTAACAAAGGAGGGCCGAGAGATGTAGCAAAGTCAAAAGAAGCTGATAGAAGAGCTGGGACCAACATCAAAACACAGATGTAGATAATGCATCCATACGTGGTCAACGGGTGAGCATTGTTGCGCCGGGAGCTTCTCCAAGCTTCGGCTGGCTGACAATTTCCGGTGGGCCTGTGCCAGAAGCAATGGGTCACCGACCATGTCAAAGAGACCAAGCTCCAAAGTGACGAAATCCCCCATGCCTGATTGAGACGATTTGGGCAAGAAAGTTACCGGGAGTCTGTTAGCGAGCCTGGCTCGCAGTGCCATCCATGGCCCTACCTCGCAGAGATGAGAGTAACATGCGGAAGTAGCACTTACCGCCTTCTGTTAAGTGCCCGCTCACCGCTGCTGGCTGACCCTTGCGCATTTGCCTCTCATTCTCAATTGCGAGGCGTCTGTCTGCCTGGTGGATCGTCCTACCACATTTAATGTATAGCATACCTCGTCCCAACGTAGCGACGGCTGCCGCCTCTTATCCCTCGAACTCGATTGCAAGGCTTCCTCATCCTGCCTGAGGCGTCAGCAAGCTGGTTGTTGGTGCTGCCGTTTCCCCTCCCAGCACTTTCACGTTCTCCTCACTTCCAGTCGTCACCTGCAAATCCCTTGACTTCCCCGTTCTGCAATAACTCGACCAACTTTACAGCCTGGCCACTGCAAAAAGTGCCCAGAAAGAGATTATAAAGAGGCTACCTGAGCAACGAACAAGCGCCGTGTTGCTTGCAGCAATCGGGGTGAGTCGTCTCAAACGCCAACCAGCGCTTATTAGAGCTGTGCCACGCGTTCCACCGTCTCCCGTCCGCACCTCCAGTCGTCATCGCCCGCCGTCACACCTCTTTTCCATCCATCAAATACATCACCTTCCCAAACACAGCCATCAACATCAACTGACCGACGTGCCCCGTTCGTCCTGCTGCAGTCGTTGGCCATCGACAACATGGCGTCCGCTGCGCAAGTTAGTCCCGAAACCCCCATCACCTTCAAGGTGATCATCGACGGTCAGACCCGTCGATTCAAGCTGCCGCTCCGCGATGTGGGCATCAACGTGCTCGAGTCCAGGGTGAGTTCAACTCCTAGATGATAGGCCGGGATGGGCACTGATGGCTATCTCAAAGTTGCGAGCCGCACTCGATATCCCTGCCGACGCCTACGCCGTCTTTGAACGGTACTCCGACTCGGCTGCCGCGTATGTTGTTCTGGACCAGACCAAGGTCGCCGTCTACAAGCAGCTGTACCGCGCTGCCAAGGCCAAGCGCAAGCTCAAGCTCCGTGTGACTACCACCCGGGAGGAAGAAAAGCAGGGGCCGAAGCCTGTCTCCGTTTCCAACGAGGCTGAGGAAGAGAGCCGCCCGAGTGTTGAGCCTACGGATACTGAACGTGAAGCCGAGCAGCCCGTCGTCTCTGATCCGACTCCCGCCACTGCTGAAGAAAGCGACTCTGAACCTACACCCGAGACCCGCCCCAGCAAGGCCGAGGAGACCATTGTTCAGTCGATGAAGGAGGCAACAGAGACCCCTGCGGCTCCCGCGAACTTCGCAATTTCATCACCATCTGACGTTCCATCTTGCATTGCAGCCTGCCCCGCAATGCGTGCCAGCTATGCCGTGTGCTGCAACAGCTGCGACCGAACCATCCCGGACGCTCACTACCACTGTTCCACCTGTGACGATGGGGACTTTGATCTCTGCCAGGACTGCGTGGACCGCGGTGTCACATGCAAAGGCCCCAGCCACTGGCTCATCAAGCGCTTTGTCAAGAACGGCGTCATTATCAACAGTACCACAGAACGCTTGGCGCCCAAGCCAAAGCCAAAGCCGAAGGCCCCGTCGCCCGCACAGGCGCCGCAGAGGATCGTGCCCGTTTTCAACGACCTGCTGTACGCCAGCATCCGCACCTGCAATTGCTGCGTGCAGGAGCTGCCTGAGGTCGAGTTTGTGCATTGCACGACCTGCCCGGACTTCGACCTTTGCAGGGCTTGCTTCGCCAAGGACCGCCATGGTCATCATCCTAAGCATGCCTTCGTTCCTGTTGTCGAGGGCATCACCCTCGAGACCGAGGTTTCCCGCCGTCTCGCCGCCGGCCGCGGCCAACACCACCACGCTATCTGCGACGGCTGCGACGCCGGCATCACGGGCGTCCGCCACAAGTGCTTGGAGTGCCCTGATTGGGATTACTGCTCTAGCTGCATCGTGAACGCTGGCTTCATCCATCCTGGCCATCGCTTCGTCCCCATTTACGAGCCGCTTGAGTATGACTCGTCTCACTTCCGTGTCACGGTCCGAAAGCCTGTCCACTACGGCATTTGCTGCGACGGCCCGCTGTGCTCCGCCGCCCGCACCAACTCGACCTACATTGTTGGTGACCGCTTCAAGTGCGCCGTCTGCGACGACACCGACTTTTGCGCCTCGTGTGAGGCTAGCCCTGCCAACAATCACAACCGCACCCATCCCCTCATCAAGTTCAAGACTCCGGTTCGCCACGTCAGCGTCACGACGACCGGTGAGAAAGAGAACGGCAAGCAGATGCCGACCATGGGTGACCGCCTCAGGGCTCGTCCTTCCACCTCTCAAGCTCCGGCCAGTCTCCCTGCTGAGGAGCCTAGCACACCCTCGTCGCTGATCAGCGGCGTCCAGACCGTTGTGGATGTCAAGCCGTCCGAGCCTGTCAAGGTTGAGGACAAACAACCGGTGCAAGCCAAGGAGGAGCCGGCCGTCGCTGCACAGGCGTCTACCGATGATTTGGTCGCCACGTTTGTGCGCGATACGGTGGAGGATGGCACCGTCTTCGGGCCGGACCATGTCTTCGAGCAGACCTGGATCCTCCGCAACACGGGCAAGACCGCTTGGCCGGCCGGCTGCTCCGTCAAGTTTGTCGGCGGAGACTACATGGGCCACCTCGACCCTAACCACCCTGCAGCTACCAGGGATGTGGAGTTCTCGTGCGAATCCACCATCTGCTACGCCGCTGTCCAGCCCGGCGAGGAGTTCCCCTTCACCGTGCTGCTGAGGACTCCGTCCCGCCCCGGCAGGATCGTCTCCAACTGGCGCCTGACCACCAAGGAGGGCCACCGGTTTGGCCACCGTCTCTGGTGCGACGTTGTTGTGGAGAAGCCCAAGGTCGCTCTCCCGCCGTCTGACCCTGTCACGCTGAGGGAGGAGGAGAAGCTCCTGTCTGAGCTGGAGCCGGAGCACAGCCAGATGATCTTCCCCAAGCTGGAGAAGGAGTCGCCTGCTGCCAGTGTCCATGAGGAGCCCAAGCCTGAGGCGCCTGCTCCTGCTCAGGAACAGGTTAAGGAGGCGGAGGCAGAGCTCGAATATCAAGTTGAGGAGGAGGTAATTGAGGAGCAGTATGAGGAGTATGAGGACTGCCAGGACGATGAGTGGGACAACACCGAGTCGATTGATGGCTACTTGACTGATGAGGAGTACGACATCCTTGATGCCTCGGACGAGGAGTCCAACTCTATTATCCAGGGCAAGCAGAAGTGAGAACGGAGATGAAGTTAGGGCGCCTGACTGCACGGGAATGAGGAAGGAGAGGCTACTGACAAAGTATGCTGGGGTTACGGGGATATTATGGGGCAATGGGTTTATATTCTTTCCCTTTTGGTTGGGTTTGCTATTTTGGGGGAAAGGTCATGATCTTGCGCTTGCTGTTTCGGTGGAGTCTTTCCTTTTTTGCTCTTCTCAACCCCAGTTATGAATCCCTTGCTCCCCGTACTTTGGCTCTCCCCAGAAACACAGTACACGAGAAGTCCTTGGGGTATGCAGGCACTTAAATCGCCTCGAGCCGCTTTATCACCGCAATTCTCGTTGACCACTTCGCCTGCCATGCCATGCTACCCATCACTGAAGTTGCTCAAATAGCTGTGGCTGAGGAGGTTCGGGCTGTCTTGTCATTGGGGATCTCTTGGGCATGGGAACTCGTCAACCCCCCTCTCTTTCCGTTTCCTACCTGCTGTCTTTCTTCTAAGTTTTGAGTTTTTTCTGCCGAATGGAATGGAATGGATGTACTACTCAGATTGACACATCTCACACACACTCTCTCTTTGCTTTTGGTGTCGTTAGTTAGGGTTAGCTATCCTAGGCACCTTAGGGTATTGGGAATACGGGCTTGATTTTTTTTTCCCCATGAATGAGAGGGTGTGAATGCGAGGGTGCCGATACCTGTGGTGTGTGTATGTGTGTGTGTAATGCAAATGGGGTGCAATGGGGGGTGTGACTCTTGAGGTAAACTCAAAAAAGACTCGGTAGGTGATGAGGGGAATGAATATTGTGGAATTCTTCTTATGGTTAGTATTACTCTTGTTTCTATGGAGTATGATCAAGAAATTGGAGGCTAGGTATGCGCTTGTTCGATTTAATGTGATACATAGGACATGGGATGGGATCATGAGTGGGCAGCGGCGCTGCGGGTAGAGGACTCACTCACGCAGTTTAATGCCTAGGTCAGTCAACATGACCCTCCGCTCCCCATGGATGGTGTGGATCAACTTTGAATCCAAGTGATACAATGCCATTAGCCGGACGCAACAGGCGACCATTACCAAGGATAAAAGACCTGAGACATCTTTCCATGTACCTATTTAGCAAGCCACATGTCTCTCTCTCGGTCTTTGAACTGGGGTATAAATAACAGCCAGATCGATATGCCACCAGTAGGTTTGCAGAAAAAGTACCAGGGCAAGCCGCTCATCAAACGATGAGTGAGACGGAAGTTGACACTACCACAGTATGGCTACGAATGCGCCCAACAACGGAGAGAGGTCCGGCCGGACAAGGACACCTGGCCCACGTTGTAAGTATAGGCAAGGAGAATACATAAGCTAGGGGTATATGGCTGCCACCTGGCTCGCGGCATACATCGTAGACACGATACACCACACTTTAATCAAATGTGACTTTCTTTCCCTGGTGCGCCACAGCCGCCCCCGTCAGGCGGGCGACGCTGATGTCGGTGTGGTAGGTGATGTCCTTTTTCTTGTCCTCCTTCTTGATCCCCCTGTTGTTGGTACCATTTTCTTGTTTTCGTTGCTTGCTGTCGTTGTTGGTGTTGTTGTCAGCTTGCTGCTTTTGATGCTGCCGTTTGGCCGCGCCCTTTCCGAAGCGCTTGTGGTAGCGCGTCTGGTCGTCCTCGGCCAGTTCGATCTTGAGATTGCGGCCCAAGAGCTGGTTGACCCACCACTTGCGGGTGCGGGTGCGTGATGGTTCCTTGGTGACTACTGTCGTTTTGCTCTTGGTGTTGTTGTCTTTGCCTTCGCCGGCCTCCTCCGCGTCGTCATCGTCCTCGTTCTCGCCGGCAGGATTTGCCTCGTCGTCTGCTGCTGTTGAATTATCATCGGCGGGCTTGGATCCCTGGTCCATGAAGTCCTCCAGCGTCTCGACCGTCTCGCGCACCTTGACGAATCCCTTCACCGCCCACGCCGCGGCCTCGGCGTCCTCGAAGTTGACCCATCCGTACCCCTTGCACTTGCCCGAGTCCTCAAACGAGGCGACTTTGACCCACCGGATCTTGCCGCACTTTTCAAAGTGCGCGTGCAAGTCGTCCTCGGTCGTGTTGAAGGACAGGTTCCCCACGAAGATCTTGGTGCACCCTCGACTGCCTGGCGCGTTCTTGGCTTCTGATGACGCGGGCCCCTTGCCAGCTCCGTCTGCTGTGGCTGCCTCGGGCTCTTCTTTCTTTGGACGCCCTTCGAAGTTCTTGCTGTCCTTGATGAGGAGCTTTCGCCCGTTCCACTCGGTTTCGGAGAGAGCGATGGCCGCGACGTTGGCTTCGAAGGAGGAAAAGTCGACGTAGGCAAACCCCCGGTTTTCGGGGTTGGTCTTCTTGGGCCCGGGCCCGGCGGTGGCCTTTGTTGTAGGCATGTGCACGCGAGTGATGGACTCTTCGGTGATCACGCCGCCCGAATTCTCAACCAGCCATTTGCGGAGATCGGCCTTGGTTACGGTGAAGCGCAGGTTGCCGATCCAAACGCCATGCGGCGAGCGCTCCTTCTTCTTCTTGCCGTCCTTGGCCCCGTCCGCTTTGCCTTCCTCGGCGGTCTTGCTGTCATGCTCGTCATCATCGCTCGTCGGCTTTGCGGGCAGTGTCTTGCCCTTTTTGAGAAGCCGGCGGGCCTTCTTGGACGGGGGCTCTGGGAGCGAGAGGTCGACCTCGATTTCGGGGACGGCGGATTTGCGCTTTTTGGAGGAAGAAGTGGTTTCCGTCTGCTCCTTGGGGGCCGTCTGTTCTGGCTTCTTTGTTGCCATCGGGTCTTCGTTGGATCGCCTAGGCGGGACCCTTATTGAAATGAGAGCTTCAAATATCTGCTCTCTGCGTCCCTGAATATCAGAACCATACAAAATTTCCTGGCTGATAAGCCGATAAACGCTATACTGTTTCCAATTTTAGCGCAAGTCAATTGCGGGGTGGTAGAAACGCCCCGCCAAGTCATTGGGGTAACAACGGGCTGGGCAACACACATCCGTCGATAGGAGAGGGATGTCCACCCCAGCCAACAATTGAGATCCGCGACCCCAGGTAGGTAAGGTAGGCACTAGAATCAAATGTCCATGGAGCACCTCCTCCACGTATAAGCCGTGGGCGTCTTGACCACCCTAGACCAGAAAGCGCAGGGGGTGCTTTGCCTCCCTTAGTCTTGATGTTCTTTCATCAGACGCCTTCCAATCCGTGTCACCCGTCTTCCCAGAAGCCCAATCTCTCGATCTTCCTGGCAAATCGTGTAGAAAACCACAAGGGCGTCGTGGCCCAGTGATGCGAATGTGATACCTTTTTGAATACCTTTCCCTACTTATTAGCAGCTAAGGTAGAAAGCAACCAGCTACCAGTAGGCTTGGAGCCCTCTGGCTGATGAACTGGCTTAGGGCATCCATCCTCAGCCAATCAGATGACCTGAATCATGCGATACGCACTTCATCACAATATCATACCCCGGACGAAATTCGGCTGTGGCCTCAGAGCAAAGGCAACGACTGAGGTGGTGCTCGTCCGACAAGCGGGTTGGATCGGCCGTTCCTGGGTCCTGCACAACCACGGATCCAAAGACTCCTGCCACGCGGCACCGTTCGCGGCCTGAGAATTGCTTTGAGGGTTGCTGTGTACGATAATTGGCCACATCTCGCGGTCCCTGGTTGTTGCAAACGGGCGGTACGAAGGGGATCGATGAAGAAACCGCACGCGTCCTTGCAGCGGGCTCGCTGGTGTTTGCCAGCCTACACTATATCAAGGTCAAGCACCAGAAAGGAAAGCGGTTCAAACGACAATGTGACTGGCGCATGTGGTCCTGGACCGTGCGTTCTCACTCCCTGGCAGCTGGCTTTCCCCAATGAATTAGCGAGTCACCGCTAGCCCTGGGTTGCTCGTTGTGAGTGCAGCACATGGCAGGCGGTAGACAGGATGGCAAAGGTGAAATATAAGGGAGAGAAGAAACTGTGAGAAGGTAACATTAGACATCTATTGCCACGTACCGTAGTTTGTCCTGCTCCCTTCCTGAGACAACTCAGGGTTAAACTGTGCCTTTACTACCTTACTTCCTGATCGAGTTAGATCGTCCTAACCGGGAATCCGACTACTACGAAAGTGTGTCGTGGGCAAATTCCTCGAGGCAGCTCCACTTTGTTACTGTCCTGCTTGTGCTCACAACCACACATCACACCTTGCAGACTGCCAGCTGGGGTAACCTGCATGGTCATGCTCGCCGCAGCACACCTCCTCAATTTTCCCACCTCTCCACAGGCCAGCGGCTCACACCTCTTCCATTTCCTCATCGACCTGGGCACTTCGACAATTCGTAAACAGTCGTTTGTTGTTTCGGCAGCCCGTTGGTGACCGGTCGCTTTAAGCCATCTTCAGGCCAACAATGAACGTCCTTTTATCGCCGCAGCCCCCGACCTTCCCCCTTCCGTGCGAAACCTCTCGATTCCCACCGCCGCCTCCTGGTAAGCCAGACTCTCTGCATTTCCCCAACTCCAGGCTTGCGATCCATCAACGACATCAGTTCGCATGATGAGGACCAGACAGCGGCTATTTTACCCTACGCCGGAACCTCGAGCCAAGTTTATTGACCCCTTTGCAGTGTCGCAATACACCATGGCATCCAGGAAGCGGAAAGCCGACGACGACAACGACGAGATGTCGCTCTCGCCAGTCAGCTCGCCGGCGACATCCTCGCGGCAGCTTGCGAGACCGTCCAAAAAAGTCCGCGGCGGCAGCGACATGGCGGGCCGCCCGCTCTCCCTCCCGCGACTTCTCGAGACCTTAGACAAGACACAACTTCGCACAGTCCTCCAAACCATCTGCGAGCGGCACCCAGACATCGGCCGGGAGGTTGTCACGAGCGCGCCTCGCCCGTCGGTCGCCTCGGCACTTCAGGTCCTGGGCGAATACCAAGAGAAACTGCGGGCTGCCTTTCCTTTCGGCCAGTCGAGTTCCGACTACACATATTTCCGGGTGAAGCAACCGCTCGCCGCGCTCGTTGATACCATCTCGGATTTTACGCCACAGTTCCTCCCGCCGGTGGAACAGCAGACGAACATTTCACTACAATACCTGGATGCTGCGACAAAAGTTATCCACGAACTCCCCGACTGGGAGAGCCAGCAGTATCGACATCACAAGGACAATGCATATGACGAAATATCGGGTGCATGGGCGCTGGTGATTACCGAGGCGGCAAAGAGAGGAGGCGGATTCGTCCTGCACACGGGCGGCTGGGATCAGAGGATCGTCAAACACAACCAGCAGTCGGGAGGGAAGATGGAGCAGGCAATGAACGCTATGGTCACCGAGGTCCCGTGGGCAGGGAACAATTCGAACGGGCCGACGTCGACATCGGGGCTGTCAGATCCGAACTCCATCCGCAACCAGCTTATGAACGGCACGTACGGCTCGCCTGTCCGCGTCGGCCCCTGGTAGAGCAGCCGGTTTCTTGAGACTCCTGATAGTGGCAACTGAGTGTTGTGTTCGGGCGGCGTTACGACCTTTCATTCTTGTTTTTTTTTCGACACATAGGGGCATCGGACTAGGAAGCATAGACTCGTATGGGCAACGGCGTTCACGTATCCTTTTTTTTTCTCTCATTACTTGGGATATCTATCGTTGAACTCTTTTCTTATGTATTGGTCCTCAAGACTCAATCATTATGGCCCTTCGAATAGCGAAGGAATCATTGGGCGGTGGCTAAGCGGAGTGTCTGAGTTCTTTTATTTTTGGTTGTTTAAGCCACCGGGTTGCTCGTTGATCCTCGAGTCAAATACACACGAGGTCCGGTGATAGTCGGGGACTTTGCTCCCTTGGACTGTCAGCGTTCGTACATAGGTACAGCTTGCGGGTATTCTTGGCACTTTTTGTTCTGGTCTTAGCATTCGCGCGGTGGTAGGGATATTTGGATTGTGGTTATGGGCCATCCATTGGTTTGCAAATAATGCGGCTTCTGTCGCGGGCAAGACGGACGGTGTCTTTTTCAGCTATACGTGCTCAACTCGCCCAGCTCTGACATTGTCGCCACAGCCAAATTTTGTAGATCTTATGGTTGTTGTGGTTGACCATCAACGCGAGATGCAGGATAAATGTTCTGGCCGTTATTTTCGTCCTGTTGTGTTTTGCTCTAACTAACGTTATTTACTTGCCTTTTCGAGTGGACTTGGTGCTAATCAACTATGCTATTATATGTGCTTTATCGTGTAGTGGGGTACGGAGCACGGAATGATTGAGTGGTGAAAGCTCTTTGATTGTATCGATGGCTCGATCTCACCTCATCTTTGCCCCAATGAACCATACCTGGTACCTTACCTGAACTGATCAGGCACGAAATGCTGTTTTTTATATCAGTGTTTACCTTCAGGACCGGTGAAAGGGGACCTCCAGGTTGATTTATAGCGCTGCCCGAGGCAACCGCGCACGTGATAGCATGTAGGCGACGTGCCCCACTGCCGCGTCCCACCTTCCCTGAACGCGTCCAGAGCAATTCATGATCACGGCTATCCAAGCAACAGAGGACGATCCACCCGGCGGTTTTCCCTTGAATTACAGCAGCATTCTAGAACTTGAACTCCTGCCGACAAATTGTCGAGTTCGCTACACATGCACCCATGAGAGAGCGCTGCTCATAGCTATACATCGCCACGATGCCTGCGTATGTTGTCGCCTTCTTGACAGTCGCGTCGTGCCCCCAGGCCGATGTGTGCAGCTAGCGATTGGCAAGTCAGGAGCTAACAATGCACATGACAGCCCAGGCGACCAGCACACAAGCATCGCCAACCCCTTTGGCGAGCAGCAGCAACGCATATCCGAGTACACCGCCCAAGAGATCGCAACGCTCCAGAGCCGGCTCGAGAAGCAGCTCGGCCCCGAGTACATCTCGTCGCGCCCCGGCCCGTCCGGATCCGGAGGGAAGGTGCACTACATCACGGCCGAAAAGGTCATCGCCCTCGCGAACGAGGTGTTCGGCTTCAACGGGTGGTCGTCGAGCATTCAGAACATTCAGATCGACTTTGTCGACGAGGACCCGCGGACGCTCAGAATCAACCTCGGCCTGTCCGTCATTGTGCGCGTCACCCTGCGCGACGGCACGTACCACGAGGACCTCGGCTACGGGCACATCGAGAATGCCAAAGGCAAGGCAGCCGCGTTCGAGAAGGCCAAGAAGGAGGGTACCACGGACGCGCTGAAGCGGGCGCTGCGCCACTTTGGCAACGTCCTGGGCAACTGCATCTACGACAAGACGTACTTGGCCAAGGTGACCAGGATGAAGGTGGCGCCGACAAAGTTTGACGAGAACTGCCTACATCGGCATCCGGATTATGTGGTTAAGACGGAGCATGAGCCATCCAAGGAGGACAAAGCCGTGCCGCCAGCAAGGGTGCCGCCGCCAGAGTGTAAGCTTGGGTTTCTAATTCCGTGGCAGCGCGGGTGCTGATTGTTGTAACAGTGCCGATGGCAGACTCCTTTGAGGACTTCTTGGGGGGTAAGCTCCCATGCACAAACATGTTCTTCAAGACGGAACTAACAGATTACAGAGTTGGACGAGGCGGACTTCAACATCTCTGACGAGGGCCACCCGGACATGGTTGTGCTCACAAACTCGGATGAGACAGAGTCAAACCCATCGAACGCATCCAACAGGAGCCACAACCCAACAGGCAATGGCGGAAACAACCCCATGAAACCCCCAACAAGGCAGCTGGCGAGGTCAGTATCAGCGGGGAACAACCCCCCACGACAACCGCCACAAACACCCATCCAGCAGGCGCCGCGACCCAACACCAACAACTTCCCGGGGGCAGGGCTGCTCCAGAACCGCGGACCAACAGTCGGCCCACGACCACCACAGCAGCAATTCAACAACCAGAACCGGCCCGCCCCGCATCAGCCGAACCCCCCCAACCAGAACCCAAAGCCAAACCCGCAAACTCACATGACGCCTCCCCAAACGGGCAATATCGACCACAACCACGCCAACAATAACAACAACACGAGCTTACCAGGCCACGTCGCCAATGCAGCCGCCGCCACCGGCAGCGATACAGTCGGCTTCTTTTCGGCGCGCGCAGTCAAAGCCCTTCCCGAAGAGGCCATCGCCAGCGGCAAGCTGGCGCCCAAACCGGGCCAGGGCCAGGCGTTTAACCCACACCTTGCCAGCCCGTCGATCCCGCGGACGCCGGGGGTCGATCACTCTGCGAGTAAACCTGTTGCTAGGGCTGTGGTACAGGGTGGTGCCGCTGCTGGTGGGGATGGGGGCGGGAATAATGGGGATGGTGGAGGTACAGGTGGTCAGGTTGGGGGTGGAGGAGGTGGTGTAAAACCTAGTGCGAGACCGCTCGGGAACGTGGTCAACCCGCAGTTGGACCAGGCGAGGCGGATTGGGGCGCCGGGGTCATCGAGTCCGCTGGGGAATCGCGGGCAGTTTCGGCCGTTGACTGTGAAGCGGCCTGCGGGCGGGGACGGGACTACTACCGGTGGTAATGGTGGTGTCGCTGCTGGTGCACCGGGGAGGGTGCCGTTGGGGGACGTGTCGAATCATCTGGTTGTTGTGGGCGCCGGAGATAAGGGGGGAGGTAGTGGGCCTGAGGCGAAAAGGCAGCGGGTTTCGTGAGGTGGAGGTGTACATTCTTACTGGTCCAGTTGAGGGCGTCGCAGAGGTGAGAACTACTTGCAAGGTTTCGGTCGCTGAGCGGAGTTTCTTTGTTGCTATACCGGTTGTTCAACCGCCGTTGCTCTTCTTCAGGGGTTCACACGGACAGACGTTGCATGGCGCTGGGACCGGGTTGCCTAGGCGGTACGGGTTATGTTTTCCTTTGGGGTCAAGTAGACTGAACGTTATTGAAGCAGGTTGTGATGAAGCTTTCAATGCGCTTGCGTGTGCCAAGTGTGGCTTTCCTAAGAGAGGAGCTGTCATACGCGACCCGCTACAGATCGATCCCCATGATGGCAGATGGAAGACATATATCATTTATCCCACTCTCGCCCTCATGGGAGAGAGATGCACAGCTGAGCAGTTGTATTACATTCCTTTTGTTCAAGACGACGCCATACGGAAGGCTTAGTGCAGTGAGATTTGCTTGAATTCGAACTTCCAGTTGCTGCCTTTTTTTTTATATGAAAGGCCAGAGCGAGCTAATTGTGTTTAGCTACCATACAGACCTGACAGGATCTTCGGCATCTCGTTACCCAGACAGGCAGTCCGGTGGATGGGACAAAAGGCTGCGAAGTGAAGGGGTCTTACATATGCTTGGCCATTTAGAGATACCTCGCAACAAACATCACAAGCTACTCAGACTCGTCTATTTCTGTCTCTGCCCTAAACCCGCCCGTCTCTACCACCCGTCCATATGATTCCTTAGTCTCTCCTATTCATACTTGAAGCACTGCTATTGTTATCGTCTGACACGAGAGCGGTTGCGTGGGCATTGAGAAGAGTTTAGGTGGTGTTGTATTGACGACAATCTCGGTATCCCATGACTGTACCATGCTGGATTTGCTTAACGTACCCTGTCTCTCTTTGTTTGGTATTCAATGGGGACTCAAACGCCCACAATTGTGTTTGATTGAGAGGGCTTGCACGACAGACAGCCTGTCATCGCCAAGCACAATGGCTTCCAACAACATCGATAGATCAGGAACCGCAACGATGACAACGAGATTGGCCGAACGGTCAGTGGGTATGGCGAGGTCAAATAACCACTGAAATCAGGTGATGAAATCGATTGCTTGGACGCCTCAAGGGTTTTTGGAAACATACCACTGTAATAGGAGGAGAGACATATTGCACGGCCCTGGTTGGCCAGCCCTCTGACCCCACACCCCGGGTTCCCCAGGTTTTCAGTTCCGGGACCGGACCCCTGAAACGATCCTTGTCGGCGGAAAGCCGACATTTCAACTTTTTCCTCCCGTTGCCGTCTTCCAGAGCCCCCGCAGCAACTCTCCTGGCCACCGGACACCAACCATGAGGCCGATCGATCTCGCCAGCCGGTCAGGCGTGGCTTTAAGGGTATGTACTTGCTCGATTTCTGTTATAACAATAGGTTACCACTAATTCCACATCACAGAGGGCCTTGCAAGGGCAGCAGCTCCGCCGAGTCACGAACACACGACCATACTCGAACGGGCCGCTCCTGCCGCCGACGTACGAGAAGCTTTACAACAAATACTCCGAAGTCCGCCGCGTGCTGGGCGCCCGGCGGCTGACACTCGCCGAGAAGATTTTGTACAGCCACCTGGACAATGTCGAGGAGTCGCTGCTCTCCAACACCAACAATGGCAGCGACATTCGCGCCAACGCCAACCTCAAGCTGCGGCCCGACCGCGTCAACATGCAGGACGCCTCGGCCCAGATGGCCCTGCTGCAGTTCATGAGCTGCAACCTGCCCCAGACCGCTATCCCCGCAAGCATTCACTGCGATCACCTGATTGTCGGCGAGCACGGCGCCGACGACGACCTGTCGGCGGGTATCAAGACGAACCGGGAGGTCTTTGACTTCCTCGAGTCAGCCGCCAGGAAGTACGGCATTGACTTCTGGCCGCCGGGCGCGGGCATCATCCACCAGACGGTGCTCGAGAACTATGCGCTCCCCGGGCTGATGATGCTCGGCACCGACAGCCATTCGCCGAATGCCGGAGGACTGTGCACCATTACCATTGGTGTTGGCGGCGCCGACGCCGTCGAGGCGCTGGTCGGCGCTCCGTGGGAGCTGAAGGCGCCCAAGATCATGGGTGTCAAACTGTCCGGCACGCTCAACGACTGGGTGTCGCCCAAGGACCTGATCCTCCACCTTGCCGGCCTTCTCACCGTGCGTGGTGGCACGGGCTATATTGTCGAGTACTTCGGTTCGGGCGTTGAGACCCTGAGCCTCACCGGCATGGCTACGGTTTGCAACATGGGTGCCGAGTTGGGCGCGACAACTTCCATCTTTCCCTACACCGAGGCATCGAAGCGATACCTGAAGGCGACCAGGAGAGAACAGGCCAGCCGCAATGCGGATGCGCTGCAGAGCTTCCCGGGCACGGGCGCCGCCGAGGATGCCTTCTTCCAGTTCAAGGCCGACGAGGGCGCGCAGTACGACGAGCTCATCGAGGTCGACCTCTCCAAGCTCGAGCCGCACATCAACGGCCCGTTTACGCCAGATCTCGCCACGCCCCTGTCGCAATTCAAGAAGACGGTGCAGGAGCAGCAGTGGCCGGCGAAGCTGTCGGCCGGCCTCATCGGCAGCTGCACAAACAGCTCGTACGAGGACATGACGCGCGTCGAGAGCATCGTGCGTGAGGCCGAGAAGGCCGGCCTGAAGCCCAAGGCCGACTTCTACATCACGCCGGGAAGCGAGCAAATCCGGGCGACGCTGGAGCGCGACGGCACCCTCGAGACCTTCACGCAAGCCGGCGGCATCGTCCTGTCCAACGCCTGCGGCCCCTGCATCGGCCAGTGGAAGCGGCACGACGGCGTGGCAAAGGGCACCCCTAACGCCATCCTGACGTCGTACAACCGCAACTTCCGCGGCCGCAACGACGGCAACCCGGAGACCATGAACTTCCTCGCCTCGCCGGAAATCGTCACGGCCATGGCCTACGCGGGCTCCACCACCTTCAACCCCATGACGGACGCGCTGACGACGCCCTCGGGCGCCGAGTTCCGCTTCCCCGCCCCGCGCGGCCTCGAGGGGCCCGAAACGCCCTTCGAGCAAGGCAAGCAGACGCTCGCGGTGCTCTCACAACCGCCGGACCCGTCGGTGCGCGTCGCCATCTCCCCATCGTCCGAACGCCTGGCGCTGCTGGAGCCCTTCGACCCCTTTCCCGAATCGGACCTGACCGGCATGCGGGTGCTCGTCAAGGTCGCGGGCAAGTGCACGACCGACACCATCTCGGCCGCGGGGCCCTGGCTCAAGTACAAGGGCCACCTGCCCAACATCAGCGCCAACACGCTCAACACGGCCGTCAACGCCGAGACGGGCGAGGTCAATGCCGCGTACGACTATGACCTCGATCCCTCGCAAGAGAAGATGACGATCCCCGAGCTGGCGCAGCGGTTCAAGGAGAGGGGCCAGGCTTGGTTGGTCGTCGCCGAGCATAATTATGGCGAGGGGTCCGCGCGCGAGCATGCCGCGCTGCAGCCGAGGTATTTGGGCGCGAGGATTATTGTGTGCAAGAGCTTTGCGAGGATTCACGAGACGAATCTGAAGAAGCAGGGAGTTGTGCCGCTGACATTCGCGGACCAGGCGGATTATGAGAGGATTGGGGCCGGGGATGAGGTCGAGACGGTCGGTTTGTATGATATGCTGAGGAATGGTGGCGTCGGCGAAGTTAAGTTGAGGGTCAAGAGGAGGAGACGTGGGTCAAAGATTGGGGAGGGGGAGGTGGTTGAGATTCCAGTGAGGCATACCGTTAGTAGGGACCAGGCGCGGTTTATACTGGCGGGGAGCGCGTTGAATTTGCTTGCAAGGGGGGGTTAAAAGCATGGGAGAAAGGAAGGAAGGGAGGGGTTGGTGAGATTAAAGTGTCTTGCTTGAGTGTGGGCTGTGTGGCTGTATCTTGGTGTGTTGTAGTCTGAGCTGTTATAGATCTGGGACAGTATTGTGGGGCCCTACGCGGTATACCCCGACGCTTCGCTTCTGCGAGGTTGGTAAATAGACGCGAAATATAGGAAATGATGTCCATGGCCTAGTTTGCGTTCACGGTGGATATGCTCCATGATATGGGGCGGTCGTTGTGCGGTTTGCATTCTGGTCAAGGCTGGCGTGACGGGTGAAAATTGACGGCAGATGCGCCTCTGATCAAACCTTCTCACCACGAAACGTTCACGTACGGAGAGTTCTCATTAAGAGCCGACGAGCGGGAAGCTCTCAAGATCAGATTCCATGTCCTGGAGGCTGGACAGAGCTTTGAGCATGGCCATCCCGGCCCGGGCCTGTTCCAGCTCGGTTGGGCCAGTAATACCGTTCTTCGCATGTAGTCGGGCGTCTGCTCTGGTAAAGATCCATGATCTTGGAATGTCGTATTTGCATCCGCTTCTCTTGACGGGTGTTGGCCGTTGCCTGTTCTGGTGGAAGATTCAGAACTACATGGATCCTCACTCGCTTCTCCTGAGCATAGTGATCCCATGGTTGACGTCCCAAGCCGGCTTCTGAGGTTGTGTCCGGTCCTTGATCGGTCAGGTACCGTGTACCCGACGATCTCTGGCTTCACGATTGGTATTTGATCCATTGATGGTGCTTTTCCTCGAGGGAGGTTGTTTTTTCTGTGCTCAGGTCTTAGGTCCGTTTCAGATCCAGTACGCGAGACCAAGGGACATGCTTCCGCAGAGAGTTTGACATTTCCGTGAGATATTTGAGCATCATCGTGTGTTGGGAAGTTTGCGGTTCCACAACCAAACCGTGGTCCCAGTTTGATATGCAAACGCTGGTTATACGAGAATGTCGACTAGGTCGAGTAGCTTACAATCCGAGCCTGGTGGAGTCTCGGTGCAATGCGTGAGCAACGGTCCCTTTCAAAGTTTGAGACCGCAGACTGCAAGCGGAATCCTACCCGGCCTCAACCACCACCGGTCCCAATTGCGGTCATACCATGCGGAGGCGGGAAGGAGGGGGAGGCAATATGGGGGAGGAAGCGGGAAGACGAGGGAAAAAGAACATACAACACCGAGGATTCGCTGGTCGTCACCGACCCAACTACTGATTCGGCCCTTACTAGCTTATCGATGGGAGAGCGGACGGGATCCCGAGTTTTCTAGTAGGTATGGTCGTATGTGATGGGAGGAATTGAAAGTAGTGATTATACGGCGTGGACGGTGGACCGTCGGACGAGGTTCCGTTCATTTTTCAGGGTGGTTAGAGTATCAGCCGACCGCGGCACCCAGATAAGATGCTGTTGAAGTCAAATATGGCGGCATCTTACTTTCGAAATCAAGTGAGATAAATTAGGCGTGTTTACGGCCTTACGGGTGGCTCGGGGTGGCTTTAGTCTTCATGGTGTTTCAGTCAAGACGACATCTAGGGTGCTTTTGGGATTCACGGCATTTTGAGCTCGACTTCCGAAGTATTGTATCTGCCCCTAGGTACAAGAACTATAGGATGATTTAAACGTCATTTATCGTTCCGCCAGGCATCGCTCGTTCCAAAGGTCTTCATCCGTCGTGGTCACCATGTTGCTTCAGACCGGCGGATCAAGCCATCAATCCTCGCAATTGTCGAGTTTCGTGATTATCATCCCAATCAATCCAGTATATTTTTAAAGTATCTCTGGGTAATTTGACGTGTTGAACTTGTCATATCCTTTCCTTGGATACGAACAACACTTCAATGACCAATCAGTAAGGCTCTGTTCAATGTTTGAGTATTTGGGATAGGTATTCAGTCTCGCGAGTCTCAAAATCCTGTTCACCCCTAACTACGCAACTCAAGCCCGAGGCAAATTAAGGTTAAAGTCAGGCGCAGGAGGCCAGCGAGCAGCATTTCTTGGAGATCTTAACTCGCCGAACGAAGGCGGACCGTGGCCTAATGGTTTTCGTTAGAACCTGGTCTGAGGTTGCTTGAATGTCGCCGTTCAAACTAGGTATCCATTAGGAAGCAGCTTCCATAATCGAGACCGAAAGCATTTGCTTCCTTTGAACCTTGAACCGCCGCAGCATGTTTAACCCACCCAGCCCTAGTTAGGAACTTGGAAAAACTCGACTTAGCCGAATCACATAAAGTTGTATGTGAGGTCGATCAGAGTACACAATCGAGTCGGGGGTGCTCTGTCTTGGCCATAGCAATCTCGTCCGACTCCCGAGTCCCATACATAAAGTTCCATCATCAGCCGTTGCTGTCGCTTCGCCTGAGGCCCTCTCAAGGTAGCATCAGCCTGCACTCTGCGCATCATGAAGCACCAACCACCGCTGCAGGTCTCCCAAGTGGCAACAACCAGCACTCTGGCAACCAGGTTCTGTACCCTCCCTTCAATTAGGTACACCACGTCCCCGCCTCTTAATTATACATCAAGACCAAGCAATGCCCCCAGAGTTGTTTTTGCCATGCGCCGCGCACGCCAGCGATAAGAGAAACTATCATAAACCAGCAACTAATATAATCCCTAGCACAGCAACCCAACTACCAAACGACAACAAAACAACCGCTGCTCTCAAAAAAACAATGCGCCTTAGCATGCAATCCCACATACATATACCGTGTCTCCATCAGTCGCTCGTCCACAGCACCCTGCGCCAGTCCCAACCGAACCCGTAGCAGCAGGACCAGCAACAACCCTCCGTCCAACCTTATGTGCAGAAGTGCAGACGATCGCCCCCCACTCTGATTACTCATTCACCCATCGCCACCACCAAACCGCCTCCCCAACACGGCCGGGTTCGAAAAAGTAAACGAAACCAACCCTCCCGAATGCCCAACCCTCCTCCCCACCACCCCCGCGCCAGACGACGACGACGGCTTCCTACTCACCCAACCACCACTCACAACACTGCCCCCACCACTCGCCACACTCCCGCTCCCACTCCGTCTCCTCCCACCACTCCCACTCCACTGTTGATCCTCCTCCGCTCCTAACAAACGCCCCGCCGCCGAAGAAGGAACACCAGAGCTAGGAGGCAACCCCCTCAATCTCCGGAGCACCCTCACCCACGCCGGGTTCTCAGTCACTTTCTCCGGCAGCGTCTCCTCAAAAATCTTTGGCCCCTCTTTCTCCTTGAGCCGCAGCTGCCGCCGCAGCGACTGTGCCGCGCGCCCGAACCGTTCCTTGCGCCGCCCCCGCGCCCGAATTTCGGCCTGCTTGGCCGCGTGCCATGCTTCCGAGTGCGGCTGCGGCCAGTGGATGCGCGGGTCGATTGGCAGGTAGAGGGGCTCGTCCTGTTCCTGTTTCTTTGGAGAAGAGTTGGGTTTGCTGGTGTTGGTGGTGGTGGCGGTGGCGGTGGTGGCTGCTGCTGCTGCTGCTGTTTTGAGCCGTGGGTTGTTGATGATGTCGGGTAAGTCGGTGCCCGGCGGGGGTGAGGCGGCGCCTGGCTGGGAGTAGATGAGGGCGTCGAAGAGGGCCGTGTCGATTTCTTTCGGTTTTGGTTTTGGGCGCTGGATTGGCTTAGTTTTGGTGCTAGTTTGCGCTGGACGCATGGACAGGTGTATCTTTTGCGAGGGGACGCCGTTTGCTTCCAGCGGCCCATCGTCTGGCTGGGTGTCCGATCTCCTCCTATCAGGTTGTGCCTTTCCACCCAACTCCTCTAGAAGGTCTGACGACCTCCAAGGGCGGCTTTGCAAGTCTATCGATCCCGTCCGGGACACGGATGCGGTTGGGCTGCTCAACTTGGTGAACATGTCTGAGTCGTCAGAACTCCGCCTTGCGGCAGCCCCTACAGATTCGTTCATGCCAGAACTTGACTGCTCAGTAAGCATGCCCGCGCTACGGTCGTCTGGGCCAGGTTCAATGAACCGCAGTTTAGACAGCTGGTGAGGCACCCTCCTAACGGGGTGTCTCGAACTAGGCTTATTGCTGCTGGCAGGCTTGCCCTCCTTGTCCCGCACCTTGGCATGCCGCTGGGGTGACCCGTTCGATTCACGGCGGCTCGAATGCGGACTCTTGGACTCAACCGGCTTGCTCCTCCAAACAGGTTCCGTGGTAAACGGCCGAGGGGCGTCTGTCCCGTACACTCTGGCCTTTGGGGAGTGCCCTTGGGACGGCGACAGTCTCTGTCGCTTTCTCGCCGGCTCCCCATCCCGGACAGACCCGGGGCTAGCAGGCGGCGAGTGGACCGACGGACGGGGTGCCAAGCGCTGCGGTGAGGACGGTGACATTGTCGACGGACCGCGGGAAGGCGGCGTGCTGTGCTTGGGGGTTGGCTGCTGCGGGACGAACTGAGGTAGGTTCCCAGCGGTTTTGCGCCTCATGATTGGCCGGTCCTTGTCGGTTTCTGGCAGCATCTTCCTCGGGTTTGGGCCTGAGACGGGGGGGCGAGACAAGGTGGAAGTGCCCGCCGGGGTGGTTGCGACTTGTGTGCCATTTGTCTTGTCAGCACTGGCAATGGCCTGCAGATGGGCCTCACACAGGACCTGGCGATGGCCGTCGATCTTGGCGGGGCATCCGGGGAAGGAACAAGTAATGATACGCCCAGACGGGCCAAGGCGCTGAGTGGAAATAAGAGAGATTGAGCCGTTCGTAACAACAGAAGTGGTAGTGTCTGAGGCAGGAGCCATGCTGGCGCGCAGAGAGTCGTTGAGGCCGGAAGATGTTGAGCTGAAAGAGGTGGCCTGCGACGACAGCGACGAGCTGTCATGGTAACCGCCTCGCTTGAATTGGCCCTTTGCAAGACAGCGCTTGCAGACCCAGTTGCTGCCACAGTCAAATTTGGTCAGCGAACAGAACGCTTGGACAACAGCTTCAATGAATTGAGCAAGACATGATCTAGGCGATGGATTGAAAGTTGTAGCGGGTGAGGTAGGGCAGCTCAAGGTAGGCGCGAGGCAGAGCCAAAATACAACAGCTCTTCGGAGGGCCGGGAAAATACCAGGTAGGGTAGGGGCTACAAGTGGGGGCGCTGCCCCGTCCACATTTCTGTATGGCTGAGGATCGTGGCGGCCCGTGTAACAGGGTGATAAAGTCGAGTTAGGGAGACAGCCTCCGGGATGTGGAGACAGGTAGAAAGACAATGGAATAGGAGCACCTACATGGACTCCTGCGGATGGGGCCGGTGGCATGCGGAATGATAATGTCTGCGGCAACGGACACACCCGATCAGCGGCTTGTCAAGCGCCCCTGGCTCCCCGCATCTTCTACAACACGGCATAGCTCAGCCTCGCACCGCGTCCTGCAATCTGTGCTCCCCCAAGACGAGTTAGCGCCACTAGTCCGGAATGTCAGGTGGTTTGAAATCAAATGCCCCTCGAAAATCAAACACAAGAATGTATCTCAGGTCTTTTCAGTTTTTCAGTTTAATCATCATCCAGCTAGCTGCAGCGGTTTTGTGGTTCCGAGGTGACGGGCCAAACTACATGTCATGTAGGTAGTCGAGCAAGGCCGAGGCCGAGCATCTGCCTTGCTCTTTTGTCCACCACAGCCTTTTGGACCAGTTCTGTGAAATAATGGGGAACCAGTCTCCGGGAGGTGGCAGCGTCGTCGACCTAAGCCTCCGACTTGTTTCGATATATCAGACTGCCAGCCTCACGCCGCCGGCGGACTCGAGGCAGCGTGTGGAGGCCGAGACTGGCAGCTGGACGCGCCAGGGGCCTAAGAGCCGTGTCACCTGGAACCACAATACCAGAGGAGCTAGTGGCTGTCTGACCTTTTACCAATTTGCTCATCATTGACATTGTATGCTCCACGGTGAAGGGAAAATGAGGAAGTAGAATGAAATAAAAGCTTACCTGGTCATTGGGAGGCCTTCACCGTCTGACCGGCCGAGAGCCCACGACAAACCTTCCCTTCGTCTCGCCACCTGCGACCATCGACCGAGCTGAGCAAAACTAAATCATTTGCCCGCCAAAGTAATGATTCGACAATTCCGCCGAGTCTTGGCGTTAGCTGCCGAGTCAAAGGCTTCTTATATGTGAGGCGCAAAGGTGGATCGACAAATCGTGCCCATGTTCAACGGAAGCAAGACGAGGGACAATGGAACGGCGACGGATTGTGAAAAGCGCTGCTGCCTTGGTGGGGGTCGTTAGGTCAGGTTGCCAGCAAAAGCATCCATCTGTGGTCCGTGCACCAACACAACATTGGCGCTAAGCTTTGCCGCCTGCTGCCCTGGGCTTAGCGCGCCAAGTTCGCCGCGAGGGTTAAGGTACGGATATCAGGTTGCCGTTTGGTTCGCCGATAGCCTCCTTTTTGGCAGAGTGCAGATTAGGCGCCAGCTACGGAGAGCACTGGATTACTGACGACATCAGCAATCCCGAACGGAATACGCGTGCCACTCATGGACTTCCTTAAGTCGGCCGTCGCCTCGGCGATGGCCAAGGGTCCTCCGTTCCCCTACACCTTCGGCGACAAGGTCGACCTCGATCCCTCCATCTGGACTCTCTATAACGGCACGCGACGGGTATGTGTTCGGCACCCTAGGCATTGCTCCATAGCCACGCAGAAACCTATCTAATAACCCAATGCAACAGGAAGACAGCTCCAACTGCAGCATCTTCTCGTTCGACGTCTCGGCAAATCGATCCGCTCTGCCCCTCGCCAAAAACGCCCTGAAGAAGCTGCGGACACTGCGACACCCGGGCGTCATCAAGGTGCTGGATACTGTTGAGGTACGGTGACGACCCGCCAGTCGGAAAGCCGCTCAAGGCTGATATGGATGAAAAGACAGATTCGTACATCTACATTGCGACGGAGCGAATAGTGCCGCTACGATGGCACGTCAAACGAAAGAGTCTAAGCCCAGAGACGGCGAAATGGGGTCTATACAGCGTTGCGGTGCGCCCAGAACACACGGTCAGATTGGCCCTGGTCAGGAGACTGACGCCGAGGACAGAGAACAATTAAGTTTATCAACGACGAGGCATCGTCGGTCCATGGCAGTCTGAAGGTTGCCTCGGTCTACACAACCGAGAGCGGGGAGTGGAAACTGGGCGGCTTCGAGGTGCTCAGCAACGTCAAAGATGACGAGGCTGTCATATATGTAGGACAACAACCCTACTCATCTGGGCCGGTCGTATGGTGCTGACCCGGAATCAGACCTATGGCAGCCTCGTGCCTGACTCGGGACGGTATACCCCGCCAGAGCTGGCAAAGTCAGGCTGGGACGCCATCAAGCGCAGTCCACACTCGGCCGTGGACGCTTACGATTTCGGCGCCCTGATCTTTGAGGTCTTCAACGGCACTTTCAACAGTGGCGACCAGGCCGGCCAGACCAAGAACATCCCGCCCAGCATGCATTCTAGCTACAAGCGTCTTACCAACGCCAATCCCAAGGCGAGACTCAGTGTCGCCCATTTCCTTGAACAAGGCCGCCGAAGTGGCTCTTTTTTTGACACGCCTCTAATCAAACTCACCGATGGCATCGAGAATTTGGGCGTCAAGACAGAGGAGGAACGGGAAACCTTTCTGGAGTACGTGTTTGATTTTTCCCCCTCATACCGAGTGCTCTGTGCTGACTTACCCCAGCGACTTGGCGCAGCTCACAGATGACTTTCCGGAAGACTTTTTTAAAATGAAAGTCTTGCCAGAGCTATTAAAATCAGTTGAGTTTGGCGGCGGCGGTCCCAAGGCCTTTGGCGTTGTCATGAAAATCGCTACAAAGTTGTCGAACGAAGACTTCGAGACAAAAGTCACTCCGGTCTTGATCCGCCTGTTTGGCAACCCCGACCGTGCCATCAGAGTGTGCCTGTTAGACAACCTGCCGCTCATGATTGATCGGCTAACTCAGAAGGTTGTGAACGATAAGATATTCCCTCAAATAGTGAGTTGAAGCCCTCCTTCTCGACTTGACCGACGCAGCTGATACTTACTGACCCTAGGTCACCGGCTTTACCGACGTTGCGCCTGTCGTGAGAGAACAGACTCTGAAGTCTGTTCTTACTCTCATCATAAAGCTTTCGGACCGGACCATCAACGGGGAGTTGCTGAGATACTTGGCCAAAACCGCCAACGACGAGCAACCGGGGATCCGCACCAACACAACGATTTGTCTGGGCAAAATTGCCAGGCACCTCGGAGCCTCCTCCAGGGCAAAAGTTCTGATAGCCGCGTTCACGCGATCGCTGAGGGACCCCTTCGTCCACGCCAGGAACGCCGCCCTCCTGGCGCTGTCGGTAACAGCCGAGTACTTCTCCGACGAGGACTGTGCGCTCCGCATCCTGCCCGCGATCTGCCCCTCCCTAATAGACAAGGAGAAGCTCGTCCGCGACCAAGCAGTCAAGACAATGGATGTCTACCTCGCCAAGATCAAGAAGGCCGCTGCCGGCATGCCCGACTCGGTGCTCCCCCCCGAAGGCGCATCGTCCGCGGCGGGCGGCGGCGGCCCGAGAATGAGTACCCCGCAGCCAACCGAATCGGCCACGGCAGCTTCTTGGGCGGGGTGGGCCATCTCGTCCTTCACAAACAAGCTCTCCGCCGCGGCAGGCGAGATCCAATCATCGTCGACTCCGGTCAACGGAAAAGGGACAACACCGCCGCCATCCAAACGCCCTGCCACAGCCTCGCAAACACCCTCCACCTCATCGGCTACAACCCTCCACCGCCAAGTACTCAGATCTCCTCCCGCGTCCGCACCGCTGAGCAAAGACTCCTTCTTCCAGGACGAGCCCGGGCCAGCGGATGACGCCGACGACGCGGCCGATGCCTGGGGTGATATGGATGACATGCCCGACGAAAACGACAACGAGAGGGACAACGACGGCGCCGCGGCCTTTTTCAGCGATGACATCCAACCTTCCAAGTCTGGCACCACCAGCAGTACCATTCCAAAAAAGAAGACGACGCCGACGGCGAGCAGCAGCAGTGCACCTGCCACCGCGAGAACGACGCCCTTTGACGACGGCTCCGAGCCAGATTTCGCCGGATGGCTGGCTGCGCAGGCACAGAAGAAGATGAGCAGTGGTGGGGCGTTGCCTAAAGGGTTGGCTAAGGCCGGTACTGGGTCTGCTGTGGGTGTAACGAGCGCCGCGGCGGCGGCGGGGAAGAAGACGGCGGCACCATCGGCGAAGAGCAAGGTGATGGTGGCTGCGAAGACGAAGAAGATTGATTTGAAGCCCAAGGAGAGCAGCAGCCTGGAAGATGACGGGTGGGGTGGCTGGTGAGAGCCTGCCTGACGCAGAGTCAGCTTCAGCTTAGGCTCCGGCTCCGGCTCCGGCTCAGGCCCAGGCTCAGGCAAGAAAAAGGTTTGGGGGGCCGGGGGTGGGTGGGGGTGCTTGAAAATGGCAGGGGGAAGGAACTGGAGAGGTGGTAGAATTGGGATCGTATCGGTGCCTACATTTATATTACGGGTGGGACAGGGGGGCTTTGTTCGGCAAGCAAGCAATGGAAGCTGGCATGGAAGGTATCGGTTTTTTTTCCTCTGTTTCTTTGCGGTCCTACGTTGAAATACGTTGAAATGGTGTCATGGGTGGATAGAGATAAGCGGTGGCGTGGCTGGATGTTGTTAATAGACATGATGACATGATGCATACAGAAAGACTCGGTGCATGAGCAAACACAGGCAGCCTGAGAGCTTGAGAGTGGCCCGGGATTCATTCTTACCTGATCGAAGTACCTAGCTGCGACTATCAGAACATATTATTCGAGGAAGAGTTCCTGAGCCGAGTCAACTGTCAATGGGAAACCCATCAAAAGAGACACAGCAGGGCCTCTCATCTGTTCAAACCAACTCACGCACCCGGCAACCAACCAACTTGTCCCCTAAGATGCCTAGGTAAACGAACCAACAAACACAGCCACTTCCTTTCCTCGCAACAGATCGGCTGGAATAGGTGGTCATAAATCCCCACTTCAGACAGATATGCAGCGCCGCAAATACCATTACACATGCAACTCAGAACCGCCTTACGTCCTCGTTCAGTTGGCAGGCCAGGGCTGCCACTGCGGCTTCTGGGGCGCAATATTCAGCGGGGCCGAGCGCGCAACAGGCTCCAGCTGCGGAGCGGATCTAGCGCGAGGGTCGGGTCTATGGTCAACGTCTGCGGCCGTCGCGTGGTGCGGCGACAGAACCGGGGCGGGCGGCGCCAGCATGCGAGCGGTGATTGCAATCGCTTCTCTGGTGGGGTTATCGAAGTTGTTGTTGTCTGCTTGCTGGCAACCTGCGCTGGCGCCGCCTCCAGCAGCACGTATCAGCAGCGGCATCAACGACGGCTTGCCGGCCTGGAGCATGCGCATGCGGCGTTGCTGGATCTGCTGTTCGCGCTGCTGCAACTCCAGTCGGCGCAACTCTCTCTGCTGGGCTTGGTACGCCGTGCACAAGCAGAGTGGGCACTCGGGGGCCTTGGGGGAATCATCGACATCTTCCTCGGACGGGTCCTAGCGAGTCTCGGAGTAGTCGTTGAGCGCGACGCAGACGGCGCCGCGGTGGTGGCCATTGTACTGGCGGATGATCTGCTGTGTGTGCAACTCCCACAGCCGCGCGTAGTGGTCGCTGCAGGCCGTCACGAGGTAGGCGCTATCGGCGCTGAAGGCGCAGTCCCACACCCATCGCTGGTGGCCCGTCAGCGTGGCCTCGAGCGGAAAGGCCCGCGGCTCAGCGTTGGGGCCGGCCGGCTCCATCTCCTTGACCTCCCAGATCTTGGCGGTGTGGTCGGCGCTGCAAGTCGCCAGCTTCTTCACGTCGGGGGACAGCAAGATGCGCGTGATGTATTCCTTGTGCGCCGAGAAGTGCGTCATGGGCACCAGCTGGGTGCGCTCATAGGCTTGGACGAGCTGCCATACAAAGACGTTGCCCTGCGCGCGGGTGGTTAGTGCTTCGCTAGACTAGTGAAACCGACAGAAAGAGCAGACATACTGCGTTGTTGGCTGCACAGAGAAGAGAGCCATCGGTCGCAACGGTCACGCTTGACACGGACACCTCTTCTTCAGGAATGAGCTGGTGCGCGCAGTTATTCTCGGCTAAGTCCCAGAGCCGGATGCTCCCGCCCCGATCGCAGCTGATAATCTCGCCCTGGTTCGGATGAATAACGACATCATTGACAGGGGAGCCGTGGTTGTAGCTCCGCTGGATCACGCCAGTGCGTGTGTCCCAGATCTTAACAGTGCCGTCCTCAGAGCTCGTCACCAGCCATTTGCCGTCGCAGTGGAATGCGACACCCGTAACATTGCCCGTATGGCCCTCGAAGACAGAAGTGGGAGCAGGGTTTGAGGAGCGGATGTCGAAGATCTTGACAGTGTGATGACCAGCAGCCGCGAGGTGGCGCTTGTCGGGAGATATACACAATCGGTTGACCTGCGAATCGGGATGCTGGATGGTTCGGGAGCAAATGCCAGAGAGGGCTTCCCAGAACCTGGCAGATATCAGCACTTCAGGTCAGCGGTGAGGTCGGCGAGATGGACTCGGGCGTCTGATGGTAAGGTGATACGTTTGACATCGGGCATACCTGATGGTGTGGTCGTAACCAGCTGTCGCAGTCTGTCAACAAAGTAATTCTTGGGTAATCAATCAAGCGCGCTCTTACCTGTGCAAAGAATGACAGACATTTTGGCGACAACTACCAGCTCATCACCAGATCGTGCAGACAAAGAAGGGGGGAGTTGAAGGTGGTCAGTTGCGCAACAACATCACTGATTGAGTGCTGTGTCGGGTCGCGATAGTTAACAAGACGCCAGGTTCGGAGCTCGCGGGCCACGCCGAGAGATTCCGGAACTCAGTGTAATGCAGTGAGTGGGTCCAATCAAACGCTGGGAAAGGTGGGGCGACAGTTGCTTCCAACTGACTCCACCAAAGCCTCACTTGCAGTTCCCGAGTTGGACTTCTGTGTATCCGGCGTTATTGAAAGAATCCAAGCCAACCCTGGTTCGTTTGTTGGCAAGAAAAGAAAAATAAATCACGGAGGTTAGGAATTTTATTGTACGATATCTAAAACTACCCCCGTGAGCTATCGCATGAACAGGACCTTCTGTCTTAAGCGGCCTGTTGAGTCGGACAAAAACCAGGGTTAAGTTTTTGGTTCAGCTAAACATCATCTGCATCAACTAGAAGCAATTATTTCATCCTCCTCCGTACGCCTCATCAGGTTCTCGAGCTTCCTATTTGATTTCTCGCACCTAGGACCGTGACTTCTCCAGTTTCCTTATCAGTTATAGGCTGCCAGCCTTTACCCTTCTCACTCCCTCCGAGTCTCGACATGATCTGCCTGACGCCATCTACTGAATTGTAGCCACGCAAGTTCCTGGCCCGAATGAGCGAGATGCGTCGGTCATCAGTGTCGAACCATCACACTTCTCAGTTCTCACATTTTCCTCACATGGCGGCCGCTGGAAAAGGACCTGTGGCGCCCAATCGGCTCGGACGAAGGCCGTCGGCCAAGTAGCTGGTCATGCTGTGCGTCCCGGGGCATTCGTTCCAGCCGCCGCCAGTACTGCGCTTTCTCCCTGCAAAGGCAGGCTGGAAGTCGAGGGCGTTGGATACTTCCTGAAATCGATTGTCGCCATGCCATGCTAGATGCTAGCTCGTGGTTGCCGCTGCTGCAAGATTGGCGATGCTCGATCGACCGTTGCAAAGGCTGCACTGCTACTTCAGCCTCAAGGGGCGTGCTCAGAGTGTCTAATAACCTCTTTGCAGGCAAGGGGCGCTTGGGGCTGGAAGCTTACATGTTATGGTGTTACGAAACTAGCTACTCCAACGCATCTGACGGACACCACATGGCCATTCTTCACCATTGCCCCGGTACCGTGACAGGCAGTGCTACCTCCCTGGCGCCTGATTCTTCGGGCTTGGAGAGTCTACTGCCCAAATACCTAAGGTATTTTGAGGCCGCCTCTCCTTGTTGGGATTGCTACCCAGACAATGCACAGAGATTCGAGTGTACAGGTACAGGGGAGCCAGGTACGTTTTGATGGTTTCATTGTATCAACGCTAGCTCGCAGAAGCCAATGATGGAAAGCAGGACTATGACCAGAATAACGCAGTAACGCTCAGCCGCTATGCAATGCAATGGATCTCATGACCATGGACCGAGTGCCCACAGACGTCGCCGTCAGCGAAAACTCGTCCGGCAAGGGAAAGAATAAAAGGAAGCCTCTTAACGCCGATACCCGACACAGAACACTAGCACAAGCTCAGGCCTCTTTCTTCAACGATATCTCACCATCTTATACCCCTTGATATACGGTTGTCGTGTGGCCTTGTGACGAACCACCTCCCTGTGAGGACTTCTTGCGGCCAACAGACGAGCCGCCTTGCGAACCAGGCGTCAAGGCGACTTGCGCCCCCAGCGATGGCCGGTGTGTGCATGGATACCATTGCGATCCGGTTCCGCGGCAGTAGTAGCACTCCCTGCGATAGTATCAGCGCCAGCTTCGCTTGAGACATCATCGATCATCACCATACATTCTCATGCTTCCTCCGCATGAACCGCAGGTGACTGGTTGATACAACCGCCCATCGCCAAAGCGGATGCATCCACAAGATTCAGGATCCATGCTGGAGCTGTCCGCAAAAATGACTGTCGGTGATGGTAGATGTCTTAGTACGAAGATGGAAATGGACCCATAGAGTGGTATTGGCAGCAGGATGTGCAGTCTACTGGACAGCCATCATCAGCACAGGCTCAGCATTACGGGGGACAGACCCCCTTTTTATGGGCATGAGTCCTCTTGTTGGGAAGTTCGAGCTGTTGGTGCCCCGTCCAGAATACCACCCTCTCGCCAACCGCGATTCCCATATCCCCTTCACCGGTTCTCGATATACCGCAAGCCAGATATGGAACTCGCATCGGAGGAGCAACAGGTCTGCTGATCTTGTTCGACGCTAAATGGTAATAGCAGCACCGAGGTCCGGAGCCTCGGAGGAGTTGGAAACGGCATCCCGGTTACCGAGTCTGGCCGGTGAGACACAGTCAGGAACTTGGACGGCTGTTCTAAGTTCACAGCACGGCACCTACCCAACCTGAGAGGTATCCGCGCTCATTCTGTCGCCTCGTCCATGTCCCCCCCTTACTTGCACGCCCTGAGGGAACCCTTGCCAGGCTGACACTCACCGACTCGCTTTAAAGCCGAGGGGCCATGTATCTCCTGTAAGTACCCGCCACCCTGGTCCGGAAACAGCATTCTCATAGGACGCCACTGGCCATTTGTTGCTGCCAACGAACATTTTCCCGCCTTCGGCAAGGAGAGCAATCCCACCTGCGGCTATCCGCATGCACTCCCACGCTCGGTAGGGAAACTGCCCACTGACACAAGGACAAGGCCGCTCGAGGCCGCGTCGGGCCTCATCGAGGTTGCCTCGTACAACCCCATTTCCCAGACCGCCCCTGTTTCGCATGCTTATCACACAGTACGGTCGACCCTCAGTTTGAATTGTCCGGCTTGCGTCCTCCCTGACTGTCACGGCCATGCACGCACATGCAAGGACCCGAGCCTGGTTCCAGAGTGCCGGGCGAGGTGACTGTCCGCAAGCCGAAGCATTGGCCCTCATACGGAGGTTATGCGTAGCATGTGTTTCGAAGCACACTCAGGACAAGTAACATAGACCCCAAATGCAGCAGGTGTGCGGGATGATAAACCGGCCCACAGCATTCAGCTCTTTTTGCGAAAGTTGGGTAGCACAAGTCGACCTAGAAGTTTCCCCCCGAAGGATTTTTCGGGGTTTGTCCGAGTATAACGTTACCTTCTTCCATGGCTCGTCGGCATGCCCCGCAACGTCCACAACCCAGCCCGGAAGCAACTGCCGACAGCGCATCAGCCGCTGATGCCTCATCGGCCTTTGTCGCGGTATCATGGAGGTCGACCGATGCGCAAACCCAACTAAGCACGTCATCGTGAGCAGCCCCCATTCGTGCCCAACACTTCGACCGACGAGGCGAGCATCGCCATGAACGACGCCGGAGGGTTTCTGATCTCCATGGCGATGCCGTCATGTGCCCGTCAGCCCGAAGCGCACTGCCGTAAGGAAGACTGCGCCAGCAACGCCGGATCGCTGGTGCCGAGATTTCCTCGAGAGAAAGTCTGCCACTTACAGCGAGGCAATCACTCACCTCACTGGTTGCTGACTCGTCCCACCGGTGCTGGCGGCGCCGCCGGGATGGCCACGACGACTCTCTCAGGAGGTGCGGATGCCGTCACTCGGGCGCAACGCCGGGTAGCGGCAGCTGGGAGCCCAAAAATCCGGTTCCCAGACATTCACTGAGACAGGAATGTGGTGTGGACGAGTGTCACACCGGTCCGCATCTCGCAGAGACTCGATGGGAAAGCTTGCAAATGGGAAAGCTGGAAGCGGGCTGGACACGGGAACGAGTTTGGCTTGGCTTTTTTTCCTGCAGCAGCCGTCAGTTCGACCAGTCATAGGAGACAGCGGGACTAACACGGCTGCTCCATGTACTCCGTATGTCAGTCCCCCAAAAGCAAGTAAGTCATGGTCTTCAAACTTCAAAGAGACAGGACGGCAAGGTCAGTTGGGTATTCGGCGTCACTCTTAGCAAGCTGACACTGTTGTTTGGGCGGAACAAAATCGAGCCCGATCTCGACCTGGCCTGTATCCGAACCATCGGCGGATGCAAACTCCGACGTAAAGCGGGCGAACAAGCGACGCAGATCGCCATGCAAGCCCAAACACGTGTCTCCACGATCATAACATGTCAGTATTTTGACCTGTCACTTTCCATCCTAACCGTTCACGATTTTCATGTCAGACATGCATAAGGTACTGCATGTCCCTTATACCTTTACCTTTACTTAGTGTGGCGCTCTCCTACCCCATATCCCAGTACTTAACACATCGAAGCAGCAAGCCTACCAGCTACTTCCATGTCGAAACGCCGTTCCACGGAGAGAGCTCCGTACTCTGCTTGAGGGCTACCAAACCGGAATTTGGGCAGACAACAATGGGTTCACCAGAGGCGGCGTTCACGCATGGAACCAACATTGAAGGACAAGCTCACCGGTCCCCCCACCCACCAACCTGCGAAGGCGCCACTGCAGTCAGGACCCCCATCCCTTGAGTAGCTGGGACTTCTTCCGAGCACTGTGCACGCCGAAAGTGAGGCGGACAAACAATGCTGGATGGATACAATCAACAGGGGCATGGTCTTTCCTTCCAGCTTGTCTCTGTTACATTGAGTAGGTACGGTAGTACATAGTGCGGGATGTGATTCATCGGTACCTCATTGATTTTAGAGACACTCCCCCTTTTTCTGCATATGGCAGCCTACCAAGCTGGGTAGGGAAACTACTGTCGAGTACTTAATATTGCGACGCCTTTGCAGCACTGGGGCCGCACAGAGACCGAGCTGACATAGGATCATGATCATAAAGAACTTCCAGTTGCTTGCCCGATCTGGCATCTCTGACATATCCCAGGAAATGGACTAGGCACATGCAGTTATGCGCTTCCATGCGCCGTGGGGATAGTATTGAGATTTTGTGATTGTTGCTATTGCTTGACTACCTTACATCTCGTAAGCCTCTGGAGAAACTCCCTATACAAAACAAGCAGGTCTTTGACATTTCCCTGAGCTGTGTTGGTCAGACAAACGCTCCAGTCACTGCATCAACGCTTGTCTGCCCGTTGTTTGATAGAGACACTCGATGATACCGGTCTATCTACTACCGTCTCACATTCTCCTGCTGAGTGCTGGCGCGTACACGAACGAAGTGTGCTGTTCTGAGTGGAACCTAGACCCTGTCTGTATCTGGAAGCCCGGCATCATGAGAACGCGCAGGAGCTATGGATCGCGGAGAAATGGCTTCACTTACCATTGATTAATGACTTCGCTTTCCGCATTTTTGAATAGCACATAGCTACTACGAAAAACTCTCTTGGCTACATACATACAGCTTGAGCTCCACCGATAGAGGCAGAGAAGAGGCCCGCCAATATGCCTATCCGACTGGGCTGGGCTGCCCGGGTTTCGGTGTCGTAGAGTCTGCCCAGTCGAGAATAAAGGCCAGAAATAGAACATGTGGAAGGGCAAGAGAACAAACTCAACAGAAAGCAATAGATATTGGTCGGTAGCCCACATTGTCCTCAACCTAAACCGTAGAGTACCTTAGGTTACATAGTATTCTCCCTTGACAGACCGACCAAATTCATCCAGAATCAGTCACGTTGTGCGTGCGATCAAGTTTCTCAAGATTAGGTACCTACATGTACCCAGCGAGATCGCATGTGCGAATACCGGCTCCCTGACGTTTGCTGCAGTCACTAGACAGCATCAGCTGCCAGATCTCTTTGGGAGGTATTTGTCTGACCCAGGCTGGTGGCAACAGTTAAAGCAGAGACGGACTCTAAGCTGTTGATTCGAAGCTAATTATAACATTCTAACTATGTTAATATATCCAAACCTTCACACCCAACTCCGCTGTAGAACCCTCCCTCCCATACTCCAGATAAAAGCATGTAAAAACCCCTTCCAATCACTGCGGCACAAGCACAGCCCGGTACTGAATCCTGCCCCGGTCCAACCGATCCAGCGCCTCCTTGATGCCCTCCTCCGTCATGGGAAACGTCTGAGTCACAGGCCGGACCCCATGCGCCGCAGCAAAGGCCAGCATCTCGCGGTGCACCGTCCTCGTGGCAACAAGCGACCCCTGCACGGCAATCCCCTTGAGGATGAGCGGCATGTACGGAATCACCAAGTTCCCGGACGCGACCGAGAGCGGATAGATGCGCGCCTTGGGCGCCAGCAGGGACAGGAGCGTGTCCCACGCCGGCTGCGCCGAGGTCGTGACCAGCAGCCGCGACATCTGCCACCCCGCCAGACTCTTCTCGAGCTCCTCCGGGTTGGCACCCTTCATGGCAAGGAACTTGTGCGCGCCCAACTCCAGCGCCTGGTCCCGCTTGCCGTCGGTGCCCGACAGCACCACGACGCGGCAGCCCATCTTGCGCGCGAACTGGATGGCCAGGTGGCCCAGCCCGCCCACGCCCATGATTCCGACTACCTCGTTGGGCTTGGCGTCGTAGAGCGCCGTGTAGACCGTGGCGCCGCCGCATTGGAGGGGCGCCGCGTTTTCGTCGGTAATGCCGTCCGGGATGGGGTGCAGGAAGGCCTCGCGCCAGACACCGCCCGTGGCGAAGGAACCCTGGTCCGGGTGGGCGGAGCCGTACATGGCGCGCTCCGGGCAGAAGGTCTCGTCGCCCCGGACGCACTCGCTGCAGTGGCCGCAACTGTCGGTCTCGTAGCCCCAGCCCACGCGGTCGCCCTTCTTGAGATACTTGGTGTTGGGCCCGACGGCCTCCACGACGCCGACGCCTTCGTGGCCGAGGACCATGTCGCTTGTCAGGTAGTGGAGATCTGAAAGGCGTTGCAGATGGTTAGTCGGTGTAGCGATCGTATTGTCGGGTTTTGCTTGGACATACCGGTTCCGCAGACGCCAGATGCTGTGACTCTCACATACACCTCATCGCCGACGAGCTGGTCCGGCTTCTTGGTGGTGGATTTCTTGGGCACGCCATCTTGGGCACCCTTGAACACGGTAAACTCAGGCATGATGGCGATGCTGTGGTATCATGCAAAGTGTACTGAGAAATGAAGAGCCGAGGCCAGGATTTAGTCAAACTCGATGAATGTGTTCTCAAAAGTGGAAACGTTGGGCTCTGGGAGGGCTGGAGACTTGAGACTTGAGATGCCTGTGGATGATGGATCGTGGTGAGGATAGTGCTAAATTTTCGCCGGCGATTGCCAGCGTTTTATGCTTCTTCTGTCCATCACAGAACTGCGCTTCATCTCCGCTGAATAGCAAACCACATCTTTCGAAACGAGTTGTTTCTCGGTGCGTGCCTCCAAGCATGGCCATCTCCGTGATCGATTGTTGGTGATGTAATCGGAAGAGCTCCGGACAAGTACGTCGGGGGCCTGCGCAGCAATGCCAAGAGCCCCCCAAGTACGGAGGTACCACAGCGGCAAGCGAGCCCTCCATCTCCTTTGTTTTGGGGTTGACTCGGACAACTCCGATCCACGACTCAGAAAAGAGCTGTCGGCGTTAACAGATCGGAGTTGACACAAGCAAGGCCACGGTTTGAATGCTTGAACCACTGCAATTGCTTGGTTTCTTTGCCGCTCAAACATGACGCTCTTACAAGATGGTCCCATAGAAGATTCAGGTTCAAACTTCTATATGGTATTGATTTACAAGCACAGATCCTTCGTGCAGGCAGGTAACAGGACAGCCATCCGCCATGGGGCCAATATGTTCTAGAAATGAAATCCCGACTGTGCTCTGCTGTGATTCTCACACCCTCAAATTCTCATTAGTTACATTACTCAAAATCACTCTGATGTAGAACCCGAGCCTCAAAAGATGTACAATTACATGTTACCTGCTTCCAACTTGGATTGTTGTGGCATTGAACATCCAAAGCTTTTGAAATGTTGCCCCGCAGCGACCTGACCGCAGGGCGGGAAGGATTCAAGTTGCGCCCCTACGCACGATTCCAGCTAGCTCACTCCGACACTTATTGCCGTCGAGTCGGGAAATCTCGTCTCCTCTCCAGCCAGGACACCTCAACCCATATCGGCCAAGACAATCAATCGTCACCATGTCGGCCGCTTTCAGCAACTCGGGTGCCGGCGCATCCGAGTCGGACGCTGCTGCCAAGCCGGGGTCCTCCGGGTCTCAAGCAGTAACTCCCGGGGCACAGCCGCCCCAGCGGGCCCGGCAGAAGAAGCGCAGCCAAGTGGTCCGGGCCTGCGACTGGTGCCGGAAGCATCGCGTCAAGTGCGACAACCACTACCCGTGCTCCAACTGCGCCCAGAGGGGCGGCGAGTGCAGCAATGAGATCATGAAGGCCGCCTCGCTGCCCCTCGCCCAGCGCGAGATTGACCGTCTGCGGCTGAAGATCCAGGAGCTGGAGTTGGAGCTCAAGCAGGAACGCGCCACCCGCGAAGTTACACCCCACAGCGACCCCAGCCGTTACCTTGCGGCCCTGTCCCCGCCGGAGCTGAGTGTTGTCGGTTCCGAATACGGGGATCCGTCGCGCATCAACGCCTGGGGAGGCATCCGCATGAGCACGGCGCGGTCCAAGAACAAGACCTGGTACGGACCGTCCTCGCTGTTCTACTTCATCGGCCGCATCAACGCCTTCCTGGGTGGCACGCTCCAACAGCCGCACTCGGCAGACCACATGCTGCTCGACTCATCCAGTCGACGTCTCGATGAGCCCACCGCAACTCCTGAGGAGGAGGAACCCTCGTTCCATGGTATTAATCATCCCTCGGGATTCGCACAAGACCCCGTCCCCAAGGCAACGTACCTGAGTCCCACCCAAGAAGAGTATTTCCTGGACCTGTTCTGGCAGTCCTACCACACCTCACTGTTCCCCATCCTCGACGAGACCGGCTTCAAGGAGCATTACAGGTCGCTCTGGACAGCATCCGGCAACACCCGCAAGCCATCGGCACTCGTCGACATTGTAGTCGCTATGTGCATGCAGTACGGCATGTCCATGTTGCCCGCCGTCAAGCAGCAGCAAGTCTTTGTGGACAACGACCACGATGCCGCCATTGCCGGCCGCTGGCACTATCGGCGCTCCCAGACCCTGCTGGCCCGCGAGCTCGAGAGCCCGACCGTGTCGACGCTGCAGTGCCATCTCCTGTGCTGCATCTACCTGTGCTGCGGTTCCTTCCAGAACATGGCCGACAGCGCGTGCGGCCTCGCGGTGCGCGCGGCCTATATGCTCGGCCTCCACCTGGACCCTCCGCCGACCATGCCCCAGCGGGAGAGGGAGATGCGCAAGCGGCTGTGGTGGGCGCTGTACGTCTTGGACAGCAAGATCGGCATGAAGCTCGGGCGCCCGTTCCTGCTGCCGCACCTCTCCGCTGCCACGCCTTCCCTGCCGGGCGACCATCTCGAGGCGGCGCTGCAATCGGGCTCTAACTTCGCCCCGCTGGGCGACAACGTCACCTGGCTGAGCTTCAACCTGCAGCAGTCGAAGCTGTTCCAAGCAGCCCGGACGGTGCACACCGCCTTCTACGACAGGACCCCTAACGTCGACGACGGCCTGACCATATGGGATGACCCACCGGCCCTGGCGAGTCACGCAGAGTTCATCCGCCCTTACATGAAGGGCCTGGACGACTGGGCCGCGGGCGTCCCCGTCGCGCTACTCACAAAGAGACAAAACAACGGCGCGCCCCTCTCCACGGATGGCTCGGCCCTGGACATCGAGCAGTTCGCGCCCGTCTGGCTGCAGCGGCAACGTCTCCTCCTGGAGCTCATGTACCATCACCTATCGGCAAACCTCTACCGCCCCTTCATCTCCTTTGGCAGTTCGCCCACCACCTCCTACCCCTCATCCTCCACAGTCACAGCCGCAGCCGCCGCCGCCGCCGCAAAGGATGCCGCGACAAAGTGCGCCCGGCACGCCACGACGGTAACGCGCATCACACACCAGGTCCTCTCGACGACGGCCATCCTGGCCGGCTGGCACGAGGCCTTCCAGCTGCAGTGGAATGCAGCGCTGACGCTCGTGGGGTTCGTGCTCTCGCAACTGGCCCACCACGGCGGCGGCGGAGCTACCACTGCTGCTGCTGCTGCTGAGGAGGAGGCGAGGAAGGCCATTGACCTGTCCGTGGCCGTCTTTGACATTTTCAGCGACAGCTTCGCGGTGGCCTCCAGCGCGGCCAGGATCATGCGGGACTTGGGGGCCAAGGTCGATTTTTTGAGGCAGGTCCAGCACCAGCAGCAGCAGCAGGAGGCCGGCGGTTTTGGGGAGGTGATGGTGGGTGGTGGTGGCGGTCAGACCATGATGCCGTCGTCGTCGGCGAACACCACGATGATGATGATGATGCTGGGGAATGGCGGTTCCGAGATACAGCCAGATACGTCGGCCGTGTCCAAGACGTGGGGGGGTGCGTTGAGCGCGGATGAGCTGAACTCGGCCTCGATGCAGGACGTGTTCAACATGGCCTTTGCTGTCGATGAATGGAGCAATCTCGACTCGCTGTGGCCGGGTATGGAAAGCCAGTTTCCGGTGGTACTTGAACAGTATGTTCTTGGGTAGGTAGGTAGTCGATAGGAAGCAGAGTGAGTCAATGTTAACTTCACCCTGCGCTTACCCTATCTTTACTGTTGTGGGATGTAGGCTTTGCCTTGGGCGAGCTTGTGTGTAGCGCATGATGGTGGATTTTTTTTTTTTAAAAAAAAAAAAAAGATTTGAAGAGATTCCTGGGCGAAGTTGAAGTCGTACTCAAGGAGAACTCCAGCCAAAGGATGAAGATCCGCCCTGCGAGTAGGTTATGGCCAATCGGAGGATTCCGTGTTTATAGCAATATACCTCTTTAGGTTTAAGTCTGGGATGCTCTGGAGCCAACAGGAGCTTCTCCTGCGCAGCGGGTGGGGCGACCCGGACGGGTCCAGGTACGGAGCACAGTACCGGGCGACTCCGTCCATGATACACTAAACTTGACGGCGCCCTTCATCTGACGCTCAATACCGGCATGATGAGCCGGAGTTGGTCTGTAGGGCCGGAGCTGGCCGTCAAGGATTGAGTGAGGCGTTGAGATGTATGAGACTTGCAAAGCACGGGTCTCGAGTATATATGCGGCCTTCCTCTCCTTCATCCATCTCACACTTCTTCTCATCAGCATCAGCATATCAACCACTACAACACTCTCAGCACTCTTCCAATCGACACAAGCCAGCATCCACAAGACAATTACCAGTCAGAAACACCATCAACAGTCTCTCAGTTCTTATATCAATCTTGCACCCTCTCGGTCCAGTACTACAACCATCTCAACCAACACCACGACCACTTCCATCACACCACCACTCACAATCGAAGCAATGTCTCCCCCTCGTCGCGCTCTCATCGCCGTCACCTCGGCCCAGGCCACCCTCTTCCAGGGCAAAGAGACCACCGGCCTCTTCATCAGCGAAGCCCTACACCCGTTCAAGGTGCTCACCGCCGCTGGCTTCGAGGTCGACCTCGCCTCCGAGACGGGCAGCTACACGCCCGACTGGCTGTCGCAGCAGCCTGACTTTCTCAGCGGCGAGGACCTGACCATCTGGAACGACACCAACAGCGACTTCCGCAAGAAGCTCGACAACATGCCGCGCGCCGCCGACGTCGACGGCGCCCGGTACGGCGTCTTCTACGCCTCGGCCGGCCACGCGGCCCTGATCGATTACCCGACCGCAACCAACCTGCAGCGGATCGCGTCCCAGGTCTGGGCCAACGGCGGCGTGGTGTCATCGGTCTGCCACGGCCCGGCTATCTTCCATGGCGTGGTCGACCTTGCGACCAACGAGCCCTTGATCAAAGGCAAGGCCATCACCGGCTTCACGACCGAGGCCGAGGTCACCATGGGTATTATGGCCGAGTTGAGGGCGTGGAATAGCCCCATGGTGGAGGAGCTTGCTGAGAAGCTGGGAGCAACATGTAAGCCTTTTTGTCCAGCACTCACCATACGTACAATACCGATTGAAAGTATGCTGACGAACTCGTCTCTTTTAGACAAGCGCGCTCCTGGCATTTGGGACGACTTCCACGTTGTTGATGGCCGTCTGGTCAGCGGTCAGAACCCGGCGAGTGCAACTTCGACTGCCCGCGCCGTGGTTGAGGTATTTGAGACACTCTGAGGCGGATGGCATGGTTTTCTTGTCGAGATTTCCTTTGTCGAGATGCATATAGATGGAGTAGCAAGACAGTGGTTGGTTTTTCAATGAAATGGTCTTCCTAACCCAACCATCTTGTGCAACCAGAACCCGCCAAGCCAGGCAAGGGCCGGGTGTGCGGGCAGTATCCGTACCGGCGAATCCACAAAAGACCCACTGCAGCGACGCAATTGGGCGCGTCCGAATGCGCCGAATTTTTGTTCCAAGCTCCGACTAGAAGCACCTCGCACGCGAGCCTGCAAGCTTTTGATGCGCACCTGCATCATCGAATTGACGTAACACCGAGTCACTTCGCAGCATCTCCCGATTAGTTGGCTACTACAGAGCGGGCAGTTTGTATTGTTCCTCGTTGCTAGATTTGATTCGATTTTCGACTGTCCCCTCAGGAACTCCGTACAGTGATGGCCCCCCTCATTCCCACAGGTCCCACGGGGACCCCTTCGGCGCCAATACCGGCCGACTCGTCGCTGTGGGATCGCATCTCGACATGGGTCTCTGAGCACAAGGCCGTCGTCTACACCATTGCCGGCGTGGCCGTTGTCGTCACAACCGCCGGTGCTGTCTACTATGTCCGCAGCAGCAGCAGCCAGGTGAGCTCTCTCTCGGTCGCCCAGCACGCGACTCCTGCCTTCTCAGGATTTCCTATGCTAAAGCTTGGTGCCCGAATAGGAACCCAAAGACACACAACCCAAACTCAGCAAGAAGGAGAGGCGGAAACGGAAGCAAGCCGAGAGGGAAGCAGAAGCTCAGAAGGCGTCCGCGCCCGCAAAAGAGGCCGAGGCACCCGCTCCTGCAGCAGCCAAGGCTGCCGCTGTCGAGTCCGCCGACGAGCTGCCTGAGATCGACGAGAACACAGTCCAGACTCTCACCGAGCAGCAGCGCAAGGAGTATGCACAGAAGCTGAAAGAGGCCGGCAACAAGGCTTATGGGGCCAAGGACTTTGAGAAGGCCATTGGGCTCTACTCCAAGGCTATTCTCTGCAAGCCGGATCCCGTTTACTACTCCAACAGGGCCGCCTGCTATAATGCGCTGAGCCAATGGGACAAGGTCGTCGAGGACACCACCGCCGCCATCAGCCTCGACCCAGAGTACATCAAAGCGCTCAACCGCCGTGCCAATGCCTACGACCACCTGGGCAAGTACAGTGAGGCGCTCCTCGACTTCACCGCGAGCTGCATCATCGACGGGTTCAGGAACGAACAGAGCGCGCAGGCCGTCGAGCGTCTGCTCAAGAAATTCGCCGAGACGAAGGCCAAGGAGATCCTCGAGACCAAGCCATCCAAGCTTCCGAGCTCTACCTTTGTCGGGAACTACCTGCAGAGCTTCCGCACCAAGTCCCGACCCGTCGGCCTGGAGGATTCAGTCGAGCTGTCGGAGGAGACCGGCAAAGGTCAGCTGCAGAAGGGCTTGAAGGCATTGGAGAGCAAGACCGGACCGGGTTACGAGGAGTCTGCCGAGGCTTTCGATAAGGCTTTGGAGCTGGGCGATCTCGGCGAGCACGAGGCGTACGCTTATAACCTTCGTGGCACCTTCCGGTGCCTCAAGGGCAAGCATGAGGAGGCCCTGGCCGATCTTTCCAAGAGCATTGAGCTCGATCCGGCCATGACGCAGAGCTACATCAAGCGGGCGAGCATGAACCTGGAGCTTGGTGAGCCTGACTGGTCCTTGTGTCGCGATCTTTCGTGACTGACGTTTCCTTAGGTAACCCTGAAAAGGCCGAAGAGGATTTCGCAGCAGCCCTGTCCAAGAATGCCGAGGATCCCGACATCTACTACCACCGTGCGCAGCTGCACTTCATCAAGGGCGAGTTCGCCGAGGCGCAAAAGGACTACCAGAAGTCGATCGACCTCGACCGCGACTTCATCTTTTCCCACATCCAGCTCGGCGTGACGCAGTACAAGATGGGCTCCATTGCCTCCTCCATGGCCACCTTCCGGCGGTGCATCAAGAACTTTGAGAAGACGCCCGACGTTTACAACTACTACGGCGAGCTACTCCTCGACCAGGGCAAGTACCACGAGGCCATCGAGAAGTTCGACACGGCCATCGAGCTCGAGCGCGAGACCAAGCCCACATGCATGAACGTGCTGCCGCTCATCAACAAGGCACTTGCCCTGTTCCAATGGAAGCAGGACTTCTCTGAGGCCGAGAAGCTCTGCGAGAAGGCCCTTATCAGTAAGTTACAAAACTTTATCCCTAGTGCCCCTCTACTTTGTCTTCAGCCACTCTAACGCATGAACAATAGTCGACCCCGAATGCGACATCGCCGTCGCCACCATGGCCCAGCTGCTCCTGCAGCAGGGCAAGGTGACCGACGCGCTCAAGTACTTTGAGCGCGCCGCCGAGCTCGCCCGCACCGAGGGCGAGCTGGTCAATGCTCTCTCCTATGCCGAGGCGACCCGGACCCAGATCCAGGTCCAGGAGAAGTACCCCAAGCTGGCAAGCAAGCTGCAGGGTATGGGCGGCCAGGGGATGATGCGGTAAAAGCTCAACATGTGTCTGGGTTAATAAATCACGCCTCCCAGCCGTCCGATGAGTCTTGCCATGGGAATGGTTGGGGACGGGCCGGTTGTTGGAAGTTTATAAAAAACGATAACGGCAGAAAGAGATACCTGTTGGTAAAGATGTGGGCAGCAACGGGGTCTTGAGTTTTTTTTTTTTTTTTGTTTGTTTTGTCTGTCCGCCAAAGGCCGAGGGAACGGTTTTCCTTGTACGATGAGCAAAAGAAGGTTGGGGCGGCTGGCTATCGCCCTTCGTTTGGTGAAGGGGTGGTGGGCTGGCATACACCACAGAACATATGGACTCTTTATGGCAAGAGGGGGGTTTATCATCATGGTTTGCGCAGGTTACCTGAACTGAGAGAGACTGGGGCTCCTAGGCGCTGTATTGTACATGCCGTACTTCTAGCTAATAATACTTCCCTCAGATGTACTTGGTTGGATTTGGGCGTCATGGAGGTGATTGTAGAGTATATCTAGGTTGCAAACTGACACTGAACACCAAACGTGGGCCGGAAAGCACTTCCACCCTGTCAATGCCAACGATCCAAAGCTCCTCTTATCCTCTCCTGCTCCACAAACCAATCATGTATACCCGCCAAGTTGTTCAAAGATTGACGAAGGGGGATCAAACTCAATGTCAACAATACATATGTTCTCTAGTCTCATACAACTACCGGCAGATACTTGGGTGGACGTGAACCATGCCTGCCACTCTAACTATCGTCGAACCCCAGCCTCTAAGATGAATATACCCAATTATGATAAACAGAGCAGGCAGGTAACTGACGCATGCCCCACCTGTGTTGGAACTGCCAGCACTTTCGCTCATCCTAATCATACGAATCATGAAGGGAATACGACGCAAGGAAACCAACAGGACCCGATCAACCATCGACTATACCCCATCAGACCTGCCTTCCAAACCGGCAACCGGCCGTTGAGCTGAGTTGATGGTCACGCCCATCTCCGCTGCAACTACCGTGACCTCCACGACCACAGCCGAAGTGCCGCCCACATCAGAACCAGATAACGCGCCCGTCCTACTGAGCTCCCAACAACCACCGCACCAAACACCCAGACATAATAATGATCAGACCCCTACCTCACTTCCACCTTCTAAGCATTATTGTTATTACCTCCCCCGGAGTTCTTGTTCGTCAGCGCGACGCCCAGCCCGACACCGAGCGCAATGACGATGCAGATGAGCACGCAGACGCCCAGGCACCACCACTTGAGCTTGCGTGCGCGGCGGGCGTGCTCGACGCCCTTCTCAATCTGCACGTTGGCCTGCCCCAGGTGGCCCGTCGTCTCCTCGGCCTTGTCGGCGACGTCCTGGACGACGGCACCCTGCTGCACGATCTGCTCGTTGAGGATCTGGAGCAGGTCCAGCAGCTCCGTGATGGACCGCTCGATCTTGAGCATGTCGTTGTGCCGGGCCCGGACGGCGCCTAGGACGGCGGACGCTTGGCCTGTTCGGTTGGTGCGCAGCTAAAAAAAAAAGGCGAGATTGTTAATGTTTTTTATTGGGAGATACAGTGGAGGGCGGCCCGGGGTGGGGGGGGGTAAAGTAGGGCGGTAGAGAGAAACGTACCGCAGTTTGGAAAATGCCTTCATCACCCCAATCCGCGTCGGCGGCCTGCTGCACTTGCTCCTCGGTGGCTTCCGGGTTCACGATGCGGTACTGCCGGGCAATCTGCTCGCGGTACCGCTGCTTGTATTGCTGCTCCTCCTCGAGAAAGCGCTGGATGGTGTCCTTGAAGTCGTTGTTGAGGCTCTCGAACTGCCGCTTCTTGAGGTTGAAGCTGCCGTCCTGAGTGCGCTCCGTGTCGGCCTTGAGCTGCTGGATTTGGCTGCGGATCGACGTGTTGCGGAGCTGCGTCGCCGCCACCAGCTCGTCCAGCTGCCTCTGCGCGTTGTTGTCGTTGCTCGCCAGCGCCAGCTGGTGCAGCGTCGCAATGTTCTTGATATTCGTCGTCAGGCCCTGGATATCCTGGCGCACGGCCGACACGCGCTGCAGGAAGTCGGTCTGCGAGAGCACGGTGCGACTCTGCTGCTGCTCTTGTTGCGGGTGCCCAGACCCATACTGCTGTTCTTGAGGATGCGATGATCCGTACTGCTGCTGATAAGGCGAGCCGTAAGACTGCTGAGGGGCGCCATGAGATTGAGACTGGTAGGGCGAGCCGTACGACTGCTGTCCGTATGGTTGCATCTCATGCTGTTCCTGTCGTATCGACTGCGTTAGTCGTCTGAGCCCAGTTGCAGTTTATGGAAGCCGTCGCATGATGCCGACGGCCAGAATCAATCGACCGCACCGTCGTTAATCCAGTGCGATCCGGGAAACACTCACTTGACCGTGGCCGTAGCCGTAGCCGGCCTCAGCGCCGGGCCCCTGATTGTAGGGGTTGTAGGACATGGCTGCTCAATTGAACCGTCCTCTGTTGATTAAGAGCTGCCGCTGCAGCTATTCAATCTGCGGTTGTAGAGCCGTTTAGCTTCGCTTGAGATAGAAATGCCTTCGGTAGCTGACTCTTGTCCGACAATGAGGAAACAACGTTGGTCAAGGTGCGCGAATGACCGACCCTTTGGGAGATTACCTTGCTGCAACTGCTTCGCCCCGTGGCTGGGCAGGGGACTTTGTTAGTGCGGAATCTAGGCCCCGCAGTTCAAGTTGCAGCTTTTCTCCGCAATTCATGGCACTAAAAACCTCCTCCAGAATCAGATGAAGAACTTGGCCCTGGTGCATTTGCCTTTGATCCTTTCCAGGTTGGCCAAACATAGCCAACAAGGCGAGAACCTGCAGAGAGCACAAGTGCCTGCCAGCCCATAAGTGAGATCTTGTATGAAATCGTCATTTCAGCTTTCCATGGATACTTATTTCTTTAGCCCACACACACAGTACTCCATACACACATACACACGTAATACGCTCGGTCTTGTTGATCACGAACAGCTGAGGAACTTGCATGGCGTCACCCAGCGAGGCTGAAGAGGAGGGATCTGCGTGTCTCCACTCTTTGTTTCGCCTCCACACGCCTCGTTCCCTCAGCCTTGGCTTGCGTCGGATCCAACCACTCCATGCAGGTTTCGTAACGGAAGTCCTGAACTTTGACGCGAGTCTCATTGTCACCTCATACGCCGGCTTCTTGGCAGCTAGACCATGAGACGAGACTCTCACTTGCTCCGGTCGTGCCTAGAATTGTATAACATCGCCCGAGTCGGCCTAAATGCGAGCCCAATTGGTTGTTGAGGTCTTCGGTCGTGTTGGTATTATCTTGTAATCAGAAATGCCTGAATTAATTTGTTCCATGTTTCCAAATGTGTTGCTAGAGTTAAGCACCTTATAAGGTATCCGATAGATGTAGTGGCCAACCTCACTAAGCACACACGTTTGTCACTTTTGAGTACCACAAATCATAGCCTACGTAGAAGCTCTTATCTCGGACAAGTTGCACAATACGGAACGTCGAAGGGTTTCAGCAGCCGCCACCACCACTAGGACCGTCATTGGCATGTTTGACCGTAATCCGCTTTCCATCCATCTTGAATCAACACACAATATAGTCAGAACCGTTGACCAAAGTGATGTATTTCAACGTAGAGAAGAGTTACTCCCGCTCATCCATGTCCTGAATCGTTTGTGCGGCTTCCGTCAAATCGGTGAACGTGACAAATCCGAATCCGCGGTTCCGACCAGTCTTTCGGTCCCCCATTACACTCTGCTTGATATCAGCATCCGTTATCCAATGTAGAGGAAGCTCAACGTACACAGTCAGAGACTTGGCCATACTGAGAAAGGCCTCTCTCAGGAAATCTTCATCGGTGGCCCAATGAAGGTTTCTAGTTTAGGACTCAGCAAATGCATACAGATTAATTCTTCATTCAAATCATTAAATAATCGTACCCGACAAAGGTTTGGCCGACATAATGGCGGATGGAAAGCTGTGCTGGTGACTGAATTGCGGTACTGTGATGAGAAGCTGGAGGGGATTTGGGAGGGCGTATCCAGCAGTGATGTTTCGCGACTGTATTTCAAATTTCTGCATCTGGACGCAAGACCGCATTATCAACTCGTACGCTGGTTTCTTGGCAACTGAACCATGAGACGAGACTCAAGAACCAATTGGGCTCGAACTTAGTCCAACTCGGCCGTGTCATACACTTCAAGGCAAGACGGGAGCATGGTTTCGCTTTCCATCCTGTGATCTCTCGTCGTGTACCACAGACCAACCACCGGTACGTGCTTGAGCTTTAGCCTAGCTGGAACTGACAACTCCCGTACTGGACCGCCATCGACCCGCCCACCGCCGGTCTGTTTAGACGGTCGTGTATTTGAGCATCGCCGGCATTCCCCCGCCTGCATTTTCTTCCGAATCATGTAACCGAGAGTAGCACCTTATTCGGAAGCTCGGACCTAGACAGCCGAGATGCGGCGCATACTGCGGCCAGCAACGCTGATGTCAATTTTGATGACAGCGCCCCGTGATTGAGCATCAGAAATAGTTCTTTTTCCTGCTCGTCCGTGTGTACTGCGTGAGGTGCCACTCCACGTCCGCATCCTTGTTCTCCAGGGTGCCCATGGTGATGGAGAACGGCCTCATGGTGAATCGCGGCCCAACCTCGCTCAGCTCCACCGAGTTGTAGCTTGTCCTGACATAAACATGGTGTCTCACTTCGATGCAGTCGTCCTGATTCACGAATGTGATGACCCGATTGCCGGCCGTTTTACTGGCCGTCGGGTCCCGCGGTGGCCAGAGGTGTTTCAGAATCTTGACGACCCGAAGGCCGAGTGGCGTCTTGAAATTTTCAAAAATTAGATGCGGGTAACTCTCGCTGACCGTTCCCTTTATCGACCGAGGGATGTCGGCTCGTAGGACCACGTTGTGTAGCGAGGCCATCAGGGTCGGGCCGTGAGGGAAGTGGCTGATGGTGATGGCTGTCGGTGTTCCGCGGTGTTCGTGCAGGAGAACAATATCGCTGAGACGCTCGCTCTGTGCGGAACGTACCAATTCCGGAAGGACGAGATTCCCACGGTTGAGCCGAATACCGGTTGGGAAGAGGAGTCGTATCTCCTTGGAGAAAGACATTAACCTAGAACTTGGGTCTCGTGATGTCGTTACTAGCACCCTCGGGTCTGTAACAAAGTTAACAACTTTTGTAGTATGGCCTCCTGAGCCAGCCCGATAGCACATACCTACAACGCCCGACAGCTCTGAGTATTCGTCATCGATGTCGAGCCAGTCGTCGCCAGCGACATCCCGAGACACATCGTAGTCGTAGTCCTTTCGTAGTTGCTTGTCGTTTGCAATCTCTGAATCCAACGGCTTTCCTGAGGCCAGGGCAGCCCTTAGCTTCGCCCGCTTTTCCGCAACTTCGGCATCGCGCAACAGGAGTGCTCGGCGGTAGAGGTAATCCCTCCTCTGGCGGGCTTGTTTGCGCTACAGAAAGCAATCAGTAAATCATCAAGAGCGTGGCGCAGCAGCGCTTACAATCATGTTTTTCACTCGGTTTCTGCTGAGAAATGCGCCTAATATGCACCGAAGGATATCGTCCAGCTCTCATCAGAATGTCGAAGATAGATGTAAAAAAATCCCCACGAGCCTGAGAGAGACAGGGGACCTGAGCGCCAAGTTGTGGGGCTGCCGGCCCGCTGAAAAGTTCGGAGCACAGACACTTGGCCGGCTTTTCCCACCCACATGCCACTTCTCCGCCACTTTCCTTTCGTGGCCGGGAATCATCTTCAAAAGCGAATCGCAAAACCCCACAGAGGACTGAAACAAGTGCTGATTCACCGAATCGACAACAACGGCCAGAAAAACGCAGCCACGGAACCAGGGGCTTGCGGCCGCTTCATATTTTGCCAGCGATGATGTGACATTTTTTTCGCTCAACTTGCCCAAAACCTCTTAGAACACCAAGCCGGCCGCAGCGGCACTGACACCCAAATTCAATCTGTCGCGCTTCTCTGCTCCTCTGAGATGGAGGGCGCTTTCACCCACCTCGGAAACCACCTCGTTTCCGATTCTGCTTCCGCTATCAAGGCCGGTGGCTCCGACGAGCTGTCCAACATCGACCCGGACGAGAGCGTGCTCTACGGCGCTTATGGGGGACGCGGTGCTCGCACCGGTCTCGGTAACGCGCGCCGCCGCCAAGATGACGACGACAACGAGATTGAGGTCTTTGACGACGACGATGAGAGTCTCGCCAGCGTTCCCGTTGATGGCATGAAGGATCTGAAGCTGAATGCTCCGGAGGAGGAGAAGGAGCTTCCCGCCCACGCCTGCGCGTAAGTAACCCCATGCAGCGCCATGGTGGCGGTTTGCTGACTGACCCTGATAGGTACTGCGGCATCCACTCTCCGGCAAGCGTTGTGAAGTGCCTTGCTTGCAACAAGTGGTTCTGCAGCTCTCGCGGCAACTCGAGCTCCTCGCACATCGTTAACCACCTCGTTCGCGCTCGGCACAAGGAGGTCCAACTCCACCCACAGTCATCCCTGGGCGACACGATTCTCGAGTGTTACAATTGCGGAACCAAGAACGTCTTCATGCTCGGCTTTATTCCCGCCAAGTCTGATACGGTCGTGGTTCTCCTCTGCCGACAGCCCTGTGCCTCGAGCACCTCGACCAAGGATATGAGCTGGGACATTTCGAGATGGCAACCTCTCATCGAAGACCGCTCCTTTTTGAACTGGCTCGTCCAGCCGCCCACCGACGCCGAGCAGCTTCGCGCACGGCACCTCACGCCCCCAATGATTGTAAAGCTTGAGGAGATGTGGAAGGAGAGTCCCGGCGCCACCGTGGCCGACCTTGAGAAGACCGCCGGCGTGGATGACGAACCCCTTCCCGTGCTGCTGAAGTACGACGACCCATATCACTACCAGAACATTTTTGGCCCGCTTGTCAAGATGGAGTCAGACTACGACAAGAAGCTCAAAGAAGCGCAGGGAGAGGACAACCTCCAGGTGCGGTGGGATGTCCAGCTCAACAATAAGCACACGGCAAGCTTCATTCTCCCTAAGATTGAATCGGGTGATGTGAAGCTGGCAGTGGGCGACGAGATGAGGCTGAAGTACAAGGGCGATCTCCGCCCGGCGTGGGAAGGCGTGGGCTATGTCATCAAGATTCCCAACAACCAGTCCGACGAAGTCACGCTCGAGCTGCGCAAGTCAGGCAACGACAAACTGGTGCCGACCGATGTTACTACCAATTTCTCGGCCGACTACGTTTGGAAAGCCACGTCATACGACCGGATGCAGTTCGCCATGAAGACGTTTGCCGTTGACGAAATGAGCGTCTCGGGCTACATCTTCCACAAACTTCTGGGTCACGAAGTTGCGGTTGCCCCGATGAAGACGCCGATGCCTAAGAAGTTCAATGTCCCGGGCCTGCCGGAGCTGAACCACAGCCAGATCACGGCCATCAAGACGGTACTGTCAACGCCTCTCAGCCTGATTCAAGGACCCCCGGGCACCGGAAAGACGGTCACCTCGGCCACAATCATCTACCATCTGGCCAAGATGAATAACAGCCAAGTCCTAGTTTGCGCTCCATCCAACGTCGCCGTGGATCAGCTCTGCGAGCGGATTCACCAAACCAAGCTCAAGGTCGTTCGCTTGACTGCCAAGTCGCGCGAGGATGTGGAGTCTTCTGTCAAAAAGTTGTCACTTCACGAGCAGGTCAGAATGTACGACCCCAACTCGGAACTCGGCAAATACGCCACGCTGAAGGCCAAGGCAGGCGAACTTTCTTCGCAGGACGAAAAGAAATTCAAGCAGCTGACGCGGGCAGCCGAGCGCGAGATTCTCAACAATGCAGATGTCGTGTGCTGCACCTGTGTTGGCGCCGGCGACCCGAGGCTCTCAAAGATGAAGTTCCGGAACGTTCTGATCGACGAGTCGACGCAATCTGCCGAACCAGAGTGCATGATTCCTCTGGTTCTTGGAGCCAAGCAGGTGGTGCTGGTCGGAGACCACAAGCAGCTTGGCCCGGTTATCATGAACAAGAAGGCAGCCAAGGCAGGTTTGAACCAGTCGCTGTTTGAGCGGCTGGTCAAGCTCGGCTTGACCCCGATTCGGCTGAACGTGCAGTATCGTATGCATCCCTGCCTCTCCGAGTTCCCGTCCAACATGTTCTATGACGGCTCCTTGCAGAACGGTGTCACGGTTACCGAGCGTCTCAGGAAGGATGTCGACTTCCCGTGGCCTGTTGCCGAGATGCCCATGATGTTCTGGTCGAACAATGGCAATGAAGAAATCTCGGCGTCCGGCACGTCTTACCTCAACCGCGCCGAGGCTGCCAACGTTGAGAAGGTTGTTACGCGCTTCTTCAAGGCGGGTGTGAAGCCCAGCGCCATCGGCGTCATCACCCCGTACGAAGGCCAGCGCAGCTACATTGTGAGCACAATGCAGAACACGGGCACGTTCAAAAAGGAGGACTACAAGGAAGTCGAGGTCGCGTCTGTGGACGCTTTCCAGGGCCGTGAGAAGGATTTCATCGTCTTGTCTTGCGTTCGCTCCAACGATAACCAGGGCATTGGTTTCCTGTCAGATCCTCGGCGTCTCAACGTCGCGCTGACTCGGGCCAAGTACGGGCTGGTCATCATCGGCAACCCCAAGGTTCTGTCCAAGCACGAGCTGTGGCATCATCTTCTTGTCCATTTCAAGGACCGCAAGTGCCTGGTCGAAGGCCCGCTCACGAATCTGCAGACGTCGCTCCTGCAATTCAAGCCACCCAAGACGGCCTTCCGCCCTCCCAGATACCATCAGCAAACTCAGCACGTCGCTGGCGGCTATCCCAACGGCCGGTATGGCGGCATGGGCGGCCCGGGCAGGGACTACGAGACGGGTTCGATGGTCTCGTTCATCCCAGACGATGTGTCGTCCATCCACAGCTCCGCGTTGGGCGGCGCCGGACTGAGCTCGGCGTATCCTCACATGTTTTCCAACTTCCATCCCGATCAGTGGCCGGGCCTGCCGGGCATGGGTGCGGTCGGCCGCCCTGGCGCCAAGGGCCGCGGCCGCGGCGCCGAGAGCATTGCGGGCGAGAGCGTCGCCAACAGCGAGCTCACCGACGCCAGCGCCAGCGTCATTGGCGGCAAGGGTGTCGGCCAGGGAGGAGCCAGTCTCGGCGCCGGCTTGAGCGAGACGATTGCTTCGGCCCGTCCGACGTCGTACAGTCAGAGCGATCGGCTGAAGCAGTACGTCGAGAGCGGCGGCCGAATGGGAGCTGGCAATGGATACGGCCGGCGGTTTGATGATGATGAGAAGAGCGTCAGCACCGCATTTGCTAGCCAGATAGGATCCGGGTTCGACTGAGGGTTTGGAGGATAATGCCCTGGGCATTGAGGAACCCTCTACATTTTTCGCTGGTGGTTTACTTCCATGCGGATCGAAGGACAGACGAAGGCACCGCACCGAGTTCAAGGCGCTGCAGCCTACCTTCTTCCGCCCTCGCGACCGGGCCTCTATCGCGACCGACCTTGGGGCCGAACGAGCATTGGTCTGGAAATTAGAAAGGAATGGGTAGATGCTTGTAAGAGCACACCCTTCTGACCGGTGGGGACTTGCTCTTGAGCCGTTCACCACATGCTGGCATCGAGACTTCCTTTGAGCCATCATGCTTGCCATCTTTGGCATCAGGCGCTCGATCAGGCTCTGCCAGGTCGGCGACAGGCGAGGCTGCTAGGACTTGAACAGCTTCGAAGGGTGGTCCATACGGAATATTTCGTGGCGGCACTGGTGAGAGGCAGCGGCGGAGAGATGACCGGCGACTTGTGGATATGGGCCCGTTCTGTTCTACGCCTAGAGGATCCGGTGACAGTCTTGGCAGAGGAGAGAGAGAGGATGTGATGAGGAAGTCGCTCGTTTTACGCCGATACAGTGCGTTTCACTTCACACAGAGAGCAACAGGATGCCCAGCTTCGGAGCTAGTGTGACTATTAACATGACTGCCGACCGCCACTCGTTTCTTGAGGCAGCCCTTTGACCAGAACATTTAGCGAGCAGACAGACAGACAAATAGACAGAAAAAGCAGCAGACGTCCATTTGACCACAAAGGTGCAACGGTTGCACGCTGAAACACACAAGGCCAGTGATGGTCGTTGAACTCAAGCACAGCTCCCACACTTGCAGCGGCTAACAACCAAATGCGATGATACCCCCCAATCGAGACATACTGTATCCGCACAGGTGCTTCAGTCTGCCACTCCCAACAGCACAACGAGCCGGTGTGCTGGAAGCCTGAAAAAACAAAACGGCCATGTCTTGGTAGGGACGTCATGTTCGAGGCGTCTAGCTCAGCCCTGTTGGCAAGCTGCATATCCAGAGCTAGAATTCCAGGTCTTGCAGTTGGGGCTGCACGTTTTCTCTGGCATAATCAGTGCTCGTTTTAACTATTTTTTCTGGTTTCTTCGCTATTTGTTGTTCTCCTTCCTTTCGTTCACCCAAGTCTCATCATGCCTGCTACACATATCAACACATTGAGATTATATTCTCGGCTTCTCGAATACACCGCCACCTCACCTTGCTGCAGCTGCCCTGCATTTATTTCCGATCGCCAAGCCATTTGACATCGCCCCTCTTCACCCGAGACTTTTCTTCCTGGGAGATTTTCTCGGAGCCCTTGAGCTTCTCTGTCTCATTTGACAGTACTAAAGCTAGAAGAAACCCCGACAATGACATCCACGGAAATCGCCCCGAACAACGGAGCTGGCCCGGCCCCGGCTGCCAAGCCAGCGCCGCCGGAGTCTACTCCGGGCGTTGTTACGGAGAAGTCTGCGGCGACCCCGCCTTTTCCGAAGATAACAACCGCAGCCTCCGCAGCACCGTTGACGGCGACGGCGATAGCGAAAGAAGACGACGACGGCGTTAATCCCGTCGAGTTCGAGGGCTCGGTCGACAGCAACCACGACCTGCCGACTCCGGAAACCATCCGCAAGATCGACAGCTACGTCGTGCTGGACCGCGACGGCAAGTCGCACACCTTTCGCAGCCTGTACACTGGCAAGCATACCGCGAGACGGGTGCTCATTATTTTTGTCAGGCATTTTTACTGCGGTGTAAGCAAATCCATATCATTCTCTCTCTCTCTCTCTCTCTCTCTGTGTGTGTGTGTGTGTGTGTGTGTGTGTGTGTGTTTGTGTGTCTCGCTTCAAACCTGAACTGACCCAACCTAATACATATTCCCTTGACTGATACGGGGCTGGGTACAGAACTGCCAAAACTACCTCCGCACCCTCTCGTCCCACATAACCCCCTCCTCCCTCCTCGCCCTCCCCCTTTCGACATTCATTTGCGTAATCGGCTGCGGCGACCCGGCCCTGATCGACATGTACGCCGCCGCCACCGACTGCCCCTTCCCCATCTACGCCGACCCGACCCGCCGGCTGTACGCCGAGCTCGGCATGGTGCGCACCCTGGCGCTGGGCGCCCGGCCCGCGTACATGAAGCAGAATCTGCTGGCGAGTAGCGTACAGAGTATCGTGCAGGGCCTGAAGAATGTGCCCAAGGGGTTGGCGCTCAAGGGCGGTGATAGTAGGCAGGTTGGGGGGGAGTTTTTGTTTGAGCCTGTTGCTTTGGAGGTTGCTGGTGGTGGTGCTGTCGTGTCGCCTTTGAGTCCCGTAACTGGAGGACGGCCTATGATTTGGGGGGAGGGGAGTAAGGGAAGTGCAGGGGACGACGGAGATGGTGATGAGGGGGACAGGAGGAGGGTGAGTGAGGCTAGTTTGGATGGGAAGGGAGAGGAGGGGGCCGAGGGAGAGGATAAGATTGTTACGTGGTGTCATCGGATGAGGAATACGAGGGACCATGCCGAGATCCCGGTGCTGATGGAGGTATTAGGGCTTGAGGGAGCGGGGATTCCGGTGGAGGATGATAAAGGAAGGTGACGGGGTCGAGTCAAGCCAGGGGGCAGGTGGGCGGCAGGATAGGGTGCTGTCTGTTGCAGGTGAGCGTGGAGTTCGGATTGGGCTGTGTGATTCGGTTGCTTGGTGCTTGGAGAATTCCGTGAATGATATTGCTTCCCACAAGCCCTGCGGTGTTCGTGCGCATATCTGTCAGAATGCGAGTGGTCCTTGAACGGGTCTCTTGTGCGACAGACATACGGAGAGTTGCTCCGCCCATTGCTGAGCTGGGTTAGTCGGCTATGCCGCCATCCGCCGACATGGTACAGGTGCGAGCTAATGTCAACGCTCCAGCTACGTGGGCAGCTCTACGACCCAAAGCAAATAGGTACGGCACTCCGTCCTGCACCCACGCTACTGCACGCCGCCTGCGATCTAATGTGGTGACGGGCAGGAAGTTGCCGGCGACACATCGGATCTGACAGGAGCTGGCCGCCATGAGAGTCGATATCGAGCAGCGAGCGATATGGGCGTGCGGCGAGTCTGTCTGGGTGACACCCGTTTCGATTTGCGTGTCAAATGCTCAGCATCATTTGGCTTGCCAGACATCCACCCTATACCATGGCTTTGAGAGGTTGCGCAGGCGGACGGAGTAAGCTTGTTCCGCTGGAGCTCAAGTCTGTTTCCCCGTCATGATCACTTCCGGTACCCCTGCTTTCACCTACCTGTTACCAGTCCCAGCCGAAACCCAGATTTCGAGGCAATGCAAGAACATTCAACCGAGTAGATGACGACCTTGTGCGCAATCACAGGCAGCCCGGACCTCTACGGACTCGGCATCCGTGTTTCGTTCTACCTCCTCTGGTTCTTCGTCCTCATCGGCGAGCGCTGCCACGAACGCCATGCCCAGGTGCCCCGGGCCGTGGAGCTGGTTCTGGCCTATGCCGTCTTCCTCGGCCTGGCAATGGCGGCTTCGGCTGGAACTCTCTTTGCGGCCGAGGTCTATGTCGCCCTGCTTCTCATCTCGACAACCGTGTACCTCCTCGTTCCCCGCCATACCACCGACTTGGTGGCCTGGATCCGTCCCGACCTTGGGCTGGGCACACAGCGTGGTAGATTCGGCTTCGGCGGGTTCGCCCGGTCCTTGTTTGTTCTGATAGTCATCAGTCTGCACCTTTGGTTCTGGGGCACAGGGGTCGACTCGGTGGACATCGACCGAGCCCTGAGGGAGCAGGGCGGGTGCTGTCCCTGTCAGCCGCCGCTGCAGTTGGGCTTCGCTTTTGGGCCGGTCGAAATGCACAGCGGTGGATTCAGGGCTATGAATGTCCTGCTAATGCTCGCCCTTCTTAGCGGAGGCGTAATTATTGGCGCGATGAAGGCAGGAGTCATCAGGAAGAAGAAGTCGAGGCGTCGGAGGAGAGCCAAGTATGTGATGAGCGAGAGTCCCCAGGCTCACCGGCATGGTCTTGTTGGTCAGAGTTTGCTGAACTAACAATTGTAGCCGTACTCGAATCCGCGTGTTAAAAGAATTCGAAACCTTTGGCGGCCTAACAGTTGCGTGTATTCTCATCGCCGCCATTGAGTTGACGATTCAATGGAACAGTATCTCAGCCGGTGTCAATCACATCACAACTGCCACGCAGTTGATACCGCTCGGTATTGTCATCGCACTAATCCTGGTGTTCCTATACGATTTGAGGAACGGTGCCCCTGGATGGGAGAGCATCAGTGGTATCAGCAGCGGGGGGAATACCAGCAACAGTAGCCGCGGCGGCAGCGGCAGTATAGGTGGAAGCGCGTCTGATCGGTCGTCGGCTTCGAGTGGCTGGAGAGAATATGTAAGATATCCAAGGTCAGTTGATACCAGCATATAAGCGAGTGACTGAGAAGAGATACTGATAAAGGAGAGTAGGCCATGGCCTCCGTCGTCTCCTCCTCCAAGTCCCGCTCGACCAATTCCTGCACCCCCCAGTGCAACCTCCTACCCTCCAGGCCCCATTGGCTCGCATGCTGCCTCTACCTCTTCCTCTAATTCAGACCCTCACCCTCCTGGTCCCGACGCAGGCAATCGGAATCCAACTCCTCCTCATTCCAACCCAGGATCCGATCCTCCGCCTTCTCCTGCCAAAAGCTTTGACAAACCGACCTCTCATCCGTCGCCGCCACCGCCAATTCCTCCTGCAGCGACAGCAACCGAGCCTAAAGCAGCAACCACGGAGCAGCCGACAGTACCCATTATTGTCGACGTAGCTCCAATTCGGGAACGGCCCATTATCATTGATATTTCTCCCAGACGCAAACCGCAGCCACGTGGACGAAGATCAATGTGATGTGTCAGCGTGTTGATGTTGGATGATTACAGGGCGAGGGTGGTGACAAAAACATCAAAAAGCTCACCACCCAACTCCCAACGCAGGTGGATGGTTACGAAAATCTTGGGACCACGGATTTTGCTTCGAGGGGACGGTGGCCAGGGGGTCGGGGGCGGTTGGCATTCGAAAGTCGGCGTTGGAGCGGCGAGAGTCGAACTGGTGACCTCCCGCTTGGAAGATCACCTTGTCCCATGGGGATTTTTGGGTCCCCAGCCCCTTCTAACTAGGTCATTTGACTGGGTAGAAGGGGCGTCAGGAGAAAGGAACGTGGACCTCTTACATATAAGGCGAATGCTGGCAGGTGCGGCAGTTTTATGAGCGTGGGAGTCGAGATGAAAGTCGTTGGAAGGGCCGGGGCCCGGGCGGATCTTGGTTCCTTTAGATCATCACCCATCCGTGGGACCAATCTAAGCTAATTTAACTTGGTATATTTGCCCTGATGGGATCTGAAGACGATGTGTTGATAGAAGCACAAAGCGGCGGTGCTGTGTCGTTGTTGGACACTTGGTGTCCGACAACGCCATGTTCCTTTCTCGAAAGCGTTATACCATGTGAGAGCTGTCTGCCAGAGCCGGGCCTAGGATTACGACATCCTTCCTGTTGATTGCGAGTCAGCCTCACAATGTCAACATCGCATTGCCAAAACCATCGAGGGCAAAGGAGGTGGAGAGCGGAACTACACCAAAGCGCGCCCAAAGGTTCCAAACAGAAGAGGACCTTCACGCCCAAGAAACTCGCCCATAAGCTCATCAAAATGACCAAATTGCTTCCTCCAGCATCCAAGCCTCAGAGGTCAATGCGGATGACTAATTGCCTGGAAGCGGCGGAAGGGCAATGAGCGCAACCCTCTTGATCACTCCTTCCTCCTTTGCTGCAATCATCAGGCAGCCAATCTCCCCGGTTAAATTTTGAAAGCTCATGACTGTCTCTCAATCGCTTGTATTTCTCATGCCAATTTCAGGTGCCAGATGTTCGCCATCAAACACTTCCATTCTTATCGGCACGACACCCATCGCATTTCATACAACGTCGTCTGACCATGCCCTCTTCTATCGATAGACCTGTTCTTGAAGAGCCATGGCCCAAGAGACTGAGAGCTACCAGCTCTCGAGCCATCAGAGGTGGCCCGGAGCAGTTGCATTCCGAGCACCTCCCGTCTCCTAAACCAACCAATCCCAGCAGCAACGACAACCTCCCGTCCTCCTCCTCGTCCAGTGACCACAAACCGAAGACGAAACTAAACCCAGTCCAGTCCCTCCAAGACCGGCTTGTGCCGTTACCCAAGAGACCAAGCCCTCTTTCACTCGTCGAGGGTGTGGCAGCCAACGCAAAGTTCACCACCAAACCCTCAGTCGCCCCCTTTTTCCAGCGTATCAAAGCCGCCTTTGAGGATAAGCAAACCGCCACCACACGACCTAACCATGCCAGCGCCGGAGAAAGAACACAAGCACGCTCACCATCCCCCGACGCAGAAGACCTGATCCAAGAACTCAAAGGTCCGTTCCGCCTTTCCTCCCCCAATCCCCCCACTACCATGAATACAAAATCCCAGATTTAAGCAAACCAGGAAACTAACACTCCCATTCCTCGCCGCAGAACACTACCTCCATACAGCGACAACCATCCACAAGCGCGCAACAATGCACCTCGCCCAGACCCATTCCTCCCTCACCCTCCGCCTCAACCAATCCCTCGTCCAGCCGGACGCGGCCTTCCTCAATGAGACAGAGACGCAGATCAAAAAGCTCAGCCAGCCGCTCGACAAGTTCCGCATTCGCTCGCAGCAGCGCAACACCAAGGATAGCTCGCTCAGCACCGAGGAACACACCGTGGCGGAGCTGATTGCCCGCGCGGAGGAGCAGGTCAGGCAGTTCGAGACTGAGATGGCCGGGCTGTGGGAGGAGTGGGATGCTGCGGAGGGTGAGGTCAAGGCTTTGCTGAAGGGGTTGGCTGGTTCTTCTAACTCGGGTGGTGGTGGTGGTTCCTTGCGTCGCGGGGAATGGGTCGGGCATGGTGGTGGGTATGACGGCGAGGGTGATGATGAGGGGGAGGAGGTGCTCAGGCTTTTTGGTGAGAGGATTGAGAGGGAGATTGCACTTGCTGAGGAGGAAGCGGTTGAGCTTGGGGAGGAGGCGGTGGGGTTTATGAAGGAGATCGAGAAGGTAAGTGTGGCGCGCCGAAGTGGACTCGGTTCGGGAAGGTGCTAACGGGATGGTAGGACTTTCGGAAGGCTACGCTGCCGGATTTGCATACCTTCTTTCAGTCCATTGATGAGCCTTGAGAGGCTGGGGTGGGGGATCTGATGTGGCTATTTGGTGGCAGTTCAAGTTGCTGTCTTGCTGGGATTTCGTGACATGTTTTGCTTGCTCTATTGGAGCTGGGGAGGAAATGTGTCACGGGGGCTTATGTGCTGACTGATATCCAACGGACAACGTTAGAGTAAGCTTGACGATCACTACTGAAATATCACTGGGAATTTCCACATAACATTATATAACTCTCTCTATGAAACAAATGCCGCTATCCCATGGCATGCTCAATGCTCAACCACCCAGTCTCCCGAACGCCTTCCCCAAGAACCACTTTTTCGCCCGCGCTCTGCACGAAGCTGACGCTGACGCTCTACAATACAATGAAATGACGAAGACCCTCCGAAATCAAGCAAATCTACTGCTGCTCTTCCACCACAACGCCCCAAGGGTGCTGCTCGTTGCCGTACATGATGTCGGAGATCCAGCTCTTGATCTTGGCCGTGTACTGGCCGCTCTCGCCCTTGACCATGGGGATGTGGACGTCGTAGTCGCGGTGGCGGATCTGCGACACGGGGCAGATGAAGAACTGGAACCAGTCAGTTTGACAAATCTAGACTGACAGAGGAGAGAGAGAGAGGAGGAGAAAACATACCGCCGTGCCGGCCGCGAACGCCTCAACCAACCGGCCCTCCTTATCCGCCGCAATCACCTCGTCAATGGTATATTTCCTCTCGACCATCTCCAAATCGCCGGCCAACCGCTCCCTCGCGAGCTCCACCACGCTCCGCCGCGTCACACCATCCAGAATCAGCTTGTCGTCCAGCGGCGCCGTCACGAGCTGCAGTTTCCCGCCCTCCTCCTCCCTGGTCCGCCACACGACAAAGAAATTGCTCGCCCCGGCCTCGGTGCAGTACCCCTCGGGCCCGTACAGCCACAGAATCTGGCCGAAGCCGCGCTCCCTCGCCTCGTTGGTCGCCAGCAGGCTCGGCCCGTAGTTGGCGCCCACCTTGGCGTACCCAAACCCGCCCACCCACGCGCGGATCATGTCCTCCGGGTTGGTGTGCAGGCGCAGGCCGCCTGGGGGGGAGTCCATGCGCGGCATGAAGGAGGCCGTGATGAAGAGGAGGGCTTCCTTGGGCGCCTGCACGCCGAGCTGGGGCTGCGTGCCAATCACGGCCGGGCGGAGGTACAGGTAGGAGCCCGGGCGAGTGCGGGGCAGCCACTTGGGCCCGTCGACGGCCATGAGCGCGAGGATGAGCTTCTCCAGCTCGGCCGGGTCGAAACCGGGGAGGGAGATGCGCAGCGTCGACATGAGCATGCGCTTGGCGTTGAGGTCGGGCCGGAAGAGGCGAAGGCGGCCGTCGTGGCCGCGGTAGGCCTTGAGGCCTTCGAAGCATTCTGTTGCGTAGTGCAGGACCGAGGCGGTAGGCATGAGCGAGAGCGGGCCGTAGGGCTTCAATTCCGGCGCGGACCAACCCGAGGAGGCCTTCCAAGGGACGGTGATCATGTGGTCGGTGCAGATAGTTTCGTTGCCGGAGCAGGCCGTGGCTTCGTCTGGGACGGCCCGAGCCGTGGGGTCGGCGCGGGTGATGATCAGCTTGGAGGCGTCCAGGCCGGGGAGCGTGCTGGCGCCGTTGGTGCCGTTGGCGTGGCCATTGACGCCGTTGGTGTGCCCGTTGACGCCGTTGGCCAGGGCCGGCTGTTCGGCAATCTTCTGTTCCATGGCGGTCGAGGTGAGGTCCTCGGCGGGGCGTTTCTGCGGAAGCATGGTGAGTTGTTCCCCGTTTGGAGTCGGTGAAAGAAGAAAGATGTAAGCGAGCTTAATGGCAAGAGGACACTCCGAGAGCACGGGCGCCAGACAAAGAAAGGTGAGAGAGGAAGATGGCAAAGGAAGGGAGTGAGAACCAGCGAGAGTCACGCGGGCCAGGAGATCTTTTTAAAAGTCTCGGTTCAAGGTCCAAGTGACTAACTGGGATGCGGGTATCCAGGGCGGCAGAGATCAAGTTTTACTTTCTTGGGACTGATTGGTCAATTGGCCGACCTGGGTTGATCCACCGTCAACGAACCTCCCCTCGGGCTGTCGACAGCAGGGCGCGGCACAGGGTCTGCCGCACATGGCATTCTGCCGCAGTGCCCGGCCCAGTGCCGGTTCTACACACTTGACACGTACAGAGTCCCTGTATCCGTACCGCCATGCCGGTTGAATGTACCGGTTTCAGTGGTTGGCTGGGACGCATTCGAATCCTGTTGACTTGTTTGCTTGGTGACGGCGATGCCAGCATGGTCCCTTTTCACGGTATTAGGTACTTGTTACAAGGGGTGGTTGCCGCATACGTCCGTCTGCAGCTGCGCCGTCCATTGGCACTCAACAATCCTGTGCTCTCTATCGAGGACGGTCCGAGTACCGGAGGAGGTCCCTGAACCACAAAGGCTGAAAGGGGCGTCCGGTGTTTGACATGGCGTTCTTGAGTCATAAGCAGTGGGATTTGCGATCCGCGTCTCGGCTGGCGGAGGGACCGAGTCACGAACCGGTGGAGTTTCCTTGCGACGGCGGAGTTCGCAGAAATTCGTGAAGACTGTCCGTTCCCTGCCTACAGACACGCCGAGACGCAGCAATTGGGCGTGTGACCAGATGGCCTCGAGATCAATTTGATGGTTTCATGGCGTAGAGGATCCACAGAAGCCCGACACAAGGCGCTGGAAAGCGTGCGAGGAGTTGGGTAGAAAATGCCTGGATCGGAGTCCGTGAAATCGAGTCCATTGGCCCGCAGATAGCCGGGGATAGGCGCGATAGCGATCTCTGCGGCCGCCCAATCAGGAGGCTGTCTCAAATTCCAAGATTGGAAAGTTAAAGTGTCCGGCTCCGCAGATCCGCGCCGAAGTCGACGTTGCACCCGGCCGATGGTTGGGCCGCAGCCCCCACGCGTTGCGGAGCGACCCGGTCCTGCTGCGATAAGAGAGTCAGCGGTCCCGTGCCGGAATACCAGGTAGTTTAGCCAGGCAAGTAACCATCAATCGCGCACTTGCTTCGACTACAACCATAACGAACTGCGTGTCGTCTGAGCTCATTGCTTCTGCGCTCGAGGTGGCCGGTGCCAACAGACTAACTAGTGTGCCACCCGTGAGAGAGCCGGTCTTCAGGCCCTGGTCCGGTCCGGACAATGCTCCACGTGGACCCGAGCTGTCCGCCGGATCGGACCCGGTCGAGCATCGACCATCCCGGACAACTCAGCTGAGCGCACTTGCTAACAGACCGGCCTATGGATACCCCGCTCGGCATCCTTCCCGAATTCTGACACGCGGCGAAGTCGGCTTGCCGGCATGCCGCCAACTCACCGTTCGGCCTTGTGACGGTTGCCGCGAAGTGTCGTGGAGGACGGAGCGCGACCCTCGGCAGCAGCGCGGGCCGATTGCGCCCTGGTGAATAATAGCCTCCCGCGGATAAACAGCCTCCTCATCGAATGATGCCAAATGGCACGACGGGAGCAGCCTGCAGCATTATGGGGTCCTGCCGTCGTGATTGGATCCCGCAGCCATAGCGATGTGGTGCGCTTGTGGCCCAACCTCCATGCCTGAATCTCGAGTGAGCTTCAGCGTCACACTCCTGTAATCAGTCTATGATCACACCAGTCTCTCCTCTGAAAGCAATTGTCTACCGTCCCGAAACAATTTACTGTTGGTTTCATCTTGATGTCGTATTCTATGATTTTGTCGTTGATCAGACCCCATTTTCCCTCTGTTTCTCTCCCTCAACGCGGCCAGAGCCATGTTCAGGGACGCCAAGGATCACAAACATAGGCCTGATGCTCTGCGACAGCCGCAGAGGAGAGATTCCTTGTCGTCAATTCTCTCATGGGCGGCGTTGCAGGGCAAGATCACCGCTTCCAGGACTTCAACGGCACCCTCCTCCACCGCATCGCCTCAACCAAGCCCTGGCACCAGCACCAGACCGCGGAGGCACAGCCAGAGCGCCAGCACCGAGACGAAAACGAAGGCACGTAGAGGTTCCTCCACGTTTCGAAGACTTTCTCTTTCGACGCCGACCGCGACCCACGATGAGGCTGGTACTAAGACGAGACATTCAAAGACATTCATGGCAGCAGACTCAAAAGCCTCGCCGGGTACCAGCAAGACCCCCAAGAATGGCTCCTCGGAGAAGATCAATAAGACGCCGTCCCGCACTCAAGATGGCATGGCGATCACTCCAGCCCGGCCGCAGAGCGCCCAAGACAAGCCAAGGTAAACACAACAACTTACTGGCTTGCCTTATATATTGACACACCCCTCTGTAGGCCTCCTGGATCCCCCGTCACCATGCCCAAGTCCATCCTCCGCGTCTCCAGCCCAGATAGCTCCAGACGCCCTCGACAACTCGTCAGCCCAGAAACCGGCGAACCCACCAGCCCCAGCCCCAGCCCCAGCCCCCTTCCTTCCTCCGCAGTCTTAGGCACCCTCCCACCCGACTCCCCGGCCGGCTCTCCCCCAATGTCCCCTGTCCAGAGGCCCATGTCCCCCGGCGCGACAGTGCGCTTCGCCAAGGCGACCATCCACCGCGTCGAGGTCATCGGCGGCGCCGGCCGCCGCCGTCTCCTGCCCGTCAAGCGCAAGAGCAAGAGCACGCTGACCTACCTCTCGCCGCTCGACCCGGGCGCGCACAAGAGCGCCGTCCCCAAGACGATGCTGCAGAACCCCATCAAGCTGCGCCGCCACCAAGAGAACCAGGCCGCCATGGGCCGCTACTGGCTCCGGACCGAGGAGGAAGAGGCCCAGTGGCGCGCCGAGGCCGAGAGGAGGGCCGCCGAGGAGGCTGAGAGGTACCGCAATGAGCCGGCGAGTCCGCCTCCTGTTGGTGGGTCTGCTGCTGATGGGGGGTCTGTTGGGGAGGGACTGGGGCCCAGGTTTGCAAGTAAGATTGTGGCAATTGATACTCTGTCTTCACTGGATAGTGGCCAGGCGCTGGATAAGGTGGTGGTGGAGCTGGCGGAGTCGAGGCCGGGAAGTCCGGGTTCGGATGCTGGGACGAAGTGTAACCAAGGGGAACCCGGGCCGGATGTGTTGAAAAAGTCGAAAGAGGAGAAGCGTGGCAGTGACGGGGCCAGAGAGGTCAGAGTGGAAATGATAATGGCTACAGAAGCTACAGAGGAACCTAGGCTGCCAGATGTGCGCGCCACAGCCTCACTCTTAGTGCCGGATGGGGCTACGTCTGAGTCGCCCACCCCAGAGCAGGCCACACCAGAGATGCCCGATCTGAAGCCGACCATTACAGCCGCAGCAACACAACAACCGTCAGTACAGCCAGCAGATGCGACAACCACAACACTATCAGCAGAGACAACGCTGACTTTAACACCCAAAAACCCCAAGCCCGCCGATTCCCGGTCCGTGTACGGAAGGCTGGTTGAGAAACTGGTTGAGAAGCAAGCAGCGGAGGAGGGAGCAAATCGAACCCAATCTCCACCACCCCTTGTCGAGCCACCTGAATCAGCTACCACCAAGCCCGACACAGACTTCTCCAAACCAGCCGGTTCCTCCTTCAGCTCGCTCTCCAAAGAGGGATCTTCACAATCACCTTCAGGCAGGCCAAGCAGCGCCAGCAGTGGCTGCACTCTCAGCACAGGTTCATACTCATACCCAGGGGAGCAACTCCCCAAGATCTCTTTCAGAGAGAGGGAGAAAGAATTCGAAAAAGAAGTTCGGAGAGGAACAGACAGACAAGAGGACAGAGACAAGGAGAAGCAAAAGGCGGGAGCAAAGGAGAGTGAAAGGGGCAAGGAAAAAGAAAGAGAAAAGCCCAGGGAGGGCAAAGCAAGAACAGTATCACCGACTTCCTACCGAGCGGCGACCAAGGAACCCAGATCAGAAGGAGAAGCAGGCAGGATGCCAAAAGCGTCCGGCTCCACCTCCTCCAGCAGGACGGGACATAGCAGCAGCACGACCAACCATCTGCATTTGTCTGGGCGGAGAGGCAGGCGGTATTTCGAGGAGCATAAGCAGGGCATCACAGCTTAGTTTTTCGTTTTCTCGTGTGCTATATCGTGTGAGGAGTTTATCATTATGATGGCGTTTGTTGCTTTCTTCATTAGCGTTCTATTGATTCGGGTCCTTTCCTTTACGTCCTGCATCATTGGCAACGCGATCATCCCACTTTATCACTCCCATCGCCTTTTTTATTGTCTTTCTTTTTCCTGTGGTATATTAGGCATCTGTATCTATGTTGTTGTTCGAGACTTTTATTCCTCCCCTTGTTCTGCCATCTTGTCTCTGAAGAAGCCTTATTGTAGCAGCGGCTTAGATTTTGTTACGATTCAGACGATGAGACGACGATTGTGAGATACTTTATATTCAGGCTCTGGCTCAATCAGGATGATATGAACTAGACCAAATCCACATTTCCGTACCTTCCGTTATGCAATGCTAGGATATCTCTCATACCAGATTCGCCGCCCAAACGCCAGCCCTCCGTGCCGTAAGAGAATCGGACCGTCCTTTGAGCAACAAGCGCCTCAGCTTTCTCCTCCAGAACCTATCCTCGCCTGCCCTCGCCAAAGCGAACATGAAGCTGGCCCACGCCGCCAATTACTTCTTGCAGTTCTACCCTAACATCTTCCACATCCCTGGAACACTGAACATGGTATCTATCGTCGCCGCCGCATCTGCCGTGAAAGTGTCGTCCTCTGCTCAGCGGCTATGGTGTGTGTCAATGTCAGCGAGTTCGTCACTCTGATCATTAACGATGGCTGAATCTTCATGTTCCCACGTCCGCAGTCGTGACAGTGAATTGGGTACCAGGTTCAGAGTCCCAGGAATGTGGAAGACGTTCAAGTCGGAACTGCGAGAAGTAATTCGCGGCGTGGCCGGCTTCAGGATCGCTTTGGCCAGGTCCATCTTCGTCAAGGAGAGGTATTGGACCATGCCCTTTGTGTCGACCTGGTCCGCGAGGGATATTGGCAGGTATGTGTGTTGTTGGATTGGATCGACGTGAGAGAGTGCCTGCCATTACGACCGCATTTCCAACTGGAAGTAACCCCATATTCACCTCTTCATGAGAAGCCTTCACATCAACCCACTCAACACCACCTTGCCCACGCTCGCAACCTCGCTCTTAACCCCCGCCCGCCCGCTCTCCTCAAATTCCCTCACGACGCCCTGAATCAACAGCTTCCTGATCTTGCTATCCGCCTTGGTGAACAACTCGGCCACGGCGCCGCTACAGTCCCTCGGCGTCGCCACCAGGCTCAGCAGCCTCGTGTACATGTCAATCAGCACGTCGCACAGTGTCGCAAACGTCTCGAAAAAATCAGGATCGAACGGCAGCGTCGGCGTCAGCAGGTATGTGTATTCCTCCCCGGGCAGCAAGTCCACCTCGGACGCCCCAAACGCCATGACCCCCGCCGGCAGTGCGTCGACCCCTGCCGCGCCCCCGGCCCCTCCCCCCACCGAACCGACTCCTCCCCCTACGCCTACCCCGCCCGAGGAGGCGCCGCCGACAGAAGACGACGGCAGCGGCTGCGCCCCTCCTGCTACCGCCGCGCCGGCGGCGGCGTTACTCTCGGCCTGTTCAAGCGAGTACCCAATCCCAATATCTCCGTCCCTGCCCGCAGCAGAGCTGCTCCTTCTCCCCTTGGACAACCCCGGCGCGGCGGTCGCGCGGCGAAACATTTGCGGGATGCGGGTGCGCGTCAGCGAGGTGGCAGCGATGCCGTTCTCGGTGTGGATCTGCGTAAAGGCGTCGAACTCGGCGAGCAGGGTGTTGAGCGAGCGCAGAAACTCGAGCGGGGTGCTGCTGTTGAGGTCGATGACGGTGGGCAGGGAGATGCCCAGGAGGAGGTAGTTTGTCGCGCGACGGCCGAGCTTGCGCGCGTCGAAGTAGGGCATGCGCTGGAGGTCTGGCTTGTCGAAGAGTAAAGTGTTGAACCAGTAGATGCGGCCTTCGTGGCTGGTTGCCAGCGGGGGAGGTTAGTGGACGGGAAGGGCCAATGGTGTGGTGTGCTGGTTGGGGGAGAGGGGGGAAGGGGTGCGTACGCCTTGCGGAGGTAGTCGAGGGTGGATATTCGCTTGTTGGCGGTTTCCTGAATGTGTTGGTGCACGACGGCGAGCTCGCTCTGCTGGCCGACGCTGCTGGATCCGGCACCCGTCATGCCGACGGGGTAACCGGATATGGGCGTCACGGCGCCGCGGCTGAGCATTTTGGAGAAGCCGTCGGCGGCCTTGGGCGAGGGGTCCGACAAGGGTGGGCCGACGCTGCTGCCGTCGGAGAAGAATTGGAAATAAGATGCCGCTCCGCCATCGGCCGGTGCGCCGGATGGCGAGGTTGCCAACTCAGCGCGGCGCGTGTTACGCTTGGCCGACGACGCCGACGACTGGAAGATGGACGACTTGCGGCCGAACGAGGGCTTGCGGTCCTTCTGTAGGGTCTTGTGCTGCCGGGGGCTCCCGCTGGCGTTGTCCTCGCCCGGGCTCGACGGACGGCGGGGTTTGCTGGTGGGTGATAACGGAGGATTTTGGTTCTGAGGTTTGGAGCTGGTGGTGCTGCCGCCGCCAAAGAAAGACGAAAAGAAAGGGGCGGCGGTCTGCGCCGGAGTGGCTGCCGAGCGCTGCATGCTGTGCGCTGTTAGACTTCTGCTAGGAACTGAGCTCCTCTCGAATGCAGCGCTGTCATTTGCTGCTGCGGCTTTAGCGTCCCAAATTCGGCAGGAGGCGCCGCTGGGCGGGAAGGTGGGGCTGGGTCGTCGCTACGTTGGCAGGGTCTTGACAAACCCATGTGAAGGAATCATCAAGTTTGACCTCAAAAAAACTAGATGCAGTGGAAAATGGCTGGCCAGGTTGGAGGAGGTCGGGAAGGATGGGGGTGAGGCAGCGGCGACCTATGGTTTGAATATCAACCATGATAACTTCAAATAGAGAGAGGCGTGTGTCAGGGATATTCCAGGCGGACTCGCGTTCTCGACCCGCGCTTGACACATGCCATCATCCCATCCTGGTCATCAGGGTCCTGCGAGAAGCACCCCGGCATCGGCTTGGCTGCAATTCAGCTGCCGGCGACAAACCCACCCATCTCCAGGTGCTTTTTTTGTCTGTTTGACGAGGCGATGGTCGTTTAGAATTGACACTGGGGATCCAATGTACGTATACATGTGCAAGGCGATGCACCTGCTGACATGCTCCCTGCGGCCCCGCCTCGGTTTCCTCCTTGCCATTATTAGACAATAGAAAAAGTAGATGGTGGGGTTAGGTGTGTTTGATATTGGTTCAGTGCTAGTCTTGGGTGGATTTGATTCCTGCCCGGAGTCATATGAAAGCCGTGTGGCACTTGTAGACTCAGTACAACGCATCTTGACCGCCGAGTGGGGTGAGGGGCAGCGTTTAATTTACAGCGGGGTACGGAGGACATTCTCCCTCGACAACAGGAAGGGCCTTGCTCAAGCCTCAAAGCTACTACTACAAGGTGCCCAGGTGGCTTGTGGTTGAAAGCTCTGCAACTATACTCTGCACCAAGTTGCTGATCATTAGACCCCTCGTGTCCGTTTCCCAGCCTTGTACGAGTTAGTATTTGGATATCATTGATCAAGGTACAGTAGACTTTCAGCCATCGCCCTTGCGAAGTGGACTCAGTTGCCAGTTCAAATTCAAGCCATGACCTCGGCAGATGACATTCGCCCGCCGGGCGAGCCTGCGCCGGAGCTGCTCGAGGGCCGGCTCTGGGTTGACGGGTGCTTCGACTTCTTCCACCACGGTTAGTCCCTAAACTCATCCTGATGAAGTTCAACCAGGTCCCTTACTAGGCACCTTCCCCAACAGGCCACGCCGGCGCCGTCGTCCAAGCCCGCCAGCTCGGCGACGAGCTCTACGTCGGCGTGCACTCGGACGAGGCGATCCTCGAGAACAAGGGCCCGACGGTCATGAACCTCCGGGAGCGCCTCCTCGCCACCGACGCCTGCCGCTGGGTGACCAAGTCGATCCCGCACGCGCCCTACGTCACGCAGCTCGATTGGATCAGCCACTTTGGCTGCAAGTACGTCGTGCACGGCGACGACATCACGTCTGACAGCAGCGGCGAGGACTGCTACCGCTTTGTGAAGGCGGCCAACCGTTTCAAGGTCGTCAAGCGCACGCCGAGCATCTCGACGACGGACCTGGTCGGCCGCATGCTGCTGTGCACCAAGGGGCACTTTATCAGGTCGCTCGAGAGGACGCTCGCCGGCGAGGAAGGGCCCGGGACCGAGGAGGAGAGGAAGGCCAATGGGAAGGCGATGCTGGAGAGAATTCGACTGTACGCGACGGACGAGACGGCTAAGAAGCCTGGCGCGGATGTGTGGTTCTGGGGCGCGCAGGCCGGGTTCAAGGAGCTGTTCCGCGGTGTGGGGCCAAAACCGGGGCAGAGGGTGGTATACGTGGATGGCGGGTTCGACCTCTTCTCGAGCGGGCATATCCAGTTCCTGCGCCTGGTGACGGAGGCCGAGGAAGAGCTGGCGAGGAAGGACGGATGGTATTCGGAGCAGGCTGTCAACGAGCGAAAGGGCAAGGGCGCCGATTACGGCCCCGTGTTTGTCGTGGCTGGCGTCCACGACGACGACGTCATCAACAAGTGGAAGGGCGTCAATTACCCTATCATGAACATCTTTGAGCGCGGGCTCTGCGTTCTCCAATGTCGAGTAAGTATCATTCAGCTGGGCGAGGATCCTCTGCTGACGAGCCACTAGTACATCAATGCGGTTGTCTTTGGGGCGCCTTTCACCCCAACCAAGCAGTACTTAGCCTCATTCCCTTGGGGCACACCAGATAGCGTCTACCACGGGCCGACGTCCTTCATGCCGTCCACCGACGACGTGTATGCCGAGCCCAAGGAGATGGGCATCTACCGCGAAATCGGCCACCACGAGTTTGAGGACGTCAACGCCGGTAGCATCGTGCAGAGAATAATGAAGAGTAGAGATCTTTATGAGGCACGACAGAAGGCGAAGGGGATGAAGGCCAATCTTGAAGAGGCGCAAAGACAGCGCGAGCTTCTGGAGGAGGAGCAGCGGCGGAAAGAGGCGTCGCGGTAGAAAGCATTGGATGCTGCTGCTGCGCACCGGGCAGCAATTTCGGATTCAGGGACTTCAACCACAGCGGGCATAAACTGGACAGCAGCAGGGAAAAGAGCGAATGGCTTCAACAGGCCTTGAATAGAGACGAAATAGAACTTGGACCAGGGGCGGATCGTCGACTATCTAATTGAAGTAATAAAGCGAGAACTGGACAGTCCATCAGATACCATAACGCATTTTGGAGTCATCAACGGGGTCGCGCGACGATTTACGCCGGCTCCGCCTCAGAGCTTGACTCTATTAATGGATTTCATCACCTGAACTGTCCAATTCCCCCGAAACCCCAGACCAGCAGCCAGCCAGCACGAACTGTGGGCCTCCAGCGAAGCCTAGAGTGTCTGTTGTCCAGCTGTGTGCCAACTGCAAAGCCCGAGGTGAAAGAAGAATCATGAAATCGATTGAAGCCCCCCTCGCACCAAGAATGAGCCCCGTCGAGTTACTCGCCGGCTGTTTCCAGCACAGGCAAGCAATCGCATTACTGTGAAATCTTGACGAAATCTCTCGAGCCAACCATGGCGCTCCCAGTCCAGACCGTGAACCAGCGGCAGCCCACCATCGACCAGTTCACCCCCACCGACAGGGCACAGCAAAACGCGCCCCCGAGACAGCCAAGGAGCGCGGACTCATATCTTCGTCCATGTTGGTCTCCTGGCCCGGGTAACGGGACTGCTGGCTGTGGTGGAGTTAGGTTCAGCCGACTTTGGTGTGGATGGGCCGGGCGGCACGAAGACAGACAAGGAACAGGCGGCCGAGATCAGCCGCGGTGCTTCTATGGCGGCGCGTTTCCGCGACCACTTTTTCTGGTGAGGAAAATGTGGGTGTCCGGGGACTTTCTCCCAAAGCCTAGAAATGAAAGAGCGGTGCCCTCTCCGTGTGTGAGCTTCGAATAGCGATTGTTTGGGCGAGGGGGACTTGAAGAGAAAAAGGAAGGGAAAAAAGAGTCGCGGAAGCTGGTGGCTAAATTTTTATTCACTCTCCGGAAAGTGGGGCACAATGTACCAGATTACTCGGCTATCTTAGGGTGGCACATGACGAGGCACTAGATACTGGAAGGGAAAAAGAATTCAAAGACGTGAGAAAAACAAAAATAGAAGGAAGAACATTGGGCATCGTAGAAGACAGAAACATAATGTAGGTGGGGAAGGGAGGAGAAGACAAAGATAGAGAGGAAGAGGAAAGAAAGAATACAAGAAGTTGAGGAAAAAGAAGTGATATCAAAGTCCCGTGCTAACAAAGATTCCAGGTTGAGCAAGGTAACTAACTCCGTATGGTCAAAGCTTCAAAGACTGCTCTGTCTGCAGATCACGGCAGGGGTATGTTTAGCATCTCGAGGCTGGACGGGCTCAGATCGGATAGAGATCAGACTCGAAAACCAAACCACAAAACAACTTCACCAATTACGCACAGCCACAGCGCTTTCCTAGATAAACCCGCTCTTCGACCGAGAAATCATTCAACCTAGACAGGTCTGCTGCGCATTCGACATAGATCCATAAGCCGCGACAATGGCTGGCCTTTTTGGCGCGCAATCGGCGTCGGCCAGCAACACGCTGGGCGACCTGAAACAGGACGTCGAGCTCGGGAGTCCGCCCGAGGACAGCATCTCGGCCATCGCCTTCAATCCCAACCCGACCGACCCCAAAGACTTTCTCGCCGTGGCGAGCTGGGACAAGAGAGTGCGCATCTACGAGATAATGAGCAACGGCCAAGGCCAGGGCAAGGCGCAGATAGAGCACGACGGCCCGGTCTTTTCTGTTGACTTCTTCAAGGTGGGCGGCTGCTGTCGTTGAGCGCTTCTTCGGGCCAGCTTCTGATCTTGCTGCACAGGACGGCCAAAAGGTCATCTCTGCCGGCGCCGACAAGCAGGCCAAGGTGATGGACCTCGCCACGGGACAGACGGTCCAGGTAGCAGCGCACGACCAGCCGGTCCGCTGCGTGCGGTACTTCGAGGCCAACGGCACCCCGATGGCGGTCACGGGCTCGTGGGACAAGACGGTCAAATACTGGGACTTCAGGAGCTCGACGCCCGCAGGCTCCATCACCTGCCAGGAGCGGGTATACACGATGGACGTCCGGGACAATCTTCTGGTCGTCGGCACGGCCGACCGGTACATCAACGTGATCAACCTGCAGGACCCGGCCAAGTTCTACAAGACGCTGCAGAGCCCGCTCAAGTGGCAGACCCGCGTCGTCAGTTGCTTCACCGACTCGCAGGGCTTTGCCATTGGGAGCATCGAAGGCCGGTGCGCGATCCAATATGTCGAGGACAAGGACGCGAGGTAGGCCGCATGCTCGCCCACACTTCGCCACTCCCTACCCAGTCTTACTAACCCGTCTCTCACCTTAACTAGCCTCAACTTCTCGTTCAAATGCCACCGCGACCCGCCGCAGGGGTCCGTCACCAACGTGCACGCGGTCAACGACATCTCGTTCCACCCCCAGCACGGCACCTTCAGCACGGCGGGCAGCGATGGGACGTTCCACTTCTGGGACAAAGACGCTAAGCACCGTCTCAAGGGGTACCCGAACGTGGGCGGCAGCATCACGGCGACCAAGTTCAACAAGACGGGCAGCATCTTTGCTTACGCCATCAGCTACGACTGGAGCAAGGGGTACCAGGGCAACACTGCCAACTACCCGACCAAGGTGATGCTGCACCCCGTGCAGCCCGACGAGTGCAAGCCGCGGCCGAGCGTCAAGAAGAGGTAGGGTAGCGCTCTGATGACGACGCGGAAGGGCGACGCCGAACGGCGGATGGTCCGAGCAGACCGAGTTTGGTGAGAGGTACGTAGTCCGGGTGTGGGGAGCTCACAAGCCGCGAGGAGAGGGCCTCGCCTAAGCATATCAATGGAAGTCTACTAAAGGTGATGCTCAGCCAAGACAAGGAGAGAGAGGAAAGGTGAGGGAAAGGGGATGAGGAAAGGGAGAGGGAGAGGGAAAGAAGAGCAAAGAAGGGGGAGGAAGGAAAGGGGGCAGAAAGGGAAAGGGAAATGGAATGACAAAGGGAATGAAGACGGAAGTTGATAGGTGGTTGGAACGGTCATTGGACAAGGGCAGAGTCGACGGCGAGGAGTACCGGATGGACGGCAGCAGATAGCCAGATGCCTTGTCTCAGAAGCAGTCCGTAACAATCAATCAGAATAACTAATAACACTCTCTCATATGACAAAAGCCTGCGGTTGAGTCTGGGCAGAGATTAAAGACATAGATACCGTCACGTCATCCTACACATCATTCTCAGATGTCACCCCCCGAGTTCAAGTATGAGTAATTCTCAAACAGCAGCCTTCCCACCACTCGTACCATTACTACTCCCCGCCCCAAAAACATCCTCCTTCAACCCCCTCCACAAATCCCGAATCATCCCCCTCCCCATCTCAAAACTCTCTCCCTCCCCGCCCTCCTCCTGGCTACCAAGCAAATGCACAAACCCCAACTCGACGCCATCCACCCCCATCCCCTCGACCTCGGTCAACGCCGAGGGGAGGACCTGCTCCGGATTGGACGCCACGACAAGGATCTCGGGCGGCGGCAGCGGCGCGTCGGCCGCCTCGGGCTGGTTGTGCCTGTGGGAGGCGGCGGTGCTGTCGGGTAGTAAGGGAACGCGGATATGCAGGTAGGGGTCGTATTGTGCTGATTCGGAGGAGGAGGAGGAAGAGGACAGGTCCGGGAGGACGGCGCGGTCAATTGTGGCGTAGGTGGTCGGGGAGGGTTTCGGGGCGGAGTGGTGGAAGGTTTGCATGAAAGGGATTGTTTTGGACGGACCCTGGGTTGTTGGGAGAGGGCGGTGAGGGGTTGTGGTGGTGGTGCTTGAGTGGTTGCGCTGGGGAAACGGGGCGGTGTTAGTTTTGGACGGAAGATGGGGATATTGGGATGGTTGATGATGATAAATGATCGCTTACTTGGGAAGGGGCTTCTTCGGCGACGGCGTTGGGTTTCCTGACGGCTGTTGCTACCTTGGAGGTCTTGTTGAGGAGATGGCTCGGCCGAGCGACGGCCGGAGTCGTGCTGAAGGAGCGGGTGAGTTTGGAGATGGGGGATGTAAAGCGTGATGACATGGCGACGGCGAGTGACTTGGAGAGCTACAACAACGGCTGCTGGATAGACGCAGAGACGGGATTGCACTCTGGAATGGAACTAGAGGACGAGGTGACACGGGGTTGCTGTCAGGGACAATGGGAGGAGGGCGAGCCTTGTTAGGTTGGAGATGGAGGGGAGCTTGAGTCAAAGCAACGGGGAAAGGGCAGGTATAAGTGACCACGCGGACATCCGCCTGGACTCTGGGGATAAGAGACAGCTCACGCCCGATCTTCTGCATAATGCCACACCATCCACCCCTCCCTGACACGGTGGGCCGCCTAAATTGGAGTCGAGTCATCAATGGATGGATGCTCTTTAAGTTGGTTGCACACGAGCTTGGATAATTCGGGTCCTGCAGAATCCAACAAGACAAAGGACATCGCAGCGGTACATGTCGAATATTGTCAGTGTCGATGAGCCGATGCTTGTGTCGATCGATGCCCAATCGCGCCAATTCCCGAGCCCTCTCGTCGCCTGGAATGCTGTTTCCCACGTCAAGAACGGAGGCTCGATGTCTGAGACTTCGCACAGCAACATCTCGATTCTCGATGTCAGAGCGCCGGTCTCGCACGCTCCCTGGTCCCTTCAACCTCGACAATTCCCAACGGACCGGGGCTGTCAGCTCTTGACCCCGGTCGATTGCGCAGCTGTGACTGGTGGTGAGCCCACTTGTTGAGGGAGCTTGGGCCACTCAAGGTCCCGCCTCTGTGGAGGCGGTCAAGCTTAACGATAGCGATCGCGACCGGGCGGGTTTAGCGTTGATCCGAAGGCTCGTCAACAAATCTCGGGTGCGCAATGCCGAGTATGGGCTGGAGATCCTCATGGAGCCGCCTGATCAGACGATGAGTGCGGATGTAACTTATTAGCTGGCTCGATGGAGCCAGCTTTTTTTATTCCAGACAGTTGATGAACTGATGCTTCTGGGGAAGGGGTCGTTAAAGGTTAGGTTAGGGCTCGCTGATCTTTCCTCGGCTCCGCGGTTCCTGGCTCCATCAGCTTCATCTGACAAGACTTTTGACGGGAGTTTCCGACATTTGTCTGAGCCGGCTTATATGCAGGCTTACATGCAGGAGCATCCTCGAGGCCCGCAACAGCCACACTCCCTCGGGCAAGCCAGATGTGAATCGGCAGGACAGGCGACCGCACATCTTTCGTGACATCTTCGCTTTCAGGAGTTTTGTCAGTAGCCGAGCTGTTGTTCATGGTCTGGGTACGGAGTATTGCTATGGGAGGTATCTAGTCACGCAAAGCTAGGAGCAGATGAAGGTTCATCACATACATGCCCCAAAGACGCCATCTCCTCGTCTGGCCTGATACATTTGTGCCCGTATCATAACTTGAGTGGTCCCATGAACCATATCGAGGACCCAAGGTATCTTACTTGAACGGCTTGGGAAAGCTGGAATTTAAGTTCTTATGGACCAAGGACTGCCATGTCCGACGATTTCCTTGATGGAGCTGCCTCTTTGTGGAAGACCGCCTTGAAAGAAAATGAGGGATTGGGGACACAGGGAAGTGACTTATTGTACCCCACAAGAAGTTGAAGGCCGTCCACTGCCAGACATGTCGGTGATGTGAGACTGTGATTGGCTATGTTCTGATTCTAATGTCTTCATTTCAACAGACTCGGACTTTGACGATGCGCCAGCAGCATGATTGCAAGAAGCACAGGTGATAAGTGTGGCAACAGAGCTCCTTCCTCAAACACGGGTGGTCGTAGTGCCCCCAGAGCACTCATTATTGCTCCTTCCTGTCACCACACCTAAGGCCCGGAGTCACTATGGCGCTCCGATCCGCACTCGGTCAGTGCCATGGCCAGTCAACCGGTCAACGAGGGGCGAGCGAGGGGCGCTCTACTGACCCTTCAGTCTGTCAACAAATCGCTGCGCGCTCATCTTTACCGCACATCTTGTTTCTTGACGACAATCAGTTGAGCCAAACCGCCCCAAACACGATCAGCGACTTCGAACTGACCGACCAAGCACTCGACCCCCCTTGAGGAGTCATCAAGATGGCATACAGCGGCACCCCGGGCAGCCCTCTGCCCATTTCCGAGGTCAACTTCGACGACCTACCCGAGAGTTTCCCTGGATTGGTTTTGACTGGAAACCCATACCAACGCGGCGTAAAGTACGGTCAAGTGTTTGCCGAGAAGATCCGGGCCAACATCTGTCGCCATTTTGATCACCCTGATCTCCCTTCGTTGTGAGTTAAACTGGGACGCGCTGAACAGGGTCATCCGAGGAACTCAAGGGGCTAACTGTTGCGCTTAGCGACAGTTGCGAGTGGATCATCAGAGAAGTGTACATACCGGGCCTGGTGCACCACTGGCCGAGAGGATGGAACGAGCTCCTCGGCATGGCCCAAGGCTGCGAAATGGACGTGGAGCACCTGGTATATCTCAACGCGCGAGACGACCTCGCTGCCATCAGATACATCCTCGAGCCCCCGGTCCAGCGTCCATACGTTCCGCTCCGGCCTTCGCACGCCATCGAGAGCACCAGCGCCTTCTTCTCACAGAACAAAACTCTAGGCCGCACTGGCCCGATTCTTGCGCATTCCTGGAGCGAGAGGAAGCGGATCCACGACGGCGACGACTTCATGGTTCTGCTCGAGATACAGTACCTACCGGACGAGCAGGTCAAGAACATGGTCATCCTAGTCGAGGCCGGCATGATCAGCGGGAGCGGCATGAACTCCCTGGGCGTCGCCGTGACGGGCAACCCCCTCTTCTCCACCGAGGACTATCTCCCCAGCTGGGGCACCAACGAGAAGTACTTTCCCGTGACGTGTGTCGAGCGCTTTCTCCTCGAGTGGGCTAGCGTTAAGGACGTCGAGGACATCCTGACAAAACTAGACACACATGCTTCGAAGCACATCCTCATCGCCAATGAAGACGGTGATTCAGCGTCCCTGGAGCTGGGCCCTTTGACATCCAAGGAGCTGGATACCTACAAACCCATCTTTGCGCACGACGGCGACTTTGGCAACGACGCGAAACTGCACACGAACCACTTCTGCTCGTGGGCCTACTGGCAACACCGCCGCGGGCTCCTTTGTCGGTACCGAGGACAACCAAGCCCGTCCCGGCTGCACAGCCTTGGCCAGCTCATTAAGGAAAACGGCCATTGCAAGATGTCGGCGCGGCAGATCAAGTTCCTATTCTCGGACCACGAGCGCCATCCCAACAGCATCTGTCAGCATGGGGCCGACAATGACGACGACCTCAACAACAAGACGGTGGCCTTAGTCATGTACCACACCAGCCGGCGGGTCGTCTCACTGTGCAAGGGCCCGCCGTGTCGGGCCACCATGATGGTGCACTTCGCCATCCGGGAGGGTGCCGCCGTCCCCGCTAGTGGGGATAGTGACCTGTGCGAAGCGGACAAGAAGATAGTGAAGGATATGGCGGCGGCGTTGGCGGCCGTGGACGTGGAAGTGGACATGCTAAGCCAGAAGCTTGCGGCCAAGCGGCGGCGGCGCAATATATTTGACAGCATCGCCGACTTCAAGAAGAGACGCCGGATCAGCAACAACACCCCTGCGACAGATGCTGTCGAAAACGAGAGACGCCGGCTCAACAAAACCCCGGCGAGCGACGTCGCCCAGGACGACATCTAGTTGAAGCCGTGGGTGCGTCGAGTTCCGTCCATGTCGTCCCCGGCGCCGAGACGGAAGGGTACATTTGGTGGTGGTGGCGGCGGTGGTGGCAAAGAGAGCGGTGCGGTTACTAGTATGCATAAGACACCGTCGAGTTTCTCGGGCATGTCACCTTCCTCAACACCCAGACTGCTGCGGATGACGATGAGCGAGATAGTCGCGACCTACAGAGAAGTCTTGGCTGAGTCGAGTCCAGCTCAGCCGGGATATCAGCCGGCTACGCCCTGTCCGGTTCCCCTGGGACGCCCGAGGCTTCTCAACGGTCGTTCGGACACAGCGTCCTGCTGCTTTGCATCTCCGGTGGTTCCGGAGTCGCCAGAGGCGGCAGGGGCGACAGGGACTCCAGCGACCCCGAGAGCTCCAGGGGCTAGTTTGAAGTTGAGCTCTGAATGAGGGCATAGATTGGCCGGGTCGGTGGTCTTGTGAAGGCGATTCGGTCAGAGGCGCTTTTCGGAGCATAGGCTGCTACGAGTACATGCCTACCTTGTATTTAGGTACGGAGCATGACCCAGAATAGGAATACGGATAGTGGATGGCAGCATCAAGCAATGACATTCACATCATGGTAAATTCTGGTATGTGGGGCGTCGGGTCATGGATGAGTTTTGCGTTTGCCGCTGAGATCACCGAGACCTCATGAGACACCCGGGATTCGAAACAAACCATCAGCAGATCGTCTTCCCTCCTCTCTAGCTGATACTCCTGCTCAAAGTACATATCCAGGCACCTCTGCCGAGGCCTGTATAAGGTCACCTAGTAGTAGCAGGTCATTGGGTTCAGCCTCCCTCGGCGTGTTCCATTTCTGGGCCACGTCATGCGCATCTTCTCTAATGATACTACACGTCTAACCTGAGGTGGGAACTTATATTCGAGCCCGCTCAGGCGGAAGAGGCTCGGATTATCCCAGCATTTCCCGCTGACGCAAGCCTACGGTATCGGAAAACCGCGAAGTACTCTGCACAGACATGGTGCGCATCTCAAAATGTACCCCTAGTGCTGCATAGCAATGACCACAAACCCTTATCATCGCAGACTATTGACGACTCGATGCACGCCACGAGGACTGACATTTCAAAAATGGATGCAGCAGTGGCAGCGCCCGGCACCAGGGCATTTCACAATGATCCTCAGATGAGACTCGGTGGCGTCATGTCATGGACATGTCGCGTCGCAAGGGGTGGGAAATCATACCAAAGGTCTCCTCTCACACCCCATATCGTCTCCCCCCCCTTTTGCCGTCATTCTTGGTGAATGGAGCTCAGTGTAGAATACCTTGAGCACGATTCTTTGTTTTCGTATTGGAGCCAATAATGATATTACACGCCTTCGTGGGATGTTGGAGCTTGTCACGCTTTTGATAAGGTGTTCTTGCCTGCTCTTCCCACGTTTGGCGAAGACAACACAACTTCACTCTGGGAGGTGACTGAGGCTCCTGAGGCCCGGGGATCAAAAAGTGTAGTATTTGTTCTTTTCAGGTTGGCCGATGATGAGACAAACCTTGCGGGTTTCGAGGCTGTTTTGCATTCCGTTGGATTTCATGAGGTTGGATTTTCGTTTGCACATGTAGGGCAAACTGAGGGAAGGGACTGGAGTTGCGGAGTTGATATGACCTTTGAAGATTGATTGAAGTTCAAGTTCGGGAGAGTGACTTGCTCTTGGGGACGACAGAGCCCGACTTCTCACTGCAGTGAGCGGAATTCAGCAAACCTTGCGATTGTATCGGAAGCGCTCTCAATCTTGCCCCCTTCTTTCGTTCTCCGTACATACGTATTTTACAGTGCCAACCTTGGAAGAATGGTTGTATTGGATTAACCGGGCTGACGCAGTTGGCTGATAGCCTGCCAGGTGAGCCCTGAAGTTTGTGGGATATGTGATTCATGTGAGGTTGAAGGAGAGGAAGTGGGAAGCCTGAGTGTACTGGAATGGATGGAACGCGCGCAACGCGCGGACACCGAGAACCTGGAACCTAACAAACGGGACATGAACTTCACAAATGACAGCACATTGATCGATGATTGTCCTCGCTTGCCAAGTGCCCGAGGAGTTTAGGATTTTCTTGGCGCACTCGGTCAACTGCATTAGGAAATCTGCAACCTGATTAGACCGCGAGTATTACAAATCTATCCTCCGATCGAACGTTCTCAATGTTCAGACCAAAAACTACACAATTAGTAAGTTGATTTTATACTCATGGTGGCAGATATATAGACCATTGGACGAAGCGAAATCATGCCTGTGAATGTTCAAATCAAACCCCCCGAGGCTCAACTTCGACCGTCATCTTACCTGAATCTCCACTCCCCTTAGCGGCGCCCCCATCACGTCCACTGCCATGCCTCTGCAAATCGTCGTGGTGCCTGCTTCTACCAAAGCCGGCCGAGAAACAATCCGTCAGCTCCTCGAGTCTCAGAGAAAGCCCCTGGTCCGTGGCATCTACCGAGACCCATCGAAAGCTCCTGTGGAGTTCACCCAGCACCCTCGCTTCGAAGCGAAGGAGGGCAATGTCGCAACCGGCACGTCCCTCGATCTCAGCAGCGCGGATGCAGTCTTCTACATCCCGCCCCCGACGTACGACGGAACCGACCAGGGCGAATGGGCAACTCGTTGTGCAGGGCATGTAAAGGATGCCATCCGACAGGCTCCGAATGTCAGGAGACTTGTTCTCCTGTCGGCGTTGGGCTCGCACCATGACCATGGCATCGTATGTGTACCATGTTAGAGGGAGGGTTGCAACAACGTGGGACTAACTAAGCGGGATACACAACTTAGGGGGTTCTTCGCCTAAACCACGTTACAGACACGGTTCTCAAGGACGCGGTGCGGGAGGTGGTCATCGTCAGACCGGGCTTCTTCCAGGAGGAATTTGCTTCTGCGCTTGAGACAGCACAGGCCGATCCGCCTGTTGTCCACTCATGGATTACGCCCATTGACCACAAAATCCCCATGGTAAGTTACCCTTTACTGCTGCTACTCTCCATGTTCGAATTCAAGTATTAAGCATACCATGTCCGTGACCAGGTGAGCCTCAAAGACATTGCACGGACTGTTACCAACGCCCTCCTCGCCGAGTCAGCCAAGCCGAGCCCGCACGTTACTAAGATCCTTGGTCCACGACCCTACGGCGCTCTCGACCTCAAGCACGCGGTGGAGCAGGCCACCGGCAAGGCGGTGGACCTCAGGCTTGTAGAAAAGGAAGAGCTTGCTGCCTTCTTCGGCCAGCATGGTATCCCAGAGGCGCACGTGGGGGAGTTTGTGGAGTTTTCTGAAGCTTGTCTACCTGGCGGACTCATCGACGGTGCCACTGAGCCCGACGAAAACACAGTGATCGGGGAGACGGAGCTGACAGACACTTTCCGCGAGCTGTATGCGAAGGGAGCTGGCAGAGCCTAGGCATCTTGAAGGTAGCCAGATCTGGGTGTGATGGCAGCTGCTTCATCCTAGAGGTTGACCAGCTGGAGGAATTTGAGGTGGTTGCTGGATCCAATGTCTGCCTCTGTTCTGATTTGTGTATTGGAAAGAAATCTCCCACCCGCCGGAAAAGCTCGCTTAGACTATCCAAGTTAGTTATGTCAGCAAGGCTGACTTCTGTGTCCTGAACAACCACTCATCTTGATTCTTCAACTCAATCCTACGGACTGTGCGGACGTAGCTTCTGGTTGAAGGGACACGACGGAAGTGCTGTGAGCTTGTACAATCCAACCCTGGTTTGTTTGCTAGGTAGTGTTGAGTATGGAAGCGCTGGTGGGAAATGTGAGAAACATGATATAAGGAAGAAATCAAAGAAAAAGTGAGAAAAGAAAAAGGTGGTGGGGGGGGGGGGGAACCCGGGAAGAGGTAGGCAAATTAAATGAGAAGAAAAAGAGGAAAGTGCCGAAAGAGGAGATAGAGAAATATGAAGATACATTCAAAAGGAAGAATAAAAGGCCAAATGTCCACCTCAAATATCCACACTGACATGCGGATTACTGTGTACAAATCAAGGCCGGACTGTACTTGTACAATACAATACAATACAATTTATTGACGCCCGGCGGATAACCCGAAAGGGCAACTATTACAATCTGACTATACATTTCCCAGGATATGTCCTGATCTCGTCGAAGCCCATGCAAAGCTCATTCTAGTTCATGTCCCCTCTTATACGATTCCTCTGCGGATTCTCGTGGGTTAGTAGGGTTGTTAGTAGGCTGGCTTGAAGGCGATTCTCCAAGTGTTCAACGTCCTATCTTCGGCGGCTGAAGCGGTGCCTGCTGTCCGTGGCACGAGGTGGGGGTTTTGGTTTGGTTTTTTTGTGGTGGGTTGGGTGGTTTAGTCGGCTTGTGGTTGGTTCGTGTCAAGGCGCCCTGTGGCCATTGCGAACCGTATGGTTGCCCGAACGGCTGCCATGTTGGGAGTCCAGTCTTTCTTATCCGATGGCGATTTCCCTCCTAGGTAGAACGAAATGTCGCTTCTGTGGGTGTCTGTGCATTCGAGCATCTCTGTTCGGTATGCCGTCCATTTTCTGCATCGGAAGAGGAAGTGGTCTACTGTCTCTGTTGCTTGCCCGCATGCGCACTGATCTGCCGGTACTGCTCCAATCCGATGGAGGTAACGTTTGAGTCTTGCCATGCCTGTTCTGAGCTGAGCGAGCACGCCAGCCTCCTTTCGTGACAGGTGGTCGTACAGCAGTCGGGTGTGTTTGCCTGGTAGTGCTGCGTCGACTCGCTTGGAATGAGCTCCGACTTTGTCTGGCAGGTGGTTGGTGGTGCTTCTCTTGGACCATGCTACGTTGAGCGTTGTTGCGCGTGTCCTGGGCGTTTGCGTCTGGGGGTTGGCCCCTTTTTTGTTGGCTTTTTTGGCTTTTTTTTTGGGGTTTTCCCAAGGTTTTTCTTTTTGGCCGGCGGGGGGCCCCGTTTTTTTTCTTTTTTTCCGTTTCTGCGTAGTGCTCTGATTGACTCGTAGATGTGGCAAATGTGGTGTTGCCCAGACTGCTGTCTAGGCTGCCGGAGCGTGAGAACGGCCGCTTTATTGCGTGTTGAGATCTCGATACGGCTAGACGTAAGCGTTGGCAGGGTGCCTAACGCTCGTTCCATACGTCCGGTGCAAGGTGGGTCAGTTAACACAGCGAAATGAATACAGCAACGATACACGGGATGCTGTCAAGCGCTACTTGTCTGCCAACGCATACGGTACCTTCCTCTGGGTGACCTTGGTCTGCCAAGAGCTCGCCAACACCTCGGAATGGAAGCTGAGGAAATGTTAACAACATTTCCGCCTGGACTCGACGCGCTCTACAGACGGATGATGGGACAGATCTACAACTTGAGATGTGCTAAGCTTCTGCAAAGAATACTGGCAGTCATCTCGGTCGTGTACCGACCTATCACATTGGACGAACTGCCGGCCCTCGTGGATACGCCCGGTCGCGCCTCTGACAATGAAAAAGCTCTCGTAGAAATCGTAGGGCTTTGCGGCTCGTTCCTGACACTGCGTGAACGCATGATATCTTTCATCCATCAGTCCGCCAAGGACTTTGTGCTCAAACAGGCGCGTGATGAGATCTTCCCTTCTGGAATAGAAGACATACACCATACCATCTTCTCGCGCTCGCTTCGATTTATGCGGGGAAAATTGCGACGCGATATTTACAACCGCGGCGCTCCTGGATTTCCCATCGACAAAGTCAGAATACCTGATCCAGACCCGCTAGCCGCAGTACGGTACTCGTGCGTATACTGGATTGACCATCTACGTGATTCAGATCCCAATAAGCACGCGAAGAAGGACCTCCAGGATGGTGGACCGATCGATACCTTTCTGCGCGAGAAGTATCTCCACTGGCTCGACGCTCTTAGCCTTCAAAGGAGCATATCAGAAGGAGTAACGGCAATGCTGAGCCTTGAGAGTTTGCTTGAGGTTGGCTTTCGGTGGTGCGATTTAGGAGCCACGTGCTAACGTTTTATTAGGCAAGGAAAGAGACGTCGCTTCTCATCGATCGAGTCCGAGATGTATGTCGGTTTATCCTTTACCACAGATGGGCAGTTGAGAACAGCCCTCTTCAGGTGTACGCTTCCGCACTTGTGTTCAGCCCAGCCAGTGATATAACGAGGAATCAGTTCAAAAATGAGGAGCCTAAATGGATCATCCGAAAACCGACCATGGCGGACAATGGGAGCGCATGCCTACAAACGCTCGAGGGCTATAGTTACGCTGTCTACTCCGTGGCCTGGTCGCACGATGCGACCCGGTTGGCGTCGGCGTCATACGACGCTACAGTCAAAATCTGGGATCCGGCGACCGGCGAGTGCGTGTCGACGCTTGAGGGCCATGTCGACGATCTCCAATTTCATAAATCTAACTCGAATCTTCTACATACCAATCTAGGCACATTTTGACTTGAAAACGGCCGCAACCACTACAGTCTTCGGCCCTGCTCCTAGTGGTCGTTCATCACTAATTGCTGTTAGATACGGCCTGAGCAGCAACCGTGCCTGGATTACGTATCAAGGAGAAAACCTATTGTGGCTACCACCCGAATTTCGGCCCTTTTCTTCAGCCATATCTGGGACTGTTGTATCACTTGGCAGTTCTTCGGGCCGCGTTATGATCTTCACGTTTCAAACAGCAATCCTATTTCGCAGCAGGTATCATGATTCTTTTTTTTTTTTTGCCCTCTGAATCCTCCCACTTTCTCTATTATTTTTCCTTTCGTAAGCGTGCTACAAGAAGGGTGTGGGAGGACTCATGGATTTGTAGCTTCCTTAGCTAAGTTTCAGCACTCTCGAGACGTTTCTTCAACTCAAGGAGTCTGGTGGCTTGTGCTCCCCGAGAGCCGGCTAAAAGTCACATAGGGCCAATGCCAAGCTTAATCCGTTCCAGGCACTGCTATGTAAAATGGATGCATCCGATAACCCAGTACAATGAATTAGGGTATGATGTGATCCATATGCGATGGAGCTTGTAGACATCTACAGCGCAATGCCAATAGTGATATAGTATCATTTTCGGGGCTCTTGCATTTGTTTTCTTTTTGACGTAGCATGACGGACACTTGGGACTAGCTAACATGAACTGCAAACGGATAGCGCCGGCGGTCGTTCCACGCCCCCCACTTGCGGTCCACATCCCGCCTCACTCAGCCTCGGAGGTGTGAAACTCGCCAATAACGCAGCACTCCGTACCTGAGCAGGGCTGCATGACGCCCAGGCCCACAGCCGAGCCGCAGCAGGGATTCTTTCTGTCAAGCTGTCCTCAAGACTCATTGGTGATGCGTGGCGCTGATGGTTTGGTGGGATTCTTGCGAGTCAATACCAACTTACCACAGTCCAAATCAATTCCTGGAGCGCCTGCTGTGCGCGACTGACACTGGAGCCATGCGCAATTAACTTTGGCACATATTCACCCTCTTTTTACCGAAGGAAAGAGACACGATCCCGCCTTTCCTGTCCCGGCGAGGGCACTCGGCCCGGATCTGTTACAGCCGGCCAGAACACTTCGCAACGACGACGTTCTCACCGAGCAAGTGACGACGAGGTCACACTTCCGCCGCCACGATGAACGGCTACGACGAGAAGCGCCACCTCGACGAGGACCCCTTTGCCGCAAAAGGCAACATCGTCAGCGCCTTTGACGCATTCCGTATGCACCCTCTTCTCGGGATACCCTGCCTCCCCCTCCATCCACAGCCTGCCAACCCGAACTAACCCCCTCCTCCTCGGCAGCAAAATCCAAACCGCAATACGTTACGCACACCTCCTCGGGTGGCAAATGGACCGTCGCCATGGTGCTCATCTCCCTCGTCCTCGTCTGTACCGAGCTATCCCGCTGGTGGCGCGGCGAGGAGCAGCACACCTTTGCCGTCGAGAAGGGCGTCTCGCACATCCTGCCCATCAACCTCGACGTCGTGATTCGCATGCGCTGCGCCGACCTGCACGTCAACGTGCAGGACGCCGCGGGCGACCGGATCCTGGCCGCCGAGAAGCTGTCGCGCGACCCGACCGCGTGGGCGCACTGGGTCGACGGCAAGGGCATGCACCGCCTGGGCCGGGACGCGCAGGGCCGCGTGGTGACGGGGGAGGGGTACGCGGCGAGCGTGGGGCACGACGAAGGGTTCGGCGAGGAGCATGTGCACGACATCGTCGCGCTCGGCAGGAGGAGGGCCAAGTGGAGCCGCACGCCGAGGCTGTGGGGGGCCGAGGCCGACAGTTGTCGCGTGTATGGCAGTCTGGAGTTGAACAAGGTGCAGGGCGACTTCCACATCACGGCGCGGGGACACGGGTACATGGAGTTTGGGGAGCACCTGGATCACAAGGGTATGTACAAGTACATCCTCCCACCCTTTTCCCCCCCTTCCCCCCTTTTTTCCACAACCACCCGTAACAATCAACTCACCACCAACAAACCCAGCCTTCAACTTCTCACACATAATCTCCGAACTCTCCTTCGGCCCCTTCCTCCCGTCGCTCGTCAACCCACTGGACCGGACCGTCAACACGGCGCCGTCCCACTTCCACAAGTTCCAGTACTTCCTGTCGGTCGTGCCGACGACCTACAGCGTGGGCCGCCCGGGCGAGCTGGGGTCGGCGTCCATCTTCACCAACCAGTACGCCGTCACGGAGCAGAGCCAGTCCGTGCCCGAGAACACGATCCCGGGCATCTTCGTCAAGTACGACATTGAGCCGATCCTGCTCAACATCGTCGAGACGCGCGACAGCTTCCTCGTGTTTCTGATCAAGGTTATCAACGTCGTGAGCGGCGTGCTGGTGACGGGCCACTGGGGGTATCGGCTGAGCGATTGGTTGGGCGAGGTTCTAGGGCGGAGGAGGAGGGGGCATAGCGAGGGGATGTTGGGCGTAAAAGGGCATTTTGATGAGTAGGTTTGGCTAAAACGTGATGTTATAGAAATGTGTATATTTGGGCTACTCTTTTGGTGTTCTCAATATGGTTCATACTGTTCATTGCATTGCTAGTATCGGCGCAATCTCAAATCATTTTCGCGAGCCAACCGTCATGATATCCCCCACAAAACATCTCCCACCAGCCCCTTAAAATGAGTCCACCTCACGCAAACATATCAATACCGCTCCATCAACCACTGCCTCCGTTCCTCATCCCCCATCTCCCCTAAAAACTTCATCTCAAACTCCTTCAACGCCACATACCTCTCCACCAACTCCAACCCCATCATCTCACTCAACTCCCTATCCTCCCTCAGCGCCTCCAGCCCCTCCTCTACACTGCCTGGCAGCATCTGCGTGACATTCAACTCCTTCCGATCATTCGCCGTCAGCTTGGCCGGATCAATCTCGCAGTCCCCCCAGACAAGCGCCTCCCGATCGACATAGCCCCTCACCCCGGCAAACAGCACCGCCGCGACGCCAAGGTACGGATTCGCCAGCCCGTCCATGACCTTCACCTCCCAGTGCGACCCCTCCACCTTCCTCAACGCCGCCTCGCGGTTCTGCGTGCCCCAGGCGACCCACCGCCCGCCGGACCACGTGCCGTCCCTCGAGCGCTCGTAGCTGGCCGGGTTGGGGTAGGTGAAACCCAAAATGGCGCGGAGGTGTTTGAGAATGCCCGCGTAGAAGGGGTGGTATACCTCGGGTTTGTCGCCATTAACTGAAGGAGAGGAGGACGACGAGAGCGATATGTGCATGTGCGAGGCGGTGCCGCACGCGGTGGCGAAGGGTTTGGGGTGGAGGGTGAGCTTGAACCCGGCCGCGGTCGCGAGGGCCGACATGACGTCGCGCGCGTGGAGGAGCGTGTCAGCTGCCTCGACGGGCGGGTAAGGCGGCAGGACGAGCTCGAACTGGCCTGTCGCGCTTTCGGCGTGGAGCTGTTCGACGTAGATGCCCATTTCTTCGAGGGCGGCGACCATGTCGCGGAGGAGGGTCGAGATCCTGGGAATGGCAAAGTACCGGCTGACGGACCAGGCGTGGCCGTCGGTGGTGAGGGTTGAGTAGCGGGTCGTTGGGTTGTTGTCTGGCTTGCTGTCGACGCGCTCGACGAGGAGAAATTCGATTTCAAAGCCGATCAGGAAGGAGAGCTTGTTCTCGGCGCCGTACTCGACGGCTCGTTGGAGGACGGAGCGCGGGCAGAAGGGTACCTTGGCGCCGGACTGCTCGCGGAATTCGCCGTTCATGCTGATATGCCCTTCGATAGGGCCTTTCTTGAGCGAGGAGAAATCCGGGTATAGGCGGTATTCGCCTGTCGGGGACACATTCGGCAGCAGCCAGTCGTTTTGGATCAGGGCAAACGCGGCGGTGGTGATGCCAATGTCTGTTGGCTTGCCCTCGTTGACGAGGGACGCGAACTTTCTGAAGGGTATCATGCGCATCCGCTGGGATGCGGTGAAGTCGTTCCAACAGATCCTGACAAAGTCAGGGGCCGGTTGGTTCTTCAAAAATCCTCGAAGGAGTTCGGCGTCGCTGAGGTAGATGCCATGTGCCAGGCCTGTCTCTTCCTCCAACTCGGAGAACTCAAGTTCCAGATGATACAGCTTATTGGCGTTCTTGAAGAGCACATCTCGAACCAGGTCGACGGCGGCCCGCCAGCCGATGTGCCCTTTGCGGACATAGTCGCAGAGAACCTACAGCGGTCAGTCGCATCTCTGGGACACGCGATGCTGAAACCTACCGTCTCCAACACCTCCCGCATTTGATTGATGGCCAGGAGATACGTTTCACTAAACCAATGGCCATCCGTCGACCACAGAATCTTGGACCAAGGGCACAGCTCCAGCACCTCTCGCAGAATCCGCTCCTGGCCGTCCTGGCTCACACAGGGAAAGACCTCACCGATGTCTGCGTACACATTCTCGTAGACCGACGCCAGGTAGCCTGTCTCGCGGGTGAAGGGATAGCCGGCATGGAGAAGCACAATCGGGACTGTCGGGTACTTCCTGATGAACTCCTGCAGATGGGATGGCGACGACTTCGCCATGGAAAGATCGTTGTCTCCCAGGCCGGTATGGAACTGGATCGGTTTCTTATTTCTGAAACGGTTGTCCCTGATCAGTTGAGCGGTTCGATGCACCAGAAAGTCGTTCATGCTCTTAGTCTTGAGCTTCTCGAACCCCTGAGGCCCATACTCGGCCATGACAGCCTTGAAATCCTGCAGGGCCAGGGCCTCCTGGGCGTCACCGGACTCATTGGTAATGTCGAGACCGGTCCGGTAGCAGACGACCGACTTGAAGCCAACCACATCGGGGTCATCGAGCGCCGTGACAATGTACTCGCCGAATTCCTTGACCCAATGATTGAAGGCATGGTCATGCACATCGCCGCCTTTCTTGTCAGACTCTTCCAGTTTGCCCGGTGCTGTAACCCGGCGGATGATGTCTTCAGCGACCTTTTCGATGCGCACAATGCGCTTGCACCGGCTGCGCGTGTAATCATCGTGCCACGGGTAAGCATTGGCGTCGTCCTCGTCGTCCAGTCCATCGTCGAGGAGAATGGTCTCAATGCCAGACAGGCACTCGGCCGTCCAGTCCTCGAGGCAGCCGAGGCGCTTCTCCTCGATTCTGGCCACGACGCTCTCCCAGGTCAGGCCGCAGCCCAGGACAGAAGCCAGCTGGCGCACGGCGCGGAGATGGGGCAGTGACGTGGTGGCCGAGTCGATGGCGTCGCCGTTCGCCTCGGTGGTGATGGCCAGGAGCGGATGCTTGCTCAGAGCCTCCGGCTTGAGGAGCGGGTGGGCATGGTGGTCGATAATGGGCGTGGTGCGGATGGCGCGCGCGACGGCGTCGATTTGGGACGGCGTTGCCGTTGCCCGCATGCCAACCCATGACGACATGCTTCTGGAGGTCGGAGAGAGATGGCTTGCCCTGGTGATCGGTACTGGACTCGCAGTACTGTACTTGGAGGAAATAGGAGTTGTTCACCAATCAATCAACGAATGGGTGGGAGTTGTCCCGTCAAGACGCAATGATGACAACATCAGCGGGAGCTTCCGTACTTGTACCTGCCTGGACATTATCGTCACTGCTACATGTTACACGAGAAGGGGATCAGCAGATGGGCGCTGCAAACTCGGGACATGTCCCTTGTTCCATATTCTGCAAATAGCAAAAACAATCCGGCCACAAGCGCAGCCCATGCGATGCTATCGCCGGTGCTCTGCTGCAGGAATCTCGACGACGTTGTTGTTCTCAACTTATTGAACTCCATTTGTTTCCACATCTCAGTGGGTCAGTCCTCGGTCAGTCAGAGCGGGGCTAGTAGGGCCTGCTCAGTGCTAGCAGTGGATGAACCAAATAACGAGATCCAGCCAAACCGTTTTGCTTGTTAATATGTATAACGCGGACCTTAGGTAATGTTACAGTCCAGCCCCGGTTTGTTCGTTGACATGGCACATGTTGAAAAGAGAAGGTAAAGACAATAAGAAGAGCAAGAGGAAAGAAAGAATGAAAAATAAATGAAGTTCAGAGTCAGCACATGACTGTAGGTAATACCCAAGTCCGCGCTAACAAATAAACTAGGATTGAATAACTAGTAACTACCTAGTTATACTTCTTTTACCTTGGCCTTCAAGTTCCTGGATTCTTTCTTGCTCAGTCTGGCAACCAATGATCAGTCCCATGGACCCGAAAGCTCAAGCATCAGCGCGAGCGCGTTGCGCAGGAACAAGCCAACGTGGCTCGGGTCATCAAGCGAGTAGGGACCCTAGCAGTGCATGACAAGTGCCGTCTTCGTCGAGGTCCTCGTCGGTCGCGTCCCTGCGCTGTGCTGCCGCATCCTTTCCCGTCTGCTGCGCGCGCGCCGGCGATTGGGCCTTGGTTCGCGACGCCGGGTTGGCCCTGGTGGTGTCACTTGGCGACTGGCCTCCAGGCTTTTGGGGCGAAGCCGCCCGGGCGGGGCTGGTGGTGGTCTTCGCCTGGGCCTGCTGCGCGCGGTTAGGGGTCCGAGGCCTTGGGGGAGAGGCACCTCCTGCTGCTGCCGCCGCGGGTTTGGCATCCGTCCGGCCCCAGCTAAGGTTCCGACTCGGGGAGTTGGTCTTGGACGGCGGTGTCAGCGGACGGTGTTCTCCGTGGAGGTACCTTTCGTAGCCTTTTCCCCATTGCCCGACCGTGAGGTACAAAGCACGGTAGTCCTGGGAGATGAGAATTCGGCTGTGGTGACAGGAGTGTCAGGTCAGCATCCGCTAGCTCCATGTCAAATTGACTTGATTTTCAGGGTGCTGCGAGGCTGGAACTGAGACATACCGGTTCTTGCCGTTGTAGCTCGTGCGCAATATCCCTTCCGTCCGCTTTTCCTTGCTCTTCTCTCGAAGACTGGTCGAAATCCATGCAGCCATCTGACAAGCCTCCTGCCACTCGATCTTTTGCCGGCTCGACCCGCGCTTGTACTGCTTGACTTCCAATATGGCAAGAGTAGGCTTTGTTGATGTCTCCAGTCTCTCAAGATACCATCGGTTCGAGCTTCACACACCGGGTCATTAGCCGGCCCAAGGCGGAAAGACTCCCGCTTTGGCAGCCACTTCAACCCACCCCCGGCCCTTCATGGTCCCAATCCCGGAGCACAGGGTCGTGCAGACGAGAAGCTGCACCGGTGCGGTGTTAACGATCTCCTCGTCTTCGGACCTGTCTTTTTCAAGTTCACTGCTTTCTGGGCTGACAACATCCAACTCGTGGCAACCAACTTCGGAACCGAATCAGCCATCACTTGCGCGGATGGAATTTGAGGTGCTTTTGGAGGCGTCGGTGGGCGCCGTGGAGCCTGGGGCTGGATGGCCAGGGCGTTGGCCGGGTCAATGAGCCGAACGGAGTGTTGACAGTCTTGAGGAAGTTTGCCAGGTTCAGCCGGATCGAAAGGAGACGTTCCACTGCCTCCAATGGAGGGCTGGGCTTCAGTCCCATGAGCTCCTGGGCCCTGGCGACATATTCCTCCCGCTCGTATTCGGCGATGTGGAAATCAATTACCGGCCGGCTCTGCCAAACTGCCTTGAGGTAAATAGAGTCTGTTTCGCTAAACTTGGATGCTGAACGGGCCTCGTATGTCGTGATGTCCAGGAGGGAGGGGTCAGGGTACCCAAGATATTGAGCTCTCTTCCACCATTCCTTCGCCGAGTTTGGATTTGAGTCAGTGGGTGCAGCTGGGGGCATATTCACAGAAAACCGTGACCTGACAGGATTGCGAGCAGGATACACTCTAAAACTGGTTCGTTTGTTAGCCCGGCATATAACTAAAGGTCAAAAAAAGTCTGAAATCCTTACCTATATTATTGTGTCTGAGCTACTCCGTACCTGGGTAGCAAACAAACCAGGATAAAATTGGAACTGGTCACAAAGTTTCGAAGAAGCTCTATCAGGGGACTGGGCCCATGTAAGCTCAAACAACAAAGCAAGACAATATCCAAGCAATAAGTAGAACGTTCCGGACTGCTTTACGAGAAACCAAAGGTGCATTTATTCCCGAACTGACGCCGGTTCTGTGTGTGTTGTCGGTCACTCGCTGGGCCAGGGTGTCTCGCTGCCGGGCTGCCCAACGGGTCGGTTCAGGCCACTGCCCGGCTCGGCGAACCCCTGCTGCCACATATGGTGGATGGCGGCGATGAAAATGACACTCACCATTGCAATGTGACACCAAAGTTTTCAAGCTGAGTTGTAGACGTTGAACCTGCAGCTCCGCATCAGGGCTTGCGGCGAGGGACCGATAGATATGGCGTTGCTTGAGCAGTTGTAACCGCAGTTGAGACGAACGTTGAGATGGCATGGCCGTTTTACCCTCCCACCGACTGACGGCGACCACGCCCTTGTGCCGGTGAAACCGCGCTCAGTGGGCGGCAGCGGTGGCCTCGCTCCCACCGAGAGTGTGGAGTTCATAACTGAGTGCGCCGGGTCAGTTGGCTGCTGTCAGGAAACATAAAAAGCATTTGGCATTATAGCCTGCCGACAAGGCTGTTCCGTTCGTTGTGCCGCCATCTGGTGACCTCTCAAAACTGATTCAATGGACAAAGTTTCGTCCTGTGTGTTTGCATGTCAAACCGTATCGAATCAACACACACATGTTATAAATTGTGCACAAGCATTCCGCTTTATGCCCCTCTCATGTCAACGGGCAAGTTGCCGTTACTCTTGTCGACATCTGGAACACTAGTCTGCTCCGGCTCTTGATCCGCGACTTTGCGGAACCTAATTTCGCCCATCGGGTGGTTGGTCATCCAACGAATCATGTGATATGCATCGGCCGTGGGTTCGTTACCTCGAAAGTTCAGAAGGCGGGACTGTCGCAGCACGAGGGACCGGCCATCGAAGTGGATCTGCGTGATTACCGGATCTGTTATGGTTGAAGGAGAAGACGATAGCCTATGTTATCGTCATCAATTCGTATCAGTTTAACTCGCCCAGATTTAGAACTGCTCGGAGAATTCGGAAGTATTATACAAGGTAGGTAAGGCCGTAGCGAAGGGATAGGTCACAGGCAAAGTGTGGTGTTGGTAGATGTCGCCTCGACAGAACTGGTGCTTGAGGAGTCCTAGAGCAGCGGCGACCTCACTGCGCAGAACGTCTTCTTCATTGGGCTCTGTCGAATCCACTACGGCGCGTCCAATATGCGGTTTGTCCACGGCTAGGTCTTGGATCAGGAATGCTTTGCTCACGTGAAACCAGTAGAGACGCGGCGGGGTGCCAACCCATAGGCCGGGCTCGTGATGCTGGAGATTTCCCATATACTCTGGGACAAGATTAACCTCGCTGGAACCTGGTTAGCAAGGTACGGGCGTGGCGCTTGGCTGACGACGGCCAATATGGCAACTCACTCAGTGTGGCACCACTCTGAGCCCTCCCAAACGCCGAGATTTGGCGACCTGTGTAGGAATTGCGGTACTCGGAGCCTGTAGCGGCTAAAAACCAAGCCAGCTTGATCTCTGCCCACGTCTGTGGGTAACAGAGTGGATGTCATTCTTCGGGTTCATGAGGTGGTGATACCTCAAAGCACCCAACGTACGAGCCGCGCCTGCATCTCTTTGGCCAAACATACCGGGTACCGGGTTCTCCGTGCTCGACGAGGAAGTTTGTTGGTTTTTGACGCGCCTGGTCAACCGTGAAACCGGGATCGAAGAAGCGCCGTCCAAAGTCGATGCTTTGTTCTTCAGTATCGAGAGGCTCTGCCTTTCGTACGTTCAGCGTTGCGAGGTGGTCGTCGTCATGGACGCATACATCGTCACCAAAGGCGCAGATCACGTCGAGTACGCCATCGAGATACTCGAAGCACTGGAGCTTGAATTGCGTCGTTCTCTTTCGCCATCCATGGCAACACCTTGCTGTCGTTTCGGGATCAAAATAGCGGATACAAAGGAAACAGGGTGGGAGGACAAATAGGACAAAAGAAGAGACCTCGGGATTGATTGCGTGACACAAAGGCGAAGAAATGCTGCCGGTTTGTGATGACAAGAGTTGAGCATTTGCTTTGTGGACGCGGCTCGGTTTGTGCTGGGACAGTGGCCAAGCCATAACACGTCGCCCCGGCAACCGAATCTGCCGGAATCAGAGATAAATTTCCTTCCTTGAAGCTGTCGCCTTCTTACAGAACATGGCATTTTCGGTTTACACTTCAACTACGGTGTGTACTCCATACAGTCAAGTGTAAGGTAAGTGGCAAACCGAGGAACTCCAGGCCACATGCAGGCGTCTTTAGTGACCCATAGTCCCACCCTGGTAACGGCCCAGCGCCGAGCATTCAATCATGCTGATGGAAAACAAAACGCGAGGTGGCAGAGGACGAGGTTGGGCACCACATCTGCAGAGCGAGTGAGTATTTCATACATCGTCTTCCAAACGCCGTGATCGATCACCACCCCTTTTCCCTGCTCAACGTATCTCAATACAGGGTTATTGTAGGTTGCTCTATGCCGACACGTAGCGTTTTGTGCTCTCTACGGAGTACAGCAGCAGCCTGAATGGAAGATGAGGCGAGTTTTGGCTAATCGACCACCAATTCAATCAATTACAGCGGTGGTGAGTAAACTCGCAAACAGCGGGATTGAGAACTTTGTGGAAGCCAAGCTGTTTGGTCTGGTTATCATCATGCTTCCTTTTTCTGTGATTCCGAGTCTCGGGAGCCTGGCTGGCCTGGATTACTGTGTATCCGCTCTCGATCCGTTGGTCTGAATGGGGCAAAACGATCCCGGCAGGCCCACTAACGTTGAGCGATCTTGGTATCCTGGCTTGGCATTTTTGACTGGTCATCGCATTCGCGAGGGGCGAGAGGGCATGGAACCAACAATATCTTACGTACCAACAGTAGTAGCATTTATCAGGTCACTTGTAAGCCAAAAACACATCATTCTGCTTGGTCTCGCGGCGGGACGATATTCATGCATCAACACATGATCAACCTAAATAGTTCGGTGTGCCGAAGAGGTTGGAGCTGCCAGGCCACGCACATCCTGCGGATATCGGAGATACCACGTCCCTGGGATTGAATGCCATGCCTGACGCCTCAATGCCGTAACACTGCTATAGCGGTGACTGATCTGAGCCCTTATATCACAGTGAGCGGGCCGTACATGAGCGCCGCTCGTTCTGAAAACGGACCGACATGGATGCCTATCGTTTCCTTTCAAAAGTTAGGAAAGTTTCGCATCGGTTTTTTCGGAGAGTTAAGGTACCATGAACAGCTCGCTGCGCCACTGCCACATGGCTGCTCGCTTGGCAAGGCTTGTTTACCCGCCAAGAGGTGAGATCCGCCCTGGATCGAAGACAAGCTCAAATGCCCAGGAGGGCCAAGAACATCATCTTGGCGAGGAATTCTTGATCCATACATTGGTAACACCATTTGCGTGCACCGATGGTTACAGCCATGTGGTTACAGGAAACTGCAACTTATCGTGTCCATTTCTACTTTGGACAAGATATGCCGAACTGTGCGCCCAAGTGGCAGATTGGACGGACTCACCGTCCATGCGGTCCCCACTGATCAACTGGAGTGTGTTTCGCCAGCGAGATATCGGCTGGCACACGTAACCGGCGGGACGACCCACTGGATGACACTACCCTGTTAGGCGCATTCTGTGAGGGTTACGCAATTCGAGGACACCTACAGAGCACGCTTTCCGCGCCCTGGCACAGGAGGTCATGCCCGGTTTCCAATCTTTCCCGTTTCTGTCATTCTACCATTTCCATATCCTTCACAAAACACCAACCCCTCTGGTTACTACTCGGCCGCCATCTACCGGAGAGGATACACGAGGGATCTTCTCCGTTTTCCGCTCTGCCCTTCCCACCTTAGTCGCTCGCTTCACACTTTACCAACTATGGCTTCGACATGGTTCGCGCTAGCCGCCCTCACTGCGGCTGGCATCACAAATGCAGCATACAGCATCGCTACAACATGTGCGTTCACCATATTTCGTGGCGATAGCGCCAGCGTAGACTAACCGCCTTGATAGCCGATATAAAACAAACTGCTGCAAACGTCGCCTGGGATCTATTGCAATACTACAACGGCAACGAGACGGGACAGACGCCAGGCATTCTTCCGGGCCCTCCCCCAGCAGGCGATTACTACTGGTGGGAGAGCGGCGCCATGTGGGGGACCTTGATCGACTACTGGAAGTACACCGGCGACAGCTCGTACAACGATATCATCACACAGGCAATGCTCTGGCAAGTCGGCCCAGATGAAGACTACATGCCTCCAAACTACACAGCGTCGCTCGGCAATGACGACCAGGGCTTCTGGGGGATGAGTGCCATGCTAGCGGCCGAGAATGGATTTCCCGACCCGCCCGAGAAGGAGCCGCAGTGGCTTGCCCTCGCCCAGGCCGTCTTCAACACCCAGGCGGACCCCCAGCGGCACGACAGTACGTGCGGTGGCGGCCTGAGGTGGCAGATCTATCTGTCAAACAACGGATACGATTACAAGAATAGTGAGATACCCCCAACATCAGGATTGCTGAGTCCGGTTCTAACGACAGTAGGCATCGCGAACGGTTGCTTCTTCAACCTTGGCGCGAGGCTCGCTCGCTATACGGGCAACCAGACATACGCCGATTGGGCGGAAACGACGTGGAATTGGATGAGGAGCGTCGGTTTCATGGATGACGATTACAACATTTACGACGGCGGCCACGTCCAGAACAACTGCACCGACATCAACAGGGCACAATTCTCCTACAACAACGCCGTCTTTCTCCTGGGCGCGGCGTACATGTACAACTACGTAAGTCACACCTGGCGGCGCAATGCTGGACCACGCAGCTAACACGGTCCCACAGACCAACGGAAGCGACACATGGAAGCAACGCACCACCGCCCTGGTCGATGCGACGCTCAAGACCTTCTTCCCGGACAACATCGCCTACGAGATTGCCTGCGAGGAGCACATGTCGTGCACGACTGACATGCTCAGCTTCAAGGGCTACCTGCACCGGTGGCTGGCGACGGCCACGCAGGTGGCGCCCTTTCTCGCCGACACGGTGCTCCCCGTCCTCCAGACCTCGGCCGAAGCCGCCGTCGCTACATGCACGGGCGGGTCGAACGGCCGGACGTGCGGCTTCAAGTGGAGCACCAAGGCGTACGACGGGACCTACGGGGCGGGCCAGCAGATGAATGTGCTGGGCGCCGTCTCGTCGCTGTTGGTTCAAGAAGCCAAGCCGCCCTTGACGAACTCGACGGGCGGGACCAGCAAGGGCGATGTCAACGCGGGCTCGCACTCGGATAGCTCCAGGGGCGAGCTGAGGGAGCTAACGGCGGGGGATAAGGCGGGCGCGAGTATCCTGACTATTGTGATACTGGTCTCGGCCGTGGGCACGTTTGGGTGGATGAGTACCGGGGTGTGATCAACAACGGTCTTGAAGACGGAGAGTCGACCTTGTTTTTTCCTTTGTTTGGGAGTGGCGTTTTGTGTGTCGCCAATGTGCGGATTCCGCTCAGTTCGCGCCTGGCGTTGATGGGTCTGGATATCCCTTTGCTTTAGCTTTCGCAGCTAATAGATGTCGCTTGCTTGCTCACCTAACGGTTCATTCCAAATTGGTTGATGGATAGATACGGCATATCGGTCACCGTCCTGTAGGCAGTTACCTCTCATGGCCAGATGACCCGAATAGCCTTGATGACCTTGCAATCCTCCTTGTGCCCACCCTCGTTCCACCCCTGGACCTGACACTCCTAACCTCATCAACAAACAACATCAGCTTCAGCCACCGTTCGCTGTCGCTAGACACACCCGGCGCAGCCCAGGATGTAAAGGAGAGAGAACTCACCTTAGAACAATACTCTACCTCACTGCAACCAGTGCACTTCATCAACCCTCCTCCTTTTCCTCGTCCATCCTTCTTCGTTCCCGCCCCGCAAGTCTCACACCATCTTTCGCCCTCCCCGCTTTGCAGATTCTCATCCCTCCCCCGCAACCACCAGCCCACCTCCATAGCCTTCTTTAGAGTCCCTGGAATAACCCGCACATCCCCTTCCATCTGCCGATCGATAGCAATGAATCCCTGCCTTTCTCTTAGTCTCCCTTCTCCTCCCTCTCCTCCTCCTACACTTTCGATACCACTACCGCCACTGCGACCCTGCCCCGCTTCACCTTCTTCTTCTTCATCCGAGACATGTGTGTTGCCTGTGTTTTGTTCAGGCTTAGGCTTAGAATTGGCTGGTAGTGTGCGCGTCGCGCGGGGAATGACGAGCGTAGCGCCCCGTTTGTAGCCCAGCTTGGCCAGGTCGAGGGTCTCGGGCCCCCCCGTGGCGGGGCGGGAGGAGAAGACGAGGGCGAATCGAGTTGAAGTGGTGTCGGTGAGGATTAGGGTTGGTTTGATAAGGGTCATGTTTTGGGTTATCTGCCATAGGAGGTAGTATTCTGCTGGTTTTGGTTTGTTCGGGTGGCGTCCTGGAGGCTTGGGGGATGATGATGGGGTTGTTGAGACGGGTGGGGTGGTGGTGGTGGTGATCAGGGGAAGGGAGGGGAAAGGGGGGAAGGTGAGTGGGGAGGTGAAGTCTGGGAGGGGCATTGGTTTTCTTTCTTCTTGTTTAGGTTGCTTCTGGGTGAGAGTGAGCGAGAGAATTCACGTGTCTATAGCTTCGGTGACGGACGGTCAGATGGGAACTGGACTGGATGGGAGAGGATGTGGTGTTGAGTAATGGATGAAATGGAGGAAACGCGTGGTCCAGGTCGTGAACGCGGTCTGGGGTAGGTCCACTTGAGCTTGGCGCTGACGGTTCCGGGGCACCGTACCGCTTATACCAAAATAGAATGTCTGAAATGGGTTGCTGTACAAAGTAGGAGGTTTTGGGCTTGAGGTGCCTAGGCAGCCTTCAAGATAAATAGGGACGACTGTAACCTGCTGTGAAGTCATGTCAAAGTCCGGCTCTTCTCCTTTCTGACACAGTACTCCTTTCTACACCTCTTCCTCAACCTCAACCTTCGTCTCGTCCTCCCCCTCCCCCTCCCCCTCCTCCTCCCCTTTCCTCTCCTCCTTCTCCACCTTCTTATACTCGTACATAATGTCGGTCCGCATAGTAAACTTGGTGCCGGCCAGCACATCGTCCCCGGAGTGCAGCAGCCGCCGGTGCTGAAAGATGAGCACTCTTCCAGCCTTGGGGTTGATGTCGATCCGCCGCTTCTCATCTGACGAGAAGAAGGTCGTGGCGCCGCCGACCAGCTCTGCGTCGGGCACCTCCGCCTTGGAATCGTTCAGGTACAGGTGGATTGTGAACATAGTCCGGATGATCCTCTGGGGGTCCCTCGTGTCGGCATACGGCGCGTCGCAGTGTGCTGTCTCAGTCAGCGATCCTCCTCCCCAATAGCAAAACCCTTCAACACAAAACTGGGAAACAACCACAAAAATGAACTCACGCTTAAAAAACCCCCCCTTCCCATACCTCAAGAACCTCATCCGTTCATTCACCCTCAGAAACTCCCACCTCCCCTCCACCGGGCCCCGTCCAACAATATCCCTCTCGCCAGCCCCAATCACCCCAAACCTCCTCCTCATCTCCTCACCCATCCCAGCAAGACACCTCTCCCAGAGCCGATCCACCACCGTATGACAATCCCACACGATCCTCTCCCCGTTCCGGTACTCCTTCTCCAACACCTCATACCCGCCGCCCACATTCACCAGCGCCGGCGCCCAGGGGTCTTGTTCTTCTCCTTTTTCACTCATCATCCCCAATTCCCCGCCGCCCTCTTTTCCCCCCTGCGCGCCGCGGGCGGGGACGCTGGCTTCCGCCAGCTGCAAGAGGGTCACGCATTCTTGCGGGGAGAGGACGTTGTCTAGCACGACAGCACAGAGGTTTGCGTATTCTGGGATGGGGTTTGCGGACCAGTCGATGGGTGACACTGTGATGGGGCGGGCGTCGGGCGGGTTGGTGGCGGTGAGGAAGTCGTCTGGGATGGGGACGGGGAGGGAGGTGTAGTTTGTTTGGATTGGCTTGTTTGGTTTTCGGCGCGCGGAGGGGCCGGGTTGGGGAGGGGTAGGGGTGACGGTGGATTTGAGTTCGGTGAAGAGTTTGGAGAACATTATGTTGTTGATTTTGTAGTCAGGGTACTAGAAGGGTTGAGGTTAATGTAAGGTATCAGATATGGCTGGCGGTGGATGTGATGGTGGTGATGAACGACAGAGAGTGAGAAGGTGATTGTCACCTGAGGCACCTGGGCGTTTAATCAGCGGGAAGAGGACCTGAAACGGTGTCTGAGCAAAAAGAGGAGGAACATGCCACTTATGAAGGTCGAGACGGACAACCTGTCGGTGGGTGAGTTTGTGGTGGCAGTGTTGATGCCTGGCTCGATCGTACGTCTTGGCGTCAGCAGTCGCTGGGCTTGCACGAACATTATGAAATCTGTCACATCGGGTCGTTGCCTCGACCCAGGCTGCGTCTCCAGGCAGTGATACAAAATGTAGTAAGAGTCTCTCTCGATGTCGTAGGCCAGCCTCGGACTCTGGCAGCGTGTCAGTTTGGAGCCACGTACACATTATGAAACCACTCACATTGTGAACGAGGTACATAGGCCCGTTGCCCAGGCAACAGTCATGGTCATTAGTACGTAATTACGTGTAGGTCCTCTAAACGCGTCCTGTACGCACAACTGTGAACCAGCAAGGTACTCTTTCTCTCTATGTCATACCGCCCAAGTTTATCCCATTCCGATACCCAAACGCTCGCTTGACGCTAATCCACAGCTCAAACGCCTCCAGCTTGAGTTCCACCCTCACATACCCCAGCCAGGCGGCAAATACCCGGAGCGCATTTGGCGGCCAGTACAGCGACCCGCGCTGGCGAATCTCCTCCAGCTGCTCGTAAAACACAGTGCGCATGCAGTACCGTGCCAGTATGAGGAACTGGCGCACCGGCCCCTGGCGAGTGTGCAAGTTCTCGTCGAGACTCCTCGTCAAGTCGTTGGTCTTGAGGATAAGCAATATGATGCGCGGCACCTGGCCGAGCATCTGGACCAGATCAACGAGGAGGCCCTCCTGCAAGGCGCCGCTCATCGTCTTTTGCTCGCTCGCGTCCTTGGGCTTCATGATGGACGAGCTGACCACACTGAAATCGCGGCCCGTGATGGCCGAGGCAAACAAGGGAAACTTGTCCTCGCCCACGCCCGCCACCTCGGCCACGTACTTCTTCATGCGCTCCATATCGCCGTCGATGACGGCGAGCCACATCTTGGCGTAGGACCGCCGGAGTGACTGCGGAATGTCCCGGTACAGGCCGTGGTCGTACAGGATGAGGTCGAAGTTCGCGCCTCGTCGGGAGTTGTTCTTGCGAATCGCGATATTGCCGCCGTGCGGGTCGCAGTGTAGCGGCGCGCCGTCGCCAAAGATCATCTCGTTGAATATCCGCGCCAGGGTCGCTGACACCTCGTCGCGGTCGATCCCGTTCGAGTCCATGTACTCGAGGTCGTCGAGGCGACGGCCTGACTCGCAGGCCATGACGAGGATGCGCTTCTTGGCCCAGATGACGTCAGGGATGACCAGAGGTAGCTCGGGTATGCGCGCAAAGTACGCCTTGGTGCGTCTTGAGTTCTGCGCCTCGCATTCAAAGTTCAGCTCGAGTGGAAGAGACACCTCAATCTCGGAGGAGAGCCACTCGAGGTCGTATTCAGGGAAGAAGCGCTTGAGCGTGGAGAAGGTAAAGTTGGTGAGCGACATGTCCAACTTGGACCATTGTTCCAGGCTCGGATGTTGGACCTTGACGGCCACCTTCTGCCCGGTCTCCTTGATGGTCGCCAAGTGAACTTGGGCCAGCGACGCGGCGCCGATGGGCTCGGGAGAGAACTCGGAGAAGTAGTCCCACAATTCCGCCCCTGTGTCTTTCTTGAACATTTGCTCGATCGACTCGAAAGAAGACACCGGGCATTTGTCCTGAAGGGGGACGAATGTCGTCGTCCACTCGGGCGGCAGAAGGTAATTCATGGCACTCTGCAAACAGTCAGCCCAAGTGTTCTTCTGTACGCGACTGTGGAAAAGCCTACCAGATGTTGCCCAAGCTTGATAAATATCCCCCCATTCTGCTCCAGCACCTTCAATGTCCTCAGGGCACACCTCTTGTGACAAGCCTTGAGCACATGCTCCCTCTCCTCCTCGTCTTCAAGGTTGTCTCGCTGGTTGAGTGTGGTTCGATAGCTGCGGGTGCCGCAGCATTAATATGAGCCTGCTCATGACGGTTCTGAGAGCAAAACGTACTCGTTGATACATAGCACAAGAGCGGACGCAACCCTCCCCGTCCGCTCTATTGCCTCGTAGCTATTCTTGATGTCGTCCCCAACCGCCATCAGCATGGCACCCGCGCCTGCACCTGCTGTTGCTAGAAGTACAACCCGTCGCCGTGGCTTCGGCTTCGGTTTTGGCGTTATGAACGAGGGTCTCGATCCGCTGGTATATCGCCTCAGAGCCGGTGGTTGGCGCAGGTTCGGACTGGGAAGTCGGCTGCGGCAGCGGGCGCAAGTCCAAGCCGGGCTGAGGCGTTTGGCAAAGAGGGAAGAAAAGGTTGGTTTCAACATTGTTGTCAACGAACATGTGTCATTGCAGGTGTTTTTCCAAGCAAACTTGAAGAGTACGGATATCTCGAGACATGGGCGCTGGAGACGCCGTTTCAAGGTATCGCCGCAGCAAAAGTAGGTGCCCCTGCCAGAAATTTCGAAGGGGATCGCCGCCTTGCAAGAATTTGGGAATCGCGCCTGCCGCGTCGGGTGACCTCGGAGCACCGATTGCCATTCGTTCCAATTTAGGGTTAGGGTTGACAACGATAGCGCTGTCCAAACTCTGAGAGTCCATTGGACAGCTGGAAGGGTGTGGCCAGAACCGAAGTTCATCCCTCTTCAGTTACCTGGTAGAGTTCAATCTCATGCGAAAGCCTGCTAGGAAAGAATCATTGGTAAGTCTGAGAGATTGCCAGCATCTCTACCAGGAGGAAGACGCATTATCCGCAGGATGCCAAGGAGGTGAGTGGGATACTGATACTCTCGGCTCAACAAACACCCCAGCTCTCTTCATATCTCAAAATCCGAAGAACTAGCTACAGTAATGTTCGAGCACGCAACCATAGGAAGTTGAAGTCTCTGTGCCCACCGAAGTCCTACATTTGGTGCAGTAGTTTGAATCTCTCAAGAAGACCAGCAAAGCTTCCCATATTTCTTGAAGATTGAATGATAGAGCTTGTCAACTTTGAATGCCAAGCGGCAGCCATTATTGTATTAGTGTTTCTGCTCCTCCTCTAGGTAGCCGCTCTTGCAACAGTTCTTTGCAGTGGTGCTACTAGAAACATTGATCGAAAAGGTAATTTTTCATGCGTACTGAATTCGATTGAGGGTCAGTGTCGGAAGCCTGAGTGCTCTGAGGTCTATAGAGGATGTGAATCACAATGGTGAGCCGTAGGCGTTGGAGTTGAGATTCCGCGTTGAGCGGTCAAGTGCTGCCATCCATTCAATGTTTTGTACCGTGGACATCGATATAGCTAGCAGTAGCCTAGGCCCGGATGCATAGGTGCAAGGTAACACAGAAGCTATTATAGCTCTACTTCTACCAAGGGATGGGGTATCATTATGATCAAGCCACCAAGACATGGAAACCTAATGCCTCCCTTTTCTCCGCATTAGTCTACCCCTTTCCAGTCCGTGTCATAGGTATTCACGCTCAAGCTCGATCCCGCAACATGCTCGTATCCAGGACTTCGTTCTCCCAGGGCGCCCGCTGTGGTAACTGTGCCTCCTGCTGATCCGATGAGGCCGTCGTCCAATTCGAGTTAAGATACCCCGACAACGACCTCACACCGCCAGGCCGACTCGGCCGTAGGCGCTGGGCCAACAAACCCCCTTCTCCCCCATCCTTTCGACCGACCCGACCCTCCACATCACTTCCCTCTTCTCTCGTCCCACCTTCAATGTTGCCGCCCTCCGACACAGACACAGAAGTATAAGCATCCACCAACTTCCTCGCCGGCTTCACAACCCCCAAAAACGCAGGAAACACCCCCGCCACAGCCGTGAGCACAGAAACAACGACGAAAACAACAACCATCCCAACCTGCACATTATTTTGACTCGGATGATGATGGATAATAGCGTACGACACAAAAACCCACGCGCCAGGCCCGCACCCGCCTGCCGTGATCCACGCAGCGGCGGATTTGGTGTTGGAGCCTTGCCCGCGCAGGCCCAGGCTGAAAAGCAGAGGCCAGATTGGGGCGGAGAAGAAGGGGAAGAGGAGGAGGGGGGGGATCGAGGTGAGGTGGGGGTTGGTATTCATGTTGGTTGAATTTGACTTTGAAGAAGGGGAGAGGAGAAGGAGGAGGACGAGGGTTAGGGCGGAAGTGGTGGAGAGGGTTATGGAGAGGGTTAGGAGGGTTCGTGGGGTGGGGAGGAGGCGGAGGAGGAGGAGGGAGATGGGGTGGTGTGATTTATTGGTAAGTTTGGTTTTGGCGGAGAGGAGGGATATTGATCCGGCTAGGAAGCGGGAGAAAGCGAAAAGCGCGTGGGAGAGGAGGAGGGTGTTGGGGAGGGAGAGGGTTAGGTTCAGGAAGTGATGGTGTTGGTGGGTGCTGGCGGCGGTGGTGGTTGTGGTGGAGGAGGGACCGGTCATGGGGTCTTCTGAGGCGAACGAGGTGAGCAGGTGCTCAGAGAAGAGCGACATGGTCTCCTGCGCCGAGACGTAGCACCACTGGGAAAACACCGCCAGCGCGAGCGCCCATGTCCGCAGCGGGATGCCCCCGACGGATCTCTGTTTGGAGTCGACGGGAAGGCGCGCTGCCGCCTCGGCCAAATCGGCGTCGCTCGCCTCGGGCAGCGGTATGTAGTAGAAGAAGAGGGCCAGCAGCGCCGCGAGCAGCGTGATGGCGAGATAGGTCCACTGGACATTGATCAGTGTCGTCGTTGAGCCGCCGCCGCCGCTGTTCTCGTGCAGCAGCAGCCCCTCAAAGAAGACGCGGTCGGCCAGCACGCCGCTCAACACGCTCCCCACGGCCTGGACGCCCTGGGCCAGCAGCAACCGGGCATCGGCATAGGAGGGCGGGCCGCACAGCACCAAAAAGGGGTTGGCGGCAGTCTCGAGCACGGCCAGGCCCAACCCGATGACGAAACTACTCGCCACAAACCCGCCGTAGGCACCGACGACCGCCCCGGGCCAGATCATAATCGTCCCGATTCCGTAGACCAGCACGCCGGCGATGAAGGTCCCCTTGAACCAGCCAACCGACGACACGTCCAAACCGCTTCTTCTTCGCTCTATCCTCCAACCGCGGCGTTTGGACGACGGCCTGTCTTTTCCACTCCCACCCCACCACCTCCACCGTTCTGGATGAGCATCATCACCACCTCTCCTCAACCACCTTAGGAACAAAACAGCCCCCGGCCCCGCAAGGTATCCCCCGCCAAAGTACACGGCCGTCAAGCCTAGCGTCTGAGCCTCCGACATACCCGTGACGGCGGCAGCGGCGTTGTTGATGGAGTTGAGCAGGCCGTACGAGAACCCCCAGAGGAAGAACAGGGTAGAGGACACCATGGCGCTGTAGAGCAGGCTTTCTTTTGCGGAGAGAGTGAGGAGGGATTTGGAGGTTGCGGGGAGGGATATGAACTGGAGGTTTCTTTTTGACCTTGTTGTTCTTGATGTCAGTTGCCTCGGGCCTCGGCGTATAGTGGTGGTGATCGTGGTCATGGACGGATGTTGGTGATATGGGCGTGGAGGTGGGACTGGAGCTGGGACGGCGTTGGAGAGGAAGTCGCGGATGGAGATCTCGTCGTCGTCGGCTTCATTGCTGTTGTTCAGGTTGTCGGATCCAGGCGAGATGGATTCGGCGGAGGTAGGGGGTGTAGGTAACAGTAAAGGGGCTGGGATGGAGGCCTTCCTGCCGCTGCTGCCGCCGACAAGTGTGCTACTACTCCCTTGTGCGCCGCGGCCGTCGACGAGCATGACCGGGAGAATGCGGATGAACAGCGGCTTGAGTGTAGGGATACACGCGCAGATGATGCCGACGTTGACCTCAACGGCCGACCACATCAGCGCGAGCGAGGCGTTCCACGAAAAGTCGTCGCTCTGGCCGTACCTGGCCGTCGGAGCACGGTCGATGGCCTGCTGGAGGTAGTAGATACGGATCACGTCGACGACAGTCACAAAGATGCCGAGAGCAAACGTCGCAACCAGGATGGTTTTTTGTCTCGGCGGCAGCCGCATGCTCGTGAGCACGGGGATCGGCAGGGCGAGGATGGCAAGGTCGGTCACGACGTTGACCGGGGCCGAGCAGATGAACTCGGTTAGCAACGGAATGCATCTCTGCCGTTGGACCGTGATGTCCCAGGCTGCGCGGACAGGTTGGCACTGGAAGATGTTGATGAACGTCAGGACAGTGCCCGCGACGTTGACCACTCCCATCGTCGCCCATGACGCCAGGCGGAGTGTCCTTTGCGTCTGCTTGGACAACCTGAGATAAAACAGGAGAATTGACGTTTTGGTTGCCATGAGGACCGGGTTCTGTTTTACAAATTAGACTCACTCGCCACATCCAGCTCGGTCAGCCACTCAGGGGCACTCACATAGAGAACAGAAAATACGTATTCACACCTCCTCAACCCACTTCTCTTATCCGGGTCAATGTCCCTCTCATGCCTGCCCAGCCCACGCTTTGCGGCCAGAATAACGCTGGTGCTCAGAAACACGGCAATCAGCCAGGCCAGGGTCATCATGTGGTCGCAGGCCCGCGTGCGCCGAACGATGCCGACCCGGGTCACCAGGCGGGCAGCCACAAACAGCGTCGCCAGACATAGAGTCGCTGTGGTCACGGCAAATACGGCCGGACCACGGTCCGGGGAGCCTGGTGTTGAGTCCGACATGGCAGGTAAAGGCAAAGCAAGTGGACTAGTCTAATGTCAGTCTTTGAAGAAGAGATAGAATACTCTCCATGAAAATTCATCAAGGCGTCGCAATGGCCTGTCATGTCGGGGACGTGGAAAAGGCCCGGCAGGACAGGTAGGGTAGCCATAACACCGGTATATCGCTGATCCTCGGCCATTGCGAATCATGGATGGGGCAAGCTCGGCGTGCGTGCTTGTGTGATCGAATCCCCAGATGGTGGAGTTGCGCGACTGAGGGGGCCGGCCTTTGCCGACACACAAGCCGAGAAAGTGACTTTGACTGACGCCGTCCAATACTTGGATACCTTAGTCGAGCCGCGAGGTTGTTGATGGGACAGCAAACACAACAAGAACCACACGCCATCACGTTGTTCACGAGTCAAGAAGGCGTGGGGATCCCCTGAACGTGGCTTGTGGAGTTTATGGTCTGGTGGTTTCGAGTCATGAGACAGGACAGAACATAGGCGAAAACTTCTAGAAACTTGCCAGTAGAAGGATAGCCGGCGAGTATCAGCCGAATAAGATGGGAGGAAAGAAAATACCTGTAGGAAGTGGTAATTCGCAGCAGATGTAAGTCTAGCGGGGATTGTAGTGCCTAATAGAGTTTCCGCTCATACTCTCTTACACGCCTTGCTACTGGACTACCTATTCACCATGGCACTAGCATTCTTCATATCATACTGACAGAGACCAAAGGCTCAATGCCTGGCGTGAGACTCCAGGATGGGTAAACATCCGAGGCGATTCCACCAACACCAGAGAACAAAGGTAACCAACCCCATTCATCAGTCCCATGACATCACATCACCAGCGAAACTGCATAAGGACCTCTTAGGCCCCAAAAGTACGTCACCGGTCAAGCATCTTGTGGCTTGGCAAGTTAAGCACCAACTCCCATGTGGCAAGTTCATAATTCGAATTACTCCCGAGCGTCATGTCTCAGTGGAAAGTCCCGGTTACAGGACACCTCAGAGGGTACAACATGTTAGGGAGGCGCGAGTCACGGAGGTCCGGGCCTTTGACTTCCAATGAATCGTAAAATGCCACGCAATGGTCATCGGATGAGCCAGCAGCACTGGACAGTTTTATAAGCCCGAAAGACGCCGCACATGCTCTGAGAGTTCTACAACAAATCAGGAGGATGGACATTGGCAATGCAAGGCTGGAGGCTAGGTGTAACAAGATGTAGACGATGCCAAAGCTGCAATTGGAGTCTCCGGGCATCGCAACGGTACACCAAGGGATAATAAGTACATACATATAAACAAGGCTAATACTACCCAGAAATGTTTGCACTCCTGACCCCTGATCCTATTTGTATACAAATTCCATCGCTAGCAGCACATAAACCCCAGCCCCTTTCGCCGCCCAATGTCATATATGGGTATCTCTAAATACAACGGCTCGCTTTGGTTAGGCAGCCGTCATTTGCACAAAGATATTGTCCCACCCCAATTTCCGGAGTCCTCCCAGGTCTCACCACCACCACTACCTCCATCACCGCTCAGTGTCCTCACCCCGAACTCGGCCCTCCGTTCAAAAAGAAATCCAACTCATTCCCCCCCATAAACGACTCATTCTCTGCCAGCTGCTCCAACAGACTCAGAAACGGATCCTTCTCCTCCCCCGGGCCCGTCGTTGCCGCGCTCTCGTTGGGGCTCGTGTCCTTGGGCGTAGCCCCTGTGCCGCCGCCGCCTGGCCTCGTACCACCACCACCAGCATCCCCGCCCTCGTCGCCGTGCCACGGCGTCGGCGTCGAGAATGCATTCGTCGGTATCCCGCCAAACATCGGATCAAACCCCTGCGGCTGTGACTGCTGGGGCGCGCGGCTGGGTCCGGCCCCCGCTCCTGTCGCAGCCGAAGAGCCGCCGGGGAGCTGATGCACAAAGGTAAAAGACGGGTTGAAGGAGCTGGTGGTGGTGGTGGTGCCCATGGCTGCTGCTGCTGCTGCAAACCCGTGGTGGTGGCCACCCAAATCGTTGGACTGGTGGTTGCCTCCGACGCCGTTGCCGAGCGGGAATGCTCCGAGGCCGTCTCCGCCGGCGTTCCCTCCGACCATGGCGCCGTGCGATATGCTCATGTGTCGGTTCTGCGGCGGGGCTCCGTGCGGCGACGCTAGTGATGTAGGGGTGTGAAGCAGTCCTGGTGATGGGTGAGGCGGTAGCGATGCCGGCGAGAATAACGAAGGGCGGTTGACCGTCGATGGCGTGGACAAGGACGGCGTGGGTGGCGGGTTCATGTCGTTGAGGGACATGAGATTTTTCAACTCTGGCCTTGGGCGGCCAGACGGAGCCGTGTTCTTTCTTTTGAGGTTCGGTCGGGGTGGGCCAGGATCGGACGGGCTGAGCCGTGGCGCGTAGAGGCCTTGACCTGGATACGTGTCGGTTGTGAAGTCCACCACGACGTCGGAAAGGCTCAGATTGGCCGAATCAAAGCTGAAGCTTTGCCCTCCCGGCCCTCCAATGTTGGAATAACGGTCAAAGAAATCCTCAAGCGTGAAAACTGGCGAATACCGGACAGGGCTTTGGGCCAGGCTCTTGATGAGCTCCGAGTGGGCGTTGTAGATGCCCTGAAGCGTCTCGCGCTGGTGTTGGACACTCGCCCATGCATACCGCAGCTCACTCAGCTGCTGCATCTCCCTCGATAAAAAATCGGCCGAAGAGCTGAACACGTTCATCTCCCCCGGCGAGCCTATCCGGCTGTAATGGGCGCCGTGTATGTGAACCGTGCCGGCCGTGCAGATGCAGTATCCCACAAAGGCGGGCCACTCGACCGAAGCAGTCTGCTTGCCCAGCTCCACGAGCTCCGCGATGGCGTTTGCGTGGAGGAAGCACATGTTTGTAGCTTCGATTTGCCATGACTGGTGCTGGCCCGACCCCGCGAGCTCCGCCAAATCAATGGGGAGGAACGGACGGTAGATGAGACAGTGAATAAGATGATAGATTAGCTTGCTGAGCACAAGCAGCGTGGAGTCCGGCTGGCCAAACAGCGACTCGACGCTAGAAAACACGTCCTGGGTCCCGGACGCCCACACATCCAGGTCTTGGCGGATCTTGGAGAGGTTGGACAACGAGTGCCACGGGAAGTGAGAGTCGCCTTTGACGCCGCCAGCTGCCAAGTACTGATTCGTAGCACCGAGAATGCGACAGATATCGATGAGCATCCCACTGCCTCCCTGAGACTTCCTACCTCCTCCGCCTTGCAGGTGCTGTAGGTTGGTATAGCTCTGGAAAAAGTCTCCTTCGATGGGCAGTGAACCCGGGCTCGGAAACCAGCATGGCAGCCGGAGCAAGATGGCCCGATCCGAGATGAGGGAAGGGCGCTTCGAGCCGCAAGACAGGAATCGGTCGAGAAGGTAGCAGGTCCAAAACAGTCGCCGGCGGGTCTCCCGCTCTATCGGCGTCACACGAGCGTTGAGATCCAGCTCTCTGTGCAACTCGAGAGCCATGGCCATCCCCACCGCAATTGCTGCAACATTCAAGTCAGTTTGGCAGTGCAGCGGGATGTGATGACATGTGGCATACTCAATAACATGTATGCCTTTTTGCCTTTGCCAGAGGCTGTAAAGGCCGTCACGAGAAGCACCAGTGCCTGTAGGGCGTCCACAGATGGTTCGTCCGTGTCGATTTCCATCCTCGCTTTGGCAGAATACTCTTCGCTGAGCTTCACGGCGGACTGGTAGCCGCTCGGATGAGGCGCATACCTGGACGGTCAATAAGGAGCTCGCCATGCCCAGATATTGTCACTTACCGGGCCGCTACCGCGTAGATAGCGTTGATCAAGTAGCTTGGCACTTGGTTCAGTTGGAGACGCTGCCTTAACGTGGACTCGTCGAAAATATGAAAAGGCTTGTCGTGGAAGCGGGCGAAATAGATATCGAGCAATGTTTCGGGGTGTATTTCTGGGGATTGCGGGCTGTTCAAGTTAGAAAAGCGCACAAAACGGAAAGACCGGGTCCTTACCTCGGCTGTAATGGGGAAAACATGGTCGAATCCTGGGACTCCTGAACGGTTTCGGGTTTGGCCGCAGCAGTCACATTTGATGCGGTTTGACTCGAAGAGGATGCCTCAGGGGCGTCTACCACCGCACTGTCGGAGCTTTCTCCATCTCCTTCCGCCTTCTTATCCTTTAGCCGAGCTTCAAGCCCATCGACTCGCTTCAGTAATGCTTCCAGGACGTCGGTTTTGGGGCCCCTCTTCTTCGGTACAGCATCTATAGCATTGTGTAAGCAAGTCGTGGAGACGCGGCAAGCGTAACGGCCGGAGGGCGAGACATACCATAGATACATGGACACTGGAATACCTGGCATGCCTCGCAGGCGGGACGAAGGCGGTTGCACTTGATCTGCAGCACCAGCATCAGCTCACACGGCTCTTCGCCAAAGGGGTACGGCCGGCCGGGGCTGTCACGGCGGTCCAGGCGTACCTTGCGTTTCCGACATGACTTGCAGTTCATGGACTCTCGCGGTTCATTGCTCATGCGGCGCGTAGGCAACCTCTCGATGCTAACTTGGGGGCGGGGCATGGGCGTTAGCGGCATGCGAGGCAGCGGTGTTGCCGCCCCGGGTTCAAAGGGCTGGGCCATGGTGTGCGGCTGGTCTTTGCGACGCCTGGCGCGGGTCTGAGTTTTGCCTGAAAGAGGTAGATGCTCCGCGCAGTCACCGCTTTCTTCTGAGCATGACTTCTTTGGATAGTTGTCCCTGGGCCGCGGTGGTAGGGCAGATAATGCCAGGCGGATATTGTGAATGGAGCATCAGCCGTTGAGCCAGGCTCGGCCCTCTTCGCTTTGATCCAAGGTGGTGGTAGTTACTGGAGAGCCCGAGGAAGGGAACGAGATAGGTCCTCGTCGGGTATCCGGATCGGCGTGAAGCTTAGGAGCTCTTTCCCTGGGTGCGCATGTCGTCGAATCGCTATGAAATCCGTCCATCCAAGCTCAGCGTGTCTCAAGGTGACGCTCAGATCAAGTCACAATGGTTTTGTGTGAGGAACCCTGAAGGGTGGGTTAGCTGGCTGAACCGACCTGTACATGGGCGTGCCAACAAGCAATGGTGGTGGCAAAGTGCTTCGTACAGCTGGGACTCTGATGAAAAGTAGGATATGGAGGATTATGAAATGCCAATCCCAGCTATGTTGGAGGAGTCAAGGTAAAAGGGTAGAGAGAGCTCAGAAAAGACGCGGTATCGGTTAAGACCCCCGGTTATGAAAGGGGCAGCGTGCCTTTTTGGGGCAACTGGATCCGGCCCTGTGCTGGATTCAATCGGGGAAACCCTCACATTTGCGCAGACCGGGGGGGTCAGCAGGTCATGGGGCATCGCCCACTGCCCACTGCAGAGACTCTCGAGGGTTTGCTTCACCGTACCGGTATCGTGCTTGATACACAAAACCAGAACGATGCTCAGTTTTGGATCCTAATATAATGCCGCGTTTGACAGCGAGGGGCTGTAAGGTATTCGAGAAGCCGGCCGGCGTTGGGACGTGCAAGGCCAATTCCTTCGGTAGGATTCGACGGGTGCTATTCCCGGTCCCCTGCGCTCATGGCGAGGACAAGGATATGCGGCGGCTCGGTGAGCCGCGACCAGAGAAGCCAAGTCGATGCAGTGTTGCAGGTGTGCTTCGCGTGGTTGAGCAATAACGGCTTGGAAAGACAACCTCAAGCCACCTCAAGCCTCGCGCGCTGTTATGCCACCCCTGTGTATAACAGATGGGAGTGCAGAGCCATTCCGAAAACCGCTCCAGAACAAACGATGGAATCGATCGTGCGGGGATGGGATGGCAAAGTGTGGGGTTGCGGAGGAGATGAGGAGCCGAGCTCTTGCGGGTTCCACATGCAGGTCTCTGGAATGGAAAGAAGCAGAGAATGTCGCCTAACTAAAATCGGTCTACGGGTGGGAAGACAGGCTTGAGTTTAATCGGGGATCCTGTCAAAAAACTGAACCGTGTGGGAAGCTCGTCGCCGTGTTCGGTTTAGATCCATCAATTATTTGGTGCGAGTCATGAATCTTTGCAAAGTGCGACAAGTCCCACTTGGATCAAATGGGAAGGTTTGCGAGGGCTTGGCATCCACAGCAATTTGTTCCCCATCACGGAGTTGCCCCTGTCGTTCAGGCGGAGCGAAACTGTCAGTGCCCTTGAGAACCACCGCCAACCGGGCACTGCAGCAAACATAGTTCCCCGGAATTCTTGCCAGAGGGCAAACAACGAACCCAAGATATTCAGAACATTCATCTCAGACTTGACCGTCTCATCAAGGAGCACGCGATCCGAGAACCAGGGCAGGCTTGGTGCGCCCCACAGCCTGTTCGTGACAGCGGCCGGCTTTGCTTTGCTGACGCAGCGTTGCAGAGCACTCCGCATGTAGCTTGCTACAGTACGCAGTACACATTCCCACCTCACCTTCTAATCGGGACGCGGTATTGCGGTTCACAAGCCTTGAGGTTGCAACATAACCGGAGGTGCCGGTCTGCCGCTCCAATGGCGCCGTCTGTCGACAAAGGTCTCGATCTGCTCAACAGACAAGCTGCTCCATCGATCTCCAGCATGGCTCCCAGAACTCCGGCAGTGACGTCCTTCGACCGTGTCCACAATGAAGCACATGGATCAGGCTGCAGGTTATGTTGTGACCTGCGGTGCGTTGGCTCCCCGGTGCCTGCCTTGCTGACTTGGTCTCCCTCAACAGGCGTGGGCATGGAGCCGACACCATGTAATCCGTACGGAGTACCACTTAGGACTTCAAAAGACCGAAGCTCGGCCGAGGCTGTCCCTGACCAGCGCAGGCGTCCTGTTGATGAACGGTCCGTGCTGCTCGCTTAAGCACCACACAGAGCTCCCTGCACCCCGCAAAACTCGGTTTCTCCACACGTTGCCGCCGATCCTTTGCATTCGACGGATGTTCGACGCCCGAGTTTGACTCGCCTTCCATCTCGGTCAAGACACCGTTCCTGGGTTTTGACGCCCAAACTAACCAACTACCGGTAACTCAAGACGCTAGCTGAATCAGTGCCGGCTTCATCACTCCGGGGAGCTCGGGTCGGTTGGTCAAGTGCTGCACTGCCGTTGCACGGTGCACCATCCCGTCCCGCGCGGCCAGCAACTCCCAGGGTCTTGGATCCGATTGTTTATGAACAGCCCCTGGACGGCACATGACGGCAACCTAGGGCCATGCACCACATACTGTAAACCCATGGACGACAACCTGCGAATATCCACTTCGTGATGCCGAGCCAACTTCATCGGGTCAATGCCACAGGACCGGGACTGAGTGCCGTTCTCAAGTGAGATCCAGGCCTGGCACTGGCCCCCCAGCCCGAGATCAGTCTCTCTGGGCTTCTATTTGTGGGTAGCGTCCCGCAATTCCTATGGAACTGAAATTGCTCCCTTTACACAGTATGACTTCCTTTCGTATGTGAGCTGTAATACTTCGGCTCTACGGGGATGTCTCCCGTCATTAGTCCACGATCCGGTATTGATTGTCAAGCTTCTTTGGTACCGAGTTGCGGGATTGGACATGAAACGACCGGTCCATAGGCCAGCAATAGACATTATCTCGATCATGCACCGCTCATACCAGGGAACCTTCCACGCTCACTACAGTAAGTACACGTGCACAACTCTACCGGAGCCAACCGTACAGTACATGCGGCCCTGACTCGTGTTGCTGTGGACGCCGCCCTGATGACAGGAACCCCGGCACAGGTACCCCCTGAAGTCAATAAGAAAAGTTGGGTCTCACGAAAGCTGAGGCCTACACTGTGCAGGAGGCGGTCACTCGCTACCTGATTCTCGTCCCGGCTCGCCCCCCGTTTCCAACAATTTTGTGTGCGAATATGACCAGACCATCTGTAAAGCTTGAATCCTTGACAACTCCAAACTGAATAATCAAACCCGTGTAGCACATGCCATAATTCAGCGCAGATTCGATAACTGTGCCACTACGTCAGTAACACTTCCCCTTGCGCCAACTACATGTACTTGTGCAAGATGTGCTGTAGTAACTTCTGTCAGGTGAGGTCAACCAGACCACGCTCAGCGTTACCATACCGCTGGACGGGGTTATTCATCCCCTGTGGAAGGCAGGCACTAGGATGCGCGGCGAGAAGACAGGGTCAGTACCAGTCCTAGTGCCTGTATCTTGGAATCGTCCTACCGCATATAGCTCGGGTGTTCAGTATGTACAAACAAGGTCACCGCGCAAGAGTGAAACAGCAGCCTCTTCCGTAATCACACCAGGGGAACCAAGCCATTGTTTGATTTCGTTGTAGGACATTAGGACCCAGCCCTTCCAAACACGCTCAGGCCGGCTGCCTCAACCTTTGGAGGGCGGAAGCACGGATAGCATGTCCGCCTGCTCTATTTTCTTGTTTGATTCGAGGTATTCCACAGGCATGCTTCCTTGTCAGGGCATATCCCCGTAAACAACAACCGAGCAGTCACGGTTGTGTACCTACCACTTTGAGGCGGACTCTGATAGCTTCTCCTTGCCCTGGTCTGTCTCTCGCCTCGGCCTCATTAATATTTGCCTGATCGGAAATGATATGCCAAACAAGGATCTGAGAAACATCCCATCATCAAGAGATGGTCACGAACGTCGACAGCTGGACCAGACCATCATGTCCTATCCGTCATCAGCGCCCCCTCGGGAGAGACCAGCCGAAACCCCGACGCCTCGGTTTCGCTCATCGCCGAGAGGCGAAAAGGTGGCTCGGTACCACACAAATGACTACTATGGAGATGAAACACATTGCCCTGGGCTAGAAGACGATGACTCCTGGATCTTCTCTCTCTCTCTCTCTCAAGAATCGAAAATGTATTTCAAGGACGACCAAAAACAGAAAGAAAGGGAAAAAAGAAAATAGAAAAACAAAAATTCACGCTGTGTATCAGTACATGCATACCGGCGGCCAGTGTCAGTACATGCAAAATCCAAATCCTCACGCAAAAGCCAACCGCCGCCAAGAGAATGCCACTCTCCCCTCCACACAGAACACTCCGGTCTAACACTGTCCCGCACCGCGAGCTCCCCTCGCTCCCTTCTCGGCCGAAGCGCCAGTATGCCATGCCTGGTAATATGGTCCGCCGGGCCTGTGCCCCGGTTTGTTTTGCCTCCTGAAACCGTTGCTAAGCTGTTGATCTTCCGATATGTTCGAACTTGTCGATGTTTGCGAAGGGGGCGCCCGCGGCTGTGACAAGACGTTAGACCGTTCTCGGAACGAGAGGGCTTCCTCTTCCCTGGTGGTGAGGGACGGGATCGTTTGATGCTAACCTCGGATGCCAACCGACGAAAGGCAAGGGAATCCGGACCGTCCTCGCCAACACGGTCGCCATCATCATCCGAGCAATCCGACATTGGTAGACTCCGACAAGACAAAGCGTGCACCACCCTCAGAACAGCGTCCGACCGCTGGCCAACCTGACAAAGCTGTATGGCACATTCTGTCCAACCAAAAGCCTTAGGGTTTCCACGGTCGTAAATGCAGTGACATCGGCGGCGCCGTACGCCGCGAACCCGCTCTGCTCGGCGATCAGGCCCGGATCCCCCTTGCGCGAGACCGAGCGGTCCGCCAGATCCAAAAACACCTTGCGGGAATTGGCGCCCCCTGAACCCCGCGACCCAAACAACCGAACCAGCATCCCCACGAGCGTGCTCCTCTCCGGCCCCAGAGCGCTGACGACCAAGAACGGCGAGCCCGTCCCCGCCGCCCCGACGTCCGCACCCTTAGACCCAACCGTACGCGCCCTCTGAATGCTCTCGAGGCTGGTGAACGGCTCGATGAGTAGGTCCTTTCCGAACGCGGGCGGCGTCTTGAAGCCGACGGTGTAGACCTTGCCAACCTTGAGAGCCTTCAATGCGAAGAGAGCGCTGGCGGCATCTTCGGCTGACGATGCGAGGACTACGGCGGCGCATCCAAAGTATGCTGATGGGGCAAGGTCTCGAGTCAGCGTGCTCAAGATACCCTTCCACGAGGCATTATCCAGGACAAGGCTTGTGTTGGGAGGGAGGCCAGTCTGTGCTGGGCCGAGGGCGCTGAAGGAATCCCCGTTTTTGTGGCGCGGAGGGCTCGACGGGATTGACGGCGGTGCAGAGGTCGGCGTGCTGGAGGAGATCGGCCGCACGACAATGGTGTCGACCATGCCGATGAGTCGCGCTGCTTCGCTAACGGTTGGTCCAGTTCCGTGGTTGAGAGACGCGAGGAAGTTGCTGTGAGACATTAAGCTTCTGAGAGACACAGCTGGGTTGAAATAAGCTCCGCCAAAATTCCTCTGGTTGCACCATGCCCCGATGCAGCCGGATCCTTTTGGCTGCCACTCCACGACGGCAAACTGATGTGGGAGGCCCAGCTCGTTGAAACACTTCTCGTAGAAGGGCGCTTGGGGTGTGGCGCTACGCATTGCCGGGCTGGTGATGCCGTACATGTTCTTCCTGGGCAATTGCCCGAGCAGGGCCAGCGCCTGGTTGATCTCGGCAGCGCTCATCTGTCCGGGAGCTGCAATGATGGGCAGAAGCGGATGAGTAATGGGAGTGAAGAACTTGTTAAGCGTCCGGGAAAACTGTCCTGTTTCGCCCATATTCACCGCCGACAGGGGAACCGAATTGGGATATTTCGTCCTGATTTTGGACCGGAAGTACTCCAGCTCGAAGTTCTCGTTGTGGTCGCTGCTCATAGCGATCATCTTCACACAATCTGCGTAGCGCTGAGACTCGATGAAGATGGCTTCGGCCCGGTCCGAGGTCCATTCCCATGTCCCGGAGAAGTCGTGGAAAGCGGACATGATGCGACTGTTCCCGCGCTGCTCCCACAACTTCTTCCTGATGCCCTCGGGAAGCCAAAGTTCGACATCAAGGTACTCAACGCCCCATTGCAGAGCCCGGTAAAGGTAGTCGTAATACAGAGTCGGGTTGTCCATTGGAAATTTGCCGTTTTCCTTGGTACATCTGGTCGTGAATATGATGGGCAACTCGGTCCTCTGACGGAGCAGCATGACCTGCTCGCCAACATAGCTGAGACTTGGTATATCCGAGTAGGTGCCGTCGCCGAGTGGCTCCTTCAGGAGATCAACACGAATTTCAATGGCATCTGCTCCGACGGTCAAAATGTCAATGTTGGGTAAAGCGGTGTGTACGTCTGGGAATGTCGTTGAGATGAAAAAGGTCCTCGGCTTCGCTATGAGCGCCTGATGCTGGCAGAGCTGGCCCAGGACGTGGGAGGTGAAGCGCGCAAGATCCCGGCGGAAGAACGGGCTTTCGGTGTAGAGAAACTCGTAGTCGCACTGGGCTGACAGGTAAATGTCGGGAGGCATGCCGAGCCCGGTGCAGTGCGCGTTGATGGCAACGACCAATCCTCTGTCTCGCGTCGCAATGTCCTCCTTTGCATTGTCTGCCGAGACTCCAATAACCCAGTCTTGATCCTCTTGTGTCACCTCCTCAAAGCGACTTCTTATCCTCGACGGCTTCCCCAGAACCTCGGCAAAGACACCAACAATCTTTTCCTGCCCGCGGCCGTACATGATGACAACGATCCTGGTGTCTCCTCTTTGCGGTTCGCTGCATAGAGGGACACCGGGCTGAATCGGACTTGTGGCGCCCATATCGACCTCCTTGCTGAATGTGTCGCCGTTCATGCCTTGCGGTCGTGCCAACGTTGGCACAGGCTCAAGTTGTTGCACCGCTGCCATGGTGACGACCTCGGGTCCTCCCTGACACGGACGATAGTCTTAGGCTGGAGGCAGATGACTCCACCGGCTCACTGGCGCAGCAGTCCTTATAGCCCGGACGGAACGTTCGCCTTCCAAGTCCAACCTAATCGAAGCAGGGTGATGTCGGAGCAGCCTAACGTGCATGGCCTTGGCTTCCTGGCTCGAGAGGTCGTTCGCATTCCGCGAAGGGATCTTGCTGGGCCCAGGGTAGCGTTGAAGCAATGAATGTGCGTCTGAGGAGTGTCGGGCTGGTGGTTATGACGTGGTGGTAGTCGACTGGCGCCGCGGCTGGTCAAAAGCTCGGTCTTCAATCTTGAGGCCGTCACTCCGGCGTCCCTGTTATGATCGCCGCGTACTTCGGCCTGGCTACAGAAGTGTGGCGGGAGTCCAGTCCGGAGCCAGAGCGACGTTGGGATGGGTGAGAACGTGATACACGTTATCGTTGATCAGGCCAGGAGGCGAAACGACCGAGATAGTTTGAAGTGGTCGAAAATGCAGCTATGAAGGCACAACGCCCTTCAGCAAGGCTTATTGGCGAATGATCCCGGCATCAGAGCCTCACAAAACAGCCGGGAACGCGCAGCCGGAGAAAGAAGGATGGCGAAACGGAGCGGGCCAACAAGAGAGAGCAAGCGAAGACCCGGCGATAACAGCGGGTATATCACCACACCGGGGCACGCCGTATCATGGCTTTGGAGTAACAGATTCCCGGGAATCAGAAGGTAGCAAGTGCAGTGCTACCAGGCACGCGGATGGACGGTTGGTAGCTAAGTAGGGTAGGCAGCAGATAGCGGGTACCGCCCCTGGTTGTTGCGCCAAGCCGAATTGAAATTCGGCCGAAGACTGGACGTTTCCTCAAAGTGTTGCGAACAGAGGAGGATGGCGATTCATCAGATGGTGCAAGGCGCGGCGGGGAGACTCGTCGGACTATCCGTATAGGCGTGATCATCGAGCAAGGGGATGGGAACCGCGGGACGGGTTCGACAATGGAATAACTAGAAGTGGAGTCGATTTGACAAGCATTCCCAAGCGGGCTGCAGTCTACGCCGCCTCGCCGGTTCAGCTTGAAATCGGGGTGGGTTGAGTTGTTTCGGCTTGTCGGATGCCTTTCACGATGGGATTCTATGCCCGTTGCGCTTTTTCTTTTCCAAAAGAGTTTGAAAAGCACACAGCGTTCCCATGGCCGTGATGGCCAATGGCATCGGCAAGAGGTGAAGACCAGGCGAGGTCTCAGATCGTTATTCCGTCGTGGCGGGCCTGGCCGGCCGTTGCATGTGGACGGTCCAAAAGTGGATTTCTGGAGAGCTGGAGTGCATGGATGGGTGGAAAATGCCATGGGAGTGTGGGCAGCAAGGTACCCCGCATATTCTCCACAATTCCTCCAGGCCTGGAGAAATTTGTCTGCTCAAAGTCCGCCAATAACGGTCACTTGACGCTGTCCACCCTGGCTCCGCATCCGTACAGACCCAGAAGGAGCATCTCAGCACTCGAGGCCCTGAAAAGCAGCACCTTGAGGCCCTAAAGCCCAGCGCGGATAGAGGCTATCCGCCTGAACAGCCGCTGAATCACAGTGGCCCCTTTGTTTGGGGAGAGGGAGGAACTTTTTCACGGAGCATCCACCCAAGACTCAAGCAACCCGTCTTGGCTCCCATCCCACCTGTCCACACCCCATCTCCGAGGTGTCTTGACCACAACAAATTCCTCCGTCCGTCCCGTTGTCAAGACTCCCAAACGACGGGATTCTCAGATTCCATCCACAACCTCGAAGGGATCGAAGCTTGTTTCGGCTCAGCAAGCCGCCACCTTCCATCCCGGAAACGCTAACGTTAACAGCTGCTCCGCACCGTTTCAAATCCCGAACCCTTGCCAGGCATACCATCTTTGCTTTCAGGCTGAATGCGAACCCAAAAACCTGTAGAACGGCAACTGTCACGAAGGCGATTCGACATATGTATCCGTGAAGTTTGACTGCTCGACTGATGATGTACTGCACCAGGTTTTCTTTCTTGAAACCGACTTCGAAGCACGTGCCAAAGAGAAAAAGAAAAAGAACCTAAAATTGAGGCAACGTCAATCTCTCTGGAAAAAGCTCAAATGTGTGACACAACGAACGTACCTTACCTTGTCAAACACACCTATTTGTCTAGAACTGCCTTCAAAGAAACAAGAGACTGATCTCACGTGCCTGAGAATATGTAGCATGGGGTGGGTTCATCGGTTCACCGGAATGGCATGCTGTATGACACACCTTGATGGATTCCAGGATCTGAATCAATTATCCGACACCGCTAATAATATCTTGAAAGACACAAAGGACCAACATGATACGCATTGACAATTGATAGACATCATGGCAAACTTCGACTGCTGGAAAATCTTCCACCTTCAAACCTCGCTACCAAGAGCTTATCTGCCAGGCTACCGTCCCTTCGGCCTGAGATACCGCGGTAAAGAGAAGGGAGGCAGAACAGACAGATGATGAACGACGGAAAGCGGGAAACGGAAAACGGAAACCAGTGCTTCCCTCACGTCAGCCCAGTGTGCTCAGTGAACGGGCTCGGCATGGCTGCTCAACTGGGCATGGTTTCCCATCGAGGCCGTGTCCCACGTCGGAGGCTCCGCCTGCTGAGCTCGAGGAGACGCAAAACAAAGCGCCGAGGGAGGACCTCCTGACTCCTTTCTGCTCTCTCGGCATGCAAACCAATGCACGACCATGGGCCAGCATGACGGAAACCCGCCCCGCGAAGAGGTTAACGCGGCCTCCCACCAAACTCTCTCCGCCCTGGTTATGCAAGTGCCCACGACGCCAAGGCACGAACACCACCACCAAGCTCACTTCCCGAAGAGAGAGGAACTGGACCTCACACCATAAACCGCAACCCCCACGACCGAGGTTCCAAGTTAGCAAGCCAAGCCGAGGATGAGACGAGAAGGAAGTCTCTCCTCTCCAAAAGAACCCCCTACTAACCTGCAAGCCACAAGAACAGACAGGAGACAGACAGGGCAGGACAAACAAGGTAAACCAATCGGCCACAGAGACCCCGGACAGCAAAGACTGGTAGCCCCCTACCACCCGCCCGCACCCAGACCCATCTCGATCTCCGCGAAAACACCCACCCCTTTAACCCCCAACCCAGTCGCCAGACCAACGACATGCGCCCCCGCAGCTCTCATCCTTCTGTACCCTTCCGCATCCACCACCCCGCCAACGCCCACCAGCCGCACCCCTGATAACAAGCCGGATCGCTCGTCCAGCATCTGGCGGAGGGTGGCCACGTTACCCAGCGCGAGGGGATGCAGCGGCGAGCCGGCCATGCCGCCTATCCCGTTACCCGGGAGGAGGGGGGTGGAGGTGGCTGCTGGTGAGGAGAAGGAGGCGGAGGAGGAGGAGACGACAGGGGAAGAAAAGAGAAGGCATGAGCCGAGAGTGTTGGTTGCTGTTATGAAGGTTATTGGGCAGTTTCTTTCCTCTTGTTCTTTATCTGTCTTTGCTTTTCCTCCTCTGGTGTCGTCAACTCCTGTGATGGTTGTGCTGGCGACGATGGTGGCTTTCTCCAGGGCGGAGATGAGGGCGTGGAACTGTGTTGAGTAGGTGTAGGGCGGTGTTTTGAGGCCGACTGGGATGCGCGGGGTGTTATCAGCGTGGGCTGAAGAGATGGCGACCTGAAGGTGGGTGAGGTAGGTGGTGAGGGCTTCTTCCAAGTAAGCTGGCGGGGGGCGGTTGGGGATGTTGGGACAGCTGACGTTGATCTCCATGGCGAGAGGGAAGTTGAGGGTGGTTGCGACTGAAGCGATGAGCTTGTAGCTGGCGGCTATGTCCTCGGGGGTGCCTGTGACTGAGACGATGAAGCCCTTGCTAGATTTGCCGGGTTGTTCCTCCGAGATGGTTTTGATGAAGCCAAGGTGGGTCTCTAGAGTGAGCGAACTGTAGCCCAGTGAATTGAGGCTTGCGTTTTGGGCTGAACCTCCATGGGCGGAGTCGAAGAAGGCATATTGGTGTTTTGCCGGGTCGTGATCAAAGCCGTTGATCAGAGATGTGCGAGTGGTCACAGCGCCCGTTGACGGGCACGCATAGAGGAGTCTCAAGTCCTCCAGGGTGGTTGCCCAAGGGCACGCAGAGTTGATCAGCGGTGGGTTGATCTCTAGCGGTGGTGCTACTCCCATCATGAGGTGGCACTATGGATAATGTCCCTGGGTTTCACGCTCGTTGAAGGTGAGTGTCGATGGCGGTTATCTGCAGCGGCGGGGGCTTTTAGATAAGATAAGCATTGGATAGACCCCGCTTACGGAGGGTTGGAGTCGAAATCAACGACGGGAGCTGTAAACCGGCCGGGGCAACACAAATCGAAAGATTTGATGAAATAGTAAGATTGGTATTGCGAAGTGGCCAGTCGTCATCAAAACATGTCGTCGATCGCCTTGTCGGAGTCTTTCCTGATCAATTCCACCATACCCTGTCATGGTGTGAGCCTCAGCCAGAAAAGGCTTCAACATCAAGGACCCAGTGAAGCGGAACTCACCTCGGGCATGATGGGCTTTGCATCTTCTCCTTTGACGTAGCGGAACGGCATCTGGGTGCTCTCGTGCTCGTTGAACTTGAGCTCGGGGTGGTCGAGGTAGGGTATCTCTTTCAGGGGGGCTGGTGCACAGTTAGCCATAACTCCGGCACTTGCAAAGCTATCTTAAAGTAAGGCACAGATTAGGCACACTTTTGCCCTCGACAACCATGCGAGTGACCCTGACCGCCGTATCAGTGGTCATCTGGACAGGGCCCAGCCGGCGGCCTTCGAAGCCCTTCTTGCGCAGCTCAGACGTCCTGTCCCTCGGGGGGTCATCTCCTAGGTTGGGTAAGCAGATGTCCGGGCACCAGGCAGCAAGCGGGCTGTCCTGTGGGAAGTAACACACCGAGGATGCCGCCAAATAGAAACGCATCGAACTTGTTTCCATCCTCGGGCGATAGGTCGCTTGCGGCAGCGGGGTCGAGCAAGCACACGCGGGACTTGTCACTCGCATAGAGCTCCTCCACGCCCCTGGTTTCTGCTGTAAAGGAGGGAATCTTGGTGAGCGCCTCGGGCACCTTGAAGGCAGGCGGAAGAGACGACAGGCAGAAGTTGGAACCGGCCTCGTGCGATTCGCGGGCGATGGCGAGATACTCGAGCTCCGACCAGGCCCCGAGCTCCGGGTCGAGATGCTCGACAATGTAGGTTTTGCTGCCGGACGACATTGTATTTTGAGGAACTCTGAGACACAGGAAAGAGCCTTTGCTCGTGATTGGAATTTTTAACTCCAGGTCCTTCCGTGCTGCGATCGAAGTGTGGCCCCAGATGCCAAGCCTTCTTGGCAACCCGTCGCCGGCAGATCGGGTCCCACTTCACATCGCGACAAACTGACCATCATTGATCTTCAAAAGAATCGGAAATCTGCCCGATCATGTCGCAATCCAAGCACCGGCAACTGGGACCGTATGTATCGACACCGAGTCGGCAATTCGGAGTTCTCGAACTGTTGCAATTGATGACAAACACGACCGTAAGGAATAGCGGCGCCTATTCAACCCCTGTTCTGGAAGGGGCACGGGTCAGCTTTGTGTTTGATCGATTTGAACGTTGATTGTTGGATCCAGCACTGTGAAACATCAGGACAGCCTTGATTTTGTCCCAGTACCTGGCAACAGACAAAACTCTCGATGCTATGCCATCTCGTCAATCTCATTAACACATACTTGGACTTGCGCTGGCTGTTGAGAGCAAGCTCGACCGGGTGCGGTTTCGATATCAGGTCACAGAGGTACCTCCTGGTTCAGGCTACTATGTACGGATTATGTAGACCGCAGACGCCAAGCCCTACGCCTTGTCAGCCCCCGGCTCCAGCCCGCCGCATTAGGGACACATCTTCCGACATTTGCGACAGTTCCTCTCAAACTCTGGACCCAGGTTTCCCTTCCATTTTCTTTATCCGCGCCGTCACCTCCATGACTTCCCCTGGAATTATCAGGTAGCCAGCAACTTTCGTCGCTCTCTTCGATTCGCTCCCTTATTGTGGTGCTGTAGGGTCGCACTGATCGATCCGGTCCCCTGAACGGAGCAATCATGGCCCCAAGCAGGCCATCCCCGGGCTGGCGCCGTCTGACTGCCATTGTCGCGGCCCTCGCCCTCCCATGGACCGCGACGCTAGCAGTCGCCAACAAGGCCGCTGGCGACTATTTCGTTCATTCCCTTCCGGGCGCACCCGGAGGCCCTTTGGTAAAGATGCATGCTGGGTAAGCCTCCCCGCAGGAGTTGGGAGACCTGAATACTAGGCTGTGTCAGGACCCAAGCTGACATGTGGGATCAAGACATATCGAGATCACTCCCGAACACAACGGCAACCTTTTCTTCTGGCATTTTCAGAACAGACACATCGCCAACAAGCAGCGGACAGTCATCTGGCTGAACGGCGGACCGGGATGCAGCTCCGAGGACGGCGCCCTGATGGAGATCGGCCCCTACCGGCTGAAGGACGACCAAACGCTGGCGTACAACGAGGGCGCCTGGAACGAGTTTGCCAACGTCCTGTTTGTGGACAACCCCGTCGGCACCGGCTTTAGTTACGTCGATACGAACGCCTATGTACACGAGCTGGACGAGATGGCCGACCAGTTTATCACGTTTCTGGAGAAGTGGTATGCTCTGTTTCCAGAGTATGAGCACGATGATGTGGGTAGCTAGCTCTCTCCTGCTGTCCTGCCCGTCTAACACTATATCCAGATTTACATTGCCGGCGAGTCGTACGCTGGCCAGCACATCCCCTACATCGCGAAGCACATTCTCGCTCGGAACAAGAAGCCGGAAACCCAACACAAGTGGAATTTGGCGGGACTGCTCATCGGCAACGGATGGATCTCGCCGCCTGAGCAGTACGAGGCCTACCTCCAATTCGCGTACCAGAAGGGCCTGGTCCAGAAGGGCAGCGATATCGCCAACAAACTCGAAGTCCAGCATCGCATCTGCCAGAAAGACCTGGCCGTTAGCGAAAGCGCCATCGACAACTCGGCGTGCGAGAAGATCCTCCAGGACCTCCTGCAGCTCACCGCTACGCGCAACAACGACAACCGGCTCGAGTGCTACAACATGTACGACGTCCGCCTGAAGGACTCGTTCCCGTCCTGCGGCATGAACTGGCCGCCCGACCTGACGCACGTCACCCCTTACCTCCGCCGCAAGGACGTCATCCAGGCGCTGCACGTCAACCCGAACAAGGTCACGGGCTGGGTCGAGTGCAACGGCCAAGTCAGTTCCAACTTCCGCCCCGTCAAGTCCAAGCCCTCGATCAACTTCCTCCCGGACATCCTTTCCGAGGTCCCTGTCATGCTCTTCTCGGGCGCTGAGGACCTCATCTGCAACCACCTGGGCACCGAAGCCCTCATCAGTAACATGGCCTGGAACGGCGGCCGTGGCTTCGAGCTCTCCCCTGGGACTTGGGCGCCGCGCCGGGACTGGACCTTTGAGGGCGAGCCCGCAGGCTTCTGGCAGGAGGCGCGCAACCTGACCTACGTCGTCTTCTACAACGCCAGCCACATGGTCCCCTTTGACTACCCGCGCCGCACGCGCGACATGCTCGACCGCTTCATGGGCGTCGACATCAGCTCCATTGGCGGCAAGCCCACCGACTCGCGCCTCGACGGCGAGAAGGGGCCCGAGACGACGGTGGGTGGCGCCGCCGGGAACGGCACCGCGGGGCAGGAGGCAGAGAAGGCTAAGCTGGACGCGGCCAAGTGGGAGGCGTACCAACGCTCGGGCGAGATTGTGCTTGTTATCGTCGCCGTCGCGGCCGCTGCCTGGGGGTATTTCGTCTGGCGCGACCGGAGGAGGAGGGCTGGGTACCAGGGGCTTGCCGGCGGGGAGAATGCGTCTGCCGGCGGGGGCGGCGGGAGGATTGGCCGCGTTTCCATACGCGGGGTTGGCGGTAGTGGAAGGGGGAGGGATGTGGAGGCGGGCGACTTTGACGAGACGCAGTTGGATTCGCTGCATGTGCGCTCGCCGGTGGAGGACCAGAGGGATGTAAGGTATAGTCTTGGGGGTGAGAGCGACGATGACGAGGAAGAGGAGGAGGACGACGGGAAAAGGAAAGGGAAGGTTGCTAACAAGGCCAACGGGCATTGATCGTGGTCTGGTCTTGGCTAGTTGGGTTATGATAGTGTAGGGTTGGAAGAAGGTATTTCTTTACGCACTGTACATACATGCCTGTTGTAGATGGCGTTGCGGATTAGGCTCGGTGTCAATTCTGGTTAAGATTTGTCCATCGTGCTTGAAGAAGGGTCTTATAGGCCTGCGGCGAAAGTGTGTGTTCTATTTTCAGAGCATTGCTTTCCTGTACACAAGGCTCACCAGAGATACTTTACAGATCAGGGCAGCTCATTTGAAACCGCTCAAGTCTCCATCGCCCGGTCCTGCTCAGCAATGGCCTCCTCAAACTCCTCGTCGTCGTCCTTCGCGCCCTCCGGCGCTGCCCACCCAGTCCCGGCCTGCATCACCAGCACCAGCACACATACCACAGCAGTCGACTTGTACAAAACTTCCAACGCCCGCTCATACCCAGACACAGCAACCTCCCTCTCCGCCCCGCTCAGAATCCCTTCTTTCCACACCACAGCCGGGCTACCAATGAGCACGGAAATGAGCTTCTCCCTTGCTTTACCCAGGCTTCCACCTCCCCCACCACCATCCAACCGTCTAAACCCCTCAACCAGCGCATCCCTTAGCGTCCGCGTAAACACACCGCCGCCGATCGCCGTCCCAAAACTGCCCGCAAACCCACGGAAAGTCGACAGCAGGCCTGTGACGATAAAGTGCGCGTCCGGATTTGACACGTGCAGCAGGTGCGCGAGGGTATAGTTCAGCGCGGCGCCCGTGCACAGCCCATTAACAAACAGCAACCCAACATACACGCGCGTGTCCGACGCGGCATTGCTCACGAAGGCTAGCCCGAACAGCGACACACTAAACAGCGTGAGCGACAGCAGCGCGGGTAACCAAAACGAACCGGCGCGGCGGATGTGCAGGGCGCCGACGGCCAGCCCGCCCAGGCCGAAGCCAGCGTTAGTGGGGATCAGGACGGAGCCGGCGACGGCCGGGGAGAGACCGCGTACGGCGAGCACGAAGATGGGGCCGTAAAAGAGTACGGTCCAGCGGGCGGCCATGAAGCCTAGCTGGCAGAGGCAAGAGAGGAGGACGCCGCGGGAGGAGAGCAGCGGGAGGGGGATGACGGGGTCGGATGCGCGCGACTCGACGTAGAGGAAGAGGGTCAGGGTGGGCAGGGAGAGGAGGATGGGAAGGGGTTGAATTGTTGTGTTGGAGAGACCGTAGAGGAAGAGGACTATGGTTATGCTCTGCCGGAGGTTATCAGGTTTCGGTTCTTCTTGGTTGAGAGGGGGGGAGGGCAACGTACCAGGGTTGAGGCGCCGGCATAGTCTAGACCGGCGAGCTTCTGCAGGGTGGTCTTGTTTTTGATGCTATCTTGCATAGTGAAGCGAGGGATGCTGAGGCTGAGGCCGAGGCCCGCGAGTGCGGACATGGGAGCTTGAGATCCAAACAGGAGTCTCTGCGAGGGTGTCAGTTATGAGCCAGTGTCGGTGGGTACACGGCAGCGTTACTAACCCATCCCAGCACCGGAAGTAGTGCGCCGAAGACCACCGCACCGGCCGACACGCCTATTGTGAAGCCCTGGGCCCTGTGTCAGCTCAGAGTCTTAGCAGCAAAGCAAGACGCAATACCTACGGCGTTGGCCAAGCCGATCCACAAACCCCTCCGCTTTTTGGAGGTGAGCTGGATGACCAAGATCATACACAGCGTCATGATGCCGCCGCTGCCGATGCCCTGCATCACCCTCCCGAGAATAAACACCGCAAAACTTGAGGCCAGCGCGGTGACCAGGGAGCCTAAGGCAAAACAGGCCGACGCCAGCAGCATCATGGTCGCCGAAGAGAAAACCATGGCCAGCCTCCCGGCCAGGGGGGCGACGGACGACATGCTGATCATGTAGGAGCTGGTAAACCACATGGCCGACTCGTAGGCATCCAAGTCGGCGGCAATCGTCGATTGAGTAGTAGATATGCCGGACATGTTGCTGGCTGAGTTGAGGTTAGCCGGTTTCTATCAGGGGTGGGAAGATAATTCACACACCCTGCAGAAAGATCAGAGCCCACATGCTCAAGACGATACATGTCGTCTGCTTCCAGCCGAGTGATTGCTCCGGGGCCGGGCCGGGCTGCCGCTCGCTTCCCGGGGAGCTGTCCCGGGCGGTCACGGAGCTGGATCCGGAGCGGAGGAGAGGCGTGTTTTCGGCCATGGTGGGTGAGGTTGCCGAGCTGTCGTCTTGGCCGTGTGGGCGCGCGTTAAATGTTGCCATGATCGGATGTCTGGAAATTACTGATATTCAGTCTTCAACGCCACTTTCTGAAGACCAGAGTTGATTCCGGATATCCGGATGTCCGGCTGCGCCACAACCAAAGGTTGGTCAATTAAGGCAGAGGGTGGGCAGGGAAGGAATGGAAAAGGAAGAAAACCAAGAGCTCTCAGATGCCCTCACATCATGTGCGCTGCACTGCAATTGACAACGGCTTTACAGCAGTTTGAGATTCAGGATCGAGGTTTTGTGTTATAAAACGTCATTTCCGGAGACTTTCTTTTGATTTGTAAGTGCGGCCAGGGAAAGGTGGAGGAGGGCAGTCTCGTCCGCGCCTTCCTTCGGCAATTAAACCACAGATCCAACGACGGGATTGGTGGTCGGCACTCATTGGATGCGAGCTGGTGAAGAACTTCTTCTGATTGACGATTCCAGCCCATCTGTCTGTTTATATTCCCGATCTCTCGACTGCATGAGACGGTTTTCTCACTCAATCCATAAGCCAACCCTAACCCTTCTCAAAGACCCCAAAACAAGCCTTTCTCAAACTCCGCCATTTACACCAGATTCGAGCTCCCAAACTGAGCACCATGCCTTTCCATGATATCCGCCTGGGTCACGCACCAATTACTGAACCCGAACCAACCAAAAACAACCCCAGATATAGAAATACAGAATGAGCCTGAAAGACAGCTACACCCTCCCGGCGGCCGCCGACATGCACGTTCACCTGCGCAACGCCCCAGGGCCCATCGCCTCGCTCGTCACGCCCACGATCCGCAAGGCCGGCATCGACACCGTCTTTGTCATGCCCAACCTCGCCCCGCGGCCCGTCGTCTCAGTTGCCGAGGCTCTCGCCTACAAGCAGTCCCTGCAGCAGCTCGATGCCGACGTCAACTATCTCATGTCGCTTTACTTACACGAGAGCATCACGCCCGATGAAATTCGGGCAGCGAAACGGGAAGGCATCAAGGGTGTGAAGGTGGGCTATTCCTGTTTTATTTATTTCTGTTGAGGCGGAGGAAAGGGGCCGAAGGCTGATGTATCCGTCAGGCATACCCCCGCGGTGCGACGACCAACTCGCAGTGGGGCGTCGTGTCGTTTGACCTGTTTCACGACGTGCTCAAGGCCATGGAGGAGGAGGGCATTGTGCTGAATCTGCATGGTGAGGTGCCTAGCAGTCCGGCCGACGGAGTGACGGTCATGAACGCCGAGGCGCGCTTCCTGCCGGTGCTCAAGGGGCTAGTCGAGAAGTATCCCAAGCTGAAGATTGTGTTGGAGCACTGCACGACGGCCGATGCCGTTGAGGCGGTCAGATCGTTGGGTGATAACGTCGTGGGGACCATTGTAAGCCAGGCTGGAAAGTACCCCTGAGTTTGAGAACACTTGCTAATTCCCTCGCAAGACAGCGCACCACCTCTCCCTCCTAGTAGACGACTGGTCCGCCAACGTAGTATGTTTCCCCTCCTTTCCTCCCGCACTCACTTCCGTTAAAGCTAACTAGCCTCGCCACAGCACCACTACTGCAAACCTTCGGCCAAATCTCCTGAGGACCGCCGCGCCCTCCTTAACGCCGTGGTTACCAGCAACGGCAAATTCTTCCTCGGCACCGACAGCGCCCGTACGTTCCCCCACCGTACCACCCTTTCGGGTTTCCCAATCCTCACCAAACCAAAAACAAACTAACCCGAGACTCTATTTCCAGCCCACGACATAACCGCCAAAAAAGGCAAAGGCAACACCGCAGCAGGCGTCTTCACCCAGCCCTACGCCTTGGGCTATGTATGGGGCCCCCTACTCCCTGTTGCCCCCCCATTTCCCCATTCCCGTTACTGACCTAAGCGGGTGTATCTAGGTCCTCACGGCGCTAGAAGAAGCCATAACCCGCGGCGACATCCCGCCCTCGTCCGTCACAGAGGACGTGCTGAAGGGCTTCTTCTCCGAGTACGGGCGGAAGTTCTATGAAGTGGATCCTGCGAAGCAGCAGATCCGGCTTACGCGCGGCGGGGCCAAGGTTGAGGACTCGTTGAAAGGAAACGGGGTTGAGGTTGTGCCGTTTCGTGCTGGGGAGGAGATGTGGGGTGTTGAGTGGTTGTAGGGTACCGGTCTCTGGTCTGGTCGGATTCAATTCGGGAATAAATGTCGTGGAAAAAGGTGATTGAGGAGGGAGTAGATAGGGTGGTTTGTCGGGTCAGGTTGGGGGTCAAGAAAGACGGGAAGCAAGATGCATGTAAGAAAGCAGCAACTGGGAAAAGGGGGGTTGAGGTGTGGATGGCAACAGTGGACGAGAGGTGATGAATGCTCGCCACCAACCAAGTATGGCGGGAGTATGAGTGAGGATAATGCAAAGACTTCATTTGGTCGATTTTCAGTTTCGCCCCTTCCATTCCATCCGGATGACAGTTATGACCATGCTCCAAGAGACTCCCGCCATTCCAGGTATCACCCAGACTAACCCTCATAATCACCGTACAAGTCCCCTCCTCATAACGCCCAATCAAAGTAGACAATTCCCTCACCAGCATGCACCTCCCTTCAGTTTACAGCAAAACCTAGCCAGTAGGCGTAACGGGCGGCGTAGCCGCTCTCCTGTTAAGCTCCTACACCATCGAGTTATTCGCCACCCCTGCCGCCGCCATCCCTTGCAACCCACTCCCCCCAGCTTGCCCCTGCCCCTGCGCACCACCACCACCACCACCCCCGCCACTCCCGCATCCCCCCTGAGCAGCAGCTGACGCCGGCGCAGACGCAGTTCCGGACGCAGCAGCGGTCCTCTTCCTCTTGACAGGCTGGTAGACATCATTGAAATTCATCGACACCCCCAAAAACCGCATATCCACGTCCGGCTGGTACGCCAGATCCCCCAGCAGCACCTGCAGGCGCGTCTTGAAGGAGGCGCCGAGCTGCCTCAGCCGGTCCTGCAGCGCGGGGAGCTCAGATGAGAGATCGCCAGTCGTCGACATGAACGGGTCATCGAGGTCCGCCGCCGAGGTCGATGACATGGTGGCGGTATTAGTAGTAGAAAGCTTAGGTTTCTTGCGTGGGTGTGCGGAATGGTTGTGGTGGTGATGGTGCTGCATCAGCCCGACGGCGTCGGCCTCCTGCCGCCGCGTGAAGTCCGAGAGCGACCAGCTGTACAGGCCGTCGACACAGTCGCGGTAGGCGAGCATGATGCGCAGCAGCTCGCTCAGCTGCACCATGTACGAGTTGCGGTCCTCGGACGACGACGCGAGGTCGGCCGGGTCGCGCCCCTGCTGGGCGGCGGCTTCTTTCAGCGAGTCGTGGTACTGCCGGCGGCGGGCGCCGAGCAGGCCCTTGTGGGTGATGGCCGTGAGATACTTTGTGTGCGCCGTGATGAGGTCGTCGAGGGTGCAGTCCTCCTTGCGTATGTTTTTCTGGAGCTCGCTCCAGCTCGACTCGATCACCTCGAAGAGGATGTAGTACTGCAGCTGGCCGACAAAGTGCACCATCTCGGCGAGCACGCCGCGGGTGCTCTTCCAGGTCTGGAGGACGTGCTCGTCCGAGGTCTGGAGTACGCCGCGCGAGCCCGTCATGCACTTGCGCCAGGTAGAGGCGAGGGCGAATTCGACGCGCTTGACGCGCCAGAGAAAGTTGAAGACTTTGAGGTACTGGCGATTGCCCCATTCGGTGACGACCACGTCGACGGGCGCGTCGATCTTGTACTCGAGCGTGAAGCAGTCCCAGCCGATGTCGCCGTGACTGAGCTGTAGCATGCGGGCGTCCAGCCTGCGGAGGACTTCTTCGCTGTCATACTGGGCATTGGAGCCCCGGATGGCATGCTCTAGCTGGGCCGTCAGGGTGTGGCGGTACTGCGCAAAGGCCGGCCGATCCAGGTTCGCGGCCAGCGACTCCATCAGGAGGGCGATGAAGTCGCCCTGGCCGAGCAGGATGTAGTTTTTGAGCGCTTGCAGGTGGTCAAAGAGGTGGAACCGGGTGCTCATGAGGTGCATCAGGCGCCGCATTGTGGTCTTGTAGGCCTCGTCGATCCATGTCTCGAGCGTCGCCGTGTCGCCGTAACTGAGCTGCTTGGATGAGTTCTTACTGTATGCGTCGACCCATTGACTGTCGCCGCAGCTGTGGCGGATAAAGTTGAGCGACTTTCCAATGAGAAACACTTTTTGCGCAAAGTCGGCCGTGATGATGCTCGGCACCATGGCGTCGACGACCTCATACTTGGAGTTCCAGACGCTGGCCTGGCCCTTAGCCTTAGACTCCTTGCGAACTTCGTCGTTGGGGCTCTGCTCCCTGACAAAGAACTCCAAGTGTGGGTCCGACAGCTCACCGTCATAGATCCAACGCCGGAGGATGTCGTAGAATGGCCTGGTCACGTCTGCAAGTAGCCGTTCAGCGAAGGCGGCCACGACCGGGTCACCGTGGGAGGTCGAGAATCCGTGAATCAGGCTGATTACCTGCCCGCCATGCTTGGTGTTGCTCTCTTCGGCAATCAGCGACATTAGCCGCAAGCCCATGGTCGCCTCTCGAGTCCACACCACGCAGCGCTTCAGGGTCACGCCAGCCTTCCCAATACCTCCGCGAGGCGCCGCTTCATCAAGAGTAGAGAGTGCTCGCCGTATTTGCCCTTCGAGCGTGGCGACGAGGGTGAGATATGACCTGAGCTCATTGTTGATGGCGGCTCTCAAGCTCTGACCAAGCAACCCTTTTGCGGGAGACTTGACGAAAGTCGAGAGTCCTCTGTATAACAATGACGGCTCGGCTAGGGTATGGAGCAAAGAGATAATAGGGGAGGGCAGAGTAGAGGGCAATTTGAGGACCGTATCCTTGGCAAATGGTAGAGTGGTCGAAGAGAGCCCTTGCAGCGTGAAGGGAAGGTCCCTCAACAGGGCCATCTCGGACGGCTCAAAGTCATTAGAGTTGTCGGCCAACAGAATTGACTTTATCGAGACATCCCTCGCTGGCTGCTTCTTTGGTGTGCCATCTACAGGGGGGACCGGTGCTGAAGCTGAAGCTGAGGTTGGCCTTTCCTCGGTTGGGGTGCGTTTCGACCTTTCGGTGGGCAGCTTCTTCAGGCCACCGGGAGCGAACGCCTCGTGCACAACTTCCTCCTCTGGTGTAAGGGCGGCTAACGCCCTGGAGCTTTTATCCCTCTCCACTTGCCGAGGGGGCGCTCGTTGCGAGGGCGGTTTTGGCGGACTGAGCGGCCGGGGCTCGGTTGGGTCTGGAGAATCGGAGAGCTGGTAGAGCAAATACAGGATGGCCCACTTTTGGTTGAGCACTGGGAGCGAAAGCAGCCGTGTGTAGAGGTTGGAAAATCTCAATGCCTGGCTGGGGTTGCTCTGGATGAGCTTGCGCTTGATAAGGTCTGAGGCATAATTTACGTCGGAGGTGATGGCCGGAGAGGAGGGCCTGACGGAGGCGTCAGTGGATGCACGTCGAGAAGAGACACAAGGAAACGTCTATTACCGATCGAGGATGTTCCTAACGAGCTCGAAGCAGGCATCGTGGCGTTCCTGTGCCGACTGCTCGTCCTCTTCGCTTGGGTTGCTGGGTACCAAGTGCGAGATCAGACTATCGATGGCATTTGAAACTCGGTTGCGCTGGTTGGAAGTCATCGTGGCATTCGCATGATGCCTGGCTCCGCCGTTGGCTCGCCTGGCGGTAGGAGTGCGAATGCAATTGTCCGTTGAGTTGGCTGGCAGCAATGGTCAGTGCATCATGGTTGTTGAATTGCAGCTGATGCAACGGGTGAGGATACGCGACTCGCGACGAGGGACATGGGCACGCTGAAAGAGTGCCATGGCTGTCTCAGGTGATGCTTTGGCCACTTTTAGGTACCTCAGCTTCAGCCCATTTTGTGTGCGAGTCAAAGTACCATTTCTGTACCTGCCACCCTCGGGCCCTGCGACCCTGCCAGTAACCGAGCTAGTTACGTCCGCTGACAACGCTGGAGGCTCTCCGAAAATCAACGACAGCCGAACCCACCCAAACCTGAAGACCGACCACCTCAGTTGCGGCAGCCGGCGAGAATATCATCGATTCGGCAGCGCCACCATGCGAGATCCATTGGTTTGAATTCGAAATTGTGATCGCATGAGCCCGGCATACATTTTTATGCGCCCAATGAACGCGTGTTCGCCCCACGATTGTGCAGCATTCCGCGCGCGACCGTCCTGACGCCCTCTTTTCGCGCTCTCGCCGACCGCATCCCCGAACCGCTCGCTTATCCGTGGCTGGCGATATCGCGAGCTCCCACCATGGTCGACATCAACCCCGCCGCTTTGAGCAGCCGGCCATCCATCAGCCTGTCCACACCGGTGCTCTCGAAACAGTCCATCAATGTCTCGGTTCCTTCAATACACAAAGCTCCCAAAACCAGCCAGCTTATACCCGCCCGGATCGACCTAGAGTCCATCTATACAGAGCTCAAAGCAAGCATTGGCGCCGAGCAATGGCCAATATACAAAGAGACCATCACCAGCTTTCTAATTGGTACTGCACTGCCCAACAGTATGCACCAGGGGTTCAAATCAGGAATTATGCTGACCATGTCGTTTAGGCCGCCTCAACCAGGCCGAGTTCAGTGAGCGCATCGACCCCATACTCGCTTCACCCGATGGCGCCAAAGAACATCTCCACAACCGGCTCATTGCGGCCATATACGGCAATGTTACGCGGGAAATGCCCGATCAGGGCCTTGCGCCCTGGGTCAGCGCCAACGACAAGCCGTCGACGACTCCCGGGAGCAAACCCGTGTCCGGAGATGCTGCCGAGCGGAGGTTAAAGGGGGAGGTCATGCAACTCCCGGCACGTGACCGGAGGCGAATCAAGGATCTTGTACACAACGATGTAAGCTGGGCGAAGGCCGCGTATCGTTTGCAGGGGACACGGGCTGACCACCGCAGTTTGACCCATACGATTCCCTGGCCAATGTATTTACGGACCACGCCCGGATGCGCCCTGCCAAGACGACCGAGGTGCCTGCCAGCGCGGGAGGGGGCCTCAGCCGAATGAGCAAGTTGCCCCATCCTCGTAGACTCAGGAGAGCCCCCAGCTAACTCTCTAGACAGACTTTGATCTCGAGATTAGGAAACGCTACGCGCAGCCACTGGCCGTCGAGTCGGGCGAGTTTCCGGACGTCAGTAACATCGAGGCCCGGATGCTGCCCTTTTGCTACGAGGCAGGCCTCGTATCGGGGCATGCGCCAGACGCGGCGCAGTTCATGTCGATCGCCACCGAGACCTTCATCAAGGAGGTCATGTCGTCCATCTTCAGCCGCACGCGAAGCAACGCGCCGGGCGACTCGGGCAACGCCGGGTTCGGCGCCAGCAACAATTGGATACAGACGCACAGGTACCGGAGGCAGCTTGCGAAAGAGGAGGAGGCGTTCCAGCGGGGCGAGGTGGCGCGCGATAAAACCGGGCTGCTGCCCGTCGAGGCCAAGGCCGCGAGCGAGCGGGGCCCGCTGGGGATTGCCGATTTACGGTTGGCATTGGAGATGGGCGACTGCGGGCTCGCGAATTTCCCTATCATCACGAGGTCGGTGATATACGACTACCGCGAGGGCGAGCTCGAGAACTGGGACGACTACACATATGTCGATGGCCGCCATAGGATCACGGATCTGGACGGAGACGTCGAGATGGGCGAGGTGAACGGGGCAGCAGCGGCGAAGGACGTTGGGCCGCTTGCAAACGGCGTCAGCCACGGCGACCACATGGACATCGACAATGACATGTGGTGGGAGGGTGTTGACACGACAGACAGAGACTTTCTTAATGGGGTTTTGGACTCTTGTCTGGCTGTTGGCTAATCTGACCGACAGAAGGCCGAGAAAGAGCTGCTTACGAGCAAATATTTTTATCATTACTTTTCTTTTGCACAAGGAGTTGCATGGAGTCCGGCGGGGACGGCGTTTACGACAGGGCGGGCGGCGGCGGTGGGTTGCTTTAGGCATTGCATCGGCACTCGGTATTTTCTTGGGCACGACATGCCCTGTATAACTGTTTTGGGTGGACTTACAAAAGGAGGCGGCGGACACATTTGGCGTCGAAACGGGAACATGGCTTCCTACCTACAGGTGCGCACTTGACACGAGATGAAAGCTGAGGATTCTGTGGCTGTCTGCGGGAGACAGGAGACGGCTTTTTGTACTGTAGTTTTTTTTCGAACGATACCCGGAACAGCCCTCGCGGGGACGGAGGCGGGTGATGCTCATTGCTGGCTGCTGTACGTAGTTCAGCATGAAATATAGGAGAAGGTATGAGCGTGGAGCTGTATGTCTTTCCGGGTGATGCAATGGAACGGTGTTGGCTTGGCTGATGCTACAAGGTTAGGTACCTTAACAGGGGTGGCGCGCCACTTAAGTCCACCAAACACGTCTCCAGCGCGTCTTCCCCACTAATGCATATCAACCCTGCCCTCACACCCAAACTCCCCATCCTCTTACAACAAGCACATTCCCAAGGCAGTTCTTCGCTTAGGCTTTTAGACCAGCACTCGACATAATATTTGTTTTCCCCAGCATACACACCCTCGATTTCTGGCACAATGGCCTCTTCGAGGTCGCCGTCGCCGAGTCTGCGTCGGTCTCGCAGCGTGTCGCCCACCACTGCCACGACGCGCCTCATTCAACAAAGCAAACAGAGCCTGTTTGCTGCCTTTTCCGACAGCGATTCTGAAGAGGACAGTGATATCCTTCGTCCACGCGGGAAAATGGCCGCAAGGATGCAAGCACGCGACAGCGAAACCCCAGAGTCCGAGTCCGAAGTTGACGACGACGTGAAAACGACGCGGGCCACTCCGCCCAGGGAGAGCACCGAAGACATCCATTCCGCGGCTGGCCAGGAGAATATGGATGACGACAACGATGAGGACGTGGTCGCAACGCGTCCCAGGAAGCTGCACTCTCGCCGCGAGCGGAGCTTCACCCCCAAAACAAGGCCACAGAAAGAAGCTGCCTCTGCCCAAGGCCTCTTCGCCTCCCCACAAAAAGACGCCCCCGAGTCTCCGGGACTTTTTGTGTCGCCGTCCAAGCCTCAATCTCCTTCAGCAGAGCAAAGTGACGACGACCTTCCCAGCCCAACCGCCTTGACCAAGAACCCCAGCTTCAGGGCGCTCGTCGCCAAGAAGCGTCAAGAACGGCTCGCGAAAGAGGCCGCCGAGGGACGCAAGAAGGCTGAGCGCCGGAAACAAGCTTGCTTCAACGAAGGTGATGTGATGGTTGACGACGATGAAGATGACAACATCACGGACGACGAGGGCGGCCGGAAGCTGACCCAAGAAGCGGGGGCCGCCCGTCCTCCGCGGAAAGCCAGCAAGAAGGCTCTCGAGGAGATGAATCGCGAGACCCAACGCCTGACCCGGAGTCTGCAGCTCGGCTATGAAGCCAAGGTGAGGAAGAAGATCACCAAGGCGACCTTGTTTGAGCGCTTTAATTTCAAACCTGAGAATGCCCCTGCGCCCGCTGCGAAGGCTGCACCGGCACCAGCACCAAGCTCAAGCCGCGCCCCAACTCCCGGGTCACCTCCTCATAGTGATGCCGAGATGAAGGACGCCGAGACGCCGCCTAGTTCGCCGCCGGCATATAGCACGGAGAAGAAGTCGGAGGACGTCGCTCCGCAAGCAGCCGAGACGACAATGCTTGACGACGACGACGACTTCCCTACACTGGAAGAGATCGTCCAAGCAGGCAAGAAACTTGACAAGGGCAAATGCAAAGCCACCGTAGCAGACCTGGAGGAACGCCCTACAGCCTCGCCCCCCCGGAAGCGTAACTTCCGCCTTAAACTCCCTCCCCTGCAAGTCAACCCCGCCACGACTCTCTCTCTCGATGACGACGACGACGACGACGACCTGCAGATCGTCCCCACCCGCAAATCCAAGCTCGACGCCCTCTTCGACCGCATCCCGCTGAACCAAGCCAAAGAATCCCGCCCGCTGCAGGTTCTGCGCCGGCTAGCCCACCTCGACGACCCGGACAAGAAGGCCGCCCCGCCCAGCAACCACAAGTTGATGGCAAAGCAGCAGCACAACCAAAACACCACCGCGGCGACGGTCATGACGGCCGCCCAGCTGCAGGCGAGCCTCCTGCAGCGCGCCCGTCAGCAGGTCAAGCTCGAGCGCGATCGCCAGCTTGAGATGTTGAGGGCTAAGGGTATTCACGTGCAGACGGCCGAGGAGAGGGAACGGGAGCTGCAGGACGTGGATGATATTGTTGCCAAGGCGAGGCAGGAGGCTGAGGAGATTATGGAGCGGGAAAGGGAGGCGGCTAAGGCGGAGAGGAAGAGGCGGCGGCTGGAAGGTGGGGGGGACGAGGAGGATGCGGTCGGGTGGGACGATGATAGTGAGGATGATGAGGAGTATGTGGAGGAAGAGGAGGGGGAGAAGGAGTTGGAACTTTCTGGTTCTGAGGAAGAGGAGGAGGTTGGCGAGGATGGTGAGGGTGACGGTGCGACTGAGGGGCTGATTGATGATGCTGCTGAGAGCGCGGAGGAGTCCGAGACTGAAGATGCTGAGGAGCAACCTGAAAAGGAGGACTCGGATGAGGAGCTCCCCAGCTCAAAGCACGTTCGCCGGAGGCCAAAGAAAAAAGTCACTATCGTCTCTGACGACGAGGATGAGGCAGAACCACTCGTCAAGGCTACACCCCGGCCGAAGGCTCATTTCCCCAAGTCGCCGTCAGTCCGCAATGCTGAGTCCCCCGCCGTGCCAACGTCGGTTCTGCGGTCGGCCACAAAGCCTTTCATCCCGGGCCTTCCCGTCGCTGGTCCTGCTGGACTCGGTCTGACCCAGATCTTTGCGGGCACCATGGACGACAGCCAGACGGGGTTAACTCAAGCATCACCCTCCCAACCGCGACCCACCTTCGACGTGACCACCTTTCCGGACTCCAACTTCTCCCAGACCGCGCAGGAAGCCCCGGAGGACATGATCCTCGACAGCCAGAGGCCGCAGGGGACGCAGCAAGGCGAAACGCAGGGCGTGCAGATCCGCTTCTCGCAGTCCCAGATGCAAGGCTTCGACACCTTGCTGCAGGAGCCTGAAAACCTCACCCAGGCCTCGGAGCTCATCGAACCCACCCAGGACGCCGGTTTTCACAATTTCTCGCCGCTGCGCCAACGCTTTGTCGAGCCCCCTGTTTCGACTGCCGACACGGTCCCCGTCGGCCAGATCCAGGCAGAAGAGCAGAGCGAATCGCCTCTGGTGAAGAGAACCGGGAAACTCAGGCGCAAAGCCGAGGTAGTACCTGCGTCACCGACTCGCCGCAGGGTTTCAGAAGATGGCGACGAGACGAAGGAGGACCATGAGACTGATGAGTTCGATGTCGGCACCGTGTCCAACAACGTCTTCGCCGCCATGAAGGAGGCCGCGCTCAAGGAGAAGAAGCGCAAGGAGGCGTTTGACAAGAAAAAGAGCAAGGCGCGGGATATGGTCGAGGAGCAGGCCGAGGAGTCCGAGGACGAGTATGCCGGGCTTGGCGGTGCTGATGGTGAAGATAGCGACGATGAGGATGATCAATCGGTTAAGGGGATGATTGATGACGAGACGAGGGAGAATGAGGAAGATGAGAGGAGACTGGCTGCTTTCTATGCGTAGGTTTCCCCTTTTCCTGTACAGTGGTAGCATACACTGATCCCCACAGCGATCGTGAACGCGCCGCGGACGAGCAGCGGGTCGAGAAGCTCTTCCACGATATCACCACCGGTGCGCTTCGGCGCAAGCGGCAGGGCAACTGGGACGACCTGTCCGATTCGGATGACGGCGGAGAAGCCCGCCGCCGCATGAAGCGCCGCCAGTTCGCCAAGATGCAGCGCGCGCTATTTGCCGACGAGCGTATCAGCAAAGTCGCCGAGAACCCGCGCAGCCAGGCTTTCCTGCGGACCATCGAGGACCGCGGCAGCGACGAGGAGATGGACTTTATCTTCGCGCCGCCACCGCCGCCTGCAGGTTCTGAAAGCCAGGAGTCCCAGGCTTCAGCCGCTGGACAACCTCCAGCAGTTATCCCCAACAGCCAACCACAGACTCGGCCAGCAGCCAACCCGCGCCGTAACAAAGATGGCAAGAAACCTGCTCATATCGGCGAAATCCGCGAGTCCCTCTCCAACCTACTCGACGAGCCCTTTCACACCTCCTCCTCTCTCATCCCCGCCACCGAACTCGGCTCCTCCGACGACGACGAGGAAGACCCAGCCCCCCGTCCCGGGTCCTCCCACAGCAGCAGCAGCAGGAGCAGCAACAAAGAAAACCGCAACCCGCGCCGCAGCACCAGCATCAGCACCAGCAGCAAACCAATCATCGACCGCATCACCCTGAAGCGCAACTCTTCCAGCGCCTCCTCCAACAGCAACATCAACAACAAACTCGCCTTCACCTCAGTCACTTCCGCCACCGCCTCATCGTCGTCGTCAGCATTCAAAGTCCCCGCCCTCCTCCGCCGCGCAACGACAAACTCGCTGCTCTCCACCTCGCCATCATCCACCTCCACTTCCGCCTCTACATCATCATCATCATCAACAGGTGCAACAATCAAACTAGGCGGTGGCAGTGGTGGCAGTGACAACATGAAGATCAAGAAACCCGCCGGCAAGCGCTCGGGCGTGAGCTACCTCGCACGGGAAACGGAGCGGCGCGCGGCGGTGGCCGAGGCCGAGAGGCGCAGGGAGGCCAAGAAGTTGCGCGGGGTTGAGGGAAGGGTTAAGGCTGTGGGGGGGTTGTTTGCTGGTGGCAGGTTCGAGTGAATCTTTCTCTTCTTTGAATTACTTTTTTCTTTGTATCCCATTGAATCCCTTCCCAGGGGTTAGGTTGGAATTTAATGGAAGTAGAGTGGGACAGCGAGGGTCGGGCGATTAACCAGAAGGGTTCTTCTGGGTTAGGATGTCCAAGAAATCTTTTCGGTTAGTTGTCTGGCTTGGGAAACAGTTGGACCGTAGATAGTGGCGTGTTGAGTACGGTAGATTGTCAGGGCGGGCCGGCCGGCCGGTTGGGAGTGTGTTTGGGCAACGGTCTTGTATGGGTTTTTGGGTCGGATGTAAGGTATTGTAGTACGGGCCTATTTTATGCATGGCATGGCATGACTGTGCAGTAGCTTTGCGAGGATGACATATGGTGAAAGCTCCCAGATCTGCTTTCGCCTTTCTATATGTTTGGCAGCAGATCGAGAGAAGCCAGAACGCATGTAATCGAAGCGACGGCAGTAGCCCCTCCGCCGAAATCCCTCATGTTGTTGCCATTCTCATGGATGAGGCCGCTTCAAAGCTGGACAGCGTTGTTGAGAATCTTGACTTCTTCGCCGGGTTTCTGTTGAGTCTCATTAGCCATCTCTTTCTCTCTAGCGGGGTTATGGGTGGACAAACGAATGCCGGCAGACCAATGTATGGACAGTCGGCGCACCGAAATGCATCGCCTAGGTAGCAGCTGCCGCAGGACCCAGTCTTGCCCTGGACCGTAAAGTCGAGCTCATTGAGGTCCTCCGACTTCAGCTTCAGCGTGTTCAGGCCGTCGTTCGCCTTGGCGCGCCGCGCCTTGTCCTCGGCTTCCAGTCTCGCTGCCAGGCCGCAAGTGCTGTGATGGTTTGTTAGCCGCTTGCAGTTACTGGGAAAGGAAACGTTCGCGGGAACCACACCAGTCCTTGCAGGCCCGCCGCTTCTTGCCCGGCTGCGGCGCACACTCGGGCGGCTGTTGGATCGGCCGCCGCATGTCCTCCTCCGTGAGCAGAGTCTCCTCGTCAATTACATTATCGTCATCCTCGGCATCCAAATTCAAATCGTCACTGAAGTCCACAAACCCCACCCCGACCGTCGCAGGCGCAGGTGTAGCAGCCACACCACCATTCCCCTCCATCTTCCTCTTCCCCAGCCCCAACCGCAGCGGCACGACCGCCTCCTCCTCATACTCCGGCTTGACAAACCCACCACCCTCTCCGTCCGTGAAAGCAACCAACCCAGCCAGCACCGCCTCCCGCCATTCGACACCACCGCCACCACCGGCACTCAAACTCTCATCCTCGCTCCTCACCCGGCCTCCGGCCTTGATAGCAGGCACCAACCGCGCCCAGACATTCCTGTCACGAAGCAGCGAAAAGGCTTCAGCCCGGCGTGAGCCGTCGGGGTCGGTCAGGACCAGTACCAGGTCGTAGGTGGTGCGCGGCAAGGCGACGAGGCCCGCGGCCAGGCGGTCGAGCATCTGCAGGTCGGTGGTGGCGCGTGGGTGAGTCGCAAAGAGCGCGCTGAGGCGGTCCTCTCGGGCTGCGAGGGAGGGCGGCGCAAGGAGGAGGGTTCGTTGTTTTGTGATTGATGTTGTTGTCGAGGCATTGGTGGTGGTGGTGGTGGTGGTGGTGGTGGGGTTGAAGTCCGGGGAGAGGTCTAGCGCCGGAGGAGGCATTTTGGCGGTTCAGGGGGAGGGAATTCCGGTCGTGTTGGTGGTCGTGAACGTTGGAGTAGACGGTGAAGGAAGTAGTCTGTTCTGGCTTTTGAACTGCGAATGTACCTGGAGCACCTGATGTTGAGATGGGAAGGGTGATTTGTCAGTGTGCTAAACAATCTGCGAGGAGGGGCAATCTGCCAGGCTGATAAGATTTCCGTGGAGTGGGACGGAGATGCCTGTAACTGGAGCCCAATTGGTAAGCTTGCCATCAACCGTACCAGCACAGTGCGAGCAGCGTTTCAGTGCTGCCGCTCGACGCATCAGATCCAATGATCAGGCAGCGACAAGCACGCTGCAATGTTCCGTGGAAAGGACTGCAGGGTGCAGGATATACCTAAGAACTTCAAAGTGCATGGTAATATCTAAATCAACTACACTCCTTAGGTACATAGGTAGCAACGCAACAGACACTGTCTGCGAAACATCCTCCCGACGCCAATAGCGGCAAGGATGCCTTTGACGGAGGAGAGCGGGTTTACAGTATGGTTACGGTGTGATCGAAGTTTGTCAGTTAAGAAAACGGCCTGCTACCGGCCGATATCGGCAAAAGTGGTAGTGTCTTGATTGTTTTACAACAGCGCACTATAGCTCAAATGCACTGCTCGTCATAGTGTTAGAGCGTGCTATGGCTTATAGACAAGAATTCCAATTGGCACTGCTCGTTTGAAATTATTGTGGCCGAGACATCCATGGATGTCTCGCTGTGAAAGTTGAATCGACTTTTGAACCCGGACTTAATATGAATCTCCTTGGTCTGTGAAATTTTTGAGGGATTCATGGCTGATACGGCAACCCAGGCACAGTAAGAGAAGACGGGAGAGCGAGAAAGAAAAAAATGAAAATGAGGCCTTTGCCGATGTTGCGAGGAAGAAAGACGAAGACGAATGAGGTGCAGCCCGTTGTGTTACACTGCTCATTCGGCAACTTTGGCTTGTTGGCTGCTCCATCAACCGCGCATGTCATGCCGAGTCATCCCAGTGGATTGCCTCGGGGATTCATGGTGGGTGAGTCGAGCCGCAGCCTCGCCGGGTGCAAGCTTGGCTTATCGTGTCAGAACAAGTCAACAGCACGCAAGTTGAGTGATGCTGAGGCTCAAAGCGGTACGCATTACGTGGCCTCATCTCTCTATACAAAGCCAAAAATGCAATTCTCGAGTGAGAAAGATGCACCCTTGGACTTCATGTAACTACATATAGTGTAGGTCGACTAATCCTGTTGATGTTCATGCATCGAGAAGCGACGGCACGTGAGCTAGAGCAAGGGGTTTGACACTAACAGGCTTCCCCGCGAAATGCGCACCTTGGCGCCCCACTCTGAGTCCCTGAGACAGGTGGAGAAGCTGATGTCACACGCATTTCAGCGTGCTGAGTCCCAGCGGAGGCCCAGAACAGAAGCTCGCAAATTGAAGCAGCAGGATATCCGGCACCTTTGGAACGTCAATTGACAAGGCAATTGATGCGAATACCACCTCGGGTGAATTTGACGATTTGACAATCAAGATCTTCAATTCTATGATCATTTTCAGTGTGCAGATCCATGGAGTTGAGCTGCGGTTGGCGACGGTCAGCCTAGACTCATCTCATATCCGCTTCACACCATATCACGCGACTCCCCTCATTGACGCCTCCTTGACTCCCCACCATGCCGTGTCCCGCCCCCCTTGTTCTTGCCCTTTGGAGTTGCTCGCCTGATCAATTCCGAGCTGTGACTGGTCGGCCCAGGCCTCCATAGGATTCCATTGGAGCTGTCTGATGCCTTCTTAAGGACTGCACTCCCTCCTTTTATCTCATCATCACTTCCCCTCAATGTCCATACCCTTCGACAAACCATCCAACTTCTGTCTGCTCATCGGCCTGCTTTCCATTTCAAACCGTCGACCGGTCTTAGAGATTGTGACTCGCGCATATCACTTCAGATCAGTGGAACTTGCTTTATCAAATCCAACCATTGTGACATCAACGACTGACAGCAACGGTGAGTTCTCGAAGCTACTCGAAGCTACAATCCCCCACTCTCTGAGCAATAAGCAATCACCCCGCACGATTTGTACGACACTGACCTCGCCAACAGCCGTACTGCAAACAAGCCGCATCAGATTCCCATCTCATCACCCAACAGTCCATCGCGCATCAAGAGTAAGGCGCTTCTCCCTCAGTTGCCATGACATCAGCAGATGCCAACTAACTGTTTTGTTGTAGTGACTCGCTCTCACAAGGCCAACGACAAGGACCACGCCGGTCTGGCCGACGGCACCGTCCCACCGCATGAACAGATTCCGAAGTGGTTTGGCAAGCACGGCTTTGCCGATGCCCACCCCAAGATGACCAAGAAGAACGGTGCTGGCCGCGCAAACTGGTATGTTCCTGGCGTACCTGAATCCTCCCAGTCCTGTGGTCCCACCTTCGCTAACACATCCCAGGGGCAACGCCGGCGATGAGATCGCCGACACGGATTTCAACTTCACCAATGCTCGCCGCCGCTCCAACAGCAGCAGCATCTCGACCGACCCCGAGTACCTCAAGACCAAGTTCGAGGTCAACGAGCCGGAGCCCGTCTTTGAGGAGAACATGGGCCCCGAGGAGGAGGAGGAGAAGATGGAGAATTCGTCGAACGGGACCAGCGTCGACGAGAACAAGTCTCATAAGGACATCTAAGCCGATGAACGGCGGGGGTGGAAATTTCACAGAAAGAATGGGTGAGGAAGTCACCTGCGAAATGCATCGCGGGAATCCAACATTTTGGCGGAGGGCGTTTCTGGCCGGAGCGATCTAGCAACGGGGAAAAGCCTTCTATTTGACTACCACACATGACGCTGTTTGCTTCTTAGGCTTCGGAGGATAGCACGCGATGACGCGGTCCGCACGCCGCATTGTACAATAGTCTCGATCTAACAAAGACGGACGCCGTCCGATTGACAGATCCGTTGTTCCTGACCAGGCGCCCTGAATCGTACAAACCCTCACTGACCATGCTTCCTATTTGCAGCCGCCGCTATGACAATATCATGACTCAGAACGCTCCAAGCTGGCTTGAACACCGAGCCCTCGAGCTTGATCTTCCCAATGCTCAACCACGTCCCATCCCGCATACGCACCAGCACCTTGCCCCCTTCCGCACCCGCCCAGTGCCACCATAACCTACCCGCTATCTCACCAACCTCGCCATGCATCACATATTGTACCCCCCCGACGTCGGGAGTTTCTCCCGGCCGAATGGTGGGCTCCCCCCCAATCTCCTCGGCGCTCACCTCCGACAGCTCGTCAAGAATGGCGCGCTTCTTGAGCGCGCCTGGCGCGCTGGCGCGGATGTATGTCCACAACGAGCCCAACACCCGCGCCCGCCTCACCACCTCCCCCGCGCCCGCGACATCATCCCACCGGACCTCCCGATCCGCCGCCGTGATCTTGGGGGCATCCGGTACTGCATTGCTGGAGCGCGGTGGATAGGGGTACTGCGTGCACCCAGGGAAGGGCTTGTGCGGCGGGACGTGCAGGCCCCTGCGTAGCGTCTGGAGCAGCATATCTGCGCCGCGAGGGGCCAGGATGGCGTGGAGTTGTGGCAGGGTGCAGTTGGGCGGGATGGGGATTCCTGGTAATGGGGTCTGTAGCAGGGGGATGCCCTCGTCGAAAGCGTGTGGGGAGAGGGTCTGGATGGTTATGCCTGTGTGGCTGCGGTTTGCGAGGAGGGCGTGGTGGAGGGGGGCTGGGCCGCGGAATCTGGGTTGAGTTAGAAGTAGACGGTTAGTTTTTAAAAAGAGTGAGTGGGTGAAAGACAAAACAAGGGAGGGAGATATACTCGGGGAGGAGAGAGGGGTGGACGTTGAGGCCGCCGTATTTGGTGGCGTTGATAAGGCGGGGTGGGACGAAGAGGCCGAAGGAGACGGCGACGATGAGATTGATGGGGTCGTCGTCGGGTTTGGGTAACTGTTGTGGTGTTAGTAAAAGGGGATAAATAGGGGGGTTGTCCGGGGCCATGGGCTTACATCCCAGCCTGTGAATGTGTCTCTCACATGGATAGGCAGCTTCAGCTCCTCCGCTAGCTTCCGGGCGGGTACTTTGCCACGTCAGGTCCATGAATGGGCACCTTAGTTTGGAATTGTTGGGATACCTTCTCTTATGACCTTGTGCCCTCGTCCGGTTGGCTTGCTTGGTCTCACGACCACATCGATTGACCGGATGAGGTTGGCATTGCGTTTCTGCTCGTCGTGTAGAGCCCCGAGGGAGTGGCAGCTGAAGTCATCTGAGCCGCAGAAGAGAATTCTCAGAGGGTCCGACTTCTTGGAAGCGGTGCTGGTGCCATACGAGAACCGCCATCGTGCTTGTCTTGCGCCGCTTCGCAAGAACCAAGCGAGCTGTCGTCCAAGCATTTGAAGTTATGTCGACGGGACATCACACCTTCATATTGGAATCAGTAGTAGGCAGTGAGTATCTCCTTGAGTCAGCGGACAACATCTAATACTACGATCGGACTCAAGTCTAGGATAATGAACGATGTAATGTTTGAAGGCTGCTTGTTTAGGATTGTACGGAGGTAGAATTGTAAATAATGAATGAGACGAGGCCAAGATTCAATACTCGGATGAGGACCCCGTACGGACTAGGACCCACTTTTCCAACCCGCATGGAAACAACACCCCCTTAGAATTGATCCCTGTGTCTCCCATTAGCATCATCAGTGAGAACTTCAAGCATGCAAACCGAAGCGACTGTGTGTATTCGGACATGTGTGGGCAGAGTGAAGGACGCCGCCAACGCAATTAACCAGGCACTTTTTCAGCTTGGACACCACTTGACTATCCTTTACACAGGCAACTCCATCACCCCCCATCCCCATCCAACCCCCCGTCCACCTCCCACCTATACGCAACGGCCCAAACTCCATCAAGCTCAACATCCCACGCGGGCGGTACGACACTCACCACCGCCCCCGGGACAACCCGACACCCATTTCCACCCCCTTTACCTCCGCCTCCTCCTCCTCCCAACCCTTCAATATTCCCCTCCCCAGCGAGAATCACCCTTACCCTCCCTTCCAGTCCAGCCCCTTGTTCTTTTCCCATTGGCACCTGTCGTCCAGCAACCAACGTCATGCCGGCCCCACCACGCGACAACTCCTCCACGGCAATCCGCGCCGCGGCCGCAACATTACCGGCAGAAGAGGAAGAAGAAGACGCAAACCTGAGCGCCGAACACGTAGTCGCCATCTTGCCTCCCCCGTCCACACCGCCCTTGACATCCACCAGCCAGTCGCGCAGCTCGGCGGCTAGCCCGCCGGGGAGGTATTTGTTGCCGCGCCGTTGGGGGGAGAAGATGTCTGCTGTCAGGTAGGCGTTCGTGGCGTCCGGGTAGTTGGGGCGTCTGTCTGGGGGTTCAGTGGGTTTGAAGCGCGGGATCTGGTGGGAAAAGCGGAGTTTGCTGCTGTGGTTGAGATTGCTGTGGTTGTGGTTGTTGTTGGATTTATTAGGTGTTTCAGGATCTGCTGCGTCAGGTTCTGCGTCGGAGTCTTGTGGTTTGGAGGGGACGTTGGTTGATGTTCTTGGAAGATGGGTTCGGTGTGTCGGAGAGGAGGAGATGGACTGGGTAGACGAGTTGTTGGCGTCACCGTCGTCGTCGTCGTCATCGTCTACATCATTGCCCGAGACATCCACATCCGAGTGATAGGCGGCAATGCCGTGGTCTGGGGCGTCTGGTAGAGAATCGAGGTCGGTTTCTTGCAATTGTTGCGAGGGCTCTATCAGATTTGTCTCAGGCTCGGATGAGGCGATGGATATTCGCCTGCGTTTGGGAGAGCGTCCCTCTTTGAGCGCGGAAGGGGAGGGCGACTGCGGGACGAGAGAAGAGTCAAACTCAATGGGCTCGGGGAGTGCATCTCGAGTAGTGGGCGATGCAGGCGGTGAGCCTTCCTCAGGTGAAACAGGGGAACTGTCGTTGATGATATCCTGAGTCGAGCGATTTTTAAGCACTCTGGGCTTGATGGCCAGCGCTGGTGTTGTGAAGGCGCGCCCCGGCTGGGTGGAGGATGGCCTCGTCGTTGCAGTGAACCGAGGCGTTGCATTAAACTGGCTTGGAACCCGTACATATTGCGCATTGGGGGTTTGACTTTGGGCATTCTGTGTACTCGGCTTCTTTGACATTAAGAACCGGGAGGGAGCAGGGGTCTGGGTTCACTGTCAGAATCACAGCCGTTGATGATCAGATAAACCTGGAGGTAGAAACACCATACTTACTGCTGGCAGCAACCCCATTTCCCACTGTGAATAAGAATGTGAGTCGAATTAGCGGTTAGGAAGCCCTGAGATTTGGCTCGTGTTGGGTATTATGAAAACGGAATTCTACGATCCGTACGTAAAGATGATATAGACATGCACCTACCAGAGGACGAGGAGACAGAACAAATGAATGCTGACTAGTAACCCTAACCCGTGATTCAAGAGGTCCCGGAAAGCTGTCTCAGGCTGTCTGTTAGTGCAACGTCGATGGTCACGGACGTACTGGAGAATGCACTGTATCGTACTGTATGAAAAATGCGGGATTCGAGATCACCATGGTCACCTTGGACATATACAATGATCCGAAGGCACGCCTTCCATTGTCAAGCCCTAATCCGCACACTGCGCCAAATCAGCCGCGACCTTTGCACAGAGCTCTCTCTGCCTCCAACAAGCCATCTTCATCGCCTTCCGGATCAACCATCAAGCGAGCCACTGCCACTCGCGTATTAATCTCCCCACACGTAACGGGTAGCCCCCCTTCTGCAACCTCGATGATTAACCGAATAAAATTAAATAGGTCATGTTTGTCGGAATCATCCAAGTCGATCAGTGACTCGATTTTACGCTCTTTGCTGATCTCTACCAACGCTACGCCGAGTGAGTACACATCAAAGGCGCGGCAGTATCGTCTTTCGGGCTTGAATCTTTTTGATGGGTGGTGGCTCAGGTCAAGTTCGATGCGATGTCGTTCGAGTGTTATTCGTTCTGCGCGCACTGCACGCCTTGCTTGGTATAGATCTGGCTCGAAGCGGTCGTCATCTTCCGATTCATCGCTGCGAAATGATACGAAGTCGACACCCTTCTTGGACTTCGGGTGTACGTGGTAGAGAAGAACAAGCGCGCCGGGCCCCGGTAAACCCGCCTGCTGTGACTTCTCTATCTGTTGCAGGAGTCGTTTCGTTTCGCGTACCAGGGGAAACGGGAAGAGGCAAGGCTGCTCGCGGGAGGCGTACAGCGATAGCAGGGGGGTTATGGAGGAGGTATGCTATTGGGGGGAGGGGTGAGGTCGCCATGAGCCGTCCAGAGGTTTAGTCCCCTCGATCGGGGTCACCGTCCTGTAGTTGAACGTCGTCGGGCCTGGAAAACCGGTCCCCGAGAAGGAAGGGTTTGTCAAGGTCAATGCCTCCACGTTCGCGTGAAACGGTGTTGTTGTCTTTGGGGAAGAAAAGCAGCTCGGCCGTCCGGATGTTCCTGTGGAACCACCCGCTGGCGTGCAGAAACGCAACGCTCTGGACCAGCTTTCGGGCGAGGTCGAACCGGAAACCCAGAGGCGGTCGATCTCGTCATTCCTGTGTGCGAGCGTTGACCTGGACTTGCGAATCAGTATATCTTCGATTGGAAAACCTCTTCGATGCTTCCCGAGAGATCCAGGAAGGCGGAGCACGAATCCAATCTCCTCGCTGCGCTGAAACTCCACCATTCCGAGCAGTTCCAACGCATGCAGATGCTTGACACAAACCGGGAGTTGAAGGAGACTGCCCAGCTTCAGGGTGTACGCTCGGATACTCTGACAGAATCTCGATTTCGGGTGATTGTCCGGTGATCTGTACGCGTGTCTCTCGATGAAGACTGTTTCCTTGCCCGCCCACCAGACGGCCATCCCATTTTCACCCATCTGAAAGTCGTCGGGTGCAAATGAGAGAAGCTTTCTCTCCCCCTCCATGCCCAAATCCACGTCTCTGGCACTCAGAGCTGCTTCTGCTTTGAGGTTTGCTAGGTGGAAGAGAAGCTGTATTCCTCCTTGCGAGGGAAATGTTACTGGCATGGTTTCGTTTGCTTGCCCGGCATCGCTTTCGCCTACCTTCGGTTGAAGTTTCGTTCAGCTGCTTGAGGCCGGATGTATCCTGTCTTGGCAGATATTCAAATGCCAGGTTGATTTGCAAAAGCTCAAATGCCCAATCGGGACCCAGTAAGTGAAGCGCATCGTTGTGCTTTTGAGCTCAGTAATTTGAACCTTGAACTTGGAGCCGTCCTTGAGCGCCCATGCAAACTTTCGTCTCAGGCTCTGATGGACCGTTACATTAATTGGGCGAGGACAGCAAGCTTACCTAAGTTACGTTACTTTCCAGTTGGTCGCGCTTGTCATTCTCCAATATGCAGACAGCAAAGATGGGAATGGAGTGCACATAGAAGATCCCTTATCTGCGGCTGCAAAGGCGTTTTCACTCTCAAGTTTAGTAGCGTTTTGCAATAATCCGGCAGCCCTGGAGGAGGTTTACCTACGGGTCCATACGCTTGATGTATTACGTGACACAGCTGGCCCGTGCGCCAAGTGATGCCAACTTGGCACTCAACAGGGTGGCGCGTGACTGCGCTTTGTTAGCGCGCCGCGTCCAAGCGTCTCGCGTCCTCCGTCAATGAACTTGAGCATCACCAAAGCCGCAGTCAGTCTCTTCGCTGCACTCGAACCATGGCATAAACCTTTCCACCCAAGCCACCCAACTCTTTCCACCGCAACTCATCAGAAAACCATCTGCACGAGCTCAACCATCGTAATGTACGCCATAATGCCCCTGACACTGCCAACATTTTCCTTCGGCCGCGCCGGCCAAAGCCACCACAACCACCGACCGACCTTCTCCTCCCCGCTCTCCTCTTCGCCCATCCGGGCCTCTTCACTTTCACCACCACCAACGCATCAACAACAGCATTATCAACCCAGCTCCCAATCGCTCTCACCATGCGACCCCAACCACCTCAACACCCTCCACTGCGAAACCCAGTCCTCGCCGATCCTGGGCAAGTCAGTATTTGGCAGCAGCGACACCAATATTACCAACAACGATAGCGGCAATAGCAACCGCAGCAAATTCCGCTTCGCCTCGTGCAACGCGCGCCCCAACCCGCTCCTCAAGCGGCGCGAGGATGCCCAGGAGGGCCGCAGGAGACTGTTTTTCCAGAACGTGAGACAGCGGCAGGAGGATCGGAGGTGGGAGATGCGCGGCGGGGAGGACGAGGTACGTTTTCTCATATATTTGTCCCTATCATTCTTCGAATACCTTTCTGTTCCAACGCAAAAAGCATTTCATTCTTTCATTTGCATTCTCATACAAAATGACCATAGCCGAACTTGCATCTGCCAACGTTCTGACTTTGATGTTTGTTAATAGCTGCTCAAACTCGAGTGGTGGCGCCTCAACCGAGAGAGGTTACAGGCCAAGGAGGCTGAAGTGGCCGAGTACCTGGGGCCGATGATGGACGCGGATATGGTGGTGAGAGAGGAGGAGGAGCTTCAGCATACTACGGCGCAGGAGGAAGATGTGGATGCTATGATAGCCGACGTGATCGCGCAGCAGGAGGAGGCAGAGATCGATGCGCTTCTCTCGGTGTTGGAGCACCAGGATGGGGACGGACGCAGCTCGCCGCCGCAATTATCGGACGATGAGGACTATGATGGGCTGTTTATGGATCTAATCCGGTCGCAGCAACCGGAGCAGGGGTTGGCTCATTCGCCAGACGTGGAGATGTCCTGATGGGCGGTTGTTTCGTCTGGGTCACTGTGTATTGTATGATTGACCGGAGTTCTGGTGTCATGGGACGGGCCGTGCGGATAGATAGGGGCGTTTTGGCAGATTGCATCGGGTTTCCGGCCTGTGGGGTCTCGAGTTTGGAAGGGTGGCTCATGGAGCGGCTAACATATCCTAACTACCCATTCGCGGTGCCTTGTTCATCTGGGAACCCGGCTCACGCTATTGGGGATTACAAGACTCATCGGGCATATTGAGCACGTCCTGCGTCGAGGGCATGTCCCCAACCAGGTCTGATGGCGGCGACCCGGAGGCTTGCATCTACAGTCAAGGTTAGATCGGAATCATGGTGGACGAGGGAATGGTCTCCCACCTTCTGCATCCGGTCTAAAATGTATTCCCGGTCCGCCGTGTTGGCGTCCGAGTATGTCGGCTCTTCAAACCTGAGGACGATTTCCTTGACTAGGACCTGCTGCTCCTCATAGCGCTTGAGGTCCTCGGCCGACGTCTTGTCCCGGTTCTTTTCCAGCCATTCGGGAAACTTGTCGTTGAGGTCCTTCATGGGCTCGTACAGGATCTCCTTGTTGGTGAGCTGCTCCATCATGCCCATCAGCATCTTGGAAAACTCCTCCTCGCCACCCTCACCGTCAGCGCCGCCACCGCTTTGCATCTGCTTGAGGAGCTCGGCAAGGAAGTCGTCCGAGCCTTCGGCGGCCGCCGCAGCTGTCGCCTGCTCCCCGGAGACCTGCATGCGCTCCATGGTGCGCCGGATCGTGTCCTGGAACGACGCCTCGGCGCTCGCAGGGCCTGTTGCCGAAGAGCCGCTGGTTGGCCTTGGCGGGTGTGTTGTTGTCGAGGCTTGGTCAGCGCTCGCTGAGGCTGCCGCGCCCAGCTCTTTGAATATGCTCTCGAACTGCGCCTGCATCTCGGGCTGGGATATCGTTAGCGGCAGTGCGATAGCGGCATGGAAGGAGATACATACCGAGTTATCTAAGTCCCCCAGCAACTCGGCCATGCCGGCCTGGAGTTGCTTGGCGAAGTCATCATCGAGTAGCGATTCCTCCTCGGTGGCGGTTGCCGCAGCGGGTTTGGGTGGCTCTGCAGGCTCCTCCGGCTTCTTGGTGTCGATCTTCGCTGCTGAGAATTCATGGAGCATTTCTACGACGTCTTGTTAGTCGCGACCCCTTTCCGGTGCATGCGCCGCTCGTAGACTTGCCATCCAGGTCGTCTAGGTCATCCTCGTCCGGGTCGGGAACGTCGTCGACGTCCTCTACCGTTACCGCCTTTCTCTCTTCCGGCTGAGGCGAACGAACAACTTCCTCTACCTCCTTTGTAGGCGCGCCAGATTCACCGGCACTCGACGCCATGGTAGCAGACTGAAACCTAGAAGACGGTGTCGGGCCGACCTTTGCGGAGCGATGAAGGAGGTGTGCGCCGAGGAGGCAATTCCACGCTGGAGAAGAGAATGGTGAAGGCTGTGACGGAGATTGGGCGATGTAAGTTCAACAAGATAGCTCAAGTCGCCGTTGGGTCAACGATCAGTTGGAGGGGAGGTACATGGTAATGGGCGAAACTGGCGAGATCACTTGACACAGGATTAGAGACGGCCAGATGTGGATGCAATGCGGTCCGGAATTGCATGTGCAAATGGTCCGGCCCAATCTCAGCTGAGCGACCCCTGCCTCCGACCCGAGGGCCGGCTGCAAGCCACCTAGGGGACAGCTCCATCCCGCCCGCCAGGGCCACGGAAAGGTCCAGGAAGCATCCCATATGGAATGACCCTATATAATACATACTCCGCCAGTACCTTGGTAAAGTAGCAGGTGGCAGGCTGCAGAACCCAAAATGATGTCCCACGTCCAAGTCGCGGACCATTCTCTCTAATGACTTCTCGGGCTAAATTCTGCGGTGTGCGTTTTTCGGCGATGAAAGATAGCGGTGGTATTCGTCCGTTTTGTTGCGGAGTTGGGGTGGTACGGATACTCCATATACTGCCTTGGGTGTCAATTCCTCCAGTTCTCGAGCCTACTGAGACATTTCTGAAGCATCTAAATCATAATGTACTTCATCGAATAGAAGCCCCAGCTCCCGTCACCACGGGCATCGCCCAATTCGGGAGCTTGCAGGCAATTGCCGCGGGAACAAAGAAGCTGGAAATTCACGGTTTCGGTACCCCGCAATGGCATCCCGCAAGTGGGGTCGCCCACTGTCAGGCCCACAAGATTTCTTCTCCGCCTTCCGTTTTGAGCATCAATAGGCAGCCAGGGTTAGTTCTGCTCATCCCAGTAGGGTCGATCTTGCGCAGCTTTGCGATTCAACATTGCTTCCAACACCAACCACCTCTCAACGCACACCCCCCTTCCCCCGTGCTCTCGCCCAAGGGTTTTCTCCGCAAACTTACCTTATCTTGCTGCAGATCCTAATCCTAGTCTGCAACAGGACCGTCGTCTTCCGACACTGCAGCTCCACGCCGTTTCACTGCCATTGAGCCACTTCCCCACGTCCATCACGACGACAGAAGATCTGGAGGCTTTCCAAAGTCCGTCTTATCTCGAAGCAAGTCGAATTTATTGGATTTTCCCGAATCACAGACAACATGTCGTTATGCCAAAATCGCCTACAGGAGGAACGGTACGTCAGCGATCGCCGGCCGCCTGCACACTCGCCTTCGGCAGCCGTCTTCCGACAGCCTCGCTGACTAGACCTTCGCGACTTAGGAAGCAATGGCGGAAGGACCATCCCTTTGGATTTTATGCACGGCCTCAGAAGAATGCGCAAGGAGTGCTGGATCTCAAGGTCTGGGAGTGCGGTATCCCGGGCAAAGAGAAGACCATCTGGGAGGGCGGCCTCTTCAAACTGGTTGTAACGTTTCCCGATGGTGCGTGACACTACTTTACCCCGATTATTATGCCTACGACGCCAATCTTGCATATGTTTTTAACCCACCAATTCAATGCAGAATATCCCACGAAGCCCCCCAAGTGTAAGCTGCTACAACTGCAGACAAGCGCCTCCCACGCTTTAGCACCGTCACACGACTAACATGCGGCTCTCCGCGCAGGCAAATTCGTCCCCCCGCTCTTCCATCCCAACGTCTACCCTTCCGGCACCGTCTGCCTCTCGATCCTGAACGAGGAAGAGGCATGGAAGCCGGCCATCACCATCAAGCAGATTCTCCTCGGCGTCCAGGACCTTCTCAACGACCCCAACCCGGAGTCGCCAGCCCAGGCCGAGGCGTACAACATGTTCAAGAAAGACCGGGCGCAGTACGAGAGGCGCGTCAAGCAAATTGTGCGCGAGAATGCCGCGCCGTAAAAGGACCGCGCTGATCAGCGTTTGGCTCGGTGTCGATGGGCTGGGATGAGACAGGGAATGGTTATCTGATCGAGGAGTTAAGGAATACCAATGGTGATGGGAGATTGAGCATACGGAGTTCAGACGGTACGATTCATTGGATGCCCTGCATTGCGGGTTGGGAGCGTTTCGTTCTGGGGTTTTGGACTTGGACGGGCAATGTCTGGCGGTGCGTCACAGGGCGTTTTCAAGGGTACACACAGAGCTTAAACCGATTGTGGGTCCTGGCAACGCTGACTCCCTGCGTCCAGGGAAGAGACAAGGCCCGACAGCGTCGTCCCCGTGACTTGCGCCTCAAGATGCAACGTTGTCGATGGACGTCTCTTCAAGCTTGCATTCGTGGTTTCACCCCGCGTCGTCTTGTATTCAAAGCACATCGATTGGCCTGACCCCCACCATGGAGCTGTGGGATCTGACCTAGCGAGAGTACGTGAATTTGCTATTTCAACCTCTCACAAATATGCAGTCGTCAGACGCTTTCACTACTTCTCGGACATATGAAGCACCTCATGTGGCTCTCGCCGACCTTCCGCCTCACCTTCGAGCCGCGCGGATCCCCCGTCCGTTCCTTATCAGGCCGGTTTACCGCTAGCTGCAGGTAAATGGCCACCACAGTGGACCTTGACACCGAACCCAGCGAGCCAATTAACACCACGCCCGACATCGGCCTGGAATTTGTGATTCCGGCCGTCCACTGCTGGAGCTCCGTCGCCAGCTCGGCGGGCCAACTAGGGCGTATCGATTGACAATGCAAAACTGGCCACCGCTGGGAAAGCCCGGAGTGGCTCTTGGGACTGGGCCCTTGAGTCAACTTGTCCGAGATTCGCGGTAGCTGGGGGTCCCTGGGACTCCGAGGGGCGAGACGGCGGATGTATCGATTGTAGCCGAATTTGGAACTCCAACACACAATTTTCCTGACCTGGGCGTGTGACTCTTCCTCTTTCCTTTCCTTTTACACACCTGCTTGAAAACTGTCTGTCACATCCCACTCGGCTTGTCTGTGGCTTTTCTGTCGTTTGAATAGCTACCCGCGTCCGCGACCAGGACGTTCACCACTCCTTTCTGCGGCACATCGCAGTCGTTCACGTCACAGACGGACGTACGTATAAAAGGTTCCTCGCCTCTTGTGCTGATAAGTGGAACAGGCTCTTGCTTCTCAACGCCCGCGACTGCTCTCCCAGGTCCCCCACCTCATCTATTGCCTTGTACAAACCGAGAGTTTTGAGAAGCGATCCTCAGAAATGTGTGGCATCTTCGCCTGTCACAAGTGAGTCTGTCCATCTCGATGTCCCGGTTGCGGCTCGCTGTGCCCCTGATGGAGGGGCAACTTTTTTGCCCCGCCATCACGCCCCTGCCGGTGGTTTCGTCGCAAACACCATTTTTCACGAGCGCATCTCGCTAACAAGCACGATCATAGCCACCCGGATGTGGTCAAGTTCAAGCCGACTGCTTTGAAGCTTTCCAAGGCGTATGTGCTCCCAATTGGACTCAAACTGACCGAAGGGACGGCGCAATTGACTTTGCTTATCTCGCAGAATTCGGCATCGGGGACCTGATTGGAGTGCGTTCTCCCTCCTAAGTTCACGAGAATACCGGTAGCACTGACACTTTGTGTTCTCTTGCAGGCGGCAGCGTTACTTGCCACAATACGAGTATGGATTGCGCCCAGGGCTCGGAAGACCCCGAAACCCCCCAGACACCAAAAGAGGATAGGCATTGGCTGACACATTCGCAGTTCTGTGCCATGAACGGCTCAGCATCGTCGGCGTTGGTGGGTTGCGATCGTCCGTCTATCTGGCCTCGAACGGCACTACTCACACGAAAAAACCAGAAAGCGGAGCTCAGCCACTCACCAATGCCGATGAGAGCATTGTCCTCGCCGTCAATGGCGAGATCTACAACCACCGTCTTATCCGGAAGAGCTTGAAGGAGCCCTATCACTTCAAGACCACCTCGGACTGCGAGGTCGTCATTCCCTTGGTGAGTGTTGGATGGGGCGGGAGCTCTATTGGTGTAATTGCTAATATTTGGGCAGTACATGGAGTACGGTCTGGACGCGCCCAAGTACCTCGACGGCATGTTCTCCTTCGTCTTGTACGACAAGAAGCAGGACCGCATCATCGCCGCTCGCGACCCCATCGGCATCACGACCCTCTACCAGGGCTGGTCGTCAGAACAGCCCGGCACCGTCTACTTCGCCTCGGAGCTCAAGTCGCTGCACCCCGTGTGCGACAAGATTGAGTCGTTCCCGCCGGGACACATCTACGACAGCCTGACAGGCGAGCGAACCAGGTATTTCCAGCCGACATGGTGGGACGGCCAGAAGATCCCGGAGACGCCCGTGGATCTGAAGCTGCTGCGCGAGACGCTCGAGAAGTCGGTCAGGAAACGGCTCATGGCCGAGGTCCCCTACGGTGTTCTGCTCTCGGGCGGTCTGGATTCCAGCTTGGTTGCGTCGATTGCGCAGCGCGAGACCCTGAGGCTGAAGAAGCTGGCCGAGGAGGCCAACGGCAGCGCGGATGAGGGCTCGGTCGACCCGGACAAGGGCGAGGGCCTGGTCGGTATCGACGACGAGAACAAGCTGTCGACCATGACCTTCCTTCCCCAGCTCAACTCCTTCTCGATTGGTCTCCCGGGGTCGCCCGACAACGAGGCGGCGCTCAAGGTGGCCAAGTTCCTGGGCACCAAGCACCACGTCATGACCTTCACCATCGAGGACGGCCTCAACGCGCTCTCGGACGTCATCTACCACCTCGAGACATACGACGTGACGACAATTCGCGCCTCGACGCCCATGTACCTACTCTCGCGCAAGATCAAGGCCATGGGCATCAAGATGGTGCTCAGCGGCGAGGGTTCCGACGAGATTTTTGGGGGTTACCTGTATTTCCACGGCGCCCCGGACAAGGCCGCCTTCCACGAGGAGTGCGTACGCCGGGTCAAGAACCTGCACCTGGCCGACTGCCTGCGCGCCAACAAGTCGACCTCGGCCTGGGGCCTGGAGGCCCGCGTGCCGTTCCTCGACAAAGAGGTGAGTGACTGAAGTTAAAAGACCCTCTCAACGCACAAACCGACACATATCTATTTAGTTCCTCGAAGTCGCCATGAACATCGACCCCAAGGAGAAGATGATCACGGCCGAGCGCATCGAAAAGTACATTCTCCGCAAGGCGTTCGACACGTCAGACGAGCCCGAGGCGCAGCCGTACCTGCCCGATAACATCCTGTGGCGGCAGAAGGAGCAGTTCTCGGACGGCGTCGGCTACGGCTGGATTGACGCGCTCAAGGACACGGCCGAGAAGAACGTCACGGACGAGATGATGAAGAACCCCAAGCCCGAGTGGGGTGACGATATCCCGGATACCAAGGAGGCGTACTGGTACCGCCTCATGTTTGACGAGCACTTCCCGCCGTCGTGCGCGTCGACTGTCATGCGGTGGACGCCGAAGTGGTCTAAGCAGACGGATCCCAGTGGCAGGTGAGTACAATTTGGTCTGTAATCGATGGTGAATGGGTGTGAAAATGACGAGACTGACGTGTGGTTTGTTCAGAGCGATTGCCATCCACAAGGCCAAGTACGCTGATGCGGCGTGAGCAGGAGCAAGGCGTATGTTGGTACATACATACATGGCTTGGGATGGTCTGGCCTGTCATGGGTGGGATGCTGTAAATCTAGCTATTCTCTGAATATATAGCTGGCCTAAAAGCTGTCTGTGTTTGGAAGCTGTTGTGGTGCTGTACTGAGATTGTTCGTCGCTACGATGGCTGTCCTTCATAGCGCCCTTTCACATGCTTGACGTACTTTTGATCTTGAGTGGACAGACCGATATCTACCTTAGGAACACATAAGCCTTGAATGACGAGAACATAAACCGGATACTTGTGTCCGACCGAAGGAAGGTGATTTGACTTGATGTGATCCCGTAAACGGAGGGTTAGGGTCAGTCGGATATCGCGCTGCGGGCCCACGTGGTTTCAGAAAGCAGGACGTCACTGGCTGCTGCCGTTTTGCATGAACGAGAGACTGCCGAAGCCACCAATCACAGAGCTCTGGGAAATTCTCGTAGTGTCGTTCAACCTCCCCCCCCCCCAACAAATTCCCGGGAGACCAACAAGGTTGAACACGCCGCCTCTCCCAACTCACCAACGTCAACCATAAACCCATCTCTTAGAGTTTTATTCTCTAACATATTGCCAACATGTCTGTTCCGGCTTTCTCGGATATCGCCAAGGCGGCCAACGACGTATGTTCCGAACCGAGCTCTGAGAAGCTTGCCCTCGGCGGAGCGGCATTTCTCGAGAGAACGCCAACAATGGCGCGAACCACGCATGGCTGACTGTGTGCTTCCAGCTCCTGAACAAGGATTTTTACCACCTCTCGGCCGGCACCCTCGAGGTCAAGAGCAACACCCCCAACAATGTCGCCTTCAAGGTGACTGGCAAGAGCAGCCATGACAAGGTCACCAGCGGCACGGTATGCGCAACCCAGCTACAGACTCATAGCGGTGGAGATGGAACCATTGATGCTAACCATTTCATTTCCCAAACAGATCGAGGGCAAATACTTTGACAAGCCCAATGGTATACATGACAGCTCCTACCTCTATGACAACGCGCGACGCTGCGTCCCCGTCTGGATCCCACGCTTTCCCGGGGTCAAATGGCGGATGGACCTTGGCCCGATCCTAGGACCGTCGCTTTACAACACGCCCGTCTAGTGGACGGTCTCTCTGGACGCGCGCGGACCCGCACAGGTGCTAATGCAATGGACGCGCGCAGGTTTGACCCTCACCCAGACCTGGAACACGGCCAACACGCTCGAGACCAAGATCGAGATGGCCGACAACTTGGCCAAGGGCCTCAAGGCCGAGGGTATCTTCAGCGTGCTCCCGGCCACGCAGGCCCGCGGCGCCAAGTTCAACCTGCACTTCAAGCAGTCCAACTTCCACGGTCGCGCCTTCTTCGACCTCCTCAAGGGCCCCACCGCCAGCATCGACGCCATCGTCGGCCACGAGGGTTTCCTCGCGGGCGCCTCGGCCGGCTACGACGTGCAGAAGGCCGCCATCACGGGCTACAGCGCCGCCGTCGGCTACCAGGCGCCGACCTACAGCGCCGCCATCACGGCCACCGACAATCTGAGCGTCTTTGCTGCCAGCTACTACCACAAGGTTAACAGTCAGGTCGAGGCCGGCTCCAAGGCCACCTGGAACTCCAAGAGCGGCAACACGGTCGGCCTTGAGGTCGCTGCCAAGTACCGCCTCGACCCCGTCTCCTTCGTCAAGGTCAGTCTGCTTTCTTTGTGTGTCGGGAACCGGATAGCTGATTTTGTTGGATGTAACAGGCCAAGATCAACGACCGTGGCGTCGCCGCCGTTGCCTACAACGTCCTCCTCCGCGAGGGCGTCACCCTCGGCGTTGGTGCTTCCTTTGATACCCAGAAGCTCGACCAGGCTACTCACAAGGTGAGATTGACTTGCAGTTCGGTTTGTTTTGGCGATTCGGATGCTAACACTCTGACCAGGTCGGCACCAGCTTCACCTTCGAGTCGTAAAAAGCTGGCACCAGCCGAAGAGGCGTTGTAGCTGGGACGGTAATCGCGCCCCTCGCGATCGTTCTCAGCCTTGCGGATGGTTGCGTTGGGTGGACACATCTCAGCAGGCAGCATTGTATCAGACTTGGACGTCGGGCCCACAACAGACACGTTGCACTGTATAGTAGATTCCTAGACAGCGCATATGCTAATTCCTCGCGACCGTTCCGGGCCTTGTTTTGCTCAGTTCGAAACAACCTTACCGCGTATGCTTGCCTGACTGTACAAGTACAACCTGGTTTCAGTGACATGATACATTATCTTGCCATCCACTCCTTCTCCTTGTTATCATTACTACCCTCTTTCTCCCCTCCTCCTCTCGGAGGCGGAGACGCAGGCGCCCTGCTCCCTATAAACGCCACCGGCGCCATGACCACGACGACCAGGATGGCCAAGGTGGACAGAAAACCCATGGTCACGGGCGATTCAGGGTGGTCAATGTCGACCCCGCGCTGCCTGGCCATGCGGTGCGCCCGCCGCTCGTCCAGCCTCCTCTGCTCCCGCTCGTGCGCTGCGCGGTCAAAGTGCGGCACGTCATGATGGTGGCCGAACGGGTCTTGTCCGGGGCCCATACCGCCTGTTCCGAATCCTCCTCCTAAGCCGGAACCGGGTGGGGGTGGATGTGGATGTGAATGTGGCGGGTCATCATGTCCACCATCACCACCACCTCCTCCTCCTCCTCCGGCACCCCTGCCCATTCCCGTGCCGGAACTCCTCCCACCAGAAGAAGAAGAAGAAGCGGTTGCACGTGTCCCGTAAAACCCGGTACTCTCCTCGTGCGCGGCCCTGCGTTTTGCTGCGTGCGCACCCCATCCGCCCGAGCGGAAAAAGCTTGGTGGAGGGCCCTGGTAGGTTCCTCTTCTACTACTGCGATTGCTGAGCCCGGACGCCGGGCGGCCGCCTGCGGGGCCCGTGCTGTGGTATGAGCCCTTCGGATGGTGGTGATAGTGAGGGTTGCTTCGGAGGCGCATCACGTCGCGGTCGTAGCGCGCGCGCTTCTCGGCGTGCGAGAGCGTCGCGTAGGCTTCGCTTATGCGCATGAAGCGGGTCGGCGAAGAGGGGTCGGTGGGGTTGTGGTCTGGGTGGTGGCGCTTGCTGAGGAGGTAGAAGGATCTGGTTCCACGCATACAAATTGAGGATGGGGTTAGAAGGGTGGTCATGGTGAGGGGAGCAGAGGGCGGGGGAATACCGTTTGATTTCGGCCGGGGAGGCGTCTGGGTGGACGTTGAGGGTCTCATAGTGGTTGGATGCGTCGTCGCTGGGGTTTGTGTCAAGGCGGAGGGCGCGCGGGGAAGCGTGGAAGAGGCGAGGGCAGGTCCATGTTTGCCATATTGCCGTTCGAAGGGGAAGCTGAGCGGACCACGCCGCGCTGGGGAGAGTATAGCGGAGTGGCATGCCGCATCCCGATGGCTTATTTACATGATCTAGAGACGGAGTGCTGGGTAGAGGGCGTTACGAAATAACTAGAGTGCCTTGTTGTCGGCCTCTTAGCTGAGACTGGCCCACTTTGCGAAAACCAGTGACGAAATTAATGGGCGATAAGATGAGGTGCGGCTTGCAACCAATGCCAAGATCGACGAGCCGTGTGATTCTTTTGCAGCCTTGCTCGCGCCACAGCACCCCGCTGACGTCTACACTGTAAAAAGTGTTGGCGGGGCCGCAGAAGCCGAGCATTGAGATAAGCTGCTGGGGGCTCAACCTTCCAGTGTCTTCTCCGCAGCATCACTACGAGTTTTCACGATGGCAGCTCAGACTCCCACAACTGAGCTCGGCAAATTAAATGGTATGCCCTAAGAGTCTGGCTTTATTAGCAGCATTGCTGACGGTGCCCAGTCGAGGATAGCGGCAGCAAACCCAAGCCGGATGCCTCTGCCGCAAGCAACGGCAACCTAAATCACGACAGCGACGAGTCCGAGGACGAAGCAGAAGAGGCCGCTCCCGCTGCGGCCACCGGTGCGGCCAAGAAGAAGAAAAAGAAGAAGCCCAAGAAGAAGAAGAAGAATCCCACACAGCAGTCGGACCCTCCGCGCGTGCTGATATCGCAGCTGTTCCCGGACAAGAAGTATCCAACGGGCGAGGAGGTCGAGTACGTGAATGAGAACCGCTACCGCACTACCAACGAGGAGAAGCGCCATCTCGACAATCTGAAGAGCGAGTGGCTCAACGACTACCGCCATGCCGCCGAGGTGCACCGCCAGACCCGCCAGTGGGCGCAGAAGAACATTAAGCCCGGCCAGACACTGATGGAGATTGCCAACGGCATCGAGGACTCGGTTCGTGCGCTCGTCGGCCACCAGGGTCTGGAGGAGGGCGATGCCCAGATCGCCGGCATGGGTTTCCCGACCGGCCTGAGCATCAACCACTGCGCCGCGCATTACACGCCCAACTCGGGTAACAAGATGGTCCTGCAGCAGGACGATGTCATGAAGATCGACTTTGGCGTACATGTGAACGGCAACATCATCGACAGCGCCTTCACCATGGCGTTCAACCCGCGCTACGATCCGCTGCTGGAGGCCGTAAAGGCCGCCACCAACGCGGGCATCAAGGAGGCCGGCATCGACGCGCGAGTCGGCGAGATTGGCGGTGTCATCCAGGAGGTCATGGAGAGCTACGAGGTCGAGATCGACGGCACCACCTACCCGGTCAAGCCAATCCGCAACCTTAACGGACACAGCATCCTCCCCTACAACATCCACGGCACCAAGAGCGTGCCCATCGTCAAGAGCAACGACAGCACCAAGATGGAGGAGGGCGACGTCTTCGCCATTGAGACGTTTGGCAGCACGGGCGAGGGAAAGGTGCGCGAGGAGGGCGAGGTGTCGCACTACGCCAAGCGCAGCGACGCACCCAAGGTCGACCTCCGTTTGAGCTCGGCCAAGTCGCTGCTGAATGTCATTACCAGAAACTTTGGCACGCTGCCGTGGTGCAGGCGGTACCTAGACCGGCTGGGCCAGGACAAGTACCTGCTCGGGGTAAGTCACGGAAGGATATTTGGAGGGGCAAGAGAGACAGACATGCTGACGGCTGCAGTTGAACAACCTCGTCGCCAACGGCATCGTCGAGTCGTACCCACCGCTGGTGGACAAGAAAGGCTCCTACACGGCCCAATTCGAGCATGTGAGTGACCGACCGGCATTGTTATTAATGGGTAAGTCCCTCGCTAACATTCCCAGACCATCCTTATCCGGCCTACCGTAAAGGAGGTCATTAGCCGTGGAAACGACTACTAAGGCAATTGTCTGAATAAGAACTGTCTAAAGAATCGGGTCGGTCGTCTAACCGGGCGGCGTGAAGCTGTCGAGTGTCGACACATGGATGGCGATACCTGTTATGCTACGTTTTTTGATGTACTGTACATGTGTATATACACACTCAACCAAGTTGAGGTCTCCGTACTTCCAGGAGCGCTTTAGCCACAATCCGGTTCCGGCACAGCGTACCGGACCCGTTTGTGGGGTCCGGTCATGATCTCAAATCTGGGGAATGTTCGCCGCAGATTCGGCGTGCCGTAATCCAAGATTTTTAAAGTTTGCCGCTGCCGGCTGAGTGGTGAATCGGCTCCTCCGATGACGCACGGATCCAAGGTAATCATGTCCAGACCATGGGTAATGATGGCAATTGGAATCCATTGAAGACGTCAAAGCTTGCTTCTGATCCCTTCTCAACAATGGCGGCAATTGGGTGGGCCCGGTTTTGATTCTGGAGGCATCTTGGTAGTTCCGCAAAATTTTCATATCCCCACGCTTTCGCCGGTTCCAGTTAACTAAGCGAGCCTGGCAAGACAAGGTCGCCACTGTCCTTTCCGATAAGATTTCGCGCGTCCAATTGCCAAAAGAATGCCGGCCATAAAAAAGGACTCAAGCCGAAGTCCATTGTCGAGCAGTTAGCATTCTTTGCTTTGCATGTGCCGCAACGGCTTCAACATTCGTTCTCTGTTATAGAACACCAACGCACAGCTGAATCGACATCGCGAAGGCCGATCGTCGAACTGCGAACTGCTTTGCTCAAACAACTCGTTTGACCTGCATCTCCATTTTGGAACTGCCGATCACTCCGCGTCTCTCCTGAGGCACGCGACCGTAACCGGAGATCCGGGCGAGCGGCTGCCATCTACCACGACTCTTTGAACACAAACCCGCTCAACACACCAATCGAAAATGAAGGTCTTCTCCAACGCCGAGACGTTCAACTACTCCTGGGAGGAGGTATCGACCGCCAACTGGCGCAAGTACTGCCCATGGAACCAAAAATCGACGCACGTGGTCGCCGTCGACACGCTGTCGCGGACCGTCGACCCGGAAACAGGCATCCTGCGCACCGAGCGGCTCATCACGTGCCGGCAGAGCGCGCCCGACTGGCTCAAGAGCCTGATGGGCGGCAGCATGGACGAGTCGCAGGTTTACGAGACGTCGTACGTCGACCCGCGCACACGGACCGTCACCATGGTTTCGGCCAACCTCACATGGTCCAACCTCATCAACGTGCAGGAAACGGTCGTGTACCGGCCGCTGAACGGGACCCAGACGCGCTTCGAGCAGGCTGCCAAGATTACGGCGCTCTGCGGCGGGTGGCAGCGCATCAAGAACAGCATCGAGGACACCCTTGTCAAGCGGTTTCGCGAGAACGCCGTCAAGGGGAAGGAGGGGTTTGAGGCTGTGCTGGCTATGAGCCGCCGCGTGTTTGCCGAGGAGCGCGAGCGCGAGAAGATTATGATGCTGCAGGCGCAGGCTGGGAATATCCGTATGGCTGCTGCGGCTTGAAAGGGAGTGCCGCGGATCTTGGGAGCGGGAACTCAGCAGCGTTTCGCCAACGGGGTCGTCACCGCATATCTCGGCTCAGATGGTATCTGATGGTACCAGTAAATGGGAGGAAGGCAAAATGGGCATGACAAGGGCGTCAAGCAACGTGTGCGTGCCTGAAGTAACAAAGAGGGGCCGCGTACTTCAACCATGACGGACAACGAAGTTTACGCTGTGACGTCGCAAAGTGACGAGCGACACATATTCAAAGAGGATTTACATCTCTCGGGCGGGGCGAACTTGCATTGGCCGCCCGTACCGGGCCGGCGAAGGAAAAAGAAGTGGTCGGGATTAAAACGGGGGCATTAAAGCGAAGAGATTTGGGAGCATGGCGTCACGGCTGATTTTTTTTGGTTTCCCCCCGTCTTGTCTGTACAAACCTACAGGACTGGAAGAGTATTCGCTTGCGGAGTCCGGGTTATACCCCCGCGTGTGTTTGTTGGCGATTGGCAATAGAGGGAGGCATCTAAGGTTACAGTCTTTTCCTTTGACTCCGCTCTTCATAGAGCATAGAGATAGAGGATAGATGTATTTGGGAAGAAAGACGCTCTCCAAACCAGCACTACATTCATCGCCGTTCCAGCTGATGTTGTATCCATGCCTCCCAACCACCGGCATACTAACATGTATGGTCCCAAGGCTATACGCATCCTGTTCGCAACAACAACTCGCCAGCTAACTATCGCCAAACAAACCACAGCGAGACTGTTATTGCTCCTTGTTACTGGCAGTTTTAGGAGTTGCACCAGCATCAGTCGTAACAGCAGCAGCAGCAGCGGTGACAACAGTCGAATCTCCTCCACCCTAACCATCCCACCCCCCCTTCCTCCTCCTACACCTCCTCCTCCTCCCCTTGTCCCTCCTCCAAACGAGCCAGACACCGGGCGAGGTAATACCTTAATAACCGGCTCGTTTCATCATCAATCCTCCCTGAACCACCACTACCTTTCCGAGCCCTGTTCTCTCTCCCTTCTTCTTCCACACCTTCGCGGGTTCCTTTCCCCCCTCCATCCCCATCCAGAATACGTCTAATGAAATCTACTGCCTGAGAGTATTGCCGAAAGAAATACAGCTCCTCTGCTGCGTGCAGCAGCGCCTGTGCTTCTGGTTTTGAGAGGGGAGTTGGCGAGTCTGGGAGGGGAAGGGGGATTGTTTTGTGTATCTTGAAAATTCCGGTATCAGCGTCGTTTTGCCCAGGTCTGGGGGGGTTGGGGGGTTGGTGGTGATAGGGAAGCGGTGAATCTTGGGTTGGTGAGCATCGGAATGGGATGATGATGAGAACAGAAACGGGGTGAAGAAATGAAGATGGGAAGTGGCGAGTGAGTTTGAACACGAAATGGGGGTTCTATACATTGCCGTTCTCAACCTTCGGGCGGTAGGATTGTTTCAGGGCTTGGAAGGCTTCCTGGGACAGGGCGGTGCGCTCGGCGCGGGTGGGTTGGTGCTCGCTTGTTGGGTCTGTGGATGAGACGATGGTGGTGATGGTGGTGGTGGTGTTCGTAATGGGCGTGGCGGCTTCATCGGGTTCCGAGTCGGAGAGGTTGACGGAGAGGAAGAGCAAGTTGGCGTCTGTTTGGTCCGTGTCCATGTTTCGGTTCAGGTGTTTTGATATGTGGTATGTGCGAGTTTAAAAGGTGGGCGGACGGAGTGAGATGAGACTCTGGGTGAACTCTCACTCGTCAGAAACTTGGTTCTTTGAGGCGCTCAATTAATCTGCAAAGACATAAACCAAGCAACTTAGTAAGAGACGATAGTTGAGAAGTTACATTTTCGAGCTCAAGCAAGTAAAGAAGCCTGTGGTGTTGATAAACTTGAGGTTGAAATGGAGACTCGGCTATGGTGTTGGAGCGGGAAAGAGTCCGGCAACAGTGGGCCTCCGCCCTCCGGCCATTTTCTCCAATCTCCGCTCCGATCCCCCAACCGCTCTTCGGGTCCGAAGTAAACAATCACCCGTTTCGGTACCTCCGTCTCAGGGCGTTGTTCTCATGACAGCACCCGAGTCCCTTGATTCCCAAGTCGACACATCACCTACCAGCAGCTATGGATGAAGTACTAAGTCGCCTGGTCGACAAGGCCTGGGCCACGTACCTTGACACGCCAGAAAACACTCGTTGTTGTAAGTCCGTACCATGTTTATTGGTGGTTCAGTGACCACACGGCGACATTTCTTAAGGCATTAGAGTGAGCAGTGTGACTCCGTCTCATCAAAAGACATATGCTGTTGGGGCCAGGCCGGTGCCTGTCAACGAACAGGTCACCTCCGACAGCAACCATGACGGAGAGACATCTGCCATTCCTACCAAAAAGCATGCCTCTGGAGATAAAACTGCCCTGGTTCAGATCGAACTAATCTACCACTTCTAGTAATCGCCCTCGGCGGCATCCCCGGCTCTGGTACGCCCACCCCTTAGCCCCTTTCCAGCACCCACTGATCCCTTCCCCCTAGGCAAAACCACCCTCTCAGCCCGCCTGACCGCATCGCTCAACGCCCGACATGCCGCCACCTCACCGCCCGGCACACCCGGCGTCGCAGTCTTCCTACCCATGGACGGCTTCCACTACGCGCGCGCCCAGCTCGACGCCATGCCCGACCCAGCGACGGCCCACGCCCGCCGCGGCGCCGAGTTCACCTTTGACGGCACAGCCTTTCTGCGGCTGGTGCAGCGTTTAAATGAGCCGCTGACCGACACTACACCAACCGTCTTCGCGCCATCATTCGACCACGCGCTGAAAGACCCCAAGGAGGACGACATAGCCGTTGAGAGGACCCATCGGATTGTCGTGCTCGAGGGGAACTGTATGTCATATAGCCCCTTCTCCTCTCTTAATCTATCCCTCCCCTCCCTTCCCAAAAGAACTGCAACTGCCTACCCCCAAAATTGGGTTTGATAACTAACGCATTTCCTTTATCTGGAACTGATTGACTGACTTGATTTGGACCTGGATCCAGACCTCCTCCTAGACAAACACCCCTGGTCCCTCGCCTCTTGCCACTTCTCCCTCAAGATCTTTGTCTCTGTCGCGCCGCAACTCGCCCGCGCCCGCCTCGTGGCACGCCATCTCGCAGCGGGGCTCTGCTCCACGCCAGCCGAGGCCGACCAGCGCGCAGTCGAGAACGATCTGCCCAACGGAAAGGAAATTGTCCGGCTGCTGATCAAGGACGTGGACGACGTCGTCGAGAGTTGCGAGGATGACGGGTGGGCTGGGTAGGTTAGGCGGTTGACCTGGATAGAGGAAAGGGTTTGGGTTTAGTTAGGTAACGTTTCTCATGGAAAGAAAGACGACAGGGCGTTAAGGGGGGCAGACAATGTTTGCTGGTCTAGTTTGATACTCCACCTGTTTCCGCTCATTTCTGTCCTCCAACTCTCCTCTCGATTCCCAGCAGCTAACCATCCTGCCAATGCCCCAGTCTAATCCAGAATCGTCATCCACCTGCAGTAGAGCAGCGCTCCCACTTCAAAAGAAGAACAACCCTCTGCACATAGGGGCTCATTTTGATCCAACCGTGCCATGATTGCAACGAGTACACAAGCCAAGATCCGGAAAGATCAGGCTGCTCTGCCTCAAAAGCAGGAATCCTCTCTGAACTACACCAAAAACAACCGAGTAACAGCCCAAGCATCACAAGTGCAGTTGGCGGTTGGCAGTGACAGCTTCATGGACAAGAACTCCACGTCGGGAGAGACTTGTCAGTGTTCGGGGTACGTTACCAGAGAGAGGATACGAGCCTCTAGCCAAGTCATAGAGCTGCAATGCGTGTCACATTCATGACAGGCCAGAAAACCAGACCATACTTTCTACTCGGCGCTCTATATCCCCTACGTTTGGCTTTACCTCCTGAAAGAAATGGGTGGCAGTGATCATGGCACAATAGTGGACTGTCCCCGTTAGAACAGGCAATTGGCTCCCATGATACCTACTCAATCCCACCATCCTTCGATATGGTATGGCAATGTTGAGGAATCGGAATACTCCATGTGGCAGACGACCTCGTTGATTCCGTATATCAGATTTCGGGGCCGCAGTCAAAGGTACAATACTACTACCAGCTACGCCTCATCATCACCTTAAACCAACATCACACAGCATCTTGGCACGGATTATGTAAACCTACGAACAAGGTAGTTTCTTCATATGCCTCTCGATCAACCGCAAACATCGCCTGCCCGGAATCTCCCCATTCATGCCCTCCCAACCAGCGAGCGGTATGACACCCGAACCATTTCCCCAAGCCCAAGCTCCTCATCGGCCCAGATCAAACCGGCCAGATATGAACGCCAGAACTCCCAATTACCGCAAACTTAGACGAACAATCGAACCGAGAAAAGGGAAAATAGCACCAGAGAAGAGATCGTGAGGTACAGTGTACTGATTGGATCTCCAAGTCGACCTCTAGCCAGACCGTTGTAGTACCGTGAACCTGTGATGTACCCTCGAAATCCGCCCAATACATGACTCAAACAAGCTCCGACAAGCTTCCGTAATCTGAAGGATTGCCCAATAAAAAGCAATCAGGAGAAGAGAGAAGGCGATTTCAATGATGCACATTGTGACCGGCGTATACGGTCACTCGCCCTCTACTTGCGGGGGGACTTGGGAATGACAAACTTGAAGTTCCCTGAGCTGGACGGGCCACCACTGTTGGCATGGCGAGACGCAGCAAGGCCGCGTGGTTTAGGCTGCGCTGCCTGAGCTCCCGGCTGTGGAGTCAACACCGAGGACGACTGAGCTCCGATCGACACCATGTATGAATGAGGCTGAGTCGACGCGGCGGGCGGTGGAGGTTGCGGTGCCTGAGTTCCGGCCTCCGAAGTCGACACTTGGGACGACTGATGGTCAGCCGTGCGAGGAGTCTGAGCTGCGGTCGAAGCCGAAGACTGAGCCGAAACAGACAACGGTACAGCGTACCTCGAAGCCATCTGTGACCCTAGAGGGGAAGCCGGTGACTGGGTAACCATTGTCGAGTTGGACTGCAGAGATGACACTCGGGGAGGAATGACATGGGTGGAGCCCCCAGACGGTGCCGGAGGAGACAAACTCGGCTGCGACGAACTCGGTATAACCTGAGCTGCAGTGCTACTCACCGGCTGCGTCGAAGCGGTCGAGATGGCCTGCGCCCACAGATCCCTTGAAGCCTGGACGACCGAGCTCGGGGCTTGAATAGGAGCCCGCGCTCGGCCCGACGGCATATTCGTCGGAGACCAGATCGAGAGACGAGAAATGCCGACCCGTAGGTTCTCAACCTTATCAGACCTTGTAGAAGTGGCAGCTTCAGCCTCGTGAGCAGCAACTGCAGGCTCAGGAACAGCAGCTGCAGGCTGTTGAGTGTCTTGGGTGACAGACGTCTGAGGCTCCGAAAGGCCATCGTTGGGCAGTGGAAAGTACAGGTCCATTAGGTCCTCGGCCGCAGCAGTGACCCTGGTTTGGGGATCAAGCTGAGCAAGATCCTCCAGATAGCTCCGCTTGGACCACGCCTTCTCGTGTGTCGGGCCGGTGAAGGCGTTTGCATGCTTGATCTCCGAGGTGCCGGAGGCCCAGCGTGAATTCTGGAGACCCACGTCCCGGGTAGCACAGGGCCTTGCCGAACCAGCCTCAGATTTCGGCACAGGAAGCTGTTGAACTGAGCTGGACTGCTCAGGCAACGGTTGAGGAAATGTAGCTTTGCCGAGAACCCAGTCCATGGCGCCGGCAGACTTCTGAAATTGGATCCGGCTGATGGCGGGGCCCGCCGGATATGGGGAGCGCGGCGAAGTGTCGGACTGGCGCGGGTGCCCACCGGGCCTCGGCAGGTGCGGAATGTTTGCCATGGAGTCGGGAGGGTTAACCGCGGCGTGCCTCAGCGACAGCAGCTCTCCAGCACTGTACTGGATGCGGCCCTTCGTGGTGCGCGTCGACGGCTCTGGCTGGGCTACTCCATTGACCCTGGATTCGGACTCAAGGTGGCCGTTAGGAGCCCCCTGGCGGGCCCGGTTGACCTTGACCTCGGCGTCAAGGGCCTCGTTGACAGTGTCTTTGATGGCCTGAACCCGTTGCTCATCAAAACCTTTCTCTCTAGCATCCTTAACCATGTGTTCCACGACGCCAGTCCTGATCCCCATGGCCAAGTTGTCCCACTCCTCGGCCGTCATACCCGGAGGATATGCACGGAACATGACCTGAAAGATGGTACGAGCAATGTGCTTGAGCTCCTGGCGGGATAGGAACTCAACGCCATCTAAATTCGCTTGGCTGGTGGTTGCGCCGGCTTCATCTTGTCCAAGTTCAACCAATGCATTCTGCTCGGGTTTGATCGTTGGCTCAAATGTAGCATTTTCAACGGGAATGGCAGGCGTCGTGTTGCCATTGGTGACAGGAGGGGCGACCTGTGCCGGGACAGGTGCCGGGCTGATAGCAGCATATTGTGTCGTGCGAGTGGACGGTGGCACATCTCGCGACGCCGGTGCTGCAGGCAATGTGGTCGATGTGGCTGGAGTGCGAGTAGAGGCATCTACAACAGGGGCTGCAGCCACTGTCAGATTGCTCGGAGGAGCAGGTTGGACAGCCGAAGAGGGAGCGAGGGCTGATTCGACTTGATCCAAATAGTCTCCTGCCTTGAGTGACCGCACCCGCGACATGAACTCCATCAGGTCATTGCCATTGGCGAAGTGAAGTTCGTATCCTTGAAACGAGCCTGCATCCTGAAAGGTGACGAAGAGCAGGTCGTCGGTGCCAGTAGCGTAATCATACCAGGCCGTGATAGCCCAGTGGCAGTAATGGTAATAGCCGTAGACGGCCACGTCGAAGAAGCCCAGCTCCGGTTTCTTGGCCGAGGACAAAAAGATGACTGACGGCTGTGCAGGCTTAATGTCGCGACTCGCAAATTTGACCGATATCTTGAGAGTGGCATTTGTTGGTTCGAAAGGCTCTCGAGTGCTCGCATTGACGACGGCCTCGGGAAGGGGTACAACCAATGAAGGCACCTCCAAAGGAGGAAGGGGAGGCCGCCTCGCCGGCCTCGACATCGGATTGAGCTTCGCAGACTTGTTCTTGGACTTGGCTGGCGTTGCCATGCCCTGGCTGCGCGAGGCCGGTCCATGACCGCTTGATGCCTGTGAATGGTTGTTCGAGGTCCTCGCCCGGCTCGCAGCCTGTCGCTGAACCACTAAGAAGCTGTCGTGAATGTTGTTGCGACCGTGGTCGTCGGCACGAGCACTGTTGTTACGCACTGGATGCTCAATCTGATGGGCGGTCCTTGACACGCAGTTAGCTTTAGTAAAATCAATCGGGTCTGAGACGCGGGACCAACCTCATGTTACGCTGGTGCAAGATTCTCACTGTCTGGTCGACGACCCGGTCGTAGAGCCTTCCGCCACCGAGATCATCCAAGCCTTTGACCATCTGAGCGTCGTCATCGTCGAACATGCCAGACTCGATAGCATCTGAAAACCATTAGTAAAGGTTGCACACATCAATCAGCCAAGAAGTAATGTACCTGTCCACGCCTGAGCAAAGTTCCAGCCTGCTGCTGGATTGTTCCCATGGACCGGAGCCCGTCGGGGAGCTTGAGGCGCCGGAAGGGGCGGCGGACACTTATGGGCATTGGTGCCACCGCCATAACCACGATGGCCGTGACCACGGTCACGACGACCTCTACCGCGGTCTTCATCCAAAGGCAACTCGTCAACCCGCGCGACGCCGAGATCATCCTAGAGCAGTTAGCAACCCCTTGGGGCGACGACTACAAATTCCGGATAGAAATAAACAATAGCACCTTTAAAATGCAAAGTATGCAAGTAAAACGGAGAAGCAAACAAACAAAAGGAATGAATCCGACCATCCAGAGGGGAGGAAAACAGAAACGGAATGACACTTACCATCATTGCCATCATCGCCGCTTCCTCCCTCATCTTGGCCTCGTCGACGAGAAACGACTGGCCATGAGGGCCTTGATCGGGATGGTGAGTTGGAGGAGACATGCTGACAATGTCTTCAGACTTGATGACCAGTTGGAGATATGACCGACGAGAAGGTCGGGCAAGATGATCAACTGACTTGGTTGATTGTTGGATGAGGTAAATCTGAACGGGTCGGGCCGAGACTCAGTATGAATTGAGAAAGGAAGGTCTGAAATTACGAGTTGTTATCAGAAAAATGAGGAACGAGAGTCCGTGTTCAACGGCGGGCAGGAGCAGAGGGAAGGAACAAGAATCGCGAAACAGAAGGCGCGAGCCGATGGCAAGGGCGAATGGAGTGCCACAACACGCAAGGTAAATAGACCTCACAACGTATTGAGATAAGGAAGGAAGAACAGAGTCAGGTAAAGTCGACACAGTCTTCCAAAAATGATTGAGGTGAACTCGAAGGAGAGAGTGAGAGAAGATCGATGACACTTGAGAGCGAGCGTCAGTCGGTACTCGAGATGTCGATGGAAAATAGGAAAGCAGTAATCTACCTCTCGATGCCTCAATGCTGCAAGCAATCCACCTGACCGACACAGAGTACTCGTACTACCCAGGAAAAATGAATTCAACCTGCTGCAGAGCTTGATCAGTGCCAGTCTGGAAGGGATATTTGACTTGCGAGGCAGTAAGCGGTGCTGAAGTCGGTACCAATGTTAGAACGCTGATGAAGGAATGGAAAGGGGGTGGAAAGTAGGTAGTGGGGAAAAGTAGGAAAGGCTGCGAGAACTGGGAAGGGCCACAAGGATTTAAGTCCCCCACGTCCATGATCTGAATAGTCAGAAGGTGGGCAGGAATCACGTCTGTCTGACTGCAAGGGCGCAGAACCCACATGCCCTACAGGCCGGCCGCCGGACAGAGGAAGAAATGGAAAGAAGATGGAGCCTGACACTCCTCAGTAACCTAAGACCGGGCCCCTGGGTTACCAATGGCTCAGGGAGCACATTGGCGTTAAGGGGGCGGTCATTCCATCCTCGGGGAAATGGAACATTAGACACCAGACTGGCGTTGGTCAGAGTAGGCAGATCCAGATTGCGAGATATTCAGTGAGGAGCACCAATATTACTCATGCGGTCCTACATCAAAGGTCAGCATGATGCGCTGGGTAACATCAAAGGGAGAAGGGGTTCAAAGTCTCAACACAACCTGTGTCTCGGGCGTAGCTATGAGGACTTTGAAGAGACTCATCCACCACCAGGTCCAATGTGAATTGGCCATGCCTCCCAGGCTGTGTGACGTCCCATGGAGTTCAATGATCGAATGGCGCTGAGTGTGATGGCCCTTTCTGCGTTGCTTGGCTCCTTGTTTACTTTGCCCCTTTTTTTCTTTACGGGACGGCAATTGGTTCGTGCACGCCGGTTATCCACCATGTGAACAACTGACGGAGACGCGCTGGCGGACAATGCCCTCAGAAACCAGACTGTAGTCGGTACGCAGACGCACATAATGCCAAATAGGACGGCCAGGTGTCTCTGGCCGTCAGACTGTCTTGATTATTTGTAGACAATCCTTTTACTCATTGTCTCCCTTCCGTTGTTTACAGTTCTCTAAGCAGGGCAAAGTCAGAACTGCCTTAAACATGCACAAAAAGTGTTGGATTCAGTGGGACAATCGGTCATCTTATGTTCGGATTCTCTAGGGCGATTTACGTTACCCTATCTGAGGGCGAGGGGACGACTGAAGACCACCCACCACTGTTGAACCGTACCCCAAAATGCTAGAATGCAAATGCGACAAAGCACATGTTACCAAACGCCTTGATGCCCTCAATCAGCATAGATGCTCCAGTGTCCTCATGTACCCTCGTGAAAGATTTAACGCCGCGCATCCTTGGGTGTCTCCTCCAAGCCCTCCTTGCCTTGGCGGCCAATCTTGCTCATGTCGGTTTCATCTGAGCCTTTGGTGGCTGGTTCGCGAAGACCAGAAGTGACGCCAGGGCCCGTGGACACATCGCCCGCAGAAACACCGGCAGCTGCTGTGGTCTTTGTGTCGGCAGAGTTGAAGTCGGACTTGACCGGAGGGTTCTCGGGGAGAGGCAGGTTGGACTTGACGGTCTCGATCTTGTCGGCCTTGGACTGAGACATGTCTGGATTAACGGTCAGCTATTGAACAATAGTCCGACTTCGCCGAAGTGGTGTGGTCGGAACCTACTGGATGTGGTGTGCAGAGAGCTGAAAGAAGTGATGTTGATCAGTCAAGTGTTGGTCAGATTCTATCCGTCGTTGTTGTTGACTTGATGTTGTCAGGTTGAGAATCGGTTGACAGAACAGGCGGGTTAAAACAATCGGCAGAGCCGTGGATCCTTCTGGCGATCTCCAAGAGAGTTTGTCGACAATCAGCATGGAGGTGATGTCACGACTGCAATGACGTCACTTCACCAGTCTTTTACATGAGCATGATACGATCAACATCTACGGAATACCTACATGCAGTACCACAATACATCATGCAGCTGCGACTCGACCTAGATCTGGTCTATCACGTCAAAACAGAAAGCCCTCCCTAGATGACAGGTCTCAGGGGCATGGAGTACATCCCGTCATCACCATATGAAATGCCTATGCCGCGAACATGACATTAACACTTTCGATACTTGAAATGGTTGCGACGCTGACCTCGTCACCAAACTAAAGTCTGTGATAGTCTGGTGCCATCAAGGATCTCAGTCCAGGCCTCGCTCCCTTCCCATCTCAGGCCCAAAAGAAGCGCTACGACATCCACATGGGACTCCGATCATAATACACTGGCGTAGCACAGTAAGCAGGCAATAGATCAAATACTTTGATATCATGCGTCTCGGCGCAATCAACTATCGAACACTCGACTCGGCACCCCCCAGCCTCTCCATCTCGATCAACAAAGGAAAATATAAGGTAGGTAGTAGTACGTACATACAAGGTAGGTCTTTGCCGCTCTCTAAATCGTGTCATTCCATCGTATTGTCATGATGATCCTCCTCCCCTCCCTCCAAAAAGGACAAAAGAAACTGTAGTAAGATGCGAGTGCGCCGAATGCATCCCGCCCAAAATCAGCCGATCCCATAAGCCAGCCAGCAAATGCTAGTGCCAACACTGCGGTAAGTCTATACACGGATCCATGGATGCTTTTCATAATACACGTCTTCCAAAACCCTGGCGAGACGAGACGAGCCCTTGTCGAGCGTGGCTGGAAAAAGCCCGACGGTCCTTATAACTCCGAAACCAAGACACGACGCCACAGACAAACGCAGTGCCATCAACATTACGGACCCCAAATTGTGTTTTATCCGCCGCCATGGAGGCCATGCACCCCCAGAAGCGCCGACTCGCAAAGCCGCCTCCTTGTAAGAATATCCGTTGTCCCCAACGCCAACAGAAGGGAAATGGTGTGAAGCAAGTAGCAATGCAGGTCGTCTAATATAACCACTCCGCCGGCAGATACAGGCGCATTGGTGTCTTGGGTGTCGTCTTGCACTTAGACTCGTAAACCGAGCATGTGCTCTCGAGCCGGCGCCAAGAAAAAAGAAATGCCGAAACCGCGGGAGGGCTCCCCTTCTCCTTCAGCGTTCCCATGCAAGCCAACATTAGCGGATTCCAAATGGCCTCGATATCCCATCCCCATGGGTATCCAGCTCTCATAGCTGACCAATTCGGCTCCATTCTACTCAGACATATTCTCCTGGTATGCCACGCCCCAAAAGTGGCGGCATATCCAGCATCTTCAGACACAAGAGCAGAGATTAGTGCTCCAAAATCGTGGGTGTTGTATAGGTGTTCAAACGTCCGTCATCTCGGTGTCGACAAGCTCGTCCACCGATGGGCCAACATGGGGACCCCAGTTACCCTCGAAGACGGTGGCGCCGGCAGTGCGGCGACTCGAAATCCATACTACCGGTTCTGAAGCCAGCACCTGCTCGGCGGTCGGGCGATCAGCGGCACTTGGCTGGATCATCCATTTGACGAGGTTGTCCAGAGAATGAGGGTCATTCGGATCCAGCATGAAGCTGGGTGGGTGCCGCAGCTCGGTTCGCTTGTGCGCCCCGAAGAGATTGCTGGGGTCATGTGTCGTTACACCAAATGAGAATGACCCGCGGCGGGGACTGATGCCGAGCCCAATGTCCTGGCCGTCAGTCACCTGGGAAATGCCCGAATCATGTTCAATCGGCAGGCCGTTGGCATCGCGGGCGATGGCACCTGCTTCGCCGCACGTGAGCGGAGGGACCGTGCTGAGGTCGCCGGCTCGGAGGGCTTGCCAGGTGGGACCGTTATCGGGAAGGAACACATTGCAGGCAATTTCGAGGATGATGAGGCCGAGGGCGAAGATGTCGGCAGGCTTGTCATACTCGCCGCGCAGAATCTCGGGGGCAATGTATTCGCGGTCACCCTCGCCATCAATGCCCTTGGCGGCCGGCCAGCTTGTTGCCAGGCCAAAGTCGCCAATCTTAAGATAACCATCGAAGGTGATGAAGATGTTGGCAGGCTTGATATCAAGATGGATGAAATCCGCCTGGTGGATAGCAGATAGTCCCTGCTAACCAGTTAGCGAAAAGGAAATTGCCGCGACTCCGGACGGTTATTACTCACCTGAGCTGTCTCCAAGAGAATCTTCCAAATTCGAAAGTCATCCAACCGACCGGCCTGTCCAACGGCTTTGAGAAATCCGTCGAGACTGCCTTCGGTGCAGTACTCGGTCTGGATATAAAGATGGCCGTAGTGCTCCCAGCTGTCGATCAACTGCACCACCTTACTCGAATGACGCAGGGCCTGCAGAATCTCTACCTCTTGAAGCTTCGCCTTGCGGTCCCTCGCGCCGTGGAAAGGGATCCGAAGCTTTTTCACGGCATAGACCCGATCGGAACTTGGGCTTGAAGGGGTCCGTGGGGTAGTCGAGAATCCCGTCAAGAAGGAGGGAGGAGCAGACGACTTCACGACACAATACACCTGAGCGAATTCACCCTTGCCAATGACCTCCGACCTGTCAAACCGGGAAACCAAAGATTCGTCGACGTCGCTTGGGCCATGTCCGTTCTGAGGAGTGATGCTCAGCCGGCGGCGGTCGGCAAAGCTCGAGAAGAGTGATCGGGCGTGCGAGTTGCTGGGGGTGGCCGGGGTTCGTGAAGTCTTTGCGTTCCCGTCCTGATAATTTGATATTGACAAACTGCTCGGGTCGGGCGGCGTCATCGAGTACCCCGCCGCGTCATGGGGTGTCTGAGGTGATACCTCCCGCATGTTCGAGGCGTCTGCGTCGGCGGCAGTGTCTGCCTTGGCATACTGACTGGCCGCGTTGTTAAGCGTAGCGAAAAAGACTGGTGAAGTCCTGGTCGGCGCAGGGGTGGCAAAGGATGCAGGGTGCGTGCGGCTCCCGGCCAAGGAAGCCAAAGAAAACCCGATGCGAGGCGACTCGTCGGGGAAGGGCGTAGACGGGCGGGAAACGGCTTCAGGGGGATGGGCGCCACCTTCCTCCTGCGCATCCATGTCCACGGCGGTCAGGGGATCAGGCCTCGAATCAACATCAGTTGCTCTTGGGTCCCTACCCAATGTAAACATGGGGCCCCGAGCGGCGAAGGACCGCGAGCTTTCAGGGGTCCCTTCGGCCGGTGCCGTGAGCGACTTGGAAAACAAATTCTTCGTCGGGGTCGGGGGGAGCTCATCTTGCGTTTCAGGGAGTTCATCGCCATCGACACTCAGCATGCTGCCCTTTCTCGTATGGACGGACCGGAGGGGCTGAAAGATGACGCTGCCTGACTTGTCCTGGGTCCCGAAGAGGTTTCCACGAATGGGTGCGGCGACCGCACTGAAAGGCGTGGACGGGCTCCCAAAGGAGATACGAGACCTCCGTCCGCCGCTGCCGCCGCCCTGGGGCGGGAAGGTGGCCGAGTAGTAGGGCTGCTTCTTGCAAGGGGTATCGGGCATCGGGGCGACTTTAGCTCCCGGGTGTTCGAGAGGAACTCCGTCCCGGTTACGGTTCATTTTTGAAACGAGGCCTGTCGACATGAAAGCCGCCTGCAACGGCCTGGCTCCTTGATAGTGAGGTGTCGCAGTCCCCTCCGAATCATGTACCGGTGGGTGAGATCCGGGAGGCAACGATTTTGACAAGACGTGCGAGAGCAGCGGCCTTTGAGTTGGGGCCTCATCCTCATGGAGACTACCAGACGAGGACTGCGAGACAAGGCGGGACAGAGGATGGGGTTGGTTTGTTGGGCGTTGGAGCGGATGAGCTGTCGCGCTTGGCAGGGTTCCCTGAGCGAGGGGATTCGTGCGCTCCTCGGGCGGGACGTATTGATCCAGCGAGAGCCTAGGCCTGGTCCGGGGGCCCGGTGTGCCAGGCTCGATCGCGAGCTGCGCAAGCTGCTTCTCGCCTGCTCGCCGGCCCAACGAGGGTTGGTTGTTACCATGACGCTGCTGCAAGGTGCTCCTGCGCAGTGAAGACGTGCGCTTTGGCAGGGCAGCAGGGGTTGGCGAGGAAACCAGGTTTTGAAATGGCGACGCGGCAGATCCAGTCAATTGGTACTCGTGATTGCCGTCCTCGTGGATATCGAAATTCTGAGGTGGTGCCGGGGTCTGGTCAAAGACCGAGACATCGCTTCCCAGGGTCGAGATGCTGTGGAGACTGCGCCGCTTCGCGACAGGGCTCCCGAAACTTGTCTGGCTAAGACCCATGGCGGCATCGCTCCGCTTAAGCGGGCTGACGGAAATCGCCGGGAACGGATCGCTGTTGTCCTCGATGAATTTCGAAACGCCGTTTTTCGTCGACCCGGAGACGTCAAGGTGCATTGAGTGGCGCGAAGGTCGCTCGAAACTACGTCGCGCCGCGGGACTCGACCGGAGAGAGCAGTCAGGAAACGCCACGTTTTCTTGACCCCGCGCTTCCGCGGCAGAGATGGATTGCGGAATCTGGTTTCCAAAATCGGGCGACGGGCCGAAAACACGCTTCAACGGGCTCTTGGGCGATAATCGGTTCCGTGATAGCGGCCGTGTCATTTGCTTTGCCCTCGCGGACCGCACCGAGAGCTTGATGTTGGGTCTGAAAGGTGTACCAACGTTCTGGAGCTGCGGCGGTGCCGAATAAGAAGTGGGAGGGAGTGCGCCCGCCGAAAGAGCTGGCGTTGCAGGAACCGTTGCAGAGGAGGGTTGCTCCAGCTGCTCATTCGGTGACGGGGTAGGCGACTGACGCAAGAGAGTCAATTTGGCTGTGGGAGATGCGATCCCCGACAGCCTGAACTTAGAAGGCGAGCGTGAGAGGGATCTCCGGAGCGACCGAACGGTTGAGCCCACGTCGACGTGGTGAACATGGGTGGGGGAGGGGAGTGTAAGTGTGCCCCCGCTTCCACCAGAGAATGACATCGTCGGTCTCCTTTTGGTATCGCAAACAACACTTGAGCGTGCGACTACCCGAACTCCCAATCCAACCACCTATGCAATGACAGACTCAGACACCGAGCAGCAATGTGCGGCGAAGAGCTGAATTTTGAGGCTCGCAGCCGACTCGTCCAGAAAGCTGCAATAGGGGTCCAATATGACGAAGTTCATGCGACACCGTCAGCTGTAAGGGCGTTTCCGGGGCAAAAAGAACGTGTCGTGCACAGGCGCAGAGGTCGAGTGCAGTTTGCAGAACAATCAGCTGCAGAAAGCGGCCAAAGATGGGCCGTTGACACTGCACTTCTCGGCGCGACACCGATGCCGATAGTATCAGCAAGTTGATGCTGTATTCCGAACGAGGATAAAGCTAGTCGACGGTTGAAGGCCGATGAAAAGAAGCGAGACGGGTTGCTGGAACCTTCGCTGGTAAGCAGGTCGTTCCTGCCAGATGTGGCGGCAATGATGCAGCAATCGAGTTCGATGGAAGGGCGCGTAAACAACGTCAGATCAGGTGCCCATCATTAGGCATCTTCGATATCGGTCGCGACTGCCTGTTACGCAGTTGGAAACCCAGTCCTCCAGAAGCTCCTGCCTGTCTTAGACGCTGTTCTTCGCCACACACATATCGCAAAGAAGGTGCGGGCGTGAGTTGTGTTGGATATCGGACGATTAAGGGCCTCCGCACGTTGCGACATGCGACGGACGGGGACAGTGCGCGGTCAAACCAGGATATTAGTTGAGATGCGATCAGCGGGGCTGACGCAATGATGGATTTGTTGATGATTTGAAGACAAGGGCATCAACAACGCGCTGAAGAATCCGAAGTGGCGATGATTTCAGGGACGAGCTTTGCCGATCGCATCCAGTGTGCAGACCAGGAACGGAACTTCATGGAGGCAGACCACGCGGCGCAGCACAAGAAAGATGGGACGCCCATTGTTGTTTACTTGGCGGGGCTTCACGCGTTTCGCGTTCAATGGACGCGTTGTGGCAAGACCCTGGCCGTGCCTGACGCTAGCAGATGCTAGCGTTGTCCCGCACCCCACAACCAACCGACAGATGAGTGGCGTGAGTGGCTTGTGTCCTTTGCGGTTTCCCCAGGTGCCGCACACCCATTGTTCCCCGAAAGCATGACGGGGCCGGAGCTGCAATTTGTGGGCAGTCGGGAACAGATGGGAAGTGACAACTGATGATTGGATGTGATATCGTCTTGATCAGCTAAAAGGAAGCTCTGTGTTTAGGTCTGGTTGCAACAAGCAGCTGACTGTTGTATTCTTCTCGGACGAGAGCTTCCCATTCTGCTACGCACCGTCAGTCTTCACCGCTCCGGACGAACCAGATGATTACCAGAGCGCGGGTTAGCGACCCTCTCGGAGCGGTGGGTTTCCCCCTCTCACAAGTGGAAGTCGAAGAATATCTACAGCCTTGGATCAGATCTCGAGCAGCATCCATAGCCAATCAAGTGTGAGGGCAAGGGCGGACCTTGGCATCTGTGGATACCGGATGCAAGGTTGCTAAACGTACACCGCTCGATTCTCCGGCTGCAGAAACCTGTTGGATGGTGGTCTCATGAGACACGCTATGTCAAACACTAGCAGAGTTCAGAATGCAGTCCCATCAATCCCCAGGTAGGAATGTAGGTTCGGGTTTGAAACCGTGGGCCGTGTCCGTTGCATGCTGCAAAACAGGGTTTCTGTGTCACAGATGTCCTGTGCCTGCCAGAGCCGCAAGACCGACTTGCCTCGTACAAAGCTTAGTCGCCCGGAAGCCCATCGCCACCGCCGCCTTTGCCCAAATACGAAACTGTCATAATGGTCATGCCGATGGCCTCTGCCTAAGCCGCCGTCAAAGGCCTCAGCATCTGGGCCAGGGCAGGCTCCCACTATCATATACTTGGATTGTTTACTTTTTCCGCGACGCGTCAAAAACAAAACACCTGTCAACAACATCCATATTCCCCCAGGATCGCGTTCAAGTGTACCAAAAACCTACATTGTCCTCTCCAAATCGGGCGAGTGGCATGAAGAAATTGAAAATATCACGCGCTAACCTGGAATCTAAAGAGATACTGCCCCATCCCGCTTTTCCCTTTCTTTTTTCCCCTCAGCAAGCCGGGGGAGGTGCCGCTCCAACCCCATCCCTGCTCCTCAAACACGGCATTTCCCTCCTCATTTCTCAACTCCTTGCTTTCCCTCGCAAACAAGCTGAGGACCAAAAGCACGAAAGCATGAAAGCACGGGCGTTCTTCATGCTGGGATAATCCCGAACTTCTGAATGGACGGCTCACCGCCCATAATCCTGATCAACAAACGACCCATGGAGAGATGGGTACAGAAGATCGACGGAACAATGCAGCATCCCGCATCTATCCCGTTTCCTTGCTCTCTTTCGTCGCTTTATGCGACAAGACCTGCTACATAAGGTACTTAATGTGGAGTTCCGACGACAAACTCTACTGTGGTACCTTATAGCCGCGCTCACAAATGCAGAGCAACCATAATATTGCCGTCTGCTTCATACCGTACTATCTCTCACGCTGGCGACCATCCAATTTCCAGATACTAGTATCCTGGTCCTCGATCCCGTCTCTGTGTACAAACCTGAATATCCATAACTGCAGGTAGGCTCCCGAGATTTGGTGTTTCCGCATGTTCAATCCTAGTCTAGGCGAGCCCCTTCATCTTGCAGACGGCACAACGCGGGGTGGCTGCATGTATCCGTTCATATAACCAGAAATGAAAGGATTTGATGGACTCGAAAATGCATATGGGCGCATGAAAATTGCTGATTTCCATTCATACTTGGATATCCCTTTGGGCATTTTCCTGTCCTCCCCTTTCCCCGTGTCCGAATCCAGTGACTTGTAAACAAATAACTCTGTAGATGGTATCATATTAGTCTCGCTAAGGCTTTTGTCTGCCCATCCACATCCCCCTGCCGAAAATCCACGGCGAGCCTTCTTCGTGCCCTCCTCGACAATGTGTTCCGGTGTCCTGAATGATCTCTGGACGTCAAACCTCCAGCAAAGTCAATGTCCGAAGTCAACCCTCCGGTAAAGCAGAAGTCAACCCTCTGTTGCAGCCAGACCACCACCAGCAACCCTAGTTAATCTATCCATACCAACTCATCCCATCAACAACACCACTTCCACCCCACCTTCAAGATCCCTTTTCAACCATCTCACCCCCCATGCAATCAAATCCTCCCCGTCGTATTCACAATCACCCAAGCCGCCACCGGCTTAACCTCCGCCCCTTTCTAGCCGAGTTAAAACCAGCACCCCACAGAAGCCGAGTAATTCAGTCACCCGCGCCCAACAAGAGACGGAGCCGGAGCCGGAGCCGGAGCCGGAGGCGCCCAGAAACACCGCATAAACTCAACCCACCTCCCAATATCCCCATTGAGCCGCTCCAGCAAGGCAGCCACGTCCTCGGCCTTCCTCTGCCTGCCGTTGCGCGTCACCAGGTTCCCGTTGGCTTCCGTCAGCACGTTCTGCGACAGCACGTGCACCGCCCCGTTCTCGTGGATTTCAAACTCCACGTCGGCTGATGACGCCCTGATATTGATATTGTTGTCCTTTCTAAAGGGGAAGGACACTTTGAGGTGTGGGACGGGGTCCATGGTCAGGGTCGTGTCGATGCGCAGCGGAGGTTCTTCTTCGTCTTCTTTAAAACCCTGCGTTTTCTCTGGATAGGGAGCGGGAGAGGCTTCGTTCTTGATGGTGGTTGGGTGGGCTGTCATGTTGAAGTAGGCGGTCTGGTTCGTGATGATGGTGCTTCTCGTGACAGGGGTGGGAGGTGGTTTCTTGTCGGCTGGGTCGATCCAGTCTTCAACGTCGGGCAGTTCCTTGAAACTGTTTTCTAGAAGCGTGGCGAGGAAGACATATTGCCGCAGCGAGGGAAGAATGGAGATGAGCTGCTGCGGGTGCGAGAAAGTCATGCCCGTCAGCGTCCGGCTCGGTTCCGGTAGATAGACGTAGAGCGACGTGGCGTGCCGCTTGAGCGAGTATTTGCCAGGTGTCGCATCCTCTTTAATTGGGGTTCTCTTGGTGATGGTGATACTTCTGGAGCCGCCTCCGTCGGGGCCATGGCCCGGGGGGTATGGGAGGACAAGGCTGTCAAAGGTGTCCACGGTCATGGGGTGCTTAAGCGGCGATTCGTCCAGCACGCAGCCCATTTGCCGGAGTTGAAGCCATATGAACTCTGGGATGTGGACGGGGGGGTCGAAGGTCGCGTGAAACGCGACGTCCGGGAGACGAGGCCCGAGAAGCGACGGGTCGGGCTGCATCGGATCTGCCTTGGTCTGGTCGGACATGGGAACGAAGGTGCTCTCGGGCTCCAGCCAGTCGATGATCGGCGTCAGCACTCCCGTGGCGGTATGCAACTCGCCCGGAAGTGGTATCTTTGTCACATTGGGGCCAATCCACTTGTCGGAGATGCGAACAGGGTTGACGACAGGATTGAGGTGGTTGACCTTCAGAGGAGCACAGTCAATCAGGATGCTCCATCTCCGTTTGCCTATCTCTTCGGCCCACTTCAGCAGGTTCGGCTTCTTGAAGGGGATCTGCCAGTCTTCCTTCCAGTACTCGAGCGTCATGCCCACGCGCCCCCTCGCGTTCATAATTGGCCTTCCACTTTTTGTGCAAGTGACGAGGTTCTCGAGATAGTGTTCGCGGGCCCTGGCTTCGGCCGAAGCATCCTCGCGAGCTTTCTGCAACTCCCACGCGTGGAGACGGCACAGGCTTTCATAGATTCCAGCAACTGCCTCGAACAAGTTAAGGCCGGGCATGATGCTCAGCTTATCCAGAACAGCCAACCGCTCAAAGTTGGCGACAACGTCCTCGAGCGATTTGGTCAGCGGACTCTGGCCTTTGCGAAGCCGGAGGTCGTTGAAGAGAATCTCGCCGGCGGCTTCAGCATGCCTGCTGACAATCTCGGCCGAGTCGGGGAAGCTCAGTGCCACCGACTGGACAACGTCGTTGCAAAACTCAATGAGCAGTTCAAGCGTGGAACCAGCTATGATAAGGGTCCTCTTGCTATCGCTGCCCTCCCATATGTGTTCCAGATCGAGTTTCTTTGCCAGTCTCTCCAAGCCAGCCTCACTGACCAAGCCTTTGCTCCGCTTTGGGAAGGTTAGCGACTTGGGCGACAGTTCGGGGTCCTCAAAGGCTAACGTACACTGAGGATAGCAATGACATTATCCAGTTTCCTGGCCATCTCATCCTCCTTAGATGTACTCAGGTTATTGAGAGTCTGCAGGCCGAGGTCCAAGGCAGCATTAATGTCCATAAGGGCAGCGGCAGTCGACGGACTGTCGAAGTTAACGGAGCCCATCATGGAGCGACCCAGGGTTGCGGGCGACGACTTCTTAGTTTGTTGCGGCGATGATCTTGGGCCAAGGGGAGAGAAGGCGGCCTGGTTGGCTGAAAAAGGCGTCGAGACCGAGGGGGTCGCGGCAGCACCGTGGGGAGGCTGCGGTGTCCTACCCTGCGACAGCGGGTTCTGCTTTCCCGGAGTTGGTGTTGACATGGTGTTGTGATGCTGGTGAACGTTTTAAGAAAAAGAAAAAATATAAAGGATGGTCCTGTTGGGAGAGAATCTCAGAGGTATTAACTGGATGCTGTGATGCGCTTTGTGGCGGGAGAAATGAGAGCCGGTCCTTTGCTGTTAATGCAGCGTCAGTCCAGCTCACGGTTTGAGCAAGAGCTTCGACGGCACCGGCGCACTCACACCTGGTTCCAGAGGCCTGACAACCTAGTCAAGTGCAGTCGAATGCGGGAATTGCGTTGCTGATATCAGCAGCGAGCAAACCGCGGTTGGTACTTAATGAGCAGGTCCATCCCGTCAGATTGTTAACACTCCTCCCTATCCCACATTACCTTAAAGGATAGGACCTTTGGAGATGGAAAGACGCCGTCAACAAAGAAACTGGACCTGTTTGCAAGCGTAGACAACCCCAACCCTATGGTGACTCGCACAGCAGAGGCATGCAACTGAGCGGATCACAATTAATTATGCACCACGGCCGGTGGTCAGCAAAGGCGCCATCGTAGTCGAGAACAAAAACTTCAGAGCAAGCAGTCTCTCTAAAGGAAAACGTGACGAAAATTAGAAGTGCCCTTACGGATACCAGTTGATGCTTCTTGGTGCCAGACCCGCTGAAACAAGGCCCCTGTCCCTGTCAGCACGCAGCAGGGGCTTAGCTCGTCCCTTGGAGATCTAGTTTCCCAACAAGCACAGGCGCCATGAACTTCTCAGCGCCGTCATCAATCCACAAGCCGCTCCCACAACCCCCGGCATCGGCATCGCAATCCCCAGCAGCGCAATCTCGGCAATCTCAGCACTCCCCATCGGTACAAGATCAGCAACAGCAGCTTCAACAATCCCAGCAGCAGCAGCAGCAGCAGCAGCAGCAGCAGCAGCAACAGGCCCCTCAACCGGCGCTCCTCGCCATGAACGGCATCAACGGCGCCAACATGCCCGGCGGCATGGTCCCGTTTCCCGCCCCGGCCGGCCATCAGGCTGAGCTGAACTACATCTACGGCATGGTCGAGGAGCTGAGCCGGCAGCTGGCCGAGAACCAGCGCACGCTCGAGGAGGTCGTCGCCGGCGTGGGCCGCGTGCGCAGCCGCGCCAGGACACACTCGCTGAGCAACGACGAGCTGATCAGCTCTGCGTCGGACGAGGTGAAGGGTGCGTATAGCCTTTCCCGTCTATGCAAGTTTCACTTCTGATACTAACGCGAAAATGAATCATAACAGCCCAAGAACCCAACCTCGACACACTTATCTCCATCCTCTCCGAAGCCCTCGAAAAAGCCAAATTCTCACGCGACGCCAACGCGGCCCTCGCCTCGCAGTACGCGTCGGTGCTTTCGACCATGCTGAAACAGTTCCATGACTACAAGGCCCGGCATGTGGCCGACGTGGCGGCCTGGCACCGCAGCTACCGCGCCCAGCTGGCCGAGGCGCGGGCCGAGAATTGCGCGCTGCGCGAGCAGATCTGGGAGATGCAGGCGCGCGCGGGCCGGGCCAACGAGCTGCTGCGCAGGTTTCGGAGCCGCTACGATGACGATGCCGCGCGCTGGGAGCGCCGCGTCGAGGCGAAAGCCGTGCGGCAGGAGTTGCGGTTCTGGAAGAGGATGGCGATGCCGCACTTGAGCGAGGACGACCCCTGCTGGAGCGACGACGACGATCTGATTGATGTCGCAGAGAAGAGGCGGCTCGAGGAGATGAGCCGGTTGGCGGCGCAGCAGCAGTTGGCCGCAGCGGCAGCCGAGTTGGGGGATATTGTGGGTGGTGGTGGTGGTGGTGGGGTGGAGGACGGCGATGTGCCGCCCGAGGTGCCGTCCGTGCCGGGGATGGGTGGGGTGCCGATGCAGAGGCAGGATGGGGCGGTGATGCTGTCGATCCCGCCGCCCAGGCCGTCGAGTGTCGCGAGTAGTACGGGGTCGTCGGGGCAGTAAGTGCTACGGAGCCATTTGTGCTCCTAACTTCTGTACGAACATGAATGTTGTTATGGGTCATCTGCATGGGATTGGAGTCTTGATGGCGCCGGTTGAGGACATGGCGTTGGGAAGAGAAAGTCGGGGGTTCCTTCACATGATATCCCTGATAATGTAACAAGAGCTTGATGAATATGCCTAATTTGAGAGGCAAGCAGTTTCTGTGCTTAGCCCGAGTTCTGGGCCCAATATTCAAGAATGCTGTGTAATCAAAGATACTGAAGGCGAAGCGTTAAGAGGCCAAGCTGTGGGCGATGGCGGCACAAGGTGCTCTTGAGCCTGTATGTCTCCTCTGCTGGCAGATGTGCTGTTACTCTCAGCATCTCGGAAATGAAGTGAACATGAGAGCAGGACATTTGGCTCTCCTCACAGCATCAAAAGTGAGCTCTAAACCGCAAGGCGACTGAAGCCTGATGGAGGAATAAGATGAAAACACGACAGTTCAACATGGAATCGATACTCCCAAATAAGGTAACTAGCACACGTAATCCGCTTGCAAAACCATCTACACCTATGCGCATTGTATAAGGATGCTATAGCTGGCCTTTGACAATTGATGCGTTCCGACGCTGAACATGGTGGTCAAATCAAGTTTAGATAAGCGTGAGCATCGTCCAGGGGCTCTACTTTGTGAGAACGCCTATGATATGCGGCATGGTGAAGTACCAAGGTTCGCCATCCAGCTGGCACAGGTCAACCTCGCTCCAGGCACCGGCGCCTTTGATCCATTTGCCTGTCTCGCGGCACATCTCACACCCGCCGATGAATTGAGGCCAGAACAAGTTCAGCAAGGCTAGAAACGAGAGGCAAACAACTTGTCAGCCAAGAGGGGAACAAAAAGCAATCTCACTCCCTCCCAACACACTCTCGAGAGCGTTACAAGTGATAGCTTACTCACCCTGATACAACCCCATCCCCCACCCCTGCTCCTTAAAGCACTTAACATGCTCGTACACATACCACCGCCCGCCAGGCTTGAGGTAGCCGTACAGCTGCTTGACATTGTGCTCCGGTTCCGGGATGCTGCACAGGCACATGACAGTCACGATGCAATCCACACTCTCGCGCGGGACGCGCCCGGATGCGGCGAGGTCCTCAATGCCGACGGGCACGATCTCGTAGGCCCCGTCGTCCAGCTCCGCGGCGGCGATCTGGCGCTTCAGGCCCGCGTGCTGGGCCGGGTTGGGCTCCACCCCGTACACCTTGGTGATGCGCGGGAGATAGCGCGGGCTGAAGAGGGAGGTCCACATGCCGGATCCGGGGCCGACTTCGAGGACGGTGCCGCTCACCGGCGGGTGGGCTGTCCTGGTTCCGGTTTCGTTGTCGGATGGAGGAGGGTGGATATGGCCGGCCTGGACGCGGCCCTGGACCAGAGGGATGACGTTCTTCTCTGCATTGGCGCGGACATCGGGACCGACGCGCGCCCAGAAACGGCCGAACCAGGCGGCTTGTAGCCGCGGCCAGGAGAGGAGGGTGCCGAAGTCGCGGGCGAGGATCAGGGACATGACGGTTGAGGGCAGGTAGGACGCAGCGCTGCCCATAAAGTGGAAGGGCTCCAAGAGGGCCGCTAGCGGCAAGGGAAGCAGCTGAAGCATTTTGACCGTTGCAGCTTTGGGGAGGCCGTGAGGGTAAAATTGGTGAAAATAATATGAGGGTTGACTCGGGTGATAAAATAAGGGAAAGTGAGACGAATTCCAGGTTGAAAGGTGAACTGGGAGAGGCCAAGTCACATGTTCAGTTACATTCTACCTCTTCTCTTCCGCGCCGCGGGTTATTACGCAAAGGTATAAGTGATGCGGAGTTGTATTGATCCTCAAGGGAAGATGGAACTTCCAGATCCGGAAAACAAAGGATGTAAGAGGGTTAGGGCTATGGTCTAGCTTGGGAAGATATCCCTGTCAGCAATCAACAGGCTTGGCAGATTCAACCAATCAGGAGGGCCCAATGCTGATGAGGTCAGCCTGGCGCAAAGTGGCCACTCGGACACGCTGGCTGCAATGTCTCAGGCTCTCTCTGCAGCGCATCTTCTTGCCTCATGGATGGATGGCTGCGTGTAAGCGACTTTGCATCCTTCCAACAAGGCCCTGCAATTGCCCGCCACTACGCCCTCGGCGACTTCCCTAACACTGCCATTTCTCGTCGCTCGTTACGGACCTCGTTCGGATCTGATCGGTGCATACACTCGGCCAGTCGACACTTGTACATTGTACCGCCATCAATTGGCATCTAGAATTCAAGAGAGGAGTCTAGAGGACAGCCAGAGCGGCCGCGGCACAGACACCATGAGGCTTCTCCGAACGATTGTGCTGTCTCTCCTGACGCTGGCGCAACTCGCGCTTTGCGCAGAGGACTATTACAAGGTGAGATTCAATCCCCTCTGTCTCAACACCGTTGCGGCCACTGCGCCTTTCATCTGACACGCCGTCAGGTCCTCGGCCTCAACAAGCAAGCCACCGAAAAGCAGATCAAGTCCGCCTACAGGCAACTAAGCAAGAGATACCACCCAGACAAGAACCCGTAAGCCCTTCTTCTTCAATCTCCCTCCTCCCTCCCATCACCTCACTCTCTAATAACACACACGCCCTCAGCAACGACCCAACAGCACATGACAAGTTTGTCCAGGTCTCGGAAGCCTACGAAGCCCTCTCGGACGCCGAGTCCCGACAAATCTACGACCAGTACGGGCACGAAGGCCTGCAACAACACAAACAGCAACGCGGCGGCGGCGGCGGCGGTCACCACGACCCGTTCGACCTCTTCAGCCGCTTCTTTGGCGGCGGCGGCCACTTCGGCAACCAACCGGGCCAGCGGCGGGGCCACAACGTCGAGATCAAGGTTACCGTGCCGCTGCGCGACTTCTACAACGGCGCCACGACCGAGTTCCAGTGGAACAAGCAGGAGATATGCGAGGAGTGCGAAGGCACGGGCGCGGCCGACCGCGTCGTGCACGCCTGTCCGGTCTGCAACGGGCGCGGCGTCCGGACGGTGCGGCAGCAGCTGGCCCCCGGCATGATCACGCAGGTGCAGATGCAGTGCGACGCATGCGGCGGGCGGGGCAAGAGCATCAAGCACCGCTGCCCCGTCTGCGAGGGCCAGCGTGTCGTGCGCAAGCCCACGACCGTGACGCTCACAGTACAGCGGGGCATGGCGGACGGGACGCGCATCGCGTACGAGAACGAGGCGGACGCCAGCCCGGACTACGTCGCGGGGGATCTGATCGTGACGCTGGTGGAGAAGGAGCCGAGTCTGGAAGGGGAGGACAACCCGGACCGGGTGGACGGCGTGTTTTTCCGGCGCAAGGGCGACGACCTGTTCTGGCGCGAGGTGCTGTCGCTGCGGGAGGCGCTGCTGGGCGACTGGACGCGCAATCTGACGCACCTGGACGGCCATATCGTGAGGCTGGGCCGGAAGCGGGGCGAGGTGGTGCAGCCGAATCACGTCGAGACGGTGCCCGGCGAGGGCATGCCCAAGTGGCACGAGGATGGCGACAGCGTGTACCACAAAACCGAGTTTGGGAACCTGTACGTCGAGTACGTCGTCGTGCTGCCGGATCAGATGGATAGCGGCATGGAGAAGGAGCTTTGGGCCCTATTTCAGAAGTGGCGGGCGAAGAAGGGGGTCGATTTGCACAAGGACAGCGGGAGGCCCGAGAAGCCGGTTATGCATGACGAGCATGAGCATGAACATGAACATGAGGAGTTATGAGAGGGTTTCATGTACATACAGACAGTTGCACGTTTAGAAATGTTTGGTATAGATATACTACGCACCCAACCTGTGCTGAGCAGGCATAAAATGGATCGTCGTTGCATTCGTATTCTTGTAAATAGTACCGCAGTGTAGCCCAAGCATCGCATCTGTAACCAGACAAGAACATACAAGCATCGTATCTAGGGTAAATGACGAAAAAAAAGAAGAAAAATCAAGGCAGTCAGTCATAAGTCATCAAGCATAATCATCACTCATCCCCAAGTGTGCGCCCTGTCCACTCCCATGTCATACGGTTGCTCCTTCCCCCTTCGCCGCCGCCTCCGTTTCCTCTCCTCATCATAGCGGTCATCATCATAATCATCCCTCCGCCTGTCGTCCGCATGCCTACTACTCCCCTCCTCCCGCCTCCGCCGCCGCCTACCCCAATCCTCATCATTATCATCCCGACTCGTCTTCTGATCCCTTACCAAACGATCCGATATCCTCCTCGTCCCTTGTCCCTCGCCACCACCACCACCTTCATCCGCCGTCGCCGAACCACTATGCAACAAACTCCCGCTCAGAATGCCCCCGATCAAACCCCACCAACTACCCCTACCTTCCAACACCCCCGTAACGCGCTGCACAACCCGCTCCACCACCTCGGCATCCGTCCCCGCCACGCCCCACTCACCACGCATGTTCAACCCCCCCTTGTCGGTGCTACCGCGAGGACTCCGGTACTCAAAGTCGCCGCGCCGGCTGTGCCACCCCCGGGAAGAATAAGAAGAAGAAGGTTCAGACCCATCATCAAGAGGACGGCCCTGCGCATCAAACCGGTCCGGAAGCATCTCAATTACTTCCTCGTCATCCGTCTCGGGAGGCTCAGAGAATGAAGAAGCAGTGTCCCTGTTGTCGCGCGACCGGAGAACGGGAGGAGCCAGGGCCCGGTCCGATGACGGGTCCGACTTACGGCGGCGCCGGCGTGATGATGTGCTGCCGGGTTCCTTGTCCGCTGATAGTCCCTTATCCCGATCTTCGTCGCCGTCGTCGTCACTTTCGCTGGGTATGTCCTCGGTCTCGGACTTGCTTGCGTGCTCCTCGTGGTGGCGGCGGAGTGTGGCCGACGACTTGGGCGACAGGGGGATGAAGACGACAGATTTGGGCGTGCGAGGCGCGTCTTCTGGAACGGACTCTGAGGCCGCAGGAGGAGGAGGGCGAGGATGAGGAGGAGCGTATGCGACGGATGGGATTATACCATCTATGAGCACATACTTGGTCAGTTCAGGCCCTCCAATCGCGGTTGGATGATGGTCTTGTCTCCCAGGGCACCATCGAGAGACGACGCACCCTTGTCAACGGAGCGAACGGCAGCGCCTGGTTCTGGAGTGGAACGACCAACACAAGAAGCTTCACTCACATGTTCAGGGCCCGGGCGGTCTGTCGGTGGAGGCACGGCGCCCGTCGTTGTGGCTGAGTTTGGGGGCGGACCCGGCATGGGCGGGGAGTAGGGTGTGTAGGCTGTATCCGGCGGGTATGGTGCGTAATGCTGGTTGAGATTGTCGATGGGGACGTTGGGATGTTGAGTGAAGCCATTGGTTGAACCCGGAGGCGCCGCAGGGGGAGGATTGTAATATCCGCCGGAAGCGTGAAGTGGTGATGGCGCCCGGCGACCATAGTTGTCGTAATCATCTGCGGGGACATCGTCTCCGTAACCTTTGACTGGTGAGCCAGCTATCCCACAAGGCACTTGGAGCGGTGTTACTTACGCCGCCGGTCCCTTTCCCTCCCCTTCTCCCTCTCCGTCTCCCTTTCCCTTTCTCTGTCCCTCGCCCTGTCTCTCTCACGCTCCTTCTCATCCCTCTCCTTCTCCTTCCCTTTGTCTTTCTTATCGTTGTATTTTTTGATACCAATGGCTGCTGCGCCAGCTGCCGCAGCGCCCGCAGCGAGGTCCCGCAGCCTACTCCCGCTGCGCTTCTTGGCCGTCTTTTTATCACGGTCCGTCTCCGCCTCGCTATCTGCAGAATAGTCGTCGTCACCCCTCGATCTGTGCCTCCTCCGGCGCCTGCGGCTCCTGTCCTCTGCCGCAGAGTCATACCCCGCTGCCGCTCCTCGCCCCGTATCGTGCCCATACTCTGGGTACACGGGCAGCGGGTGGGCCCCGTACTCAACCATGCCTAGCTCAGGATCAGCTACCGAAGGGTCACCGTCGGGGTACGTGGGTCCGGACCGAGTCAAGCTCCTACTCCTGCTGCGGCGGTTGTAATCGCGCGCGTCGCGGTCGTAATAGTCATCATCGCTGACTTGGCGGTCAAGCTCGCGCTCGTGCTCTCCCTCCTTCTTCTCCTTGTGACGGTCATACAATTTCTTGGCGCCGGCGCCTGCCAGGCCAGCGGCCAAGATCTCGGCACCGGTGCGGACGCGCGATCGTGAGCGACTCTTGCCGTTTCTCGTCTTGCTCTTGTGGCGGTAGTGCTGGACCAGCCCGGCAACGGCTGCCGTGCCTAGGCCGGCCTTGGCAAGAGATGAGGCTCGGCTCTTGGACCGCTTCCGGCTCGGCGACCGGTCGCTGTCACTGTCGCGGTGGAGAGCCCGGCCACGGGTCGCCTCCTCCTTTTCAATTTTGTTGCTCTGGTAGTACTTGGCGGCCCCGGCAGCTGCAAGAGCGACAGCGGCGATGCCCAGGCCGGTTTTGAGCCTCGAATGCGGCGGGCGTGAGCGAGACCGAGAGCGTTCTCTCTCCCTCTCGTCTTCGAACCGCTCCTGGTAAGCGCTGTGTGCGCGCCTCGCGACCTCGGTGCCAAGGGCGCCAAGCGCAGCACCGGCAAGGACCTTGCGGCCGCGGTGTTGCTTGAACTCACCTTGCCCGTCGCGCTTTGAAGCAAGAAGAGCACCGATACCGGCTCCAGCTAGAGCGCCTTCAGCCAGATGGCGCTTCCGGTGAGGGCTGCTCGATTCGCTGCGTTCTCTTCGAGTGACGGTGCGCTTCAGGTAGTAGCCGTCATCCGATTCGGCGTCACTGTAGCCTCCGTGGTGGTGGTGGCGGCGATGGTGGTGATGGTGGTGGTGACGGTGTCGATGATCATCATCATAGCGCGCAACCGCGACCTCTTCCTCGCGGAGCTCTCCTCGGTAAGGGCCAATCTCACGAGATTCGCGGTGGTAGTAGTACTCCCCATCGCGCGATCCCCGGCGAGCGACAGTAATCTCCCTGGGTTCTTGAGCTTGTTCCCGAATCACAACAGTTGCTGGAGGAGCCTCTTGAACAATGATCTTCTGCTCCGGAGCGCGCTGGCGAATGACGATGGGAGCGGGAGGTGGCGGGGCGGGTTCATAATACTCGGTCTCCTTGCGCCAGCGCTCAACCTCGGCAGTTCCGCTGGGGTAGCCATCATCGCGGCGCTCTTCGACCCGGCGTTCAACGCGAACCTCGCCACCGTCCCGGTGCTCGACTCTCTTCTCGACTCGCACCTCTGTCTCCTTTTCGTCGTCCCAGTACGAGCGGCGCTCCCAGTCCCTTGGCGAGTAGACATCGTTGCGATCGACTCGTTCAACTTCTTTGGTCGACTCGTACACCACCCTCCCGCGATCTCTGTCGCTGCTGCGATGGTAGTCGTCGTCACGGTCCCGCTCCACCACCTCTCTCTCGACCACAGTGCGCGTTCGCTCGGTGGGGTATGGGAGGTCCCGGTCATCGCGCTCGATGACTCGCTCCCGCTCGACTACCGCACCCCGGGGCCCGTCCCCGCGATACTCTACCCGATCAACCCGGGTGTAATGCTCGTCTCTGGGTTCGCGCTCACGCTCGCGTTCAATGACCTGGCGCTCAACATAGGTTGCGCTGTGGGGAGAGGGGTCGTAGGCAGACCGGGGTCGCTCAGGAATGTAGAGACGATCGATGATCTCGTCCCGGCTGGAACGGCGAATGGGGGCATAGCGGCTGCGGCGCTCCTCCTCAACGATGTCGACCTCGCGCTCGACCCGCTCAACACGGTCCGGCGTCACCTTGTAACGGCGCACTGTCGTCCTCTTGTAACCCTCGTCGGAGGATGGAGAGGCGTCCCGCTCCCGCACATAGCGGGACTCGCGGTACACCTCGGGCATAACGGTTGGTGAGTGTCGTCACACAAGGTTCAAAGTTGTAAGAGGTGATCTCAAGTCAGTGCAAACCAGGTTGTAAGTCAGCACAGGAGTGTAAGGGTATTGGTTTCGCGACTCGGGTATCGCAAGAAAAAAAGGCAAAAAAAGATGAAAATCGCAACGATGTCAGTAACAGATGAGTGGAAGGTGCAGAGTTTCCAAGCAAAGGCAGGGTGGGAGGGAACAAGGCTGGGTGAGTAAGGGAGGGTGGTATAAGAGAGGGGAGGTGGATCGTAGGAAGGTGGGAAGCGGGAAGGTGGGCATGGCCGCATGAGATGGCTGGGGTGACGGGTTCCAAAGCAAGCGAAGCGCCTGCCTTTTGCTGACAGACTAGGTTGGCCCACAAACTGCACACTGCTGATTACTTGCAGCAGGAGAAGCTGCATGGTTCACTACTGTAGCATAGTGGACCAACTGCGGCGCAGCTCGCACAAGATGGCTCATCGGGTTCTTCGGTTCTCGACCATCAACGGTACCTTAGAACCCATGGACGTTGGCCAGTGACAGCGGCCCGTCCAATGACGCAGATTCTCTCGTCCCCTAAACTTAAGGCGGCCTCTTTCCACGAGAGAGGCACCGTGAAAACCCTCGCACCAGAACAGAGGGAAGGGCCTGCAAAAGCGGCCTCGGGTGAGATGTGAGATGTGGCTCCCAACAGATTTCGGGCGCCACGGTTTCCATGGACCAGATTGTGCCTCCCTCAGTCACGCCGCAATCGGGTGCATTCTGAGACAATGATGGCCGGAGGACATAAGGTATTTCACAAAAGGCCAGCCGCTGTCTCAGCCGACGGCGACGAGGTTGAAGACACAGCGGTCCGCCAGCGACTGCCACAGGCTTGACAAGTTGGAAACCGGCGGGTCTTGTGCTACCATCAGGAGACTCTCGTCGCCTGTCACACTCGCGGAAACCATACAGATTACCTCATGAAGCGTCCACATCTCATGACGCTTCGAGAACACGGTGGCAGAAGGGGAAGACCCACGAGGCTTGCAACCATGTCCTGTGTCCACGAGGTTCAAGTTCCGGTTCCGTCGGCAGCCCCACCATCATCCAGAACCCAATACGGGACGCCGGGTCTGAGGCGCAGCCTTGTGACCTGGTCACCAGTTACTGCTGGTTCTGGCAGTCATTGGATTTGGGACAAGGTAGCCGAAAAACACCGCCGCTCTTCATCTCAGGTTCTTTTACTTCGAACGATGGGTAGCTCGAACGGGGCCTCAGCTCTGAGATGCTAACAGTAGAAGCCGTCAGGTGGGTTTGTATGACGCGGGGAGGCAGCATTGACCGAGTTTCCAACTGGATGGATGCATTGCGCAGCGAATGAATTCAGGTCAAACACACCTGTCGGCAAGAGAAAAGCCATTTCGTCATCGCGACCGATCAGGGCACGAAAAAAGTAGGTCTTGGCATGCCAAGAAAAGCATGTTCCAGGCCCTGACCGATATTCTCAACCCAACGCCTCTACGAAGCACGAGGGAATATTTGAGCTCTCTAGAAGTTTCTGGCGCAAATGATCAAGGACACTTAAGATAGTACAATCCCAGGATACGAGTGAGCTAAGCAATGTAGTCTGTGGACGTCTTTGGCGGCTGCCCGAGGCTCATGGTGGCAGCATCAGCCCATTCTCCTTGACCTCGACAGGAGGTAGGCCGAGCACCCCGTCGAACTCATAGAGATATGATGACCGCTGGACGAGTAGGGATAGCGTTGGGGGACGCGGGTCTTTGAATATCAACAGTTCACAAAGGTTTGGTTATGGCGACCCGAACATCCAACCCTGATGCGTACTGTATCACCAGGGACAGCAGGCCTCGCCCCTAACCAGCCTCTCCCCTTGTGTCAAGCCTTTTTAGTGATACCATGCACAGCGCGCAACTCGAGGCACCTCGTAGCCTGGTAGCAAAGAGGGGAGGATGGGTGACTACACCGGACGTGGACTTCATTGGATTGCCCGCTGTGCTATGGCAACCTCCTCGTCCGTGGCCTAATCGGCCTGCCACGGACCGCGACCTGGAAGCTGACCCAGAGTAATCCACCGCTATCGAGCCCACGGGACCAGTTGACTCGTGCCAATCCGGCCCGACCATTGTTGATCAAAAGCGCATCTTCAAATTCCGTGTAAAGCTACGCCGATGAACCAGGATCCCCAATATCATAGCCTCCATCCCTGTGGTCGTGTGTGCGAAATGCCGCCGCAAATCCATGCAGATTTTGGAAGAACAAAGGGAATCCGAGGAGTCAAAACCACGCCCTGCCCGAGTCGACGCCAGCTTAGTCGAAGAGACCGAAACCCATGTCCTCGTCCGACTCCTCCTTCTCTGCAGCAATGTATCAGCAATCTGCCTATACCAGCGGGCCCAGGTCGAAGCGCGCGGGGCCAGAACTCACCCTCCTCCTTCTTAGCCTCCTCCTTGGGCTCCTCAGCAGCGGCGCCGCCAGCAGCAGCAGCACCACCAGCCGCAGGAGCAGCAGCGGCACCACCACCAGAGCCGACGTTAGAGAGAAGCTCCTTTACGTCCTTGCCCTCGAGAGCCTGCAGTGCAACAGATAACCCCAGTCAGTCACCTCGTCCGTCCCGTTTCCTCGCATCCTGATCGCGAACTCGCTCCATCTCGGTCTTCGTACCTTGGCGAATAATGAGGCCCAGATAGGCTCGACATCCTCAACCTTGGCGGCCTTGATGAGGGTCGAAATCTTGTCGGCCTGGGAGAGGGTGCAAAGTTAGCTTTCCCCAGCTCAAATCGAGGTTTCCGGGACCCTGCGCTGTTGCGCCCGGGGTTTATCGGGATCGTTTCTTACGGTGATCTCGACACCGTCGTCGGCGAGGATCAGCGCCGCGTAGGAAGTGGCCAGCTCAGCGGTAGACATTTTGACGGGTGCTTTGTCGAGGCGCGAAGTGCTGAGACTCGAATGGGCTTGTTGACGTGGGATGTTGAGACCGAGCTTGAAATTCGGGGGAGCGAAAATAATTAGATTGTGGGCTGGCGAAAACGGACTAGCCTGGCCCTACGGCTGGCAGCTGGCATTGCTTCATACTCAGCTGGCCACCACCTGCCAAAGGTGTCAGCGATTGTGGGGCTTCATTAGCCGGACCCCCGAGCTTGCACCCTTGATGCACCCCACCACAACAGGTCCCCTCACTGACGTTGAGAACAAGATGCGTCAACACATGTAACAGTCCTGACGTGCGATTTGCCTGTGTGAATCGGCTTTGAAACAGATATGCCGCAGGTTTCGTTCTCATGAAAAGGCAACGCTGTCTCATACTTCTTATCATCGAAAATCAGTCGATAGCTCAACAGCGAGCTCAGAGGGGTGGAAGGAGGGGTCACGAGCAGATCGGCCTCTTAGATCCAACAAGGCGGGCAATACCGTAATCCGATCTTCCCGACCCGGGCTTATTAAAGCCAATTTCCCTCTTGACGCGGAGACTCTCACATTCTCATACAACATTTTACACCGAGACCCCATCCCGCCCCCAACATGGACACTCCGGCGGTGCCAATGCCCAAGGACGACCGGGAGCGGCAGATCCTGGAAAAGCTCACGCTCATCCGGGACGACCTGCTGCTGCTGAAGAGAGACCGCACAAAATACATCAGGACCCAGGATGTCATGCTGCTGTACGATAAGCTGGTGGACCAGGTTAAGCAATTGAATGAGATTCGAAAGGGCGAGCACCACAGCGAGAACCAATGTATGTTTGGGAACTCAGCAAAGCTCAGGAGTTGCGATGTATTAACAAGCACCGCAGTGGACAAGGTACTCGAGAGCTGCTTCCAGCTCATCTCGCTCTTCTTCATGACGATTGGACGGACAACGGAGGTGCCGGCGGCTTACGCGCTGACATCGACCATCAAGCGGCTGCTGGACCATCTGACAGAATCGAGGCTCTTCTCGGCCAAGGATCTTCACAGCATATCAAACACGCTCAGCAAGCTCGACAGCATCTTGCAGAATGCAGACTCTCAGCATTCGCCCTATCTCGTAGAGCTTCTGGCCAAGAGGGAGACACTATGCAAGTCCATGCTGACCAATCTGCGTAAGCAGCTGGAAGAGCTGGATGAGCCCCTGCAAGAAATCTACGAGAGGCTCATTTCTATCTTGCGATCCATGTCCCTGGCCAACACCAAGGCCAAGGTATGCACCAAGAAAGTTCATGTCGAAGCAACGGCATACTGACGCTGTTGCAGTTCTCCGTAACGGAAGTCCAGAAACTCAGGTCAAAGTTGCAAGAAATAAGCGACTCGATGGTGGACGGCAAGTTCGTCGATGCAGAAGGCAGAGAGTATCGCGGTAGCCACGTGGTGTCAGACCTGCTGCGCCGCTGCTTGCAATGGTCCGACATTGTCCTCGAGAAGAAAGGCGTAATACCCGAGGCCTTCAAAGACAAGTACAACATTCTGATCAACATCCGCAACGAGCTCGAAAAGCTCTCCATCACGCAAGCCTGGTCGCTTCGCGAGACGGACTTGTACGACTTCCAGCGGCAGCTCGACAAGATCGATGAGGCGCGCGGCGCCGACGGCAACTGGCTCGACCAGGACGGCCAGCTCGCCGAGCTGTACGTCCAGCGCACGCTGCTTTACCTTATCCGCCGCAGCTACGGGTACATCTACTATCTCATGAACTCGTCCGAGCCAGTATCTGAGGCGCTGCTGCCCATCTACAACCAGCTGCAGACGCTGAAGCGGTGTCTGATTGAGGTCAAGAACTCGGGCGGGGTCGGGTCGGTGAGGGAGTTGTATCCGTATAGCATGAAGGTTTGTTTCGCCGTCGATTGGGGCTCTTCCGAAGGCTCCCCTTTATATTCTCTCCTAGAACTACAGTATAGATGTAACTGACTGGTCGGCTAGTTGAACTCGATCGACAATATGAGGGTGGACGGCAAGTTTATGGTTGGGAACGACATCCCGGAGGGTCAGGGCAGCGTCACTGATCTGTTGGCTGAGTGCTTCGATCTCGCGTATGACTTGAGGGTAGCCGCGGAGGAGAAGGAGGAGGGCGGGGACGAGTCTCCTGCTCCGCCAGCGGTTGCTCAGTGAGGGACTTTGAAGGGATTTGTTTTGTATGAGTGGAGTGTATGAGTGCTTGCTCTTTGCTTGTACGCACCCGCATGGCGTTCTGAGTGGGCATACGGCCGGTTTTTTTGCGGCGGCAACGCCGGTTCGGCGTGGTTACTGTTTGGGAGGCTAATCTGTGTTCTGGGTCGGAAGGTTAGGTCGTGTTCTAGTTACAAAGTTTAGGGAGCGTTGCTTCTTCTATTGCCATGGTAGCTTTTCAGAGCCATGACGTGTAAGGCTAAGAAACCCATTGTCAAAACCTATGGTCATCTGCTTCTTATATCTCCACCGCCTATCCCTTCACCCTTTGGGGATCCTCATTTGTGGTTGCGGAAGGCACACAGAAGAGGCCACATCTGAGCCTATATTCGGAAAAGCAGGTCAGTAAGTTGAACGACCCAACCACTATCAGAACACAAGACAACACAACACAACGCAGCCTGTGCACAACATATAGAGGGAAGAAGGGTCTGGTTGTTGATGTGGTTGGAAACACTAGGACTCGACTCACATTCTCGACATCCCACACCCCGGACTTGGCATACACATCCTGGCGCAGCACCTCCTTGATCTCCTCGCGGCTCGACGCCAGCATGACGATGGTGCTGCCGGCAAAGGAGAATTTGGAGGGATCGTTTAATGAGTCAGGGACGTCGTTAAGAACGGCGCCTTTTCCACATTGCGAGGGATTGCCCCCCTTGATGTCAGCGCTATAATACACATATGGGAGGCGATGGTTGATGAAGGAGGAAAACGAAGGGGAAGGGGGGGGGGGGGAAGGGGGGAAAGATAAAAACAGACGTACCGCCCATCTGGAACAATCCCGACTCCTTGTGGGGTCCGAGGTTGGCGAAGTGCTGACTGCGGTTTGGCGGGGCATGGGCATGTTAGTTCAGGTACTAAGCAAAAATGAGGCATGGGAGTTTGTTGAAAACAAAGTTGTGTAGATTGGTATCAGCAGGTTAGGTCCAAGTTCGTAAAAACTTACGGGCGGACCGCGAGGCGCTTCTCGTGAGCGCCGGGGATATCGGGGATGACGACCAGCCACTCCATCTTCTTTGGCTCGGACTTTGTGGCCATGGTGCTGCGTTGCGTGAGTACTAGGGGTGCGGGAAGGACGCGGAATGATGGGGAACGCAAGCTTATTCTCGGAGCACGGGTGAGGAAGCTGGCGTTGCTTTGAATGAAGGAAGATGACGAGAGAAGACTGAGGTCGGGAGACCTGGGCAGTGCTTGGGTGATGAGATTGCGCAGGTGTGAAGCCATGAGCCTGTAACGCAGATACCCGGAATATATAGAATGCCCGATTATTAGTGAGCGGCTACTGACGGTCATGAGACAGGTGGTTAAAGATGGCCACGGCGAGCAGCGAGATCGCAGTAGAGGGGTTAAGATACCCCTGTATTTGGAGAATGCGGGGTTGTCTCTTCGATGGATCCAGTACCGCAGTGGGCAGGTATCAGGGTGCTCACATACCGGCAAGTTGCTGTCGATTGCCAAACGTGTTCCTGGTGGGGAGATGTAAAGAGAAAGGCGTCCCATTTCAAATCTCCCGCACGCCCTTCCTTCGGGGCTACATAAGCCTCTGCAAACTACCTAACTAGAGTGCTGATATTGTATCCAGCTGGTGAAGGGGTCGGACCTTTGGAGACGCTCCACAGCCTCCAAGATCATGAATCTTGGCACTCCTTACTAGACCTCAAGATTTCGCCTTCATTGGGATATGGGTCCTATGGACTAGGGAGTGATAAACAGCTAGGTCGACTCTGCGTCGCGGCTCATGGCACTGGCTCTTGTGACTCTGAACCTTCAGAGGAGGAACACTCAGGGCTGGGCCATCCCTAATCGACCACTAGCACTGCACTGGGCGCCAGGCCTGCCTCTGCCAGAGTCTTCCCAAAGTCGATGCCGGCCTCGAATGTTTTCCTGGGAAATGTCGTTGTAAAGCTCTTTACCGGGTATATCACCTCTTCCCGGATCTGCTCGGCAACCTCGAAGAGCGTTGTCTCGCTGGGGAACGTCTTGACGAACACGCCCTTCTTGGACTGGAACCTCAACCGTGTCGTGGCAGTGGAGGGCCCGGATGATGTCGAAGCAGCGGGAGCTGCAGGAGCCGGCGCTGTGTTGGTTTGGCCCGGCAGAGGCCTGCCCTCGCGCTGAGCCTTGGCTTCCTCTTCCCGGCGCTTGCGTTCGGCCCTGTCGGCCTCGATCCGGGCTTTGATCCGCTTCTTTGCCTCGAGGTCCTCCAGCTTCTCCTGGCGCTTTTTGGCCGCCTCCTTCATCTGCTCCTTGCGCTGCAGCTCCTCCTTGATGTCTTGCGACTCTTTGGTGGCCTTGAGGCGGATTTGCTTGGAGGAACTGTCAGTTGCACGTCAGCCACGTTGGAAGGTTTCACAAACCTCATTTCGCTTTTGCTCTTCCCTCTCAGCAACGGATTGATGAGCCCTCTTCTCCTGTAGCTTCTTTCGGAGCTCCTCCAGTTTCGCCTTTTTCTCCTCCTCCGTCAGGGGTGCAATCTCCTCTGTCGATTCGGAGAAATCTGTGTGGTCTCTGGAAACGTGTTAGCGGGTTCGCCAGAGACAATATCCGCGCAACGTACGTCTTGGATGCATGAAAGGAGGCTAGATCGCGGTTGCGGAACTTCTTGCCGCACTCGTTGCAGACGAGGGACTGAGCGGTTTCGCCAGAGGGCAGAGACGGCGTGCCCTGTTCGTCGTCCTCACCAGCACCGGTGGCTGCTTGGCTCGATTGCAGCTCCTCCAAGGGTTTGTCTTGGTTCTGCTCGAGCCAGGTCAAGGCCTGCTGCACTGTGTCTTCTGTCAACATCAAGGGAGGATCTCGAGGGAATTGGAAATAAAAGTTACTGACATCCTCCAGTCTTCTTGACTGCGAGCTCGGCACGCGCCGGCTCAAAGCCCATCTCGAGGAGCAAGTCGAGGTCTGATTTAGTCATGATTGACTATTTCAGGTAAGATTCAGTGACCGTAAATGTACTGAGCTCGGAATTCCGGAACGGTAAACTCTAATGAGTTGAGAAACCCTCGAAGTGAGTGAGTGCTCGGATGAAGTTGACTTGACCTGGTCAAGGTCCCGATTATAGCGGGGCAGGTCACTGCGGAGGGGTTGACTACAAGAGGAACAGAAATCACAGGTTACTAAACAGGGCAATGCTAGAAAAAATTATCGTTCTTTCAGGAGCAAGTCTAGAAACACCTAGAGCATATTGAAGTTCAAGGTAAACAGCTTGCCAGCTCGTCAAAGTTGATGTTGAGCCACACCAGGCAATCGAGCTGTACGTCATATGGGCAGAAGTTGTTTGACCACTGCACTCGGCTTGTTTGACCTGAAAGGTCATCTGGGAAATTGCGAGGGTTAGGGCTTGTGCTGAGAACCTTCCAGGCCGGTCGGTGAGCACGGGCCCTTGGCCCCGGAACCTCGCCCAATACCCGGGCAGCTGCCCTTTCCCGGAATGTCGTAACACATCACGCCGCGGCCAACTGTCAGCTTCCACCAACGAGTCTGGTTTACTTCTCTCTGCGGGAGACAACAGCGCAGAAAACAACAGCAGACAACCGCTTTATGACCTACCTAACAAACAAGGGATAACATTAGTCTGCAATCACCGTCCTAAAAATCCCGTACCTTGAGACCTGGGGGTATCGAAGTGCGACACCAACTCCAGCTAGAGTTAGTTTGCCCGGCCATCTGCAAGCCCACCCGCCATCATGTCCGTCGAAATCGACCCGCTGGAGCTTGGGTTCCGTAGTATGTCTTCAGGAGTCCGCCTCGAGCCTACCATCGTCTAACCGGTCAGGACCCTTTACCGTCGAGGTTTCGCAGGTTCTCAAAATCAAGAACCCCAACACCGCGCCGGTTGCTTTCAAGGTAGGGAGACAGATCACTATGGGTATGTGTTCGTGGCTGACAGATGCAGGTCAAAACCACAGCTCCCAAGCAGTATGTCCACGCCGGGCCATCCCAGCGAGCACCAGTCCCAGTCGGAAGTTGACTGGTTCCCCAGGTACTGCGTCCGGCCGAACTCTGGCCGCATCGAGCCCGGACATGAAGTCGAGGTGTCTGGTTGGTTGCCATGGTTTCTCTGGATGTCTACTTCCACACGCGCTGACCTCTGCAGTGCTCTTGCAAGCGATGAAGCAGGAACCGCCCCTCGATGCTAAGTGCCGCGACAAGTTCCTCGTCCAGTCCGTCATCATCACCGCCGACAAGGAGTTCACAAATGTGTCGCAGATTGTGGGTTTTACACACGTTCCAAGCATGCACACAGGCCCCATACTGACAACCTGGCTAGTGGGACTCTGTAGAAAAGTCGGCAATCCAGGAAAAGAAGATCCGGGTGTCTTGGCTGTCGCCATCCCACGGTTTACAGTCCCTCGCTACTCCTGTCCGACGGGCAGGTGCCAATGGGGTTCGTCCCTCCCCCTTATTCTATCCCTCACCCACCACAGCAGCATCTAATATCCCAATGTACAGTACGACGCCACCCCCGACACCGCACCCCCGACATACTCCTCCCCCACGGGCGATGACACGACCATCGCCGACGAAACCGCCCTGCCCTCGCAGCCTGAGCCAAAGGAAGCCCGACAACAACAGCAGCAGCAGCAATCACCAGAGCCGAACCAAGAGACCCACCAGCAGCAGACCGTCTTCTCCGCCGCTGGCGCCACGGCGGCGGCAGCAGGAGCGGCAGCGACCGTAAAATCCGCGGCGGTCGAAACCTACGAGGAGCTCAAGGACCGGCTGGCCAAGGCCGAGGCGACCATCGCGTCGCTCAAGAACGAGGCGGCGAGCGGCCTGCGGCAGCGCAAGCCAGCTCCGTCCGAGTCAGAGGGCAAGACCAGCACGGCGGCGACGACGGGGACTGGAGCGCAGCTGGCACAGGCCGAGAGGCCGACAGTGCAGGGTACCGAGGGCGTGCCGGTGCAGATTGTGGCGCTGCTTTGCTTGGCGAGCTTTTTGTTGGCGTATTTCTTGTTTTGAGGACGGGGATAGGATACAGCGAAAATGGGGGCTGCTGGCCGTGGCACGGGGCGGCGGCTCCGGGTTGCCTCGGTGGGGGGCAATGGTTGGAAGAACGAGATGCTGAACGCCTACGTCGCTCTTTTATCGTCGGGGGGCGGTACTTCCCTTTGTAGTTATTCATGGACTTACGGAGAGAATGGGGTGGATGGATAGACTGGCGAATGTCTGGCGGTCAGTCGGGACGAAGATCGGACGGAGATGAACTAGGTAGCATGTATGGATGGGGAAAGTTTATGGGGGTTTCTGTCGGGGTCTTGTGTGTGTCTGCCTCGCTTCTTTTTTTCTTTTGCTACGTCCAAGCTTGCGACCTCTTATGTATGGTCTTGACATAGCTGGGTACTGTTGGGATCAGGAGAGGGTATATCTCGTTGTATTTTAGGCCTCTCTGTATGTTGGCAGCGGCGATGTGGAACCGTGGCCTGGATTTAGTGAGCTCTCGACCTTGTCGCTACGTGTCTTTGGGGGAACAGATGGTCGTGGACTGGCATGCTCTTGCCCGCATAATCCAAGGTTGAGGTTGTCTTTTCTTGCTTCCATGGTGAGACTCTATTCAATGTTCGTCAACTTCGGTCTACTGAGCAATCGTGGGTTGGCATGACGACGGCCTCGACCGAGCCGGGCTTCGCTCCCCGGATAACTTGTGTATTTTAGACTCCCCCTTCACAATGCGAGTGCCCATGTAGTGGGCGGTTCTTCTTGTGGACAACTACAAGGGGAATATTAGGACAGGCAGACGCATTCAAGCAGAACTTAGGTACAGAAAGAGAAGGAAAAAAGAGGGAAAAGAAATATGTACTAGTTCGGCGGTTGGTAGCTTGTTGATGGGAGAGCGGACGGAATCCCGTTTTTTCAACCGCCTATGGTCATACGTGCTTGGGGAAGGCGGACGGGCCGTTGTTGTAGCCTGGCGGTGATAGTATTGGCTCACGTGTTGGGTGCCTCGAAGGCGTTTTGTGTGCGGGAGACTGAGCGGAAAGTGATATGACCGCGTAGTGGACATAAAAGAACTCTGATATTCGGGATAGCCTAATGGGAAGGCTAGGTAATTAAGGCATTGTTCTATCGAGCTTCATAACCTGTATTAGTAGGAGGACCCAAGTCACATCGTGCTGGTGTTGGCGTTGACGTCGTGATCGAGAGAGTATTATCATGTTCATGTTCGCTGTAACTTCATCTCTACCTCGTTGTCACCCATATTCTTTCTGCCACTTGCAGTGAGAGATCAATGTACCATCATGATCAACAGGCTAAGAGTCTGATAGTTCGCTACCTACTCATGAGCTTGTCGGGCTCAACCACCGCTTGGAGGCTTGGACGGTCATTCGGACTCAGTGCCGCCCATCACAATCACATTGAGTCTTTGCGGGTTGTTGATTGTTTACTATCGTCAGGTGACGCATAGAGAAACATGCTGACAGTGGTTGGGGCCATCTCTAACGCACTCCGAATAGTCATGAACGCATTTGCTGAGCCCTTTCTCATTTCGCATCTCCAACGAGGCCGTATATGCATAGTAGTCAGGCATCAGAACGCCGGGTTAGGACAGAGCAATACCGGCAACGCTGGACCGGCAGCCACCTAGCTACGTGTTTGTACTATACGGCACAGTACAGCGCAGCAACAAGTTCTGGAAGAGCCGTCATATGCGACTATGTTATTGTTGTTGCGGATTGCCAACGTCGGGATGCACTACCAAACACTCAAGTGCACTACCAAACACTCAAGTGCACTACCAAACACTCAAGTGCACTACCAAACACTCAAGTGCACTACCAAACACTCAAGTGCCTATATTCGGAGTGTAGGCCAGGAAATACCTTACGCAATGCTGCTGGAGGGCCGGTCAGCCGTTTCACGGGTGCAAGCAGTAGACACAGAGATTTCCGTTCGCTGGAGCCCGGCACGAGGCAACGTAATGGAGGTACCGTGCTGCTTGTGGAGCGTTCCACCATGACCATGATCCGGGTGCTCGTTTTCGTGAAATGTGGAAGGGGCAAGACTCTCAACAATTGAACTGCTCGACAGCTGGCGTGCCATCAAGGGGGAGCTAGATGACTTGTTCTGGCGTCGACAAGCGCAAACCGTAAGAGATGTCCAAGTACGGACGGCGAACTGCAAGGGGGGCGGGCGACATGCGCTGGCTTCGTGGTTGTAGACTAGCCAATCAGCAAGTGTTCAAAAAACATGGTGCGGGTTTCGTATCGCAGGCTCTGTGTTTGTTGACCAGTGATCGAGACGATGCGCTGGACTGCCACTGAGAAGCGAAACATGGGAGGGTTCACCTCTTTGGTGTCGCACTGTCTGATCTCGTGTGTGTCGACGTCATACACGAAAAGCAGGGAACCTTGGAACTGGAGAGATGCTGTGTTTCCGGAACGGATTAATACCACCGGGGGTTTTTCGGTCGGCAGCCATATGGGTTGCTGCGTTCTGGAGGGCACAGCGTCTCCCGGCTGACACAATAACTAAACAAGTGATATGGAATGGCCACCGCCAGCCAGAACATGGCGATCAAGAGTTAATGATCGATGAGTGGTCGTTTCATCGAAATCGAATTTGGACCGACAGGCGACAATCGAGATTTAACCCCTGGCAGCCAAGAGCGCCATCGACGTCGCTGGCAAACGGAATGCAGGCATGCTTGGCCGTGCTTGGAAGTTGGAACGAGCCGAGCCAGCCTCCAGGAGAACCGTGTTCGTCCAAGACTCCAAGAAATCTGACCCACATTATTGACACGACCCAGACACTAGCGGCTAATACAACCACACCCTCATCTCGCCCAAGCTCGGATGAATCGGTTTGTGCATGCACAATCAAGGCAACACATACGAGCGAAGCATAGATATAAATCAGGTGGTAAAGGGAAAAACCCGGACGCATAAACTCGAGACTATGTGGCAGACATTGAATCGCATATGTGAAGGGAATCTACATACCTGCTGTATGTGACCTGTTTCCTGCCGCAAAAGCAGCTCCTATAAAAGCCGAGGCAGGCCAAGAGGCGTATGAAAGCGCTAATTACGGGGTGGCCGTAGTAATTGACCCACTCCTAATCTGTTAGCTTCAGTCTCCCCCTTCCTGCAGGTTTCTGCTCCGTCCGTGTTTTCTGCCCCTTGGCCGGGAACTGCTTCTCCTTCGACTCTCGAGCCACGCACTTCACCTTCTCCTTCGTTGACCTTCACTTTGCTTCAATTCACTCGTTACATACCGTGTTGTTGCCCCCAATTGAAGAAAGAGGTCCGACAACAATCTCTTTCTCGTTACAGGTCTTTACATCGACCACTCGCGAAACCGACTCTCCGCCAACCGCGTCAAGGCTAAAACCACGAGGAAATTCCTAAATCTAGCCACTCCATATCGGAGGAGAGGTGCGTTGGTATTTGATCCTCAGTTGCGTTCACATTTGGGAGGAAGAGATTGGCACCGGGCCAGAGACCAGAAAGCCTCGTCGCGCTGTCCCTTCTTTGTCAGACTACTGCTCCACTGCCCACGAACCGCCAGTTTCAACCTTCACGAGTCGAGTCACATCACAACCAGGCCCATCCCGCCTTCCACGCTCGCCTTCAAGCCGCAAGTCCTGCTCTAGAACACGGCTTGGAGCCTAAAGGCAGAGCTTCCCCGGATTCTCTTACACTAAGATTTGCGGCGGGTCAAGTATTTGCAGTCACCCCGTTTCACCCGTGCCAACACTCCCACTGGAAGTGCTGGACCAAGTTTCAGACGGCCTCCTGGGAAGGAATCTTTCACTATCGCCGCCACCATCACTGCACCTGAACTTGTGTTTATTTTCTCCAGGTTCCAACGCTGAGACTGCCAACGTAAATCAGCGTAAGACCAAAATCTAACCGTGGCCATCAACAGACTTTGGCAAAATGTTTGTCAAGCATCTTCTTCCCGCCTTTGTGGCGATCGGTTCAGTTGCAGGTAAGTAGATGACAGCCCGTTGGTCCGGATCAAGTGCTAATCTTGCCATCCAGCTCAGAGCACTTGCACTGTAGAAGAGTCCACGACGACAGTTAACAGCCAGGCCGATGCGACTAAGCTCGCGAGCTGTGACGTGGTTGACGGGTCGGTCGTGATCGGCACCGACACCGGCGCCAGGATTGACATCTCGGGTCCCAAGGAGATCACGGGGAGCCTCGAGGTTCTTGACAATGGTGTCCTTGAGACACTTACAAGCAGCGATTTGGAGAAGATTGGCGGTGCCTTCACCATGAGGAACGTGACGCTGCTTACCGCGCTCGACTTCTCGAAGCTCACGCAGGTCCAGTCGCTCAACTGGCAGTCGCTCAACCGCATCGCCACGCTCAGGCTCGGGCCCATCTCGCAGGCGGAGGAGGTCACCATCAGCGACACGTTTCTCGACAAGCTTGATGGTATTGATCTCGAGAGCGTCAGGAAGCTCGACATCAACAACAACATGCGCCTGCAAAAGTTCACCACCCAGTTGAAGGACCTCAGCGACAGCCTGAACATCCAGGCCAACGGCATCGGTCTCAACGTCAGCTTCCCAAACCTTGTCTGGATTGCCAACATGACCATTGCCAACGTGACCGACTTCTCGGTGCCTTCGCTCGAGGTCGTCAACGGCTCCGCCCGCTTCGATTCCAACTACTTCGAGTCCTTCAGCGCCCCCAACCTGACCCACACCGAGTCGGGCGACATCTCGTTCGTTGGCAATGGAGAGCTCAAGAACATGACGTTCCCCAAGTTGACGACCATCGGCGGCGGCCTTCTCATTGCCAACAACACTGGTCTGGACAAGGTCGACTTCTTCCCCGAACTGCAGACCGTTGGCGGCGCCGTCAAGCTTCGCGGCAACTTCACCGAGTAAGTTCCTGAAGCATGTTATGAGTCTTGTTTGACGTCTGACCTGTTATTTTAGGGTTGACTTCCCCGCCCTGGAGGACGTCAAGGGCGCCTTTGATGTTTCCAGTACCGCTGATATCCAGTCGTCGTGCGACAACCTCCTCAAGAAGGCACCCCAGAACCAGGGCGGCGATGGCAAGATCCAGGGCACTTTCTCCTGCACGGGCCTGAACGAGAACGCCAACGAGGACACCGACAGCGAGCCCACGGGCGACGGCGACGTCACCGGCTCCAACGGCGGTGATGACAAAGGCTCTGGTGCTGCTGGTGTCACCTTCAACGCGGCTCTCTTTGGCCTCGTCGGCATTGCTGTCCTCGCCTCGGCGCTCTAAGTGATGACGGATCTACACTAGTACCATGTCAAGCTTGGGATCACAACAGACCCTGGAGTTTTTGCTTAAGTTGGGGCAATACCAGTTTTTCTCTCCCTCCGCCGAAGCCACGGTCAAACCCCGCATCCACCGCACCGCCCTGTCCCTGTCTTTCTTTTGAAATGAAACTGGTCTCGAGTTCTTTGTGTTGCTGCGGAATCTGCTTTGGGAAGGGGAGGAGTGCTCCGCAATACACATATCTCTCGCGCCAGGCGCGGGATTAACTACATACTGGAACCGCTAGACTTAATATCTCGATAGAGACGCTGGATTGTTTGTTTTGTTGACACCTCGCGGTCTCGTGTGTGATCGATCAGTTTGCTTTGGGCTTGGTAAAATATTCGTGGCTCGCTGGGCAGGATTTGGTTGGGGGGTTTATCCTGCAAAACTACAGAGTCGAGTGGAGGCTTTTTCGGGTGGTGGTCTGCGTGACCTTGTCAGAGGCAGACAAACGACGGTTTTGGACTGCCGAAGTCTGGAGAAGCTGGTAGGGGGTGATGATGTTCGTGGTAGTTGGGTTTGTCGGCCGTCGGTGAGGGAAGGGTTGTGGTCTAGCCTTTATTGTCTGGTTTATGTTTTGTAGGCAGTCACTTAGAACGTTGTAATGATGCCCGGTATTACCGTTGTGAGTCGCTTTCCCCATGTATGGGGACGAGGTAGCGGATGCCGGGGACAGTGATAGTGCGAGAGATATTTGCGCTGTACAATACAACTTCTCGCATGACGATGTTGTCCACGGGCTCGCGTATTCCCTGGGTTGTCTCACCCATCCAGGCGAACACGCGCATCATGTCTTGCTGTTCGATGAAAGCGGTACCAGCTGTTTGGCTGCTGGGATATCTCACAGTGCAACGTGAGCAAAGTCGATTTCCGATTGCCTCTTAAGCAGCGGGACCAAATACGGCTCATCTCACCGCGTTATTTATCATAGTATATCCCCTCCTCAAATCTCTCCTCGTCATAGAACCTCGCCACAATCGAATTCCCGTTGAATATCCTCCCTTCAAGCGCATTAACAGCCTGCACCACACCGTTAGCACCATGCTCTAACAACAACGACAACTGCTCATCAAGGCACAATGAGGGAGTAACCGGGGGGTTTGACTAAAGAATGGATGGAAGAAAAGAAAAACAGGTAGAATGAAACAAACGGAAGGAATTTGTAGTACTCACCCTCAACGCACTAACCCCCTCCACGAACTTGATGAACACCCTCCTCCCCTCGACATCCACAACAATCCTCTCCACCCGCCCGTACCGCTCCCCACACTCCTCGCCAATCTCCTGGCCCAGCCCGGCCTCGACCTCCGACTCCAGGTCGGCCATGTTATCCAGCATGTGCTCGAGCAGCACGACAACCGACATCTTGCCGAATCGGCCTTGTTCCTTACCACCACCTTTATCGTTATTATGATGAGGGTTGGTGGCGGTGATGGATGTTTTAGGCGCAATAATCCTTCCCCGCCCGCCTTTAGGGTCAGCGAACCCGCCTCCTTCGGCATCGGGCTTGCGCCGGCGCTTCTCGACCTGCACGCGCAGCGCCGAGGTGATGCCGGACGCGGAGGCGCCCAGGCCGCTTCCCTTGGTCCAACCGTATTTGGCCATGAGCCGGCGGGCAAAGTCTTTTTGACCGGGGCGGGTGGTGCGATTTTGTTGTTCGTCGGGGTCAATGGTATTCGTTGTGGTGGGTGGTGCAGGAGGAGGGAGGGGGATGGAGGAGTAGTCTACTTCTGGGTCGTAGTCGTCTTGTATGTCCACTTCGTCGGGCTGCGGCGGTGGCGGAGGCGGGGAGTAGCGGACCGGAGCGCGGGAGATGGTTGCCCTGTCGGTGGTTGTGGTGGTGGGGGGTTGAGGAGGAGCGGGATGGGAAGGTGGCGGAGGGGAAGGCGGTGCCATGCCTGACAATGCCAGTCGCCTGGCATAGGCGTCGTCGCCGGTGGCATCATTTGGCACTGAAGCAGCCGCACGCGGCGGCGACATGGGCGGTGGCGCAAAGGTGAGCGACTGCGGAGGCGCAAACCGATCTATACCACGAACTCAATCATTAGCATCATCACCCTCAACACACAATCCAATCCCCCTTTTCACACCCAGCCATAATCATGACCACCAAAAAGAAACTTACCATCTCTCTTCTCCCTCTCCCTGTCACTCCCACTCCCCCTACCCTCCTCCTCCTCCTCCTCCTCCTCACTCTTCCCCCGGCTCTGCCGCCGGCGATGAGCGTACAACACGGCCCTCCACTCCCTCACCTCGCGCACCCGCTCCCCGCTCCGCAGGTACTCCTCGACATTGGTCGGCCGCGCCGGGTCGTACAGCTCGTCCCAGTCTGTTTCGCGCACGTTGTTGTTATCCAGATCCGCTCTATTCTTCTTCTTGCGCTTGTTCCGCCGCCCGCCGCGCTGCCGCTTCTCTCCTCCGCCGGCGTACAGGTAGTACTCATCTTCTTCGGTCGCGGCCCAGTCGGCGAGGGTGCTTCGTCCGAGCGCCGCCGGGTTTGGGGCTGGGGCTGAGGGAGCGGATGAGGTGGTTGTTGTCGCTGCTGATGCTGCTGCTGGGGTAGCGGAAGAAGACGGAGGAGGGACTTTGGGGAAGGCGGGTTTGGATTTTGTCGTCGCCGGTTTGAGTTGAGGGCGGCGGATGGGCTGGAAGCGGAGGGCGGGGTCGATTACCTTCTTCGCCGTACCGTCGTCCCTGAGGTCGCGCGAGATGGAGGCTGAGCTGTTGTTCTCTTCAAGCAGGTTGGCGTACAGCGATAAGCCGCCGCGCGCTGGCGGCGGGGGAGGTGGTGTCGCCATGTCTGTGAGTATGGTTTCTTCAAGTCGAGTCGTGATATGGAAACCACGAAAAGGCGTTCAGCGAGTCGAGAGCAGTTGCAGCAAGCTCAGCCTCGTGCGCGATGCCGAATGCAAAGCTTCAGGGCCACTGCAAGGTGAAGTGGGGCCTGCCGTCTTGGCTGCGTTGAGTACTCTAATGGGGCCATGGGGATTCGCGGCAGGCAGAATTTGCCGATGGTGTTCCTCCCTTTCCTTGATACCTCCTCGAGGGGGAGAGAGCTACACTGAGATGTTGCCGAGCGCTGGACGTTCACCTCATTGCATGCACATTTTACCTCTCATATCGCAATACTACTCCCCGTATTTGTGTCCGTAAGGTGGTATCATCCTGAATTCCAAATGGCTAGACGCTTCCAGCGTTGGCCGCATATTTTCCCCTTTCCACTAGACTCCTCGCAGTAATATGCACATACCCTGTATAACTTACCATTTCCCCAACCTCATGAGCATCTCTTACTTCCGCTGCTTGGGCAGCTTCTTCGCCTCCAGCAACTCAACGTCCTTCTTATCATAATAATGCCCGCCAAACTCGGACAGCCAGCTGGCCTCGATGGGTATCACGGACCGCACATACTCGCGCGACGTCACCACCAGCTCATGGTAGATGATGACCCGGGGCGGCGGGTCAATCGACTTGACCACGCTGCTCGGGTGGACATAGACCGTCATGTTATTCTTGAGCGTGCGGTACCCGTCGCCGCCCCTGTTCAGCCGCGCGGCATTCAAAAAAAAGGCGGACGTCAGCGCCCTCAGCACGGGGCGCATATTGGACACGCCGCCGCAGCTGGAGTCGGACCCCTCCAGGACGCGATCGCACAGCTTGGCCAGCTGGTCCCGCACATCGCGCGCCCTCGTCAGCGAGCGCTGCGTCAGAAAGTTCTCCTTGGCCCAGATGGGCGAGTAGTCGGCCTCGACCCACTGGTTGTACACGTTGAGCAGCGTCAGGTGATCGCCGCCATCCTTGACGGTAAACCGCGCGCGCGCGCTGTCGGCGTGCACCTTCTTGTCCTTGGGCCGGAAGAAGAGCGTGGCGACCTCGCCGAGCATCGACACGATGGTCAGCACCTCGGCGACGCAACCCTCTTGCGTGGCCGCGATGAGCGCCTTGGCCAGCATTGGCTCCGCGGGGAACTCGCCCATCTGGCGCCCGATGCGGGTCAGCGCGCCGGCGCTGTTGAGCGCGCCCAGCGCGTAGAGCATGTTGAGCGACTTGATCAGGAGCTCGGTCGGGGGCGGGTCGAGGAAGTCAAAGCCCAGCAGGTCGTCGATGCCGAGGGCTTTCAGCTGGAGGACCACGCTGGAGAGCGACGTCCGCTGGATTTCGGGGGTCGGGGACTCGTCCATCTCGGAGAGGTAGGCGAACTTTGTGTACAGGCGGAAGCACTTGCCGGGCCGCACACGGCCGGCTCTGCCCATCCGCTGGTTCGCTGCCGCCCGGGAGCAGGGCACCACGGCGAGCGTGGACTGCCCCGTCGTCCCGACCGGGCTGAAAGTGTTCTCCTTAACGTATCCGCAGTCAATGACGTAGACGATGCCGTCGATGGTGAGTGACGTCTCGGCGATGTTTGTCGAGAAAACAACCTTCCTCGCGCCCGGGGGCGTCGGCTCAAAGATCTTTGCCTGGAGCTCCGAGGGCATGTTTGCGTAGATGGGCAGCGCTATGATCTCGGGTACCCGGCTGCCCAGTTTCCGTTTGATCTCCTCCACCCGTTCGCACGCGCGGTCGATTTCTTCTTGACCGGTAAGGAAGACGAGGATGCCACCCTCAGGCTGTGTCGCGTGGATCTGGAAGACGGTCACCAAACTAGCTTCCAGATAGTTGGCCTCTGGGGCTGATGTGTAGTACACCTCGACTGGGTGTACACGGCCGGGGACGTTGAAAATGGGGGCGTCGTCAAAATAGGAACTGAACTTTTCGGCGTTGAGCGTCGCCGACGATATGATCAGTTTCAGCTCGGGCCTGGCGCGCGTGAGATCTTTGATTAGTGCCAGCAAAATGTCGGTGTGTACTGTCCTCTCGTGGGCCTCATCGATCATGATGGCCGAGTAGCCCTCGAGCGTCGGCGATGTGACCATCTCCCTGAGGAGCATACCGTCTGTCATGTATTTGAGGATAGTTTTGTCGCTGGTGCAGTCCTCGAACCGGATCGAGTAGCCGACTTCATGGCCGACCCTTACGCCCATCTCGTCGGCAACACGGGCAGCAACGCTCATGGCAGCCACTCGACGGGGCTGTGTGCAGGCGATCTTCATGCCGTCCTTGGTGAAACCCGCCTCGTGCAGGTATTGGGGTATCTGTGTCGTCTTGCCCGAGCCGGTCTCGCCCACCAGAATGAGGACTTGGTAATCCCTGACGGCGTCTAGAAAGGCGTCACGGTACGCATAGACTGGCAAGCTTTTCCGAACCTCTTGTATGGTTTTTGCCGCCTTCTCTGCCGCCTCGATCTTCTCCTTAAGTATCCTCTGCTCCTGTGTCAAGCCGTCGGTCGGCTGCGCGTATTTGGCCGCATCGCGGACAAATGTGATGGCGTCCTCGTCCAGCAGAAAGTCGTACTCGCCCCCGTCCTCGCGTTCGCGGCTCCGGATCTGCGCCTTGGCCTTGACCGTCTGCTCGCGTTCCCACTCCTCGTACTCGGTAACGTGCTTCTCGTTGCCGTACTCGTCCCTCTCGACGTGGCGGCGGTAGAGGGCATCCTCCTTCTTCTTGCTGTCAACGCCGTACTGGTCGGGTAGCCGGTAGCCGTCCTGGTAGTTGTCGATGCGCGCACGCTCCTCGGCGAGGCGCAGGATCTCGCGGTTCTTTGCAAACTCGGCCTTTTCCCGCTCCGACAGACGGACCCCTGACCTCAGCTCGGCCGTCTCCTCGGCAACCTGTTTCCGCAGCAGGGCGAGCTTCTCGGCTTCTCTCTTGGCCAGGTACTGCTGGCGTGACTTGAGTCGCAGCTCCGACATGTTGGGGTCCTCGCGCCGCGAATCGGCCCGGCTTGTCCTCGAGCCGCCATCTTTGCTGTCGCGCGGTGATCTAGAGCGGCGTCGCGGGGATGCATCGCCGTCGTGCCGCCTGCTCTTATGTCGGCGTGGGGACCTTGATCGATCGCGGGACCTCTCGCGTTTGCCATATTTCCTGTCCCTCCTGTCCGTCCTGTCGTCTCGGTCTCTGGCCGATGGCGCAGGCTCATCGTCCATGGGAACAAACGCATACCGTTTTGACGACATGACGCGGATTCCGAAGGCGGAGAATGCTTAGATTTGGTTTATGGGGTTAACTGCAGTCGGCCATCTGTACCCGCAATGGCCCACGGTGAGATCTCGATCCTTATCTTATCAGTCGGCAACCGACGGTACTCAGTGCTCACAGCCAAGTACCCACTTTGACTTACAAGTCATGTCACGGCTGACCAGACTGTCTCTTTTGGTATCCAAACCAAACCAAATCAAAGCGAGCCGATCAGGCCCTGAAAGCTGCAGCCGCTCCTGTCTACTTCACCTATCAAGGTATCTTACCCTTCCCCGCGTTCTTTATCACTGTCTTCCCCGGCGCACCTTACACTCCTAGGACAGCTGCTGTGTGGGGTTGTGGGACCCACATGGCTCAAGACATGGCAACTGATGACAATCCGAGCTTGGATGACACAATCAGGCACCGCCCGCTCAGTATGGAGTCGAAGAAGCAAGCCAACGGCACTCGGTCGGCACACCTCCAACGCGCCGGATCTCGGCGTCACATAACTTGAGACTCGGTAGGCTTCGAGGACATATATATCGGGGACCGGTCTCTGTGATACCAATTCGCTCCTACGTAGTTCTTGGCCTTCCGCTCTCATTTCCGCTGTTTGCTCTGTCCGTTTTCCGGGCAACGCTGTGAAACGCGGCTCTCGGTAACGCTATTTCCTGGACTCGCCGAGGGCCAAGACACCACGCGGCAGTGCGACACCATGGCTGCCGGCCTGACCCTCCAATCAGCCATCCGGGGCGAACCCGACTTGGTGGCAGTCATTGTGCCCTCACGGCCTCAAGCACTGACCGTCACTTACAAAGAGCTCGTTGCTGAGGTTGCTTCGTTTCAGCAAAAGCTTGCCGCCATCGGCATCGCTCAGGGGTCGCCCGTGTCCATCGCGACCGTCAACTCATACGAGTTCATTATTTCGTTCTTGGCCGCATCATGGCAGCGCGGGATCGCTGCCCCGCTCAACCCTGCTTACAAGCAGGATGAGTTTGAGTTTTACATCGAAGACGTCAAATCGGCCATCGTCCTCGTGCCCAGGGGCGCCTACCAGGCCGGCAGCCCGGCCGTGAAGGCTGCCCAGAAGTTCAACGCCGCCATCGCCGAGTGCTACTGGGACGCCGCCAACAACGAGGTTGCCCTCGACGTCAAGAACCTCGGCCAGCTACAGGGCAAGCCCAAGCAGCCCGTCCTTAAGCCCGAGCCCGAGGACATCGCCCTGGTCCTGCACACCAGCGGCACCACATCCCGGCCCAAGGTCGTCCCGCTCTCCCACCGCAACCTCACTCGCACCATGCACAACATCCAACAGACGTACCAACTCACCCCGTCCGACCGCACCATGCTGGTCATGCCGCTCTTCCACGTCCACGGCCTCCTGTGCGGCCTCCTCGCCCCGCTCCTGTCGGGCGGATCCATGGTCGTGCCGCCCAAGTTCTCCGCCACCGACTTCTGGCGCGACTTCATCGCCCACCGCGCAAACTGGTACACGGCCGTCCCCACGATCCACCAGATCCTCCTCAAGCACCCCGCCCCTTCTCCTTTGCCCGCCATCCGCTTCATCCGCTCCTGCTCTTCCCCCCTCTCCCCCACCGTCTTCCACCTCCTCGAGAAAACCTACAAGGCCCCCGTTCTCGAAGCCTACGCCATGACCGAGGCGGCGCACCAGATGACGTCCAACCCTCTACCCTCAGTCGGCAAGCGCAAGCCGGGCACCGTCGGTGTGGGCCAGGGCGTCGAGGTGGCCATCCTTGACGAGGCCGGCCTGCCCGTCCCGCAGGGCCAGGACGGCGAGATCTGCATCAAGGGCGACAACGTGACGCGGGGTTACCTGAACAACCCCGAGGCGAACAAGGCCGCTTTTACTCGAGACGGCTGGTTCCGGACGGGCGATCAGGGCAGGCTGGACGAGGAGGGGTACCTGGTGATTACGGGACGGCTCAAGGAACTGATCAACAAGGGCGGCGAGAAGATCAGCCCCATCGAGCTGGATAATGTGCTGGCGCGGCACCCGGCCGTGTCCGAGGCCGTGAGCTTTGCCATCCCCGACGATATGTACGGCCAGGACGTGGGCGTCGCGGTGGTGCTCAGGAGCGGGAGCAAGTTGGCCGAGGAGGAGCTGAAGGGGTGGGTTACCGAGAAATTGGCCAAGTTTAAGACCCCCAAGAAAGTTGGTTTTTTTTTTCTTACCTTTTTTATACTTGCTTTCTTTTTCTTCCTACCGCTTGGCGTGCAGTGGCGCTTACTGATCAACCAATTTTGCTGACTCTGCTTGGGGTGTGTTTGCAGGTGTACTTTACAGACGTCATGCCCAAGACGGCAACGGGAAAGATCCAGAGACGGATCGTTGCCGAGACCATGATGAAGCAGGAAGGCCGGGCGAAGCTGTAGGCTTCGGAGCTGGCGTCATCAAGGTTTTGTTGGGCTCGGATCGGGGGGGGCTCTTGGACGAGTCTTGTACTTGAACATTAGGGGTATACTGCAAATATGACTCCTGAACTGGATAGCTCGCATTTGAGAGAAGAGAGATGTTGGATTACAAGCAAGGCGAACATTCCGAACGCTTTTCCATGCAGCTTTAGATCAAGAAATAGCAAGGCCCGCTGGACTCTCTCGGCTTCAGAATTCGATACCCAAGGACAAGCTGGCTGGCCTGCCCCCAACCAGACAATCTGAATTTGGGTTTAAATTGGGATAGCGGCAACGGGAGAGTGGTCGGGTCGACAGCAACCCCGTCCCTCCGGTGACACCGTCCTGATTCCCCAGAGACTCACTACAATGCCAGTTCTTACCGAAGAAAAACGCAGTCGGTATCATAATGAACTTCAAGGGCGTTGCAGGATTCAACAAGCAGTGCCAGAATGCCGACTCCAAGACGGCGTCGTCCACCGGCCACAACACGCACAATTCAGCACCAGCGGGATTGTTCCCGACGAGAACAAAGTTCATAGCGAGCTATACCTCACTTCACTCCATGGTACTCACATCCGTTTCCTCAACACGCCACATATACCACATAAACACACTCCGAAACGGCCGAAACCGCTCGCTAATCTCCTCCATCTCCTTTTCGGTCATATACTTCCACTTGCCGCCCCCCTTGGCCTTTAGCCTGGCCACGTCGCGCCCCACAAAAGCCGCCATCCCTCTCTGTACGCCCAGGTCGCCGGTCGAGAAGACATCCATGCGCTTGAGCGCAAAGCACGCGAACATCTCGACGCTCCACCGCCCGAGCCCGCGCACCGCCGTGAGTTTCTCCAAGATCTCGTCGTACGGCGCGTCGGCGAGCATCTGCGCGGTGAGCTCGCCCGAAGAGAATTTCTGGGCAAGGCCCTGCAGGTACTCGGCCTTGCGCTGTGAGAGGCCCGCCGTGCGGAGGGTCTCGAGCGCGGTGCGGGCTACGGCGGCGGGGGAGGGGAAGATGGGTGGTGTGGTTGTCGCGTCTGCGGCATCAGTGGTGGTCTGACCGGGGGTGTTGAAAAGGGCGATGAAGCGCGCCTTGATTGACTTGGCGGCTGCGCCGCTGACTTGCTGCGAGATGATGCTACTGCAGAGGGCCTCGAAAGGGTCGATCTGCTCGGCGAGACCCTCGGGCGAGAAGATGCGGCAGTGGTGCTTGGCGATGAGCGGCTTCATGCGCGGATCGACCTTGATGAGGTGCGCGCAGGCCTCCTCGAGGATATTGGCTGTTGTTGTTGTTGTGGGCTGCCCGGTGAGTTCAATGCCGTTGCGCAGCGTGGAGGGCACTGCCTCGACTGGTGCTTGGGCGATGATGCGTGACGTCTTGGGGGAGCGGAGCAGCGCGTTGGTGCGGCGAGGGTCTGCCAGGCGGGTGACAGCTGCTGGTTTGGGCTTTTGGGTATGTGCTTCCTCGGCCATGAGGTCTACTGAGGTGGGTGTAGGCGTTTCTGGCGGCTCCGGATCACCCGTAGTCTGTCTCTTTCGGGGAGTTGACAGCGGTTCCCCTGCCCCATCAGCCACAACCGCGGCCTGTATTGACGCTTTCCGCTTGCGAGATGGCGCTGGAGGAACTAGCGGGGGCGGCGCAGGGTCGATTTTTGCGCTACTCACCATGGCAGCCAGGCGTGTTGATCTCCGTGATGCCATGCTTCAACCGTGAGTGGTGATTGAAGGCTAAAATGTCGGGGCTTCTCCTTTATCAATGTATAGCAAATGGAAAGGGCGAAACTTTGAGCGAATGAGCGACTAAACAGCTTGAGCTCGACCCTCGCGGCGCTGGAAGGGTTGATGAAGAAGGAAACTGGCTTACGTCTTAAACTCAGCCCGAGAGGGAAATGAGGGGAGCAGAAATTCAGGGTTTTATTGAACAAGCTGGATGGATGCACACAGACAATGGGTGCCAACGCATACAGAGTCCAGGCTGTTTTTTGCCGGAACCAAAGAAGACACAACGGGAGTGAGAGCTAGACGTTGCTTGACCCTTGAGTCCCAGGAGCTTACTAAGTACTTGTACATAAATAAGCAAGCGAGACGGGACGCGCCCTTTGAAATGTCATCGCGCGCTTCCGTCGCCAGCTCACGTGGGGGGAAGTCCACCAGACCTTATCGGGTTAGTCTCGAAGTCAGTTCGCAACCGCCACTCCCGGATATCGGCCCAAGGACCCGGCTCAAGATGCTTCTGAAAATAAACCCAAAAACGTCGTGCCAGCTATGGCCGGCTTATGCTTCCAAAAGGTTTTCAAAAGGGCATATCTTCAAAAGCACATGGGGCTGGAGATTGCATGCTTGGAGCTTGTCAGTAACAATTCGCTTGGAGCTGATTGTTTAAGAATGAGCGACCTGTGTGACTTCCCAAGTTGAAATTGGATCTGGGGAATTGGAGGGCTGCAACGATGCCATCTCGTGTCATCACATGCAGGATTGCGGCGGGAAAGCCTTTATTGGGGTGATAAGTCCCACCCCGCTGATTTGCTTGAATAACTGAGTGCAGGCGTTACAGCGAAGGCATGTTTGGGTTAGAATGATGGACGCGAACTGTTAACACCTGGAGCACAACGAAAAAGTAAGGCCAGGTGTCAGAGTCTACACGATAGAAGTTCTGAGCCGTTTTTACACTTCCGTACCACAGTAATAATCCTGAGGTGCATCATCTGGATGATTGCGTGAGATTGACGGAGCCGAGAGTGGGGGTTGATCAATCGATGTGGACGCGGCTGCAACACGCACAATCCATCTGGCTTCTATTTTCCAGGGGTCAAGGGTGGATCCGATCCGTTGCATAGGTACCCAGCGCCTCTACCGAAATTGACGCTAACCGCAACGGAGACTGGCTGGAATCTCAGGATTCCCTCGCCCGCCCACCCCTAGATCTGAGATCGCGAATTTTAGATCGCGATTTAGCCACGAAGAAAGTAGACGGGTCAAGCCGCTGCTTTTCTCTAACCTCGTGCCGGGTCACACGACAGACGCCAGACGATAATCACGACGTCAGGGTCTTGCATCCGATAGGGAATCGAGCACGGCCACACGCCGCCAACGTGTCGCACCAAGTTCCTGCGTGTCCCGACGACGTCTTGCTCCGGCCTCGCGAGCTCCAGGCATCTCTGATTCGGCGCATCATTCACGGACTTCAGATTATACGGTCGACCTGGCCCTGTACTCTGGGAAGCCGCGCCATTGACTTCCGTCGCGGCGCTCGGGGCGTCGGAAGAAACCAGAATGCTGCTCCCCAAAGGCGGCGTCAGCTGGAAGGCGGCGAGAGCAAGTCTGCCATCGACGAGGGCGATATGGGTGTTGTTGACCAGGACGCGGTTCCTTCTCCTCGTTGCCCTCGCCGGCGTAATACTATTACTATGGCGTGGCATCCGCAGCACAGCGCCTGATATGCAAAGGTCCGACTCGCTTCCTCTCCTCGTCTCTAGGCTGTCCAAAGATGCATCCGCTAACCCGGTTCCTCCGTCCGCAACAGATTCTACTGCTGGGGCCCGTCAAAATCGCCCATGGAGATGACACCAAACGAGCGAGCAGCATGGACATCCCACCTCCAGACGCCCGTCATCTTCAACCACCACGCCTTGATGAAAGTGAACTCGTCGACCATCCAAAAGGTTGACCTGAACCACATCAAATCCACAACAAAGGCAGTAGAGAACAAGGAGCGGGTCCTCATCCTCACTCCCCTCAAGGATGCCTCCCGGTACCTCTCAAGATACTTTGAGCTTCTCGCCAACCTTACATACCCCCACGAACTAATCGACCTCGGTTTCCTCGTCAGCGACACCACCGACGATACAATGGCCGTCCTCGCCGCCGAGCTTGGCCGTATCCAAAAAGGACCCGACGGTGTTCCGTTCCGGAGCGTCATGGTCGTGGAGAAGGACTTTGGTCAGGTGCTGAGCATGGACGTCGATGACCGGCACGGCTTTGCCGCGCAGGGACCGCGACGTAAGGCCTTGGGCAGGGCAAGAAACTACCTCCTGTCCACCGCGCTCAAGCCCGAACACTCTTGGGTGTACTGGAGAGACGTGGATATTGTGGACAGTCCGGATACAATTATTGAGGACTTTGTTGCCCACGACAAAGACGTTCTCGTTCCCAGTATGGACCAGCCATCGAAGAATCGTAACCGGAGGAGCTGACTTGGTCTAGATGTTTGGTTCCACCGCTACGAGAACGGCCGCGATATCGAAGGGAGATGTGGGTTTGGCTTTGCTAGTGCGTTATGCCAGAACATGGACTGACCGGCGCGATAGACGATTACAATTCATGGATCGAGTCAAAACAGGCCCTCAAGCTGGCCTCCAAGCTTGACAAGGACACTATTCTGGTAGAAGGTATGTTATCCTGATCTAGGTCTCAATCCCATCCTCACTGACACATCATGTCAGGGTATAAGGAATATAAAACCGGGCGGACCTACATGGCCCTTATGGGCGACTGGCGGGAAAACAAGGACATGGAAATCGAGCTGGACGGCGTCGGCGGCGTCAACATCGTCGTCAAAGCAGATGTCCATAGATCAGGTGAGTGTGATGTTGTTCTGTCGTCAAGCTCACGCTCACACGGGGTGCCAGGGATCAACTTCCCCTGCTACGCCTTCGAGAACCAGGCCGAGACAGAAGGGTTCGCCAAGATGGCAAAGCGCGCCGGTTATGGGGTATACGGTCTGCCCAACTACGTCGTCTGGCACATCGACACGATGGAGAAGAATAAGAACCTATAGCTCTTCTTTATCCAAGTTCATTGGCCTCCAACTGACGAGCGCCTGTCTGTCGAATTTTCGAAAGAACGATTGCAGCAATTCATCATCTACCATACATTGCAGGGTTCGGACCTTGATTCCATTTGAGAAAGACAGGCGTGTAATGGGGTCAAAGACGGAGTATTCTTTCCACTTTCTACCTTTTTTCTTCCCTCTTCACTTTCTAGTTGCAAGCATTGTGGCCCGGTGTTCCACGTTCTGTGTCATTTCGCTCCCCGTTCTGAACTTATTGTGTCAGGAGCACAAACGCAGAGGCGGTGCCTCATATAATTCAGATGTTGGGTAAGACGGGTTGTCGGCATTATTCCTTGGACGGGGCTCGGAACTGGCGAAGGTGCAGTTGGGATAGATGGTGACCATCACACAGTTTGGGGAAACTGATGGCTGTCGTGTATACGGGAACTCGTTTGGGGAGTGGACTTACGGCTTATGGATTGCATGGAATGGACGGGTGATGTGATACTGAGATCTTTGTACTCCTGGGCTCGGCCTGCAGGTAGAGATGCCTCTCTACTCGGACGTTTCCTTTGGCGGCGTGGAATGGGTTGAGTTCGATATAAATATATTGGGTGGATGCGGCTGCAAGAGTAAGGAGTAGTTCATATTGCCTTGCTTGACCACACAAGTCCTGGCACTATTTTCGTGAGAGTGCCAAGGAAATAATTGATAGTGGGATAATTATAGGTAGCAGGTATCCGGTGTTCTTCTAGCTCGAAGGCCGAGGGATATTTGGTACCAGTAACGCGTGTCGATGCGGCTAAAGGTTCTCAGCTCCTGCGTCCACTGAGAGATATGGCGGCCTCCAACGTTCATCCTTTGGTTGGAGGGCCGCTGAGGAAAAGCATAAAAGAGAACTGAGCCGGAGATTGTCGAAATGACTGGAGCAATCCAGAATCTATAAACATGGCACCTCGTCCTCACTCACTGACAGCCTATCCCTGAAGCGACGCCTCCATCTATTTTCTCGCGGCGCAAACTCCTCCACTCCGTAAAGTACAATGCTTTATTACCCATCCATCCATCCACCCAACCCCTTGCCCTTCCCAATAGATGTATCATCCGGCCAACCCCTTCCCCAAAGCTCAAATTCAGTGCTTCTTAAGTACGGTCAGGGTGTCGAGGGCGGCCTTCTCCTTGGACTCGATAGCCATCTGCTCCAAGATTGGGCTCAGGTAGGCGATGTCCTCCTCGGGCTTTGTCCACTCGGACTTGGGCAGAAGCTTGTGCTGAAGGCTGAGCTGGGTCGCGCGGCGGATGCGGTAGACGCGGTCGTAGCTCTCCTTGGGGGACAGGCGGCCCAGGGCCTTGAGCACGGTCTCGTTCTCTTCGACGATGAGGTCGTCGGCGCTGAGATAATAATAAACAATAATATTCAGCACGAATATGTCGATGCGGGTTTGCAACTTTCGAGTGCTTAGGTCGCTTGAAAACTCACCGGAGACCCATCTGGCGGTAGCCGGCAGCATTCGCGTACCAACTGGCGAGCGGCTTGAGCATTCTCATGAGCCAGGGCCGCTTGACGGCGGCATTGTAGAGGGATGGCGCGACAGGCATGGCGGTCGGTGGTTGTGGGTTTGCTTCGTGGGGGAAGACGGGAACGAGATGAGGCTTGCGAAGATGGGCCGTCTCCAAATCATCAAATTGCCGCGAAGTCAATTGGTTCGCTGCGATGGCAAGCTCTCCCGGGAATTGCCGTGTGCCTGAGCGAGTTCATGCCTGAATTGTAAGGATGTAAGTAAATTGGGTTGCAAGGCGTGGACGGCTTTCAGCAGTGTAACATACGCAGCGTTTCAATGTTACACAAATTCAACGGCAACCGGGACGATGAGGTAATGCTTCACCCAAACCCGGGTCACGCTCCAATTATCACGGTATACATTGATAACGTCGAAGCCGCCTTACAAGGATCTTCCAGGTCTGACCAAAAAGCGCAAACATCCTGGATACAGCCAGAGCGATTATCAGCTGAATTATACCTCAGGAGCGTTCTTTTCTAGTCTGGTATACAAAAAGACCGCTGCAATCCATAACCATTCGAGGTTACATTCAGATTGGCGCACACACCTCGGCTTCTCGATCATCATCTGCCCTCGTGCTCAGCAATTGTTGCACTATCCGGCAAGAGCAAGGGCAACAACTCGCCGCAGTCGACGGGACCCATCTCTGGCAAACAATCGCGATTCCACACGACATCGGAAGTCTTAAAAAACCGCATCCAGCCCGTTCGTCGGCGCTCGCCGGACACTCCGCACCGTCCGATTGTGCAGTCTTACCCACGGTCCACCCGCGCCGCCAAGAATCACTCGATTCCCTTTCAAGTTCGAGTCCCTCGAGAATCTCTCCCACAATCCTCAACAACTCACAATTCCCTGGTTCGACCAAACAGTTCCCACACGAATTTGATCCCACTTCACTACCCTTCCTTACGCTTGTACCCGAGTCCATGAGACGTGGCATTCGCTTGCAGCAGTCACGGTTCCCTGCCTGCGCGGGCATTCTCCCCGCATCGGCATAGAGGGGATCGCGACGCATTCGCTTCGGGAACAGCCGCTGGATGATATTACCGCGACCGCACCGCTAAAGAACATAAACCCCGCGGCCTGTGACACGCTAGTCAAAAGACGAAACTTGCAAAACACACCCCACGAGGACTGCGACATTGTGCCTCCCGAGGGTGGCATGTCTCACAACGAACAACGTCTCTCTCCGCACGGTCAACCGGCACCGGCATCTCCGGGGGAATATGGGGTAGCACTGCCTGGATCTCAGGTATCGCAGTCTCGGTCGGCGCCTCGGCCGCCGGAAAGCGCAGACCCTGCAAGGTTAACGGTGGACGAAGCGATGCCGGACCGTACACGGCTCTCCATCGAGGAGCGATGGGCGGCCAACGCTTCGAGTTCACAGTTCAATGCGCTCGCCGGCGCAATAGGCGGTTTCACATCAGGCATCGTCACATGCCCTCTCGACGTGATCAAGACCAAGCTGCAGGCGCAGGGAGGCTTCGCAGCACAAGGCCAACGGCACCCGAGGATATACAAGGGCTTGGTCGGCACCGCGAGCGTAATATGGAGGGAGGAAGGGCTCAGGGGCATGTACAGGGGCCTCGGCCCCATCATCATGGGATACCTGCCGACATGGGCGGTTTGGTTCACAGTCTACAACCGGACAAAGCAGTTCTTGGGTGAACATTACAGTGGGTGTCCGAGTCATGGAAAGGGCTATACTATGGTTGCTGACTGAGGGTTCGCAGAAAACGGATTCGTCGTCAACTTTTGGTCTTCCATCATCGCCGGGGCCAGCAGCACCATTTGCACGAATCCGATATGGGTCATCAAGACCCGTCTTATGTCACAGTCAACCAGCCACGACAGGACACAATTCTCGCTCTTTCCCAAAGGCGCCAATACCCCGACATCACGCCCAACACTGCATCAACCATGGCACTACAAGTCGACGTGGGATGCGGCGCGCAAGATGTACACCACAGAGGGCATCCTCTCATTTTACTCGGGACTCACCCCGGCGCTCCTCGGCCTAACCCACGTCGCCGTTCAGTTCCCCGCTTACGAGTTCCTCAAGCTCAAGTTCACAGGCAGAGCCATGGGCGCCGCGCCTCCCGCAGGCCAGGACGACAAGGCGCACTGGTTTGGCATCCTGTCGGCTTCGATACTGTCCAAGATCCTCGCAAGCAGCGCCACGTATCCCCACGAAGTCATCCGCACCAGGCTGCAAACACAACGGCGGCCGATCCCTGGTCAGGAATACATGGAGGGTCTGGGAGGAACGGTGGAGCAGCCTGGTGTCATGAGCAGGTCTGCTGCGTCCCAGCAGGCGCAGGCCGGACCCAAGTACCGGGGCATCGTGTCGACGTTCCGGACCATGCTGCGCGAGGAGGGTTGGAGAGCGTTTTATGCCGGCATGGGCACCAACATGATGCGCGCCGTGCCTGCGGCCACCGTCACCATGCTCACCTACGAGTATGTGATGCGCCACCTCAACCATGTGCAGGCGAGCGGCAAGGAGAAGTTGCAACTGCTGGAGCAGCTTGGGCAGGCAGGGCTTGGGTGACTTGGCTGGCTACATTGGTGTCAGGACATTTACTTTACGTCAGAACTCTTGCAACGGGCTAGCTGAACCCAGAGATATCCTCTCCAAACCGCCCAGCATACATGATCCCGAAATACCCGATTATTACCATTACCATTTTCTACGACTCCCATCACTGGGCATTCGGGGAGCAGCGCTACGATGGACGAGCAGCAAAACAGTCTGATGGAAGCTTTTCCTGATGCGATACCCTGTTTTTGGAACGGGGCAGCGGGCTGTGCGTGAGGATAGATCAAGGCGGGTGGCTGATGATTTCTTCCTTCAAAATCCAAAGGTCGTCTGAGCGAGGGAACAGTCGCGGCGGATGGAGTACTTTCGGCCACGCATATATTTATCATGATTTCTTCTTCTCCTTGCAGGCAGGCGGTCGGGCGGCATCTATGGACACAGCCTCGCATGCAAATCTGTTTTTCAACGTTTTTCAGGTTCTTGGCTGAGTCGTTTCTCCATTCAAGTTTACTGCCTGTGTTTTTTTCATGGAGGGTACCAGGCGGCTGGACATGTTTTGCGGGTGGTGTCCGTCTGCGGCTCTTGCTTTAAACTGCGATATTACCTATACACATGCATACAAGGGGTTTCGTTGGCTGGCGGTTGGCACCTTAAGGACAGGGTATGTATGTCCTGGACAAGCACTCTGATGTGGTGTACATAGGTGGGGGATATTTGAGTGAGCCTAGGTCGGGGTGAAGGGGTGCAATATTAAAAGGTTCTAAGTGCCAGCTGAACATTCTCGTAGGAGGAGCGTCGTATAAAATCACTTGCAAGTTTGGCGTTCGGGATTGTTGCCCAGGCCGGTGTGCACGCCGTTGGCCATCAAAGTCGGTAAGAAGAGGCTGCATATTCTGCATGAGTTGGGTCGTGCCCGAGGCACCTCTACGAGAACAGCCGTGGGTAGAGGTGGGGATGGTATTTTTGTTGTAGTTGTGAAGCTGTAGCTGATGCCTTGCTTGCCCATCATTCATATAGCCCAGCCATCAGCCACGCCAAGACCCCTGAAAATAATAATTGCCAAACAGAACCACCCACAACCACAACTCTTTTCAACAACCAGCTTGGTTAACCACTCCGACAAAAAGGCAAATCAACTTGGTCTAGTATTATGCACAATGGCACGAGGTAGCATCAATCCAAGGGTAGGTAGATTTTATCTAACCCAATCTCCTCACTCCCCAATAACTCAAGAAGCCGGATGCTGATTCACTATTTTGAAGACAGTGATGGCGCCGGTAGCAGCCTTCACAATGGCCTGCGTTTTGTTCATGTAGGGTTCGTGAATAATGATTTCACTTGACACAAAGCTCAATCGACACGGTTTCGCATAGGTACACTCGGTCTTCCATTCGCGCTGCCAAGATGAACGCGGTGAGCTGTTACTATTTTGCGTTTTCCATCTTAGGTTCATAGTTAGGGATGAGGTGAGACTTTGTGGTAGTTGCTCGGGGGGACAGTTGCTATCCTGGCTCCCTATTCCTTTTCTTTCCTTTTTCCGTTTCATACTTTCTCGTCTTATTTTCTCTTGCTTCCTGTCTCTACTATTCCTCTCAGGGCCAATACCCCTCCCTCTCTCTTCTGCAATGCCGGTGAGGCAAGAAACCAACACGTTGCCACAGAAGATCATCCGTGAAAGCCAGCAACACCCGCCACGGCGACATGACGAGGATTAGGTCTTGTGGCAGTGGTTCAAAGGATGGGGGGTGGGGGGAGCAGCCTTGATATTGCGCCGGCGCAAGACACAGCTACAGTACTCACGGGCATGAGCTGCCGGGATGGAGTAGCCGACGCTGCTGGTCGGAAAGTATTTTAAGGAACCCGATGAGTTGATTCCCATGGCTATGAGAAAAGGCAAAATCCGCTACAATATGACATATATACACCGCTCAGTCGACATATTCCGTGGCCAGGCATCTTGCTCATCCAACATACACAGGCAGAGAAGCGCGGGCAACTTGAAACTGGAACAAGCCATCATCAACCTTGAGCATCCTCCTACACCAACCCGTCCCTACTCCCTCTTCTCTTCCCCGTTAGCCCCATCCACATCTCCCGCGACAGCAGGAGGAGGCGCATCACCGTTCTTTTTTGCTTTGAACCCCTCCTCCTTCGCCTCCCCCTTTTCCTCCCCCTTCACAGCCTCCCCCTCCTTCTTCTCCCCACCAGCACCACCAGCACCCAACCCGCCCTCCACCAACCCCCTAACAACCTCCACCGTCCCCTCAGGCGACCCGGCCTGCGCAGCGAGCACCTTCCCCGCCTTATCGACGACAAACACGCCGCGCACGGTGCCCTTGCCAGGCGTCTTCTTCAGGCCGATGGCGCCAATCAGCGTCGCCTGCGGGTCGCACAGCAGCGGGTAGGGCAGGTGCTGTTTCTCTCGAAAGGTCGTGTTGGCTTTGGGGGAGTCGGTCGACAAACCATAAATAGCCAAGCCCGAGGCGCTCGTCAGGGCTTCGTAAGCGTCGCGGAAGTGGCAGGCTTGGCGGGTGCCTTGGTGGTTTTAAGTGTCAGAGTTTTGGTCGGGAATCGTGGGGAAGGAGGGGATGTCCTTCTTGGGGGGGAGGAGTGGGATGGGTTTGGTTTTGGGCTGCGGGAAATGGCGGTACATCTAAGGGGGAGGGGGTCAGGGCAGTTGGACATACAGCCTGGGGTCGAGGCCTTGGGGTAGGTGAAGAGGACCACGCCGGCCTTGGAGGCGTCGACGAGGGCTTTGAGAGTGGTCTTGGTGCCGTCGTTGGTCTCGATCTCGCCGCCAAAGCTGTCAAGCGAGATGATGTCGCCGATGGCGGGCTTGGGGGTCGAGGAGCCGTTGGCGGTCGCAGCGACTTCGGCGACCGTCTCCTTGACCTTCTCAGCGGCCTTGGAGACTGTCTTGGCTATCTTGGCCGGCTTCTTGCCTGTGGCAGGCGGAGGCGGCGGCGGCGCCTTGCGCTTGCGCAGTTCCATGGGCATGGTGGGCTAGAGCTTGCGTGGAGTTTGTAGCTTACAGATGAGAATGAGAGAGAAAATATTATAAGATTGAGGGAACAGTACGGCTGATATGAGGTCGCCAACTGGTAGCGACCACGATATTACGAGTAGGAGACAGGAAAGGAGAAGAGAGAAGATGGAAAGAGGAGAGGTCGCGAGCTGGCGAGGTAAACTGGACGCTGAGCTGGTTGCGCAACAGCCAGCCAATCACAGCGTGTCGCGGGCCCAGAGGAGGCCAGACCAGGGGAGGAAGTTCGGTTGCGATGGAGCTCCGCTGCGGCAGAGCAAAGCGCAAAAGAAGGTCCGTGGGAAGTGCCGTTGAGGGCACAGACAGATTCTGAATGACTTGGTAGTAACCCAGCAGTCGCGCCCGAGAATGTGTACAGTCTGGGAAACGAGAATTCGGTGACTTCGAGCAGCAACTCAACCCAATTTCCGGGGATGATTTCAAAGCCGCGACGACTAGGTGAACCCACCCTCAGCCAGAAGTCCCCAGACCATAAGGATGGTTGAAACCTGTTAGAAAGGTCCATCGTATTCCCCAGTTGCCCAGGTTGCACTCATGCGAAGGCGTTCATATCAATGTAAAGAGCGTTTTGTGGAGGAAACACGAAGACTCGAAGCTTCCGTCGTCACGGTTCTCGAAGCGCTGATAATGTGGTCCATGCACCCTTCCATTCGTCTGAACAAGGCCCCTGCTCTGACTGGCCAATGCGTTCATCAACCGGCTGCACTTCGGGAATTCAGTCGAGTCCACCAACAGCTTGCTCTCATCACCGGTGGATTGACGATTCAACGTCCCGACGAGAGCCCGTCCACACACTCGCTACTGCTGCCACCATGGCTTCCAAAGCGGCAGCGAAAGCTGCAGGAGAAGTCGTCAGCATCACCAAGGTGAGCTATCCATCATCCATGCCTTTAGCCTGCGCAACCATAGCCTTGACCTATCTCCCTCCAAACGACGCCTCTCAACCCAACACATACACACATGCATCTTCCTTTCCACAATGTCAAATCATCATGCTATTAATATATCTATACTAACTCCGCCCAGAAATACACAGTCCAATCAACCGGCATCTGGGAGCGCATCCGGCGCGCGACATCCATCGACCCGAACCGGTCCAACGGCGTGCCACTCAACCCCTACAACCGGAACCCGGCCCCGGGCTCCAACGACCCGCTGCAGTATGACGACCCGGTGACCGTCCCTGCCGGCGACATTGCAGACAACCCCTACTGGAAGCGCGACGCGCGCCGCAACTACCCCCGCCACAGCATCGTCGGCCAGGCCCAGCAGGTCGCCCTGCTGACCGTCGGCAGCGCCGCGCAGCCTCGCGTCGAGCTGATCGGCGAGGCGGGGTCCAAGGCCCTCGTCGCGGCCGAGGAGTCCGGCAAGGAAGGCGGCCTGGCCGTGTACCTGGAGAATAGCGGCGTTGAGGCGGCCAAGCGGGTGCTGGAGATGACGGGGGGCCTGCCGCCGCTGCCGAGCGGGCAGCGTCTTGATGTGGAGAAGTGGGATGTGCACAAGTATGGCCTAGATGCGGAGCAGTCGTATCCTGAGGAGTAAGATTTTTTTTTGGCGTGTTTGTTAGCCAGGTTGGGCGGTGGGAATGGTGCTAACGCGACACAGGTACCCTTGCAGGTCGTTCACATAAGACTCGAAGGTTGAGAGGAGAAGACAGATGAGGGGTTGTACATAACGTGTGCAGGCGCCGTATAGAACTGATTTAGTTCGCGGGCTATGTGTTTGATATACCGTGACGAACCATCAACTCCGGTCAGCAACCCCGCAGAGGCTATGTTCCCCTGACCATAGCCAGCCCGGCCATCCACTCCACACACCGCCCGCACCCCTCAAACATCCACCACCTCTGCTTTCCCAGACCCCGACCCGAGATCATGGCCGCCCTCGCCTTGCCTATCACCCTTCTGCCTCCCGTTCTCCCCTTCCCCCACCATACGCTCAATCACCTTGAACCGGCCCTGCGCCCTCCGTAACCGGTCGTCGAAGTCGTCAACCGCATCGTCACTGTTCTCGGTCGACAAGCTCTCCGCCTCGACCAACGCATACAGCGTGGTGATGTGCTTGGCCAGGCGGGGGTTATCCGGCAGCGGCGGCAGCAGTAACCTCCTCTTCTTTCCCTCCTCTGATGGACAACCCTGCTCCTGCTCCACCTCGCCCGTCTGTTCGCCGCCGCCCACCACCACTGCCGCCGCTGGGTCTACTAATACTTCCCGTAATGCTGAAGAAGAACCTGGGCTGCTCTGTACCTGATAATGAGACCGAAACCGAGACACAGACTGAGATTGAGACTGAGGATCCGTCGTCGGCGTGCTGCTCCACCTGCCCCCCTTCCCACCGTTGCCGCCCTTCTTCGCCCCTCCTCCTCCTGCCTTTGATGAATTGGAATTGGCAGCCGCCAGCCCGAGCCGGTTCGCCCAGACAATGGCCCGCCCCTGCAGCCGCCCGCTCATAACAAACTTTTGGAACCCCCGCTCGAGTCCCAGTTGCCGGCCCTCGGCGCGACCGGCCGCCAGGCCGTCGGCCATGCCCTGGTTGTAGCCTTGGTTGTAGAACTGGTCTTCTAGTGTGAGCAGGCTGTCGAAGTCGTCTGTTGTTGGGTTGGTTGTGGTGGTGGCGGTTGAGGTTAGCGGGGTTGTGGTTGCTGTTGTTGTTGTTGCCATGATGGCTTGCTTTCTGGTGGGAGGGAGCGAGTGCAGGCTTGTGGAAACTAAAAATGTCAGTTTTGACGTGAGTTGAAGTCTGAGCGGTGGGTACTGGTGGGAGTAGGGTAATAGAGTTGAAGGCTGATCGTGATATGGCAGGGTCCTGTTGCCGGCCGGAGGCGCGGGAACGCGGGGCTAAAATTTGGGACCCCGCATCTGTGCCGAGCTCGTCGTCACTTATACCACCAACTCAATACACTTTCATCTGTTGGAACGAGTGGGTATATGTACGGGAACCGAAAGTCATTGAAACCCTCAATCCGGTGGATCCGCTTCACTGAAGAGGGCAGCTATGGCAGCTTCAGAACACGTCGCAACACCTCTTGTTGTAAAACGTCGTTATGTCGCAGTACTGCAGATTGGGAATCTATTTTGAAAACATATTCTATCCTTTGGTCCACCTCAATGCAGCATCACCATCCCACCATTTGCGCACACGACCTGCCCCGTACACCACCCGGCCTCCTCACCGCACAGCATCCCCACAATTCCGGCCACCTCCTTCACCTTGGCCTGCCTTCCACCGCTCTCCTTAGCCTCCCTAACCACCTCGTCGCTATCCACCCCCTCCCTCGCCTTGGCTAGCGGCGTATGCAGCACCCACCCATGGATCCCCTCGAGAAACTCCTTTGAGTTAGACGCGTACATGGGCCCCTCCACGGGGCCCGGGTTCACGGCATTCACCGTGGCATTCTCGGCCAGCTCGCGCGCCCAGGTACGCGTCATGGCCTCCACGGCCGCCTTGGTACCGCCGTAGACGGACTGCGTCACGAACCCCGTCGACGACGAGACGGACGAGATGTTGACGATGCGTCCCGAGCGGTCGGTCGGCAGGTGCGGCTGGGCGGCCTGCACGACGAGCAGGGGGCCGAGCACGTTGACGCGGTAGGTTTCCTCAAAGTCCTGGACCGTCACGTTGGGCAGGAGCGCGTTACGTGCGATGCCAGCGTTGTTGATGAGGATGTCGATCTGGAAGCGGTTGTTGTTTGTGAAGTGTTCGCGGGCGGCCGATATCAGAGCGGCGGCGCCTGCCTGGGTGCCGACGTCGGCTTGCACGGGGACGGCCCGAATGTTGTAGGTCGAAGAGAGTTCGGCGGCGAGGGACTTGGCCGGCTCGGTGGACGAGGAAGAGGTGTAGTTGATGACGAGGTTGCAGCCCTTGGAGGCGAGGTTCTCGGCGATGGCGGCGCCGATGCCTGGGTTTTGTTAGCTGAATGGACTTGAAACGAGAGGGAAAGACTGACCTCGAGATGCGCCGGTTACGATGCCCAGCTTGCCTTCGAGAGGTCGAGACATGGTGACTGGAAGCAGTGTCCTGAGAGGGTGCGGGAGAGAGCTCGACTTTCTCAAAGGTTGTCAGGGGCCAACAGGTGCAAAGCGGGAAAGCAGAGCAAATAAAGTCGGCAATCAAGTCAATTGGAGATAGAGCCTTAATATATACACACAATTAACAAGTGGACACAGCGCGACCCCGCGGCCCAGCGCAGTTGTATTTTACCTGATAGTGACCACCTCATCTATGGGACATTTCGGTTGGAGAACCTCAAGGGATGCCCCGCATTCGCGATGTCGGTCGAGTTTCTGATGCGCTGCCCCTCCATTTGCGCGGCTACAGGGATCCCCACATGGCTGTCCCCACATGGCTGTCCCCACAGCCGGCCGGCTCCCGCAGAAATTCGAGCGGCCCCACTGCAGCTCGCTGTCATCTGCTGAAACTCCAACCGATACTCAGCACGATATCGGGCCCTTCCGTAGCACTGCCCTTCGCTAGCACCGATTGACCAAACCCAGTCATCATGGATATTCGGCTCCTCCGCGCGTCCGACATACCGCTGATTCAGCACGCGAACCTCGAGAACCTGCCCGAGAACTACTTCCTCAAGTACTACCTCTACCACGCCCTCTCGTGGCCGCAGCTGTCCTTCGTCGCCGTCGACGCCTCGCGCCCGCCCAAGACGCCCTACGACTACCCCAAGATCGTCGGCTATGTGCTCGCCAAGATGGAGGAGGAGCCCGCCGACGGCGTGCAGCACGGACACATCACGTCGCTGTCCGTCATGCGCACCCACCGCCGCCTGGGCATTGCCGAGAAGCTGATGCGCCAGAGCCGTGCGTTTTCCCTTACTATCCCATCATCTCTCACACTTTCCGTTATTCTAACGAGATGCATCTTCTAAAAATATAGAACTAGCCATGGTCGAGACATTCGGCGCGCACTACGTGTCGCTGCACGTGCGCGTCTCTAACAAGGCCGCCATCCACCTGTACCGCGATACCCTCGGTTTCAAGACGGAGAAGACCGAGTCCAAGTACTACGCCGACGGCGAGGACGCCTACTGCATGAAGCTGGACCTCGACTTCATCCGGGAGCAGCTACGCGAGCAGGAGGACCAGTCAGAGGAGGCCGTCGGGGAGGGCAGCAGCAGTAAGAAGAGCGGAGACGGGGAGGGCGCTGAGAAAAAGAACACGGGCGGCGAGGCCGTCGACGAGGGCGAGGCGGTCGGCGATGTCGGGCGGGATCCGGCCAAGGGGGGAAGTAAGGGCGAACAGAAGATCAAAGTCAAGGTTGGGCGGGCGCTGGGAGTAGGCGAGTTAGTAGAGAAGGTCGAGAGTAAACACAGCTAAGGCGCGGCATAGACAGAACAAAAAGCTCGTTGTTTGGGACATCATGAGCCTTAGGGAGGCTCACTCCGGCGTTAAATGATCTCACACACACGCACACACACACACACGCGCACACACACACACACACACCCCGGGCGTGTCGAGAGCATTTACACAGTAGACAGAAGTGAGGCAGGGAGTGTGGCAGCAAAAAGCTCACTGTGACATGTCTCTTGGGATTCACTGACCGGTTCAAAGGGCCGGAGAAAGTCAAAAAGGGGAGAATGGGGATATCCTACGTGGCAGAACTATTTAACTACCAAGGTACCAATCCACAACAACAAATTATGTCACATAACACAATCCTCCAGCCACCACCCAACCATTATTCCGAACCAATTACAATCTCATTCCCAACCATCAAGCCTAAACCCCATCTACCCCCTAAACCTCCGTTCCTCCTCCTCAGCCAACGCTCTCGCAAACTCCTCATCCGCCTCCGTCCTCAACCGCTCCATCTCCCTCGCCAGCTCCTCAATCTCCCTCTCCACCGCCTCCGCTTCGGCGTGGATCTTGCTCTTCTGCCCTCCTTTTCTTTTCTCTTTCTCATCAACACCATCACTAGCAGCAGCAGCGCCGTGCTGCTGCTCCTGCTCCTGCGCCTGCTCTTGCTCCTCTTCGGCGATCCTCTCATGCAGCTGCAGCAGCTCGGCCTCCTTCTCAGCGACCCGAGCCTCCATCTCCCACGCTGCTTGGTACTTGGCCTGCGACTCCGGGTATCCAACCCCGGAAACGGGTTCGACACCTTCGTCGTGGTGGTGGCTGTCGTAGTGGGGTGGGTCACCGTGGCCGCCTGGCCAGGCGCCGGGGAAGGGGGGCATCCCGGGCATGTGTGGCATGTGTGGCATTGGGGGAAAAGAAGGGATGCCGAATGACCCTGGCGGGGGAGGGCCGTGAGGAGGAAAGACGTGATGAGGAGGAGGACCATGAGGAGGAGGACCATGAGGAGGAGGAGGATGGGGCCCGCGGCGCCACTCCCGGTGCATCTCCCTCTGGCTCCGCTTCACCTCCTTCTTGGCCTGACGAAGCTCGCGCTTGACCTCGCGCTTGGCCCGGCGGATCTCACGCTTCGCCTCGCGCTTGGCCTGGCGGAGTTCGCGCTTCTCCTGTTTGCGGGTGCGCTTCTGCTGCCGCTTGAGCTCCTTCCACTCGCGCAGGAGGTTCCTGACCTCGCGGCGGAGGGCAGACTTATCAAACCCTGCCGCGTCAACGGTGGTCGACTTCTTGGCGGCCTTGATCTGCTCCCTCACGTGCTTGACCTTCTCCTTGGTGATGGGCTGGTCCGGGTGCTGCAGCCATTCCCGGACGCACTGCTTGGCGACGGGCAGCTGCGCGTCATGGAGGTCGTCGTAGTCGGGCAGCGAACCGACTGTCGATTCCGAACAATTCGAGGACGTCCGGGAGCTAGCGCTCGACGCAGAGCTCGACCGCGACCGGTGTCTCTCCCCGCCGTGATCCGGACCCAGCGGCCCGCGATGCTCCTCCCTCCCTCTTCCTTCCTCCCCAGCCGGAGGAGCAGGACGACGGGGCCCATGCCTCCCAGCCCAACCACCACCCCCGCCCCAAGACCCCCAACCACCACTACCCCATTCCCCTCTCCCACCCCTCCCACACCCTCCACCACCCCATCCTCCTCTCCCACCCCAACCACCCCACCCACCCGGTCCACAACCCCCACCTCTCCGCGCATGAAGCGGTGAGGTATGACCATGGAGATGCGCCGCACCACCAAACATAGGCTGCCCATTGATACTGATGCCATTCCGCGGGTCCATGGCAATACCGCCGATGCGCACAGACCCCGTGCGGCCGTCGGCCACAAACGAGTTGCCGATCGACACGCGGTCGCCTTCGACGTTGATTCCTCCGAACCGAAAACCTCCGCCTCCACGGGCATGGTTGTGGTTGTTGGTATTGGCGCTGGCGTTGTTGCCGCGGGAGGCGAAGGGGTTGAAGAAGCTGCCGAATCCTCTACGCGGCGGATTGTTGTTGTTGTTGTTGTTGTTGTTGTTGTTGCGGTCTGTTTCTGAGTTGGGGCTGTTGTTGTTGTTGCTGTTGTCAAAGGATTGGTCCCACGCGCCAGGGATGGGTTGTTTCTCCGGGTCCGCGGGGACTTCGTTCAGGCCGCTGGCATGGTTGGAGTTGGTGTAGTTGCTGTTAATGGGCCCCAGGTCGACACGGATGGTGATGCGTCGCGGGGCAAAGAAGCCGTCGTTCCACTCGCGGATGGTATCCTCGGCGTTCTGCCTCTGCTGGGCAGCGTCGGCCTCAACGAGTGAGCGGATGCGGTCGAGCTGGGCTTCGGCATGGCTCCTGCCCGACAACTGAGAGCGGACGTCGTCGTTATTGCTGTTGTTGCTGCGGGGGAGAGTGTTGGTGGCCGTCATGGTTTCGGCCCGCAGCTTGCGGTCAATGACTTGCTCGTTGGAAGTCGCCGAGTAATGTGGCATCAAATAATTGGCAAAGGTCTGCCAGTCTTCGAGCCGGACGTCCCGGCCTGTCAAGTGGCTGGGGAACGGCAGGCTGTCCGGGGTAGAGTCCCGAGTGAGAGTGATGGAGTGTACGAGGTGTGGTTGGGTAGTCAACAGAGGAGCAGGCCGTGAGGCAAAGTATGCAGCAGCAGCCGAGTGCTCAAGATGATCGACTTCTCCAGCGAAGTTGGAGTGGTGAGAGCTATGGGGAGTGAGGGGAGGGGTATAAATCACGTCCCCATTAGTGGACGAGGTGGACCGAGAGGTGTCGTCAGCGACGTGCGCGTCTCTCCCGGACGCGGAGAACAAGTCCTGCTCGCTGTAAGGGGGAGGCGGCACGTCGTCAGGGTCCCGAGACATGGTGGGCTGCGTGTAAGTGGGCCAAGCTTCTCGATGTGCAGGGTGTCGAGGTTAAGGAATGTCGTCTCCTCGCCACCAGGGGAGTTCACTGATTAAATGTCAAACACCTCAGAGGATCACGATGTACGCACGCAAAGAGTGGCAAGGACGGAAACAGGTGGGGTGACAAGTTTATTGAGTGCGCGAAAGAGTGACACTGTTGTGACCGTGAGGCCGCCTCTGCTTCGCCCGAGGCGTAAGCTCGGGGAAGCTTAATCGCTCCCCATGTCAGAACGCCTGTCTCTCATTCGCTCGGACACGAAGGTGGGCGCTATTAGCGAATGCGCCCGTCAATCGAGGCTTGGCTGGCATTGCCCCCTTGTAAGGTTCGAAGCTTGTTCCCCGCACATTCGTTTCCGCGCATGGGCATTTGGCTTACGCGGCCCGATGATGAGGCAGTGAATCAATTTCTTGACGCGCTGTCAATCTTGGAATTAGTGGGATGGGCCATGGTGGCCAAAAGTCCGATCCGCTTCTTGGGCCACGAGGAGCTGTCGCGTCTCTGGCAGCCCTATAAGCGGATAGGCCGAGACTAGGTGTCTCATGGCTCGCCAAGCTGCAGGGAGAGGCCTATATCCTCGATCTTATAGTGGTCTGCGAGAATACTCGCCAGGTGATGCCTGGTTTGAGGACCCCTGAAACAACGTCAGTGACGATACACTAAGGACACATAGTCCAACGAAAGAGAACCTACAAATTCGTCAGATAAACGTCAACGAGGTCTGGCGGAATATAGTCTGTGACGGTATTCTCAACGTCGAGCGCATCCACCGCGGAGCCGTTTGCGTAGCTAACATAGCTGCCGGGGCTACCTAGTTCCCCCCTCGAGACTTCATCCGACGGATCCTCTGGGCAGAATTTGTAGACCGGGCAAAGCACAATGACGGGTTTGAGATACTCGCGGGCCGCCTGCGCAGCGACGCAGGAACCGCTATCCACCAGCAGGCCGCCGTTCTGATACACGGCTTTTGCGCTGAAGATGACCTTGTTGACTCGAGGGATGTAGGCCATGAGCCCGTTGCTTGCCAGATTGATTGTATTCACGCCAGCCGCGTTGAGCTTTTTCCGGAGTGCGGCATAGGAAAGTTCTGAGGACCCAGGACTGGGTGACTCGAGGCTAGCGATGATGACAGTAAACCGCCGCTTCGAGGCAGCCTTTACCAGAAATCTCTCGACAGTCCTTGACGGTTGATAGGCCAAAACATAGTCACCCGGATGTATCTGAATGTCTGAAAAACCCGCGATTTGGTCGTCGGCCTGGTTGATCTCGTCCAGAATCTCCTCGATCCCGTCCATAACCTCGGATCGTAGGGCATGCACACTGGCAGGCTGCGCTTGCGACAAAGGAGTTGAGGCTCCCGTAACAGGTGATTCACTAGGCGCTTTCACGGAGAGTAGGTTGAACATGGATTTCGAGACGGTGAGGCCCGACGACAGGACCGATGGAGAAGGGCGGATGGGAGTCGGCCGGGGCCTCGGCGGCTGTGGTGTGGTGCTCGGCGTCAGGCTTTGGATGTCGGAAGCAGCCTCGCTACCAATATCATCGGCATTCCTGTCTTCATTCGCCTCATCCCTAATCAGGCCCAGCACACGTCGCACCACGTTTCCGATGACTGGCTCCAGCGGGGCAGAGCGAACCAGTCTTGACCCCACACTCTGGACTCTGGAGAGAAGCTCATCGACATCGCGCCACTTCGATTTGGCAACAACCTGGCGGAGGATGTGCGCAGTCGCTTTCGCACATTCGTCGCCCTTGACTTGTCGCCGCTTGAGGAGGCTGTACAGCGTCAGATGCCGTGAATGAGGGTTCTGCGGGGAACTGGGCTTACAATATCAAAGACTCAATCGATGCCTCAAGAGATTGGCTGTTAAATGACTTTATCAAGTTGTCCAGACTGGGCACATGGCTCGCTTGTGAGGGCGCCATGGCTATGTCTGTGCCTGTAATCGGTCGCGATGCTGAAACGCAGCTGAGAAGCCCGTAATCCCAGTCAAAGCCGATGATTGTCGGTAATTAGTGTATGCCAACCTGAGCTGCGCTCGATAGTATCTAAGAGTGTAGAGCAGTAGCGGCGGTGGAGATAGAGAATGTGCTCCTGGATTGATGTGTGCGTTCGGATTCGAGTGGCCGAAGATCGATTGACGCCAGAGTGAGTCAAGGAAGCATTCAAGCTCCCCATTCTCGAAGAAAATCACAGTGGGGTATGCCATTGTGCCCCGCACATGCCACTTCCAGTCGGTTAAACATCGGAGTTTATTACGATTAGCATCACCAACCAGGCTCATATATCAATTCACGCTAAGATAAGGAAGCGGAACGGCGATACAATTGGCCTTCAAATTTTGGCCTGGCATTCCATCAGAAAATCTGCGAGGGAGTGCAATCGCGGATAACACCCGAGCGGCGACCAAATCTCAGCATTTGATTTTTCCAGCATAAATACGTCCATCGGCGGCCAATTGGGTGACAACTCTCTGGTTGCAACCCCCACAGCTTGATCCCATAGTTCGGTAGTTCCGACCGTCACAATGACAGACGTCGTCGACGACAAGAAGTTGAAGAAGGAGAAGAAGAGCAAGGACAAGTCTGAGAAGAAAGAGAAGGAGAAGAAGCGCAGCGATAGCGACGGAATCAAAAAGGACAAAAAGGACAAGAAGAAGGACAAAGTGAAACAGGAGAAGCTCGCGCGTGCCCTCGACGCCCACCTGCAAGCCGATGCCGCCGCGTCAGTCGAGGTCCAGGATGACAAGGCCGAGGTCGATCCCGAGGACATAATCAAGCCGGCCGAGGAGCTGGTGCCGTTTGCCCTGCCGCTGGCCGACGAAAAGACACACAAGAAGATCTACAAGCTCATTAAGAAGGGTGCGTTAGCCGTTGTGCTTTCTCCGCGAGTGGTGTTAAAAAAAAAAAGACCAATTTATAACAAGAGTTTTACTAACATCTCCCCCCTTTCTTTCCACAGGCGCCAAGCTCAAGTCGGTTCACCGCGGCGTAAAAGAGTGCGAGAAGGCCATCAAGAAGTGCCCTCCCAAGACGGCCGCGTCGGGCGACATCCCCGCGCCGGGGCTCGTTATCATCGCCGGCGACATTTCGCCCATGGACGTCATCATGCACTTTCCCATCCTCTGCGAGGAGCACGGCGTGCCGTATCTGTATGTGCGGTCGCGCGCCGATCTGGGCGTCGCGGCGTGCACGAAGCGCGCCACCAGCGTGGTGATGCTCAAGCCCGAGGGCAAGAAGAGCAACAACAACAGCGGCGGCGGCGCAAACGACAACAACAAGGGCAAGAAGAAGGACGACGGCGGCGGCGATGCCGACATGGAGGATGCCGAGGACAAGAAGGTCAGCGCAGAGGAGTACCTCGAGGCGTGGAAGGACCTGGTCAAGACGGCGGAGAAGCAGTGGAAGATCCAGGTGCAGCCGTGGGTCAAGGGCACGCACCCGCTGCAGATTGCTGAGAGAGAGCGGGCGAGACAAGCGGCTGCCGCTTGATTCTTTTCCAGCCGAAAGGGGAAGCTGCTTTCGGCTCGACATTGGCAAGGCAAGGGCAGGTCTATTCATCACCATATGCGCTGCCTCTCGCTTTCCATGATTCCTTCCGTCCGGGCAAAGTCACATTCTATTGACTTGGTTCTGGGCACGCAACGACAACACCCATTTGGGTTGCCCGTTGTCTCCTTGTGCCGATTGTATGATCATCGTCGGCTGGCTTTGCTCTGTTTGCTTCATGGCTCTCTTGTGTAATGGATGGCGTTGAGAGCGTTTGGCACTTTGCATGGGTTACTACGGAGGTTAGAGGTTCCTTGTGTAGATACCGAAAATGAAAAGCACCTCTTCACAACGTCCCGATCATCAACAGGCTCCAGAGGTTTAGGCCTGTCAGCCGTTGGGGAATACTCACTCTGGGTGAGTAGTTGGATAGTTGGCAGATCATGTTACAGCCCTGACGAAACACGGCTGGCAAGTGTGGTTCGAAGTCTCAAGTTCAATGCTAACTCCGAGATACAATTACAGTCCAAGGAAACTATGAGATCACCACCCGTTCTGTCGCGAGGTCACTCTATCGGGTGCGCTCGATGCAAGTAAAGACTTCCAACTCCCGTCCGTTCGTTCCACTTCCCTCGTTCGTCTACTCGGACCGGAAGGGGCTTCGGCTCAGGGGTGTGCCGCCAGCGCCAGTGCTGCATATCGTATTAGCATGACTCCGTCACAGAGAGCACGGCAAACCACTTACTGCTCAAATGGATTGGTGTGCGTTCCCCACCAGGTCATGAAGACAGACAGGCCGATGGTCTCGAACAGCTTGGCAAGGACACTAACGCCCACCTGCTCCAACGCGCGCTTCTCTACGAATAGCTGGCTGATGAACTGTTGGATAGTTGTGTTAGCGAAACCGCCACTCACGGAAATACCCCGGAACAGCGGCGCAGGTTTACATACAGTAGGAGCGCTGGTCGCGGCAAAGATAAGACCGCCCAGATAGGCGGCGCCCTTGTAGCTGAGGGTGCCGGTGGCGTTGATGAGGGCTCCCACACCATACGACTGCAGGGCCGAGCCGACGAGGGCGGTGCCCCAGGCGACGGCGGCGCCCGAGGCCTCGCGCGATCGGATAAACTCCTCCTTGGTGTTGGCCGACTTGGCGCGCTGGTACGTCTGGCCGAAGACGGGTGTCAAGACGGCCAGCTCGACTGTGTGGTTGAAAATGGTGCCTAGGGCGATAGCCGAGGGCTTGACCGCGGGGAGGTCTAGGACGGGGACGAGATGTTAGCTTGCTGAACGGAAGGGTTGGGGTGGTGAGGGTGGTCGTCTGTGTTGTGCCAAGTCATTTTCCGTTTCCAAGTCGACATCTTTTGAAAATCTCGATCTCTCGCATTTGCATGTATGACATCAAGCGCCCTTAAAGCAGCAGAAAGTCCTCAATGGGTTTGTTCAGGCCGGCGCATTCGAAAAATCAATTCTGAGATCGAGAATCTTGAAAGGTGTCGACTTGAGATAGCAATGGTATCGTTCGAGCGCAGCCAGCAGCCAGAACCAACAGCTTGAAGGGCCAGAGAACCACATCAAGACACAAACGCATGCAGGGGTATGATGTACTCACAGTGCAGAGACATGTTGAGCTGTTGTTGTAGTTGTTACGAAGTCGAGAATTTAAGGAATTTGTCGGGTTCTTGATTGAGGAACGGAGTGAGAACGAAAAGCTGTCGTTATTCGCTGTATGTATGAGAAGAGATCAACTGGTTGAAAGCGGCAAGAGCCAGCAGGTTTATAGCAATGGCGGAGGACGGGAGCAGGGTACAGCAGGTGTGTCCCCTTGGCCTGCTCCCCTCCTTCGTGCGTCACAGACCCTCCCAGCACCAGGAAATGGACTGGGCTGGCCTCCACTGTTAAGCCATCTGTGTTGGAAACCTGCCGATTGCGACCCCGAGCATAGCATCATTGCCTTCGGAGCTCCTCCAGGCGCCGGCTTTGAGCAGCTGCGACATGACGTCACTACAAGGGTCACCACATCTGACCCTGGCATGCTCGCCCCACTCAACACCAAAACGGCTGCGAGCGGCAGTGAATGGACTGAAAGCCGAGTTGTTTCAACCACAGCCTATGCTGGCCTTGAATCCTCGCGCAATTCCAGGAGCTGACGCAATGGAGGGGATCGTCACAGTTCCCGTATGGCGCCGCCCCGGCGGCAGTAGTACCGTACCTGTCTGATTTTTGAAACATGAGATTCGGTCCTGCAGGAGATCGGAACATGTGCTGCCAAATTTCACCTGTTTTGAAATATCCAACAGGGCTTAGCGTTTACTCCTAAACCGTGATCTGAGTTGCCCTGTTTTCGCTCCCGCCGCTTGAGTTGGAGCATCCGGCAAATTGGTCGAGGAATCTGAAGTCAAGCGGACTATGATATGTTAAGCTGAGAAGAGGCAATGCAGATATTCAAGACGGCAACACGAGGAATAGATGGAAAAATAGCAAACGAACTCGAGAGGAAAGTGTTTTCACATTGTGCACTTGCCCAGCTCATACCGCTACGACTCTGAGGCCAGGAAGTAGTGGCAACTAAGCCATCTAACGGACTTACCCGCCTTACCCTACCTTACTATAAGTGACAGCTCATGACAGTCATGCTTGAGTTGATTATCTTCCATTACTATCCTTTCCCTCTCCAACCCAAAAAACAAATAACAATGACAAATGCCCTATGAGCGACGCCCCTATGCCCTATGCTTGCTTCCCTCCCCCCTCCTCCTCCCGCATCGCTTCAAGCCATATGCTGCCCGTCCTCTCCGCCGCGCAGAGCCAAGAGCGCGCGCACATCCGACACGTACTGCAGGCCTTCTAAGAAGGGTATCAAATACATGAGGTCGCTGTCGGTCGGGTCGCTGATCCAGCCCTGTATCGGGATGGCGTTGTCTAGCCGCCGGAATGTGTCAGTAAAAGAGCAAGGATGAGAGAGAAAAAGGCGGACCAAAGTGGTCAGGAGCAGGGAAATACCTTGATGAAACATGTAGCTCAGCGGGCTATTATCCAGAATCATGACCTTGCTCAGATCGGGCTCGACCGAGCTGAGGTCCTTGATGAAGGCGCCGTGGCGGAAGGTGCAGTGCTGGCGGTAGTAGCGGGCCGAGAAGTACTTGCGCTCCGCCTCGAGCCAGTCGATGACCGGGTCGGCGTACTCCTGCACCGACGCCGTGAAGACGACCAGGTTGTACCACTTGCTGACGCGCCGCAGGAATTCGTCGCAGTGCGGCCGCTTGTGCACGTAGTACAGGATCGGGTGCTGAGGCCCGATGGTCGCCTGCCCGGCCACCCCCTGGTACGTCGTGTTGAGCCGCACCTCGACCATGTGTCCAGTGCTCATCCGGCCGCCTTTGGACATGCTGTGTATCAGCGTCTCGTCCAGGTCGAGGATCAGCGTCTTTTGGTGTCGGACGTCGGTCAATTCCACGTTCTTGTTGTTGATGTACGAGGGTTGCCGTCGTGGTACTAGGGGTCGTGGCGGGGCTGGTGTCTTCGGATACTTGGTGAGGGCGCCGGCGGGCGAGGTCGGTGATTTGAGCTGGGCCGAAATGTCGCCCACGGCGTCGCCTGATCTTCCGTTTCCTTGAGCACTGGCTGACTGCGCTTTCCGATGCTTCCGTTGCCGTAGCGCCTCGTCCGAATGGAGCTTTATTCGTATGGATCGTTGTGCCGGCGCTATCTCGTCAGAGTCGGGGAGTGACTTGGAGCGCAAGTGCTTTCCACTTGTGCCTCGACGGCTGCCCTGCCTTGCACGGTCCGGGTCCGATTCCGATTCCGACGAGAGCCCTGAGGAGGAGGAACCGCTTGAACCGACGATGCGCATTGTCCGACTACTCCCTCGTCCAGTTTTGCTGGCGGACCCAACTATGCCGTGTCGGCGCTTTTCGGAAGCAGCTATCCCTTCATGATAATCCAGAGCCATCGTTTTTGCGTTCCCTCCGTAGAAGGCAAACAGTTTCCTGAGCCGTTGCAATGGCGCAAAGTAGCCGTCTTCGTCACAGATGCAAGCATACAAGTAGACGCCGGGCGCCGCTAAGGTCGACAACACCCATCGCAGGGAATTGACGAAGGCGTTTGCGATGCGCTTGGGATAGAGTACCCATGGAGTGCCCCGAGAGCTAAGCTCCTTTGCTTGGGGTATTAGGGGCGTTGTCTCGTCGATCGCATAATCGTGACCTAAAGGGTCTTGGGGATCGCCCTCGAGTGGGAACTCGTCGGGTTCGGCCATCAATCCATCTTTCTCGCTGATTTTGCCCAGTGCGCTCTCGGTCTGGTTCTGCCGCGGATTGTCGGTGTCGGGGCTTACGGCCAGCCCCAGAGTGCTGAGGGAGTTGGATCGTGACGGCGCTGGGCTCGGCGGAGGGGAAACTCTGGCCGAGATAATGTTGAGGGAGTTCATCTTGCAACTGACATAGAGAGGGCCATGAAGGACTTATGCGACTCAAGCGTGGGGGGAGGGGGGGGGTGGTGGGTTGGAGGTTGCCGTGGACGGAGTGGAGGGTGTAAAATTGCGGCCAAATGGCCCGATGGCACGGTGCTATGTGCCTAGCACAAAGGAGTTGCTGTCGCCGACTGTTGCGGGAGCTGCTGTGTGTAGGACCCTCCAAAGTAGGGGACAGTCGGTCCTGGTTGATGATGCCGAAGAAATGGTGAGGGACCCAGGGACTTGCAGCGGCAAAGGCCGGGTGTTCGTCTGTGTTACTCTAAATGACCAGATGGAACCTGGAAGGGCCGATGTCTCTCCTTCAAAAGGGAGCCCGATCGTGTGGTTTCTGCCTCTCACAGGCTCGCTGACTGCCAAACAACGGTAATCAGAGCAAGCGGATTTGAGATTTGAGAAGAGTACACCAGGTTTGCGGATGGAAACCCGTTCTTCTCACATTGCTGCGATGGGAAGCTTCCCATCCAAAAGGTTCCACAATCCAGCAATGGCGTTCCACGAAGGGAAACGCGGCACTAGCGCAAGAGGTTCAGCAGGTGATCCCGGCCTGGGCTGCTCAACAAAAGCCCCTGTCCCAGTGTTGGGTCTCTTCACGTGCTGTCAGGACTCAGCGGACACACAGCATGCGGCGTCGGGCGGGTCCGTATACCTAGCCGCCTCCCCACCCTTTTTGCGCCAACTTGCACGGGAAGTTGAGCGCCGGAACACTGCCGCCTAGCAGCATTCGAAGCTGCAGGCCTGAGAACGGAGATCCCATAAGATCCAGCGTTCTGATGTCCATTCGTTACTCACTTTCATTTCTAGAGTCCGAGTCATGATGTTTGGTTTCAAGGACCATTGACGAGCATAGGTCGAGGTTGAGGAAAGTTTAGTCTTCTTTTCCAGATCGACCTTCACCCACAGTTCCTTTGACAGAAGCACTTCTACCCAATATCAAGCCCATCGGACCGCCGCCTTACTATTGCTGTGAATATGAGCCAACGGTATAAGTTGATTGAGGATTTGGCGCTGGTATCGTCTGTGCAACGGCGTCTGAAGAGTGGGGAGGTTGCTGTTGCCCGAGGGTTTTGAAGTCGGAGAACTGATGCGGCTTGGTCAAGGCAGCAGTTCCATATATGTTCCGCTAGAAACAATTTTGGATGATAGAGTAAGGGATGTAGATGCTGTGATCAAGGATCTTGACTCGCATGGAACCGGACGGACTCTGTTCCTCGACTCTTTGGGAGCACGGCACTGATACACCTAACTTGGTCTTCAATTGAGGCTTCCGTGTCAGTGAGTTGGGACATGCATTGCGAAAGCTCTGTATCTGTCCGCTCTGCGTCATTGATCCTGAAAACCCGATACTCATAACGGCGGCCTCGATGATAGCCATGCACAAAGGAGATGCACGGAGGGAACGGTGAGCAGCCACCACGTCTATTAACTCCCACATCTGTGATGTACAAAGACGTCTAATTATCACAAAGCTTCCATCCGACCCGTCATGCCTCGTTATCCGCCCCTTACTCCTCGCCGCCAAACTCGGCCCGGCCGGCCTTCGAGTTGAGGTAGTGGTTCCTGCGTCCCTGTTAGATGTGCGCCCTCTGTGCCATCGACGAACAGCACCATACCGGTCAATGGCCCAATTCAGAATGTAGTAGCCGGCAATCATTGGGGGAGCCCAGTAGAGGACCTGCGCGCGGAAACGCCTCCAGGTGTTGAAGACGGCATCGTGGGCAGCGCCGGCGAGGGGTAACTGGCGGTTGGGGGCGATGCCGTAAGTGACGACGCCCTTCTGCTTAATGCCACCTGAAATTACCCGTCAGACAGCGTCTCTTGGAGTCTTGGTCGTCATCCTCCGGCTCGTCCATATCCCGCTCGATCCCGCCCGAACCCTTAATCCGCCCCTTCTCATTGACGTCGTTGAATTCGGAGCCTGCTTACCAAAGTTGCCCCAGTTGCCCAGGAAGCTGCTAATTCGTTAGCAAGTGTATCTGCTAATCGGAGGCAGTCCAATGCGCCGGGAGGCTGCCGGTTTGAAAGTTCGGAAAAGGCGCAGTGGAATCGCAAGCACGTCACCAGGGAACTAACTTGTTATGCTTGCCGATGGGGGCACCACCACCGCCTCCAAGGAGAATTTGAGTAGGACGCATTGTGAATCGAGAATCGAGACAGTCGCGCGGGTGAGTATCGTCGGGTGGTTGCGGGCGCAGAGGCAGGTCGGAATAGCTCGCGGTTTCGAGTTCGAAATCAGTCGACGGAAGCCGAGAAACAGCCTCAATGCGGCTAGTACGGATCCGAAGAGTGCTGTGGCGCTTGAGGCTAGCTGGCCTGCCAAGCTGCGCTTGGGCCTCTTGCGCCCACCTCTTGGGCCCACTTTGCAGAAGCTCCATTCCATCGCAAGTGACGGGAAGCTCAACCATCAGTACTCCGTTAAGAGCTTCCCTCTGTCCCTCACATCCCGTTTCACACCGCCGACAGCAGCTCCTGCATGTTGAGCAGATATCACAAATTGAAATGGCAGCAAGAGGTCTTGGATTCGTCTACTCGGCGGCGATCCCTGCAGCGATCGGCTACGGTCTGCTGCAATCCTCCATCTACGACGTCAAGGGCGGCACGCGGGCCGTAATCTTCGACCGGCTATCGGGTGTCAAGGAGACAGTAGTCAACGAGGGGACGCACTTCCTTATCCCATGGCTGCAGAAGGCCATCATCTTTGACGTGCGGACCAAACCGCGCATCATCCCGACGACGACGGGCAGCAAGGATCTGCAGATGGTCAGCTTGACGCTGAGAGTTTTGCACCGGCCCGAGGTGAAGGCGCTGCCCAGGATCTACCAGGTCAGTCTATCCCCAGCCCTCAACCGAATCAATTTCCGCCCTTGCTGACACACAGCCCAAACACACAGAGCCTCGGCCAAGATTACGACGAGCGCGTGCTCCCGTCCATTGGCAACGAAGTGCTCAAATCGATTGTGGCGCAATTTGACGCGGCCGAGCTGATCACGCAGCGCGAGGCCGTCTCGGAGCGGATCCGGGCGGACCTGATGAAGCGGGCGAGCGAGTTCAACATTGCGCTCGAGGACGTGTCCATCACGCATATGACGTTCGGCAAAGAGTTCACCAAGGCGGTCGAGCAGAAGCAGATTGCACAGCAGGACGCCGAGCGGGCGCGCTTCATTGTCGAGAAAGCCGAGCAGGAGCGCCAGGCCAACGTCATCCGCGCCGAGGGCGAGGCCGAGAGCGCCGACATCATCAGCAGGGCCATCGCCAAGAGCGGTGAGGGCCTGATCCAGATCCGCAAAATTGAGGCGAGCAGGGAGATTGCCCAGACGCTGGCCAGCAACCCCAACGTGGCGTATCTGCCGGGCGGCGGCAAAGGGACGAATCTGCTGATGAACGTAGGCAAGCCATAGGTGGGAGTGGGCGTGGGAGGACGGTGTTGATGACACGATAAGTCGGATGAGTGCTGTGTATTACTACTCTATGACTGCTATATATTCCCCTTTCTGCTCATTCCAGGGTCTGCGTATCCATCAGTTGCCAACACGCTGGCGCTGTTCTCGGCGTCAACGGGTTTGCTGGCCATCGTTTCCAAGACGTGTTGTGTCAGACATCAGCGCCTAACTATGACAAAGGATAGGCTATCTTTGGTCTGTGGAACACTTCCAAAGTGAAGGGCGATGATATCTGGATGTGCTCCGGATATAATATTGAGCTCCTAACCCTCCAAGCATCTTTGGAAAAGAGATCCCCGGAATTCAAAGGAGTTAGTAAAACTCGTCAGATACAATGGGACGTCGAGCCTTCCATCATCGGCTTTGAGAGCAGAATGCGGCGGAATGATGAGGTCGTCTGAACGAAGAAGCTCCACACCGCAACTGCGGCCTTGCCAGCCTGTCTTGGCAGGTCTCATTGACATTCAGCTCCCAACATCAAAAACATCACTTCCACCCCAGTTCCTGAACGAAGCTAGCCAAAGCATCCATAAACCCCTGATTCTGTCCGAACTGAGCATTCTCGATTCCTCTGCATCTTTGAAGCTTGCAGTTTCAGTGATACCCTTATGAAGTTTTTCGATCTTTGCTGATTGTGGTCGCCTCTCGCACCTTCCATTCAACCTCCATCTCACTTGCATCCCACGAGGCGGGAGCATTTTCCACGAAACCATCATTCGTTGCCGGACCGGACAAACAAATCCGGGTTCAGTTGCACTCGTTTCTCTTCACACAGATCTCCCCACGGATTCTTCCAGCAAAGACCGAGAAGCTGTCGCCGACGGTCTTCATAGGCTCTCTTAGGCTCCCTCGTTTCGCTACATAACACTGCCCGCTTGACGTCGCTTCGCCGTCCCGACATACAACACTCCCAGAGCACGTCTTCGACGAAGCTACCGGAAGGAACCACATTGAGCCTTGGCTTTGGTGTGCCTCTCTGATTCCCGTTCTTGACCCATTATCAGCCGTTCTCTCTTTGAGACATTGCCTCCTCAGCTTCCAGTCACTCGCGGTCTGCGAATAGAGGATCGGACCCGTCGTACAACTTTTCTATTACAGTTATTGCCACATTCCAGGCGATTCCACCGTTCCCTTTCATTCATGGTCTCTGGCTTGAACCGCCTTCCTCCCTCCCTCCCGGTGACCTCTGTCACCTGCCACGACCAGCACAGCACGCCTGACTCATATTCAGAATACGCCTCAGCCATGGACGCGATGGAAGCCGTACTGAGAAATTTCAAGCTGATACCCTGCCCAACAGGGGACAGCTGCACCAAGGCGAACTGCCCGTGGCAGCATCCACGGGACCAGATTCCTGCCTCGGCCAGAGACGATGGAGGTAGCCGGGACGAAGACGGGCCACGAAAACGTCGAAAGGTCTTCTCTGAGCCCGCGTCTACCCCAGTCCAGCTGTCCTCGACGAAACCAGAGCCGGCTTCATCAAAGCGGCCGGTTTCGCCGCCGCCCTTGAAGCGCAAGGCGCCCCAACATCCAAGTCAGCCAGCTCTCGTCTCAACACCAACCAAGCCATCACCAATCTCTACCGTGTCTTCCTCGACAGCAACCAAACCCGAACAGAATGTCACGCTTCCGCAAGTCACACGTCAGCCCACCACGCCGCAAAATGTCATGCCCAGGAAGCCTGAAACGCTAAATCCACGTCACCTGAAGACTGCAGCGCCCGCGGCCCATGACTTTCGATATAAAGCTCTCAAACTTCTCCATGACCAGTTCCAGCGACTCAACGAAGAACTGAAGAAGGACGCCAAGCAGGACGAGCAGAAGTTTGTTCTCTCAGCTCAGGAACTGATATGGCTAGCGCTGGACGAGGAGCAGAGAATGGCGACCGAAAAACCCTCCATCTATCAGAACGTTATCAAGCATCGCATTATGACATACAAACGCATGACGCCAGGCCAGTGGAAGGACGAGCGTGTCGCCGAGTTCAGGAAGAAGGCGGCCCAGGCGACTCCGGGGTCCAGGACACCGAAAAAGCCGGTTCTGGGGCCTCCCAAGGTCATCCAGACCGGTCTCACTCCCCAACAGGAAGTCAAGATGCTGGATTATCTCCGCACCCCGATCGAGAGCCTTTCTAAGTGGGGCTACGTTCCGGTTGCGCCGTCCGAAGAGGAGATTACCAAGGCGCGCGAAGGACAAGAGGCTTCGCTGGGATGGGAGGTATGCGACCGATGCACAACTCGCTTCCAAGTGTTCCCCGGCCGCCGCGAGGAGGATGGCGCTCTCACCTCGGGGGGCAAGTGTGTCCATCACCCCGGCCGGCTATACTACCCGGAGCGGGTCCTCGGCGACACGGACAAGCCGACGAGGCGGTACCGGTGCTGCCAGCAGGTGGTGGGCGAGTCGCCGGGCTGTGTGAGCGGCAGCACGCACGTCTTCAAGACAACCTCGCCGGCGCGCCTGGCTGCCGTCATCCCTTTCGCCGAGACGCCGCCGAACTCGCTGGTGCCCAAGGACCGTGCCGTCTGCTTCGACTGCGAGATGGGCTACACGGTGCGCGGCCTCGAACTGATTCGCCTGACGGCAACAAGCTGGCCTGACGGCAAGGAGCTGCTGGACGTGCTGGTAAAGCCGGTTGGCGAGATACTGGATCTCAACTCGCGATTCTCTGGCGTGTGGCCAGAGGACATCGTCAACGCCGAGCCGTGGTCGCCCGACAAACCCAATACGACGACGCAAGACGAGACTGAAACGCAGGAAGACGGCTACCGCGCAACAACAGCAGCAGCAGCAGCAGGCGATGAGACAGACGCAGCGCACGGGAGGAAGAAGAAAAAAAAGATGCAGATCGTCCCGTCCCCCGTCGTCGCCCGCGACTTGCTGTTCCAACTCATCGCGCCTGAGACGCCGCTCATCGGCCACGGGTTGGAAAACGACCTCAACGCGGTCCGCGTCATCCACCCGACACTGGTCGACACCATCCTGCTGTACCCGCACCGCAGGGGGCTGCCGATGCGGTACGGTCTGAAGATGCTCATGGAGACGCAGCTGAACAGGGCGATCCAGGTAGAGGAGGTGGACGGCAAAGCGACGGGGCATGATAGCGCCGAGGATGCGCGTGCGGCGGGGGAGCTGGTGAGGTTGAAGGTGATGGAGAAGTGGAGGGATATGAGGGCGCAGGGGTGGAGGGTGTTGGAGGAGGGTGAGTTTGTGCCGCCTGGTGGGACGGCGCAGACGCAGGCGCAGTCGTCTGGTGGTGGTGGGAAGGGCCCGAAGGGGGAAAGGAGGTTGAGTGAGGCTTTTCTTGAGGAGGAGGACGGTGAATTGCCTAGTACCTGAGTCCAAGCTGGATAGGAAGGCTATCTTGGATGGGGCCAGGGATCTTGGTTGGGCGCAGGTAGTAGCGGTTTGGGGATGGGGAAGTTAGTGTCATGAAGCATTTGGCTTAGCACCCTGCCTTGGATGGTGGTGAGGTGCTGTGCCCTGCCTTAGTCGGGTTCGGCGAGGTTGAGATTCGGGTTTTCTCCGGCATAGACTCACTCTATTGCTCCTGCATATAGGCATAACCGGAAGTGCGTTACCAGCGGACACTACAGTGGTGCGGTTGTTTTGTTGTATCCTGCATCATAAGGCTGCATGTTCTGTTGTCTCGGAAGAGTATCCTGGTCTTCCAGCTGAGTGTTAGGCCGGTGGGGGATGGTTAGCGCCTTGCAGACCACCGAATCCTGCTGCTATCAAGTGAGACACGGGTACCTTACCCGTCAAGCTTCAATTCCCCCGAGATTTTCGATGTACAATGAGCTTGGCTAACATACCTATCAGCTCCACCTATCCGTACTACTTGGTCTGGCGTGGTCCCCGTGGGTGACGTCAACAAAAAAGGGTCCGGTGACACAACCAAAGTGCAAGTCCTGTCGGAGACCAAGCAATCTTACCACGTTGTTTACGTGACGAAGTACAAATATCTGTTGGAGGGAGATAGAGAATAGTATCTCCGACTTGGAAATGATCGGGTTTATAAATCGTCGACAAACCCCTTATTGCTGATGATGGCTGCATTGCATGCACTACTTTCATCATGCAGTAGCCTTCCCGAGCAGTGATCTTCCCATATATCACTTACATCGCCGTTTTTCCATTCTACTCCAAGATGTCCACCAGGGCCAGGGCCGTCGACTCAGACAAGAGTGAGCACTTCTCCCCCCACTCTCGATAATGAGCGGCAGCTAAACAATCCAATCATTAGTCTGGGCCTGCCTCATAACAAACGCCTCGTACCTCCCAGGCCTCTTGACCCTCAACTTCTCCCTCCGCCGCGTCGGCTCAAAGTACCCGCTCGTGGCCCTCCACACAGGATTCCTCCCCGACGAGACCCTCGACGCCCTCCAACGGAGGGACATTCCCCTCCAACAAGTTCCCTTTCTCTTCCCAGGCTCATCGCCAGAACCAGAACCATCATCGCCACCACCGGACTTCGACGGCATCATCAGCAGCAGCAGCAGTAGCCAAACCAACGGAACCACCGCCACCCACCACGCCAAGCAAGCCAGCAGCAGCAGCAGCGGAAGTAATACGAGTAACACGACAAAAGGATGGTACGCAAACGACCCGCGCTTCCGCGACTGCTTCACCAAGCTATCCGTCTTGTCCCTGGAAGGCTCCTACGCCCGCGTCGTGCTGCTCGACGCCGACATGCTTGTCCTTCGCAACATGGACGAGCTATTTGACAGCAACACATTGGAACTGGACGAGAACAGAAAGAGGGTGTTTGCCGCCGTCCACGCGTGCACGTGTAATCCATTGAGGCTGAAACATTACCCGCGGGACTGGGTGAAGGAGAATTGTGCTTTTACGGCATTGGAGAAGGAAATGGAGAGGTGGAGGGGGGCGGAGAACAAAGTTGATAAAAAGCTGGAGCGGGAGGGGAAGGGCAAGCAGGGGCAGCAGCAGCAGAATGACAGCGGGCTGGAACTTCAAAGGGGAGACAATAGCAACGACACCTACACCTCGGACGACGACGACGATGATGATGATGCCGCCGCCGCCGCCGGCGACGACATACCTTCTCAAAACGATGTTCCGGGGATGGGTATGTTAAACAGTGGGTTACTCGTGCTGCGTCCCAACAAGGCCGTCTACAAGTCAATAGTGGACTATCTGCGCAGCGACAGGGCGACGGCCCCAAACCTCCCCTTTGCCGAACAGAGCTTGCTGGGCGAGCTGTTCCGCGGGCAGTGGGTTGCGCTGCCGTGGGTGTATAACGGGTTGAAGACGATGAGGTGGAAGGAGGTGCATGTCGGGTTGTGGTACGTTCTGTCTTCTTTTTTTCTCTCCTCCCCCTTTCTTCTTTTGTTCGGTTTTTGATGGCTGGAGGTTTGAGCTGCACCGACCTTGAGCATAACCATAAATAAAAAATAAACTAACACTGCCACCCCAACGTCTTAGGAGCGACCAAGAAGTCAAGAACATACACTTCATCCTGACGCCCAAGCCATGGGAACTAAACAAAAAAGAAGTCGATGCCCTCGAAGACGGCCCAGACCGGTGGTGGTGGGAGGTAGATGCGGAGAGGAGACGGTGGGAGGCGGAGAGGAGGATAGGACGGGAGCTGAACCGAATCAACTGTAGCTGACGGGCAAAGGAATATGTAATGATTTTTCGGTTTGAGCTGGCTGGTGCTGAAGGTACTCCCACAAATTTAGCTCAAGAACGGATCACAGTACCCCATTCCCCCAACAAGGTACTACAAATACTCACTCGACACCCCATCACATAGCCAAGCAGCGCCCAAGCGATCACAGTCAATCAGTCAGCCAGCCAAAATTGGATCGAAATATCAACTTTTATCTACGCAACACGCTATCTCTAGCTAGAGAATATTACGTAATCGCGTCTACGCGTACTCATGCTCTTCCCCATATGGTAATGAAGTTCCAGTCCCGTCTCGCTGGTTCCCCAGCCGAGTTGTTCAGCAGTTGCATCCTTCCCTTCACGCGACAGATAAGTTTCAAAGTCAAATATATCCCTAGATCTATTCCGCGTGTCGAATGAACATGAGAAGAGGTGCATCATGGGTCAATGATCGTAGCCGGTCAAGTTCAAAGGTGGTGAGCTTGGGTGCGGGCGAATGGAGCAGAATCGATAGGTACCAGTAGCAGGTGATGTGATATAGGGTGATAGGTAGGTAGAGCGGGTATGGAGTCCAAGAGTAGGTGGATGAAGTTTGGTAGGCGTGTTGGGTGGTCGGGTTGTATGGCGTCGACATGAAGCGTTCCCTTGCTCCGACGGCGGATATGAGGTGATCACTGACGCCTTTAGCTCCTCCTCTGCAAAGGCCGTCGAACATCCTACTCGGGAGCCAGCTCCCCACCCCGGTAGCCGTGAGATGCAGCAACCGGGTATATGGACCGGGCTTAGCTTAGATCACACTCCACCGCAATGCCAGGCTTCATGAGAATGTACCCTGACGATGCCACATCACCCCTTTGTACCGCCCTGGGCCAAGCCATGACATCCGCACAAAGCCGTTGCGGACTTGAATATGCTCATCAGATCCGCTGATAGAACAGCAGGTACGCGACCTTGTTCTCCTTCATGCTCTCCTTGTGCAGCTGTTTAGCCTTCAGGCCATTGGTGGAAGCAGCCGAAGAGGCGCCATTGACAACGCTGCTCCACCTCTTGCCGGCGGGCGCCTGCTTCCAGCCTTCCTCGTCTCCAGTGTCCTCATCGCTGATGCCAAGGAACCTATTGCCTGAAGCAGGTGCGCCGCTCGCGTCTTTCCGGCTCTCAATAATCTTGCCGGCATCCTCCTCGGCGCCACCCTCGGCCACATCCTCGTCCCGCACCCGCCTGATGACCGTGTCATCGATACGGATCCACTCGCGGCCGTCCTGGCGACGGACGTCGACAGTGTAGTGCCCGCCGCTGGCGTTCTTGCCGTGGTGGTAGACGACGGCAATCAGGCGGTACCGGGGAGCGCCCGAGTTCTCGGCAAGGATGCTGTTGCGCGTCTGGCGCGACAGCACTTCCCGCGGGAACTCGAACTCCAGCGGATAACCGACCTTCTTCCAAATCTTGACGGTTCCCCGGTAGCCTTCGGCGTCGAACTGGAAGCGCTTCAGGTGCAATATCAAGACCGGCGGCACCGACTCGATGAAGACCTGCTTGGTCGCCCGAACATCCTTGCCGTGCGGTGAGTTGAAATCGCCGTGGAGCACCTCAGGCCGCGTGAGACCCTTGAGAGCATCGATGATGTTGCGGATCTCGGGGGAGCCGATGTCGAGCTGTAGCGGCTGATACGGCTCCAGAGTGACCGAGTTCTTGTTGCCCGGGACACGCAGTTCCGAGCGGAGCTGTCCGCCAAAAATCTTGGTGATGGGCGACGAGGTGTGGGAGTGGCCAGAAGACCGGGTCACAGCGGACCGCTGGCGGGGGCCAACCTCCAGCCAGTCATCGGCGCCCCCCAATGCGTCGTTGGCCCTTGACGAGGTAGGCGACGGAACGGAAGAGCTCGGAGCGGTAGAAGCAGTTGAGGCTGGCGCGGCACGCATCACCTGAGCACACTCGTCATGCAGTCCCTCGAGGAGGAATCCAAGAAACTCCTGGGCATCTTGCTGATGGCCGCGCTATGGTTTTGTCAGTGGCGGCTCGTTTCGAATCGGCCCGGGGAACTTACCCTCATGCTCGCAAAACGCGGAAGCGTGCGAATGGCGTCGTAGACGAACTCTGGGGTAAAGGGCTCGCCATATTTCTCGTACTCCTCGCTCTTGAGGCGTTTCTGGAACTGATCGGCCGAAGCGACCGAGTCAATCGCCTTGAACTCGCGCATGAACATAACCCTACAGTCGTCAGCACAAGCTCGGGGTGCCACACGAAACTTCGAATACACCCACATGGCATCCACCAGAGGAGTCTCGCTCTTGAAGCTGTGGGCAGCCTTCTTGCTGACCTGATCCAAGAAGTCGTAGAAGGGAATGCAGAAGATGAGAACTTGTAACACCTGGCAAACAGTGAGAAGGCGGACTAGGACAAGGGTACGGGCGCCTAGCTTACAGAATTCATATAGCACATATTGCCAGTATTTACCAGCCCTCTGGGCTCCAGGAATGCCAGCCTGTCCGGGGCAGTTGGGCGGTAGGCTTGCAGGGCTTGGGCAAGCGAGCTGGCGTTGGCCTTCGCAAAGCTTCCAGCCCCGGGCAAAGCGTTCGCCCCGTCTGTTGCGGTTCCGTTGGTCTGAGCTTGAGCAGCGGCGGCTACAGAGCTCGAGCTTGCTGCAGCAGAGGAGCTAGGCTTAGCAAACAGACCGGTCCACAGCTTGGGCTTCGCCGGAGCAGGAGCCGGCTGAGCCGACTCGGCTGTCTTCACTTCAGTGGCACCATTCTCGCCTTGGGCGGCCGACTTGGCCGGCTCGGCTTGCTGCTCGCCAGGAGCGGCAGCAGCGGGCTTGGCTTCAGCAGAGCTCTTCTCAACACCAGCGGCGGGCTTGGTTTCCTTCGCGCTGGGCTTGGGCAGGGCAGGGATCACAGGGAGCGCTGGTACAGCAGGCGCCACTGGCTCCACAGCAGCCGGAGAACCCTGGGCGACAGTGGACGGTTTCGGAGGGTGAACTGAGCTTGGTGTGGTTGATGATGTCGATACAGTGTCTTCGGTGGACCGGCTCTGCGTCGAAGGGGCTTCAGACCGAGGGATATGGGATTCAGACTTGGGTTCCGGTCTCGGGGTAGCGTCAGCGATTTGTGGCTCGACCGCCACTTGCAGACTCTCCTCTTCGGCAGCCGTGGTTGCTCGTGGTGTCTCGGCAGCAGTCTCCGCGCCGCGTGCGCGTTGCTCAGGCAGTTCTAACCGCTCGGCGTCGGCACCGAGCGCTCTCCGTTTCCTCCTCAACCTTGAGGCGCGCTGCGGGAACGGAAGTTCAGGGACAGATAGCCAGGGAAGCTAAACGTTGGTCAGTCGTTAGTTTCCAGACAGAAAGTCGACAATGTATGACTCAGACCACGGCTTACAGGTGGTCTAAACGGTTGTCTCGAGGGCGAGGCGGAAGCCGTTGCAGATGGCTTGGCGGGCAATTCGGAGGACTGCTGTGTGACATTAACCTCTGATCGCACGTCTAATTGTGATCCTGGCCGGGACGCAAGCTGGGTATCAGGCACGGGCTCGAGCACGGGCTCGGGCACAGGCTCGGGTAGAGGCTCATGTTGTTGAGATAACTGTACCGGAACTGGTAGCGGCTGCTGGACAGCTTCATGTACCTGCTGTAAAGGAGGAGTCATGGGTAGCGGGACGACGTGAGAGTGCGTAGAGGACGGAGTGTGCGGGATAGGAAGGACAGGCGCGACAGGGGGCGGTGGGTGGTATGGCGACGAGACGATCGGGGAGTGTTGCGGGGGGCGGCCATAGGTCTGCTGCAGCGGAGCAAAGTGCGGCATGGCGGGAGGTGATCGGACATATCCGGCGTTAGGATACGGCATGTAGCCGGTCGGGCCGGGCACGCCGCCGTTCGGGTAGGGCGGAGGAACGTAGTAGTGGGCGGGCGCAGCGTAAGGGTTCGTCATGTAGTTGGCGGCGTACATTGGCTGACCGACATGTTGCTGTGGGTGATGGTGATGATTGTGATGGTAGGCATGGGCTGGCGAGTAGTGCTGCGGCCGGCCTCCACGGCGAGGAGGACCGCCGGCGGGCGGAGGGCCCATGTCAGCACCGCCCTGCACCTGCTGCCCAGCCGGCAGATGCCCGCGGATGTTCATCATGCCGGCCTGGGTTGGTGTTGAGGTTATTGCGGTAGCTGCTCACTCGATGTGAGGGCCACCGCGGGGAGAATGCGCGAATCGGGAGGCCAGCAGGTCGAGGTTGAAATCTGATGGGAGCAACTCGAAGGGGAGTTGAGAGGAGTGGCGCCGATGGCGGCGCAGATGGCGGCGCAGATGGATTCGGGCGGTTGTTCTTTTCGAGCGATGGGCGGGGATGGGCTTGAAGTTTGGTAGGTACTGCTGACCCGTCTTGTCCTAACTTTTGCCTTCTGCCGGAAAGCCGAGCTGCTGCTGATTCCTGCGAGTTGATTCCGACGTCGGCTGGAGTTGCAGTTACAGTTGCTGCCGCTGCTGTTGCCGATGCGACTGTTCTTTTTATGCGCGGCGCTGGAGCGCTTTCTATCAAGCCCGTAGCCCGTCACTGCCCGTGTTGGCTCACTCGGTATCGTTGAAGAGACGGCAGGATCGAATGTGCGAGCGCATTGGCGGCTCCGTTGTCGTTGAGCAGCGCGCAATGGCACGCCAAGAAAGGCGATGTTGATGGTGGGCTTTTTCGCTTTTTGGGGTTTCCACACGCTGAAACAAAATTTATGTCAGGCGCACCCGGGTTGGCGAAACGCTAGGCGGCAATAGCCTTGTCGGCGCTCGGGCCACAGCGCGGCGCTGCAGACACAAATGGCCCAAGCAAGATCTCTGGGTCGACTCTCGGTTGGACCGTTTCCGGGACACAAAGGATCAAAACACAACATCACAAACACCCAAGCCAACAGCCCAAGTTCGGGAGGAAAACAAGAGAACTGATAATTCGGATCAGTGTTGATATTAAATTATTTGAGGATATCGAACCACATGAACTTCCATTCATGCTTCACTCAACAGACATCAAGTGAAGCCAGGAAGAACTGAAAGAACATTGGCGGTTTCAACTGGTTGGGTACGCATTTCGGAGTCCGATACCGCACCAGCGAGTACCAGAACCGGTTTGTATCCCGACATGACTTTATTCATCCCTGAATAACCACCTACCTCCTTCCCGCATCGCCTCTCGCCATCTCTCTTCCACAACCCCTCTCTCTGCCTTCTCCGCCTCCTCCTTTCTCTGCTCAATCTCCTGCGTGCTGGGGAAATCGGGGTTCCAGAACCCGGGCGGCGACGGCCTCCTCGCGAACCGGTGCCGATGCCGTCCAAGCCGGTTCGCCAAGTCCTGGATCTTGGCCTTGAGCCACACCTCCTCTCTCTCCTGGCGCGTCATATCGTCCAGCCGGTATGCTTCGTTGCCCAAGTACTCCTGCATCATCTTGACGTCGGCAATCCGCGTGAGGACGCTCGGCCCGCTGGCGCTGAGCTCGGATTCAGCCATGGCCCGGAACTGTCTGCCGCAGCAGTTCGGGTCGGTGCAGCCGGCGAGCTCGGACCGCTCCTCCCGATTCCGGACAACCTCTTCAAAAGCGTACCGGTAGCCTTTATTGGCGTTTGGGTTGACCTTGAAATCTTCCGGCCTCAGCTCCGCTAATGGCCGGTCTCGTAGCCGGGTGGATCTCTGTGGATGGTCCTTCCCCTGGGCCTGCAATTGCGGTAGAGTGCCCAGACTGCCCTTGCGTAAGGGGCAAGGTTTGACAGGAGAGGCTTGATATTTCCTGGTTTCTTCGTGAGGCAGTACAATTCCAATGTTTTCTTTTTCAAGCCGAGGATCGTCGTTTTGACGACCAGGACGGGTTGGCGGGAGGTACACAGCGGTGCTTTTCAGTGAGCCTTGGTTCAAGAGCGAGCTCAACCGGCCGTGTGCCGGTGTCTGGGCTCCTGGCCGTTTCCCAGCTTGGTGCGGTGTTGGAGCGTAGAATGACTCGACCGTCTCTTCGGCAACATCCGCGATGCCGGAATTTAAACTCCAGGCCGCCTTGATAGGTGACCTGCGATCTCTGTGTGTCCTCGGCAGCTTATGCGTAGGGATATCAGGTGCAGCCCGGCGAGTATCCCGGCGATATGGCGAGTTGAGGGGACTCCTGTATGAGACTGCTCTGGGAAACCGTGGCTCCATGAGGAGAAGGGCCTCCTCCGGAGATGCCGGGTTTTCTTCGCGAAGGTGCTGATGTTCCGGGAAGCGGTGCCTCCTTGGTGTCGGCATCCGCCGCCCCTCCTCGTCGAGGTCAATGCTCTCGTGTGGCTGGAATACGGGAGCTTCGCCTGTGACAATAGGGTCTGAGCTAATGCTCAACTCACTCTTGATCCTGCGAGGTGGCGTTGGTGTCTCCACATGGTCCTCCGAATGCTTTCTCTTGCGTAGCGTTCTTTCCGACACGATGACTGGCCCGTCGGAGGAGGGTTCTTGCTTGATTTTAACCACGCCTTCTGCGACGATGTCCGGCGGAATTGGCGGCAGTTCAGCTGCTCCCTCACCCTCGTCTTCTGTTTCTTCAACGGCTGATCTTTCTGCACAGCTTTTCAGTGCCGTTGATGATGCCCGTGTCGATTCGGCACAGTTCAGCAACTTTTCGACAGCATCCACGCGTGACACAGAACGAGGTACTGGTTCTGGGTGCGGTAAAGCGTTGGATCTACGAGTCGACTGGTCCGAAGGACGGCTACCTGTGTCGGTGTGGGCGGATTGAGGTCTAGGGCTGCTAGGAGCATGGGGTCGGTCATCCGTCTTCTCGAAGCGCCGAAGTTTCCGCTCCAATTTCTCATTCTTCAGCTCCAGTTTCTCGAGCTTCACTTCCAGCGACTCGGCGTATTTCGTCCAGTCATCGCGGGCCTCACGATAATTCCTCGCCGAGCGATGCATTTCTTCGTACCGCTGCTTCAGAGCTTCGTGCCTGAGAGCGAGCTTGGCATACAGCTTCTCCCAGTTCTGCGGGTCCTCCGAGCTGCGTGGTGGAGGACTAGCACTCAAAGCGCCAATTTGAGCGTTGACGTCCCTTTCTGAAAGCGCAGGCCGTGCCGCCGCAAGCAGACACATGTCGGGGGCTGTCAAAAATGCAGGAGAAGCCTCAGACGACTCGGCATCTTTGGGGACCTGTTTCCGAAATTGGTCGAGTTCCAGCATAAGCGAATGGTTGTCCCTTTCCAGCTGATCTACTCTTGCCACGGACGCCTTCAACCGACTGATCTCTTCCAAGAGAGACGCGTGACGGTCAACATCACGCTGCTGAAGTTCTGCTCATATGTCAGCTGCGCCGTTCTCATTTTTCGCATTGTTTTCAGTTTATCTGTGTGTTGAGGGTTACCCACCGGCAGCGAGGTCCTCTCCCACCGAGTCACAGGCTGCCTCAAGAGCGGCTAAGAGCACATGTCGACCTTTGATGGACCAGTATTCCATTCTACATGCGAGACAGAAAAATATAAGGACAAGAAGTACGATTTGATTATGCGGCAGTCAGATTTTTCGGCGCCCATAATCAGCGCGTCGCGTTCTGGGAAGTTTGGGGCCACTCTGTTTCGCGGCTTAATGACACCAACGAGAAGGTGACGCCCTATCACGTGATGCAGGCTGGTGCCTAGCACTAGGTTCCATATTCGCCAGTTCCACCTCCCCGAAGTAGACAAGCATCCACGATCGACCAACAAAAGGGCAGTCGAACGGTGAACAGGCGTCTTACTGACTGATATACACCGCCAGACAGTGATTCGTTCTCGGAACGGAGGGTAGGTGATTGCGAACAGTGCTACGTAGTAATGGCACATCGAGCAGCCAAATGGCATGAAGCGGCAAACGGCATGTGTGTAGGACTTTATTTAGTCAAGGTCAGTCCATAGTTATCAGGCAGCTTATTCCCAAAACGTCCCGGCTACCCGACTCCGACAAAGAGACACAACATAGACTACCGGCAAGAGCCTATATATCTCGTCTCGCGAGGCAATGTCAGAAAGCTGGGTTTTGTTTACGGAGAAAGCAGCTTAAGCCACGCATCAGTCCACATTGGCTTCCTGCAGTAGGGAGACGGGCGAAAACTAAAAAGACAACACGGGATGTTCGAGAAAAGGGATCTTGGAAGCTCAGACAAACCACCTGATTAATGCAGGGGCAAGTTACCCGCAATGTCCGGTCAGCACGTCCAGTCTGCTGAGATGGGCTGATAACCATCTGTCTTGAATTGGCGGTTTATTCGAGGTCACTTCCATGAGGCCACCGGCGAGATGCGGTACCTAGAGAAGGGGTGCTTGCCGTCAGTTGTTAAAGGAGACAGATATAAGGTTGGATATGGGAGACAGAGTCCAGAAGCGGGATTAACCAACGAAAGCCCGAATCTAGAAGGATTGGCACGTTCCTCTCAACTCATGCCGCGGGAGCTGCATTCGACCGAGACTGCTTGCATCGGATTCGTGTTTCCAGCGGCTGGCCCCGGCCGACATCCCAAGATCGGCAAGCAATAAGGTACACTGTAACCACTCGGTACCACATCCTTGAGTTTCGAAGAGGCTGTCAAGAACTCAAGAGCAATTTTGAATCCTTGACTCCGTACGGGGTATCTTGAGACAGCCGCTATCAAGCCAACAACGGCGGCATGCGGAAGAACGCCGGAGCAGGCGCCCCACTCAAACTGCCACATCCAGAAAATTTCAACAACCAAAATCCATTTCTGCCAGCCGAACCCGCTCCTTGTCATCTGTTTTTCGCCTCGACTCCTTAGCTTACCTGCCTTATCGAGAACCTGGAACAGTACTTAGTTCTCGGTACCCCTCCCTCTCTGCTCATTGCCCTTCCCCCCCAACAAACAACGAACAAACTTCATCAATTTTCCGCCGGTTTGTGTTGCACAATCCCGCTAAGCTTCCGGTCAGTCAAGAAATACCCCACACCACCTCAAGGGTCCCCACCTTCTGGTTTTGGTTTTGTGCCCTCCTTTGCCAAAACTCTCCAATGCCAAAGCCACTGCTCAGATTCCCATCCAGGCAACTCAAAACTCTCGCCACTTACAACCCTACTGACCGGTCTTCTCGTTGCGCAGAACTTCAAAACCGCACCGATTTTCATCACCAACAACACGTTCAACATGGACTACCAATCTCAGGGTCGGGCCTGCTTCACCTGTGAGTTTGTCGTCGCAGTTTCTCCGCTCTGGCTTCTGTTTGCCCCGCGGCTCTGAGCGCACAAGCCGCCACCGCACAAACGCACTTTTCGCGACGGTCGCGCACCATGCATCGCACGTCCACACCGGCGACCTTGGTCAGGTAGCCAGTTGGGATTCCGACGAGACAGCATCGGCGCGCCAGAGCGCATCCATGTGGCACACGCAAGCACAAGCGCAGGAACATGGTCAATCCTTTGAGCTTTGCAACGTCTGGTGCAGCCGGCAGCAATAATCATGGCTTCTTTTATTGAGCCCCGCGCGACGGGCTTTCCCAGAAAGGACATCTGGAATCGGTCATTCCACTCCAGATCCCAGCAAATGGCCTGGACAAAGATGGGCCCGTCCAAACGTCGCTCTGCCTGCGCTCAGAGGCCGCTGCAACATACTTGAACATCGTCTATCCTGCTTGAGTTGGGGAGAGAGATCGTCTGACATGAGAGATTCTAGGCGGCCAAACTACTCACCAGGTATGCAACGGTCGGCGAGCGCGCGAGAGAGAGCGAAAGAGAAACGAATCGGCTGTGGGGTAGTATCGTGATGTTGTGCTGCAGCTACTAACACCGCGCTCCTAGGCTCGCGATTGCCCCAACAAGGGTGCTGCTAAGTGGTAAGTCACCTCTGTCCTGGGCCTATCGCATATGAATGGACCGCTGACAATTGATACAGCTACAACTGTGGTGGTAAGCTCTCGTGCTTGACACGCCGGCCTCATCGGGACGAGTCGTGCTGACGGAATTCACGTTTCTCAGGCGAGGGTCACATGAGTGAGTACAGTCCTGCCTTGGCGCCCTGAATATCTCGTTGACGCAAATGCAGGCCGTGATTGCCCCCAGGGCCCCAAGGACACCAAGTCCTGCTACCGCTGCGGTCAGGCGGGCCACATCTCCCGTGAGAAGCACGTTTTCCAGGAGGCATGGGCATTCCAACTAACTTCCCGCAGGCGAATGCCCGACCAGTGGTGGCGGTGGTGGCCAGTCCGGTGCTGAGTGCTACAAGGTAGGCCTCGGTCGTCCCAAGACAACGAGCAAATCTCCGGCACTAACCGTCGAGTACAGTGCGGTCAAGTTGGCCACATCGCCAGAAATTGCACCCAGGGCGGCGGCCCCTCGTATGGCGGCGGCTACAACTCCGGCTACGGCGGCGGTGGCTACGGCGGCCAGCAGAGGACCTGCTACTCGTGCGGCGGCGTCGGCCACATGTCTCGTAAGTTTGCAGTCACGTGCGCCATCTGGTACACCAGCTGACTTGTCACAGGCGACTGCGTCAACGGCAGCAAGTGCTACAACTGCGGCGAGTCCGGCCACTTGAGTGAGTCCACCAGTTGCGCCACTCTTCTGAAATCCCGTTAACACAGGAACAGGCCGCGAGTGCCCCAAGGAGTCCTCCGGCGGTGAAAAGATCTGCTACAAGTGCCAACAAGCTGGCCATGTGCAAGCTCAATGCCCGAACAACTAAGATGCGACTTGAGACGGCCGCGGTTACCTCCGACTATCCCGGTTCTTTCGCCGGTCGGTCAGCCTTTTGCGATTAGTTCTAGCTCATTACGATCGAGGTAGAAGAGGAGACGATGGTCCCCTTGGAGGTTGACGACACGCGGGTGCGCTATACACTGGCTTTCTGGTGGATCGGTCTGGCGCTCGCGCGCTGGGGTTCCACAAAACGGGTTGTTTTGCTGGTATCGGTGGCCTGGATACCCTCTCAGTTGGCAATGTCCTCGGCCGTTTTCTCGCATTTTCGGCTTGGAGCCATGGTATCTCAACTATCGCGATTTCTTTCCTTTTTCTCAGGCAAACCACAACAGCCTATGATTCGGACGGCATCACGACCACGGGATCATCGGGCAATGGAAAAGTTGAACCATCATGGCGTCGGGACGGCAAGGGCTACCTTCAAAACAGGTTTCCTTTTTCGTCTCTCATCGGGGTGGAGCGCTGCATTCGCTTGCTTGCACGGTCTGGCTTCTGGGTTTTCTTCTCATACGGATTTACGACTAGATCATGGGACTGGAAAATGGGCTTCATCTCAGGTCCCATAGAAATGACATCGGTCTAGGGTTTGCTGACGCTGAGATGCTTCGGACTTTTCTTATGATGTGCCTTGCTTATCCAAGCCTCTTGGGTGCAAACCTGATGATGCGATGCCCCAAACGATACCTACTTTGCCAGCTGAATAACCATGGGTTAAGTATTATGTACATACGAGCAACGTGATAAGGCAAAAGGTCCTCTATAACACTGTCTTGCGATGATGCTTAGCATTCTGGTGTCGCTAATAGTGAGGATAGCAGCTACAGCACGGGCACAACAACATGGGCGGGACTGGTGATTCCAGCTTGGCGGAGTTTAGGGAGTGCGCCAGATTGCCATTCACAGGGTTCAGAGGGAGGCTTTACGCTTTGGAATCACAGATAGCGATTGCTTCATTCTGGCCAGGTCGGTTACTGCCAGACGTCCCATGGGTTGGATGGTTACCGCTGGGGGTCTCATTCGAACTGCAAAGTAACTCCTTCAGCACATGTTAGCCATCGTTTTGGTTGAGCCCGAGGTCACGCCCAAATGCCATTACACACATCTCTTCCTCAGTTATTTGCGATACTTGGCTCTGGTGAGGTGTCATGGCTACATTAGACAGCCGAGACAGCCAAACTCAGATACCCACCTATGTTGGAGATGTCCGCCACGACCGAATATCACAACCTCCACCAAAACTGCCAAGCCAAGCTTGCTTACAGCAACCCCGACACTCCGCCGGCTTCGCAGCTGGCCGTGGCGATATGTTGTCCTCTGCATCGGACATGCCGCAATCATTGGGATAAACACGACAGAATCACCGGGACAAGCACCACGCATCTGGTCCACGGACTTACCACCCCGTCAGCCGTTCCAGTTGGCCACCCTCATCACCATTGCGATTCAACCTCATCAACACCCCATTCGTCTCTTCACCAGTCACACCACAGATGCGAGCGGTTGACATACCAGTTCTTTATACAACCCACTTCACGCTTTCCACTCGCTCACTACAACTCATCTGACCTTCTCATCTGACCTTGAAGCCCATCATATTTCTTCCTCCAGAGTTTACTTCTCCTTCAGAACTTCCTCCAGAATACTTCCTCCTCCAGACTTCCTCCTTCACAATATCGACTACTTTACCACTCAACACCGTGAGCATCCTTCCTTTCCTTCATGGAAACCTTCCACCAGCCCTTTCGTATCCCTATACCTGACTTCCTCTCTCCTGCTGCCTTCTGAGCGCGCGGCTCATTCCAAGTTAACAGCAACCCTCTCTCGGTTCCGCAACACCCCCAACTGCAACAACTTACGCCGCTTGAAGAATACGCTTTCGCCTCTCGCTTCTCTGTCCTTTCCATGCCTCAGCCACTCTGAAGGAGAAAAAGAAACGATGATTACAAGGGAAAAGAGAAAGAAGACAAGGTAAATACCAGACAGTTGTCTTGTTTTCTTTCGAAGTTATGCGCTAACAACTTACCAAACCAGGACGGGGTTGTAATCCATGGTCAAGCACAGCGAACAAAAGCAACTCCACGCCTCGCAGATTGACGGCTATAGCCGCGCATTCAGGTCGGCGCTAAAAACAGGAGGCGGCTAAGATGCAGAAGTGAGAGCCGGTCTGGGTTTACTGGCGCTGATATGACTCGGTCCCCTCTTGTGATGTGCATTGTTTATATTCAAGTCTCTTGAGTGCAAACCTGCATGATGCGACGCCCCAAACCATAGGATGCTGACCGAACAACCGTGGGTGTAAGTATTATGTACATACGAGCATCGTGAAAAAGGGCAAAAACTCCTCTACAACACCGCCTTGGGCATAAACTTCATAGCCTGTCTCACGCCCAAATCACCCAGCACCTCCTCGGCACCGCCCAGGATGGCGTCGAACTTGTATGTCCGGTTGAAGTTTTCAATGACCCTGCCCATGCCCGTTTGGGTCAGGCCGCGGCCGCCCCAGATCTGCACCGCCTCGTCGGCGATCTCGTGCGCCGCGCGCGTCGCGCTCATCTTGAGCAGCGCGATGGGCCCGCCCAGGTGCTTGGCCTGCTCCGAGTAGGCCATGTTGCACATCTGGTACGTAACCGTCTCGAGCCACGACTGGTGCGACTCGCAGAGGGCGATCATCTTGGCCAGCTTCTGGCGGATTACGGGCTGGTCGATCAGGCGCTTGCCGAAGACGAGGCGCTGGTGCGCCCACTTGAGAGATTCTTCCACCACGAGCCGCATGTACCGGATGGTGGCGCACGCCATGGTCCAACGCTCATGATTAAAATTAGAGAGGATCACGTAGATGCCTTTGTTCTCCTCACCCAGGAGATGGGAGGCGGGGACTTTGACGTTGTCAAAGGTGATGTAGGTCGTGCCGGCTGCTGGGGAGTAGGAGGTCTTGATGGGCTTGGTCTCGACGCCCTCGCCGCGCTCGATGAGGAGGACGGATAAGCCCTTGCCCGTGTTGACGCCGACGACAAAGTAGTCGGAGAAGACGCCGTTGGTGATCCATTTCTTGGTGCCGTTGACGATGTAATGCTTGCCGTCCGGGGTCTTGGTGGCCGTCGTGCGGAGCCCGGCCACGTCGGAGCCGGCAAAGGCCTCGGTGATGGCAAGGCAGATCTTCTTTTTCCCGGAGAAGACCTCCTCGATGACTTTCTTTTGGAGCTCCGGGTTATGGTTGCAGAAATTGAGGACACAGGTGAGCCCGATGACCATGCCGGCCATGTTGCCGTCCTGGAAGCCGCGGCAGGCGACCCGGACTGCCTCCTGTGAGCAGATCATGTCGTGGAAGTAGTCGAATTCCTTTCCGTCGACGGCGCCGTTGAGGAGGTTGACGCCGTGCAGGTGCTTGCCCGGCCCCATGCGCATGTGCAATACGCCGGCCTTGGACATGCGGTCGATCAACTCCTGGCTGACAAGCTCGCCCGTGCGCTCCTTCTCGAGGGCCTCTGGGGCAATGTACAGGTCGGTGAACTCGCGCATGGCGCGCTGCAGTCGGCGGTGGCTATCATTGAAGTAGGGCGACTTGAACTGCGGCGTGAGCCAGAGCGGCTCCGCGTACGGAACGGGGGAGAGGTCGCCCAGTTTCGGGGTGATGATCGACTGCTTCTCGCCTTCGATGGTGCCGATTGCCAGGTCTGAGTACTTCTGCAGCACCTCGTGCCTATGCAGGTTGTAGAAGGCGACCGTGGCGTCGGTGCCGGCAACCTGGCGCAAGACAGCCTCGCCGCCCGGATGGGCATCTAGGAAGTCGGACACATCGTAGACAACAGTATCAATGATGAACCAGGTGCTGTCCTCGGTGTTGTGCTTGGCGACATCGGCGCGGGTGAATGTTTTGGATGGGACTTCGAGAGGCATGGCTGTGGCTGCGACTGTTGGTGTCGCTGAATCAAAGAAATGGTTTGGAGGGTATCACGAATAACAGACAAAATCAGCCAAAAAAAAAGGAAGTGTCACAGGGAACGGAGGCAAGGTCTGGCGGCAACCGTCATTTTATTCTGGCATCGACACACCTGCTCCCGGCTCGTCGGCCGGACATTGGTGGTTTGCCTCGGCTCTCAGCCGTTTCGAGAATCTGGGGATTAGAATGTGGGGTAGCGCCAAGAAAATGATCCAGTATCCATGATTGGACATAGCCCCTGTCTTTCACCCCACCTGTCTCAGCTCGTCTTTGAACTGTGCGCATGTGATCTGCGGGGACGCGGTCTTCCGAATTCCTTCATGACTCGAAGCCTTGGGCCAGGTTTATCAAGATCGCAGTCCTGGGCTTTCATGTCCTCTTCACTTCTTTCTCATTGTGTGTATATTGTGGAGGAGTCGTTCCTGATTCAGTTCAGAAACACTGAGGAGCGTGAGAAGTGACGATGTTCGCTCCAGCCACTGCATCGTCACCATTTCGCTCCTGGTTCCTTGCCCATCCATGATGCCGCATCGTGTCGCTCTGGAGATGGGAGCTGTGATCCGGGGAACTTCCCTATCCTGCCAGGCAACCCCCCTCATCTCAAGCTCTTACGGAGTACCGTTTTAACTTCTTGCTTGGATGGCGAGCATACCTGTAGCTCGCTGCTTACTCCTGATTTCCACGCGCGGATGCGGCACAAACTGGAAGTGCTGTGTACGGCGTTTAATAGTCCTTCCGCTAATATCACTGACTTGGCACCGTTCTTATGTTACAGTTAGAAGTTTAAGACATATACGGGACAACAATGGTGTGAGAAGTTGGGGATACCAAGGCAGAGACCTCATCCTCCATACAGGAGAGATAGGGCCTTAGGACTGGAATGGTTGGGTTGGACAGGCCAAGACTCGATTTGTATGGGGAATTTGGAGGTTTGAAAGGGTCAAGCCCTCAAATTTGAACTTCCCATACAATTCGTAAGAGGTCAGTCACCAGCTTACAGCATAGATAAAGATAGCCAGCTGGTTACACGACATCAGCAGCTTCATGATTTTTGTCCCGCTCTGATCATCGGAGTACCTTTCAGACTTCCAGTAGTTTAATTGCAAAAGCCGGACTATTACAGCAAGTTGGTTTCAAACCTCGGTTCACCTGAAGCATGTCTCGTTTATGCCTTCGACAAACAGGTCGGTCGTTAGACCTGGGATCTTCCACATGGGAGATAGGCCGACAGCTTATTGGCGGGGGCCATTTGTAGGTGCTGCCCTTTGCTTGCAAGTGGTTTGCACTTGGGGCCCTTGTATTGGGATTGAGCTATAATACTTGACGGATCAAGTGTATCGAAGTCTATATCCTCGACGTCGAGTCCTTATAGGGTCATTTGTTCCCCAGCGGGCATGTTGGTCAACTGCAAACAACCTTGAAGATACAGTGTCTGTTGTCTGTTTTGTAGCTTGAATGCAAAGGGTGATACTGGTAAGTGCAAATCCACTGCCTGTCTTGGCCGCTTGACCTCCACGCAATGCCATGCCAGCAATTGCTTCAAGTTGACTGTGAAACTCAGCGTCAACTGTGAACCCTCGAGCCAGAATTCAAAACCGTAAAGAAACGAAATCCGCCGACCGCTCCCCCAGCCCCCAAATCCTCTGGCTTCTGGGCCATGTAAATTTCGATGTCTCCTTCACACAAGACGAGTTCGCGCTTGGGCGGGAATTCCGAAACTCCGTGAATCAATGGGAGATACTCCTCCACATCAACCGTGCGCACGATGGTGTGCTCGTGCCTTTCACCCTCGGCTGGAACCTTGCCAAATGTCAGAACGAACCTGAGGTTGTCCCTGCACAACTGCTAAGCATGTCTCTGGCATCATCCGGAACGGCATTGAAGAAAGTTTCCTTGCCACTGAGCGTTGTTCTCGCCCGACGTGTGGTCCGGCGCGGAATTCGAAGTACTTCGCAATGAGCAGTGCTTTGGGTTTTGGTCCACGGGATTGTTTTTGATGTACTCCTCGTCCTTGCCGTCGTAGTCGGTCCTGTCAATGATCCGCTCGACAGGATCAACCATTCTCCTTGCATTAGAAGGACGGTGTTCTACCTCCGAGTTCCATGTGTCCTAGTAAAGGTAGATGTCGGACATGGTATCGTTCTCCTGAAACCCCGGGTCGACAAAAGTGTTTGGGGTCCAGTGCTGATCCTCGGAATTGTCATTCTTGGCCAAATACCATGATGGTAGTACCCTGAGCGGGTAGTGCTTCCAAGATGGGGGAGGCTGGCTCGCGGTTGTCGTAGTCTCCGTGGACATCGTCGCTGTCGTCCCAGTCACTGCTATCGGATGACGGATTGGATATCATGCAGCTTCAGCCACTGGCGTTGTTACCGTTGCGCTCTCGGGCTCCTTGCCCCCTCATCTCAATCTCCGGCCGGCGAGCGTCCAATCCACTCTAGTTTGTTCGTTAGCATGGCACATGGGGGCCACTACCTTGGACACTGAATGTGAAAATGTAATGCAATGAAAGAGAATAGGGAAGGGAGGCAAAAGAGAATATAGAAAATCAAGATAAAAAGTAGGAGAAGAGGAAGATAAAGACAAAAAGAAGAAGTGAAGAGGAGAAGGGATGAAGAAGAAGGAAGAGAAAGAGGAAGAGGAAGAAAAAGGAAGAGGAAAAGGAAAAGAAAAAATATAAGAAGGTCAAAATGAAAGAAGATGAAGTGTACGGAGTAGGTGCCGGAATTCCATGCTAACAACCCAACCAACGATGATAACCACCTGCTGATTGAGGACTGCCGCCAGCTTCTCCGGCTTCCACAACTTCCACATGTCCACATGGTGGACATGGCTCTTTGTCAGGTCGGAAAGAAACCATTCTGCTATGGCCTTGTTACAGAGCGCTTTGTAGAGCCAGGTCCACCTGGCCGCCCGCTTCTCGAAGTCGGGCATGTCGAGGGCCTTCAGGGGGACGGCAACCAGTGGGGATGGAGAGAATGGGATGGTTCCCTTTAAGCCAGTAGAGGAATGACATGATGATGTATACATTCCCGGGTGCATGGTACACTGAAACGCAATCTTGTGGCCTATGGCTTCAGAGGGCAGACGGCCTCGAGAGTCGAGAGACAGAGACTTCGGCCATATATGAGGATGAACTCTAGGCCAGTGTGACCGCAAAGTCAAGGAAGGAGGATATCAAAGAAAAACATAAAGAAAGAGAGGACAAGTAAGAGAAGAGAGAAGAGAAGGGATAAAAATGACAAAGATGAAGATAAAGAGGAAGAAGGAAGGAATATAATGGCAAAAGAAAAAGAAGATGAAGAAGTCAAACACCTTAAAAGTTCTGCGCTCACAAACAAACCAGGATAGAATCGTACTGCAGTGGTCTCGGGCGTCAGGGCCATGAGTCTTCCTCTCGGCGGTAGTAGCGTTTGAGCGAGCCATGGTGTCGAGGCCGTCTCAGAGGTAGGAGGCAATGGTGGAATAGCGGATCGTGGGACTCAAGCCCTAGCGGCTCACGTGGTAGAACATCGTGTTCAGAATTCAAGGGAAGGGAGCGTCCCATGGTGAGGACTCGGCAAGAGGGGCGGGTATGCCCAAACCGACACGACTAGTGAAGATGTGTAAGAGGTATCTCTGGCTTCATCGTCACCTTGATTTCTCGCCGCCTTGTTTACCGCGTATCCGTCTTCTCAGTTCGCAGGCTCAAGGCGTAGCGGCGACACTCTCGCCTTGCAATTTGGTCGGCGTCCCTGGGAACAGTGCACGCCCAGTCCATTAAACGACTTGGGATCCAACCATGGTTGGTGCTATTCCGGTTTGCGGTAGCGTGCAAGGGCCGGGAGGTTTGCTGTTGAGGGAGGCTGGGGGAGGTTAAATAAGTTCGCCGAGCTGGGCGTGATTCTGGAATCTTGAGCTCGATCGGACTCATTTAGGGCAATCGGATGTCCACTAAGCACGCCCGTCATTTACGAAGATGCCCGCATTGCGAAACCTATGGTCATATGCCCGTGATGCTCCGTCTGTCAGGACTCGTGCCAAAGCTGTAGCTTCCTGCTGATATTTTTGGAGGCTGTCGCGGCCGGCGCCAAGGTTGGCGATGTCGGGGTTGGGGTTATCGCGGGGCTGATCGAGCATCGTCTCTGGACCTCTAATTCCTGGCTCCTGTTCTTCCAGATTGTGCCGCATCCGCACGTGGAAATCAGGAGTGTGTTCCATGAATTTGCGCTGTGCTTGTCGCAGCCGATACCGGTTCGCCTCGACTTTATCTACGGCGGACGCTGAACCCCTCACTTTCATGCTCCGTCTGCCCCACCTCAATGAGGCCGGAAACCTCGGCGGGGGTTGCACTTGTCAATCGCATAATGGTGGGCCGTGCCTCGTTGACATTGAATCGCTCGACCTCCTTTCTCACATCTTTAAAACTCGATGACATTACATTCCATGGTTCAGGCTGATGGCTCCGCCGAGCCGCGGTGTCTAAGGTCTAGACTGGGCCCAGTGAGCCTGGCCGGAACCCATTAATCCCTGGTCAGTCGAGCACCACCTTACGCATTATGCACAGTATCCAGTTCCTTTTGTATCTGTGGAGGCGACCTAGACCTTCAGTTTGGTGAGTGCTGCGTTTCATATCGTCTCGACATTCCAGTCCCGGCACAAGACCCAAACCGGAGCGCCGACGGTCAGATGGCACCTGGCATGCTCACCTGGACGCTTGTCATTGGCCAGTCGCACAAGAGATAGAGACACGCGGTGATACCAAGCGGTCTTTCTCGCAGACGGCGAGTTGTTCCGTCCTTCAAGACAGTTCCCACAACCAGGCCGTTGCTTCTCGGCGCTCGCAAGGCGGTTGGTTTGTACCTCATCCTGAGCCAAGGTCACCACCATGGCTGTCCCGTGTTGTGGAGATAGCCGCCACAGAGGCTGATAGCGTTCATGCCGCTCGCTTGGTCATGTTCATATAGTCGGACCGGTCTACGCCTTGCCAGCTTGTGAGAGAGCATGGCCCCGCAGATGACGACCACGGTCGTATATAGAGCCCTTCTCCATCATGACATGTCGCTTGTGAGCCGTTGGCCCACGATTCCATCCTGTTTACAGCCGTGTTCTCTTGGTTGTCGCCATTCCGCCCCCTAATTTCGTCTCCACTGGCTTCTCCTTCGCATCTCTTTCACACAACCCACACACCCTGCTGAGCCTTGAAAGCCAAGAAAGGCTTGTCCACCTTCAGCATGGATGCTTATTCAAGGTCCGTCAGTAGCGGCGCATGCAAGAAAACGTCCAAGATATATCAAGACCTCAAGCTTGCCCGACTTCACAGCGCATCGGCGCGAACTCTCAGCATCATGGATACAGTCCTGAAGGTATTGGCACCCAGCGTCAAAGCAGCCCTTAAGCCACTCGATGCGCTCTATGTAACACTAAAGCGGACATGTGGAATGCTTGGGCATTAGGATCAGAAAGAATTCCGTGAAGGACTGCTCACACTGTCGCCCATGTAGTTCGAAAGTCTCCCCCCAAGCAGACGACCGCGGATCGGAATTGTCGGCGGGGGCTTTGCCGGGCTCAGATGCGCCGACGTGCTTCTACGAAATGGCTTCAAGGTCACTATTCTGGAAGCAAGAAATCGCCTGGGCGGCAGGATATTCCAGCAGAGGCTTCCGAACGGCCACCTGGTAGACGTCGGTGCAAATTGGATCCACGGCACGAACGACAACCCCATCATGGATTTGGTCCAGGAGACCAGAACTGCCGTCGGCGTCTGGGATTCCATGTCGTGTGCCTTTGACGAAGATGGACGACTCCTTCCACTGGAGGAGGGCGAGAAGTATTCCACCTTAATGTGGAAGATCATTGAGGATGCGTTTGAGCACTCGAATAAACACGGATCTGAGATCGACCCGGACAGGTCGCTTCTGGATTTCTTTCGGGAGCAAGTCGTTATGAGGATACCGGATACCGAACCAGACTATGAGCGGCAAAGAAACCTAGTTCTTCAGGTGGCTGAGCTCTGGGGAAGCTTTGTGGGCAGCCCTCTCAGCAGGCAAAGTCTCAAGTTCTTCTGGCTGGAGGAATGTATCGAGGGTGGTAAGTCTTTCACGTTCTCCTGGTAGTTTTTGTCATTTGGCTGACTCTTTCACATCCTTAGAAAACCTCTTTTGCGCGGGTACATACCACAAAGTCCTGGAAAAGGTCGCCCAGCCGGCACTTGAAGGCGCAGAGATCCGCTACCAGACCCGCGTCACCGAAGTCCACGGCAAGTCTACGGGACCAAACGACGTGGTCAGAGTCATGACAGCGGACGGTCAGTGCCTAGAATTCGAGGAGGTAGTCGTCACCTGTCCACTTGGCTGGTTGAAACAGAACCTGCAAGCCTTCTCTCCTCCACTGCCGGACCGGCTATGCAAGGCCATCCGAAACATCAGTTACGGAAACCTAGAGAAGGTCCGCCTTACTCGATCCCGCTGTCCTCTCCTTGGCTAACCTTCACAGGTCTACATCTCGTTTCCCACTTCCTTCTGGCTCACCACGTCCCTGGATGAGGGCCGCACCGTGCAAGGGTTCTGCCAATGGCTCGCGCCCAAGTACGCACCCGATACGAACCCGAACCGCTGGCTCAACGAGACGGTCGAGCTGGGCTCCCTCGGCGCCGCCGCCCACCCAACCCTGCTCTTCTACACCTACGGCGAGCAGTCCCACTACCTCACGTCCCAGCTCCGCTCCCTCCCCTCCCAAAAGGACAAAGACGCCTTCCTATTCGAATACTTCCGGCCCTACTACTCCCGCCTCCCGTCCTACGACGCGTCCGACATCAACTGCCAGCCCACGGCCTGCTTCGCGACCGACTGGTCGGGCGACGAGCTGGCGGGCAACGGGAGCTACTGCAACTTCCAGGCCGGGCTGCTCGAGGGTGACAAGGACATCGTCGCCATGCGGCACGGCGTGCCGGCGGAGGGGATCTGGCTGGCGGGGGAGCACACGGCGCCGTTTGTCGCGCTCGGGACGGTGACGGGAGCGTACTGGAGTGGGGAGCATGTTGCGAAGAGGATCGTGACAGGGGTGTTGGGGAGGGAGGGATAAGGGGGTTGAGGGGGAGCATTCCGTAGTGGTACTCATTGCTCTCCTGGAATCCCAGGAAGCTCCTGAGTATCATCCACCTTACCTACTCCGTACATTACCAGCATTTATTTCGTGAAACCGTCTTGTATGGTATTTACATTCTATTACATTAGAAAGCTTTCGGGATGCATGCAAAGAGTCCGACTTAACCAGCTCGTGATATTGCCTCCATTTGCGCGGAGCGTTTTCTCGGTCATCTGATCTTCAAGAGCACGGCATTGCCGCTTCTGGCAAAGGATGGCGAACCAATAAGCCCACACCAGTTCTCGGCTTAGAGCATGATGGCAAGGCAGCAACCACAGGCGGATAATCGGATGTTTAAAATGGGAAGCCTGGTAACTTCTGGCCACCTCGATGATATAGCTCAAAAGGTTGAAGCCGTTTCAGCTTATATTTTGCTGTTTGGTTTGGTTTCCAATGTGAGTTGACTTCACGTCTACCTCTGACAGGGCAGGATACCGCCGGATCATGGCGGTTTGAGCTCGGCAAAGCGAGGGCCCGGACGCTCAACTAAGATGCTCAGTTTCAAAGTGGGGCAATGAATACAAGCCAGCCCTGGTTGGTTCGTTAAACTTGGACATGGCGGGTCACTGGACATTGAATGTGAAACTGTAAAGGAAATCAAAGAACGTAAGAAAAGGAAGGAAGAGAGAAAAATATAATGAAATATAAAGACAAAATGTAAGAGAAGACGAAAGCGAAAGACAAAGGGAAAGAAACGGAGGAATGGAAAGACAAGAGAAAGAAGGGACATAAGAAAGTCAAGTTGAAAGAAGATGAGGTGTAATATTGTACCTAAGTTCCGCGCTAACAAACCAGTGTTGAATTGTAAGGCACCCTACCCGCTGCCACTTCTCCACGCCTCCCGCTACCGATAAGACCGATCAACTGCCAGTTGCCCAAAGACGATCCCGGACCACAACTACATTCATCAACAAGGTGCCGTCACGGGTTGTCCTGGCACAACCATGACCACGCACGCTGCTCTGCAACCACAAAACACAGTTCGCTCGGTCTCTGGTTGACGCTCTCCTTTCACCACCATTCGTCACTCCATCCATCCTACCCAGCTCCCCTGTGTTCTGGCAACACAAAGCTTCAGATCTTCATCTTTCTGTTGCCATTACGGTACCCTGAGGGGAGCACTAGGCCGAGCCATCAAAGACCCCTCTCGAGCCGATAGCATTACCCTCTGCGAGATAATGCCCACCTCACCATGATCCTTCTTGCTACATCTCTCGGTCTCCCGTGCTTCGTTCTGGCTGTCGATTAATGCAACACGCCACATCCACCTCTTCCATCTCGAGCGCTGGCCTTACCCCGCCAACCTACACGTTACAGTTCCCATTTGGCGGCTGCAAGGTAGCGGCAATAAGGGGACGATTTGACCACGCAATAGCCAATGATGGCGTCGTTCTTCCAGTCCTTTCGCCGCTCGTCGATGGCGAAACAGCTGCTCCGCTTTGCCCTCTCTCGCCTGGACATTCTGGACGAACAGACCCTCGATTTGGAGAACTTGGACTTTGCCCTGGGTCGGAATACGGTGCTGGAATTTCGAGATGTTGGGATCGTGCTTCAGGTGAGGATTATGCAGCCTCCCGAACTCCATGCTCCTGCCTCGCAGAAGTATTGCAGGAATGTGCACAGGCTGATGAGGGTTTGCGAAGAAACTCGAGAGGCTCCTGGGCATGCCACCTGATTTCTCGCTTCAGAAGGCCAGAGTCCTCGTCCTACGAGTCACAGTTCCCATGGACTTCTACACCAGTCCGATCACGGCCGAAGTGGATGGCGTTGACATCCGCCTGAAAGTGGAATCCAAGCAAGAGAAGGACCAAAAGGACGCCAGGAAGCGTGGGAAGAAGCCGGCTGTCGGCGATGTCGTGCCCACAGCCGCGGATCTCGCCCAGTCCTTTTTGGAGACGCAGCCGGTGGCAGAGAAGAGGGAACTTGAACAGGCTCTCGCCGCTGAGACCCAGGATCTCGGTGCCTCCATGGCTGTTTCCGAGTCTGAGAGCGACGACGATTCGACAGTTGGCACCGGCCAGGGCCTGTCCTTACCCGTCTTTTTGACCGATTTCCTGCAGGGCGTCGTGGATAGGATCCAGATTCGTGTGCGAGGCGTCGCGTTTCAGGTCGACGTCGAGGTACCGGTAGACCATGGCTCTCCAACTCTGGAGCTGGTCACGTTCCAGCTCTCGCTGGACAACATCAACGTAGAAGGCGTGACCTCTGCTGGGATATCACCAGGTGAAACTCCTGTCATCATACCCAAGGACGGCAAACGTCATATCTTGTTGGAAAATATCCGGGCCTCCTTGATTTCCGAAGCCAATGTTTTCTCCTCGCTAGTCCCGTCCCCCTCGATGCCCTCGTCTGTAGCATCACGTTCACCCGTGGTGACAGAGACACCCACCTTTGCTCCGCTTGGGCTGGCTCGGAGTATGAGCTCGGAGGTGATGGCCCAGTCGGACGACCTTTCACAGAGCCGTTACCTGCTGCAGGATAGCGAGGCTGCTCTCAACATTCCGTACGATTTTGGAGAGAGCAACGACGCCAGCGATGCCGCGCTCAACATTCCCTACCAGTTTGGCGAAAGCAGGGAGGCAGACTTGGCTGGGGACCCAAACTCCCCCTTATCCACTCCGCGAGCATCCATCTGCCGAGACTCACCTCCACCGGCCATCTTCGATCATGCACATTCGACGGTCGTGGAGCCATCACCCCAAGCTTGGTTAGGGGTTGAGCGAGAGGCGCAGTCAGAGCCGTCCATCCGTCCGCCTGAGGGATTCTCTTCGTCCAGTGGACTTTCTCCCGCAGTATCCATTCACTCCGAGTCTACACACAGCAGCTCGGGCGGTTCAGGGCCGGAGGATCTGGCTCAGTCACATATCTACAGCCGTGAGGAAGCCGAAAGCATGTACATGAGCGCCTTCTCGCAAGCTGAGTCTCAACGGCTGCGCTCTGGCATGCCAGGATCGTGGGATGAAAATGAAGACACTGACAAGCATCGAGTCGTGGGAGCGCCGCCCATAACACCTGGAGCAGGTCCAGACAAAAAGGAACGGACAGCAAATGATTTCTCTAAAAGCCCTCTTCAGCAACACGAAGCGGACGAACCTACGACAGCGGATGCACCTATCGCTCTGGATACTCGGACGGACGCCGCCGCTACGCATGAACAGGAACCTGACGTCCAGGAGACCGAAATTCACCAGGACGATGCTCCAACACCTCGCGGGCCCACTCGCTTGGTGAAGGAGATCCTATCACTGAGCTCGATTTCCGTATACCTCCCGTCAAACCACAAACATATCCAGGTTACTACTGTCCCAGACCTCAGCACATCAATGTCCCCAAATATTCCAGGCGCATTCTCGGTTCATTCCTCAGCGGGTGCAAGCCCCAAGCTGGAGCCTGTCACTGAACCAGCGACTGACAAGGCGCCTATCGACCAATCCATTGAGATTATCCTGAAGCCCTTGGATATTCGGTTTGACGCTTCGGTTGGGTTTCTTCTCACATTGGTTGTCTCGCGGCTTCTTGAGGCAGCTCAAGGTACCCCGAGCGAACCTGTTGGACCAACAACGTCAAAGCCAGCCTCCAAGACCCCAGACGTCCAGGTTACGCTCGAACAGCTCTCAGTACTTTTCCTGGAGAAGCTTGCGGGCATTGCCGACGTCCCTCAGAGGATATTCGAGAGACAGACAACGGACTTCAGCTCTGACGTCCTGCTCCAAGCGCAGCTCGTGGACCTCAGGGGCTCATTGTCCACAGAGGGCTCGCAAAAAGAGGCGAACTTCAGCGTTGAGAAACTAAGATTTGGATACGCAAACGACGAGATTCTCTCGTTTGATCGCTCAATCCTGATGTTCGAGTCGGTGGCAAACACATTCCCTTCCGCCGGGCACGATATCTCGGTGAAGGCAACCATGGGCCCTGAAGCCTCGCGGATAGAGATCAACACGCTACCTCTCTATGTAAAGTTTGATCTTCAAAGGCTTGACGAAACGTTCAGCTGGTTTGGTGGGCTTAGCAGCTTTCTCAACATGGGGGCTTCTATCGCGTCAAACCCGTCAAGAGCCGGCAAACACCCGGCCAAGCCGGTTCAGCAACCCAGGAGTGTCCGATTCAATGAACCCATCCATCCTGATGACCAGACCGCTGCCAAGGAGAACAAAACCGATCTGCGTATTAATGGCCTTCGCGTGGATGTCATCGGAAGGGACTGCAGCGTGATGCTGAATACCAGCGCCCTCAAGCTTGTCAGCAGAGATGAAGGCATTGGCATGCATCTTAGCAGGATACGACTGTCAGGGCCGCACGTCAGGAATGCTAGAGCTGAAGCGCCGGTTGTGGGCGAGGTCTTGGATAGCAGAATCGAGTACCTCGCATTGCCACGTACAAAGGACCTGGAGAGGCTGCTTGAGCTCATCACCCCGTCCAAAATCAAGTTTGACGAGGATGAGGATGAGATAATGGTGGACACGCTCCTCCGCCAACGAAGGAAGGGACCGGTACTTTCCCTGACCGTCGGCAAGGTCAGAGTTGAAGCAGGCAGACTGCAGCAGCTCAGCTGCCTCCCGGGGCTCGTCGATGACCTCGCTAAGCTCGGGACCGTCGCGAAATATCTCCCTGAAGACGACCGGCCGGGTCTCCTCACGTTGTGTCATGTCAAGGATCTCGAGGGCCGTGTCGATATCGGCGGTCGGTTTGGCGCCGTTCAAGCGTCTCTCAAGGACTTGGAGGTCGCCCATATAACGTTGCCGCAGTTGACTGCCGTCGCGCTCGGCGAAGTTTCCGTCACTCGAAACAAGATTGAGGAGTTCGTGGCGACTTCGCCCGCACCGACAACCGGCACTTCACAGAAGCCACCGGTCATCATGATGAGGCTGGTCGACGATATCGAGCCGGTCCTCAAAATCAAGCTGATGGGCCTGAGCTTAGAGTACCGGGTGCCCACGATTATGGACATTTTGGACCTTGCCGAGGATGCCACGCCAGAGGATTTTGAGGTCGGGCTGGCTGCGTCCGTTGCGAATCTTGGGGATCAAGCCCACCATGCCATCAAGAGGGCACCTTCGGGATCACTCGCGTCCACGGATCAAGCCAAAGCATCGAAGCCGGTCAAAGTGGATGTTGCTTTTCGTGACTGTCTCGTCGGTTTGAACCCGCTTGGGTTGGCCTCCAAGCTGACACTGGTCCTCACCGATGCTCACCTCGAGATGGCGCCCGGGACTAGTGAGACGCTGACCGCCGCAACGAGTCTGAAGCGGGCTGCTGTTTTGTTGATTGACGATGTCTCCGTCATCGAGTCTGCTGGGCCTCCCTTTACCTCGACACGACGTCCTCAGGCGGCTCCCTCCCCCCAAGTCAGTGAGCTGTGTGCAAGGGGATACGTCAATATCTGCCAAATTTCCTCGGCCAAAGCAACGGTGAAGGTATCGAAGGATTTGGAGGGCGAGACGCAGCTGGAGGTAGAGATTCGCGATGATCTCTTGATTATCGAGACTTGCGCGGACTCGACGCAGACTCTTATCGCGTTGGCTAATGCATTGACACCTCCAACGCCGCCAAGCAAGGAGATCAAGTATCGAACATCGATCGTTCCTGTTGAAGACTTGCTAGCCTCTATCAGAGCTGAGGCTTTTGGACAGGCAGAAGGCGAGTACGACTTTGACAATGACTTTGCGGTTGCCCAGGAGCTCGGGGGCGACGCTGGCAGCGAGGTTGACTTTGACGCCGGACCGACTGACAGCCCTCTTAACCTTGACTCGCAATACTATGAGGACCCGGCCGTTCAAGAAGCGCTGTTCGATGCTACATCTCATTCCATGCTTGCCGGCGGTACAAAGGTCGAGGATACCAGCGATGGCGTCCTCCTAAGCACCACTAGCCTTGGAGCGGAAAGCGATGGAGCTGGAAGCATCAGCGATGACCTCTCCATCCAAGACGATTACTTTGCACGGGGCAAGGTTGCGCACGACATCGGTCACCGCTGGAACTCGAAGGCGAACAAATACGACCAGCAGGCCGATTCCAGGACTCAACGTAGTCCGTTAAGGGTCTGCATTCGCGACGTGCACGTCATCTGGCACTTGTTTGATGGTTACGACTGGGCGCGCACTCGGGAGGTTATTGCCAGGGCGGTTCAGGAGGTTGAAGCTAAGGCGTATGAACGCCGAGCTCGGGCGGACCGCAGAGGCTACGACCAGGAGTTTGAAGAGGACGAAACCGTCATTGGCGATTGCCTGTTCAACTCCATCTATATCGGCATCCCAGCCAACCGTGACCCGAAAGAGCTGACGCAGGCCATCAACCATGGCCTGCAGGATTTCGGGGACACTGAGTCGGTCGCCACATCGGCTGTTACGACCACAACACTACGTGCAGCTGGGCAGCACCGCCGGTCCAAGAGTCTGAAGCTGAACCGGAGCAAGCGCCACAAGATTACGTTTGAGCTCAAAGGCGTGAACGCAGACCTGGTCATGTTTCCGCCAGGTGCTGGGGAGACCATCAGCTCGCTTGACGTCCGAGTGCGCGATCTCGTCATCTTCGATCATGTTCCGGAATCGACATGGAAGAAGTTCGCCATGTACGACATCGATGCCGGCGAGCGAGAAATGGGCGCGAGCATGGTGCACCTCGAGCTTATCACCACGAGACCGGTGGACACGCCGGCGACTGAGCTGGTCATTGGCGCCACTGTCTTGCCCCTTCGGCTGCATGTCGACCAAGACGCCCTCGACTTCATCACCAGGTTCTTCACGTTCAAGGACGACTCAGCGCCCGTGCACGCGTCTCCGAGCGACGTCCCGTTCATCCAGCGCATCTCGGTCAACAGCATCCCTGTCAGGCTCGACTTCAAGCCGAAGAGGGTCGACTACACCGGGCTTCGTTCGGGCAAAACGACAGAGTTCATGAACTTCATGATCCTCGAGGACGCTCGCATGGTTCTCCGTCGGGTCATCCTGTACGGAGTATCCGGCTTTGACCGGCTCGGCGAGCAACTTAACGACATCTGGACGGCGGACGTCAAGCGGAACCAGCTACCCGGTGTACTCGCCGGCTTGGCACCCGTACGGTCGCTTGTCAACGCCGGCAGCGGGTTTCGAGACCTGATCGAGATCCCAATCAGGGAATACCGCAAGGACGGCCGGATCGTGCGAAGCCTCAAAAAGGGCGCCACAGCGTTCGCCAAGACGACGGGCACCGAGGTCGTCAAACTCGGCGCCAAGCTCGCCATCGGCACGCAGTCGGCTCTGCAAGGGGCGGAGGGCCTGCTCACCCCTAGCAGCCAGGCGGGCGAAGGCGGCAGCAGCGGCTCGCCGGCTGCGCTGGCGGCCGTCCTCGGCGACGACTGGGACGAGGCCGAGTACGAGGAGGAGATTTCGCGGAAGATCTCGCTGTATGCCGACCAGCCGCTGGGCATTGTCCAGGGCGTGCGTGGGGCGTATGCGAGTCTGGCGCGGGACCTGTCGGTCGCTAGGGACGCCATCATTGCCGTGCCGGCCGAGGTCATGGAGAGCCAGAGCGCGCAGGGGGCGGCGAAGGCGGTGCTGAGGAAGGCGCCGACGATTATTCTCAGGCCAGCGATCGGCGCCACAAAGGCTATTGGGCAAACGCTGTTGGGGGCGACGAATTCGCTGGATCCGATGCATCGGCGGAGGGTGGAGGCGGTAAGTTTGATCTTCTTTGGCTATTTGAGGTTCTGCTGGTTTGGTGTGTTTTGTTGAGGGCGGTGCTAACTGAGTTGTGCCAGAAATACAAGCGGCATTAGGGTCACTTAAGTGGTCGGCGTGGAACGGATGGGGATTATCCACGTTGGAGTTGATTTGGAGTTTTGGTTCGGCTCAGTGGCCGGTTTCCACTTTTTGCCTTCCTTTTGGTTTATCGTCATGATGGTGTTGGGTTTTTGGTCCGAATGGGGAGTGCCGTCTAGAGCGCCCATGCCCTTGTTCTTCCTTTGCTTCCTGATATCATATACACCGGGGATGTCTCCCTTCTTTTAGGCAGCTCATCAGTTTTTCTTACTTTGCTCATACGCCGCATCATGCTATGAATCAAGGTTTTTCATTTAGACCGGCGCGGGGAGGGACGGGCATACTACGACACCACATTGATCTCACATCACGGAGCATGGCATGGAATACCCCCGTTGATGGGACCTGGATGGGAGATGGGATTGATAGAACCGCGTAACGTGGGAGATTGCTGATAAATTGAATATTATGTATGTATGCTGCCTTGGTGAACGAGGATGATTGTAGGTTCCAGTTGTTTGATACATACAAGTAGTGTGGTGAGAAACTTCCTCATGGGGAACCCAGAATTATACACTTCATTGTGTTAGGTCCCAAAATTGCAGACTCGACTATTCACTTCTTTGGCCAAAACCTACTCAGATGTGGCTTGATCTTGGTTTGTTGGGTTCGTGGTGGTAGCTATGTAGCCTGCCACTCTCCCATTTAGTTCACTTGAATGAGGAGTGACGTCGGAAACAGAGGTTGTTATCGGGGCGATGTGGCGGCAGGCGACTCGAAGGTTTACCACTGACTGCCTGAGAGCATGCTGCTTAACATGGAAGTGGTGGAGTGACCTTCTGGGGAGCTTTAGGGTCTTCGATGGTGTTGACGATGGTCAGTCATGAAAGCCCGGGGGTTGAGAATCAACTTTCCGCTGTAGAAGAGGAATGGACAGTTCAGGAATGCTGGCAGAAACATAAAAAAGGGCGCTCATGTCTCTTTGTATGTGCAGTGATGGCTTCGTAAAATAGCAAGCTTAAACCATCACAGAACCCAACCATCATCGACATGACTCAGTCCGGGAACCAGGCTCATCAATATCATTCACCCACCCTTCGACTCCAGACTTTCGGCTTCGCTACGCCGGGTTTAGGTGGAAATTGGAACGACGAGGGTGACCCACGCCCAGTTACTCCAAGCAAAACAGCCAGTACACCAAGATCAAAGCAACACCGTTACTAATACCCACTCTCCTCCCTCCTATGATCCCCACCCTCACCACCCTCACCACCCTCCCGCCCAGCCCTCTCCCCAGCCTCCCTAATCGCCTCCTCATCCCCCCTCAACTTTGCAAAATACGCTTTCACATCCTCGGCGCTAATAACCTGCTTGCTCTCAGCAAACTGCTGGAAAAACGGCATCAGCTTGTCCTTCAGGTGCTGGTAAGCCATGACGCCCTCGATGGCGCGCACGCGGTCGACCTGCCGCAGCGCCGACTCGCCCCGGTCGTACAGGCTGCCGCCACTGCCGGAGGCTGAGTCGCCGTTTTGAGAGGAGGGTTCGGACAAGGGCGGCTCGTAGGTTTCTTCCTCTTCGAGGAGTTGCGGGTGAGGGATCAGGAGAGGGAAGCAGGTAGGGCAGTGGCAGAGGTGGGTGCGGAAGTCGGCTTTAAGGAAGAGGGAGAACGGGTGGGTTTGTCCTTGTGGGGTTGGTGGGGGAAGGGTGGTGAGTTTGCAGGTGGTGGTGGTGATGGTGTTTGGTTCTTGGTCTTGGGAGGGCGAGGGGTCGGTGGCGGCGGTTGGGACGGTGGTGGTGGAGCTGTCTGGGAGGTTGGCGAACCTGGAATCATTCCGTTGGCGCTTTGAGGTCTGGGAGTGGGCGTCGTCGTCGTTATCGTCCTCGGCTTTGCGCTTCTTTGAGTGGTCGCTGCTGAATTCTCGTTCAACAGGAACCGCCCCTGAGCTTGGCTCCTGGGCCGTGTCCGCTTGCTTGAAAAAGACGGGTGGCAGAAAACCCGGGGTCCCGGCGTATCGCTTAATCCAAGGATAAGCCTCGACACACTTGTAACAGAGAAAAGTCTCAAACTCGTCTTCGGCTGGAAAGCCCGGTGGAGGCGGGGGATCATCGTCGTCCTCTGCCTCCTCAGCTGCATCATTGCCGTCCAGCTCTGTTCCCTCTGGATCCTCTGTCACGGTTGGCAGCGAGCTATTTATCTTGGCGTCCTTGACCTCCTTCTTGATCTTGTCCGCCGCCATATTCTCGAACCACTTTGGGCCCAAGCCGACGATACAGCCGGGGTGCCACCAGTCTTCGCCACAGCCGCCCGTCTCATGCGTGCCCAGCCCTAGGCACTGGAACATGGTGCCCTTCTGCTCAAACGGATCGTAGTCGCACTCGCAGCCGCAGAAGCGGTTTCGAAAGTTCTGGTTGTACTTGTTGTTTGGGTTCGGCTCCTCCGAGTGGACGCCGCCTTTCATGTTCGTCTCGGGATTGATGCGCAGATTGCAGGGACTGGGCTTGGAGAAACGCGTGGTGCCGCAGTCGCAGGTAAAGTTGCGCTTGTTAAAGATCTCGACGAGGGTGTGCTCGCCGTGGCATTGGACTGAGCAGGCATAGCAGACACCGGCGGCATTGTAGGGGCCATTGGGATTTGGAGGCGGGGGATTGCAGGTCAGACAAGCGAAGACGCTCTGTCGGAGCGGGCCGAGGGGCTTCGTGCAGTGCTCAATGCTCTAAGGTAGCGACGCGTCAGTTGAGTCGACGCAGCCGTTAGAGAGGGGATCGTACATATGGCAGGGCCTCGCGGGCATCGGCCTCGAGCTGCATTTGGTCTCGGATAAAGCTGGAAGCAGGTTAGCTATTTCTATAATAAGCGTAAAATCACCTAATAATATACTCTGCCGCAGTCTGCGAGTCATCCGACTTTTGCGAAATACTGTCGCTGCGCTGCTTGGGTCGCGCGATAGACGCGTCGCCGCCGGCGAGAGAATCCATCGTGGTTACGGAGCGCGCAGAATAATGGTGATAAAATCGAGATACCGGTACACAATCCTCCCTTTCCGCGACAGAAAATATGTATGGAATTGGGTCGGATGGTTGGCTTGATAGTTGTGAAGTGAAAGTGAGCTCTTGTTAAATTACCTTGTAATGGTCGACTCTCGTCGCACCGCACTGCGCGAAGCAAGGCGGCACTATCTTATCGTGGCCCCGCCAGCAACCACTTTACGCGACCGCCCGCATTAGGCTTAGCTTTGTCGCGAAAGCGTGTTCTCCTGACTGGAGCGACGCGAAAACCAGGGGGATAGCGGGAAGCCAGCATTTGTTACCCAATTTCTCAATTTGCATGCCCGCCACCCAACTTGACAAAGGGGACGCAGCATTTTTCGCCTTTGCAACACCACAATTCTAGACTCTTGTCCCGGTCACCTGTTAAATTCTAGTCGTACATCACTATCGGGGCAGCAGAAAACATGAGGTATGTTTACTTGCAATGCTTTCCAACACGAAGCCCTCCCTTCCAAACTTGTCTGACTGATTGAGTTCCCCCCTTCGCGAGCACCCATCCTCAGCCAACCGTGGAGTTCCGCCTAGCCGCGCAGGCCGGAAGCGGGCGCGCACTAACGGCGAAGATGGCGCTTCCTCGGTCGGCGCATCCAGCCCTATCATGCCCTCCTCCCCGCCCGCCTTCAACATTGCACACGGCGGCGACGATGACGATGACATCGAAGAGGATGTCGAGATTCAGGATGACATTGACGACCTCGACGAGATGGCCGAGGACGATGTTGATCTGTTTCGAGAGGGCTTCGAGCGGGATTACCGCGAGAGGGAGGACGACGCCTACGAAGGTATCGATATCGACGACGAAGGCGAATACGAGGCCCTGAGCCTGGGCGAAAGGCGGCGCCTCGAGGCACAGTTGAACCGCAGAGATCGTGAAGTCGCCAGGAGACAGCGCATCCCCGCTGCTTTCCTTCCCAGCGAGGACGACGATCGTGACATTGACCTCACTGCCCAGCCCCGCCGCCGCAGGCATCGCTACGATGAGGACCCCGACGAGGACATGGATGCCGACATCATGGACGAGGAGCTCTCCCTCGAGGCCCTTCACGATGTCAAGGCTTCCAGCTTGACCGATTGGGTGGCACAGCCAGCTGTGCAGCGGACCATCAAGAGAGAGTTCAAGGCATTCCTCACAGAGTACACCGACGACAGCGGCTCCTCCGTCTACGGAAACCGCATCCGCACCCTCGGAGAAATCAACGCCGAGACGCTGGAAGTCTCATACGAGCATCTCTCCACTTCCAAGGCCATCCTCGCCTATTTTCTCGCCAATGCACCGGCCGAGATGCTCAAACTATTCGACGAAGTGGCCATGGATGTCGTGTTGCTGCACTACCCCGACTACGAGCGCATCCATTCAGAGATCCATGTTCGCATTTTTGATCTTCCGGTCCACTACACCCTCCGCCAGCTTCGCCAGTCACACCTCAACTGCCTTGTGCGCGTGAGCGGTGTCGTGACCAGGAGGTCCGGCGTGTTCCCTCAGCTCAAGTACGTCAAGTTCGACTGCACCAAGTGTGGCGTCACTCTCGGCCCCTTCCAGCAGGAGTCGAACGTCGAGGTCAAGATTTCGTACTGCCAGAGCTGCCAGTCCCGCGGTCCTTTCACTCTCAACTCGGAGAAAACGGTCTACAGGAACTATCAGAAGCTCACCCTCCAGGAGTCTCCGGGCACTGTTCCCGCAGGTCGCCTTCCCCGGCACCGCGAGGTGATCCTGCTGTGGGACTTGATCGACAAGGCCAAGCCGGGCGAGGAAATCGAAGTCACGGGCATCTATCGGAACAACTACGATGCTCAACTCAACAACCGCAACGGTTTCCCCGTCTTTGCCACCATCCTGGAGGCCAACAACATTGTCAAGTCGCACGATCAGCTGGCCGGATTCCGCATGACCGAGGAGGACGAGCACCAAATCCGCCAGCTTTCCAAGGACCCGCACATTGTCGACAAGATCATCAACTCGATCGCGCCCAGCATCTACGGACACACCGACATCAAGACGGCAGTTGCCCTTTCTCTATTTGGCGGCGTAGCCAAGACGACCAAAGGCGCCCACCACGTCAGAGGAGACATCAACGTGCTCCTGCTCGGCGACCCGGGTACGGCCAAGTCCCAGGTCCTCAAGTATGTCGAAAAGACGGCCCACCGGGCAGTATTCGCTACCGGTCAAGGCGCCAGCGCAGTCGGTCTCACGGCTAGTGTTCGGCGAGACCCGCTGACGAGCGAGTGGACGCTCGAGGGCGGCGCGCTGGTGCTGGCCGACAAGGGCACGTGCCTGATTGACGAGTTCGACAAGATGAACGACCAGGACCGCACATCCATCCACGAGGCCATGGAGCAGCAGACCATCTCCATCTCCAAGGCAGGCATCGTCACGACGCTCCAAGCCCGCTGCGGCATCATCGCCGCCGCCAACCCCATCGGCGGCCGCTACAACTCGACCATCCCCTTCTCAGCCAACGTCGAGCTGACCGAACCCATCCTCTCACGTTTCGACATTCTGTGCGTCGTCCGCGACACGGTCGAGCCCGAGGAGGACGAGCGCCTCGCCCGCTTCATCGTCGGCTCTCACAGCCGCAGCCACCCGCTGACCAACAACAACACGCAGGCGACGATGGTGGCCGGCCAGTCCATGGAGGTCGAGGCGCCCGACTCGGCGGCACGTGCCGACAGCCAGGCCACCACCGCCGCCGAGCGCAACAACAATAAAGAAGGCGACATTCCCCAGGAACTCCTCCGCAAATACATCCTCTACGCCCGCGAGCGCTGCTCGCCTAAGCTGTATCACATGGACGAGGACAAGGTCGCGCGACTGTTTGCAGACATGCGCCGCGAGAGCTTGGCCACAGGTGCTTATCCCATCACGGTAACCACCCCCCCTCCTACTCCCACTCCCCCATTCCCAAACCCAACCCCGACCAGCTTGATTAACATAAGGGTTGTGTGTGTTCTCAGGTCCGCCACCTCGAAGCCATCATCCGCATCAGCGAGGCCTTCTGCCGGATGCGCCTCTCCGAGTACTGTTCGGCGCAGGACATTGACCGCGCCATTGCCGTCACGGTCAACAGTTTTGTGGGCAGCCAGAAGGTCAGCTGCAAGAAGGCGCTTGCCAGGGCCTTTGCCAAGTATACCCTGGCGAGGCCTGGTGTTGCTGTTCGTGCGGGGCCCGGGGCTGGGAGGAGGTAAGAGGGGTTAATGCTTGGGTTTTTCTGTTGGAGGGTTTGGGGTTGATCTTTTGATTGTGTGGTGGGTTGTTTGTTGGAGTTCGGCGTTAAGGTTGAATGGGGGAATGTGCTTGCTCTTGTCTTATTGACTGCTTGAGACACGATGGGAAACACGATGGTCATGTGGTGGTGATGACGAGAGTCCTTCTGTCGATGCAATACTCCTTACTGCGATCATTGAGTGTTTTTTGCCTCTTATCCCCCTTTCGAAACCCTTGATTTGTCAACCAGGTACTCTTCGAGCCAGTGGCACTGCCCCCCTCCACACCGATGTCACCAGCCTCCAGTATTGCCTTGCCGTGTGTGCGCAGATCCTGCGTATGGGGTGGGCTGGACCCTGTCAAGGCGAGCTTGTCCAGGGGCCTTTCGAGTCGGGGGGATAATGACGGACGATCGATTCGGATCGATGTCGGAAGGACGGGGCTCGGGGCGGCCCAGAGTAGTGGTGATAAAAAGATGGACCTGCAGGTAGACAGACAAATCAGGGCGGTATGAGGCCGCTTGGGAAAAGCGGCAGAAGAGCATAAAAACTGCAACCACCCGTCCCTTTCTAGCATGGTATTGCTGTTACTCCTACCATTCCTTGAAAACAAAATGTACCCATGATGAAACACTTGAAAACAAAGGCTCAATCCTTCACAGCCGTTTCCCCACCCTCACCACCTCCAACAGCAGCACCAGCACAGCCACCAGTCCCCTCCCCCTGGCCCGGCACAGCAGCCGGCACGCTAACATTCTTCCTCGCCATCTCCTGACTCTCAACAAACCGATCCCACGCCCCCGGATCCGCCTCCCTCAACAACCCGACAATCTCTTCCTTCCTCTGCTTGAACACCTCCACAACCCCCTTCCGTTTCACCTCCTCATTCAACGCCTCGTCGCCCAGCTCCTCCAACAAATCATGCAGCAGCCTCGCATGGTTCGGATCAGCGCCCACCATCTCGACGCCCGAGGTCAGCAGGGCGTAGCGCTCCGACCAATCGAGGTTGGGATCCGGGTCCGGGTCGGCCAGGACGCCGGCGCGGAAGGTGTGTCCCGCGCGGAGGATGCGGCCTTCTTCGTGGGCGAGGGCCTTGGAGCTGAGGGAGAGGAGAGAGTTGGAGCGGGAGAGAGAGGGGGATCGGATGGCCGTGGGCGGGTCTTCGTTGTCGTCGGATATCGAGTCTGCTGCTGCGGCTGCCTCGGCGGTTGGGTCGCAGGTAAGGTTGGAGATAGAGGGTATTTCGTCGTCATCGTTATCATTGTTGACATCCTGGTCGGGGATGTCGATGGCGCTGTCGGCCGAGACAAAGAGGCGGGTTTCAGGGAATTCTTCTTCAAAGCGCTTGATAATACCGTTGAGGGTGTTAGAGAGGAACATGAGGCGGTCTGGTTAACACGCTGTTAGTCAGGCTGTCAAAATCTGGTAAGCAGAGAACGAGACGTACGGTAAGTGTGCGTATCATTCGCCGTCGCCCTGGCCTTGTCGATGGCCGGCTGCAGCCTCAGTCTGATCTTCCTCGCACTCAGCAACAAGTGCTTGGAAGTCTCCTTGGCCTTGCCGCCGCTCGGAGCCGCAGGCGGAGGCTGGGGCACGCCGTTCTCCACATCACGGATGAACTCGCCTGATTGCCGCCTCGACTCGTCCCCGCGGTTTTTCAGACACGCCGCCAGCGCCCGGACAACGCCAGTCCCGCCAATGACATAGTCCTCGTCCGGCGCGGCATCCACGTCGGCGTCCATATCCGTCAACACCGTGATGTCGTGCCCGACCAGTCTCTGAAGCGCGTCGGGATACGCCGGCTCCGGCTTGGGGATCACCTCAGTCTGTTGGCCCTCAGCTGCTGTCGTGGCCGCCATCTCCATGTTGCGCAGGCAGTACGCCACGACCTGCTTGGCGAGGGCCTTGACAAGATCACTCGACTGCTCGCTGGGCACCTCTATATCGACGGCGACCAGGCTAGTCGATACTCTGGCGGCAGCCAGCAGCGAGGCGAACAGCGCGCACGCCTCCTCCTTGGTCTCCTCCGTCTTGGCGTTCGTCGCCAGTTCGACGAGCTGCGGGTTCTCGAGGAAGCTGACGTGCGCGAGGCCGGTGACCTCAGGCAGAATCTCAGCGATTGCAATAACCTGCTCCGGCGTCATGGCGCAGTCTGCCAGGTGAATGCGTTTCAGGCACGCCATCTTCGGGAGGTATCTGTGACAACAAGTTAGCCCTCAAAACAAACACAACCCCGGCCAAATACCCTGGACGCACCTCCTCAGCACGCATACCGCGCTAGGATCCGAGTTGAACAGCCCCTGATTATGCGACAAATCAATAAACCTAAATTGACCCAGCTTGGCCAGCGTCGGCAAAAGCTTGCACAGCGACGACGGCGTGAGGCCGCAGTCGGCCAGACTCAGCGCCCACAGCGGGCAGTCCTCGGCCGTCAGGGCATCCGCCAAGGTCGCGAGCCCGTCGCGCAGGTCGTTGCCGCCCAGATCGAGTCCCTCGCAAAACCCCGTCTTCAGGAATCTGGCCACGTGCGCGAGACCCTCGGCGTCGATGCCGTTGTTGGCCAGACCCAGCCGCTTCACGCCACACTTGATGACGCCGTCGATGATGAACCCCAGCTGCTCGCTGCTGAGGCCCGTCTGACCCAGGCTCAGCAGACTGAGCGTCGACCCACCGAGTCTCTCGCCCAATGACTTTGCTAACAACTGACACAGACCTTGCGGCTGGTTTGTCGCAGGCTTCGGCGTCGGACTGCCATCCACTGGCCCAGGCGCCGGCGTAGCTTGCCTGGGAAACTGTATCCCGGACAGGTCTAGGCTCTTGAGCGTCCTGCAGAGGTAGATGAACAGACAGATATGCCGCCACCCCTCGGGCCCAATCTTGTTCTTCTTCAACACCAGCCTTTCCACGACGCCGCCTTGCGCAGTCAGGCCATCGGGCCCATTGAGCGGCGGCTTCCGGCGTCGACCCTTCGGTTTCCTGGCGGCGAGCAATCCCGCGAGAATGACGCGCAAACCCTCGTCTGTCAGGCCGCAGTTCTCGAGTATTACTTCGCGTACGGGCACGACGGCGAGGTAGTCGCCGAGCGTGATCAAATCCGTCAGTTGCATCCAGTAGCCGCTTAGGTCCAGCTTCTCCACCATGCCCGGCTCGGCCGTCGAGCAGTTGGCCGGGTCCATGAGCTGCTCCGTGATCTTGCGGAGGATGGGCGTCTCCCGCAGCTGGCAGCACCGGCGGTATATCCTGACCGGGTTGGTGGTGGGCGCGGTCTGCGTCTTGGGAAGTCCTGTTGGGCGGGGGCTCGAGCCGCTGGAGGAGGAGTCGCTGACGTAGTGGAGCTCCATGGGAATCGTGCCGTTGGCCTCTGCTTGTTTGCGTCTCTTCTCCTTTCTGGCTTTCCTCTCCTCCTCGCTCTTCTTCTTTTTCTCCCTTTTCCTGTCGGCCGACGTGGTCTTTTCTGAGGTGCTGTCGACACTCGGCCTCGGCTCGCTGATGGGTTCGCCGGCCTCCTTTGGCGGTTCCCTTGGGACATCTGCGCCGGTCGCCTTGATCTCGCCGTCAACCTCTTTTTGTAGTTCGACCGCCTTGGGATGCTTCAGCGCCTCGCCTTCGCCCCTTTCCTTGAGCTTCTTCTTCAGCTCCTTGTTCCCCTTACACCCCCTCTTGTCTCCAGTGTCATCTGCGTACTTGGGCATGGGTGCGATTTCCACATCGACGGAGAAGGCCACCCTCCGAAGCTTAGCCTGGTCAAGCCCGCTGATGCTACAGCGCTCCCTGTGGCGATCGACGTTCAGCACCCGCCGTTCCACCAACCCGTGGTTATGCGACTTCGAGATTGTGCTGAGCGTGCCGTTGGAGGATGACAGTCGCCGAAAGACTTGCAGCAAGCCCGTCTGGGACGACTTCGGAGGAGCGGGGATGTAGGGGCCCTCGCCCTCGTATTTCGTAGCATGTTGAAGGACGGCGTTCTTGGCGGGGACGACCTTGGGCACGGAGAACTCGCCGGGCTTCGGCGAGGCGGTGTTCGCTTGCGGGGGGCTTTGGTGCGCGACGCCGCCTCCAGACGTGAACTTGGACGAGATGTTGGAGAACCAAGAGTTGCGCCGCTGCGGGCTGGGCGTTGCGGGCGGTCTCTTCTCGTCCGAACTTGACCTCGCCGAGTTAGAGCGAGCGAGGGTTGGCGGCGCGTCGGGCTCTGTCTGACTGCCGTTGATTGCAGGCGGCGCGGGAGGATTGGGATTGGGGGCCGGGTTCGGAGCGGGAGAGTCGCGACCGGAATTCGATTGCGACCTGGGCCATGTTGTCGCATTCCTCGCAGTCTTGTCTACATTGTCGAGTTGAATTAGCAAAGCGATTCTCCAGAACCCGCACCCCAGTCCCTTTCTATGGATGTGCGCATCCGGGTGGATTTCGAACCTTTGGGATTCCCATGCGTCATCCAACTCACATCCAAGCTATGGACGTGCTCCATCTTGGTATCGCCGCACCACAACTTGCTCTTAGGCAAATACCGCTTGCGGAGCTCCACAGACGACGTCGCTCAGCCCAGCAAGTCAGTCTCCTAACCGTGCAAGCTATCGAAAGATGCAGTTTCCGCCTAGGGGTAGCGGAGAACGGAGTGCGCCGACTCCGAATGTATTGATCCGACCGTTGGGGTCTGAGTTTCAAACAATCTGTGGCTCTTCGTCGGCAGGGCAGGTCACTGATAATGCCGTATGCCTGTATTGGGGAGAGCCATGGCCTCGGTCAAGGTCGTCGATAGCGGTGGCAGGTAGGAAGCAATTGACGTCAATCGCATAGGGTCGCGTGCTCGCGTGCCTGTGATTTCTAATAGGCGGTCTCTCCTGTTGTATCTCCTGTCCGATAACTTCCGGGCCGAATTTAACCTGATGTCCCTGAGCTGAGACTGCTTGTTCACCGCACTGGATCACGTAAGGTGAAAGCTAGAGTAAGGTTTGTAAAAGGAGCTCTTCCGGGGAGCTGCGCTAACTACCGGTATAGCGGAGGGGCTCGATGATGATGCTGCTCACTAAGGGCCTCCGAGGTTCGCAAGCTACCGTGGTAGGATAGGCAAGTATCGGCAAGGGTTTTATTGGAGCGCAGTCTTCAACATCGGGTCTGGCAGCAGCTGGCAGCGATTTCAGCGCGCCCAGTTGGTACTCGAGCAAGGGTCGAAGCTTTTGCACGCAACCACAGTAATGGAACCTGGTTATGCGGACTTGCAGCGTTACCAGGTGATATGTGTATAATTGTGTAAGCAGCGAGAATCTTGGTTGAGGTCAACTATGCCCTCGGAAGCGAAAGAAGCGACAAAATTATCCTTCCGCCCCGGTCTGCAGATCGGAGCCCGGATAACGTTATGTGAGGGACCTCTTCTGCAAGATCCCTGGCGCGAAAGGGTGGCGGCTTGGTGGAAGCAGGAAGCAGCGAACGGTGGCAAGCGACCCCGACCCTAGTTAGCACCGTTCAAATACATCTGTAACACCGACAACAAGCGCGACCTGGAACTGTTCTATCTTGTACTTCTCAGAATTGACGTGGCTCTGGGATGGAGGTCCCTCTGCTACGGGCTGCCGCACAACATCGCATGCGATTCTGGTGGAATTGGTGAAGGACCGGGCTGCTGTGCGAGGACAGGGTGAACGATATGCGGCGCCGTTATAGATCGCCAAGCCCTGTACGAGATGCTAAATCAACAGTGGACGCTGTCTGGAGAACGCAACGCTGGAGGTTTCGAGCTAAGCCTCTCAGCTGATGCGAGACAGGCTGACAAACCCCCGACAACATCTTCGCATTCAAGTCAATGTTTCTGTTCATATGTAACAGGAGACACAATTTCGAACGACGTGGATTGCCGGGATAGTACCAGCAAGGACTCTAATGCATCATCTGCCTGCCCGTATGCGGCAGGTTCGCACGGCTGCACAGTCCGCATGACCTCATGATCAGGATAGCTCCGTCTTTAGGACTCTACGGTGTAGACTCTGTTCGGGAATGTCGAGTAGTTGCGCTACTAGTACCACACGCCGATTGCTCATGCGACACAACCTTCATGAGCTCTAGAAGGCACACTATGTTCTCCAAAATGGTTAGGCGCATCAAAATGGAGCCACAGCTTGTAGCGGCTCTTGCATCACGACCGGCCAGATCCGGAATTGTATCATCTGCACAAGCTCGGAAGTTAATTGGCTTTTGGTGAACCCTGATCATTGACCCCCATGTGTCCCCGATGAAACTCCTAAACAAGCAGCCATGAGCCCAGACGATGCGACCAGTCCCTAGCACAAACCCATTCTACTCCTCCCGGAGCTCGGCAATGCGAGCCTGCACGCGCTGCTGGCGCTCCTCCAGGGTGAGCTTGGACTTCCTGTACTTGAGCGACTCCTGCTTCCACTCCTCCTTGCTCTTCTTGGGCGCGTCGCTCTCGTACTTCTTGAAGGGGTCCTCACGGATGGCCTTGTGCGCCTCGGCGTAGAGGTCCTCCAGAGCATCGGCCTCCAGATCATCCTCGATGTACTTGACAAACTGGCTCTTGTACCGCTCCTCATCGTCGTCGGCAAGAGTCTCCATGTATTCGGCGACGTGGCCGCCAAAGATGTACTTCTTGAGTGTCTCGGCGTCAAGCTCCTCCGTCTCGATGTCGAAACCGGGGAAGCGGTTCTCGGAGTGAGGAACCAAGATGCCACCGTCGGAAGCGCCCTTCATGACGCCGAAGACGCGGGCACCGGTCGAGGTGCGGGCAAGGCCGACATCAAGGAATGCCTTGAAGGGACGGCGCTCGCCGTCGTCGGTCTCAGCAGCCTCAGTGAGGGTGTACTCTCCATCGGGCTCCTCAACACCAGCAAAGTCCTTGTCCAGACCGAGCTTCTTCAGGACGCGGCGGGCGAGGAGCAGGCCGGTGGCGTAAGCGGCGGCCCAGTTGGTAAGACCGTGCTCGATGCCGTAGGCGCGGAGCTCGTGCGAGTAGGCAGCGCAGAAAACCTTGTCGCCGTTGATCTCCGACGTCACAATCTGGGTGATGATGTCGCGGTTGGTGAAGCGGACGACCAGGCGGTACTTGGGCGCATTGTACTTGTTCTTGGCCTGGGTGATCAGGCGCTTGCGGGCATAGTAGTCGGTCTTGCCCTGCCTCCTGCGCTTGTACTTGGTCTGGAAGCGGCTGCACACGGTCAGCATTGGGGCCCTTGGCGACTTCCATTGTCAATCAAATCGAGTACTCACCTGTAGTACGCGCTGTTCTTGACCAGCTTGTGGAAGGCCTGATCTCGCAACCCCTCGAGTCAGCAATTTGCGCTTCAGAATATTTCCCCTCTCCGAAGCATCTTGCATTGACTCTCCAACTCTGTCCGGCGGTAACTCACCATTTTGACTGCTGAAGGCGGGCGATGCGTACTGGCAGGTCGACTCGGGTTGCAGAATCGAAGGAGCGGAAATTTGGCGGCACGAATATTTCGTGGGCCAAAATCCACCCCACAGCCCTAAGTTGGATTGGTGGTGGGGGACGAGGTGGGGCGTTGGGAGCAGGGTTGGAGACGAGGATTACATAAGAGGCGCCGGGGCTCGGCTTCGAGTTCGACGCTGCGAGACCACGGATCAGAAGCCGAGCCGAGGTCCACCCACTCCCCGGCTCCTCAACTCCCGGCCCGACATCTTAAACATGGCATGAGCTGAATTTTGCACCGTTAAGAAGATGGTGTCTTCAGCACTGTCCCAATCTCATGGTCGCGGAGTCACATAGCAAGGGGACAACGGGATGCTCCTGGAAGAACTCCCCGTTGAAGTCATTCTCGAAGCAATCAACAACATGACCTCCGCGAAACGACCCAAAGTCATCCTCTTCGACGTCGGCGGCGTCTGCGTATGCATCCCCTTTCCTTACGCCCTGTCACACCCATATAACTAACCCTACCCCAGGTCGTCTCCCCCTTCCAATCAATCCTCGACTACGAGCTCAGCCTGGGCATCCCACCAGGCTGGATCAACTACTCCATCTCGCGCACAGCGCCCTCCGGCTTCTGGCACCGCCTCGAAACAGGCAGCATCCCCATGGACGCGGCCTTCTTCGCGGGCTTCAACGCCGACCTGCACGACCAGGCACGGTGGGAGGCCTTCTACCGCGCCCAGCAAGCCCGCAACCCCGCCCTGCCCAAGGAGATCCCGCCGCTGCCGCGCCTTGACGGCGAGTGGCTCTTTCATGACATGATGGCCGCCGCCCGCGCGCCCGACCCCTGGATGTACCCGGCGCTGAGAGCGCTCAAAGCCAGCGGGCGGTACATTGTGGCTGCCCTCAGCAACACGGTGATTTTCCCCCCCGAGCATGAATACTCGCAGTGGAGCTCCGAGGATGATCCGCTGAGGAGTCAATTTGACGTGTTTGTGTCGTCGGCGCACGTCGGGATGCGGAAGCCTGATCCGAGGATCTACCAGCTGGCGCTCGAGAAGGTGAATGCGTTTGCGCAGATGAATGCGGACACGGAGAGGGCCAAGGCCGCAGGGGGCTGGTCGGAAGGGGTGAAGCCCGAGGAGGTTGTGTTTTTGGATGATATCGGGGAAAACCTGAGGGCGGCCAAGGCTGCTGGGTTCAGGACTATAAAGGTACCTCTTGGGAGAGCGTACGAGGCGGTCGAGGAGTTGGAGAAGATCACGGGCTTGGCCCTGGCAGGTGATCATCCCAAAATTCCGGTGAAGCCAAATTTCAAGCGCACCAAAGCAAAGATTTGAGGCTTGTTCGCGCAGATGCTGCCAGATTGGTTTGAAGCGTTGTACGTAATACTCATACGCCCAGATATTCTTTGGTACGCCATTTTCTGTTTCCTGCCTCCCATCATTCTTTTGGTCGTTGTGGTCCCCGTCAAGTTCGACTCACGCTTCTTTTCGAGTTCGAGTTGAGTGTTGTGATGCTGTATGCGACGGTGAACCCCTTGTGCCTCCTTTCACGATCCACGTGGGCTGTTCGCTGAGCAAGACACTTCAGCCCACGGCTTTTCCAGTCAAAAAGCTCACAGGTCACGAAAGGCAATAAGAGTCTCAAACCATCGAGTAGATTCCGAGGCATATAGCCCTCCAATAGCTAACTATCGGGGCCGTCGCATCCATAACACGTAGTAGAAACGATCAGAGATCACCACCAAAGCAGACAACCGACTATTCCGCCAAAAGCGAAACATCGGCCTCAGGCCTGAAGCCGGCGACTCATCAGTCGAGCTCTACCAGTTGACGCCGCCGGTTGCGGCCGTGTTCCAGCCGTCATTGTTGCCGTTGCCGGCACCCGTCTCAAAGCCGCCATCGCCGGACCCGCCGTTGTCAGCGCCGCCACCACCGTGGCCAGCATCGCCATCGTCCTCAGGAGCCAGCGGAACTTTGCATCTAACCTTCGTGTGTCCCATCTGTTGGCAGTTAGAGCACTTGACACGGGACCAGTTGCGAGGTTGAAGACAGTCGCTAGAAGTGTCAGATTCATTTGAAGCACAGGAAAGGGGATAGAGGGGTGAACAAACCGTCCGGTGTGCCCGTACATGTCACAATTTCTGCACTGGACGTTGGCAAGGTTGCGAGGCTCGGTGCACTGGGTTTTGGAATGGCTGGAGCTCATGTTAAATGTGGACATCAACGCGGTCGAGAAAGGAGGAGTCTTACCCAGGCTGGCCGCAGTTGAAGCAAGCAAGGTCACCGCCACCCGAGTGGCAATCCTTCGCGAAGTGGCCGGCTTGAAGAATGTGAGGTTCAGGTTGGTTGGGCGATGCTGCACCGGAGCAAACTTACTCTCGTTGCACTTGCGGCACTCAACACCCTCGGCCGAACGCGGTTCAGTACAGTCAGCAGCCTTATGTCCGCTCTGACTACGAGGCTGTCAGCATGCCTAGCAAAAAAAGAAGAAGAAAATAAAAGGGGATAAGGGAGAGGGAAGGAACCAAAGGTGAGAAAAGGAACAGAAAACAAGTTGAGAAAACCATGGACTTACCCGCAGTTCTTGCAGGCGAACTTGTCGACACGCGGCTCAGGGCAATCTCTCCGGCGATGTCCTTCCTTTTGGCACGCGAAGCAAATGATCACACCGGTATTGACCTTCTCGACCTTCTCCTCAGGGCAGCTCTTGGCAATGTGTCCGACCTGTACCAGCATCAGCTTGCTTGCCTGGGCGGATACGTTCTACCTTGCGTACCTGGTCACAATTTCTGCACTTGGGCAGACCGCCATAAACGACCTCGCCAGCATCCTTGAGGCGCTCGATGTTTTCATCGACATTGTTAGGCCAGAGCTCGCGATCGCGAGGGCGCGGAGGGTTCCACTGGAACCGGTACGTGACGGTGTACTTCTTTTTCAGGTTACCCTGAAGGTCCATGTTGGTGAAGGTGTCCGCCAGGGGTTTCTCGATGGCAATCAGCCAGAGGGGGACGCTCTGGTCGCGGAATGTGCGCTCCAGCTCAGCATAGGTTGTGTTGGGGGCCGACTTGACATAGGTCTGGATGGCCTCCTTGACATCATCAATGTCACGCTCATTGACGGCGCGGTTGATGAGGGCCCAGGCATCCTCAGTCTTCATGTCCTGCAGGTGGCTGCGGTCAATCTTGCGAGCGCCGTCGCAGGCAGAAACGGTGTGCCCTAGGATTGGACTCGTCAGCAACCTCGATTCTCGCGATTCAGTTGATAGGTTCCCCACCGGCCTCGCCGCAATTCTTGCAAACACGGTTGGGGCAATCTTTGACGAGATGATCGGTAGACTCGCACCCCTTGCACTTCTTGGGGGGAGCGCTGGGGCAATCACGCGCCAAATGACCCTCTTCGTTACACAAACGACAAGCGCCGCTCGGCTTGCGCGGATTGGGGCAGTCAGATCTCATGTGACCTTGCTCACCGCAGTTGAAGCAACCCCGATCGTCGCCGCCGCTGTTGGCAGCGTCATCATTGCCGTTGGTGGCGCCGACGTTCGTGTCCTCCTTGCCGAATGTGTCGCCGGACGGACCGGCATTCCACTCGCCATTGTCGTTATCGCCGCTGGCAGCGTTGTTGTCCCAACCAGAATCAGCAGCGGCGCCCCAGGCATCGTCAGCGGTGGTGGCACTGCCGCCACCCCAGCCAGAGTTTGTGTTGTCCCAAGACATCTTGGTAGATTGCTCGAGTTTGCGTGGTGACTGCAACGAAGTTACGCATTAGAGAGGGGTGATTGGGGTTGGAATGAGAAGAATCGGCTGAAAAATCGCGAAAGGCGTTGCCCAAGGAAGATAAAGGAGAGAGAAGAAGAATCGGTTGAAGAATCATGAAAGATGTTGCCCGAGGAAGATGAAGAAAGAACTCGAGCGAGCAGAGTAAGAAGGACCAAGTCGACCGTGTTCATAAAGAGAACAAAATCGCTCGCTATTTGAGAAATGAGAAAGATAAACAGAGCGGAAAGAAGGGAAGGCGGGATGGCTTACTTGTTTGATAATGAGATGACTTATGTCTGAGAATGAGATGGCTTACCTGTTCGATGACGCCCTCGATGAAGATGATCAACGAGTGGCGATCAATTCAATTGTTCTACTCAACTCCCAATTGTTGGAGATGGAAAGAGCGAGCTGAGGGGAGCAAAGAAAAAGGTGGGAGCAGAGAAGGTGCCTGATTTGAGCAAACCCACAGCAATCTTCGAGTTCATGTTGTGCAAGCAAAACCAGAACTTGTATTCCAAGCCCTCCTGTGACCTCGAGTTAGGGCAAAGACATAGTGGGTTCACGAGCCTCAAAGTCACTGCTGGAAGAAGAGACGCGGGTCCAAGGCAGTGAAGAGGACCGGATGACGCCCTGTGCTTGCTCATCAGGAAGGAGCCGCCAACATGAGTGACATACGACATAAGTTCAAGAGCTGGGTACGTAGAGGTGACAATCTGGGTGAGCCCTTAACACATGCTGACTGCGCCTTGGTGCTATTACAGGATTCGGTGATAGGTTTTGGTGTTGCAACTTCAGTAGCCCGAAAAGGGGCAATGTAAACAAATATTCAAGGGGGGGGGGGAGATCACTGTGCAAGTTGAAAGACGCACGGGCCATGTCTCAGGAACGATATCGCCTGAACAGACGTGCGATTCTACCACCTTTCCATGTATGAATACAAACCAGTTTGATAAGAAGTATGCGACTCTGACAAGTAGCATATTTTGCCCTCGTCTTGGTGTGACAGATTTGGGGGCGTAGAGGAGAAGCATCACATTTTCTATGAACAACTGGCACAAGGCTTTGAGAATATAAGGTCATCAAAACAATGCTCTAAACCATGTGTAATTGTTCTCTATCAAATCTCCTCATTGTAAGTGATGCAACTAACGTTGAAATATCAGGCTTTCACTGGATGTTCAACACTAGAGGTTAGGCTGTATGTACAACAACCTAAAATCTCGTCATGATGGGATACAGGGAGAGATTGTGATGCCGGTGTCATAAAGAAGATGTAAGGTTCACTATAGCTGTAGAGGCTGGAAGCCTGGTCAGCCATGCATACCTAAGAGTATATGGCATGAACGACGTCAGGGAGGTCTGCCAGGTGAAAGGCTTTTACGACCCATGGAAGCACCCACAGCACCCCTAAGCCACATTCCGATTTAAACGGCTGTAACGGAAACTTGCGTTGCAGTCTCAAGGAATGAACACAGATTAGGAAAGCACTGTACAGAGAGAGAAAAGGAAACCAGTACTCTTATATCCAAGAAGGAAAGACGGTCAAGGAAAGTGAAGGATGGTAAGCTGGAGTGCCCGTGATTTACACCCCTATTCCTTCAACGAGGTGGTCTCGCTCTTCCGAAATGTTCTAATTCTCACTAACCGAAGGTGGCCACTCAAGAAACACGGTTAACGTAGTTACCAAGACCCTTAGCTCCTTTGTTGTTGATGGTAAGTTTGGACTGTGTGACCGGTATCAAAGAGCCCCAACGAGTAAGGCGGTTAGTTCCGTGATGTCCTTGATGCAACATCTAATCCTGACTTTCACACTGATAATCATTCTCGAATCTACCTTTTCTGTTGGCCGAACCATCAGACTCTGTGACTCCGCTATCACCATGGATATGGAAAGGGAGCGGGCATTCTGAACCCGTGCAAAGAGAGAAGTCGCAGTGGGCCATTCGTCATGGGAGCTAAGTTATTTTCTTTTATTCTTCCTCTTCTACTTCGCTCTTTTTTCCGAATTTTTCCTCTTTTCTACTCTTTTTTCTGTATCATTTTCCTTGGCTTCTCTAATCTAAAGTTTTTTCTTGAATCTGTTCTTTTACCTCCCTTCTGCTTCTCAGATTAACGCCTGCAACAGCGTGCTAACACAAACAAGTCAGGGTTACTTTGTAAGGTGGTCTCAAGCATGTGCAGTGGACATCTGCGTTCTAACACCTCCATCAGGTTCTTTCCTTCAACGAACATGGGGTTAGAGAATGTGGGAATGCTCGTGACCGGATAAATAGCAGGAATCGTTAGCCTGTACGGATACAGGTCATATCTCCACACCACACTTCTGGCACGAACAGAATCTCGAGACAAACCGAGGAAAATCTTCAATCGTCAGACTTCTGCTCGATAGCCCGCCCAGTTTGTCTCCACTCTCCTCCGGTCCGCGATGGTTAACTCCGGTGATCCAACGGAGGGGTAACGGCGGGGCACGTCAAACACCCCGCTACCTTGCGGGACGGCGGGAGCAACTCCGAGATTCACTTGGCCCAGAAAGGGAGGCCGGTCAACTGTCCTGGGAACTCTACAAAAGGGGCTTGGGACCTCCGCCGAACTCCGTCCAAGCGTTCCCAAAACCCAGACCAACCGTCCAGAGAGTACAAGCACCATGGCGAAGCCCGATAACCTCCCCCAAATGGAGTACCGCTTTTTGGGCCGCTCCGGCCTTCAGGTTTCGGCCATATCGCTCGGCGGCTGGCTCACCTACGGCGGGCACGTCGACCGCGAGGGTACTTATGCCTGCATGAAAGCCGCCTATGACTGCGGCGTCAACTTCTTTGACTGCGCCGAGGGATACGCTGATGGCGAGTCCGAGAAGGTCATGGGCGAGGCCATTAAGAAATTTGGCTGGAAGAGAAATGACTTGGTCATCTCGACCAAGGTATGCCGTCACCCCTAAGGTCTTGGTGTTTGAACAGGTGCTGACGTTTTCCCAGCTCTACTGGGGCGATGCCTTCAGCAACAGCAAGGTCAACAACCGCGGCCTGTCGCGGAAGCACGTCATCGAGGGCATGAACCAGTCGCTCGAGAGGCTGCAGCTGGACTATGTCGACCTGATCTACGCCCACCGCCCGGACCGGCACACGCCCATGGAGGAGACGGTGCGCGCCTTCAACCATCTCATTGACACGGGCAAGGCGCTGTACTGGGGCACGTCCGAGTGGAACGCCGACGAGATCGCGCAGGCGTGGCGCTACGCCGACAAGCTGGGTCTAATCGGGCCCGTGATGGAACAGCCGAGGTACAACATGTTGGAACGCATCCAGGTCGAGCGGGAGTACGCGCACCTGTACCGCGAGGTTGGGCTCGGCCTGACCGTCTTCTCGCCGATGCGGCAGGGGATTCTGTCGGGTAAGTACAAGAACGGCATCCCCGACGGCAGTCGCTTCGCGCAGACGCAGGTCGAGTTCATCGCCGGCTTCTGGAAGCAGACCGGCAAGGCCGAGTTTCAGGCCATGGCCGACCTCGTGGCCAAGCTGGAGCCCATCGCCGAGCGGCTCGGCATTAAGCAGAGCGTGCTGGCCCTCGCCTGGGTGCTTGCAAACCCCAACGTGAGCTCGGCCATCACGGGCGCGAGCAGCCCGGCGCAGGTCTATGAGAACATGGAAGCCGTGAGGGCATACAAGTTGTTGACGCCTGAGATCATGAAGGAGATTGACGATATCCTCAACAATAAGCCGCCAGCGGTCGTGATGAGGTATTAGTGGAGGAGCGAATATAAGAATAAATGGAAATGTATCAATTGGAATGCAATGCATTACTATCGAAAACCGTGACCATGAAGCAGCAGTGGCCTTGGTCTTGACATGCAGTGATGAAGATCAGATGATCCACGCAGGTTGGCAGCCCACTTTCGAACAAACGACATCGCCCCCCTATCCGATTGCTCGGAGACATGGGACCACGGGCAGTGCCTGACAGCCCGATTGGTCACAATCACAGATGCCCCACTGGCGGCCAGGGGTTGCATCGCCCGGGCCCCGCTGCCACGACCGCCATGGCTGGCTGCGAGATTCCAGCGGCAGCTGCACGTCTCGCGGCTTCCTCAACTTTGAAAAGTTGAGGGAACTGCCGTTGTCTCGACTCCCTTGTTGCAGATCGCCGTCAAATACCGGCCTCTCAGCTCTCGCCATGGCTCGCTCGGTGACAGCAACAACAAATGGCTTTTCTTCCAAGGGGAAGGTGACCGCCAATGGCAAGGCCAACGGCGTCGCCAGTGCAAACGGTGCAGCGGTCGCCGGGGCCGAGTTCGACGAGGCAAAGTACCGCGATTTCTTCTGGACCTACACCGAGGAGCCGCATCGGACAAGACGGCTCGCTATTATCAAGGCCCATCCAGAGGTCAGCCCGGCATGCCCTGAAACTAACGAACAAGCCAACTAACCACTCTTCACTCGCCCAGGTCACCAAGCTCTGTGGGCCGGAACCTCTGACCAAATACGTCGTCGCCGGCGTGGTGGCTCTCCAGCTGCTGCTCGCCCACTTCCTGCGGCATACAACCTTCTGGTCATGGAAGTTCTGGGCAGTCGCCTACGTCCTTGGCGCCACATCAAACCAGAACCTGTTCCTTGCAATCCACGAGATCTCCCACAACCTCGCCTTCCGGTCGCCCATGGCCAACCGCCTGTTTGCCATCTTTGCCAACCTGCCGATCGGGGTGCCATACAGCGCCTCGTTTAGGGTAAGCCTTCCCGCATCTTTCCTTTCTTACCATTACTGACACCCCACCAGCCTTACCACCTCACCCACCACAAGTCCCTCGGCGTAGACGGCCTTGACACGGATCTCCCGACGGCGCTCGAAGCCCTGTTCCTCGACTCCATCCTGGGCAAAGCCTTCTTCTGCACCTTCCAAATCTTCTTCTACGCCATCCGGCCCATGACCGTCTACCGCGTGCCCTTCACCTGGGTGCACTGGGTCAACCTGGCTGTCCAGTTTGTCTTCGACTACGCCCTCGTTTTCCTCCTCCCCGGCTATTTCAGCGCCAACTCCCTCCTCTACCTCTTGCTCTCCTCCTTCCTCGCCGGCTCGCTGCACCCGACCGCCGGTCACTTCATCGCCGAGCATTATGTCTATGAGAAGATCGAGCCCGCGGCGCGCCGACCGGGGAATAACATTCCCATCCCCGAGACGTTTAGCTATTACGGTCCGCTGAACCTGCTGACGTACAATGTTGGTTTGCACAACGAACACCATGATTTTCCGGCTATTCCCTGGACGAGGTTGCCGGTGTTGCATCAGATGGCGAAGGAGTTCTATGCCGATTTGCCGCATCACCGCAGCTGGACGTATGTTCTGTGGCGGTTTATATTCGATGAGGAGGTGGGGATGCGGTGTCGGGTCAAGAGGAAGCAGGGCGGGAGGGTTGTGGGTGGGGGCACAGCGGTGGTTATGGAGGCGGGGTGGAAGGAGGAGGAGGTTGAGGCGTAATGGGAGGGAGAGGTTTGGGATTGCTTACTTGCATGGCATAGACTTGGGCGCTGAGCGGGCGTGAGATATAGGGCCTTGGCAAGAGTGGAATGTACGATGGCTTTGATGGAGTGGGCACATCCACTGCGTGTACTGGGGAATGTGAGCACGCATTGTGCCACACGATATGATCTTAATCGTCAACCCCTATTCAGCCAACATGGCTCGGGGAAGGAACGGAACGTCAGAACTTCAGAGAGCCTGTACGGACAGAGCAGAATATGGACACTACCGGATACCTAGACGATTACTATGGCCCTCCCTGGAGGATGAGGTCACCTTGAGGGAGACCAAAGGTCAGGGCAGCGGACAGGGACGTTTCCAAGCACTCTGTCGCAATGCCTCTCACCTGTAAATGTGGAACAAGGCCACCAGGTGCTTACCTTTCCAACTGTATCCCCTCTCACGAGTAACAAAATACTTTTTTCGTTTATGTAGCCCTGCCGAAGGTGTGGCACACCATCATTTGACGCTTTTCGTTAACCTAAACCATCTCATTACGGGTTGCGCTCGCGTTCTCCCATGATGCCTCGTCCCCAAGCAAGCGCACTCTCAGGGAGCATGCCGTGCTAACTCTTCCTTCCCATGTTTCACCACTGTGTGCACCCTGCCGCCGACCCTATGTAAACAAGATTCGCCTCGTCCATTCTCGGTGCCCTACTAACTGGGCCATGCCCAGTCAGTCGGGCGTCGGGACCTGAACCCCCCCTCACTCACCCGCGAACTGGCGGTTGTCTCTCTGAGGGCCCCGGCTCGATACCTTCGCGAAGCAAAACACTCGAGGGTTTTCGTAGCCGATCACCCCCTTCGACCAGCGGAGGGGGCTTTGGTGGTGTGCTTTTTCGCGTTTGTTTCTACACATTGCGCATTCATATGCATTCCCTTTGTACTTTGCTGGGAGAGAGAATCGATACCAAGCAGCGTATATGAAGTTGTCCGTGTACGTCGGGTCCCAAAGAACATGCTGCCTGCTTTCCCTTTCTTTCTAATCACCGTCGTCTCCTGTGCCCCGTCTCATGATCCTCAACAATTGCCGGAAAACCATCGCGTGCCCTTTCGTTGCCTTCTTCACAGAGAACATGACACTGCCACACACAAGGTGATGAACTCTATCACCGCCCGCGAGGGGTGAGGTATACGATCCCACACCAAAACACTGGAGAGAACAAGCCAGCTCTGGAAGTCCAGCTCGAGGAGGCCAAGGCTACGCCTCAGCTTGACTCCTTGAAAAGGAGGCGGGCTTTCCGGACTGTGATGTTCTGCTCCCGTGGGACTGTAACCCCACCACACATAATAACCCCCACCCTGGAAAATTTCTCGCCAGCAACCCCGCATCGCAGGCCGCATTGGATCGCTCAGTTGAACCGCATCGCAGTGTACTCAATTCCATCAAATGCGCTCACATGGTTCAAGTGCGCTCAAACGAATGCATTTTACTGTTTTCGAGCGACGCGACGCAATGCCGTTTATTCTAGCAACGCGATGGCCAGTGTGATGCGGCCTGCGGTACGGGGTGCGGCGCAACAAAAATCAGGGTTGGGGTTATGTATGGTGAGTGGGTGGGGCTACAGTCCCAGGGGCCGAACGCCACAGTCCGAAAAGCCCGCCTTGAAAAAAGGACAGCAAAGGTAGCTCCCTAGTACCACTGTATTATCTCCATCATCTTAATCACCGTGAGGATTATCCGCCTGATACCAGCGCTGCCAGGAGCTCTTGTTGGGCTCAACCCTGTTGAGGTGGTTGAGGGCACTCGAGCCGGGGCCCCGCAAATATCGCTCAGCCTCAACAATGTGGTTTCGGTGCAGTCGGGCGAGGTACCCGTCGTCCAGTTGAGCACGCCGGCAAACGTCCAGGATCCATCGCGCGGGATGTGCCGGGTGCAGGTAGAGGCCCGCCAGGCCGCCGCCGCCATCCCCCTTACCAATGGCTTCAGAGGTTGCATGATGTACGCGTACCCTCGAAGGGTATCGTCCGCTAGAACCTTGGTCATAGCCCTACGGCCAATGATGGGCGCGCCGGCCCCGAAATCCGCCATGACAAGGCGGATGGTGAGCGCGGGCGCGTTGACCTGGCCTCGGGCCCAGTCCACCGTGGCGGCCCAGTCCAGGATCGCTGGGTGTTCTCTATGAGGCCAGTCGTGGGGCACGTAAGGGGGGAACAACAGCTCGAGGAACCGGAGGTAGGCCAGGCAGTGGACAGGGACAATGTCCCGGAGGAACTTGGAAACGGCGAGACGTTCGAACGGGTAACTGGTGCGCGTGCTGGCAGTTTTCGGCCTGCCCGGTTCGAGTTGCTCGGCCGGTAGGTCCCAGGGCTCCGTTACGTGGAAGTCGTGGATGATGAAGCGGTTGCGCGAGAAGAAGGCGAACTGGGCGTCTCGGTAGGAAGTGCGGTAGATAAGAAACAGGTTGGTGGGCGGGGCCCAGCAGTTGCAGGCGGAAGAGGAGAAAGCAGAATGTCGGCAGCCGGCGGATGGTACGCAGTCCCCATCGTGGACATTAGGATCGCAGCTGCTCAGTCGGCAACCACTGTGATTGTGGGGTGGGGAGTCAAGCGACGAAGAGGTGCAGAGAGCGCAAACCACCCGGTAGCCGCGGTGTTGCCAACTCCATGTAACCTCCTTCCAAGGGGTTACAAGGTCGGTATATTCGAGGATACGGATGCGCAGCTCTGGCGGGAGGGTTGCGAGAGCCGACGAAGTCCTGGGGTTGACAGGGCCACGGGAGAAGCTCTGCCGCAGGTCTGGAGAATCGCTTCTTGAGCCATTTGCTGGAGTGGGTAGCTGGTTGACTTGGATAGCTGCACATGGCATTCTCTAAGACGCGGGAAGAGGGAGACGGGGCCGAGAGCAAGGCGGCTTCTAGGGCGCACGGATGCTCCGGGTCGACATCGCAAACCAAGGAAAGCTCCAAACGTTCAATGCCAATATGTTACGAGATGTACGCCACCGTGTTCGTGCCATTCGCCCATCATAGCCTGGACCTCCTGCTTCGCTGATGTGGAGGCAGTCAAATCCAAGCCCGAGGCGGAATCTAGTAAGGGACGGCGGTGCTGGCCACCACGCTTCTTGGCGCAGTGATACTTGACAGCCCACGGGCATTCTTCCAACGCATGGCTGCCACACCAGCAATATGGGCTGCCATATACCGAATTGGTACATGTAGACCCGCGGCATGACCCGTTGAGGACAATCTTCAAGCTGGTCAGGGAGGCGAGCGACGTTGGCGATAGAGCGCGCAGATGGTCAAGAGAGCCCCTGGTGCGAGTAGAAGATGACGAATCGGTTGACCGAATACAACAGAGCGGCTGTCTCGACGTGCAGGGCGCGGCAGGATCGCAGTAGTCCGGCGATGTTGCGCGTAATATGCGTCTCAACGTCTGACACAGGTCGAGTGATGCCCAGGTTCCAATCCAGTACGCTGGGGTGGGCGGCGCGCGTAGACGGCTGGTCATATTCCGATAAAGGTTGGGTCCTGCCATCCAAGAGGTACGTGTATGGGCGCCCGTCAAGCCGCGCCACGCCCGTTGGAGGTATGTGCGACGACGGGGGTGGTGAGGGAGGCCGACCAGGCTGTTTGCTCGCACCACGCTGCGTTCTGCTAATTTGAAGGCTTTGGGCCATTGATCAGATTACAGTGGATCGCGATTTACATAGTAAAACACTATTGCTAATGTGGTGGAATCTCGTCGCGTTCTTTTCCGAAGGGAGAGGGCTGTTAACGTTGGTTGGTGGGTTTGTTCGGTCGAGGCCACCTTGGTGTCCCAGAACCGAGCACCTCTTGCTGTGTCCTTCAGGAACGGCTTTACCATAGCAGCGGTTACACTCGCTCGGCTACTCGTAAAGCCTCAACCCGTCACCATGGCGACACCTTCTTGGGTCGACATCGTCGGTTGTCCAGAGCGGATTCCACAAACGACAGAGCGAGGGTGTCGTACGGCACCAAGCCTGGCGCCTTGGTGTTGGGCTGGCCAGCCAAGGGCGGCATCCTCGTCCTCGTGGCTTCCACCGTCGAGATCGCGTTTCTGGGCTACGACCGATTCGAACCGGTTCCGCGCCCCAATCCGACGGATCCGGACTCTGCCGCAGATGGAGAGACGCACTGCAATAAGAGTAAGAAAGGCCTCCCCCTCCCATGCTCATGGCCTCGATCCAACCGTGGACGAACTCGAGACATCTACCCCGTCCAAGTGAAGCTGGGTGGTTAGGTACTGATCCCCTATCTCAGTGCGCCAGCTGGGTGCCGATTGGTGGGAGAGCGAAGCCGCGTGGTATCTGGACCAGCTGGAAGTACGCCAGGCAGGCGTGGTCGGGGAAAGATTCCTGGGGACTGGGTGGCCGGTCGGGGGCGGTGTCTGGGTTCTCAGCACCGATGAGTTGATCGCTGCTGAGAAGCACGCAGGCATGCTGTTCAATGCCTACACCATGGAGGAGCGATGCAGGGTTATCGAGCAGCTGGGCGGCACGTTCTACGCCAATCCGAAAGACTGCCCGGACCTAAACTTGGCGTAGGCGCAGAGCAGACGGCTCATCAACGTCAGCAATTGCTTAGAGTGTGTGACCTCGTCTTGTGAGATGGGGTTGTGGTGAAATCTGTATCCATGAACCTCCATTTAGCTTATAATTCGCTTGGCGCTTTGTAGGGCTAGAGATTTCGAAGCCGGCGAGTAACTCCCGTTGTAACAATCCAACCCGGCCAAACCTAGAGCTCAAAGCCCTTCCCGAACTTGCGAACACAGTACCGGTGCCTCCGTACCCTGTCTGTTTTCTGTTTCACCTTCTTGGCGCCGCCCTGAGGGGATCTGCCATGCGTCGGCCTTCAGCCAGGATGGTGCATGTTTGTGAAGTGAGAGAGATGAGCCGTTCGGGATTCGCCGAGACACCTTTTTTAAGCATCGAGGTGACGGTGCGGGTTGAAGCGACATTGGAGGACAAGGTCCAGATGCAACCTCGCCGTCGAGGCATGGCAAAGAAACCAAGGTGTGGGGCCAGGTTCCGTACTCAGGGGCACACGAGACAGTCTACTGTGGTAGCCTTTGATTGGGCAAGGACTTTCCATGTCTCCAAAACGTTGCCCCTGTTGTTGCTGCAGCACCCTGCCCGCCACTGGCACGACCTAAAGCCGGCCACCGCGCCAGCAACGCCTTCTGTGGCCGAGTCAAGGTTGCGGTGGGCCGGCAAATATCAAAGACCGCTGTTTCCCTTTGCTCGACCCTGACCCGTCCCTCCAAACACTGTAGTGAGCGCAAACCGTTTGGGGTCGTTCGAGTGCAGCATTCGTACCTCGATACAATTTGATTGCCACCGCCGCGTGACCTTTTTGCGTGCGGGAACATCTGGACTATCTGCCGCTTTAGAGGTTGCAGCAAAATGGCGAGCGCCGTGAAGAAGCCGCCGGCGACAGGCCGCGAGACGCCGACAGGAACACCGCAGCGCCCGGCTCCCAAAGCATCGACACCATCGTCAAGTAGCAGCCCGGCGGCCGGTGCTGGCGTGGCGCGCACCCGCTCGACTCGCACTGGGACACCCGTGTCGGCCCGCGCTGCCGCCCATCAGCGACGCGAATCAATGCTGAGCAATGGCACCACCGTGAACGGCAGGGGCAGTGCCTCGCCCGACATCGAACGCGAAGAGGCTATCCGCGCTGAGACAGTTGCTATAATCGACGACCTGAAAGAGCGGCTCGCCCATGCCGAGTCGGCATCCGAGTCGTACAAGAGGCAGACCGAGGTGTTGCAGAGCAAGCTGGACGATGCGCTCAAGGAGCAGGCCAAGCTGGAGGAAAAGGTGCACGAGAACGAGGAGCAGATTGAGGTCCTGACCAACGAGAAACGCGAGGCGGCCCGCCAGATGCGCGAGATGGAGACCATCTACGAGGCCGAGCGGAGCGCCATGATGAAGGAGAAGGAGGAGATGGCCAACCGCGAGGAGGAAATGCAGGCCGTCATCCAAAGGCTGAAGGACAGTCTGGCGCAGAGGAACCTTGATGAAGACAGACCAACCAGGCAATGTACGTTTCTTTCTGTCCTCTTTTGCCTTTCCAAGACGTCCACTAACATGATTTCCCCGAACAGCGGTGAACAACTCGCCAAGCATTGACAACGGCAGTTTTGCACCTCCGTCCTCGATCCAGCGCAGCGACTCGCGCAACAACTCCAAACTGTTGCTGCAAAAGGACAAGCTGATCGAATCGCTGAGGCTCGAGCTGGCCGAGGCGCAAATCAAGCTGGTCGAGTCGCAAAACCAGGGCGGAGGCCGCCTGCAGGAGGTGGAGCGCCAGTTGATGGAAGCCCGGGTGGCCAACGCCCGGTTGATGGAGGACAACGAGAGCTACCAACTGCTGCTGCAGGACAGGACGCTCAAGGGAGACTTTGCCACCAACGACTTCGCCTACTCGGGCGGCGCGTCCGCCAACCAAGACGCCCTAGCTGCATTGGAGGGTAGGAGCAGCGGCACCAGCTTGGCCGACGAGCTCTCGGATGCCCACGACGACTCGGCCCCCGAACACGACACCGAGACGCAACGGCGCCTGGAGGCGGAGCTGAAATCGGTTAAGGACCAGAACAAAGCCCTGACTCTCTACATCAACAAGATCATTGAGCGCCTGCTGCAGCACCAAGGCTTCGAGCACATACTCGACCAAGCGAACGACAATAAGTCGGCGCCGCCAAACACCAACAAGGACCTCCCCCCTCCCCCTCCCCCGAAGCCCGCCCCGGGGCCATCCCTCCTCCAGCGCGCCAAGTCCATGGCCATCGGCGGCGGCAGCAGCTCCGCGGCGAAACCCAAGCCCCGCCCGATGACCTTCATGCCCTCGGCCAACAACAACAGCAACCAATCCTCGGCCATCAGCAACCCAGACACGGCGCCCAGCATCCCCATCGGCTTGACCCGCTCCGCCAGCACCCGCGTCCGCAGCCGGCCCATGAGCGAGCAGTACACGTCCGGTCTCCCAGGCGCCGCCAGCATCGTCAACGCAATGTACAAAGGGCCGTCAGCCGCGTCCGACGGCCCGCTCTCCCCAAGCCTCCGCTCCAGCGGGACCTATTTCTCCCTACCGGGTAACCGCGCCAGTACAGGCGGGAATTTCCCGGGTATGAAATCCGAGACAAGCAGCACTTCGGGCGATTCGGTGAGTGCCAATACGACTGCCACGGGAACAACGGGAGAAGTAAGCAGCCCCGCGCCCAGCATCGGCATGAGCAGCCCGCCTCGCAGCGAGAAGGAGAAGACTACGACGTTTGCGGGAAATAAGCCCCGGCCGCTGAGGCTGGTGCAGGAGAAGGAGGATGCTGCGGCGGCGGCGGCGAGTGCGAGTAACAAGCGGCAGAGCTGGTTTGGCGGGTGGGCGGTGGCGAGTGCGTTTGGGAAGAAGGAGGATGGTGGTGGTGGGGGGACTGGAGAGGTTATCAAGGAGTGAAGCGAACGTGTTGTGCGTGTGTTTGCAGTGAGGTGATGTGGGGTTGAGGAAGGGGGAATAGGATGATGTCGTGCGGTGTCCTTGGTATATTTCTTAACGGTGACGATGAGGGGATGACCTAGCTCACTGCCAAGATATGTGTGATGGATAGAGCGATGGAAGGGGGGAAGCAACACGTCATGGCATTGTGAGGAATCGGCCTGAGCTTCTTATTCGCTTGTCTTGCGTTACTTGTCTTTGATGTTTTGGTCTGGTGGAGGGAAAACGATCATGTCCCGTGATCCCCGCTGATGTATGCTCCCGAGTCCTTGATGATTGATGCCGCCTGCTGCTTGCATAGGATATACGACGATATCATGGATAGGATGGATAGATGGATAGGTTTCTATGTCCAATATGTCCAATAACCTAGTCTTCACTCCAGGTCCTTCGCTTGTTTGTGTTCGGTACCATGGTAACTTTCTACTGGTCTACTCTAATCTCTGTCATTATGTTCTATGCCACACCCCCTAACCAACCAACTCGGCCTGCCTCCCCCGTATACTCACCACCTCCTCTCCCGTCAAGTGAATCCCAAACAGCTCTCTCAACGCCTCGACCCTCTCCTCCTCTGTCGTACACGCCTTGACGAGCTCCGTCTTCCCCGTCAAATTCCGCTTGATGACCCCCTTCACCATCATGACTTTCCCCACGACCCTCGCCCGCCCATCCTCCCCGACCCCTCTCAGGAACCGAATGGCTAGGGGCGTCCACGTCTGGTGAGACTCGGGCGACTGCGACGTGTACCAATTGAGGTTTCCAAAGTCCTCTTCAAAGAACTCAAACTGGTCTTGGAATGCAAAGAACGACACCCAGTTCTTGTCCTTGCCATTCCGCACCTGGTACACCCACATCTTATGCGCTCCCTCGCCGCGGAACCGCTGGTTCGGGATGAACTCCCTGACGAACCGGATCTCCTGCGTCCCGAGCGAGTTGTGGTGCACAAGCCCGTTGACGAGTGGCATCGGCACCGTCATGCCGTCGCCGCCAAACCCTACGTCGACGGCGTATTTTACTTCTGAGTCGGGGACGGTGACGATGTTAACCAGGTGCACCCAGCCAGTGTAGGACTCGCCCTGCGGCACGCCGTCGACGCGCGGGCGGATGCGCACGCCGGTCAGGTAGGCGTCGAAGCCCAGGGCGCGGAGCATGTGGTTGAAGAGGATCGACGTCTCCATGCAGTACCCGCCGCGGCCGCGGCGGGCCGAGACGATCTTGGAGAAAAGGGACTGTGGGTCCAGGGGGATGGCGTGGGCGGGGGAGTAGTGGATTGAGAGGTTGTCGTAGGGGATGGCGGTGATGTGGTGGGTGAAGAGGGCCGTGAGGTAGTCTAAGTTGAGAGTCGGGTTGGAGGACGGTTGGAAGGATGGGGGCAGGCCGATGTACGAAAGGTACTCGGCGACCTGGGAGGGTGTGTATGCTGACTCCATCTCCGGCGGAGGGGGAGGGGCTCTTGTGGTAGCGATTGACAGTGAACTCGGGATGGACACTTGTTTACATCGAGGTCCATGTGCATCATGTTTGAAACTCTATAGTCCGTTATCTATTCGTGACTCAACCCAACAGAACTCTCACTGCGGTTTCGGACCTGTCGTTGGAAGGGCGTAAGCCGTCATCTCACCGGGCCAAGAGTAGGATCCTGGTCGTCATACCCTCATGCGGTTTCACTTGAACCTACCAAGCCGTTGTCGAGAGAATAAGGCGTGTAGGTCATGGTGGAAAATATGATGGTTGCCTGTCGTTATGGGTCATCGGGCGGTTGCCATCTGCGAGCCATCTCAGCGCGGGACCTGAAGGTAAAATTCACCGCTCCCACCCGTACCCGCGCGGGCCGTTATCTCAGCGTATTGCGCGGTAAGCGTGCTCCATAAGCCCGCATATAGCTTAGTTCAATACGGAACCCACATCATGCAAATGCAGCCAATCATCCTACTTGGAATCTTCCGGTATTTGAAGGAGCAGCCAGCTTCCAGGTTCTCCTTTTTCAATATTTGTATCGCAGGTTCAGAGCCGGCGCCATTGCAGTTCTGCTGGATCGCGATGGCCTGGAGCTGCGCATGCGTCTTCTCGGCGATTGGGTTTGATGGAGAGACCATGCCCCGGGCCGCAGTGGTTGCCTTAGCGGCAGCAGAACCCTGGGGGTGAGAGGAACTGGTTAGTGGTGGGCTTCGGATGGGTAAAGGGGGCAAGAGACGTTCGGGGGG